GTCGCTGTTACTGTCGGAGTAATATAGGCTGCTGCGATTCTTGTTTCCTCCTTCTCTTACGTTTGCACCTACCTGCTTTGATGCGTCCGCTTCGCGGACCTCAAGGTGCTTCTTAGAGTATTTGTCTGGTAGAATAAGAAATTATTGGACTCTCTTCTTGGATAGTGAGGGCTGTTCAGGTGGTTCGTTGGGATGGAATTGTACTGCATATAAATGTCAGTGGAGTATATATCAGTTTAAGTTTTTCTGTTCTACCTGCACTAGGAATACTTAGTGATTTTATTGTCCGGCACAATGGCATTACTTCTTTAAGCTTCCTCAATTTGATGTGCGAGTCGATGGTGTTTAGCAAATTATCGTCATCCTCGATGGGCGTCACTGTCAACGTGTCCATCACCGGAGATGTGCCTGCTTTGTATAAATCGGAGAGCTTGCACGCTGAAAAAAAAATTATAGGGACATTATACTTAATGCGCTGGATCCTAATGTCAAAGTCTTCACTTCTCTACCTGTGTCCGACGATCTATTGTTATCAGCCCCATCGAGGGTACCGCTTAGTAGACAGGGATCAGACTAACCACGTTCGCGTTGGCCGGTAAAAACGGCCCGGTGAGTGATGCAAAGCCTTATTTGTCGGCCATCAATGCCGTAGACGTATTAGACACGACGGACGAAGACCGTGGTTGCGCCGTCTCAGACAGTGTCAGCGTTAGCGTGTCACGAGGATCCTCAGTCTCGACTTCATTGCCAAAGTGCTGCAATTCGGTCACTATTATATGACGGATTAATTGCGGCTGCTGCTTCGCGAAAGACCGGAGGAGTTTGCGCATCTCGTAGTTGTGGACAGGTTGCTACTGCCAGCCAAACATTCGAAAACCGCGTACACAGACTCACCTGATGTTTGAGTTGGGGTTTTGGTCTTGAATCTTCTTTTCTTGAACCTGGCTCGAGACATGTCTGGCAAACTCCTCTACCAGATCGTGAACGCTGAGGTTTGAGAGACCATGCCTCGCCCCCAATTCCCTTGTGAGATGCCGTTAGTCTCTGCTGCCCGAGATTCGACATTGTGCCCGGCACCTTATGGTGGTGGCAGCCATACTGTGAACCATGTCATCCTCTCAGGTCACTTAGCCCATCTCGAGCTCAGCCTTGCGGTGGTAAGCGGGCAGGGGCAGTGTTATGAGTATAGACGGCTGCCATGGACACGCGGTCGGGTATGGATGTCGCTTGGAAAAGTGCGCGTGTGCGCGGGACAGTCGCGGCAAGAAGGTTGTGGGAAGCGATTGAATCGAAGAAACTTTGGCGTGAGTATAGATAGGTAGTGGGTTAAGGTCAAGGCGAAGTTGTGCAAATGACAATGTTTCGACTTAAGAGCCGCTCTGCATGGCGGGCATGCCTTGGTCCAGCAGAACTTAATCGTGTTGAACGGGCCGATTGCTGCAGCCTGGTGGCCGTCTATATTTCCTGGGACGGTGCAGCACCGTCTCTCACTGTCCTCTGCCCGCTACGGGCCCTGCGCGCAGGGCACCGAGAGGATGCTGCGTGGAGGGGTATCAGTCTGACTTTCTCGGGCCGGCGTGCATCGAACCATGGAGTAATCGGTTTGTCCTGCAGTTGTCTGAAGTTAGGGTCAGAGCAGCTTCGAGCACAATGTTATTTAGATGTGGTGTGGTAGTCGTTGTCTTCGTCGGTCCGGGGCGGTGCAACACCGTCCCTCACCGTCTCCCTCCACCACCACGAGCCCTGCGCGCAGGACACCAGGAGGATGTTGCGTGGAGGGTATTAGTCTGACTTTGTCGGGCCGGTGTGCATCGAACCATGGAGTAATCACTTTGTCCTGCAGTTGTCTGAAGTTGGGTTCAGAGCGGCTTCGAGCACAATGTTATTTGGATGTGGTGTGGTAGTCGTTGTCTTCGTCGGTCCGGGGCGGTGCAGCACCGTCCCTCGCCATCCCCATCTTCCCGGGCGCTGGGTGTTGGAGAATATGTCGCTTAGGGTCCATAAGTCCAGCTTCGTCAGGCTAGTGGGCATCGAATCACACATTTGTTACTCTGTCCAGCCGTCGTTTAAAGTCAGAGTCAGAGTATGTTTCAAGCATAATGTTGCGTAGAAGTTGTGTGGGATCCAAGGGCCTCGTCGGTCCGGGGCGGTGCAGCACTGTCCCTCACGGTCCTCCTCTGCCATCATAACTCCCGGGCGCTGGGTACCTAAGAGGACGGTGCGTGGAGGTCATGAGTCCGGCTTTGTCAGGCCAGTGGGCATCGAATTACACATTTGTTACTCTGTCCAGCCATCATTTAAAGTCGGAGTCAGAGTACCTTTTAAGCATAATGTTGCGTAGAAGTTGTGTGTGATCTAAGGGCCTCGCCAGTCCGGGGCGGTGCAGCACCGTCCCTCACGGTCCTCCCCTGCCATCATGACTCCCGGGCGCTGGGTACCTAAGAGGACGGTGCGTGGAGGTCATGAAGTCCGGCTTTGCCAGGCCAGTGGGCATCGAATTACACATTTGTTGCTCTGTCCAGCCATCATTTAAAGTTAGGGTCAGAGTACCTTTCGAGCATAATGTTGCGTAGAAGTTGTGTGTGATCTAAGGGCCTCGCCAGTCAGGAGCGGTGCAGCACCGTCCCTCACGGTCCTCCCCTGCCATCATGACTCCCGGGCGCTGAATACCCAAGAGGACGGCGCGTGGAGGGCATTCCTTTGGCTTTGCTAGGCCAGTTAAGCAGGGTAGATTATAGGTATAGTAAGCACTAAACTACGGTGAAGCTCTTAGTAGCAACTCTAATAAAATAACATATTCCGGATTACCACCGAGCCCTAGCAAAATTCCTGTCTGCCTTCGCTGAACGAGAACAGTAAAGAGGTAACTTGGATATGTTCAAAACCTTTTCCAAAACCAGACAAGATATCTTATAGCACTGAATATATCCAGGTTTCTCTGTAAACTTTTCAGTGCGCTCTTAGAGACTATTAGCTGCTATCTGGAGTTGGAGTCAGAGTGACCTTGACCATAATGTTACTTACGTCGACAGTGGAAGTCGTCGTCTTCGTCGGTCCGGGGCGGTGCAGCACCGTCCCTCACCGTCCTCCTCCACCACCAGCACGAGTCCCGGTCGCTGGGTATTGGAGAGGATGTAGAGTTGCAGGTCTATCTGCAAGTGGCCCGATGATTGGAGAGAAGAAAGGAGGGAGGAAAATAAGCGAGATTTATATGCCCGCTGGCACTGGCACGGGGCTGCTGAGAGGCAAGCGAAAAAAAAATCAACAGCAGGGCAAGTATCTCTTCGCGCTCCTTCTCGCCGCGAACGTACTGCCACCTAGGGAGCCAGATCGCTGCAACTACCACGTCGAAGAAGCCAGCAAGCCCACTCTGAGAGCGGCCGATTAGAGCAGGACCCATACGCAGAGATGAGGATCACGTGACATTAAATCGCACCATATTGCGCCCTCCGTTTGACCTGTGGCAGCAAAAGTGGTGCTTAGTATCTAGGAACCCAGTCGCTCAACTAGACCTGGGAGAGGGGGTGAGGTGGGTATGTAGAATGGGAGAGGGTTACAGAGTCTTCGGCAGCGTGGGACGACGGTGGGCGACCGTCTGCGACCGTCGGCCACCGGAGCCGGGCGGGAACTAGCAACACGGTGGAATGAACTTATCGTACACAGCCGTCAACCTACGCAAGAACATCGTAAATAACAACTCTAACGCTATTTACTTATTCATAAAATAATACCTCTTCTGCACAATACAGTTCCCCTCCGTTCTGCGCATGGATCGCTTCTGTACGATATGCGGCTTCCAGCCTAAAACCTACGCAGGGCTTGCCAAACACACAGCTGGATGCTATTCCCGACATCTTGCGCAACAGAGTCTGGAACCGTCTGAGAATGTTTACGAAACACTCCAGTCAAACGAAACGTACACGTCATTGAGCAACGAGTATAATACTGCTCAAGATAGGAAGGTGCATGTATGTGCGGCAGACGGCTTAAGCTCTACTGTGACAGTATATGATCACATCGAGAAGGATAAAAATGCAGACTTGGCAATAGCTGATGGCATTTCGGATGCACCAGATATGTGCGCAAAGGACGACCTTGTTGGACGAAAGGGCCCGTTGTCAACATCCACGCAGACGTGAGGAAGTGCTGTTTCAGACACACGATGGGCGATTGGCAGGGGAACCAGCAACAGCAGAGTCTGTAACTGCAAAAGAGTATGTAACACTTCCTCTAACATGATCTAGACTAAGTTTACTAGCCCTAATCACGTCGACACCTTTGGTTCAGACTTTGCCTTTTCGTTTGCTGCATGGCTGCAACGGATTAAATGCACGCTAGGAGATGTCGATAGCCTCTTTGCAGACGCACGATTACATGACTTACACACGAGATTACCATTTCAATCAGGCCGCCAATGGCAAGAGGCAATGTCAGCAATGCAGTCCGGTATACAAGATGATATTTGGATACAGGAGGACATTGCTAAGACGTCTGGTCTTTCTGGACTTGAGGCCGACCAACATTTTTTCGTATATCAGAACATCTTGTCGCTGATTGCGTTTATAATCAGCCATCGCCCATTTGCAGATGAATTAGTATACGCCCCAAGCCAATTCTTCTCAGGCAATACGGACTATCCTGTTCGCGTTTATCATGAATTACATTCTGGAGACTGGTGGTGGAACATACAACAAAGCCTACCAGATGGAGCAACAGTCGTGCCGATTATTATATCAGTCGACAAAACACAACTCTCACTTATATCAGGAGATGTAGCAGCATGGCCAGTCTACGTCACAATTGGGAATCTGTCCCGCGAAGCCCGACGTCGGAGATCGACACCTGGTACTCTTCTAGCTGGGTTCATTCCTACAACTAAGATTCGTGATCCCCTTCTTAAGAGTCAAGTGTATCACTATTGCATGGGCAAGCTTCTGTCACGTAAGTTCAAGCACCACTATATCAGCCTGCACGGTAGAACACTGTTGCTCACTGTCTAATACAGCACTGGAAAACACGGCTAAGTCTGGAATACTACTTGCATGCGCAGACGGACGAACAAGGCAGTGTTACCCAACTATTTGCGCGATATTGGCTGACTACGAAGAACAAGTACTCTTGACCGGTGTAAAGAAAAATCGCCATTGCACGCGTTGTACCGTCGCACCTGACGACAGAGAGGATTTATGTGGATCTTACCCATGGAGAACAGAGCAATTCACTCGGCTACAACAAGAGAGATGTCTTGATAAAGGACACGACGACTTTGTACATCCAGTTGATTGTTTCGGGTGGAAGCACCATAACTTTAATATTCACGTGTCTTTAGCAACGGATACATTGCACTTGCTGCTTAAAGGTTTAGTAATGAAGATGCTAGACTTTATGCAAGATATGTTGGACGACATCTATCCTGGCAGCAGAAAGACCTGGGATAACAGTACTACACCAGTAACGCAAGAATCTGGTAGTACTCAGTTAAACGAGCGCTTCCGTCAGGTAATGCATAGTACTGGCCTGAAGCGTTTTAATAACAAGAGAGCATTTACAGAAGTCTCCCAATGGACCGGCACAGAGCAAAAGGCAATCATACAACAGCTTGTGGCTGTCGTATCCCCGTTGTTTGTATCGAAGGCGCCTTTCGCGCTGCATTTTATTCGTGCAGTATGCGACCTAGTTACACTGGCGCAATACAAGAGTCACGACGAGGATACCTTGGCCTATATTCAAGGAGCACTAGAGAGGATGAATGTATTCAAGGAGGAATTTCGAGTGTATCGGCGAACGCTAGGGGAAGAGAAGAACTTCAATTATCCTAAGTGGCACGCGTTGACACATATCATACAAGACATACGCATGTATGGAGCTTTGGATGGTATATGCACTGGAGCGAACAGCGAAGCACATCACATCACTATGGTAAAACAGTTCTACTCTATGACAAACAAGAAAGAGTATATACTGCAAATATGCTTGCATAATTCTCGGAGGACGGCACTACTGGCAGCTGACCATGCCACTGTGGTTAAACAGAGTCGACCGTCCACTACTGTCGACATCCAAGATCGCACTTATTCCACGAGAGTGACACGCCCTCTTCCCTTCCGCAGGCTCGGATGGTCAATACCAGGAATACAGCCTCATTCGACAAAATTGCCCCTAAGCGAGGTCGCCGCAAACATAGCAATATCTGACTTTACACATGCAGCAGCAGTGTTTGTCCGCAACAAACGCCAGGCGGCAGCAGGCCAACTAATCACTTCTTACGACGAGGACCGTTTGGATGTCGACCCATCTTGGGTTGGCCGTATGAGTGTACAGATTCACCCTTCCATAAAGTGCTGGCGGTCCTCTGGCAAGAGACACAACGACCCTGAACACTGCGACGAGGAGGTTGTAAGATGCGCACCTAACTGGCAACAGACAGGCCTCTGGCGTAGAGACTACGTTTGGGTACAAGAATTTGAGCATGGAGACAATAGACGACAGTCTAGGACGGTGACGGACGGTAGAGTGGTAGCCCAGCTCCACCTAATACTTACAATTATCGACCATACCCGCTACGACAAAGATGGAAAACACATGGCGTATATTGGGGCATTCTCCGAGGTATTGCTGTTCAATAACAATGGACAGATCGACAACACTACTGGAATGTTGAGTGTGCGTCGACGGGCCTGGAACGCAGCCCCTAAACGCCGGACATTGCAAGCTTTTAAGTTTTACGACCTGAGCACGATTATCCGCCCAGTGCACTTGGTACCAAGGGACCTGCCTGATTCAACAACTCGTACTACTATGTCTTACTACGTCAACAACTATATCGACTGGGACGAATACAACCGCCTGTACTCGCCGACATTTGACATCGATTTACTGCGCACGCTACGAGAGTATCGACGGAAGCGAACACGAAATAACTGAGGATAGCCCTTCATACATAATTCACAAATCTTAAAGTAAACGTTAATCGCTTGTGTCGAGTCTCCTTCCTGCATTGAAATTTTCGTCGATCGGAGAGCATATGGCGGAAGCCATGTCTTATGCCCTCGCCGCGTCTCACTCATTTATCCTCCTCGTCCTCATCCCCCATACCTGAATCCATCTCCCCATCCTCCTCTAGATCACTCTTACTCCCTCCAAAGCTCTCGACATCACTGTCCTCTCAACTCATCTCAAGTCCGCTTCGTCCTTCTCCTCCCGCCACGCCGTCCCGTGCGTCGGCATCACAAAACCCGCGGGGATCTCGGGGCTTCGACAGCTCGAGATCCTCGTTGACCAAGCCCTTGTACTCGTCGGGTTGGTCGCCGCATGGGGGGGGGTGGAAAACCGTGCTAATCTCGATCCTCTCCCCTCCTCAAGGACGCGTGAGTCTCGTCGCCCCGGCAATCGCGACGACAAGTCGAATGCTGCAAAACTAATCCGGAGAAGTGTGAAGGGCTTGGTTAATTAGGGGACTCGAGCGGGGTGAGCGGGGGACACCGGTGGGGGTGCTGGTTGGTTGGAGTACGGGGCGGGTGGCGTGGAGTGAGGGGAGCGAAGCGGAGGGTGGCGCCCCATCTCCACAAACAACGACTCATCAAGACACGAGCAGCAACAACGACCACCTATACCACGACGGTTCTCCAAGACGAACGACAGTACTCCACTGTTGACGACAGAATCCTAAATCGCTACATCTTTGCAATTATGACACCACTGCGACAAACACGGGAACGCTCGTCCAGGGACAGCATCTGCGACGCGATGACCTTAACAAGCGATGAATACGAGACACTATATGCAGAAGTTGAGAGAGAGATGAGAGAACGAGCTATATTATGTCAGTCTCTGCGAACGACGACTGCAAAAGAGCACATCAGACAGATAGCGAGGGTGGTTGCGTCACGACAGAACAGCCCGCTGCAAAGTACGGCGCCCGACAGTCGCCTACGTACAATCACGCACTTAGCAGTCCGATGTAATCACAATGCAACACGACGGATGCGCTCCGAGCGACGCAAAATGCGATGTAACCATAATCCTGAGACTGGGCTGCGGAACAATGATGGATATGCTGAGGCTGTGGTCCACAGTGCCGGACAGTCTAACACCGTAAACAACGCTCCTCAACTGTCAACCATTCTGGTAGCTAGTGCACACGAACAGGATCAGATCCTTATACGAACGGACCAACTGCTGTATGTGCGCGACGACCTAGCAACAGAATACAAAGATATTAGTAGCCTTGACTATACACAGTTCATACGGACACTCGAGAGAGAGGTGGGGTTTGAGGATAAACGCAGTGGCATATACTACTACACGAAAACAGCAGATGGTTGGACTCGTATACGAATATCAACGGAAGCACGCTGGCATGGCGCACTGCAAGATACGGTTGCAACGAAACTCTATAGGGCTACATTTGTAATTGAACCATTAATATGATATGCGTCTCAAGAAAAACGTTTTAGGGGGTCCTTGTAGGAAAATTGAGCTGAAGCCTGCGCTGTGCTCTTTCCTCGATGCTACGGACATATTGTATCGTCAGGTGTACTAATAACGCCGGGAACACGGCTGTAATTCAAACAAATTAAGCCGAATAGACCTAACAAGGCAATAGATAAGCGCCCCTGAGACGTGCTGACAGGAATCGACCGTAGGCGACACCGGAGGACAGTCGACGACGGTACATCCACCAATCATACAGCACGGCGGATGACCCCTTGCAAAACCGTACAGGGAGCGCAACAATTTGGGGGTATCTGCATGCCCCAACACACTCTTCGAGACATAACTAATCCTTCGCAGACTGAACGCGATTCTTTACTAGTATGAACCTGCGTACCACACAGAAAAACGCGTAATTATGGTAAAGAATACAAGAAACCAGCAGGTGCGCGGCGGCGTGGCACTACCTCCCGTGAAGAGGGCGCGGCCGCTCAGTCAGACACAAGAGAGCGTGAAGGTCTGTATCGAAGACAGACACTGACACCAATAGCAAGACTAAGAATCGTAGAAATCGAGAACTATGCAAAGCGCAACTCTACCGTCTTTATCACGAGAGACTATACTACAATCAAACTCACAAGACTCAGCAACTTCTACATGGTCTCAAACCCACGAACCTAGAAGATATGCCGGTTCTAATAAAGGGACGCCTGCACCCTCGCGCACCAGTCAATCCATGGAGACTGGACATCAAGCCGGAATGAAAACGATCAGTCGACACAAACCAAAACAGAACACTGCCGCCACGCGGCACACCTCTCAAACACAGAAGAACGCACTGCGTTCTGTGCAATGTAAGCAAAGACACCACAATCACTGAAAGTAGTTCACGTCAACTTACATGCATAAGCCTTCCTTCCACTGTCTCATCCAGCAGACCCGTTTCATCAAATGCCATGGGGAACACAAAAACGCCGGACGAGAGAACCAGTGCAACCTGAACACGAAAGTACACTTAACAAGGCTCGGGTGATATTGTTATCGCAGTTGTTAACAAACGACGGGACGACGCCATGTGGTACACCTGTCAATCCGTGGCTGGACGCTCACAGGAGTGTATTCGCACAGCTGATGCTGGACGCATGGTCAGAGGCTCGGAAAACAGCGCCCCTGCCAGTCCGCTCGTCCATAGCGACCACGCCCTGCAGGAGTGCAGCCCGCCAAGTGAGTACGGTCGCGGACCGTCTACAACCATGGCTGACAGTACTTGTTAGATGTTAGACATGTGCAGCGACCTGCGGACGCATGTGATGAGACAGGCACGCATAGAGGTTACAGCCGCATATGCCCTGAACCATCTCGAACTGCGAGTCCTCAAACCGAGTGAGCTGCTCCAGGATTTTGTCTACCTGCGCCAGGATCCTAGGAATGTGAGTTAATCTAGGACACGATGGCATTAGCTTACGGAGTAATAGCCCGCGTCGCCCCGGTTCCTAAACAGTGCAATTGCGGCCATCATAGCGCGAGCGTTCTACAACAATGGAAAATGGGGTATCGGTGCCATGGCAGGGAACCAGGATAAGTTTCAGTTCCTAAGCGCTAACATGATGGCGCTTGTGGGCACAGTGTTATATAATGCTATCAAAGAGTACCACGACGACGGAACGAGGAAGACAATCCATTTCCACGGTCATACCGTAGAGGGTATGTTACAACAGCACTGAACAACGATAGCTAACATAGTATAGATAATTATAACGCCATCCGCGAGAAGTGGAAAAGGCTGAGCGAGATACGCCGTCTCCTCATTTGGGACGCTTTAAAACAACAAATAGCCATACACGCGAACCACATTGAAAACTCTGGATCTAACGTTACCGTGCCAGACGACCATCACGACAACGACGTTGATGACATTCTTATGAAATGTACAGATGATGAGCGGCAACGATATAATACATTAATAGAAGACTATAATCGCGCAGGGAAACGAGAAGACAACATCCTTACTGTGGATGAGTGCAGAACCGGTCACAGCAATGAGGAAGATATAGAGGCTGACGAGAGAGAGGCAAGATGCCTAATATGACATAAGGGCAAAAGCTAACAGATAACAGGAAGAGACTAGAGTGCGACTGCGCGAATCATCGGGGGAAATACACGATATATTGCTCAGAGAGTTTCGTGGAGCTGACGACTTTACGGAAAGTGTGACACACAACGACGACGAGCAAGTATGGTTTCAGAATAAAGGGAAAGGTTGGAGCATTGTGACGGACAGCACGTGGGACGAGTTTGCTATGTTAGCAGAGGAATACACGATAGACAATCGCATTGTACACGCCCTAGCGCTGACGAAAGACGAATGGGAATTAGAGCCAGAAGACTGCGACGCTCTGGTGGAAAGATACGAAGAAGAGATAAACTGCTCCGACCTGTACAGTACTGTGTAATAGTTGAATAGATAATGCAGGGCAAATTAGCAATCAATAGCTATACAATTGTGTTTCCGAAATGCATCGAGTCTGCTGTAGTTCCTGGAGTGACGACACTGTCTCGCACAGTCGCCGACCGTGCAGAACTGGCTCGCACGTGGTTGCAGATACGAGACTCTATCTCTAATGGCACCGGATTACGGACAGAGTAAGCCTGATAGCTGCAGCTATGTTTGCACAGAGGACTTGGACTGCCTACAAAACATGCGCAACTGACGTAGTCTACCTCTTCTGCTCTTTACGGAGTATACAGAATGTTCAGTATGCTAAGTCTGACGACTAAGCACAGTCGAGCAATGTAGCTACACGGTGCTAAACGGTAGAGGACAGTAACCAGACTGTTCCGACGTCGACCCGACGTCGGAAAAAAGTGACTGGGGCGACTTTGTCGAATCGTCATATCTGTCGAATCGACGGCGAATTGCGGCGACACTACCGACCAGACACTTTTCACTTTTCCTGACGTACTCTAATTATAAACTTCTTTTTATCTATATTATATATATAACGCGTTTCTATATTATATTAGGTAATCTTTAAGTATAGCAGCTTAAAGTAATAGATATACTTTACTTTAGAATTAGCTATATAATATATATAGTCTATAAGTTAGATCTATTAAGAGATAAGATAGATCTTATAGCAGTAGATAAAGCGCATAACTTAGCTCTTACTAACTCTCTTCTTAGCTATATATAAAGTAAAATTTTATATTATCTCTCTTATAAGTAGAAGCTCTCTCTTTATTAAGTTTTTAATATATTATATAAGCTCTAACTCTTATTATAGAGTAAGCTTTTATTAGCTAGAGTTTTTAATCTCTTAAGATAGCTAAAGACTCTTATATTAGTAAGATAAAGTAACTCTATAAATATTATACTAGCACATAACTTTGCTATATATAAAATTTTCTCTTAATTTATACAAATTAATTACTTTAATTATAGCTTAGATTAGATCTATAGTTATAAAGTTATAGCATATTAAAGTATAGTGTTATTCTTGCGTTTTAGTGTTTAGTAATTATTACGCAACTCTAATCGCGTCGCGCACGGGCACGTTAGGTTAGGCTCAGGGTCTTTTAAAAGAACACGTTCAATGTTATGATCAGGCATACATTCGTTATCGCAATTTCTCGTTTCCATTGATTCATTGCTTTCGTGCCTTCATGACATCATTCCATCATCTTCCCACACACCGCCCCTTCCAATCTAAGCCTTCGTCTCAACACTTACCTCCTGCACTCCCTTCACTCTCTTCTTACTCACAAGCGTAAACCCCCCAACCAACATGACTCCCGCAAGTGTCCCCAGCACAACAGCCAGCGTGACAAACGCGCCAATAACACCTCCAATCGCCGGGCTCAACCTCAACCCCCCTTTCCCTCCCTGTGCCGCCGATTCTGTCTTCGCCGCGAACGCCGCACAACCTCCCGTTTCATTCCCACACTTTTCGCACCACTGCTGTGTGGAACCGATCGCAAAGTCGCGCATCTTGGACTGGAAATCCGTCCACATGAGCGCCTCGTTGGCACCGCCGAAAAGCGGATACACAGACGGTTCACTCACATTAGACGCGGTGCCGTTGTGAAACAGGAACCGAATCTGCAGATCTTGCTCACTGGGGAATCCCTCTCCAACGTCCTTCTCAGTGAACATCTCCAGCACCAAACTACTCGCGTAGTCTACGATGCCCATGAAATTCTGACTCGCAGAGGGTAAGTCTGTGAGGCCGAAAAATGACATGAACGTCGCGTAGGCGCCGAATTGGACGCCGAGTTTGCGTGCGCCCTGCGAGGAAATGATGCCATTCATGTGCGACAGGATTTCGCCAGCGAGTTGCATGCCTGCGACGGCGCGCATGGGGTCGGAGGCGTTGAAGGCGAGGTGCCATTCGTGGGCGTCTGCGAGGGTGCGGAGGGTGTTCAATGTAGAGTTTGAAGGCATAGAAGGAGAGGATGTGTTGTGTATGGACGCGACGTTGAGGATATCATAGACTCATCATCTTGTTAGTTTTGAGACATAGGAGGGGTGGGAGAAGACGTACCGACATATCCATTTTTGAAAGAGATTTGGTCGGCGGGGATGATGTTGTTGATTGCGGGTACGATAGAAGCGTAGAGGTCCTTCGTGCTGGAGGAAAGGTCTTTGTATTCTGTGCTAGAGAAGAAGCTGTTGGAGCTGGTCTTTGCGGCTTGGCAGCTTGATGCATCTTGCAGCCAACCTGCATCTTCGGATCCAGAGCCCGTCTGAATGGTGTTGACGGGGATCAATTGGTACCCATCCATAGGCGCCTGAACGTTTTGTCCATTCGCAAGAGTCTGCACAGTCTGCACAGGTGGGTACAATCCCTGCAAGAAGCCCATAGCAGAATTCTGCAGCACATTGTCGACAGGCGCCGTGACTGCGAGCTGAGAAAGCTTGACCTCGTCCTCATTGATACCACGGATCTTCGAGCTGCCCGACAAGTACCTCGAGCGGTAGTACTGGCCCGAAGTATAGACCTGCTCGTATCCCAGAGCAGTTAGGTTGGTAGGCGCAAGAGCCTTGGGCGTGCGATCTCCATGGCGGTGGAAAATGTACGCTCCGAGAACAGTCTCGGCTGCTTCGGCTGCAGCCAGCATAGACAGCGCAGAAAGACTTGTAGCGACCTTCATGATGGTGGGAGGACTTCAAGCAAATGAAGTATGAAGCTCGGATGAAAAATAAAGAAATTCCGGATGGAAGAGAAAGCTTTAGCAACGGCTGCCTGAGGGACTTATACCTCTCTGCCCGGACCCCGCCGAGGAGATAGCAGCCATTAAATCCATCCGTCGATAGCAAAGTCCTTTTGCATCCAATCCGGGACGGGCACAGCGGGGCAACCCAATGTCAAAGATGGCAGATTCCGAAGCTCGGGAGGGGCATATGCGATATAAGTGGGGGTTGGAACTGCAAGCTACTCCAAGCCTTGACCGGATCTCGGTAATTACTAACCATGATCGGGTGTCTCGTGCGGAATCTCTCGCGATGGATAAGAAGCAGTAAAAATGACGATACACATGCATTAATCCTCGTCGCCGTAGAGAATCTCGCACACACCACCAATCGGCACATCCAACACAGCATCCGTCCCCATACTCCAGAATGACTTCCAATCCACTTCCTCTCCCACCCCAAACCGATACTTGTCGTAATCCTCACTCTTTCCCGCACCACCTACGTTTCCAACAATCTCCCCCGTCCGCCTATCCACAACTCCCACCTGCGCACACTCATCCACAAGACACTCGACCCGTGACAACCCCAGCGTCAAGTACTCCGTGTTCCAACTCGCCAGCGCAACGTAGATGTATATAATCAGCGCGATGAGCCAGCACGGAATGGCCAGCGCCCACCAGCGGTCGGGATAGTACCAGATGCCCATATTGTGTAGGACTGGCGCAGGCACATAGGCCCAGAGGATGTACATTAAAAAGGCTGCCGAGCTGCCTAGGTACAGCGCGAAGCCGTAGTACTCGTATGTGGGCACTTTGGGCGCGGCGCGCGGGATGCGGGGGGCATGGCGTGCGGATTTGACAAGCGTGGTGGTGCTGGAGGTTATGCTAGGTAGCTCGACATCAGAGGAGTCGGGGGTCGTGCGTCTGGAGGGTCTAAGAAGCGAGGTCAGGGATGGCGAGGGTGGGAGCGGCGTAGGAGGACGGTTGTAGAAGGGCGGATAGAGTGCGCTCGTGGTTTGGCGGGGGAGGTGAGTGTGTGAGCGTGAGGTATGTAATGGACGATTTGATTGTAGCTTTAAGTCTTCTTCGTCGGATTCTATACTCGAAGACGAGAGCGAGTCTGCATCTCCATCTTCGATGGATACTCCTGTGAGGAGAGCACCGTCTAGAGTGCTTGCTATGGGTCGCAGGTGTGACGAAGCACTGCTGCCATTGTGTTCTGCGGCTTCTGCCGATTGCAATGCAGGTAGATTCGGGGTGGATTTCGATTGAAATCCCGCAGGCACAGTCTTTCCCCGGTTTTTGGGAGGCATGTCGTCTGTGTAAAGGCTGGGCGCGGATTAAGCCCATGCATTGCTTGCGTGCTCCAAGCTTCCGATGGCGCGACCGAACAGGTGTTCGCGCTAAAACGGACCGAGGCACTTTCCACATTGAGACACGCTGAGCGTTTCTAGAGAGGATGATATATAAGCAAGTAGTAGTCAGCTAAGTTTTGAGCAGTAAGGTCGCTAAAAGTTTCACTTTACGGTAGAGTTGCCATCTTGATGAGACCAAAGTTGATGATACACACATCTTCTGTCACAGGAAAACATCATCTCATACCAGCATCACCAATATGTGCATGTTTAAGGCCAATATCAAGTCATGAATCCTATCAATACGCCATAAACCGACCCAAACGCCACCGCATGCAATGCAATGCTAATCTGCCATCAATCACAAAAGTCGTACCATCATCAACTAAATAACCCCTCATCTCCCGTATCCACCGTACCGTCCCCATCCGCCAGGCCGTCATAACTACTCTGCGCCCTCCTCAACGGACTCCTCTTCTTCCCCTTCCTCTCCTTCCCTTTCCTCTCGCCATGCGGCGAAAGCTGCCCATTTTTTTCCGCCTTAAGTTGATCCACCGCGCGATCCACTTCTTCCCACGAGGGTCTGCTGTCGCGCGTGCCATTCGGTGTGGCTGGGCCGGACTGTGTTTCCAGGACTTCCAGGCGCTTGGCTTGGTCATCTGGGCTGGGCGTCTCCTCGGGGATGCCATTGCGCACGTCGAACTTTGCGAGTGCGGCTGGAGTAGTCGGTGTGGGCGGGCTGTATTCGACGTCGATGGGGCTTCTCGCGCCGTCGGTTTCTGCGTCGGAGAGAGCGTTCACGCCATCGCTTTGGTGGTCGCTGAGGCCGGCGGATGTATCGCTGCGCCACATGTTTTTGAATGTTCTTCGCCGCCGCGCGAGGCCGGATTCTGGTGGGCTATGAGGTGGCGAGGACTCGAAGAAGCTGTTGTACTTGCTGCCCAGCTGCTGGACAATTGGGACGTCTGCTGCTGAGCCCAAAGTACCGGATCGGACGAATAGTACCAGGCCTAGGCAGAGGAGTAGGAGGGTCGATTGGACGACTGCCATGCGCTTCTGCCACACAAGCTCGTCTGCCATCAAGGTGAGTCTGGTGCCGATTTCGCTCATCTCGCTTTTATGTCGCTCTTTCATACTCTCGGTTTCGATGACGGTACTTTGCCAAAGCTGGTCATACATGGTTCGAAAGCTCTTCAACTCTTGCATGACTGTACTGTTCAAATGGTCCAGAAACTTTTCGGTTTTGACTAGCTGTCTCTTTTCTACCTTCTTGAAAGCATCGCGGAGGATACGTGACTGCTCTTCGATGTACTGCAATGACAGGGTGCTGTTAGCTTCCAAGTATAGCAGACGCTTGTGGATCGATTTGAAGAACGACTCTTGTGTCGAGGGAGTGGCAGGGTTAGGCTGAGTAGAAGAGGATCGAGGCTGTGACTGAGAATGCGGGTTGCCAACTGTGTTGTTGCTTGCAGCTTTGGAAGCAGTATTTGACGATGGTGAAGGCGCGGCGTCATTAGTAGTCTGGCTAGCCTTGCTGATGCTCTTGGCTTCCGTGGCTATCGAAGCACTTGCTGGGCTATCTGTGGCAGAGCTTGACGCTTGTGTATTCGAGGTGTCGCGTCCGTTGGACGAAGCGAGATCGCTAGAATTGCTCTCTCCAGTGCTTGCGCCACTTTCAACCATACTACTGGAGCTTGGGCTGTTGTCCACTGGAGTTGAGACAGACGAGGACCCAGCAGTGTCAACGTTCGTGTCCCTAACAGTAGACACATTTGAAGGTGTTCCTACCGCGGATGCAGTCGACGATTGCACCGTCTCATGTGATAGATCTGTAGATCTAGAGTCCGCGGCTTCGTTGGATGTTTCGGTAGTCTGCGCATGGACGTCCACGGTTGATGATGGCTTCGCATCGTCGTCCTTCAAGGGCAGAATAGGCACTTGGTCCGCAGGTATTGGGCCGCTGTCAACAGCCGGCTTCACAACTTCTTGTTCAGCCTCCAGATCAACATCGTCATCGACACCACGAGCCTCCTCCTCTTCTCGTCGGAACTGCTCCATCATAGTAGTACCATGGACCCGCAACAAGCTAAGTGGGCAGTAAAACTCATTGCCATACTGCGTGAGGAACTCGATGCGTAGGTATCTTGCCCAGATCTGAGGCTCCGTAATCAAGAATGGCTGCAAGTCGCGAGAATTGCGTGCCTCGAAGGTGGCCAGCGTCTTCCATCTCTCCATCTTGACTGGATAGCGGTCCGAGACGCTGACTCTGAAATGGCGGAACATGGAAGAGAAGAACTCATAGTTCGCAAGGACCACTGTGTCTACCAGAATGTCATCGCAAAGCTCGACAATCAAGAACTTGTTGTTAGCCGAACATTCGTTAAGCATGTAGCTGTCCTTGTTCTCGACCAGAACCGAGGTAGCGCTCTTAGCCTGCTTGTTGGTTTTCAGCACTGTAGCCGCACAGTCAAAGGACGCATAATTAAAACGCTCTTTGCATGTCTTGCCGGCGTCCTTGCTCAAGGTCCAGGAGCTTGGAGTAGCCTTTTTCTCGTCCTCGACGGCTTTGGTATTGTCTGCACCGCGCAATCCTGCCTGATTACTGTTCGCAATGTCTCCACCATCCAGTGGAGGACCGAAGCCGCTGAAGTCGATCTCGATCTCTGCCTCGTCGCCCAACGAATCCAGGGCGTTGACATTGACGGGGCGGCGACGAGTTGCCTGGTTTGAAGGAGCCGCTCGCCCTTGAACATTCTCAGGCGACTGTCCAACCTGCTCCAGGTTCCTCTTCTTCCATTCCTCAAACGAAAGAAAGTTGGCATTGTCCAGGGGCGATTCGGTCTCAAGCTCCGATTCTGACTCTTCGCTGGCTGTGCCTCCAGCTGGTGCGTCGGTGAATGCGCCTGCTCCTGTCTCTTGTGCCTGGGGTACTGCAGTAGGTGTGCTATGCCTCTCATCCTGTATGTCGCTCTTTACAGCCTCTTCCGCTCTGGGTATTGCAATCTGTTGGCTAGGCGTCGCACCCGCCTCAATAGCTGGAACGTCCGTAGATGCCGCCTCGCCCGGCGCCGACCAAGCTGTCTTCGCGCATTGCTGCGGCAGCGTGTGCGTAATGTAGTTTATCGTGCGGAACGGACATGTTGTCTCGGAGTGGATAAAGCTGCGAACAGTCGAGGCAGAGGTCGAAGCCAGCGAAGACGGGCGTGGTGTTGTGGTACTCAAGGATGCAGTAGCGCCAGCGTGTTCGACGGCCGTGTCATTCGTTGACTGGGTCCATGCAGGTGTCGGTACGCTGCAGAGGAGCAGGCAAAGCGTCCATTTGCGGAGGGATGCGCCAATCGCGGGCATCTCTCGCTTGCATTGCTTGGTCGAGCCCTGTTTGTTGCGAAATGAACTGCCCTGTGTCGAATAAACCCATGGGCAGCTAATGGGGGCGCTTCGACGGGTCGTTTGGTGCGGAGTGAACACTTGTTCGTGGGAGAACCTTGGAGGGTTACGGAGTGGCTGATTCACCGCTCAGACCCGTCCAGAGCTCGATATCACTTACAAGGGTCGGCTATCTCTGTCCCAAACCATGACCTGTGCCAAGACGTGCTGCCAAGGCGCACAATTAAACGATGCAGATGACAGGTTACAAGATGTCAGGACCGAAATGAGACGAAGAGGCTCTTACAATGGTATTATTAGGAATGCTGGGGTAGCATTAAGCCACCTGGCATCACGGAGCTTGGACGTTTTCGTCTTTGAGGCTCATATTTCTACACTATAGTACAACAACGCTTGCAGTAGTCAGTAGCACGTAGACGAAATTGTGTACTGCAGTTCAAGCGTGTCAAATGTGCGTGCACCGGAGCACGTGGCACGCTTCATGTAATATCGTGCGTGCTGTGAAGTATAAAGAGATTCGTGAAAGGCTGCCTATCCACACGCAACCAGAATACTGAAATAAGACCATTACAAGCGAGTGAGGTTGACTACAAACCGCCACTCAAAGAATCCCTAGTCGTGTCGCCTGTCCAAAGTCCGTTCCGTCGTCTATCTCTACCATATGTAAGTCGTAGTGCTGAACCGACTAGATGCCTTGCCTGTGGGTGCTTCGCGCAAAGAGTCCGACGCCGAAATGTTCCGCTATGCTCGCATCAATCGTAAAAAGGGTATGTCTTGCCAGGTATCATCGTATCGCAAGAAAGCATGTCGCGTAAAAGCAATGTATAAGGAAGTAGGTAAATGGCTCAAGATCGAGTGTCGTGAAGAATCAAAGTCCGGGATCATCAACGCTGTGCCAGAGTCAGGCCAGCGTTGAGCTGTCGGACCATGCCTAGAAAGACTTTTAGGTAGGCAACACACGCATGCGCGGCCTGAAAGTTTCGAGGACCAGCCTTCGGGTGCATTAAAAGCCCTCGTTGCCAGCGTGGCAGACCTTGGCCTCGGAAACCCATTCAGAGGCGAGGACTTGATGAGCAGTGAGGCGGCGAGCCGGAATTGGGTCCAGGATAGAATAGATCACGTTGCGACATTGACGCTGTGGCTTGTTAGCAAAGTGCAAAGGTTGAGGGCAAGCAACACGTACCCTTCGTAATACCTCGATAGGTCGGTAACCTTCTTCCTGTTTCCGGTCTTCGAGATAGCGGTCGAAAAACTCGTCCTCGCCTTTTTGTGCGACACGCCACAGATGCCGTCCGGTCCGCATGGCCATGTAGATGATGCCGCAGGCCCAGACATCGACAGCGCGGGGATCGAACTCTTTGTCGACATACTCCTCGGGTGCAATGTACGGTGCAGAACCGCATAGGCCAGCAGTCATGTGCGCCTCCTTTTCCCAAGCCATTCGAAAGCACTCTCCATTTCCGAAATCGGTGATCTTGATGGATCCGTGGCTTGTGAGGAGCAGGTTCTCGGGCTTGAGGTCGCGATGGGCGACACCCATTTCGTGCATGTACTCAACACCGCGCATGAGCTGCTTGAAGAAGCAGTCGGCCTCGACGACCTCTAGTTGACCGGCCGCAAGCACCAGAGTGTATAGGTCACCGCCTGAGCAGTATTCCATGACTTCGCAGTACGTGCCCTTCTCGTCTTGCAGGAGATCTAGCGTGGTAATGACATTTGGATGCTGCATCGAGGATGATATGCAGAATTCGGATGTGAGGCGCTTCTGGTAGCGCTTGGCAGATTCTCCTGGACGTTGCTTAAACTCCTTGACAGCGTACAGCTGCTCGCGTCTTGAATCCTTGGGGTCTGGTTTGTGTGCAACTCTGACGATGCCAAAAGCTCCACGACCAACGACCTCCTGGCACTTGCCATACTTCTGCACCAGTGTCTGTGGCAAGTGGTTGCCAGAGTTCTTCTGCTCCGCGAGCTTCTCCTTCTCGTTGCGCATGACGTCGACCCAGTTTGCCATGAGGCTCAGGGGCTGGTCCTCGTGGGTTTCGCCCTTCTTCTTGCCCAGCATCAGGCTCTGGAACATGTCGGACAGCTTCTCCTGGCGCTTGGCGACCTTGAGGTGGTGCTCGTGGGTGCCGTCCTCGTTGTTCCAGAAGCGTTTATATGGCGCATCGGGGCGGCCGTCCTTCTTCATGACCGAGGTCTGGCGCGAAGGCTGCGGGCGATCGCTCGCTGAAGCTGCCGTTGACAGCCTTGACCTCGCCGATTCTCCTCTGCAGTCAGTTGCAGCCTGAGGACGCGTTCACACCCAGCATGCTACTGAGGCGCGACGTCATGGTTGGCTTCTTTGGCTGCAAGAGCAGCCTCGCCGGCGGCTTGCAGGCTGCTGTCTCCGGAGTGCTGATCGGGCTGCAGTGGTGCTACCGCCTCGGGCTGCGAGTGTACAGAAGAGGCCGTCGAGGTGGGCGGCGAAGCCACAGGTGACGCGGCGGGTTTTGAAGTTGCGCCCGAGGGGGCACTGCTTGCTGGCGGCGGCCATGATTCCTGCTTTTCGCTGCTGGCGGTGGGGCTAGGCGGCTTGTGGGTCGTATAACTGGGGAAGAAGTGTGGGAATTGTTTCTGAGACGCAGGTGTCTCGCGGGCGTGAAGCCCAGAGTGTTATTGTACGGCTCTCAAAACGGCGTATGTTCTGCGGCGGCCCGTGACGGAGATCAGGTTCGGAAGCGTGTGCTGGGCGTGGGCAGATTTATAGGAAAACACGGTGACGGGCGCAGAGGAGCTTGCCGGCGTAAAGGCGGACAGAACAGCGGCGCGCTGGATGCCCTGGTGGCGCTGACAAACGCCGTGGGCAGTCGTCGAGATTTGAATGTTCACGCGCAGGCACAGGGCGGGCAGGTGCAAGCGCAAGTGTGGCAGTGTGGCTGAGCAGGCCGACGCAGGATGATGTCGTCGTTTCGCGAGCAAGGCGCGGCCGCGCAGAACACAACACCCGGGAACTGGGAGGAAGGTGCGTTCGGGCGACTCTGGCGACCTGGGCTGCGCTCAAATATGGGCGGACATTCGCTGAATTATTGTGCGAGCACTTGAGGGGTAACGTCTGCACAGCCTCGCTCCGTGTACGGCCTTCAGATTGCAGTCTAGCTTGCGGCATTTTCATCTTCCCAATCCCCTCTTGTTCTCGTCCAACGCTTGCCGACCGCACATTATTAATAAGACAACACCGCTGCAGCCGTCTCCAAGCCAGCGCCAAGCTCGCGGTCATCACGCAGGCGCAGACAAGCCCACGGCACGCGGAGCTTAGCACCTCTTTGTGCTGCGTGCGGGTGACCTGTGACGCCTGCACAGCAGCCTGGCCTGGAGATCCTCACGCTCGATGGCGATGCGAGCACGTCCTCCGCACGAGCAAAACAAACGTTTTCTGCTGTCCCACAATTTGCAAACGTTGACGTACTAGCACTCCCGGATCCAAGGTACACCAATCTCCTCTTCCCGAGGATGCCCTCGCCGCCGCATGGCCTGTGAGCTTCCAGCTGCCCGTTCTCCGGACGGCCTCACGCGCTTCATCTACGGCCATCGTGACGCAACCACGCCTCGCTGTTCTGTGACTCGACGAGACGCCTCTGGGAAGGGCCGTTCGGCACCATATTGCATGCTGCAGGTGCTTCTCCATGGCCAATCTCCCTGCGCTGATGACGGGGCCGCGTCGGCAACTCGTGGCACAACTACGGAAACTTGCATTGGTCCAGCGAACCGGACCTTGATCCCGACGACCAACAGGACTCCAAATCTGGTCCATGTATCTTGAACATCTGTTTCTAATGAACGTACCTCAGCAAGCTTTTGACACTTGAGACATGCAAGGATGCAGCATCTGCATGCCGTACCGTGTACCGAGGGCAATGTACTCGACATTACCTACTTCGTACTATGCCCCGCATCAACCCAGGTACATGTATAGCGCAAATCTAGGCGCATATCTACCAGTCTTCGTCCAGCACATCATGCACACCGCTTCGCAACTGCACCGAGCCGACGCAGCACAACGACGAAACGCCCGCCACTGTCCAGTCATCTACGCCGCATCCGCCACCTGCCATATTCCTGTGCAATCGACGACTGACGTCCACACTTTTGACGCAAGGCCCTACATGCACGCACGGTTTACCGTTACGCGAAGCTCGCACTGACCTCGTCAGATCCATGGTGCAGACAGGAGCCACGCACTCGGGACCAAAAGGTTACATGGCAAGACTCGCTCGGTGCTATTGGCTACTTGTACGACCAGACAGCATTACAGCAGCAAGGGTGTCAAGTACCCATGTATGGTCTCCCATGCAGGCCATAAAAGACGCACTCGTCATCTTGCCATGTGCGTCGGATGATCCACTGGCGATGGTGCCCGCGAGATCGATACTCGTATGACATGCCGTTCTCACCTGCATGTTCGCCCGGTGCTTATCTCGTATAACGGGAGCTGAAGCAGCTGGGCAAATTTCAAGCTGACAGTTTGCCGGGCTGGATCTAAGAAGTGCAAGAGCATGTACTTGCCTGATTCGGAATTTTACACACGTATCATGCCATGTCACTCTCAATCACTTCATCCATCCATCAATGGCCATGTCCTGTACTAAGAATAGTCCCAGTGTAGATTGATCATCCTCCAGGACCAAAAGCCCGGAGAACCAACAGCACTCACCACGTCCCGCATCCCAAAGCAGCATTTCCACTGTTAATGCCTCAAAGTCATCCTGCTCAGATTCACCAGCTCATTGGGCAACTCTGCACACTTCCCGAGACCCGTGGGTGACACAACTCTAGCGCAAACAAACCCTCAGAAGATCGTTTCTCGGACGCCACGTTGGGGCAAGCCACTGCAGCTACCCGCGAAGCTTGATTCCTGACTCGAAAGATGGTGCCGATCGCTTGCAGGCGTTCTTCAGGGGTGGATGGGACATCAGATGCGTAAAGGCTTGGGTATGTCCATTGATTCTTTGGGGTAAGAAAGGTACGCGTTACGTGGAAAGGATGGAGGTGAGCACAAGTGTATCTTTATCGTGAATCATTTCTTTTATTCCGTGATTGTAGGTGGTAGAAAAACCTGGACCAGTGGATATGCACGCCCCAAACACCAAAATCATGCATTCATACCTTTCTCCCTTCCCTTCAACCTTGTCCAACAAGTGACTTAGTCGTACTCCGTCTTCACCTTCTTCGCCCTCTTCTTATTCGCCTTGAAATGCTTCTTGCCGTTCTGCAACTCACTCATATCCACATCCTTCTCTAGTGCCGTAATCTGCTTTAATTTCCGGCCACTCAGCTCCTTGCCCTGCTCGCTGTACTTGTGGTGGAACGGCAAGTTCTGCTTCGCCATACCTTGTCCCGGCCCGAAAAACTTCTTGTCCAGGCCCTTGGACTTCTCGCCGCGCATGGGCGCGCTGTTGACAGCAGGCAAGTCGAGGTCGTCGTCCATGAGCGAAGCGTCATCGTCTGCTGCCGCGGCGAGATGACGCCTGCGCTTCTCCGGCAGGTGGTTTTCGTCGTAGAGCTCTCGGTTGAAAGCCTTAGGATCGATAGGCGGATCGACGGGTGGGGGGTGGCAGAAGAGGAGTTTGCCCTTGACGTAGTCCTTGAGGACATATCGCGCTGCTCGCGACTCGTCAGGCTGGCCGAGACCTTGGGTTGAGAAGCCGCGGGCGATGGCGTATGCGCGCAGGACCTCGTCGGAGGTGGGGATGCCGGTTCCGCCTTCTTCTTGGGGGCGGATGTGCATCTTCATCCCGTAGAGAGCTTCAAGGAAGGGTTGGGGGATGCGCTGCGCGACGAGGCCGGCTGGGCCGGTGTACTCGCGCAGTTGGTCGATGGGGAGGACGCCGGCGCAGACGAGCTCGGCTTTGGTGGTTGCGAAGTTGGGGAAGACGAGACCAGGACAATCGCAAAGGACGACCTTTTCGCTCAGGTGGATGGTCTGGAAATGCTTCGTCTTTCCGGGTGTTGCTGAGACTGACACTTTCTTTGCGCCGATGAGTGCGTTGATCGTGGACGACTTTCCGACGTTGGGATAACCAACTAGACCGATGGACGTCTTGCGCTTTTCGCCACCGGGTCCGGTGTCAACATCTGGGGCGTGCTCAAGGAAGAGAGACTCAAGATCTTCGGTGGTTAATATCCGTGTTCGCTCGTCTTCCTCTGATGCTGGTACGTCAACTGCTTCCTCGTCGACCCACTTCGCGTCCTCCTCCTGCTTGTCCTGTAAGTCGATCTTCTTCGCCTCCTTCGCCAAGTCATCACCCTCCTCATCGACCTCCTCGACATCGTCTTCATCTTCGTAATCGTCCGACTCTTCCTCGCTCTCGTCTTCGAGCGCGCGGGCCTCGTTCATCTCCTTCGCCAGCTCAGCGGAGAAGAACTTGTAGTTGATCCCAGCCTCAGTGAAGTAGTCGGCCCATGCCTGTCGCTGATTCAGCGTCATCATGTCGGCCTTGTTGATCAACAACAGGTTGTTCTTCTTGGAGTCCACCTCTTTGACATAATCTTCCAAATCCTCTGATCGGAATAGCAGTGGGTGTCGCGCGTCTACAATCTGCACTACCAAATCCGAACGCTCGATAACTCGCCACAGCTGCCTCCAGACCTCGAGATTGCGCTCGAAAGGTGTCATGAGCAGGTCGTTGTTCTCTTGCAGCTCAGCGAGGCCTCGCCTCCACAGCAGTAGTGAATCCCTCTCGGCCTGGTCCAACTCCTGTGGCGTCGTGTTTTCGTCCCACTTTGGTCGTCGGGGGACGGTCAGGCGGTTCTTGTTTTCTTTGTGCTTGCGCTTGACATTGCGCTCTTCTGTGGCAGACAGCAAGTATGGGTTCTTCTGGTCCTTGTGTATGATCTTGACGTTGTTCATCTTCTCTGCAGTGAAGTCGGTGCCAGCCAGTTCGGCCGTGGAAAGGAAGTCATCGAGAGCACCCTGTTCTGTGACGGAGCGCATCTTCACCCATGATGCCTCCTTCTTCTCGTTGGTGATGTACTATAGAATATTAGTATCTCGCCTTTGTTTGCGCGCAGTCTGTTACATACCTTCTCGCCATTCTGGCCTGTCCGCTCGATGCCCTGCTGAAAGGCGCCTCTGCGCATGTCCGCGCCCTTGCCCTTGCCGAACCTATCGTTCATCAGGCTGTTGCCCAGCCCGACGCTCTTCTTCGATTTAGCGAGCACCATTTTTGCGGTTGATTTCGGGTATCGCGTGGTGTTGTGGTGACTCTGCTATCGCGTCCCACAGGTAAGAGGGGTCGAGTAGAAAAAGTCGCCCCACGTCATTCACCAGACCCTTTTCGCCTAAAATAATTTTTTGGAGCCGCCGCCAGCCCAACTTTTGACCGATACTTTGTCAGCGCCATTCCCCAGACTTCCGTAGCCCGCCACCAAGAAACAACTGAAGAAATCAATCACTTCTACACGCAGTCAAGATGCCTCGTCGCAAGTTCATGTATGCTGATCGTGCATTTTCGCAAAAGTACCCCGCTAACCCCTCCCCAGCGACAAGAAGACCGCCATCAACTACAGACTCGTCCATCGCGCCCAGAATGACCCCCGAATCCACGATGAGGATGCACCGCAAATGGTCTTCGCCGAGACCGGCGCCGCGAACATGCGCGAGGACTCTGAGCCAGCGGGTAGTTCACGAGCATCACAGTACTCGGCAGCCACAGGCCGGAGCAAGATCAAGTCACGGAGGGAACTAGAGAGCGAATACGAAGCCAAAGTGCGTGAGAATGAGGGAGAGGCTGCCAACTATGGCGTCTACTACGACGACACCGAGTACGATTATATGCAGCATTTGCGCGATCTGGGCAGCGGTGGGGGAGAGGCATACTTCGTCGAAGCACCAGCCGAAAAGAAGAAGGGCAAGCAAAAGCTAGATTTGGCAGACGCGCTACGAAATGTATCGCTTGACGACCGAAAGAGCGAGGCGGGACTCAGTATCAGCAGTAATATCAGCAGCGTGAGCGACGTCTTCGGCGAGGACATGGCGCCCTCAGAATTCGTGCGCAAAACCACATATCAAGACCAGCAAAACATCCCAGACGCAATCGCCGGTTTCCAGCCAGACATGGATCCGCGGTTACGAGAGGTCCTCGAAGCGCTGGAGGATGATGCGTACGTCGACGACGAGGACGACATCTTCGCCGCGCTCGCAGAAGACGGGTACGAAGTCGATCAGCGCGAGTGGGACGACACATACGATGTTGAGGATCGTAACGCCGTGGATCGCTTCCTCGACGAAGAAGACGAGGGCTGGGAATCAGACGACACGATCAAAGCCTCGTCGCCGAAGCCCAAAGCCGCGCCCACAGATCCAGACTCGCTGCCTGCACCCAACGAAGCACCCGCCGCGGCTGAAGAAGGCGACCTCGCGTATCTCGAGGAGTTTAAGAAATTCAAGAATGATGTGAAGGCGGGGAAGACGGCTAAGCCCACCGCGCCCTCGGGCATGGAGTCAAGTATCATAACGGGAGCATCGGCGCTCACCGCCGGCGGCCGCAAGAAAAAACGCAAAGGCGCCATGACATCTACATCCGGCTACTCCATGTCGTCCTCGGCCCTGCACCGCACCGAAGGTCTCACCCTACTCGACCAGCGGTTCGACAAGATCGAAGAAGACTATGCTGACGACGGCTTCGGCGACTTCCCGGACGACGCGAGTATGGTGTCTGGAATGAGCAAGATGTCAGGCATGTCAAAGATGAGCGGCATGAGTCAGTGGTCGAGCAGCGAAGCGCCAGAGCTGCGAAGCGATTTCGACAACATCATGGACGATTTCTTGGGGAATCATCATGTGGCGGGGAAGAGGAGGGTGAAGAAGGGCAAGCAGCAGACGGGCTTGGAGCAGTTGGATGAAGTGAGACAGGGGCTTGGGCCCGCAAGGGTGAGCAGGCCCAAGACACAGGCTACGTTTGTTTGAGCGATGATGATCTGGGCAATGTTTGTAATGGCGTTCTGAGGAGACATGATGATAAAATCTATACCCACAGGGAAAGCTAGATAGGATATGGCAATGAATGATGGATTGTTTGATCATATCTTGTGTGCCTACTGCAATTACTGAACGACATGGCGCTATTCCGGCTAGACCTGGCGGATCTGCGACCTGGATCCTCAAGCTTCATCGAGGCTGGGTACCTGCAGAGGTAGCGGCCGGATCGCCAGCTTGGAGTGAGGCTGTGTGCAGAATGTGGGGTAGCCGTTGGCCGTGATATCGTGGGGTTCCCTGCCGTGGCCCTGCTCAACTACGTTCGTCGTGCGTTGTTACTGTATACATTGGCTGATGCAAGGGAAGTAGACTTCCATGAAGCCCACACTTTCTAGCCTGTTTCCGAACCTCAGATGTACGTAAGATTCAGAGTGAAGCACCGCGAACGACTGGTTGTGGGTGCAATCCCTGCATGTTCGCTAATCCGATGTTTGGAGCAAACACGGCAAGATCTGACTGCAGTTTGGGGTCGTGTCCCTTCACTGTAGTGTGCCCTCGTCCACCTCAACCTCATACCGGCAACACTGCAGTGATGAAGGCCTCCAGCCCTCGCTCAAACAGCTCATTCGCAACGCCGATGCCAGACGGATGCTCGGTAGGCGCCAATGGGTTCTTGACGACATACTCGACATACAGGTTCGCCCAGATCTGGTGGAGATACGGCCTCAGGTTGTTCACCTTTGTGTCTGTGAGCATGACGAACTTCATGCGGGTCGGCGTCTCGTAGTAATGGAGCTTGTACTCGCCGGTGCGGTAGGAGAGGAAGGTGTCGTCGTCGCCGCCGAGCTTGGTGACGAGATTGCGCAGGGAGAAGACGAGGCCAAACACAAGCTTCTGGTCGTCGGAGTTGGTGAGAGGTTTGCGCGTGGGGGCACTATCCCCATTGCTCGTGATGCTCGACGCCGATTGCGGGCGCGCAGACTTGCCCGAGGAAGCGGGACGGGGTGTCCAGCGGCGCGAGTAGATGCACTCGGCTGGTACGTATGCGGTCAGCGGCGTGCAGGGCGTTGGAGACGGTATACAGCAACTGTGCCGACTTACTATGGCGATCAAAGATGTAGAAGCTGTAGAGCACCATGGCGATGACCGGCGATGGCGTCAGACAACTGCAAGTGGTCGGTCTGGTGGCCTGGAGTGGTTCAAGCGCGGAGAGAGGGCGGGAGAGCGCAACGTTATCGAGCTCGCCAAGCCGCCTTCACCTCAGCGAACCGATGGGCAGTTGCGACGGGGCAGGGTCACGCTCGTCAATGGGGCGAAGATGCACGTTCTACCCTGCACAGAGTGGCACAGAGTGGAGCCCAATGCATTGGGAGGCTGACGAGGAGAAGCGCGTGGTGGGATAATTCTGCGAGGTGTGGAGGCTGGAGGAGGTCAATGGCCATGGCCGGTGGGAAGCGCCCCTCTCCCGTCTACCTTAGCACTTTACCGCAACCTATGCTCTCGCCGTGCATAGTCCCGCCGCTGTCTTTTTACGGTCCCAGGAGAACGATCCCCTTGGAGCTGCATTGATATGACAGGCTGACGCTGTCTCTTCCCCATATTATTTCCTCCTAGTCCAGGCCTCCCCTCAACCTTATCACTACGACATTGTTGCACCCACTTTGCCTAGCCCGACAATCGACCATGTCGTCGCACCCGCCCTCTGCCCTGGCAAAGCACCACTCCGAATCCGAAGTCCCTCGAATCTACACCTCCCGCCCCAAGCTCGACGTCCCTGCCATTGGAGACGACGAGAGACCGCCGCCCGTCAAGTACATGTGCGACTGCTCCGCGGGGCACCGTTGACGTAGTTGTTTGCTAACGTTAACCAGGTCAACGCCCGCATACCAGAGCCCGTTACGACACCACAAGCGCGCAGCTTCCTCGACGAGACGCGTAAAGGTGCGCATGCCCTCCCACACCACACATCACATGACTTTTGGCCCCCAATAGCCTTTTCTGGAAGCCCCCAGTGCCGGTCGCGCGACACCAACCGACTGCGCCAAGACATATACGGAGCTTCCAGCCAGGTTTTGCGAAGAGTTTTTGAAAAAGAAGAAAATTCTTTGCGCAATTGCACTCAAGACTGCATTGAATGCCCGTCTGACGTGGTGCAGGAAACATTCAATGCGCGCTCAGAGTACAGCAACAGCGAAGATGACGGCACTGCCCAACATCGCATCAACCAATATTTGGTAAAACAAGAAATTGGCCGCGGGTCGTTTGGGGCCGTTCACCTTGCCGTGGACCAGTATGGGCAAGAATATGTGAGAAGACCAGCCTACTACACATTTAGGAGAGGTGCAATGGGTACTTGAAATGCCCAAGTGTCGATGCGCGTTACCTGCAAGGACTGGTACACAGGATGATGCTAACGCATTTCAATACAGGCCGTCAAGGAATTCTCAAAGTCCCGCCTGCGGAAACGGGCACAGTCAAACCTCCTCCGTCGACCGAGTGCCCGACGGAGAGCGCTTCCTGCAGGCATAGGCTTCAACTCTCCCCTGCATCGACACTCGACTACCGAAGAGAACAATGCCTTTGAGCTGATCAAAGAAGAAATCGCAATCATGAAGAAGCTCAATCACCCAAACCTCGTGTCTTTGATGGAGGTGCTTGACGATCCAGAAGAAGACTCGTTATACATGGTCATGGAAATGTGCAAGAAAGGCGTCGTGATGCAGGTAGGTCTCGAAGAGCGCGCAGATCCATACACCGAAGAGCAGTCTCGTTGCTGGTTTCGAGACATGGTATTAGGCCTCGAGTACCGTATGTTGTTGATGACATCACCTGCCATTCCACCACTAACACAGGAACAGTCCACGCCCAAGGTATAATCCACCGCGATATCAAGCCGGACAACTGCCTCGTGACGCAAGAAGACGTGCTCAAGATCGTCGACTTTGGTGTATCAGAAATGTTCGATAAAGAGGGAGAAATGAAAACAGCAAAATCTGCTGGGTCACCTGCATTCATGCCACCTGAGCTCTGCGTCGCGAAACACGGCGAAGTGTCGGGACGAGCTGCAGATATATGGTCCATGGGCTGCACGCTATTCTGTCTCTTATTCGGTAGGATACCGTTCGAGAAACACGGCATGCTCGAACTCTATCAAGCCATCAGAAATGATGAACCTCAGTACGACGATTCCTGCAACCCCGAACTCCTGGAACTACTCAAGAGATTGCTTGAGAAGGACCCCAAGAAACGGATAACATTGGAGCAGATACGGGTCAGCATAATCAATCCTTCACCTTGAGAAGCAGACACTGACAAGCCTAGGAACATCCGTGGGTCACTCAACACGGGACGGACCCTTTACTCCCCAAGTCGGAGAATGTCGCTGTCATCATCGAGCCACCTACTGACGAAGAGGTTAATGCCGCCATCACAGGCAACATGGGTCATTTGGTGACAGTCGTAAGTGTGCGCCGCTTTCTTTCTACTTTTATCACCAAGTCTCTCTAAGATCCTGGAAACGGAGTTTCCTTTGATGTCTACAAATACAGCACTATACTGATGCTTCATAGGTACGTGCGGTGAAAAGATTTAAGCAGCTGCTCTTCAGGCGGCGTCCGGAACGACTAGAGGGCATCCTCGGTAGTGCCTCACGCATCGTTCAACCACCGCTGTCCATGCGGCCTTCAATACTACGAAAATCCAAATCGCAGGACACAGACAATCGGCGACCGGTCGAGAGCGCACTCGCAACAGAAGGCGTGCACTATGAGATTAGGATCGACGACCAGAACCGCAAGACACCTTCCAAAATGGATAGCATGGCCTACGTGAAGCCAGGCTTTCGGGGAGAAGCACTTGGAAAGCGGCAAATATCAAGAGGACTAAGCACAAGCAGTCCCAACTCTCCCAGCCTTCCCGACACGAAGGTCATCCATGACAACATGTCATTTCGCCCTCCACCATCACAAAGCACCACTCTACCTGGTGTAATCACCAACTCCGGCCCATCGACACCCACGCTAGGCAAAGGTCATGCCCATGACCCTCTTGAAGACACACTCTTCCTCAACATCGGAACAGGTGAGGATTCCGTGCCACAGCCCGAAGAAGGATGCATCGTGTCCGAATCGCCCTCCAACGTAGACATAAACGTCTACGAAGCCGCCTACGAAGAAGAAGTCCAGCGCATCATTGCCCAGCGAAAAGACCAATACCGCCGCCCTACGCTCTATCTCACACGCCGCGTCGAGAACGTCAAGTCAATACGTGACAGCGACTGCATCTTTGACGAAGGTCAGGATCTCCGACGAGACATCAAAGGCAGCTTTAAGAGCTTCGTCACCAAGACTAAAGAAGACATCGAAGCCCGCGGCGAGCTGCAGAAGATCCAGGATGGGAAGGAGGGCAAGCTTAGTCGAACTATGCGCAACGTCCGCGAGGCTAAGAGGCTGGTGGAGGAAGCGAGGGAACGCGCGAAGATTGAGGAGAAGCAGCGCGAGCGCCAACGTAGTCGGAGTGCGACGCCTGCGAGGAAAGATAGCTCTGGCGGCTCGGGCTTGAGCAGGAGTGGCACGCCCGTTGCTGTGGAGAAGTGATCTTGAGCGTGCTATTAGGGCGTTACGGGAGGGAATAAAGCAGCACATACATCAGCTTCTGGTCGGGTCTGTCCAGTGGCTCAGAGTTTTTCCTAGGCACAAATCACTTCGAGCGCAGTTGGATCAGCGGCTTCGGCAGGTCCAACACTTCCTTTGCAGATCATTTCACCTGAGCACAACATATCCTGATGATGTCGTGTATAAATCATAGTCTTGATTCCAATGTGTAGTGCACGCTATGCAAGCAAGCAAGCCGCGACCCAACAACGCCGCTCGTGGGTATGTAAGTAAATCCCACCTCTCCCAAACGCCTATAAATCTCAAATCTATCCCAAAATCAATATGTACTACTCGCCATCACCCCTCTCCTCATCCCTCAATCCCTCCCGACTACTCTTCCCCTGCACATAACTCGCTCCCCTCGTCCACAATTCCCCCAGCGTCCCGCTCAAACTCCTCCCCCTCCGAATCGGAATCGGCACGTCTTCATCATCCGGCCCCGTGCGCCGCCTATCCAGCGGCCCGCCCAACTCGTCGCTCGCGCCGATTCCAAGCACGGATTCGCGCCGCACGCTGCCCGAGCGCTTGAGGTCCTGCACCATGGCGCTGAGCGTCGTGCTCAAGGGGCTCGCGAGCAGGGGCCCGCCGGCCATGGAATTGCGAGCGAGGCGCTCGTTGGTGCGCAGCCGGCGGAGTTGCGGCGTGGTAGTCGGTGTGGTGGGGACTTCGGTGGAGCTCTTGCCGCGTGTGGGTGTGCGTGGGGGCACGAGTTCTGGGTCTGAGATGGAGGCTGGGGGCGGGGCGGCTTCGGAGGGGAGGATGGGGGTAGATGTGTGGCGGTCAAAGGGCGGGGCGCGGGAAAGGTCGAGAGGGGTGGATTGGGCCCAGGGGTTGGTGGGATTGTCGGGGATGGGGTAGAGGGCGCTGAGGGCGTCTGAGGAGATGGATTTGGTGGTTATTTGAGGGGTGGAGGGGCGGGAGTCGTAACTAGATACGGGGCGGGAAGGGTCGAGGACGGTGGATGAGCGGCGGGTGGTTTCTCCGGTTGTGTCGATGCCGTCGCGATAGGGCTCTGCGACGAGATTGATTGCGTCTTCGGATTCGGGCTCGCGGTCCTCGTCGTCGTCGTCGTTTCGGCGTGGGCGGCCGGTAGTGATGAACCATACTCCGAGGAAAGTCATCGCGCAGCCGCCGACGAATTTGCCCGCGTCGTCGCCGGACGTGCGTTCGAAGTCGCGGTACAAGACGGCAGATCCGAGAATGACTGAAAGCGTGAAGAGTACGAATTGGACTGGGATTACTTGTGTAGCGTCGAAATGCTGTAGAGCTCTGTTGACATACTTGATCTGCATAACAGCAGTACCGATCAAGATGGCTAGAAGCAGGTAGAAGACTGGGAAGGTGATGACGCGCCAAAGGGTATAGGACAGTAAAGACGCAACACCTTTTGTCGAAAGTGCTGTGTATCCGCCTATATTCATGTTAGCATTCTGACCAGCAAATCCGTGGCAGGCGTAATTCCACATACCAAACAGCCCAACAAGTCCCAAATCAATCAAGATGTTCTTGTCCCCGTAACGATTGCTCGCCACCATGAGCACAGCCATCAATCCAACCGTAATACCAAGATACGTCTCAAACTCCCAAGTACTGATGAGTTTCCAAATCTCTCCCGGCCCCAATTTCGGATTGTTATCGCTCGCGCTGAGAACGACCGTGACCGCGCCTCCAACTGCAATAACCACGCCCAGCGCATCTCTCATCCGGAACGGCTCCTTGAGCATAAACGGCGCGATGATGCAATTCGAAATAAGCGCAACAACACCCAACGGCGACACAATTGACGCCGGCGCGAATCCATATGCAAGAAAGTTCCCCGCCTCGCCAACCGTCATGAGAATGATGCCCGCCCACCAATACGGACTCTTGAGGTAAGACTTCTGCTTATACGCCTCTTCCTCGCCGCCCTCGGAACTGCTGCTACTGTCCTCACTCCGTAACTCCGGGCGCTGCGCGATCAGCGGATCGAGTTCCGACGCGGCGGTGCTCGCCTTTGTCGCATCGTCCTCGAGCAATCTGGACCCGTTGATGCTTCTTTTCTTGCGCTGCCGCTCCTTCGCTTGCCATTCTCTGTCGAGCCGTATGTGCGCGTACCGCTGCATGTTCAGCGCAAAGGAAATCAGCACATTGCCGACTATCGCGGTGATGATGCCGATCAGACTGCTCCAGTTCTCGTCGTACCCGCCTTTCTTCTTGGATGTCCATGCTGGCCATGTGTCTGCATGGGCGGGTGTGCGCGTGCCAGTGGGGATATGCATCGTGGTCGGCGCCCTGGCGGGAGAGATTCGGCCCACTCGGGAATGCGGGATGAGGCGTGCTCGAAGGGGGGGGTATTACGAACGGCGAGATTGGACTGTTGAATAATTACGCGGACATGCTGGAAAGCAAGGGAAGAGACATTATGTACAAGACGGAAAAGACGAGGGCTGTGTGGCACCGCAAAGCAACTGGGTACTGTAATGCCGCAGGTCTGGCAGGGTTCGCTGATGTTTTCACATGACGACGAGGCGATCCGAGCTCGAGGTTACACGCTAGCCGTCACCATGCAGACTAGGACGCGCTACAAGGCCGGGTATCGTGGCGTACGCATGCGGACGAAATGTCACTAAGAAGATCTGAACGTATGGGAAATGACTAGAAATTGGACTGTTATACACTATTTGTTGAAGCTTGCTGCTACCTTTTCCATGCTCCACAAAGAAGTGAAAGCCATGCATCGCGCAGGATATACCTATTTGCCAAAAGCAGGCCCCTAATGAAACTCCATCTCCGCTGGTGACGGAAGCTTTGGATTTTCTTTTAGCCCATATGTTGTACAGGATGAAGAACCTAGATCTCAGTCATTTCCGACTCACCGTTAGTGCCGTTACCATCTGTCTCCATGGTCTCTGGTACGCCAGGCTCAGCAGCAAGTAGCTTGATCCTAGCCTCAACCGCTTCTTCACCGACAATTGCTTCTTCGACTGCCGCCTTACGGATGAAGACTGAATGCCAGCGCTTGCCCCAGGCACGGATGAGATTGACCTCCTCTTCGGTGAGCGCGCCGCTGGATTGCTTCTCAATCAGAACATCGGCTGAACCCTCCTCAACGCCACGGGTGGAGTCCTCGATGTACTTGAATAGCTCGCGAGCATTGTCGCGATCCTTGGCAAGTGTAGCCTCAACCATGGGAACCTGTTCATCGGGCAGACCCTTTTGAAGACGCGCCGAAGCGATCTGGCGGTTGCGGTTCGTGACCTTAGCCACGGTGTTTGACACCATTTCGAAGACCCAGCTCTCTGTAAGTGCTTCACCAGCGCCCATGTGGCTGCCAAATACCCATTGAACCACGGTCATCGGCGCAAGTATCGTATAATTGAGCAGAATGTCGATAATCCGGACGGCAACACCTGGCTGATCTTTCCAGTACTCGACGACACTGGCAACGATCTGGCGGCGCGCAACCTCGTTTTGCGAGATCTCTAGCAGGCGGTCCTTACCTCGCTCAATGCAAGAGAGCACGTGAGAGAGCGACTTGGCACCAAGACGGCAGATGGCGGTAACGAAGGCATCGGTAGAGGGAACCAGGACTTCAGCAATGCCCTGCTCCAATGCCTTCTCATGGATCTTGTCGATGGTGGCTTGCATGTCCTCTGCGGAGGCCTTCTTCCTGAGCTGAGCAAGCAGAGTCTGGCCCTCGGCAGCATAAGGTGTTTGCTGGTTGTCATACTTGAAATCCGGGCTGTTATCAGCATCAAGTCGCTCAGGGATCAGAGCATGCATTTGATCTGGCAAGGTAGACCGGATGCGCTTTGCGAAGGACAGACGCATCTCCTTGTCAAGTGCCGCAAGAATGAAAGCCTTTTGTGGGTGCAGGTTCGAAAGCTCAAGGTTGTCAAGCCTGTTATCTGATTAGTCCAGTTCTCTAATAAATAGGGGTTGTGCATACCATTCTGTCCACCTCCATCGGAACTCGAAATTGCTCAAGTGGTGGGAAAACCAGTCGAGGAATCGGTAGCCCAGTTCAAGATCTAGCATGGGCAGGCTCTTGTAGACTGTGCGGATAGCTCGTCCTAGTGAGGGCGCGATGGCAGCAGGTGCGACCTTGCAGCATTGTGTGATGAGTGAATGATAGTACACGAGTTTGTGTTCAGCACTGGGTAGCTTGAACAGCTGCGAAAAGATGGCGTCGATGACCATATCTTCCGGCTTGTACTGGATTTTGTCTCCTATGACATCTTTGAACTTGTCGAAGGGCGTTCCACGCTTAGCGAAGGTAGTTGGGGTGGAAGTAACAGTCGAGGTCCACCAGGAATTTGGCGACCATCTCGCGGTTGAAGTCGAGCTGATTGACAGTATCAACAATGGCATCGCGGATGAGTGATGAGGCAATTTCGGACGTCTTCGGGACCGTGGAACCCTCCTGGTCGGCGAAGAGCGAAAAGTAGGCCTCAGGAAAGATCGGCTTCAAGCCTGGGTTCACAGGTGAGGGGATGGTGAAAGCTGGGAATGCATGAGTTTGTGGCGCGGCTGGCATCGACTCGTCCTCTGCCTTCTCCTTCGTCCGCGACAGGGCATCCGCTTCGAAACGTGGCAGACAGGCAAGTTCGAAACCGTTCTCTGCTTCAGTTGATAGCTGTGCTTGCAGTAGACCGATAACGCTATGGTAACCCATGGGCTTCGCGTCCTCGTCGCCAACATATGAATGAATCAGGCCTTCGATGGGGACCATGTTGCCTGCTACGATGCCAGTGTTCTTCAGCAGCTGTTGTGCTTGTTCGTGGAAGCGGCTGCCACCAGAAACGATCGCATAGGGAATGGTGAGGAGGATGATCTTGACAAGCTCGATGCCAACAACCTAGAAGTGTTAGTCTGAGGGTGATTAAAAGAAGGTTCCTGTCTTACGTCGTTCTCATTCGCGCTCTGAAGATCAACCACAGTGTCGAACAGCTGACCCAGGAGCGTGAAGATGCCATCGTCCTCGAAGAGCGGCTGAAGACAGGCGAAGAACCTGAGGAATTGCTTGAACTCCTTCCACTCGCCAGCATTGAGGGCTTGCTGCGCACGTTCCGCAGACGACGTTTCATGGCCTCAATCGCAATCTCTGGCTTGACCTCGTTGCCGTAAAGTGCTACGGCGGCAACGAATGGGATCTTGAAGGGGCTGCTCGATGAGTAGCTGGGATCCAGACATCGAAGAAATCCGACCTGAGCCTCTCATCGTCAAAGTTCTCTGCAAAGATCTTTGCAATTTCGATGGGCCTCATCCTGTGGCAGCTTGGTGGAGCTCGCCAATGTTGAGCAGTAGCCGGCGGAGCTTGGGGAAGGGCGGCTCTTCGTAGCGGCGGCGTTGGTTGCCATCGTCGTGGCGACGACGCTGGGGTCCGCGACCGCGCTCCCGGCTGTAGTTGTCATCGCCATCTACTCACGTTAGTTTCGCGACCATCCAGGGCCATGCGGTCGCAAGCTTACCATCGCGCCGGCGCTTGTTCTGTCCTCCACCACGGTAACGATCTCCGTCGCGTCGGTCGTCGCGCTCCTCCTTCACATCTACGTCCGCCATAGCTGAAACAAAGATGGCTTCTCCCTGGTTGCGAGCGGTCTCCGGTGAAGGGTCTCGGTTCTGGCGATCGAAATCGTGGACGCGTCCAGCAACGGCGTCAAGGTCGCGGTAGGGCTTGGGCTTATAATAGTCGCCCTGTCGATGCGGATTGGAGCTACGGTAGTGATTGTTGCGTATAGAACGGGGCGCCCTGATGGGTCGTGGAGCTGTGTCGGAGAAGTCGAGGGTCCTTCGAGCTTGCTCGTCGAAGCTAGCGCTATTTGGGTGCTCTGGACGCACGGACGTTGGCTCTTTCCGCATCTCAACCTCCATCGGCTCATCATCAACCAGTGGAATTGCAGCCGCGCCATGCTGTGACATGTCAGGTCCACCCATCAATACCTGACCATCTGGAGCTACGAATTCACAGTCCATGCCCAGTCCAAGTAGATCTGCATAGCCATCACTGGCAGCATTACCTATACCGCTCATGGTAATGAGCGTTGTTATCTAACAACTCTAAGAGAAGTCGATCTGCTCAGTTGCCGTTACTTAAAGTTTGTGGTCGAGACCATGGAGAGAGGAGGTGTTATGTAGTTGAATAAACGCCCGAAACAGAGCACCAGCTGTCCAATCTCACACGGGTGAGTTTACGGAGCAGGTAATAGCAGAATCTCACCAGCATGGCTACAGGATACAAGATGGACTATGGGTGAGTTTGCGGCAAAGCTGCCGAAAAGTGGAGCATGGATGGACATCGTGTGCTCACCAGGTGCTAATGTTTGTCCGCCTAAAATCACAGTCAATTTTACATTTTGCTTTTCTTGCCAGACATTGGAATGAGATCACGACGGCATGATTTGGCCCTAGTCAGCGAAAAGCCGCATACATAGAGCAAATGTGGATACTACCTGGGGAGAAAAGAAAAGAATTATTGTCATAGGACCAAGGTGTCATGGTGTTGAGCTGAAGCAAAATTCCCGCGCCTGCGCACGATGACTCGATTCGTACACTACAGGATGCAACTTCTGGCGCATAGACGTCTCTCACTTTGGTTCTGACAAGGTCCGGTTATCCACTCATCTTACGCGTGTATTGTGCCAGTCCCCATATTTGCCCGGCATAAGATCGTCCACCAGAAGTACCATCACAATCCCACGCAGATGCAAATCCGTAAGCCTAAGCCGCAAACCAACGGCCTCGCGAGCTCATGCACCACCAACAAAAAGAATTTGAAATAGAAGAAACACTCGCGTTGCAGACCCGAATGGTAGCAAGCCATAGCATCCAGTGCTCGAGAAACGTCCCCGGGAATTTCATGAACCATGATGCTCGCGATTTTGTCCAGATCCTCGTTTCTTTCGTTTGAAACCATTTGTGCTCGCCGATCGTTAGAAGAGTGAACGAAAAAGAAAGGTTTTACGATGCCAGCTCCTTCACTGTCATAAGACAGAATAGCCACGGTCCGAAGGAGCAGTTATGCCAGGTCATTCTTTGATAATGTGAAAGTCGGTATCATTCAGACGCGCTCAATATGGCAGAGAAACGGGCGTACACGTGCTAGCATACACGTCCAAAACAATCGTTGCCCAACTCAGATTCCATTTGTAACTCTTCGGACGGAAAGCGGTGTGCTAGTGATCGGAGAGATTCAGGGATTCACGCCGCTCGGATAAAAGGTTTTGATTCGCGTGCTCGGCAGGGCGGCCTTAATCCAGCCTTGCCAGCATTTGATCCTTCGTTAATGGCTTGAAGTTCGGCGATTCGAAATCGAGACCACGGGAGGCCAATGCAGGGCGGATGTGTTGTGGAACCAGCTGCTGGTTGAGATGGGTCGCAATGGAAAGTTCTGAACGCATTAGAACCGTATCTGAAAATCACAATGTATTTACATACCATGGAGGGTGAAGTTGTAGAGTTCAGGCATGTCCCGTGTCGCTCCGTTGGGGTGTCGCGAGTCTGGCAGACGGGTGCTTGGATCCCTCAACTCGTCAAAGAAGGGGTGCACCATGGCGTCGATAGCTGACAACCTCTGAGTTGGTGTATACTCCAGGAGTTTCGAGATCAGATCGATCGCATTAGGGTCGGCCTTCCTGAATACCTGTACAATGTTAGCATAAATTACTGTGGGAGAAGAAAAGGTAGTCTTCGTACCTTACTGAACGGATGGGGCTTGATCTGGGGGAACTTGTGCTCCATGTAGTTCGGGTTCATGGTACGGATCTGGTCGCGAGTGGGCGTTCCGAGAACCTTGATGATTTCTACGAGCTGATCAATCCCAGACTCGCCAGGGAACAACGGCTGGCCGAGCATGAGTTCTGCCATGACACAGCCAGTTGACCACACATCTATTCGCACATATTAGCGGCCCATTCTGGAGCTAGAGAAAACAGAAACGTACCAATCTTGGTGGTGTAATTGGTCGCCCCAAAGATCAACTCAGGCGCACGGTAGTATCGCGAGCAAATGTACGACACGTTTGGCTCGTTCTCTACCAGAATTTTCGCGCTTCCAAAATCGCACAGCTTCAAGACGCCAGTCGATGGGTCCAGGAGGAGGTTTTGGGGCTTAATATCTCTGTGGCAGATGCCCTGTGAATGGATGTAGGCGAGCGAACGGAAAAGCTGGTAGATGTAGAGCTTGACTTCGAGGATGGGCATAACAGTCTTCATCTTGTTGAAGTAGCGCGATGCTCGGTAGACGGTTTCAGGGACATACTCAAGCACGAGGTTAAGATAGACTTCGTCCTTCTGTGGCTGAAACGTTTAGCTACTCGAATCGGAGGTTGAGGGTGCTTTTTGACACATACCCGCTCGCCGTTGTTGTAAAAGAAGGCCTTTAGCTCGACAATGTTTGGATGCCTGACGATGCGCATGATCTGCAATTCACGGTTCTACTGCGGATCAGCACACGGCAGTGGCATTCGGGTCACATGCGCAAACCAACCTTGAAGCGCTTGTCTTGTAGCACCCGCTTGATGGCGGCATCCTCTCCACTAGGTGAGAGCTTGGTCTGGAAGACGACACCGAACGAGCCGTTACCCACAATCTTGCATTGCGTGTACGCCAAATCCTTGTATTCTCCCGTCTGGCCGTCCTGGACCTTTTCGCGGATAACTTCTGCGCGGTTGTTAGTACGCGACAAGCACAGGGTTGCTTTGCGACTTACCGCCCATTCTGAGTGATGAGAAGGCCGATGGCCGGTTCTGGCTCATTGTTTGGGGGCCTGCAACGAGGGGGTGGTCCGGCAGTCACTGCGCGGATTGCTATCGCGAGAAAGGCGGGCTGTAGCTGAGGAGAGTATGGGCAGTGAGTCGAGAGTCGAGGAGGAGATCCGTGGTGGGCGGTAGGGTCGTAGGTGTGAGGTAAAGCGGAGATGAGGATGTGGTGCCGCGTGAGGTGCGAATGCCCAGATGACGTTGGGCGCGTGGCTGAGGCGGACGAGGCAGGTGCGGCTCGTCTCCAAGGCGGCAGACGTGAGAAGCGCAGAAGAAGGGGTATACGTCAAGCGGATGGTAATTGAAGACGAGGATATAGGGAAGTTGTTGTGGGTGCAGGAGGAAGGGCAATGTTGGGGTCTTGAGGGTGGCCTGCGGGGCAGAGAAGCGCGCTAATAAGATCGTTCACACCTTGCCCGTCACTTGACCTTTCGAGCTCGCTTTACGGAACGGGCGTCAGCCCAGCAGAAGCGCTTGGAGGAAATTGGTGGCGATGCGATCAAAGGACCTGCAGGAGGCCGGACGTAAATAACGGGCAGGTAATGGAGTGATTTCGCGTGGCTGCCGGCTGGTAGAGAGCAGCAGACGGTGCCTTCCCACTGCAACAACGTCACCGGGCGCGCCTGCCTGTAGCGCACACGGCAGGCGCTCAGGCGTTTGCTATAATGCTGGTAGGCGCGACCAGGGCACGACAAGAGCTGGGGAGCTTCACGTCTTCACACTGAATTACATGCCTCTCGAGCTTCACGCAGCCGCGCGGGCAAGACATGGGCGGCAGACGCATCTGGACCTCTCAGAGCCGCTTCATTTTCTGCTTATGCCGCGCTGCACTTGTGAAAAGGCATACAGCAGATGCAAGCCTCGCTGGTCCCATGCGGCGGCGTCACTTGAGACGAGGTCTGCACGTGAGCTGCGAATATCTTCCAAGCTCCAAATGAACAGGAGCCCAAAACCCACCCTGCACGCCGTCTCCGGCGCGTGGCTTGGTCAGTCTAGAGGACGGCTCCTCTCCAATCGCGGCACTTTGACATAATCATACCATACAACGAACCGCAGCAGCGGGAATTCTACCCAACCGTTTATCGCCGTCACCGCGCCCGGCTTCAATTTAGCATCGCAGATATGTTGCGATCGCCTCCGCCTGTGCTGGGTTCTACCATCACTCAATCCGCCGAATTTGGCATTGTGGCTCCGTGCGTACCAGCGGCCGGTGAATCTACAACTAGCGAGCATTCATGCACCGTGCAACATGCAGGTGCCTGTTTGCACGACAGCTCATCGATCGATACGTTCTCGCCATAGACCGAGTCTCGTATGTGTGGTGTGCTGTCATGTTGCTGCGAGTCCTCGCTAATTGTAGGGCTGATGGAGTCGGCTCCGCGCACGTATACAACGAGGTTGTGTTTTGCAGGGCCCGTGTATAGATCCAGCTCAAACTCGTCAATTTTAGCCTGTGATTGTTGTCCTGTTTGATCAGCATACTACACTTGAGAAACTACGACATGTATGCCACCTCCTTTGATGGCCGCATGCTACATGCGTCGTTCTCCACTTTAAATCAGCAGGTGATCTCTCTGCTCTCGAGACCCTGGTCTGCATAGGAACCTACATGCAGCAAGAAAACAGCCTCCAGCGGTACCTGTCTACACAGCACAGCCAATATTTCCATTGCACTCCCGTGATAGCGAGTCGACTACGAGCACTGCTCTTGTGAAAGTTCGCGTTGAGCATCCCCGCCCGTTCATGGGCTGCACTGGACCATGATAGTCGCGCTAGCTCCTCGACAACCAACCATGGAGCACGGCTGACGAGTGTTGCACAGAGAATTCAGACAAGCCTTTAGCCCGAATCGAGTCGAGCGTGCAGGAACAGACATGTTCAGTGCAGGCCACTCATGATGCTGGTCAATTTTCCCCTCTCCATTTCGAATCGGCCATGACTTCACTTTTCTAGGTTCCCATGTTACAGCACGTGCAATTGCGCCAGAGACGTCCAATTGAGCTGGGATGTACGACACCTGTGTCAAGCCTTCAGCAGCAGGCTGCAGGCGGCTCACTGAGGACAAAGCTGAAGTGCATATCGAATCCCCAACACTGTGTGCACAGCCGAGCGGAGCAGCTTTCCTACCGACTACTGATCCCTGGAGTGTTTGGCACTACGTCAACGTGCAGATTCGCTAGCGGCTGCATCGGCCAATTGAACATCGGTAAGCATATCACGTGACTGACACTCCACTCTTGCTCAAGCTTGCTGCAGCATACGGCATTTTCATCCTCCGATCTCTCTACAACTACGACGGTACCCTGGCTCAGCCTACGTAAATGACTAGCCGTCTCCAATGTAGGTACGCTTTACGCATGCTACAAGGGATCTATTCATGATGCCGAGAAGTTCTGGCATAGAATGTTGATTTTCGAGCCAGTTCGATGCAGGGGGTCTATTCTCTACAGCGACAGTACTAAATGCATTGACTATACGTCATCGAGAGTATATGACTTACTTAAGCCTACCAGCCGTCTACACTTGTTGATCAAGGCCACAGGCATTTCATGGTGTAGGTCATCTAAATACCACGGATCTTCCCGCCTTGTCTTAGATCTGGTGGCGGAGAGTTGTACAGTGGTACGACACGGGCGTTCACAGCATGCACAAAGTCATCGAATCGTTCAAATCTGGCTGCATATTTGATTCGTCCGAGCCCGAGAATTCCTGAGCAACATGCATACCAACAGCCTTGTCAAGCACTCGCCTGTTCCAGCCATGCTGCACGACCAATCTACCGAGTACGAAATGCTGTTCAACCCCAAGATCTACCACAATCGGAAATTCCTGGTACCAAGGGAAGTCTTGCAGTCGGAAACTCTACCAGCCCGAAGATGGCACGCCGTGCACTCCAGGCACTATATGCATTGGAACGTAAGCGATACGACGGTACGACTGTCGATGCTCGGTAACCGACATCGGCCGCAACACTCGAAGTGCCTATTCACATGTGTCAAAGTCGAGACCCTTAGCGAGACAAGTGGATGATATACCAAGGTATGGGTAGACCACTAAGCCGGTAGTGGTATACGCCACAGCTCATGCTCGCTCCATTTCCGAGCATGTTACTTTGTACACTTACGTGAGCGGGGCCGGCGAGAACATGTTCAGTACGACCAGTGGATAAGAACGTTCTTCTAGAATCCCATCTTTCACAGACTGGTGATGGGCATTGTACTGCAATACCATCACCAAACCAAACGAGCAAAAAGCCCCTGGACAACCTGTGTGCAAGACTACCCCACGCTGCACGCAGCCGATGTCGTGGCTGAACGTTACCTATACTGTCTCACCAATTCCAAGATTTCGCCAAATCCGACGCCGCTTACCCGTAAGCCACCATTGAAGATCATGTACAGGTGCTCAACAGTATCACAGTGTCACGTTCCGATAATGAGGCTCAATATCAGCTCATGTACGTTGATCAATTGAGAATTTCTCTCGTGTAGCTGTACTCTCGCAACAGTTGTTCCATGCCACGATGATCGGACTTCACGTGTGCACTGTCCGTCAATCACTCTCCTAAAATTGTGAGTCTTATATCAAGACGCATCGATATTTCCACTTTAAAATTTATTGCACCTAGATCACAGCTTACGCTTTGAAGTAAATTACTCCGTTACTTGGTTGTTGGTTGATGTACAGCCACACAGCAGGTTTGATCAATTTCAAGAGCCTGTCAGCAGGAACGCGCATAAACACCACTCACCGATCAGGGCACTACAGCATCTTGCAGTTGTATGATATACCGGGATGCTCATATGAGCTGAATGAGCATGCGCTTGCACAACAGTGGCGGTGAAGGCTCAACAATTCATGCGTTCTGGGTACTCAGACATTACATCATGGTCACACGAGCCCGAAATTTTCACATTTTCAAATCGCATCCGGATCTTCTAAGCGAGCCTTCAACGTCTATGATGGTTCTATGCGAGGCTCAAGCACGTTCACATCATGGTACGCTAAGTTACTGCTCCGGATCATCCCGTCGCATTCTCGGATAGAGGCCCGGCCCCTCAACAATGCCATCATACTCCTACCCGCTTCGAAAGGACAACTCCGACGAATTGTAGCCTTGTACTCCCGAGAAATGCGTCGATACCAATTGCGATAGGCGGGACCGAGGACCCGGCAGTGTAAGCATTAGCATCACCCAGCCAACCCAAAGGCAGAAGCAGAAACATATCACCCAACGACCCCAATCTCACAAGCCGCTGAGACTTCCGTCGCTCAACCTAAAGATCGCCTGATTGCCACAGTCTCACCGTCCAGCTTCACATTCCTACACCGGCGTCCTTAACAAAGTACAATCATCATCCTGACAGAACGCCTACCAAACTCCCCCAACATTTGTGCCTGACTAAACGGCACCGCCGTAGCGCATCTAAGCTCGCCGAGCGTGTTCGCATTCCATTCGTCGGCGTCGGCGAATGAGCGTGTGGCAGATGACCTTTCGAGTTTTCTGTCGCCAAAGTTTCCTCGGGCCTGGACCTCCGACGTGGCAAAGGTACAATTTGGCGCGAGGGGAAGGTAAATTGCATGTGAACTGGAGCGGGAAGGGGTGTGGATTGGGCGAGGTATTCAGGGGAGATACAGTTTCAATCGTTGTTCCAAGTAAGGCAGACTTTTCACTCTTGTGACTGCTTCGAGGAGGTCTTCAATGTGACGGGAACCAACAACGTCGAGAATATTGGTGGCCATGTCAAAATAGAGCTTGAGTGATGCAACATAAAGCTACGAATGAAAGTGCAGTCACCCCTGACCTTAGATCACCTACATATTTCCACAGAAGGGCTCCTATTGTGGCTGGCCGCGCGAGAAAAGAATGACGTGCATTGCAATACCTGCTGGACAGTAGTTTGTCGCCCCGTGCTGCAAGGAGTGTGACTTTTAGAGGAAGAATCACTTCATACATGACATTCACATGCGTTCAATACGTGGATTCACATTCAGGTTCATGATCGAAGGTCTTGCATTTTCCTTCAGCTTCGTATGACAGTGTAAAACATGATTAGTCGTGTTTTCCACTTCTTTGAAGCACAGAAGTTGAAGACATCGAAAAACGCGGGATAGTCTTATACTCTGCAGTGACCCTGGATTGAGTCTCAGATCTTTGTAAAGTGCTACCTGCTATTCTTGCTCTTCGGTGACATACTTTTCCCGATCAAATGTCCCATTTTCACTCAGCAAGTCCGTACCCCCAGGTGATTGCCCCGACTCACGCAGGGGAACTGGTCCAGGATGATCACTGGAAATGGTGTTCTGTTCCTCCGCTACGCCTTGAGAAAGTGGCGGTAATTGTGAGGTATTAATAGCGAACGGCTCATCGTCTTGGTTCGCATGAGTCGCAAAACTCTGCGTTGGCATTGAGTCAGTAGTGCGCTGTCCCTGGCCAACTTGTTCTCGAATCTGGCCTGATAGCTGAGGATCAATATTGTCATCAATCTGAGACTCGTGATTTTGGTCCACCGGCGCATTGTTGTTGTTCGTGTCGAGCGTGGTTCCTTGTGTTTGGGGTGTTGCAAGTCCACTAGAGGTCCCGTACAAGTGAAGAGTATTTTCCGAAGGTGTTACTGAAGACGAAGACACTCGCACCTCTCCAGCAGCGACATCCTGGGTACTCATACTAGGTCTGTGGTTTCGAGATTCAAACGCGGCTTTCACATCGGCCATCCAATGCTGCGGCAGACCCAACTCTTGCAATTGAGCAGTGACATGTCGTTGCATTGCGGCCTCTGCCAAGGTTATTATGTCTTCCGGGTCTTTGAAGAGTCAGCATAGAGTCTATTAGATTCATTAGGTGTACGAACTTGCGTTTTCAGGCAACGGATGGCCTCGGAATATCTGGTCATAGATTTGCATCCAATAGTCTTGTACTGAGACTTTGACCTTTTTCTTGCGCTTGAGCCATTCCTGGGCGTCACGATCTACTCCCTTGAATTGCACTGGCGGATTTGCCTCTTGACAAGATAATTTGAGCAAATGTGTATCACGGTCTTTGCTGGGGGTGTTGCCGTCGAACGAACACCCACATCTAGGGCAATGGTATGGCACGTAATGTTTGTGAATCAAGTGATCCCTGACCACTCTTGTCAGTATATATGCGACTCGTTGAGATACTCAAATCTTACTTCAATCGATGTGGATTTGCCCAGCCTTTCATACAGCACTCTGTATGACTCCGGGGGTCGTGTTTGGCGAATGGACATGCAAGCAAGCATGCAGTTGCTTCATCATCCAATCGCCTTCGTTTTGGCTCTCGTTTGTTGCTTTCGTCGTTGTCGTCGTCATCGTCGTCATCATCGTCTCTTTGGTTTTCCTCCTCTTCGGGTGGCCCTTTTCCCTTTCTTGAATAAGTGTCTGATCTCTGAGGTCGCTTTCCCTTATCACGGACCCTTTCAGATCTAGGCGTGGTTGAGCTATTCGCATGATGACGAAAAGTTCGGCTATCCAGCCACTTGATGACAATTGTGCTACCAGCCTCTGGTGCTAAGTGTCGCAGTGAACTATGAGCGGTAGGTAACCCAGTAGAAAATTGTGCTACACGGTCCGACATGGAACTTGAATCATCGTCACCTGTGTATGAGGAGTATTCAGACTCAGTAGGCGTGCTGCATTCGAGGGCTGCATGCCCAACAGATGTCTGGTCATCGTTCTTCCCAGTACCCATAGCTATGGCAAGCTTGTCTAATGATCTCGGATGGCTACCTTCGGAAGTCCTGTCAAACACTGAGGATCCAGTGCTTTGTTCAATTTTCGGTGCTCCGTTTGTATCTCTACTGAGCAAGGTGCCAGTGGTAGTGTTGATTTGTATTCGGTGATGTTCTTCTGGGTAAATGGCAGGCAAGCCAGAACACTCTTTCTCAATCGAGCGCCCATGATCACCGCTGACCAGATTGTGAGCAACGACTGGAAATTCTGGTTCTGGAGTATGAGTTGTACTGCGGCTTGCTTTCCGTTGAGATGATTCTCTATCTTCTCGTAACAATGGGCTCCCTCTCCTCTTGTGTTGTACATCTTTGCATATGTCCTAGTGACGGCATCAGTCGGTTCTATCACCAAATAGAGCACTGACCTGTTTTCCAGAAGCAATGCACCGGCCACACGGGCGCTGTGTATCACAACTAAGATGTGCCTTTTTACAGCAAACGCAGGCAGGTGCTGCTTTGGCCCTTGCTCGCTTACTATGCTCCAAAGCTAGTGGTTTGATTGCTGTCGGCATTGTAGTCGGCGTGTGGGCGGGGGTGGGTGAGATGTCTCCCGTCTCCCTTGGCGTATTGTCCAGCTTATGCGCAGCTTGAAATATAGGCAGCATAAGGCGAGGCTTCCCAGGTGTGAGGAGTGCCAGACTTTGAATAGTACTGGATCCTATGATGACATCAAACATAGTGCTGTCAACTACGTGGAAAGCTGCCATTTCGTATCGCTGTAAACCGGCACCTACCCAGCGGCCGTGCAACGTGCCTTTTTCGTAGAACAGAGCACCTGTAATGCTTTTGCCGAGTACTCGAGTCTCATCAGAGTCGAACGAAAATTTGAAACTGTTTCCCAGGAATGCGCTCGATATCAGATCATGCTCACATTGAGTGTCAAACAAGATCAAAGCGCTCCGCACTATTTCTTCGCCACCTTGTGTAATGGCCACTCTTCCAGTTTCAGTGAACATAGATGAATCTGTTCCAATGAGTCTCCTTGCAACGACTGTCTTGCGTTTGTCCCATGCGAGGCTCATCAAGTCCCTGGCTCGTGTAAGCCATCGACTTTGCATGCGATGCTCAATGCCGGGCAAGGTGATGGCGCCATGTTCGGTTTCCCGCTCTATTATGTGTGATGCGACGCTTGCTCCTCTTTCCTCTCCTATTATGTGCGATGCGATGCTTGCTTCTCCTTCATGCCCTACGGTATGCGATGCGATGCCTGCTTCTCTTTCCTGCCCTGCGGTGTGCGATGCGTCGCTTGCTTCGCTTCCAAAGTAGCCAGAGTCTGGCTGAGAGACTGTATCATCGCTGATTCGGGAAACGTAGTCAGGAGACTCGAGCTCAACCTCGTCATGGCTTTGTTGCCTTGGGCGCCGGATCCTATGGACTTTCTCCTTGAATGCGCTAGCTTTCTTCTTGAATGCGCCAGCCTTAGCGCGATACGGAAAGTTGGCCACGTTGATGTTGTTCATGTTGATGCCATTTATCTTTAGAAGTGTCGTCAGCCATACATGTTTGATCAAGATGGTTTCAAACGTCATGGTAGCCTGGTAACGCGCGCCATTCTGGCTAACGCGCGATTCACGCGTTCGCTTATTCTTGCCTTGATATCCTGAACGCGTATATCATGCGTTTCCAGATCTCACTTCATCGCTATACTGAGAGAAGTTCCTGGAGTATGCAAATCTTCACAACTGAGACTCCTCTAATTGTGGCAAACTTTGTTTTCAGGGAGTCCTAACATACAGTCGCCGCTGTAGAGCTTCATGCGCAGCGTTGAAAGCAATGCGCCCAACATCTTTCTGCGCACCACAATTATGTGTCAACAGCATAAAATGTTTTCAGAGGCATAGGACTTTTGAAACTTATCCTGCACATCTCTAGCTTTGCGAGTTGTCCCTCCCATTCACTTCAACTCGAAATGGCATCTGGACAGAATGGCCAACACTCGAGGCAAAAGCCAGTCTTCATCCTGGTCCGGTACTGTACAGGCTCTTTCAGAATACAGAAGCTCATTGCTCCGCCGGCCCCGAATACAGCAGATATCCTTCGAGGCCTTCGAGACCTCTACGGCGGGGAGTCCGCGCATGGACATAGATTGTCAGAACAGATCTGGCAGATGGTGATCATGCATCGCCTGGTAATCGGAAAAGTCCAGGTGCTTGGGGTATTAGCAACAAGCTCCATAAAAATCTATCACGAGTTGACTGCAATCCAGGTCACTGACGTTGAGGGCCGGATTGTTCCCAACGAACATATCCACAAGATCAGCACGGACGTCATGCTCACGAAGCTCGTTCGTAGTATCAGCGTATCTCCTCCGCAAGTCGAATTCCTCTTGGCTCGACTTGCAGACGTCACGCACAAGAACCGCCCTGGATATGCATGCGCCTGGTGCTTCTATTATGAGTTGGACAAGACGGCCGCGGTTGTGTGGGTCTCCATGGTCATGCTGGTCGCTCTGACCGTCGGTCTGGGTGTCGGGTTCGGCACCGGGGATGGGAAGTTGGGACTTGGTGTTGGAACAGGTCTGCTCGCGGCGTACATGCCAATCCATGGTGCCCTTCTCTTCAGGTTTAGCTAGAGCCAATTTCAACTCTATACTGTATCTCATCAGTTCCACGAAACAATGAATCGAGCTCTCAAAAACGAATTCAGAAGCTTTGTGGTGTCCTCCGTGCCCCTAGGTTCTCATCCAAAGACCGTAGTGCATGTAAGTTTCGCCTATAAGGTGAGCAATCTAAATACGACACCATACCTGGGGAGCTGCATCGCCTCCTATGCGCTGAACTAGAGCATTCCCTGCAAGTTACGTTGGAATAGTGGACGACAACATCTCTTAACACCATATCTCCTTCCATATAGATGCTGCAATGTCGTCGTCAGGCTTGAAGAACGTGAGAGCTCGGCAGAGTAACTTCCCAGGTAAAGCGCTCCGCAGCATTGGCATAAGAGCGCGTCATTTGGAGATAGTACTACACACATATGTGGACAAGATGTGTATGCGATGTGCCGTAACAACGAACGTACAATGTTCTCGAGATCGTCTCGTGGAAAGCATGGCTGGCCATAGCACACGCTACCCCCTAGCTTCGGCACCATACTTCGGGGTACCTCGGGGTACTTCGGTCACACCTACATAGCTTGGCGTGCAGTTATAAGCTACAGCGCAACACTACCTACGAAGTGTCAATTGGTCACAATCCTGGAAAGTTTTCTAATTTGTGCCCAATTGCAGTCTGCCAGTACCTAGGTAAGAATCCATTACTATTCCGGTCTCCTTGTTCTTCACCTACCTAAGTAGGTAGCTTAGGAATGCGATTGACACTGTTATTTTAGGATCTTAGAAGTTTTCGAAATCATCGAACACGGTCCAAAGATTGACTCAAGGTATGTAGTAAAGGACTTGACCAAGATTCGCGGACTCCAAGAAACACACTTGAAAGTGTGCCGAACGTACAAATGACACAAGAAGATAACGTGCACAGGCCCAGGGTGGACTACTTACGATGCTTCTCTTGTTGGGGATATGTTATTGAGACATCTAGACTTTTACAAATGACTGATCTTGGATGGCAACTACAGCGCCCAGGAGACAACCTGACTGACTTCGTTTAGCACGATTGTACTGTCTCACGCATCGAACGACTGTGTGCACAGTCTTATAGCTCAAAGCAAATCTTGTGCAAGCCAAGCTGAGTGAAAAGCCAGTATCGTGGTTCCGGTACTTTTGGGTAACGAGACTTCGTGATGCGCCATGCTTCCACTTATCTTCTTGAAGCCGTTGTTGCGATGAGTTCTATATGCGACATTCGACTCTGAGACATGCTCAGAACAGTGCTATATCAGCAAAGGACGCTCCTCTTCCAAGGCACCACCCCTTCGACAAATCAAGAAGGATAACCGGCTTGCAGTAAGGGGCTATGACTTACACATCGGCTTGAAGCGAAGAGGCACGACTCAGTGAGACTGTCGGAACGCAACATCCGGAATCCTTTCGAATTGCCGAATTATAGGCCCAATTATCTCGAGCGCCAAAACGTCTGGCGTTGTCAAGATAGGATAAAGTTGGCGATCTTTAACCCAAACTAACCCCCGCATAACCGTCCCCGCACGCGAGACGGGTTCCATCCCTGCCACTTCGCTGGTCGTGATGCAGCTCCCCACATTTTAGCCCAATGTCGCTCCCCCAACTTTTGTAGATGCTCGTTGCCTTGCGAACATCATAAGCTTCAATGTTTGCCTTGAGCGTCTCTTACATCTTCATCTACTTACTTCACCCTTAAATCTTGGCGCGACTATGCCTTTAGGTATATTAGACGACAACAAACTCGAGCATGTTCCTGGAACAGCACCTTTGAGTGAGCTGGGCAGGACTGATCTTGAGGTTGCGGCTTCTGGTGTTGATCGTGGTCTGCTGAAGCACGACAAGACTGGTGAAATCGTTCTCGTTCCTCAACCCTCAGACTCACCAAATGATCCATACAACTGGCCAAGATGGAAGAAGGAGATGTTCACGGTCGTGATCGCGTATGGATGTGGATGCGTCGGAGCTGTTGGACCTTTGTTGACGCCAGCTTTCGTGCCGCTGGCTGATCAGTTCGGCGTACCACTTCAGCGCTTCACTCTAGGTTGTAATGGATCTTGCATCGTTGCCATTGCTGCAGGAAGTCTTATTTGCAACGCGATGGCCGTGAAGGTTGGCAAGAGACCAGTCTACATTGTCACCACTATTGGGTTGGCAGTCTCCTGCTTCTGGGCCGCTGAAGTCAAGAGCTTCGGGTCACTGGCCGCAGCAAGAACTATTCAGGGCTTGTGTATGGCACCTTTTGAGGCTTTGATCCCAGCTTCGGTAGCAGACATTTGGCATGTCCACGAGCGTGGTTTCCGCATGGCAATTTTCAATCTCGGCGTGCTTGGTGGCATCAATCTCGCTGGACCAATTGGTAAGTACCTTCTCTGAAAAACTTTGACTCAATTACTAACATGTCCTAGCTGGCTCAGTTATCCAAGAAGGCTCTTATCGCATCGCTATGCACGCGATGGGTGGCGCTACGATGGTTATGCTTCTCCTCGTCATCTTCTTCATGCCTGAATCCGCCTTCGCACGGCGCGGCGCACTCAACATCGACACCAGCGACAAAACTCTTGACATCGGAAAGTCTGAAAAAGAGAATGTCGAAAACATTGAGGAACAACATGCCATTAGCGTGTCTTCGGAACCCAAATGGTCCTACACAAAGGAACTTCTGCCATGGGCTGGCTACTGGGATCATGTATCCTTCTGGAGGACACTGCTGCGCCCTTTCTTCATGATCGTATCTCCAATCGTTATGTGGGCGACACTGCTGTTCACAATTTGCATCTCCTGGCTGGTTTTGATCTCCATCACGCTGTCGCAGATCTTCTCGGCACCTCCATACAACTTCTCTGTTAGCGCAGTCGGCGCTACCAATGTATCGTCATTTGTCGCATCCGTGCTAGCGACGCTGGTAGCAGGATACATCATTGATGGCGTCGCCAGATACATGTCGACGCGCAACAATGGTGTCTTTGGTAAGTAAGCCTAAACTTCAACACCGAGTTTTCACTGACGATATTAGAACCCGAGTTCCGTCTCCCTATCATGATTACCTACCTCATCTTCACTGCGACCGGATTCTTTGCCTGGGGCCAGTCCCTGTACCACCAAGACCCGTGGCCCATCCCCGTCATCGTCTGCATGGGCCTGATCAACCTCGGGGTTCAACTCGGCACCACATCTGTAGTCACATACGTGAGCGACTGCCATCGCGAGCAATCTGCCGAAGCTTTCGCCATCATGAACTTCATCAAGAACATGTTTGCCTTCGGACTAACATTTTACGCGAACGACTGGCTAGCCACACAAGGTGTTAGGGATGCGTTTTATGTCATCGGCGGAACGACCTTTGCGGTGACTTTGACGACTATTCCGATGTACATATATGGCAAGAAGGCTAGGAGCTGGGTGCATAGGTCTAGGGTTCTCGATAGGGTGTTAAAGAAGGTGTAAGAAGCGATCAACCAAACGTGGTAATGACGCTACCGACTCAGGAGCACGATACCGAGTTAAATAAACTCCCAAGGATCCTTCTTGTAGTTTGAGTGCTTCCAGTCTGCAGTAATTGAAGTTGAAAGTTCACTTAAGTTATGGCAATACCTGGACGCGACTCATTGATGCATCTAGTTGTAGGATACTGTCTATGCTGACGACACTGTGAGTTACATGAGTTGCGTGACTAGTTCAGCCGCTATGTCAACCAGAGGTCCGCGTGTTTGTGTGATGTAAGCTACGAGCGATCATGGCACTGGTCAAAGCTAAACTCGAGTAGTCACTGCCAGTCAGAACTGATTGTGACTCAGACAAGAACTGAAATATAAGTGAAATTCGCATCACGATGTACAGTCACGTAAATTCTCTTCTACTTTGCAACGGAGAAATCGCCTTCTTGTTTGATTTGATGTTTGTGAAAACGATTGAGGTGCTACAAGACTGAAAAGGTTTCAGAACAACTGGAGGCAGATGAGAGGGCTTACTTGGAGCACATAAGTAGTAGCATCTCATACGCATTTACATTAGATCGGTATGTTCTGATTTCAAGTGTCATTTAATCCTACAAGTACGAGTATCATGAATCTGCAGCCTCGGACTCAGTATCTGCCCACTGACTGTCATCATCCGATCCACGCCCCTCATTCCCCGTAACGTTCGCTGACTGACCTGTGGCCGCCTCCCCGCTAGGTTTGACGCTGCCATCAGCATTTTCCTCCAGTTCCAATTTACAGTTGTTACACTTGAGTTGCTCACCGGAGCTGAAGGAATGCCAATAATTGATTGTGCTGCAGCTGGGACACGTGAACCAATCTCGAGACCGGTCCAAAATGCTGCTCATTTTCATCGACGCATCACCTAGTCCTTTCTCTTCCTTCTCACCATACCCACTGTTTCGGCGGAAAAGATCTCCAGCTTCCACTGTGCTTTTGCTGGGCGATGCTAGAACAGGCGCATCCGTCTTGTGAGATTCGGCATTCACATTGGGTACCTCTCCTCGTCTGTCTTGAAGAGATTGGGTGAGTTGGCTAGTGTTCGATGCGCTATATTTTCATGTAAGCGAACAATCATTTGAGAATTATGACAATTTGGCCTACGCGTTCCTATGGGCAATTTCTGCGCCTGTAAGCTTTCCAAACTCGCCAGTTGTGGAAGTTTCCTCGGCATTCTGTGGTGCGCTCATGTTGATCAAAAGTTGATTTATTGGTGTGATTGTTTAAGATGTTCTAGTAAGTAGTATCGTTGCTTGATGGTTTGCTGTGTATAGTGCAATCTACAAAAGCCTTGAGAGCCAGCTTTTTATATTCACCTACATGACTGTACCGCCGTGACACCTGACTGGACTATGACTTTTACGCAGCAATTGCGAGTTGGTGTTGAGTCTTTCTTGACACGTTTAGCTTTCCAAGTCATACAGCAGGCATCCTCCGGTTCTGAAGTTGTACACAAAAGCCTTGCCACCCTCACCACTTCCCCTGCCTTCTTCGTTCTTCATCTCGTTCCATCGCGCTCTGTATCCGAGTAGCAGATCATGAAGCTCCTGGAGGTACTTTCTCTCAGCGATTGGCATCTTCTGAATCGCTTGGCGCCAGGAATCGGGGTCACTCAACCTTGTCTCGCGAATCAGATTCATGACCTCTTCCTTAGTCTCGATAGCTGCGATGGGCGCAGAGTTGAAGGACGAGAGGAGCTCTGAAGACCGAGTTTGTGCGGCTTCAACGATGGACCACTTGTTCGACTTCTTGGAGCGGTGTTGTGCCATCAGGACATCGACGTTGTTCTTGGCGGATGCTGGTGCGGAAGAGCTTGCAGTAGGTACGGCTTTAGTGAGACGCTGTGCGGCGCTACCTTCACGGGCCTCGCGGTCTCGGAGCTCGTTACGAAGGTAGTTCAACAAATCGCCAGTGCGAAGATCTGTGTCTTCCTTCTTTCCTATAGACTTAACCTTGAGTTCTGGCTTGTCTGGTGCAAGACCATGCTTAATGACAATGACCCAACTGTGTCTGTCGTCTCTATAGTGGCGGAGTATGTCTTCGACCGAGTGGGCATCTACGGCAAGCTCTGCAGTGTAGCCATGCGCAATGAGCTCAGCCACCAGCTTGACGCCAGCCGAACGAAGCACGTTGGAGTCAAAACTAGCCACTAGGCAGTCACAGCGTCGTGGCATCCATGACACTATTGGTGTGTCTTCGTCGGCGTGCTTCTTCAAAAATGTCGACTTTTCTGGCTTTTTGAGGTAGCGCGTCATGGCGTTTACAAGTCTGTCCCAGCCAAGATTGACACCAACAGCATGGTAGCTCGAGGTTGAATGAGCGTGACCTGGTCCCTTCGGTCGATACTCGTCAATCAATTTATCGTATCGCCCACCAGCAGCTAGTACCTCGCGCTGCTTCGTATCAAACAAGCATTGGAACATGATTCCGCCAGCATAGAACTTTTCGTTGAAGCTACCCAGGACGCTGACATAGACTTTTCGCTTCACGTTCCATAGCTTGGTGTAGCCAACCACAGATTTCAAATGTGCGAAGATTGCGTGTGTTCGATCAAGGTACTTGGTGCCCTCAAAAATGCGTCTCAGTTTAGAGAATGCTTTTTCTGGTGAATCTCTCCAGTCGAAGCGAGCAAGATCGTCCAGTGATGTGGAGGATATGCCGACATCCGAAGACCGCAGTAAGTTCCGTATCACTTGCCAAGTATTCTTTCCAGTGTTCAACCTGCTTAGTACCGTCTTTACAAGTGGACGTTGCGGGGCGCTAATACGAGAAAAGTCCATTACGATGTCCAGAAGGTCTGCATGGTTGAGGTGGAAGCACATCTGTGTAGAGCCAAATGCAGGGAACTCGTCAATGATGTCGTCGACAACCTTTAGAACTTCAGCTTCCTTTAGAGCAAGATCCAGTGTATCGTAGGACAAGATGTCAAAGTCTGCCTCGCCATTACTGCGAGGTGCACCCCCGGAATAACTGTCTCGGTACACTTGGCCGATTGTGAACGTCTTCTCGAGGAATGGTGCGCCACGACCGATGCTTCGAGCATACGGCAGAGTCAGATCGTACGGGAGCTGAACAAGGGTTCCAGAAGGATCGAAGAGTTTGACAGCATTGGTGTTGGCGTAATGATCTGACCAGGGTAGAAGGGGCTGGCGCTGGATCTCAACAGCACCATGGCTACGGAAAACCATAGCCAGCCTGTCCCTGACCAGGTTCTGCAACAGTATGTCGTTTGCCTTGATGGTGTTGGCTGCGACGCCCATGTCCCATGCATAATCCCGGGCCTGCGTGTCCGGCTGTTGAGAGAAAAGAGCAGCCATCATCTTCGTGTAGTGTGGGGAGTTGCGATCAGACAGTGCTTTGAGTGCTTCTTTGACAGCCTCGTCTTCGATCTGTAGGGGAACCTTTCCAGTCCGCAGTAGCTCACCACAACTCGGTCGTTCGGATGGTCGATGACTGATCAAGGACTCAATGATGCTACCCTGTAATGACTTCTCTGGTGTCTGGAACTCCGCAGGCAGATCGTGCTTTCGTTCTCTCAAGGAACGAATGGTCCTATCTCGTTCCATCGCTGTTGTCAAAGGGAAGCACATCTCGAAAAAGATGATGCCCATGGAGTACATGTCCACCTTGTCGCTGTAGCTGCCGGTCATGTTGGAGCTGAGCTCTGGCGCCACATACAGCGCAGTACCCACACTTCGAGTCATGTCGCCATCCTGGATTCCTGCGGATGCCTTCTTGTCTGGTCTCTGGTACTGACCACTGGTAGCGAGCCCAAAATCACCAATCTTAGGGATTTTCGCCACATCGATGAATATGTTGTCTGGTTTGAGGTCACGATGTATGATACCAAGTGCATGAATGTGCGCAAGGCCTTCTAACATCTGTCGAAATAACCTCCAGTACTCCTCCGGCTCGTCATAAAGACCTCTCCGGATAAGATCTCGTAACGTCTGCTTTTCGCAGAATTCCATTTGAATGTATAGAATTGATCTCGTTGATCGATGGTGGTGTGAATTAGACAGTGTGCGCCTCTTCACCATGGGAGATCGAGGTCCTACACTTGCGGTACCAGTATCATCTTCTAGTTGCAATTAGCCTTCCTGTTCCACGACTTTAGCAATTATATATACGTACCAGAGTCAGAGCCAAATATGACCGCATCATCGTCCTCGTCTGAGCCTGCATCCGAACCAAATTCTATCTTGGGGTAGCCACTAGAGCTGATGAAGTCTAAGCCTGAAGTACTTGTACTGAAAGCCATACCGTTTGCGCTGCTGTCCGAGCCATCTGATTCGCTTCCAGATTCATCACTGTTCAAGGTTATGGATTCATCATCGCCCGCCTCAGGCATGCCAAGCGTATCTTCTTCCGGCCAAGCGGTGTAATAGCGCACCACACAGGGGTGATTGAGTTGTGACAACAGCATCACCTCGGAGAGTACGTTGCTAAGCGCGGCTGCCGACTTTTGCTTGATTTTCTTGATCGCATAAGTCCGTCCATCGACCTTGTTGCGTGCCTTCACCACCACGCCATAACCACCTTTCCCTAGTCGGCCTTGCTCAACCCAGTCAGTGGCATATCGCGAGTAAGACCCTCCGACCCCGGAAGAAGACTCTCGCCGAAGTTTGAAGCGACTCAAAGAAGTGGAGGAGTGTCGAGATCGTATCGGCGACGGGGGTCGGTCGTAAATCGGAACATCGTCCCGCAGAAATTCACATGGGATGAGATCGAAAGCAGACGGCCGTTTCTTCGGGTCAGGTTTGAAGAACTTCCTCATGATCTCCTGGAGTGGGTCGGAGCACCCTAGGCTTTCCGACAGATCCTTCGGCGAGTTGTACTTCTGAGGCACATCAAGTCCGAATAGCATTTGCAAGAAGACTACTCCGAGATCCCACACATCCGTCTTTCGTGTGCGACGCGCATCCTGTGCTAGCTCTGCGGCGATCCAGAAGGCTGATCTGGACGTAGTGGAAGCTGGCTCGCCCCTACATAGATTTTGCATAACATGCAGGCTGTCCTGGAAACCTGCATCTGCCAAACTGACCGAGATGCTGCCAGTAGTAGATTTTTTGAAAAGAATATTGCGGGGGTGTACACGCCTGTGAACAATACCGTTACGATGAAGGAAGTCGAGGGCCTCTAGGAGCTCGATAGTCCAAGAGCGCACTTTAGCGATGGTGACAGGGCCATCATCTTCCAGCTTTTCGCCTAGAGACCCTTTACTCGCTTGCTCCATGAGTATATTGACTTCCCATCCAGAAGAAGGTAGATGCTCAATCTTGAAATCTAGCACGGTCATGATAGCGTTTTGGCGTAGTCGCTTGATTTCTTCCATCTCTTCCTCAAAATCCATAATGGCCTTCTTCAGTTGCGGTCCGGCAGAGGAGTTGCCACCACCCACACGAGCACGCTTCAAGACGAGGGTCAGAGCAGAAGAATTTCCCGCAGGCTTGACAAGCAGATTCTCGGTTACAGGGCCAGCACGGAAGGGAAGCATACCTTCCACCACGCTACAGTCTACCATCGAGTCGCCATGTGGGAAGGAGACCTTTCTGTCGAATGAAATTCGGCTGGGGTTCTCTTCGGTAGGAAAGTAGGACGTCGGCACGACTGCAGACGCTCTGTTCTTGCGCTTTACCATCAAGTCCTTGCGGCGCATCTCATCGCTAACCAGTTGTTGCAACATACGCTCTTCCTCGGCTTGCTCTTCGTCTTTCTTCCTTTGAAGCTCTTGCTCTTGCTGCTTTGCAGTCTCAGCAGCCGCAGCTTCTTGAACAGCACGTTCGGCGTCCAGGTTCTCAAAGGTGCCGTCGTTCTCGCGCACAGCAACTTCGTCTTCGAGAATATCTTGAATGGCGGTTGCTATTTCGTGAATCATGACCTCTCCCAGTAGCTCCTTTGGTCGTGTCTTTAGCAGACTTTGAAGCTTTGTACAAGTCTTCTTTCGGAGATTAGTCGCATTCTCGAGTGTCAGAGCAGGCAGCGACTTTGGATAGGTCGCGGTGACTTTTGCGCACAACGTTATTGATATATCGTCGTTAGAGAAAGATCTCAGCTTCAAGCGCAAAACCCGATCTGTGGTTTTCTGCGTTCTGTTAGTCACGTCCCGTGTGCATTGCGTTATTCTGTCTGAAATGGTCCTCTATCATCCAGAGGCTATGAAGTACTTACACTCCACGCTCCTGTAGCTTCCGATTCTTCATAGTCGTCCATAAATATGGCCTTCAGGACTTCACGTTCATCTTCTTGTGCCTTCTCGTACGTTTCCGAGGGTTGCGAATCCATTCGAGGTCGGATCGGCAGTGTCTCCGTAACGGGACTCGTGGCCGGAGAACCTCCATTCGTGTTGCTGGTGAGGACATTCTGCTGCTTGCTTTTACTTCTGGGTGTTCTATGCGGTGCCATGTTGGGCTGTCTTGTGGTTGGTTGAAGGATCCGTCATGAAGAGTTTGACGGGGAGACGAGCAGCCGAAGCTGCCGCCCTTAGACTGTAGACATCACGTTCACTTGTAGTTTCGAGTGAAGGTGTGTAGTTGATGAGATGCAAAGCCTTCATGGCCAACGCATCTCAAAGTAGCGGTGGTGGGGGCGATTCGATGCTGGCAGGTGGGCCCCACGCTCGCGCTAAGCAAGGCAGGCGCAAGCGGCCGCGCGACGCGACTCCTTCACGGCTCTAGCTCTCGGTGCATGGGCACAACATTCGACATCACGGCTTCCCCGACCGTCTCGTCAACAACCGCGCAACCACGTAGCCTTATAGATGTCTTCGCGACTCGCCTACTTTCTTTGTCACTTTTAATTTCACCGTCACCTGGGCTGTAGACGCTCAAGTCTTGGTAGTAAACAATCGCCAAACACACCCGCGGTCTTGCAGAAACAGCTCCAGCCTCTGCTATACACACCTCTAACGGCTCTTGTCTACTTGGCTTCACCCTTTACACACATGCGAAGACCTTCATCATGTTTACCTGGATTACTGGCCCCCGCATCACCAACGTGATAGAAGATCTGCAGCCAGGTGCGCACCGAAAAGACCCTATGTTCCGCCCGTGTGCTCATTGATTGTGTAGAGAACAACTACGAGTCCACCTTTCTCGAACCGCCCGAGACTCCGGCGCACCAGTTCGCCGTGAACGCGTTTAAACATGCATTGTTCGGTACCCCAGCGCCCGAAGACGCCAGTAACCCTTCCAAGCGGAACGACAAGAAGGCGAAGATAGACGCAGCAAACGCAAAGAATATCGTCATTACTCCGCCGCCTGACGATGGCCCACTCCTATCGCCCTCGAAGCAGCCCGGAGGCATACTCATGACACCCGGTACTGCAAGTAAAGGAAGGAAGACAGTGTCGTTTGGGTCCCATGTTGTGGACAATGAAGGCAAACGCGGAAACATTGGAAAGAGTGGTATCCCGAATGACTGTCCGGGGAAGTTCCCCAGTCCTTGGACACCAGGCACGCAACTGAAGTTGGAGCCAGGAAGCGACAAGCGACCACGCACAAAATTCACCGAAGCGCTGCTGGACGCACGAACTACCACGCAGCCAAAGTCTGGTCAGAAACCAAAAGCAAAGGACGATAGCGATATAACGATTGATCTGGGAGCGCCACGGTCTGAGTCTGGAAAGTACTGGAAGGAGCAGTACGAAAGCTATGCCGAGAGGAGTGAGAAGGAGATGAAGAAGGTCATTGCGAAACAACAGCTGGCCAAGAAGTTTGCTATGAAGAAAGACAGCGAAGTCACCGAGTTGACTACCAAGTTTGAGCAGGAACGTAAGAAGTTCAGGCAACGGGAACGAGAGCTGGAGCAACAAAACCAGGATTTCCAGGACAGGCTGAGTCAAGCTGTGGCGGACAACACGTCCGCGACCATGGAGATTGCCGCACTTAAATGCCGCATCGCGGTACTAGAGCGATCTTCATCCGACTCCATGCAGGATAAGCCACCATTCCAGATATTCGAGGATCCGAGCAAGGACGCAATTCGAGCTACGGCTGGACAACAGCGGGGTGACGAAGCATCGTTCGCGCCATCGGTCAGTATGGCGTCTTCTGGTAAGGAGAACCACTCCCCTAAGCCCCGGCGCCAGCATCGCCAGAGCGTGCCAGATAGATCTGCCCAACGGGTCACTCAACCAAGATTTGGGACGTCGCAAGGCGAGGTGTCAATTGTTCTAGGAAGATCTCCAATGGCGCCAGCAAAGCCTGATGAGCAATCACCAGATGTAATACCAGCGTTCATCGCATCAGAGCAGATACCGAGGTCACCACTGCAAGCGCGAAAGACCGAGCCAGCGAAAGAAAATTACGCGCCAAATTCGCCAGATGCAGTGCTGCCGTCAAGTCCCCTGCCCATGCCATCTCCTGGTATCGATCCGTGGATGGACCTGAACAACGAGAGCTCGATACAACCTGTTGACAAGATGGCAATGCCAAACTATTCTAGCAAACCTTTCTCGAGACCAGAATGGGAACCAGCACCAAAGAGTCAACGTGCTACGAAGCCAACATCGCAGACCAAGCACGCAGCGCCACCAAAGCTCGAAGATCGAAGAACCGAGAAGCTTGCCGCGTCTGAGGTCAAAGCAGATCTCTCGACTGGTCATTCTCGACCCATAAGAGCTGCGCGCGACGTCCAAGATCGACCAAGTGCTGCTACCTCAAGCGACAACCATTGCATCAATGAAGTCAAGAAGACAAATGTCGTAGTTCCGAAAAAGACTGATGCAGTCACGAACCACTCACCAACAGATCCAAAGTTTGACCTATCGAAGATTACTGCACACCATGCAGAAGGATCGTCGCTGGTGAAGAAGGATCGAGCTGAAATACTTCCATTAGACAGGAAAGAGCAAGCAAGGAAGCGGCTTGAGGAGCGGAAGAGGCTGAGGAAAAATGCCCCCTCCTAAGTGCGGCGCTAGCCTTGTCTAGATTCAGATATGGGAACAGTCTTTTGGGTTTGCATGGTTATGGGCATTCTTGGAGTACAGCACGATACCTTTTTGGACTTTCAGAGCTTTTGATCAATACATATCTTGCTATTGCACACCAAACATGTGTCGGGTATCTCGAAATGCTTCTACGGAGCATCCATGTCAAAACGCCTATAAATGCAAGAACGCTATGCTGTCAATCCGACTATTCGCTCTCATTTCTGCCCCGCGGCAATCTCCTCCAACGCCTTGAAGACACCCACAGCACTATTCTCCAACGCACTCTTCTCCCGTGGACTCATCTTCTTAAGCACGTACTTTGCCACAACATCGGGCTCCCTACTATCCGGCCTTCCGATGCCCACGCCAACACGCCACCACTTGGTCTTCCCCAGACTCGCCTGACAGCTCTTGAGTCCATTGTGTCCCTTAGCACTCGCTGTGCCATCTCTAACCGTGACCTTCCCCAACTGGGACTCCAGCTCATCATGCACAACTACCAACCGCCCCTCTATCGCCGGATCCCCATACTTCCGCTTAACATCCTTCAACCACTCATTATACGCGCGCCCCACGCCTTTGCCAGACACGTTCATCAAGCTCGTGCTCTGCCAAAACGTCCAGTCTTGAGCAACAGTAATCGGCGCACCATCTGTGCGTTGAAATCCGGAAAATATGCCAAAGGACATACCGGATGTGTCGGGCGTGGAGACTTGGCCAGCGAGACCTTTTGTGAAGGGCTTGTAGGATTTGTGTACGGCGAGGTAGGAGGTCAGGATGTGGCCTGCGGAGTGTAGTGTGTTGGCATAGGTGCTGCCGGGATTGCCGATGGAGCAGACTAGCAGCGGGTAGGCGGTTTGTATGGCGCTTTTGGCAGGGGGCATCGAAGCTGGTGTTGAAAGCTGGTACTTTTTGGGTGGGTTGTTGGGCGGTTTGCTAGATTGTGTGGCAGGTGGTGAATCGGCGCAGTCGTTTTTTGCCTTTTTCAATTGGCGCTTTTCTTTGCGGCTCAGGGGGATGGTAGGTGTAGTGAATGCGATTGCGGAGTCGGCGTCGCTGAGCTCAGGTTCTGGCGATGAGGTTTGTGGAATTTCGAGATCGGCTGCAGGGGTCTGCGGGGAGCTCTTAGGGCTGGCCACGTGCGCACGTGTAGGCGCGTTCGACATGATTAAGATATATTCAAAGTTTCGGGTGGAAGTGAAGGAATGTGAAAGGAACGGGAGAGGAATAGCGAAACTCATGTGAACTGGAACGAAGGGTTTGTTCTATTCCCACTTCCTTCACAAGTTCCATGGTTGACATTGTGAGCGTACCGCCACAGCCACATGTCAGAGTCATAGTGGATTTGTAAGGGCGCCGTGTTTGGTTGTGAGGCCGCAAGGCGCCCTTTCTTCAGGCTAGCATTGCAGAATCTGCTGGGCCATGAAATCAAATCATGGCAATTTGCAGAAAATGTACGATTGCCATCGTTCGTCTCATGTGGGTTTGGACGGTGTGAATCGTGCCCGAGATCTCTTGGCGTGCATCATCGTCATCGTACAGGAACAAGGGTCCAGGCATAATTCACTCCGCGCCGAGCCACCCTGTCGCCACTCGCGCGATTTCGTTGCTTCACACCCGGAGATCACTCTCTCAGCTTAGACCTGGGCATTCGAGGACTTCTTTCCACTATTGCGACACTACCACACCAACCATGGCGGACAGACAACGAACGCCGCCACGCGCGACCCGCTCTGCGGGCCAGCTTCCGCCTAATCCTCCCACGCCTGAGCAGATTCGAAAGATGGAGATAGCCCGCCTCAAAGCGAAAGCTGCTGCACAACAAGCTCAAGAAAGATCCGCACCAGCGCCAGTCGCAGGAGCAAAGCGTCCCATATCCGCCATCTCAGCATCGAATGCGCCCACGCAGCTACGCAATGCCGCTGCTGCATCACCCCAAAAGCGAGACCAGAATGGCATGATACAGCCTCCGTCGAACGACTATATACAGCCGGCGAAGAAATACGCGAGGTCGGAATTCATCGATTATGACTTCAGCAAGATGACGGACACGAAGGGTGGCTTCTTGAGCACAGTAGACGATCCGCATAATAAGGCCATGTGGAAAGGCATGCCCAAGGAAGAACAAAAGCCAGAGGGCATGACCATCACAGACTGGGAGCGTGAACGTATACGGCGGAAGCTACGCGCAAATCGAGCAGGACCGTTCGAGCCTGGTATCTCTATTTTGAACACTGTAAATGGCAAAGAAGAAGAGGACGAAGAGGCCGCGCTCCTCGAAGCCGCGGAGAACGCCGAAGTCGAAAACGGAACATTCAAGGGCAAGTACGGCGACGGAAAGCGCGATGTCAAAGGCAAATGTCGAGAATGCAACAGTCTCGAAATCGACTGGAAGTGGCAAGACATATTCGGCATCAGCGTATGCAATGCCTGCAAGGACAAGATACCGGACAAATACTCGCTCTTGACCAAGACCGAAGCTCGGGACGACTATCTCCTCACGGACCCCGAACTCAAAGACGAAGATCTTCTACCCCATCTCGAACGCCCGAACCCGCATAAACAGTCATTCCACGCCATGCAACTGTTCCTACGCTTGCAAGTCGAAGCCTACGCTCTCGGCCCGAAGAAATGGGGCTCGGCCGAAGCGCTGGACGAGGAATACGAGAAGCGCAGGGAAACGAGTAAGGCGCGCAAGGAGAAGAAATTCAAGAATAAGCTCAATGATTTGAAGAAACGGACGAGAGTTGAGGCGTATAAACGAGCACGGTTGGGTGGTGGTGCGGACGCGGCGTTTGGACAGAAGATCAAGGGCCGGTATGATAAGCATGAGCATGAGTGGGGTAGGAGCGTGCTGGATCCTGAGACGGGCATGACGAGGAAGAGGTGTGATGAGTGCGGGATGGAGGTTGAGGAGCTGGAACTCTGAGGTATGGATGTGGGTGTCGGAGTGATGTATGTTTGTTTTGATGATACCCTAGCGTGAATGGATTACTGCTTTGATAGCATACGAGCTTTTGATATCACATGAGCATCTGATATAACAGGCCTTCGAGTTTCAAAAGAGGTCCATGTGATAGCAAGTTGGCCTGACTTTGTTCGTCCAAAGCACATTGTACAATGAGAAAAACGACTATGATCAGGTTAGACTTTGCGACGAAGCACCGCAGCACACAACAACGAAACTATGTGGCATCGAAAGAATACCACATTAAGTCACATGTCAGCTTTTGAAGCTTTATATCAAAAAGCCTTTTGTCAGATACTTCAGCATATCGCAGATCATTAAGTCCTTATCATTCACCGCCTCAGCATCACTGTTCGCACATAGTCTCTAGCCGATTCTTCGTACAAACACAATCTTCACCGAGTCCAATATACACAATACGCAACGAAACTTGCATATAAAACGCTTTGCCAAACATCTCCAAAATCATCATCCTCATCCTACAACCACTACACCTCCATCCTCCAAACACAATCACGTCACACACATTCCCACACTCACACAAACAAGCTTAGCAATACTCACCAACACAGACGATATGCTCGCTTCAACCACTCCTACTTCGGCTTGCATTGATATGGCTAGCAACCTCCCGTCCACTCCAGTCGATGGCAGCAAGTGCGGCTACTGCGGTAAGAACCATGGTGGGTCGGCAAATGATTGCCAATGCAATGACTGTTAAGCACTGGAATTAGTTGAGCACCAGGGACTCCCTACGAGGTAGAGTCTAGTTGCAGAGTGATACAAGGTCATTGCGATGTCGGGAGTATACTCGACGATTAATGACCAGGTGCATGCTTGAAGATGAAAGGATTGGTTAGAATTGAAATCGAGAAGATTTTGCAAGATACCGTGTTTATGCCTCTTGAAAACTGTATAATTCTTATTTTGAAAGTGCTTGTACTGTCATGATTTTCAAACACAGCGAACCGGCCAATTGCACACATGTACAAGTATCATTCTTCTGATCATGGTGACGTTCAGCCCTGTGTATTGCGCCGAGGATTGCAAGGAATGGTAGCGGAATGCCACAGTGGAGCGCGACGGTGAGAGAACATGTAGCAAGCTGAGGACATAGTTCATGGAGATATCAACGGACAGATTCATAAGCAATTAATTTCCACAACCACAAGTTGGCAAGCGTCTAACAAGCTTCTTGCTAACGCCAAATCTAGGCCCTGTAATGTATCTACAAGAAAGTCACCAGTAATGATGCTGTTAATGCTGAGCCACAAGCGGTCTCGACTCTTTCTTCTGAAGAGGGACATCATCATCATCATCGTCCGAGTCAAGTCCGGCTAATTCAAACTCCTGAGCGTCCCGTACCCGTCCATCAACCCTGGCGTAACCGTTGGCATGACCATTTGCCTGCCCGTTTAAACGAGGTGCTTCGGCATCAGATTTGGAGTCCTCGCCCCACGCACTTACGGCGTAGAGGTGAATGAGCATGTTTACGACTGCAACGTATGTTAGCGCTGACTAGTATAGGACGTAGGTATTGACTTACAAAGGAAGAGCAAGAAAGCGACGCTGAAAAGAATGAGGATATAAGACACATGCGTGACGTTCGCGTCGTGCAGGATCTGCATCTGCTCCTCGGTGGCGCCCATGAACATAAAACCACCGGCAATGAGCAGGAACGGTGTCATGTACTGAAAGCTGTTCGGGTCTGAACCATCGGCAATGAAGCTGCGGTCTTTCAAGACGAAAGAAATTTCGATGATACGAGCCGCACCAGCAGCCATCAAGGTGTAGCCAAACACGGTGTGAATCATGGTCGAAATGGGCAGATGTTGGGGATGCGCAGACATGGCCCAACCTGTGACAAATATAACCATTCCAGGTATAAGGTTGCGCTTTGGTCGTCCACCTCTTGTGCGGCTCAACCATACTCCAACCAAACCAGCTGCCCACCAAATGATGCCCATAGAAGTGTGTTGCAAGTCGTTGTGTCCCCACTCATGCCCCCAGCGGTGCTCCGTAAAGGTGTTGACGCAGCCCCATGCAGCGATGACGAGCGAGTCGAAGAATTCTTGGCTTCGTCCGGTGCGCCTGAGCCATGCCTGGCCTACCAGGAGTAGGATCACAAGGATGATTCCATAAGCAATGAATGCACTTCCCATGATGAAATGAGCCAAGCATTGGCCTGTGTGATCGGCTCTGCAGAATCCGAGCGCAGTGATGCCCCCAAAGATAAATTGCACCCAGGTGGCGATTGGCATAGCCTTGCCAACGAAACCATGTACCCTTATTACAACCTTCCGTACCTTCGCATGTATGCCCTTCTCTAGGTGGAGTTTCAAGTAGATGCCCATGGCGATTTGCGAGATCAACATAAGCATGATGTAGGGTACGAATTGGGCATGGATGTTCTTCGTAAACTGCCTTCCCTTGTGCTTATGGCCGAGGAAGTATCCCGCGATGGCGAGAACGGATCCGAGGGTCTGCACTGGGACATGCCATCTAGAGCGGATTATCTGAACAGGTTAGTCGTGGGTTTGCATGGCATACAGCTTCATCTACTCACTCCCAGAACCATTCCTGTAGGAAAGATGATGCCCCAAGCCATAGTCTGGATCAAGATGTGTACCCATAATATCGAGTCGAGTGGGTCTACTGAAATGGCCTGTCCCTCTGGAATCTTGTCCGAATGATGCTCATGGGCGGTGACTGCAGTGCTAAGGAGCAGCGCCGCTGCGGCAACTGCTTTGACCCTGAATTCCATCGCGATGTTTGTTGGAGGTGGCGCCGTTTAGAGGTCCTGATGGCTGACGTCACGCTAGGAGCGAAAAGAAGTCTCCAACGTGGAAGTTTTAGGGTGGAGGAGGCATTCGACGCGCTCGTAAGGAGAGGTGGTGGAAGGACGAGTGACCAAGACGGGGATCTCTATTGAGAAGGTGCATTCATGCGTCGCAATTATTGTGAGTCTCAAGTGCACCGATCCAACCCCAGCCAGTAGCGATCCACACCTGAACCAAATTCCCCTTTCTAAAGTGGGGTATCACGAATTCTAATTGGATAATAATATCTAGTTAACGTGCGTAGCTCTTGTTAAGACTGCATACGTCTTATATCTACCAATGAGAAGCTTTCTACCTCTAGTACCGTGCGTAGCGTACCTTGGAGCGTTGGATCGATGCATCCGCCATTGGCCTGCACCGCGGACCGACCAGGAACACCGACCCATCCTTCGCCGGCCTGCCCTGCATTCTTCTCTCACCACCAGCATGGCGCCCGTAGGAGGACGAAATGAAGTTCCGGACTCAGAAGACGAGCCTATGACATCTTCGCCTGTCGCAGTTTCAGATGGTACCGCCGATAAGCTTTTCGCGATGGCGCATGTTCTACCCCAAGACACCCAAGACGCGCCGCAAGAGGCTACGCGTCTTCACCAAGCAACTTCTGGGACCGTTGCCAATGTGGCCGCGCAACGCACTGGTGGCTTGGACGCCGATCAAAGCATTGCTTCAATCGACATCGACGCGCCCACGGATGAGCGAACTGACATTCAGCCTACTGCTACTGTAGCTCCATCGAACCAAACCGATGAGGTCAGCAACAGTGTCGCAAATGATATCCATCGGGACATTGCACCGCATTTGGGTTCAGAGACTGATGACATGAGGCCATCACAGCATGCGACAATGGCAGATTATGCGCGAAACAATCAACATATGCATGTCAGTGATTTGACAGCTGGGCCTGAAACAGTGACAGCTCCCGCCGCTCAGCAAACATCAGAAATTGCTGGAGACGCGGTTCGGCCAGAGGTAACAACACCCAAGCAACAGCCTGAGACCGTGGACAACAAAGTCGCACCCGAATGTACCAGTGAGCGTTCTTCATGTCGATCATCGTATGTATCGGAAAACATCAATGAACCGGAAGGAGAGCCAGCACCCCAACAAGTGGAAGCAGACCTCGCGCAGCACATTTCATTTGCAGATGATCAGGTGAGTGCAGTTCGCTCGAACAAGCAGGGTGCTTCGCAGGAGGATCCCAGTACACTCGTGACTTTACAGCATGATACGCCACTGCTTCCGGTGCCACCACCGTCGAGTGACTACATAACTTCAAACGAGACTATGGATTCTGGGCACGTGAGCGAGACCACACGACCGACCGAGCAGGACGCAATACAGCGCCTCAAGGACGAACTCTCAAATAGCGGATCTGGTGCGAAGCACGGAGTTTGTCTGCTGTATACCTTTGTCGGCAATCCATCCACTTACAAATTGTGCAGGTTGTTTCCGAGGACGTGCATGATAACACTAATGACGAGGCTGCTGGACTGCGCACGGAACCTGAAGGCCAGAAGAAGGGAATTGACCTGGAAAACGAAACACAACAAAACGTATCGATGTCGCTGAGCTCTTCTTCGGGGGTCGATGTCGAAAGCCATGGAGATATGATCACATCAAAGGACAACTCAGATGAGGTTGACGCGGATCGATCCTTGACAAGTACGAGCGCCGAGCCCCAAAAACCAGGGACAGGATCGGTCTCATGTGGTCCCGACTCCAAAGCGACAAGTTTCGATGCGTCTATGGACATTGATATCCCGCCCTCAGCTAGGAAGGTAGAGACCCATACTTCAAACAAGGAAGCTGCCGCCTCATCAAGCCTCTCAACAGCCGAGTCTACAAATGTACCTACCGCACACAGTTCCGCAGAACAGACATCACAAGACCCAAGTCAGGCTCGTCTGGAGATGTCAGACATTCCAGCCTTCACCAATGTACGTGAGACTAAGAAAGCAGTTCCGGAAGAACACCCTACAACATCAGAGTCAACCCCCAATCTGCAGATGAGCGCACAGCCCCAGCCCCCTCAGGCATGTCCTACCTCAACGCCTGCGAGAACTCCACAGGAGATTACACTCGCCGAGCTCAAAGCGCAAAAGTCAGCAATGCTAGCTTCTCTTGCGGCTCTTCCTGCGATCCAAGTGCTCATGGAAGAGAACGCATCTGCTGATGTCGATATGGCGGACGGTGATGACGAGCCAACGGAAGCCGATATCATGACCGCTGCAAACAAGATTGTGAAAGACCACATCAAGCTTTTGCATGAGTACAACGAACTGAAGGACGTGGGGCAAGGACTGATGGGCTTAATCGCCGACCAGCGCGGGGTGAGAATCATTGAAGTGCAGGAAGAGTTCGGAATCGAGGCTCAAGATTAAAAATACACTAAGATTTTTGCGATGGAGGAGTTACAGGCGTCCTGGTGGTGCAGGAACAAGGCATACCCAAGGTTTCGCGATTACGACGAGCAAGACGCAACATATTTCATGAACAACGATTGCAAGCGAAGTTTTCTCCTGTGTGTTGCAGAAGCGTTGCACGATGTCTGCGAGCATAAAGAAAGCTGATAGGGGTACATCACTCAACACAAAGCTAGCTTGCTTCGTGAGAATTGCAAAAACATTGTGAAATTATAGCGAAGAGCAAAGCATTGATCATTATAAACTTCCCTCTTTACCCAGCCCACAAGTTGCAGCACACATTCACTCACAGATTCATCATGGGTCAAGATTTACTTCCCGATAACGTCATTCTGACAACCATCTTTCCCACTGCTACACCGGCAAGTGTACAAGTCGTGGCGAATACCTGGGCAACGTGCACGTTTAGGGTGCAGTTTAATACTCCCCCCGAGTCACATATGTCCAAAGATCTGATCGTTCGCTTGGAGACTTCAAACGACAAATTAGCAGCCGTCGCTGCCCTCGAAACCCTAGCCCGAACATGCATCTCAGACTTGGTTCCTGCAACATACTGCGTGGGGCAAGCCATAACAGCCGATGGTAGGGCTGTCGAGTTTTCAATCTCCGCATTCGTAACGGAAACTGAAACTCTGGAGTCTTTGTGGCCCTCGCTGGACGTAGTTCAGAAGAAGGTCATACTAGAAGAGGTCATCGCAGCGATCAAAAAGCTTCAAGGTTCTGAAATCTCACCAAAGGCTGAAGCACATCGCGTCCCCCTAATATCCACATGTCAACTGCTCACAGATTTCGTTGCGCAGTACCAGCTCAAGAAGTTCGCCACTTCCTCCATCGAGGAAAGCTCCGGTGGTGTGACAATTACATCTGCACTGCCCAATATCAATCCCGTCTCATTTTCCAACCAACAGTTGAAAGAGCTGGACAACACTGCAGTATTTTGCCACAATGACATGGAGCCGCGCAACATCCTCATCCGCCGCACCACCTCCGGCTACAAATTAGCCGCCATCATCGATTGGGAAACAGCCAGCATCGCGCCATTCGCATTCGAAACTGCAGCTAAAGATACTCATCTAGGCGCTTCCAACCAGTACTTCGACTGGTACTCCATGTACAAGTCAGCCACGAAGTCTCTCATTCCAGATGGCCATGTGGCGACGAAGTTGATCTGCGCTGTCCATTTGATCGTTTCTTCGAGACAGCGCCAGCTGCTGAAAAATGTCAGCGCGGAGATTGAGCGGCGCTGGGTAGAGATGGTGGAGTTGGAGATGCATGAGGATGTTAGGGCTGGGATGGTGAAGAAGGAGGGCGCGAAGGAGTGGAAGTATGATAAGGGGGAGCTTGTTGAGCTTGAGTTGCAAGTTCTCAAGGATTTTGGTAGGATCTGATTTGGCTGCGGGCTTTGTTAGGGGCTGGCATATATGTTCTAAATTCTAGAGTTTCAGTATAAATTTAATGTTGTGTAGTGTTACATGTCAGTGTCTCTTTATCGTGAGCAAAAGGTGATAAAATGGTACGTGGTCATACGCCATTCCAATAGAGTTTGGGTCCCGCGAAGCCATGTATGAACAGATAAAGAAATACTGACAAGCATCATATCATATCTGAGCGACTGAGTATCTTTAACTACCTAACTTATTCAATATTAAAAAGGTGCTATTATTGGAACAACTTTAGTTAATAATTAATTCATATTTTCAGTGCGGCGTAACGTATACATTCTGCAGATCTGATCTTATTGTAATGTCAGAACAGAGCCATACTACGTGTGTTAGCAAGTCACCAGATATGTACATAATATAGCATGAGCAAGAAGCAGTTTAAAAGAGCAATTTTATATTATAGCTAGTGATCAGGCTCACTGCCACGACTGAGTTAACACCCGAATCGCTACAGAGTCGTCCACATTCACACATGTACATTCATCAACCCATTAGCAGCGAGACACTCGGTCTCAAGCTGCCCAACTCCAGCTAAGCAAGACCATGGCTGCGAAAGCGCTTAGTCGTCGTAGCAAGTACACTTGCGAGAACCGCCAGCGAAGTTGCCACCGCACTCACCGCAGATGTTGCCGAGGACGACAGGGGTGGGAGAAGCGACAACGGCGTGGTTGACCACGGAGGTGGAGGACTGAGTGGTGGCAGAAGCAGTCATGGCTGTAGAAGTGGTGAGTATGATAAAGTTCCTGTGGAACGGTGGGTGAGTCTGTGTAGTAAGTTGTGTATCTGTGTATGTGGTGTGAGTGTGTGAGTGTGATGATGAGTTAAGGGGTAGAGTTACGAGGCCATTTTATATGCGAAGGATGGCGTTGTGAAGAATGAAGTTTTTGTGCTCTGGTAGGGGAAGAGTTGTTGTGCGTGTATCATGAACGTATTCAGGTTCGAACACTGTTCAATGCCCACCGCAAAGGGCTCATAGAAGAGTTTCAGAGGCTTTCGATGGTGCACAGGTGGCTAAAATGTTTGGAAACAACTGTTCGGGGGGTCTTGGGTCGCCTCACCACATCTAGACGTGTTTCATCTCGAGAGTTTCAATAAACAATGTCTGTTGTAGATACATATTGGCCCGCGAACGTCACAAAGAGCAGTGCACATCGCCTTTGTCGTATAGCAAACAGCGGGGAGATAAGTGGCAGTGTGCAATTGAGAGAGCTGAAGATTATTCGAAGTGGCAGTGGGGCTTTCTAGAATCCTTAACATGCCCTCCGCATCGTCTTGGCGACAGTCTGGTCCACATTCAAATCTGTAGTATCGAGCTCAAAAAAACTGATATCGACAGCACGCAAGAGCTCTGTTGGGAGGTTCCTCACTTTGACAAGGCGATTTTGTTGCAACAGCGCTTGAAGAATGCTGCCATCTTGTAGCTTAGTCTTGCCACCTGTAGCGCGTGCAGGAGCTTCCAGTCGCCGACCATGCTCCGCTCGGTCGCAGGTGACCTCGACAAGATAGAAGGGACCATCGGTATCTTGGGCAATACGAACGTGCTCGGCCAGGACAGCAATGTCTTCCGAGTTGTCTGCGAGACAACCAGTCATGATGACTTTCACATTTGGATGTGACACCATTTCCTTCGTTAGAGCCTCGAAAGCAACACGTCGAATCTCTCTTCGTAATGCTTTATGTGCTGGATTGCGACCTGGCACGATAGCTTCTGCGGGATCGATGAGCACGTGGTTGTCGATTAGACGAGTAGTTTCTGCGGCAAGGTTGTGCATCATGATTTGGGCGATGGTGAGCTTGCCGACACCTGGGAAGCCGTTGAGGAAGACGATGCAGCCCTGCTTAGCCTTTTGGGTGCCGTTCCAAAGATCATCTAGTCGGTGCATGGTTCAAGTCGATTGTGGTAGTCGGATTTAAGTTCTGCAGAGCGCTTGCCATTAGATGGATTCTTCAGTGAACGCTTCTTAGGTCAAGCAGCCGTACTCCATGCCAGCCGCGGGAATCGATTCGTTTGTTAAGGCAGTGCGCATTGACACGCTGCGGGGGTACAAACAGAAACACAACAGTTTGTATCGGTTTTCTTGGACAATAAAAGGTCAAAGTCGCTTGCCAAATCTGTGCTTTTGATGTAAGACAATCATTGATTTTTTTCGATGTTGTCATGATCAAAGGTCCTCACTGTACATCTAGGCTAAAGCTTGAACACCATTAGGTGCTGCAAATGTGCGCTGTCTGAAAGCTCTAAGCACTTTCCAAGGGCGACGTGGAGCTGGCCGACTTCAAGTTCTCTTTAGCACTTCTTCATATACCGATAAGCTATCGAGATTATTCAGGCTCATTTGCGTGATGGTAGCCGCACTCCAACAGTAGATTGAGCTTGAAGAGAGCGCGCACGAATTATTGCAACACCTGGTGACGCATCAAAAGTCCTCGGAGCCAATCAACGGCTGTAATTGGTCGAGTGACCTCTAAACTTCGAAGATCAATTTCGAGTCGGTGAATGATTCTGAGCCCTTGAGTAAGACAAACGAGCACGTCTTGGTAGATACTGTTTTCTGTGCGTAAGTAAAAACGCGAATTGTGAATGTGCCAGACGTCGACATGGAACTGAACATTGCTACACAAGCTGTGTTACACGATAGTAACATACACAATCGTTGACCCTTTGTTTGGATTTTGTCAGTCTGACCAACATTCCTTACAAGTAGGTATGATTCTGCCTAAAGAAGTGACGACATTGCACTTGTGTATGCAGCGCCCCACCTACCGGTACCCACCATCCCATCTATACTACCAATACACACTCACAAACACCATGTCCATCACCTTCCACTCTACAGTCCCCATCCTGCGCATCTTCGACATCCCCAAAGCCGAGAAATTTTACACCGACTACCTCGGCTTCCAAACCGACTGGGACCATAGATTCGATGACGCCGCACCTCTCTATCGACAAATCTCAAGAAGCGGACTAGTATTGCATTTAAGCGAGCATCATGGCGATGGGAGTCCCGGCGTTCATGTCAGGGTGGGGATGACGGGCTTAGTGGCGTACCACGCTGAGCTGCAGGCTAAGGCGTATCGGTATTTGAGGCCGGGGATTGAGGAAGGTATGGGTGGTGAGCAGGAATTGGCTCTTATGGATCCGTTCGGGAATCAAATTACGTTTTGGGAGGGAAAAGAGTAGACAAATCTGAACGGTAACGTGGTGGGAGGCATCCAGAAGTACTTGCGGAGCAGCAGTATCCGGCAATGAATGTTCAGGTTATACAATAGCAATCACGATGGGTCCATCTCGACAGGTTGGACAATCAACTTCTGTTGTCCTCAATAGTCCTTTTGCCTCTGATGCGCAGTTGTATTGTACAATGATTCGACGCCCAGAACAATGCATCACGATCTTTCGCGCCAACCACAATCAGCGCACCAAACTCAGCATGTTACAAGAAGTGTAGAGTAAAGTGAGCCGTCCTCGCTCGACCGAGAAAAGATTACCATGATCCCATCAATCATCCGACTACATTCCATCAATGATCCCAAAAGACAAAGGACACGCGCTCAGGGTATGTAATTCCAGCTTAGAAATGCATCATCCACGCAAAGGGGTTAAATAAATTCAGCAGGGGCTATGGGAAGTCAATATGATCCGCGCAGAAGTACTATCTCGCGAAGACCTTGACTATGCCATCGCCGCCGGCTGAAACAACGAGGCGCCCGTCTTGACTCCAGACAACGCTGCAGACGCCTTCGCCACGCATGATCCGGTGCGCGGTAATTTCTTGCGTGCAGATGCGCTTGTCAAGGGACCAGAACCGGATGGAGGCGTCGTGGCCGGCAGAAACGGCTTCGCGGCCATCCTTGCTGAGGGAGAGCGATGAGATGGCGGACGGATGGGCGAGCATTTGGTAAGTGCATTGACCTTGATGAGTGTTAGTAATGTAGTCTCGATGTGAAAGTAAGCGCGCGGGCAACTTACCAGAATTGGCATCGTAAAACCGGATGTACTGGTCTTCATGCCCACTGATCACGACACCCTCCAACCCGCCACCGCTACTCGAGCCAGTCGGCCCATGTATGCCCTCGTCGTCTGTACCACCACGTCCAGCTTCGGTTGGCCCTTCGATGCTTTGAGAAGTTGCAACGACTGAAGTTATGCCAGTTGCTGCTGTTCCATCGTATGTCTCGTTGCTGGCCATGCCGATGAGCTCCTCGCCTGTCCGTGTGTCGTATACAAGTATTGATGCATCGGAGAATGAGACAACAAAGTTCTCCCCGTTCAGCGCAAGCGGAGTAATGCAAGTTGGTGAAGGGTGAGTGGCTCGCTCTATGGTGTGAACCAACATGTAGTGGAAAGAAGTCTGCGATGCCACACTAGGTTGTGGCGAAGAAGGGTGGTTCGATCCGGAGGTCACAGAATGCCTTCTGCTACCGCCACGTCGTGAGCCAACTTGGGGCGAAACAAGCTGGGGCGGTGCGCTGACAGCCCAAAGTTTGATCGTACCATCGGCAGATCCTGAAGCAAGTAGGATCCGGTCTGGTCCTCCAAATTTGGTGCAGTCGGAGCCAAAGACGGATGCACACGTGGTAGGCAATACACATACAGTCCACACAGCATCTGTATGGCCATCAAGGGTGGCCTTTGGATCGACTCTGCCTCTTTCCCAAACACGAATTGTTGCATCTTGGCCTCCAGAGAATATCCAGCCATCGCCTGATACACGGCCCCCGGTTGCGAAATGTGCAGAGGCGGGGCAGGCAGCTAGGGATGTTACAGCGCCCTCGTGTCCTCTGTGAGACCAGACTGGCGCAATGTCAAGATCATTGTTCATGCTGTGTTGGTTTGCATAGCTCGCAGGTATCATCCACCTCTTAATCATGCCATCATCTCCAGCTGTGCAAATCTCTGGCTCTGATGGACTCCCACCACCAGTGAAAACGACCGAGCGAACAACGTCAAGGTGGCCACGGAGAGCAAATTTGACTTTAAAGCTCTGCTGATCTGACTTACTCAACTGAGTTTGAGACAGTGGGCCTTTCTGTTCACTGCTCAACCTCCTGTTTGCGCCAAAATCCCCACTCTTACTTCGAGTTTTCGACGCGCGCGGTGGTGATTTCTCAGGAGGATTATCGGCATCCGGGAAGCGTATAGTGTCTGGTCTTCCAAGGGGAGGTCCGTTGGGAGGAGCATCAGAACCTGGTTCTGGGTCGAAAGTCCACTGATCTGGATCGTCACCCGTGGGTTCGCCCTGCACCGGCTGGCTCTCTTCCTGATTTGTAATTTGTCGTCCATGATTATCGTATGTATGAGTGACCTTTTCTACCTGCTCTTCAGGAACAGACGAGTAGTGCAGTGGGTCTTGTACTTGGTTTTGACGCATTTGAGCAAAGGCTCCGGGTATACCAGATTGCTGAGCAAGTAAGTGTTGTCCGGCAGGCTCCCGAGTCATCTCCGGCGCGTGATGTATCTGGTTCTGGTTTGTAAGACTTTGGAGTTCTGAGGTGGGTATGCTTGGAGGCTGGTGGTTGGGCATGGTGACATTCGGCATAGTTGGAAGCTGCGACTGTATCTTCTGGCGGTGCTGTTGCATGTATATATCCTCAATTGAGGCATCACCATGGTTCATGAAACCGGCACCGTTACTGAGCGCGTGCAGACTGGGCTGTTGAGGCGGGGCTTGAGGTGGAGGTGTAAGGAGATATGTGATCTCCTCAACGCATTTTGTGAGGTACAGCTTCGACTTCTCGCGTAGGCCATCGCGGTCGGCTTCGGAGCGGTCGAGGAACTCGGAGTCGACATCAAGGAAAGAGTTGTGTCTTGTGTCTTTGACTGCATGAACGGTCAGCTTTGTCCTCAACCCCGCTGGATTGGTATTTGAATCAAACTTACGCTTTGTAGCGTGCATGCCACTCTTCTTGCCCTTGCTGTCCTTGTTCTCGTCTGCTGCTTTGGCGTCTTCACCTGCTGCACCCGCCTTGCTCTTTGCCCGCTCGTTCATCAAGGCCTGCTCCAGCATACGGATATGCTTGTTGAGCTGGTCATTCAGCTTCTTCGCACTCCGAACCTCGCCCTCCTGCTTTGCGATTTTGGCCTTCATCTCCGCTCTTTCAATGTCCCATGCGTTCCTAGCGCGCTCGTGATTGTGCCATTCGAGTTGCAAGAAGCGCATAACACCTGATCCAACTGTCAGCGATTCTCCTTTGCCTGCCACAGCTGGATATGCCGTCCAGGGGCGTAGCTACCTTGCAGCGTGTACTCGGTCCCTGCTGGCGCATTTCCATCACCTCCTCCATTCGCGCCGCCCGCGTTCATGGCCGACGGCGATTGCCAGGCCATGGCGGACGTCTATAGATATGCTAGTTTTGGACGGAGAATAGTCAGCGGGGAGTTGCATGCGGCGTCGGCGGTCGGCAGCAGCGCGGTTGAAGTGTCGAAGCTGGCCTCAAATGCTCGAATGTTCCCAGGGGCTCCCAGGCGCGCGTAATTCGATGTAATGGCAACACGGACTCCGGGGGGTATGTGACGGGTCGCAGACGTGTGCGCGACAGCTGTTCGTCTCGTGAACCTGTCGCATGTCGTCAACAGGGGACCTGTTAGCTGTCGTCTGCATGGGCCTGTGCCAAGCCGCTTGCCGCATCTTACTTAGCGCGCCCGTTGCGAGAGCTGTGCCAGCTTCGATGCATCTCAACATGCACTCATATGGTTGTGTTACCAGCACCGCATTCGTGTCTTGAACCTGGCTCCTTGTCGCCCTTCGCAGCGCCTACCAACTGCCGGCAATCTTCTCCGACCTATGGTCATGAAGTGTCTCTCATGTATGTGTACTAACAAACAGCTACAAGCTACACAGCATTGAGTCGCCAGATATCCATGGGGTATTCCAGCTATGCTCTTTACTATCCAGTCATATTGTTTTGATTGCCTTGTCGATGGACAGGATAGGATAATCAATGAGTGTAAGCCCACTCTCAAATCTTCACGTTCCACGTCGAGATCACCCCTCTCCTGGTATCAACCCACGACGATGTTTGCGGTCCTTCAGCTGATACGTTACATGGCTTAGCTTTGGCTTTGCTCATAGTTCATGTTTCAAGGTCAAGCGCGTTGTTTTTTACCAAATTCTCGACCATAGAGGCTGGCAAGCCCTGAAATGATCATCATCACTGAGCAGCCGCGACATAGCTTGGCATCTGCCTTGTCTTTTATGACCCAGGTACTTCTTTCCTACTTTGGCCTCTGGAAGAACGCAGCTGACGTCTACACGAAGCGCCGAAACACATTCCGCCTACCTATTCGGTCCGTCGCACCTGCTCCAGTTGTTGCCGCCGAGCTCAGACAGCAGCAGCTTGAAAGTCCACGGTGCGGTGAACATGCTTCACGGCTATTTTACGATCACCAAAGCTAGCCATTAGCCGGTGATGCTGAACATGATCACCGCCGGCGCACTACAGCAGCACAGACGTTGCGTTCGTGCACGGTGCGGCTCCAGATGGTTGGGCATGCATCACGTGTCTTTCGAACTTTCCGAATCGGTACTACGCGCTTCGAGGCTACAACAACAAGTCCTTAGCAGACTTTACCACGACCCAGCCACCCCACCTCTCGCCAACGACACCACATCGAAACGTACCCTCAAACTCTGGCATTACGGTCGCGCATTCCTATCGAACCCATCGTCACCAACATTCATCCCGAATAGTTCACCAAAATGGCTGGCGGCAAAGGTACGCGCTGACTCCAGATCGCGCCATCGGATCATGGAAGACTAATTGCGATGCAGGAAAGACTGGAGGCAAGACAGGTGGAAAGGGTGATTCGCACGTCAAGACCACCAAGTCGCACTCTGCCAAAGCTGGCCTTCAGGTGAGTCACTGTCGCGTCCCTTCCTCACCCCGCCCCGCGCATCCGGGCTTTGACAGCTGCCAGAGCTATGACGCGCTGACATTGCCCCTTCACCATAGTTCCCTTGCGGTCGCATAAAGCGTCACCTTCGAACCATCACGCGCCAGAAGACGCGCATCGGCGCTAAAGCTTCCATCTACCTGACCGCCGTCCTCGAATATCTGACTGCCGAAGTACTCGAACTGGCGGGCAATGCTGCCAAGGATCTCAAGGTCAAGCGTATTACGCCGCGCCATCTGCAGCTTGCGATTAGAGGAGACGAGGAACTCGACACGCTCATTCGCGCCACTATCGCTTTCGGAGGTGTTCTACCACACATCAACCGCGCGCTTTTGTTGAAGGTTGAACAGAAGAAGAAGGGCGCCAAAGTAGAGGCCTAAGCGCGTATGATGACGTGTCACGAAACTCAGTGTAGGCGGCAACGATGATCTGGCATCAGCTGCGAAGCGCAGCAGCGCCGGATAAGATGGGATAGCCCCGGATAGGCACTTTTTCTTCATGGTGTGCGCCCTTTGGCACACATCTTTTTCTGTTGTTGAGAAATCTTACTATCTGGCTATGGATTGTGGGTATACAGTGCTTTCACCTTTCTTTACGTGTCAGGCGTGCGACGGGCAGGTGTTGAGGTCAGGGTTCACTCAGGTTTGATTCACAGTATGTAGCAACATTTGACCAAAGGTTGTCAGACCGCCAGCTAAAATCCTTCTGCTAGTTGAGACATGCTGATTCTTCGGCGGCACTTCCATGCAAAACCCTATGATATGAGCTTTTCCGCATCAGTACATCATTCTCTCCATCCTCCTGCCCCCCACACCTTTCTCCCACCCATGTCCCTCCTCCCGCCTCTCCCACATGTACTCCCTCCGCTCCCTCCTATCATTCTCAACAGCAATCCTCACCTCCACCTCTCCCCTCTCATTCCTGGCGAACCGTCCCATTTCCGCTATATCAGAGACTTTCATCGGACTCCCTGGCTCCAACCATTCGCCCCTGCTCTTGACATGCACCCGCGCATCGCGCAGATACTCCTGCGGCAACACCTGCTTGACCACGTCGCGCAGGCGCATATCCCCCGCCACCGCAGCGCGGATAGTGCGCTTCGGGCCCTGTGAATGCAGGCAGATTTTCAGTGCCGTGAGCGTGGGCGGGAGGATCAAGATCTGATCTGCGCGCAGCGAGTGCGCGGTGTGTTTGGGCATGCGGACAGATATGCGGGGGAAGTGCTCGAAGTCTGGGGCGTGGGTGGCGTCGGTGTCGCTGTCGATTTCTGTGTCGCTGGCGTCGGCGGGGAAGTGCGAGATGTGCTTGTAGGGCGTTTTGCTGCTGCGGCGGGTGGGCTTGTAGGGGGGACTGCCGGGGTAGGGATCCATGGGCGCGGGTGATGTGTAGTTGTGTAGTGGGAAGGGAGAGGTGGGGGTTTGGAAGTGGCGGAAGGCTTCGGGGAGCCACATGCTTGGGGTTGGGAACATGGTGCAGTCGGTGGAGTTTGAGAAAGAAGAGAGGCCAACGGTGTTGGTGAAGTACCGAAGTGGTGGATGAAGCGAAATGACGAGTAGATGCGATGTGACAAGATAAGGTAAATAAATGGTCGGATGATAAAGAGACACGATTGTCATACAAGCTGAAGACTCGCAAACTCGAGTGCGCCTGCTTGCTGTGCTAGTGGTTGTGTGACATCACAGACGGGTGAGTACTTTGAAGAAAATAGGAGAGCTTCATCATTGGATCGAACCGAGATATGCTTGCAGAGGTGACACATACGAGAACTTGTGGCGCAGAGCTTTTGGTCGTGTTCGCATCATTTCATTCTTCCTGCTTGAGCATACTCTTACGTACTACATCGTAGGCGTCTTAAGCAGCGAGTCCCTGTCGAAGCTTGAGATATTCCTGTCGGAATTGGTTCTCGTCCGTCTCTTCGCCCCTGTTCAGTGGAGTCCACTTGGGCTCATCCTTGAACAAGCGCATAGCCTTCGTGTACTACAAACAAACATCAGCATTGATACTGTCAGAGCTCCGCAGTCATGTGCGTGGTGATGCAGTTTCGAAACTTCGGCAAATGTGGGCTGTACCTACGTTCTGCTCGTCTGTCGTGAAGCGGTGGTAAATGCCACTAGGCAGGATGATCAAGTCGCCCTTCTCGAGCCAGATCCTCACCCAGTCGTCGCCCTCACTGCGGACATCAAAGTACCCGGCGCCGTCGAGAATGTACCGAATCTCTTCATCTTCGTGCAAGTGCTCGTGGAAGAAGCTCTTAACCTTTTCTTCGTAAATGTCGCCCATCTTTTCTGGCGAGACGGTGATTTCATCCCGGTTCTTGTAGTCACGGGCTTTTGCTAGCTCATCGACTTCAGACTGGGAGCTGATGTGGTGGTACAGCACGCCAAGCTTGGACAAATATGCTGGGTCTACCGCCCGGCCGGAGTCGTGGGGCTGGCGCTGGTCGCCCTGTCGCAGGAGTCAGTCATGTGAAAAGGCTTAATTGTGGGGCACGGGAGCTTGCCTCGAGGTTGTCGAACCAGTATGCTCTCATGTTTGCTACTTGGATACGATGTTGTGTTCAGGAGGAGTTGGGGTTGCAAAGCGGGGCTATTGATGGGCTTGCTTCAAGTTGTAGTGATGTGTTGGGCATACACCAAAAACTATTTCACGTGGCGAATGGCGTCATTCCTGATTATGCGCAGGGTCCAACGCGACCTCTCAGGCCGCAACATGCGTCCCACTGGAGTCGCGTTGTTTCATTTGCTCACCCTATGTTTTCATAATCATTTCGAGAGCACATTGCTCTCCCTGAGTTGTCAAGTAAGCTCTGTGCATGATTGTTGATGCAAGCAATCTGACACGGCCACTACGTAGCAATCGAGGCAGACATCAAGGCCGCAGGATTATTGAGGTAATTTTTTGTGTTTGCGCATTTGCCAGAAGGGTGAAATATTCCAGCAACTGAACTTGAGCGCTCATGTTGTGGTCACTGCTTGTGTCCGTCTCTTCCAAGGCTCGCGCATCGAAACAATGGGCAGCGACAATGTAGTGCTGGTACCTTTGGTCTCTGGGCAAAAGATCATTTGCTTTGCAGCACCTTCAGCAATAGACCACCAGCGGCATTCATGCGGCTTCAATACGTGAGTCCGACACTTCGTGTTCCAACTCTCGTTCTCAATCCTCCCAATCTTCCTCCTCCTCCTCGTCTTGTCGGGCCTTGCTCTTCTGCAACCTGCGCTTCTCGTCCTCATCAGTAACCTTGTTTCTGGCGAAGACCCCGTGGTTGATAAGTCTTGCTTCAAGTTCCCGCGTTTTGAAATGGTCGGGTGACCTTCCTAGACCTTCGAAACCGACAATACGGTCTACGCCAACGCCGTCAATGAATGCGAGCACACATGGGAGGACCTGGATGCCCAGTCTCGTGACCAAAAATGGACAGTTGTCGACATTGATCTTTACAATGCGAGCCTCATAATGGGAGGGCGCGAGAGCCTTGCTCGGATTAGATTGCGTATGGAAACAAAATATGGTAGCGCACCTCAAGATGTGTGTCCATGATGCGGCAGCGGTTGAAGTCCGGCTTAAAGAAGTGAACGACGCAAAGTTTCGTGCTTGTAGTAATGTCCATCAAAGCCTTCTCATCCTTGATTTCCTGATACGTGCCATGCTCGTTGGCCTTCAGTCGCCGCGCCTTGTCGAACTCGGCATGCAGTTGTTGCAGACGCTGCTCTCTGAAGGCATCGAGCTCCGAGTCGTCTTCCAGGGAGGCAATGAGGGCGTCCTCGTCGGAGTCATCGTCCCTTGTCGCTCTGTCGATGACCGATGCAACTTTCGGATCTAGCCCGGCCATTTTCAAAACCGGTGCACGATGGCGGGCAGAAAATGTAAAGGGGTGGTAAAGCCTAGAAAAGTATCTAAGCGACGCCTAGGCGGGTCACGTGGCGCTCGTTCGAGCGCGAAGATACGCGTGTCTTTGCTTCTAGTGTGACGCACCCAAATATGTCAAGGCTATAATTGCAACGTCCAATTGATCTAGCTTCGTATGCATCTGTGGCAATAGCTCGTATCCAGCAAAAAATGTTCGAACCTCGTATGCAGGGCCAGGGTTGTGGCTGTCAAAAGGTGAGACGGTTCCAAAAGGAGTTAGCGTCTCATTCGTGAAATTGCGACAACCAACCCTCGCAGCCAGGGGAGAGTTGAAGGTTGAGACCCACCAACTTGGCGTCCTTGCATGCGTAGATCTGCCCACGACCCTCCTCTTTTCTGCTCCGAGTTCCGCATCCTGTCCTTCTCTTCACATTGTGCTCCCGAGCTTCAAGCCCCGCATATCTGTCCTCTCCGGGCTGTCCATTCCCTTCCGGCGCACCTCGACCGCACCTTTCACCCAGGACGCCCACACGTAGCCCGAACATACTCCTTTAATCGCAATGTCCGACGACAAGAAGAGCGACGACTACAGAGTCGACATGCCCTCCTCCAGGACCTCGAGGGCGCCCTCACCCATCATGCGCCCTGCACTCAAGAGCGCACCATCACTTACGGAGAACCCAATGGCTGCCGTCCTCGCATACTGCGCATCTTCAATTCTCATGACAGTCACGAACAAATATGTCTTGTCCGGAGTCGACTTCAACCTCAACTTCTTCCTGCTATGTGTACAGGTATGCAAAGACAATGCTATTGTGAGAAGCTAGGGCTGACAGTGTATAGTCTGTTGTCTGCGTGACAGCCATTTCCATCTGCAAAGCGGCCGGCCTCATTACCTACAGGGACTTCAACACGGACGAAGCGAAGAAGTGTATGTGCATTGAGCTCTAGGAGGAACAACAGCTGACAGCAACAGGGTTCCCCATCTCCCTCCTCCTCATTGGCATGATCTACACGGGCACCTGGGCCCTGAAATACCTCTCCATCCCCGTCTACACCATCTTCAAGAATTTGACAATCATCTTGATCGCATACGGCGAGGTGCTCTGGTTCGGAGGCTCTGTCACACCCATGACTCTCTTCTCCTTTGGACTGATGGTCCTGAGTTCCATCATCGCCGCCTGGGCCGACATCCAGCACGCCTTGAACAGCTTCGGCCAGCAATCCGAAGCCGCGAACGAGGCCTTGTCGACTATGCACGCCGGTTACCTCTGGATGGCCTTCAACTGTGTCTGCTCTGCTACATACCTTTTGTCCATGAGGAAGCGCATTAAGTTGACCAACTTCAAGGACTACGACAGTAAGTCGACTTCTCTCAAGGCGCGCAATTTGTACTAATGAACGACAGCCATGTACTACAACAACCTTCTCACCATTCCCATCCTACTTGTTGCCTCTATCCTCGTCGAAGACTGGTCCTCCGCGAACATCCAGAAGAACTTTCCCCCTGAGCAGCGCAACACCGTTATCATGGTTATGGTCATCTCCGGCATGTCGACTGTCTTCATCTCATACACCTCCGCCTGGGCAGTTCGTGTCACTTCTTCTACCACATACTCCATGGTCGGAGCCCTCAACAAGCTTCCAATTGCCATCAGTGGACTCGTCTTCTTCGATGCGCCCGTCACCTTTGGCAGTGTCTCCGCCATATTTGTCGGTTTCGTCAGTGGTATCGTCTACGCGGTTGCCAAGGTCCGACAAAACAGCAAGCCCAAGACTGTCTTGCCCACCACCAACATTCCACTAAGCGCCAGCAGCAGGAGCATGCAGGACAGTCTAAAGGCTTAGATGCACCCTCAAATGCTAAAGGCAATTTTTGCTACTTGACGCATCGCCTTGGATAGAGTCCACTGTGTATCGTCTCTCTTCTCGGGACTCTAGGGATATTTCAATTCTGCGCCCTCTTGCATCTTTTACATACCAAGCATTGCATTACACGATTTTAACACCTTGTAGAATGGTTTGGCGTTTTTTTGAGGGATTGTGTGCTAGGAGGTGTTGATGGCGATATGAATATGGTGTATTCTGGTGTATGCTGCACCCATGAGCTAGCAATGCAATCACGAGGATTATTTTGCCAGTTTTTCGTCTTTTCTCATGTACTGCCTTCCCAACAACAGCCTGTGGAGCTGCAATGTCGCGACACGCACAAACACAACAAACAAATACTACAACAAACGCACTATACTCTATATAATTCTCTTAATTCACTGTTTCTCTATCGAACAAACATCACAACCTTTATTTTAGGTCCACCGTCTGCTGTGGGCCGCCTTCAGTTCCACCAATTGGTGAAGTCTGAGGCTCGCTATATGGTCAGCGTTCGAATACTTCTCCAGACATAAGTCTCCTCGGGCTGCCATACACCAGGAGTAGAAGTAGTAAGAGCAGGATTATACTGGGCAATTAACTAAGAAAATGAGAGTTTCTTCCCCCGCAAAAGCGGGGTTCTCTTTTGCATTTTTTTGCGCACTCTTTGGCAAATTAAATGTTTTTACTCATGGCTTCCCTTATGCGCAATCTGCTTGCTACCTGTTTGCTACTTCCTTTTCACACGCCTACAAAGTATGCCACAAAGCGCGTTTCTAAGTCATCATCAGTTTACTTAAATATGAAAACATATTATATAAGAAGAGGCGGTTCACGGTACATTACTCGACCATGCTATTCAACTTAACTCAATTGAACACTGTAGAGGTTTCGATTCTTTCAACATCCACATCTAGTCCTTTGTCCAATTCCGGCGGTTGTTCGAGCAGGTTCACGAAGCCTCACAATGTCATTGTCTGCTCTGGGTCGAGACCTAGACAAAGCACTAAAGAGCGACGAGTGAAAGTTACATCGACGGCATTGTTGTCTTGTTATCACCGTATCTCGTGCCATGTCAACACACAGAACATTCTGTGCCTATATGATTTCCACCGCCTCAAGCTACTTAAAAGTTGCACCTCTGCTCCAACCTAGAACTCATATCTTCTCAGAATTATCTAAATCAACCATCTCTCCACAAACTCACCACAACCAAAGTCCAAAAAGTCACTGCAAAAATGACTTGGCTTGATAACATCATCAAAGAGGCTGGGAAGGGTAGCGAGGAGACCGACGAGGAGATGCCTAAGAACGAGACTTTATCGAAAGAACTAACAGCAGAAGAGCAGGCAGCTGCCAAAAACATCTTGGACATGCTAAGCAGCAAGCAGAAATACGACGAAGACCTCATACGCAAGGATGAAGCACGTATCTTCGAATCAGATGTACCCGTGGATATCAACGGCCACGAGAACCACACGAACGAAGCCGTCTTCTACCAGCCCAGCACTTCATACACTAAGCATGTGCCAGGTGTACCCTATGCCGTATCCGACGTCAACTGGATGTGCAATCAATGCACGGAACACAAGATCTGCGAGCGTCACCTCCATGACCGCAAGCCCCAGAAGACCGATGTATCCCTCTGCTCCGACAGCCATCTGCGCATGGCGGTGTACTGGGACATCAGCGACCCCGAGAATCGCAAGAAGACATGGCGATTCGTAATCGAGGAGAAATACGACCGCTTCAGGGACCCTGAACAAGTGCGCTCCAAGCACGACTTCGCCGCAAACCGCGGCGGCGGATGTAAACCATACGAACCAGTACATAGGATCAAGGAACTTGCTTCCAGAATCTTCCAGGACTACAACGAGGACCAGAAGGACAAAGCTCGTGTGGCGAACCTGGACTCCAAGGGCCGCGAATACTATACCAAGCCCAAGCACTGGGGCGGCAAGGAGCCTTTCAAGCCATCTGAGGCAGCACATGTGCGCGCAGCACACGAGTACGATCCCTCTGGCGGCAGTAGGATCGAGGCCGAACTCTGCGTGCTGTTGCAAGCATGGTATCAATCCAAACTGCCCCAGTCCGAGCACGGCATTGACCGCACAACTGCCAACGCCAACAAGATCTGGCGCAAGAAGATGGAGCTGCAGGCCGTTGATAAAGTCGCGCAATTGGCGGGCGGCAAGTCCGGATTCAAGGAGAAGATGGCGACGTTGTTGCTTGGCGCCATGAAGACGAATGCGAACGAGATGAAGCGCTTCGAGATGAATAGTCGGGCTGTACGCGACACGACGATGAAGACAGGCGTCGAGCGGGCTGCTTGGTGCGCAGAGCGTTTGCGGGCGGAGAAGGCGGCGAAGAGCAAGGCTCGCTATGCGAAGAAGGAGGAGACGCGTAGGGCGGCTTTTGTCGATAGTGTAGACTCCTCATCTGAGAAGGCTGAGGAGGTCACGGATGACACACTAGCTATGTTTGAGCAGATGGCGAAGGATGTGGAGGACGAAGACAAGGGCGGAAAGCAGAAGCCGAAGCAAGTCGATCCCATCACGAAGCCCAAGGTGTCCAAGGCGCCTCGCGAGCCTACGGCGGAGGAGCGCGAGCTCTTACAGAAGATCCAGGACGCGGGCGAGGAGGATGCTCAGGAGGAGGAATCTGTAGATCCCGAGCCCGAGGCTGAGATCGAGGAAGAAGAAGAGGAAGAGGAAGAGGAAGACGCAAAGACAGAGACTCCAAAGAGCTCGATTCCGGAGCCCAAGTCTAACAAGCGCAAAGCCACCACCTCCATCTCCCCTTCCGCTCCCTCAGCAAAGAAGTCCAAGAAGGATCCTAAGCCCATCGCCACGCCCAAACCCAAGCGCAAGGCTACTACTCCCGTATCCTCAGAGCCCTCAGCCAAGAAATCCCGCAAATCGTACAAGTCCGCCGACATCATCGACGACTCGAACGACGAAGCGGACTACGACCTGCCATCCGCCCCAGCACTCGCATTGTCGGAGCAGCGCGAGGGATGGAAGATTCTCGGCGTTGTTGGCGAGGGCGTTAAGGTTGTGCAGACGGATAGGAAGGCGAAGATTGTCAAGGCTGCCAAAGCGGATAGCGAGGAGGTGAGTGTGGATGTTGTGGTTGAGCGGGGGACGACGATTGTGAAAGAGGTTGTGAGGCGGGACACGCCTGTCCGTACACCTTCACCTGAGCCGAAGTTTCCTCGCACAGCTGCGTCTCCCGCTCCGTCTCATACATCTTCCGGTCAATCTGCTTCCTCTGCATCATCGAAGAAACGCAAGACCGTCAGTTGGTCGGACGGCCTCGTCGAGCAGCCGGAGAAGAAGCGCAAGTTCTCGCAGTTCTACGCCCCGGGCGTTGGTCAGGCAGATCACGATGACGACTTGTTTGAGGAGTAAGTCATTGCAGACTATCCAGTCTTGATATAATTCCCCATGATTCGCGAGCATAATTTTACATATACCACAGCTAGAGTTAATCGCATTTGTATTTGCATTTTGAAATTGCATTGTTCGTACTTCATATCCATCTATCCCATCCTATCCCATCCCATCCCATCCAATTCCAAGTATGCAGCGCGTATCCAATACCAACCCATCCCAAAAATTCCAAAAGGGGTATTCTCATGCCCAAACGCCATCCCGCTCCACATATCATATCCCCTTGCCCTTTCCTCTCTCACTTAACATCCCCCACCCCCACCACCACCACCTCCTCCGTCACCTCCGCACCCTCCTCCACCTCCACCTCCACCATCACCCCCACCAAACCACCCTCCACCCGTATATGTAGGCGCGTATGCATATCCGCCGCCACCACCACCACCATAATGATGTCGCTTGTTGCGTTTAGACTGGCGCATGGGCGGGGGATAGTCGTAATCCGAGTGAAGTTTGGAGGCGTGGCAACCCATTTTGAAGTGTTGTGTCGGCAAATCGTAGTATGCGGCTTTGCGCGAGAGGAAGTTTTAGGTTGAAGTTTGAGTAATGGTGTAAAATGTTGTTATGGTATGTGGATCGATATCGAGATAAGTGTTGATATCCCAAGTTGAAGTCGAGATGGATATCAAGGTCGTAGATAAATGCTCGTTGGGTAGTGCGGTAATTCGTAACTCTTGCCTTTCCTTTCCGCTTCGTGTTGTGACGTCGATGGAATTACTTTGGTACAACTTCTTTAGAGTCTGTACCAAACTTCTTAAAATGCCCTCAACCCTCCGTCTCTCCTCCCCTCTAAATACCCTCTGTGAATCTACCATCTTACCTACTCAGCCCTGCGCATTCTGCCTCACACCATCAGGCGTCCAGCGCATTCCGTCATCCCCCACCGCACTACCATTCCCACATCGGTCATGCTCACTACCTTTACCACATCTCATTCGCCATCAGATACGATTCCCGCATGTGCGATTCCGGATCGCCATGCGCGGTGTCTGGATGCGGTAATGTTCGGGCGCAGGGCTTAGCTACGTGGTCTGTGCGTTGGGGAGGCTGTGAGGTGGGATCACGTGGATTCATTCCCGGACTAGGAAGGAATCGTGCAGATAGGCTGAATTTGGGTACTGAGTTCGGGGACCGAGTAGGTGGGTGTAAGTGGATGGTGATATTCGAAGTCTGGTAGAGAGTGCGTCATTAAGGGTTTCGTAACCTAACGCGAGCAAAAAGACGCTTGAAGTTTTCTACAATTTCATTTCCGCCACTTTCATATAATAGGATATATGCATGTGCGCCGTTGATAATTACCCGTTGTATTCGGTTCTCGAATGTGCCTTGTGTGAAAGAAGGCTCTTAATCACTCTCTCCCTCCCTCCCTCTTACCCAACACCCAAATACACCCTACAGAGAAAAGAAGAAGAAAAGTGTATCGATATCCCCAATCCCACATGTCTATCGTTAAAAAAAGAACACAGCCGTTGTTTTTTGTAAAGATGGTGCTATTCATCCAATTCCGCTCGCTCTGCGCTTAAAAAGAAGGGACAAAAGGAAAGGCCAGTTAGCTCCGGCCCAATGCACATCGTACAACAGAATCCCACTCGTGATTCGGAGAAAGTGTCTATTTGCCGCCCTGCTTCTTTGCCTTGAGCGCAAGGTGGGAGTACACCCATCCTCCGCCGAGGGCCAAGAGCACGCCGAACCACTCCCTTGGGCTGAGGATCTTGCCCTCGCTGTACCAGCCAATGCTCAGGATGAGGATGGTCTTCAAGTGACTGACGATGTTGAAAGTCAGGGCGCTGGTGCGTCCGATGATCAAGAACTGCGACAAGTTGTACATGGAGGCCATGATACCCGACGCACATGCACTCCAGAGAATCGTCGAGGGGACTTCGGAAAGGTTCGGGATGGTGTCGAAGAAGGGGACGAAGGGGATGAGCAGGCAGACGGAGATGGGGGCTTGGTTGAGCAGGAGCTGGGGCGGGGAGACGGCAAAGTCTTCGATCTTCTTGCCGATCCAGATCTGGTAGAGGGCGGTGGAGCAGAAGGCCATGGTCGCGACAATGACGCCGAAAAGCTGCGTCTTGGCGGTCTCGTTGATGGTGAAGGACACTCCGATGCAGGTCGCAATGATGGCTGCGAGCATGTAGCGGGTAACTTGCTTGCGGAACATGACGAAGTTGATAAGCACGACGGTTGGGGTGGTCATGACCTTGGACAGTTGGTAGAAACCAATCGAGTTGAAGGTCAGGGACAGGTTTCCGAGGACGACGTAGCCGGCGAAGAAGCCGCAGACGGGCAGCATGTGCAGCCAGTTAAGGCGCACAGCCTTGAAGGCGCGGAAGGGACCGAGGGTGGAGATGAAGAGGACGAGGCCGGTCGCTGTGAAATGCCACATGACGACCATGAGCTGGCACTTTTTGATTTGCGCATCGCTGAAGACTCTGGGCTAGTGTTAGCATGACGATCTCTGATGTGTGCGGGGATATGGCGTTGGCCTACTTCTTGCTGAGGAAGATCAGCCCCAGGGTGGACAGGGTGTTGAGCGCGATCCAGAAGCACGTTATCAGCTTTTCCTTGAGGGGCAGCGGCGGTTGCTCGGTGGTCGCGGGCTTCTCGACGTATGGCAGCTCTTCCAGCTCGTGGGACTCGCGGGGATCGATGTTGTCGACGAGGCCGTCGGTTGAGGGGCGTTTCTCCACTGTTGTCGCTGTCAGTGCGCGCCCTGCACGATGGCGGCCGCGGTGGTGGCTTACCCATGGATGCGGATTGTTGCGGGAGCGAGCGACTGTGGGCGGAAGAGTCGGGGCTATGCGATCATGCCAGAGTGTGAGGGAGCAGTGAGCAGTGAGCAGTGGCCGGGAGAGGAGAGGAGCGGAGGCGCGGGTGTCGTGGTACAGATACGGCGGAGGCTATCGGGCGAATGCGACTGTAGAGATGCGAGGGCGCAAGGGACGGACGCGGACACAGCGCGCACAGCGACCAAGAGCACAAAGAGCAGAGACGATGCAAAAGACGCACAGGAGAAGGAGAGGGAGACGAAATCAGCGGCACGCCTCGCATACGGCCGCCAAGAAGGGGTGTCAGCGAGCCCAGTTGGAACGAAAGGGCAGAAGCGTGCAGGGTCCAATCACTGGGCGGGTAGCGCCACGCTGCAGTCGCTTTAATTTTAGCCACAGCCCGCCGCGACCGTCCACCCTGGCGTGCAGGGCTGCAGTGCTTCATTTCGTTGCGGATAGCCTCTGGGCTAGACATTGCAACCTTCATGCATCTGCAAAGTTGTCTTTGCAGCTTGCAGCCCTCAAGCTCATCATCATTGCGGCACGCGGGTCCGCATCGCATCGACTCGGCGCCACCCCGAGCAGTAAGCACAGCCCCCAGCATGTCGTATCCATACTTATGATTCGTAAAGCGTAAAGCGTAAAGCGAGAGATGCCTCATTCCGCGCAGCCCCACTACAATCGGCTTCCTGTCCGGGCAGAAGCGTACCGCAGACCTGACATGTTTCAAAATCTCCAAGCTTTAGACTCCACTCCATTTCTGCATCGCCACATCCTTTGCTACACAGTCACGTGACAGTGTAGTATTCACGCCGACATCGTTCCCGAGGGCATCCGCATGCGCGCCTGCGATTGTGAGCGGTGATCAGAAAACCTCCGGGGCCCGGATTTTGGCTCTTACACGCCAAGTACGCTAGCAATCCGTTCATGGGAGCGGAGTGTATAGGCTGGCCAACCGCTAGCCCACTGATGGATGCAGTGTCAAAAGCACCGGCCGGCTTGTCCACGTCAGCGCCATTGAATCTCCCCGTTACAGCCCTGGAAGCTGTATATAATAATCTCGAGACATGTTTAAATGTTACAATATAGATGGGCCCGGCACTGTCTAAACCCCGTTTCTTCGTCATGCTTCCTCATCTCCGGCTTTGCCCTCTCTCGGAAACTCCTGTGTCTTAGGCATAGTTCCGATGATGGTATTTCTGGAAGTACCTAAGAAAAGAGACGGAGGACCATACAGGCGGCAGTCTTCCCCAACCAATGCTCGTTCGAGACGTTCCGTTCTTCGATCCATGTAATGTTGTGATGATAGATTAGCCCACAATTTGTTTGAAAGTTCCCTAGCATATATATCTAGACAGAAGTAAAACAAGCTAGGTAACAAAGTACTATTGAATAGATAGGTGAAGTTATTGCCTGTGTGTATGGATGCAAATACACAATTTTGGAACACGGAAGTGTAATGGTACGCGTGCCGTCATTGAGCTGACCGCAGGCTTAATATTGAACCCTTGCCCCAATTAGCTGAGGTTTGAGATACATATAGCGCAGCGGCATTTGTTTACATCACAGTGCAGGCCGAAACTTCCCGGATTGTCGATGGATCGCCAGTCACGTGTATCCCAACCCTTCCACCGCTGTCTATGATCAGTTCTGACCCCTATGCACATGACGCGTAAGCCAGTTGAAGAACCCATATAGATTAGTAGCAGTTACTGTAGCAAAGTCTCTGGTATGTTCCTTGCCGAGGAATGCCCAGCACCTATGCTGTAATCAGTCCACCCGACCTCGTGCGGACTGAATCCGGGGGGGAACATGCGTTTCAAATTTGGAAGCGGGGCTAGAGCATGTTCGCGGAAGATCGCGTTGAGAAACGGTGTTACGAACAACCAAAAGTAGCTGCATAGATGCCGTCTTCGTATTTCAGACAGTCATAGAAAAGTCTTGAGCGAAGATGGAAGATGAGGAACATTCTATTGACGTGCGGTGTCTCAAACTTGTCTATACTATCCTTCAGTCTTCACTCGGCAAACAGAGAAGGCTAGGAAAACAGGGTCGTGCAATCGAAGCCATTAGGCTGTCCGTCATCTTCCCACCCGGACGAAGCAGTCAGTTCTTGAAACACTGGCCGCCATTCGCTATGCATAGTCCTAGATGTTACGCTTCGTGGATCGTTGGGGCTGAAAACAAGTCAACGGACGTTTTCTCAGACATCATGGTAAAGAACGTACGGAGCGCTCGTTGACTGCTTCTTTGGCAATGTTCTCAGGAGCAGCGGCCACAAGGGCTGCGAAGGCGAGAGTAATGGCGACGAAGAGCTTCATATCAGCGGAAATTGAGCGGGTCGGAGTGCAAGTGGTGTAAATGTGTGCGACTGTTTGAAGTGATGAAGGAAGAAAGAACACGCACCTACTCCTCTGTCTATATATGCAAGTTCGAAGCGATAAGAACCAAGTCAATCTAATCACATGGTACAGGCCTCTGAAAGTTTGAAGCTACGTATGTCGACCCCCCTGTACAGTGCATGGAGTCTCCAAACGCTAAGCTGCATCCTAGATAACGCAGTTGATTAGCTGCCATGAATTCTGAGTGGCTGGGTTTATTAACTGCGCACAAATCAAAGGTTTTCATGCTGATCTAGTACTGTTTTCCTTCTGAGAAGATAGACATGGGACGGCCTGATACGGTGATATACACTGATAGTATCTGACATTCACCAGGATTGGTCTTGGTGTCTGGACACCCTGTACCTGCTGTCTGATTTGATGGAGATGATGAGTCGCCTCAGTTCGATGACGTATCCTGTAGATGGGGCTAGTTTAGAGCGGATCTGCACGTCTGATGGAACTGTGGGGCGATTCCGAAATGTTCTCAGCACACAACGCTGTTGATAGAAAGTTTTTGTCTTTGGGCTATCTATTATCAAGTATAACTCGTTAGTCTATGACTAGACAAGAAATATACACTCTTTTCTTAAGTGTAGAGATCAACTTCAAACAGTGTTTCAAGATAGGAGGGGTGTTCCGTCGGACGTGCAAAGGGGGGGGGGGGGGGGGTAGTCTACTGACCGCACCGTAGCGCCTTGATCTTACAGTTTCGCATGCATGCGGTAGTTTATCCCATCAGTTTTTTGATTTCATTTCTTGTTGACCGTTGGGCTAGGAAACAATGGCGGGGTCTTGCTGCGCAGAAACGCGGAGCGCTCGTCTTGCAGCGCGCAGGATATTGTCGTTACTAGCAGAGTCTCGCCGATGCATAGCAAGGGCTATGTGAGTACAAGCATCACCTCCTGCAGTGAGTCACATGCAACGGCACATTATAAGCGTGGTCCGAAACGAAACCGATGGAATCAGTTTCGCGAAGACCACTCAATGGCGAAGCAGAGTTGCTAATCCTTTTCTCACGTACCCCTGCTTTATTTCGTCATACGCACGAAGCTGCCCGAGCCCGTAGTAGACTGGTTATGTACGCGTAAACACAAATGCTACACTCCCCTCCCACGAATGGAGTGCTAGCGCAATTGGCGTGTAAGCGCTAAATCTGGCGTTTTTTTTAATATATTTGGCGTGTAAGAGCTAAGTTCGGGGTTGTCTAAATACACTTGGCGTCCAAGTACTAAATCTGGGGGTTTTCTGAATATCGCATTGGACAAGATCTCCGGCATTGACTCCTGCACGCAAATCACGCCAGCACTCCGTCCATAAGGGGAGCGTAAGTCAAGCAGGACAAAAGATAGGCAGGCAGGATAGGCTTCTGTTCTATCATGGTTTAGATCTGCATCAGATCGACCTCGGGAGGTAAGACCGCTTATCGGGTCGAGGTAGGGCCGTAGCTGCTGGGAGAAACTTGCTAGTTCAGAGAAAATAGGACCGTATCAGATCGAGGTCAAATTATAAGAAGCGTTGCAAAGCATATTTAGGGTCATTGGGCGTCAAGCCACATCTTGGTACATATTAACTATCAAAGGATAACTTCCAGCTTAGCTCTTTACTAGGTTCCCCTTTTCTTTCTGTACATTGATCAAATGTATATCAAAGATGGTGCGTGTTTTTTGTCCATTGCAATGACACATCAGGTATTACAATCAAGCAAATACCTGGCAACGCAATATTTTGAAAAAATCTCAATAGCACTGGAGGCGAAGCCTTCAGAAGCCTGCACGCTGGACTTCTTCCCCTCAATGGTACGAAAACTGGGGTTGGACATTTGGACTCACTAAAACTGTACTATGACGGGCTGTTTAATATTGGAAGGTTAATGTAAGGGTCAGTCCTCTTGTTATAATTAGGTCATACAAGATCAGTCAAAGGTTATGTGGAGCTTTGCACGTAAGACAGGCGGAGACGAAATTTTTCACGCCCCAAGGCTCGACCCGTCGTCCAAGGAGACGTCCAAGTTCCAAAGTCGGAAACACTTCCGCGGCTATGTTGACAATCTGTAGCTTCTGTGTGGCTAACTAGCAATTCTTGGGTTTTCTTGGGCACATGACATCTGCAAGAAGGGTGTTTTGAGTGCTACAGTAGTCCTCGTCCCTAGTAGTAGAAAGGATCTCCCTTTGGGATATCTCCAAAGAGTGGAGCAAGAGTATTGTCCTTCTTTGCCGCTAAGAAATCCAGGTAGTAGTAGATGTGATCCAGAGATCTTGCATCTGGATTAGAACAGCGGTAGCATGGTACACAAACTATTCTACGAGGATATTGTAGTGCAATGCTTAACAGCAGCAGCTCTTCTACACCAACAAACTGGTTTAAAGAAAGGTAGTAGTAGAGCATGTCATAGTACTCTTTAGCTAGCCACTGAATAGATCTGGGAGTTCCGCCGAAGAAAACACCTATTGATTGTTAGTGAATAGGATCGTTAAATGTATTGTAACTTACCTGCTATTGTTCGAGTTAGCGGAGCAACCTCCCACGATGCATCGACAGGGAATGCGGGCTGTAACTCACGAGCCACCATGAGTAACTTGTCTGAGTAACCTTCGTGGCGTGAAAATATCTTCGAAATCTTGTTCGGATCTGGCCATGATTCTAAAGAGCCATTGTAAGACAGACTTGCTGCAGCATCATGCCAGAAAAGGTACTCCGAATCGAACGGGTTCAACATGGCTGTCATGTTCAAAAAAGAGACCTTTGCGTTCCACACACCATACATATGAGGAGAATCCTCTCTAGCATTAGTCCGTTCCTCATCTTGCCAGGCTATCTTCCGCTGGTCGGTATGAAACGACGCTGCAAGTGTTGAAAGGTTCGGAACATCCCATATAGTCTCGTAAGTATTATTTATGATAATCGGAGCGCCAGCCGGTCTTGAGGATAGGATGAACTCTGACTCTGAACTTGGAGTGTAGATGACGATCGGGGTCTGAACGCGAGATAGGACTTCCCCAATGAGACGGCGGTAGGCCTCCTCCTTGTTCGGATACTTTGGGTTGTAGCCAGGGTGTGGATACCATGCCGTGACGAGTGTAATAGGATTGGTCGTGTTTATTGATGTATTGGACGAAGTTGATTCCACGAGAGGTGACAGAAGGACAATTAGTGCCGCAAAGGCAAACGAGGAGAACCAAAACATAGTAAAGACTTCCAAAATGGTTAAAAATTTCGAAATTTTACAACGGATGATACCAAAACGGACAAGATGTACATACCAAGTAGTCATATGTGAACTGTCATTTCACGTTGCACTTATTTGACAAAGAGCTGTTCTTTGCGGATCTGACGGTATGCCGGTAACAAAGCTCGATCATGTAATTACAATAACTCAGATCACAAAAGGGCCTTTTGCGACAGCTGTAATATATCTACTGCACCTTAACACCTCCGATGGGACACTTGGCATCTACTCAACCCACGCCAACAGCACAACCACTCGATCAATCCGTATGAAAATAAACCTGTGCAGTGCTTTAATCAACCGAATTCTCAGAGGGTTTTTAACATTCTTCAGTTCTTTTGGTGGTTGACCAGAATTTCTGGAACTGATCTTCGCCAAGACTGTGTTGTCTCACCGGAGGTGTTAAGGTGCAGTAAATGCTGAAGTCAATAGTCGGATCACGAAAGGGCCTTTTCGGCCGGTCCGTCTCGGTGTCGAAGTCACCGTAGTAGCTATCCATGAACGAATCGTTAGCGCCGATCCGGATCCGGAGACAAGGGGTAAGACCAGGGTTGTTGTCTAGTACAGTTTTTTTGGTTGGAATCGAATCGAACCCTAGACATGCCCTTGTCACGCCAAAGGACGCTAGCAATCGGTTCATGCGAGGACTGTACTGTACGCTTGAAGTCGGATCGGAAAACGAGACGTCCCGGTCCTTCGAGTGATTCTTAGCAACGAATTTACGTCAAAAGTTATTAGCCAAAATGCAAAGCCTGTTCTTACTACCCTTTGTGACTTTGAATGTTTCAGAATTCCATGTATCGCCTACGTTGATTGCTCCAAGAGCTGATATCTACTCGCTAAATCTTGTTTGAACTGCGAGACGATGTTTAGTTGATCCTGTCTCTTCAAAAAGCTCAAGATCCCGCTGGATAGGTTTGGTCTTCAATATCCTTAATCCCGGCTTATTATTCTGTTGTTCACATAGCCCTGCATTCGGTGTTACGTAGCTTGAGAACTGAACAGACGTGAAAGCTGATCACAGTAGATATCTTGGTATCCGTCACGAATATCCGAATAAATATATTGTGCCGATTCTGATGTTATCAATCAGCTTGGTCCACAGGATGCGTCTTTGGCCTTAGTACGTGCTTCTTGTCATTCATGACATCGTTGGTCATACCATTAATTCTGGTATCCCCTAGTCTATGAAAAGCTCGTCAATTCGCGGGGCTTTAGGCTGCCCTAATCCCTCGCTGACGTAGCTTTTAGAGCGGAAGTTCCTCAGCTTCTCATACACTATGCGCTCTCTAAAGGCAAACCAGATGTCGAAGACAAGCCAAACAATCCCTGTCCGGAACTCTGTAGTTTGTATTAATTGTTTCGGGCAGACATAGCATGCTCGCCATTCCGGCAACATGCTACGTCATCTAAAACAGTCTCTAGTACGCAGCCTCATCCCGCCTTGACGTTACAACACACTATCTTCTTCTCCAGACTGAACTCTTTACTATGGCAATCCTAGGTCGTCTTATAATCGGGCGGAAGATATCTACTCTTCAGTGGTGAAGTTTACTTTTAGCGGTCTCAGGAGTAATCATTAGGCAGACTTCAGCAAGCAGAACCGGCGGCATCGATTCCGAACCTTGAACCCAGCTAGTCATTGGATGGATGCTTATCGCGATATCAGTACGATTGTTCTCCATAGCCTAACCTCAATGACTCAATCGATCACTCAATTCCAATTGATGCAAAGTGTGGCTAAGTTAGTACATATTTTGGCCGGAGTGAAAGAATCTCGGAAGCAGTGGGGCAACATCACTACTCTTTATCTCTAAATTTTAAGACTCCACCTATGCAAGAGCCACTCCTCAGCCGCGTCATTTGCTACGCATTAAAGCGGACACCGCGCCAAATTCAGTCCCTAGCGCAAGTAATGAACAATGAAAAGCGAATGACAGTATTGTACATATGCACCTCGTCCGAACAAACGCGCGCCTGCTGCTCAAAGCATCCAGGTCGTCAGGGAAAAATGATATGAAATGGTGTAATGTTACAGAATTATGGGCGTGGTGGGCTTCTTATACCTCGCCATCAGCAACGGCGAGACGCTGCTTTGCCGTCTTTGCCTTCTTACTGAGTCCCTTCTTTCCCTTCTTGCCGCCCGGTGCACCTGGCGCTCCCTCGGTTCCGGGAACTGGTGTGGCTGCACCGCTACCCTTGGCGCTCTCGTCAAAGTGTCCTTCGCCTGTGCCCATGTTAGTGCTTGTCATCATCAATATGGACCATCTCAGACTCACCCTCGTGGTACATATCGTCCAGGTTAGCCTCAACGCGCTTCTTCTTGCTACGCTTCTTGCCTGGCGGTGCATTCTTCTCCGCCTCGGCCAGCTCCGCTTCCTTCTTCTCAATCTCCGCAGCCTGTTCGTCGTCCACGAGCCACATGGCCATGTCCTTGGTGCGGTTCTCGCGTGATCGAGTGTTGAAGTCGACCGCTCCGCCGGCGCCACCCGAGATGACGACACGCTGCACTTCTTCCTTCTGCAGCGCACGCTTGCGAATGCGCTCTTCGATGGTGCCGCTGGTGATGAGACGGTAAACAGTGACCTGTCGGGTTTGTCCAAGACGATGCGCGCGGTCCATGGCCTGCGAGTCAATCGTGGGGTTCCAGTCCGAGTCGTAGAAGATGACAGTATCGGCCGACGTCAAGTTGATACCGAGACCACCAGCTCGAGTGGACAGCAAGAATACAAAGATGGTGGGGTCGCTCTGGAAGTCGGCAACAGTATCTCGTCGATCCTCCAGCTTGGTGGATCCGTCCAGACGACAGTACTTGTAATTTCGGTACGTTAGATACTCCTCCATGAGGTCGATCATCCTCGTCATCTGGAAGTAGAGAAGGACACGATGGTCGCCGGCCTTCAGCCCCTTGAGCAGAGCATCGAGACGAGCAAGCTTTCCTGAATCCGTGACGAACCGTGACATGGAAGGAGCCTCGATGTGCGTGTAGCGCGTCCTTGCATTGGTTGGCGAGGGCAGTGTGTTGCGTACAAGCGCTGTGCTGTGCGATTTTGTGTCGAGCAAGACTTGTTCCGTCTTGTCTGACACGCCGTACAGCGCATTGCGGATCGCAGGGTTGAAGAAGACTCGCTGCTTCTCAGCGATGACATCTTGGCTGGCGCAGTACAGCTCCACTGGCGGTGCGGCTGCTGCAGGCTTGGCGCACGGCTCGATCACGTCAAGGCCTGTCCGCTCAAAAGCAGATTGCGAGACGTTCATGAGGTTGCGCATGTATCCTTCGCTCGTCAAGTCGGTCAAAGGAGCGCGGTCCTTACGGTCGATGATCCTCAGCATCGAGTGTTTCGGCTCGTATTTGTCGTTCTCGTCATCATACAGCGTCTCGTATTGACCAAGTTTGTTTGGTGAAGAACCAGTCTCGAGGGCGCGCTCGAACAAGTCGCTCTTCGCAATCTTCGATACTTCAGTCGCTGAGAGATCGGAGAACCGAAGCCATGAGTGTGCGTCCGCCTCACGTGCCGATTGCTCCATGTTGTGAGGGCTCCAGATATTGAAAAGATTGTCTAGATAGTGGCCTCGGAAGCCTGCTTTCTCGTTGTCTGGTCCTGCGATTTCGAGGCGGCCACCATTTCGGCCGATTAGTCGTGGAAGAGAGTACTCAATGAAGTTGCGCGTGGTGTAAGCAACCCTCACATTCTGACCCTCGCGCAAGAAAGATGGCGTCTCTGCAAACGATGCGAAAGTGAACGGAGACCAAGTGTCGGCTCGCTCGAACAAGTCTGGATGGTTACAGACCTTCCTGAACTGCATGACAAGGTTCATGAGCGTGGCACTATCCTGCTCGTCGCCAACAGCCTTCTCGATCAGATCCATGATGCTAATCTTGTTGCGTAAGTTGGCGTAGTAGGCGCGCTGCCGGTACGTGAGGTCGCAGTAGACATCCAACTCGATCTTGTCTCCCAATTCCTTCTGCACGTGCTTCTTGACACGACGCAACATGAAGGGCTTCAGGATCATGTGCAATCGGCGCAACTGGTCCTCATTCAACTTGGTATTACTCTGCGCGTGACTCTCAATGTCCTTGGAAAACCATTCGCTGAACTCGTCGTGTGAGTCGAACAAGCTTGGCATAATGAAATGCAGCAAAGCCCACAATTCCTGCATGTTGTTCTGGATAGGCGTACCTGTCAAGAGTAGCCGGTTGCGTGAGTGGAAGTTTAGTAAGCTCTTCCATCGAGAGCTGTTCGACGACTTGATGGCTTGAGCTTCATCGAGAATCATGTACTGCCAGCGCATCTTTTGGAAGTATTGCGCATCCTGGACGACCAGCTGGTAAGAGGAAACCACGACATGGAAAGGCGAGTCCCGGGTATAGGTGACGTGTTTCCTGTCCCAGAGCTTGCGCAGGACTTTGCGATCCTTTGCCGTACCCCAGTAGGGAATGACGTTCAGGTCGGGAACGAATTTAGCAATTTCCTGCTGCCAATTGTGTAGAGTCGATGCTGGTGCGATGACCAGGAATGGACCCCAGATGTTATAGCGCTCAGCAAGGTATGCCATAACCGAAATGGACTGGACTGTCTTTCCGAGACCCATCTCGTCGGCAAGGATACCGTTGATGCCTTGCTCGTACAAGTTCACAAGCCAATTGAGACCCTTCAACTGATACTCTTTTAGAGTGCAGTTCAGGAGCTTCGGTTGTGGGATCCAGTCTTCCTTGTTCTGCAATCCGGATGGATTCTGGAAGTTCAGCTCTCCGTCATCCTCTTGGCCCTCCGGATTGTTGAAAGCACGAGCACGATCCTGAGCCTCTTGAATAGCGTGTTGAGCATTGGCCATAGCAGCAGCATTGAGCGCACTCTCATCATCGTTGTCGAAGTCGAGATCCTCGAAATTGGTGACCTTAGCAGTGGGGTTTCCGTCCATTCCGTCAACGTCGATGCCTGGCTTCTCAGCTTCAGCTGGTGCACTTGCGGCGGTCTCGGCGTCATCTGTCGATCGTTCGATCTCAGCTGTCCTCGCCTTCTTGCCGATGAAATGAGAGTAAAGCTCAGTCTGGGAGATGAGGAAGTTGAGCTTGCGCTTCTGTCGGTTGGCTTCCCGCTCAGCTTCGACCTTCTTTGCGTTCTCCAGCTCCTGTCGCTCTGCGTTCTTACGAGACTCGCGCTCATCACGCTCATTGCGCTTCCAGAAAGCAAGCATCTCACGCATACCACGCTTGGCCCTGGCCTGTGTATCCTTCTGGTTTTTGTTCGTGCGCATCTGCCATCTTCTAGCCTCTTTGGCAGCCAATTGCGCAGTCTTGCGAAGGTTCGACTGCTTGGTGGAGAGTGAGTTCTCCTTGATACGCACAACCTTGGGAACATCCTTTCGTGCAAGGTCCTTGATGATCTGCGCATAGAGGTTGCGGTAGGCAGACGAGTCGTGCGAGGTAACGAAGCCATTGCCCAGCTCTTCCGTGTAGCTGCGGTCTCGTAACGATCCTAAACGTGCTTCCTCCCGAGGAGCTATGCTGGGCAAGTCATCACCGCGGTCAATGGCAGCCTGTCCAGCAGCAGCAGCGTCCTTCTCGGCCTGCTTTTGTTCTTTGCTCTTCTTGAGACGTCCTGTACCACGGTTGCCTTTTCGCTTCCCGCCGGTGCCCAGATCATCGGATGCCTGGAATGAGCTCATTGTGCCGCCTTCGAGATTTGGTCCATGTGGCGTAACTTCCCTAATGTCCTTGCTGGGAGCATTTCCTTGAAGCAGCTGGCTGGTGTTCTTGGCTTTGCGTTCTGCCTTTTGTGCAGCTGCGAGGTGTCGCTCCTTTTCTTCCTCGTTGTCGGCCTGGCCAGCCTTTGCGAGGGCTTCGGCACGCTTGGCCTCCTCGTTCTGGATGGTCTTCTCTCGCCTGCGCTTTCGTTGCATGTCCTTCTTGCGCTCTTTCTCCTCGGCGATCTCTTGGCTTTGCACTTGTTGCCAGGCGTCGCCCTCATGCTCGAGGTTATACGAGTGCTTTGCGTAGTCGCGGTGCGCAGCGAGCACGTCGTGGTAGCGCGTCAAAGTGGCATGTCGTCGCTTCTTCCGCTTGACAGTCTCGCCACTGATAACGTCGAGGCCGCGCTTGAGGCTACGCTCTCGCCACTCCTCATGCTCAAACGGAGCGCCTGGTCCATCGAGGTCGTTCATCTGTTTGGTCTCGATGTGCGCAAGGGCAGCCTCAATCTCGGCCTCGTCCGGTGCAGGCAAATCGCGAGGCGTCGCGAAGCTCTGTAGCGCGTGTGACGGTGCAACGGGGTGTATAGGATCGTAGGGTGCGCGATGCAGGATACCATTGTCGTGCGGCGCCAGGTCGGCCGGTGCAGGTGAAGCCATTGGCTCTTGTTTGACGAAGTGCGCGTTTGGTGGCTTGGATAGGTGACCGTGGTCGTGGTTGAGGGAGGCAGGCGGTTGTGCCTTCGCGGGGGGGTCACTGTCGGTCCCGGCTGACATTATACTAGAAAGCGACATAGGATCGGCACGCGTAGGTGGCGGTGCCTGGGTGACAGTTAGCAGGTGGTGTTGTAAGGGGAAGGGTCGGTTTTCACGCGCCTCGTCTTTCATTGATGGCCGTCGAGCATAGTTTGCGGGCGGCGGCTGCACGGCGCCACGGTTTGCGTGATAGACAGATGGTGAGACAGGTGAGTGAGACATGGCTTCCATGCCGCCAGTATGATGGTGTTGCGAGAGAGGGCGCTGCAGCGGCGATTGATGCGCGTACGAGCTCGCGATGGGCGACTGGTACGGCTTCTCGTAGGGGCTGTGTGCCGGGCGAGCGTCGGAGTAGGTGTGTGTCTCCCGAGTCTGCTGAAGTTGGGGGTTAGCTCCGCATCCCTGCATATAAAAAGTGTCGTGGCGATGGAGTAGGAGTGTGGGTGCTGATGGAGACGGGCCTGTACGCACTTGTGGGGAATGTTGAGGGTCGTAACGCGCCGTGTCCCTGGCTAGGCCGCGCTCTCCATGGTCTGAGGTCGGGTCGTAGTACTTTGACGCGGAAGTGTCGCGCGAATGGAGGGCCGTGCTGATCGGCGGCAGCTCAGTGGTATGGCTGGGGGATGGAGGCGGGCGACTCTGCTGATGGGGAGGGTAGTTGGTCGCGGAGTGGATGCGTGGTTGATGACCCTGTGTTTGTGTAGGCGAATGAGCCTGATGATCCCCTTGTTGCATGGTCTCTCCCTCGCCGTCGACCGAGCGTCGCAAGACTGGGTCGCGGAACATCAGACTGCGGCGCACGCACGAGTAACAATCGAGCTGGCAGAAGTGCTATTCCATGTGCGCAGGCCTCGTAGGGGAGAAGCTCTAGTTAGGGGCGCGCGGGATGATATCTAGCTCGAGCGCAAGAATGCAGCCTTCGAATAGTTGCGTGTGTTGCGCCGTGAGGACGAGGTCCTGGTGATGATGATGGCGACGACGACGATGGAATGCGAACTGGCGGACGCAGGATGATGATGAAGGCTGGCAGTCTGCGATCAAACGCGCAGCTTGGTTGGGTCAGCGCACTAAGCGGCAGTCTTTCTCGACCACCTGGGCACCTGCTCCCGGTCTCATGCAAACTCGCGACTCGCGACGATGATGTTTAATAGAGTGTCAAAACCCAAACATGCGATGCGAGCCACTGCCACGAGAGAGGGTACGCGACGTGTGTGGATGAGGGCAGGTACGGCAAATTACTCGCGCCACTTTCATCGCGAGCCCTTCCGCTCGGTGGGCTTCTCTTCCAAAGCTTGAACCCCATCTGATGTCCTAGAAGCATTACTGGAGTGGTGGACCAATCATCTGCTGCCGTGACACGGGAATGGCGCAGCTACAGCCGTACGTCGTCTATCTACTGTCTACGTCGTGCTCCAGCTTCCTGAAAATAGGATGCATGGTTCTGGCCACAAGCAAGCTTGTTCCCTCTGGTTGCTGGTGCAGCTCCCTCCCAACCTGTTCTTTATGAGGCGTTGGTTCGCCTAACAGCCCCTCGAGCTTGCGTCTCGAACACCAGTCGCTCCAACTTCGAGCAGTAAATACTTTGCAAAACACCCTGTCCGACGCAATCAGGATCATGACATCTCCCGCAATCGAGGCCGAAGCTCAAGCTGGGCGAGAAGCAATGGCATAATTGTCCCTTATTGGATCAGGCTGAACGAAGAACAGTGACGCGCCCCATGCGTGGCGCGTGCTGGCATTAGCGCAACTTCCCGCATCGCGCTAAAGGCCTTGGCATCAAATGTTCTCGAACTTTTTCTGTACGCGCAACAGACATCGCCAGCACATCCACAACACCCTTGTATCGCCATGGCAGCCGTATACAAGACTCTGTCAGGAAACGACCACCATGAGAAGGAGCCTGGAGAGAAGCGGAACAAGCAGCGTGTGCTCATTCTGGTAGGTTTGTCGCATGAAACGAATGCGCTCGTGCTAATGGCCTACAGAGTTCGCGAGGCGTCACATTCCGGCATCGCCATCTACTGCAGGATCTTTACTCGCTAATGTTTGTGTTCCTCTTACTGTTCCTTGATGCTTGATTGACAGAGTTTCAGGCCACATAGCCGAAAAGAGGCAAAACTCGACACCAAGACTAAGCTCTACCAGCTCAACGAACTAGCGGGTAAGGGCTTTTCTTCTCCGACAGTTCCTCTGCAACACCAACTGGAAATTGCGAGAAATCTAAGAATATTGCAAAGCACGTGCTGACAGCCACAGAACTTTACAACTGCAACAATGTCCTATTTTTCGAAGCCCGCAAAGGCAAGGATCTCTACTGCTGGATGTCAAAACCGCCCAATGGACCCACTGTGAAAATGCATCTGCAGAATTTGCACACCATGGAAGAACTCAACTTCATCGGCAACTGCCTGAAAGGATCACGGCCTATTCTCTCGTTCGATGCCGCATTCGATAAGCAGGCACATCTGCGTGTCATCAAGGAGCTCTTCACCCAAATCTTCGGCGTGCCAAAGACCAGCCGAAAGGTAAAGCCTTTTGTCGACCACGTGATGGGCTTCACTGTTGCAGATGGCAAGATCTGGATCCGTGTATTCCAAATCAACGAGTCTGAGACTAGCAAGAAGAAGACGGTTGATGGTGAAGAGATGGATGTTGATGCAGCGCCAAAGAAGAAGAGTGGAAAGTCCGAGTTCGATGTTAGCCTTGTTGAGATTGGCCCACGATTCGTCCTGACACCCATTGTCATCCAGGAATCAAGTTTCGGAGGCCCGATCATCTATGAGAACAAGGAGTTCGTGTCGCCCAACCAGATTCGTTCCGACTTGCGGAAATCCAAAGCTGGACGGTTCAACAGGCGGACAGAGGCAACAAGGGACACGCAAGTCAAGCGCGCCGATTTGGGTCTCACATCGCATGGTGGGCGCAGGAAGGAAAAGGACCCGCTCAGCGACCAAGTCCTGTTTGCTTAGATTATTGTCCCGCGATGCAAAAAGTAACGGCGTTCAAAGGTGCACATTGCTGGGGAATCGGCGCAGCCTTGTAGGGTATAGATGTAACTTAATCGGGCGATATACCCAAAAGCTATCTATGTTTGGCACGCGCCTCTTTGCGCAGTCATGCTTCGGCTCAAATCCTCTGCATATTCTTCACTCACTCCGCTGATTTCTACTCTCCTCGCGCCAGAGAGCACTCTCATCGGCTCCAAGACCATTTGCGTCTGCGCGAAGTTTGCTTCGTCTTGTACGCGATGTACTCTTCCACTGGGGAACTTGACTCTACTGATAGCGCCATCTATCAGATGGACCTGCAATTGGTGCAGACACGGCGTAACTGCGAGCTGATCTACCAACTCTCTCACTCTTGCTCTGATGCCCGCCGATAACCCTCTTCCCTGACAGTTATACTTTATCATGCCCGTATAGTCATCGACCGACTCCACATTAATAACATACTTCTTAATCCTCATCAGGTTCCGCTGACTAAAGTGTTCAAGAAACGCATACGTCCGATTCGGACACAATCCATTCGCGGTGCGCCACCGATAGCGAAACTTTATCGCATCGAACGTGACGTCTAGCACAAACATGCTGTCCCCGTATAGCATGTCCGCAGCCTCTTCGTGGATCTGCTGGTTCACGGCTAGGAGTGCAGTGCAGCCACGGAACCACACAATGTCGTGGCCTGTTTCGCGATCACTGGATTTGCCTTTCAGCATCATCCATCCCTCGGAACCGTTCTTCTGACGCACATAGGTCAGACTGCGGACGGGCTTTGTGGGCGGGTCGAGGGAACGCACGGTGTGGGGGAGGAGGAACGCGTAGATGGCGCGGCGGAGCTCGATGGGGAGGCGGAGGAGCGGTGGTATATCTTGTAACTGCTGCATTATATTTACTTATCGAGACTTCAATCCTGACATCTGCGTCTGTGAAGTTGGTACTGAAGCACACAAGCAGCCAACATTTGACGCCATCACGGTGTGCAATCACCGATTGGTCCACCGAAATCCGGGGATCTCTTGGCGCGCCATAACATCTCCACGCGATTGCGACGGTGACTCCTTTCCTCTCCCTTCAACAACCAATCATGACGACAATCGTAGCTGATAGCCTCTCTGGCTTTGCGATGCACACAATCATGTTCTCTGAGATGTTCGAAATTTCTACTTATAGCCCCAACGGAGGGGTCTGTGTTGTTTGAGTTACGAGTTCCTTATCGGTGTTGAGGTCATTGATTGAACTTGATACCGAACGATCGTTAGATCATACACAAGGACGAGGAGAGTTGTTTAGGAAGAATTGGAAACGACTGCTGGAGTGATTGTAGTATCAGTACGAAGGACAACTATCCAACTATCCAATCACAGGAAGAAACTCAAGTCATCCAAACTGCTGTGAGTATTAGCTGTTGCTAGCATATACAGCTTGATACACTCTGGACGTATACTGATTTTATGCGGCCTAGTAATTCACACTACCTTTTCAATCTGTATCACCACCACCAAGATGCTGTTCCAAGACCTGGCCACCGAACTGGTTACCCAGGTATTCTTTTCTTGTAACAGCATAGTCGATGTCCTTGCGCTTTCTTCAACATGCCATCGCTTCCGCAAAATATATACATCCTCGCAGCGTCTAGCCATCCTCGAGAGCGCCGCTGAGACTCAATATGGTCCACTTGAAGACCTCACGCAGCTGCTTACCCACAATTCGAGTCAGCCTGCCCACATCATTCGCGATGTTCCGTTCTCCGCCGCTCTTCTCAAGCAAATCGTACACCATGGTCGAGTGGCAGAGAAGTGGTGCGGCATCTATCCATTCAAGAAATGGAAGAATAACTACGAAAGCCGCCGTCTTCTAACAAGCGAAGAGCACTACCGTCTTAGAAGGGCAATCTACCGATCATGGCTGTACTCGCGCGCCTTCCACAACCGCGACCATCCTCGCGAGCTCCGAGCAACAAGACCCATGCTACAAAAACGCGCCGCTCTACTACACAACTGGAACAGCTGGGAGCTCGCCGAGATCGCAGATGTGAATGCCGTCATCCGCGAAGTCGTCCACAGCAACATCTGCCCTTCCAACGGCACCATCGCGCGCAAATTCAAAAAGCGCTTCCCCGAAAACGAGCACTCCCTGCTCTTCAACATCCACCTCAACTACCCCCCGCCACAAACACACAACCCCTTCGCAGCGCACTACCACATCACAACCAACAATCTCTCGGCCCACTTCAATAACACCCCAACCTATACCTCCCGCTACGCATCCTCGAAGTTCAGTCTTCTGCCCAACCACGAAATCGGCGCCGAGGGCTGGGGCGATGATATACCGCACTACTACGTCATTGAAGATATGCTGAAGCTGGATCCGGAGCAGATTATGTGGCTCAAGGAGAATGCGCCGTTGAAGGGGATGGTGGAGGGGTATGTGAGGAGCTTGGGGGATTGGTTTGAGAATAATGGAGAGACGTGGGTGCCGACGCTGGAGTGGGTGTTAAACCAGCGTGGAGAGGATGTTGGCGAGTTCATGGGGGCTATTGCAGATGGGGAGCTGGGCGTTGCTGTTAAAGAGGAGTAGTTGAGAATGTAGACTAGGGGGAAGATACATAGCATCTGAAGGTATTCGCACACTTGGTGTCCTGCTCTTCACATTTTTTTAATTGTCAAGAACGAAACGAATCGCGTTCCGTTATTGTGTACCAGCTCTGAACGACAAGCACTTGTGGAAGGAACACGGATTGCAAACACAAGATATCCATATCCAAGAACTTTTCCACTCTACATATGCCGCCGCTGCATCCACTGCGCATCCTTCTCATCCTCATACCTCCTCATCTCATCCTCCTTCATATCACCCGCAATTACCCTATCCAACCTCTCCTGCTCAACATCTCTCCTCTCCCTCTCTTTGCCCTTGCTCCTGCCCTCACCTTGATCCTGCTCCAATGCCTCACTCCCCCTCCGCCCACCTCCATCCTTCTTCCTCAACGCCTTGGTCTCCTCAAACCAGCGCTCCAGCAGGGAACGCGGTACGACGCGATGGAAAACAATATCCTCGTCTGCATGGTGGAATTCTTCGTTCGCTGCAACGAGAACCCTCTGAGCGAGAAGACGCCGGTCGATGCGTGTCCAGCGCGCTTCGGCGCTGCGGGAGCCGAAGGGCTGGGTGTAACGGATGTGAGAGGTAATGGTGATGGTGTCGAGATCGAGAGGGTCGGGGCTAGTGGTGTGGGCTTGAGGTGCTGGTTTGTCGCTCACTGTGACTGCTGGAGTGGTAGATGGTAGACTTTGGTCCCGACCCTCTTCACCAGGCGGCTGAGGTGCGTCAGCTTTCGTGGCCCACCACCATCCATTCTTGCCGCTGACGTTGGCGAGGCCAAGCTCTTTAAGCTCGGCAAGGGCTTGTCGGACTTCTTCGCGGGTGAGATATACGGCAGCTGCGATGTCGAGGATGTGGTGGGCGCCATCTGGTGGGGCGAATGTATAGTTAAGGAGGTATGTGTAGACCTTCTCCGTAGTTGGGTTGAGCTGTACTTGTGGCCTGTTGGTGACCGATTGCTCTGGTGTGATGTTTGATCCAGTTTGATCTGAGGACTTGGGCTCCTTGCCTTTTTGAGCCGGCGTAGCGTCTTTAGATGTTGAAGGTCCTGATGTTGCTGGTTCGGATAGCGCGTCTCTGGCATCAGACACTGCCGTCTCCACAATGCCCTCTGCTTCTCCTTCTTTACCGTCGCTTTGCTGAAATCTCGTTGTGGCCGCCCACCACTCACCATGAGTATGTACAAAGCCACAACGATTCAGTATCGCAAGTGCGTTTTCCACCTCTACACGCGGCCTTCCAGTCGACTGGGCAATGTGCAGAGTATGCACGCCACCAGCAGGACCTTTTGAAGCCTCCACGACATTGTGATAGACGGCCTGAACGGTGGAACTTAGGTCTTGCAAAGCCACTTCAGGTCTAGCCCGTGTGGGGGGTGACAAAGAACCATTTGGAAGAAGTATATCGCAGGCGTTGCACATAACGGACTCTCCTCTGGTGGTGGGTCCATGTCCTGGCGCCTTTGCTTCGTCTGGCATTGGCGCGTCGTATGTAACATCAGCACTATGAGGACCAGACTCGAGCTCCTCTCCTGCAAGCGCGGGAAGGTTCTCCGGCGGATGAGTGACAACCCAGGTACTTTCATCCATGGTATTGTGAACTTGGTCCTGATCAACTAGTTCCATCAATGCCAGCTTTACTTCTTGCTCTTCAGCACGAACAGCGGCGACGATACTACTGGTATCCAAGCCAATGTATGAGCCCGGTCGCGACTTGAGGTCAGCTGTAAGACACAACAAAATTCGTGTTGCTAGTTCGCTTCTGGAAGGATCAAACAACTTCGAAGCGTCTGATGCTGCTTGAGCGTTCGTGCCGAGTGTGACTGTGGCCGTGCTCAGTCTCTCCATCTTGTACTGCAAGTCGCTGAGTCCGCCACTTGCTCGCTTGATACCAGCGAGTTCGCTGCGAATGTCACTGAGGCGTTCACTCCATTGGACATGCTCGCTTGATGATACCTCTCCAAAATCGCCAGTTGACGCTACAGTTGTCTCCTCATCTCGAGCTTCCTGGGGACCTTGCAGACGGGTTATTTCCCGCTGGATCCTGAGGAACAACACATCGCGATCTTCATTATTCTTGCAGATGAAGGTCACATCTCCTTCAGTATTGAAGAAAGACGGCGAATGGATAGCTCCAGCGAGGGTGATTTCGGCCCATTTCGTGTATTGCTGTATGGTGGACGATGCATGCAGCTGCAAAGTCAACAGCACGGGGAATTCACCGTCTTCACCGAAACCACTGTAGATGCTGACCTTGCCGGAAGAGACATTGACCTTGTCACCAAGACTCGTCACATCTCCATCTTCTGCAAGTTTCTTCTGCACCAAGGTCTTCACCGGCTGAATAAAGGCTGGTTCATCGCGGGGTCCTGCGTCGTTGTTCGGTATAATGACCTGCTCCCGATCTACCGAGTAGTTGGAGGCCTGAATGCGTACAATGACGTGCCGAATTGCGCGAAGAAGTGCGTTGCATTCGTTGTCGTTTCGGCAACGGAAGATAAGCTTGCCCGTGGTCTCCGACATGGTCGAGGTCGGGAGACGATCCACACCATCGAGCTGCAATTCCGGAGTGGTTTTGAGTCGCGACACAACGGAGGTGTCATTGAGACTAAGTGATAGAAGAGGCCACTGTAGCTTGTTTTCGTACCCATGTTGGAAGACATCGACACGGTCAGGATATACTTGAATATGGCATTCCTGAGAAGACACCGGAGTGGGCGCAGAAGTTGAGTCGAGCGTCGCAAGAACGCGCGCCCGTGACTTCTTTGGTCCCTGCGGAACTGCCGTATCGTCCCTAACACTCGATGGTGTATCCACTGCTTGGTCCTGTATGACGGCGCCGTAAGGTCGATGCTGAGCGACAAAGGGCCGGCTGCGAGTTTTATCGCCATGACTCTTCTCGACGAAACTTAGCATTCGCATAGAGATGGGGAACATGTCCTTTGATAGTTCGATCTTGGTGCTTTGACCCCTGATGTCCGGCTTGGTGTATACGTTTTGATCCGACTGCATGTTCATGTACCAGAGAACTGTCTGTGCACGGGAAAAGCCAGTCTTGCACAGATCTCGTCCCTCGAGGTAGAGCCTGTCGATATCCTGGCAGGTCTCACACTCTTTGGCGTGCGATTCGAATCTAATGAGAGCTTGCTCTTCGTTGGCGGTAATTGGGCGGGGAGCTTCTGGCTGTTTTCCGAGGCGGACAGAGCGCAAAGCTTCACCGATCGACCCAAATAGAGTGCGTCGTGGTGCATCTGATGTGTTTGAGGTAGCAGATATGCCAGTGTCTTGCTTTGTGATGGTTATAGATGGGACTATCAAATCGTCGATAATTGGTGGGAAGTACACTGGCATGAGGCTTTTGTACACGAATTCATCATTAGATGAGAACACCACGAAGATGATCTTTTCGACAGGGTTATTGCGTTCTGCCGATTCCAGAAAACGCTTGGCCTCCTCAAGAGCAACTGATGCGACATCTCGTCTTGGGTAGTTCAACATACCAGTACCTGTTGTTCAGTCAGTATAGGTCTTTTCAGTGTGTGGGTATGAAAGCCAACCTATGCTGGGCAAAGCGATAGACGTCGCTCTCATGCTGACGGCTTCTTGCAGAACTTCTCGGTAGAGCTTCTTCAGTACGATCTTGGTTCCTCCGTTGTACCTGTCCGCAGGTATGATATGCAAGACATGTTTGGCTGGAAGCATGTATCCCTCCGTATGTCTCACCTCACCAATTTTGCACTGCCCGAATGCCGTGACAGCGGCGCGCATTTGTTCGCCGCCTTTTTGTAAGACTGTCCGATCTAGTGTTCCCATGCCTCTGAACGAGACATCAGTCGAGTTGACCATGACATCAACCTCGAGTTTCGTAATGTCTTCGCGAACAAGATAGATCTTGTCATTGAAGACTGCGGATGGCTTCGCCTGGGTAGGCTTCTCCTCTAGCTCACCTAACTTGTAGAGTTGTGCCACCGAGCGTATTTGATACAGCTTGACACTGTCTCGTGACTGAGCAATTGATTCGTTTTGGAACTCTCGAGTGAGCAAGACCTCGTTCAAATGATCTTGATTCCCTTCGCCTTCACGACCTCCTCTCTGTTTGACTTTGTAGTGCTCGAGCTTTTGACGTGTCTCGACCATTTCCATGATTTCGTCTAGGTCATATCCGTGTCCTGTGATCATGTTATCCAGACCTTCGAGCAAGTCGCGACATAGCTGCAGGAGCTCAGAGGGAGTTGTTTGGAGCCTAGTATTCATGTCCGCGAGGTAGTCATCCCATATCGACTTGTCGCCGCGCTGGCCGAGATTGGCATGATCTTTGGCCAGGTCAATGATTTCGGTAATGTTTCCGCAAAATAGCATCAACACTGTACAGACGAGCTTCAAATCTCGGATGTTTTTGTTGACATCGTTCGACCAAAGGAGAAACCGTCGGATCGACGAGAGAGAGGAGTCTATGGCTGCAAGATGGTTGAGGATGTCCTGCGGGAAGTCGGTGACTGAAAGGCTCATCCCAAGATTTAGGTCCGAAAAGACTTTCTGAACTTCATTTCGCGTGTCAAGAATCTTCATTGCCTGTGCCGCATAGTCCTCTGACCAGATCCCTCGTGCAGAATCCAGGTCGTCATGCGTAGGCGGAAAGTATACTGGCAAGAAGTCTATGTATGCCTTTTCGTCTGCCGCGGTGTTTACGCAAAAGATGATGCGCTCCAGATTGTGCTCCGGATGAGCGTCGAGATACTCGCGCATCTCCTGCAGGGTGATGCGCGCAGCCACTCGTGCTGGAAAGCCCACACCTCCTGTGCCTAAGCAAGGAAATGCGATGGTCTTGATTTTGTTTTCGATTGCCACTTTTAAAACCTCGCGGTAGCAGTCGATGAGCTGATTGAATTCTCCCATGCCTTTGTGTCTGAAATAACCAGGCCTCAGCACGTGTATGACATGTTCACTGGGAAGATTGTGTCCTCCAGTAATAAGTGCTTGACCCTCCAGTCTTCCTGTCAATCGCGCTTCGACAGAGAGTCCTGGTCCAGCAGCTTTATGAATAGCATTATTAAGAGTATCTCCTCTTGTCATCTTCAGAGACTTGTTAGCACTATTGACTATTGCATCCACCTTCAGCTTCGTCAGATCGTGGTGGCAAAACGATATGATTCGGTTGTATTTGTCGTTCGGGGCGAAACTCTGATCGCGCTGTTGGAGCCTGCGAGTTCTGTACAGTGATCTAATCGTGGGTATGTCGGCTAATTTCAGTATGTTCAGCTTGCTTTCTCGTTCATCATCTTCGGCATAAGATTCTGGCACATAGTAGCTGCTATCCTCAGATCCTGAGCCTGATCTGCTTCGATCATCAGGCTGACTGCCAGAGCTTGGAAATAGCGCACCAAGTCGTTCCTGGCTCGCATCTGGTAATTGCTGGAGGCTTTCCGCGGACAAAATTGCTCGAGTCGCTGCTTCTTGGGGATGATCGTCCGCGAGGTCAAGACCTTCAGATGCTGGATGCCTTCTCCCGGTCGTTTCGGGATATAGTTCTGGCTTTTCGCTTTCGTGTACGGGTAACGACAGGTCACTCATATCCCTAGACTCGCTGCTCTCTGAACGAACTCTGCTTGCTGCACTACTGGCTCCATCTGAATCATCTTCCCTGCCGTTGGGTAGCGCAAAAGTCGCGAGTCTTTCGAGATGGTTGGCGATATGGTTGTGGAAATCACCAAGACCCTCGATGTCTGCAGGCGCCGAGCAAATCGGGCAGGTTGTGCGCGCGTCTACGGTGGTCGTCTCACCGACCTTGACGATCGCGGATAGTTGGCTTTCTGGAAAAGACTCTGCATGCTCGCGCTGGAAATGATCTTCCAATCCAGCACTGGTCTTGTAGATAGCATTAGGATGTTCCGGGCATCTCCACGCCTTGCGATGCGTAGCTTCGTGGTCAGCCCATTCTCTTCGAGATCGGAACAACTGCTCGGAGCTGTCACAGTCAGGATATGTGCACACATAAGGCTGTAAATCCTGTAGAAGATGAGTCCTCCAAGCACGTCCTCTACCATATCGAGCAGGACATATAATATAACAGTACGGGCACTCAAAGTCCTTCTCACTGTCAGCGGCACGTGGAGGTGGAGGCAGATCGACTCCTTTGCCATGCAGATCCTTCACAGTGACTGCGTAGCTAGTAACAGATTTGGTATCGACGATTTCATCGAGGGACTGGTGGTGCTGTGTAGCTTCTGTGCCTGATAACAAGGTTTTGCCAGTCTTTTGACTAGGTGCATCTTGATTGCGGACGAGAAGTGGTGTACCTGGGAGAGCCTCCATGGTATCATTTCGAGTGGGCATTGCGGGACGATCCATTGTGGGCTGTTCCAGGGGTGTCTCTTCCTCCTGGACTGTCGACATGCCTAGCTTATCCCGATCTATAGATACGTCAGGACATGTAACTCCACTCCACTCTGGGAAGCACAGTGAAGGAGGAGCAGGATTCGGAATCAACTTACGTCGCTTCCAGTATTTGAATTGTCTTCTGCGAAGGGTGATTGCAGCACTGAGTCGGATGGTGAGGTAGTCATAATCTGCACCATCCGCTTCTCCTTCGTGAGGCTGCCGGAGATACCGGAGCAGCTCTTTGACATGCTGAAGATCATAGTCGGCATATTTGCTCAGAATATCCACGCCTGTTTCCGGATCTTTCGGCTTGAAGGTCGCTGCTTTAGCCGATCTTGTTCGGATAGTCGGTGTTCTGATTCGGACACTCAGCTTGTACAGATTGTCTATGATATCTACAATCTCCGAGAAGCGCATGCTCAGCTCGGTTCGGGAGCCGGTGTCTTCGTCGTCCTCATCATCTTTATCAAAGAAATCATCATCGTCGTCATCGTCCTCTTCAGTCGCCTCCGGTCTGGGTTGCAATTCGTAAGGTAACCGAGTCCCAGACACTATTGCAGAGGCTTCATTGATGTTTTCCTCTAACTCTTTGAGGAACTTGAGGGTGTTGGTGGATAGCAGTGGAGAGTCGCGAAGCCGATAGTCGAGCGAGCTATGGCCTTTTTGCAGAGCTCCGAGGTTGCCGGACCACACTCTGAACCGTCCGATTTCATCTTGTAGGCCGTCGGATTCAATTAGATGTGCCCATTTGCCGTCGCTCGTGTCGAGAGCGGTCGTCAAGTTCTGGAACGCTAGCACGTTCGCGGCCGTTGCGAGTCGTATCGAAGACATGACCTCGATCCCGCATGGCGAGCTTGTGAGGGTAGGCACGCTGAGTTATGCTATCTTGCAGCCTGCGTGACGCGCATAATAATGCAGGACTCAGACTCAGCGCACGAAGTCACGCACCTCAGGCGACGATGCTAGTCCGATTCGGGGACGTTTGAGGCGAAGCCGGAAGGCATGATCGTGCAACAAGGTGGCTGACGCAAAAGCGCTGCCTGTTGGACATCTATAACCGCTCTTCAGGGCGTAGAAAGCCCCAAGGCTGATACATCGCAGGCCGCACCCCTCAGACGAGGCGAGACATTCGCGTAAGCCTTCATATCTTGGTATCGCGATCTCGAGGTTTGGCTCAACCCCGCTCGCTTCCTTCCACCACAAATTAACCATGTCGCAGGCCTCACCGCATTGCGTGCATATGCTCGTCTCGGCACAGCTACAGCATGAGTGGTTTGGAAGTGGCTGGAGTAGTTCTGGGCTGCCTCCCGCTTATCATCCAAGGTACGTTCAGTCGACAAGGCCTAGTGTATTCGACTGACAGGGTGAACCAGGCATTGAGAGCTACAATGAAGGCCTCGACCCTATCAAAAGCTTCATGCGATGGGAGCACGAGCTGCCAAAGTTCATTCGGAAGCTCACCACCCAGCATATCCACTATGACCAGACGATTCGCGTCCTCTTCGCGCCCATAACGACCGACGTCGAGTTTGCGGAAATGATGGCAAATCCCGGCTCGGCAGAGCTGTGGAAGGACAAAGGGATGGCTTTGAAGCTCCAGGAAAGGCTGCAAGAGTCGTACCAAGAGTACGAACGCACAATTGCCGACATTGAGAGGATAACGAAGAAGATCGCGAGCAAGCTGGATCTCGATCGCGCGAAAGAGGTAGGCGCATTGAACGTCACACCTGCCCTTGCATCGCGCTGACATTCCTTCAGCTATCGCGCAACGATCTTGAAGCCATTCTCTCTGCGAACCCGAAGAAAGCAAGCGACAAGTTCGAATTCGGAAAGCGCATCAGATTTGGAATGAACAAGAAGGCCATACGAGCCCTGTTGGAAGAATTGGACGATTGCAACAAAGAGCTCGAGCGCTTCACGGAAAAGAGCGAAAAGATCGAGACAATTCGCAAATCTGTAAAGCCTGCTTTTGCATCCCGCCTTCAACGTATCCAAGGATATGCAAAGAACCTACATGATTCGCTCTTGTGGTCATGCTCCTGTAAATCGGCTCACAAGACAAGCCTACAGTTAGAGTCACGGGGCCAGCTTTTTGCAAGTGGGACAAGGAGAACTTCTTCTAGAACAAGCTTTACAGTGTCATTTACTACAAAAGCCACCGACGATGCGTCGTGGACATGGCAAGCCGCCGAGGTCTTGGTCGAGGAGGAAGAAGAAGACTTGCCTGCAAGGCCGATGTCCTCACCTAGAGCAAAGTAAGTCTAGGCAACTTGGCTGATCTACGGCTGAGAATGCATCGAATTCATATACTGACGCCATCAGGATGAGTAAGAGCGTGAGCTTCAGTTCACCTCCACCATACTCTGTCACGGACCCCGTAGCAACTACAGTTTCATCGTCGTCTCCATCACTGGAAGAGGTCAAGGACCTGTGTGCATCAATCAATCAAATGCACGCTTCGCGCCTTGGATTCTCTCTCGACAACAAAAGGAAGCTTCGAGGAGCTTATTTAATCGATGCAACGGAAACACGCGTTCCTTCGGCTGAAATTCTGACCCTAGAGGACCTTCTTGATCGCCCGCCTGTAGTCAATGGCAGGCGCGCGAAATTGACCAAAAAGGAGCGTTACAACCTAGCACTAACACTCGCATCCAGCGTCTTGTACCTGAACTCGACACCCTGGCTAATGGATCAGTGGGCTGCAAAGGACATTCTCTTCCATCGAACGGAAAATGCTATACATCCCATCGAGATTGATCGCCCACACGTAGCGCCATCGCTGGTCGAACAGAACAAAGGAATGCCGAATGGTCACAAAGCACGAGGATTCCACAACAAGAACTCGGTCTTGCTCGCTCTTGCCATCGCACTTCTTGAGTTGTATTTTGGCACTTCAGCTGGAAAGTACCAAGAAGACGAGCTTGGTGCAGCTGATCCCTTGCTACACTCAAATCCGTGGTTGCTATGCTCGATGGCACATACATGGGCGGAAGAGTCGCAGGACGATCTATCAGCTGCTTTTTTGAGCGCTGTGCGACATTGCCTAAGGTGCTTTGGAGACCCAGGCGCGAGCTTGCAGGACTCGGAGTTTCTGCAGGCAGCCGTCGAAAGCATTGTATTGCCTTTGCAAGAGGAATTGCACCAGTTTCTAGGCACGACGGTATCATGAGACAAGCGCAGCCAGCCCTGGGATGGGCGGACGGCAGGTCAGCTCGCTCTGGCAGGCGTGCCACTACTGGCCGTTCCAACGGCTCTCGTATCTATGTGACAGAACCACCGGCTCGACCCGCTTCCTCACGAGTCTGGCAGCGCATCATCTCGTATTGACCCACGTGCTACCAAGATCTGAATCCGGGGGTGCCAGCTAGCGCGACACATCCTTCGCATGTCAAAATGAACGACGTTTCGCGAATCCATCATGGTGATGGCGGGGGCGACGAGTTGTAATTGGAATGGCCACCTCGCTTGTAGCATCGATACAATGCGTGGCGATTGATGCGCACAGGACCTAAAAATACAGCCAGATTCGCCTAGTCCTTGAAGCTGCAGGTTCCCGAAGTCGCGCATGTGTGCATATGCGCAGCAGCTGTTCTGTTTGGCTGTGTTTGAGAGCTTCACCATGACAGGCTGTCAGCCGGTGGGGTAGATCGCAGGGGCGTCACAGAACACAGGGCCGGCGGAATGCCATGACGAAGTTGATCAACTGAGAAAAGCTCGAAAAAAGTGATAGTCGCAGCCCTTCCGGATCTGCATCTGTAGATAGTAAAAGGTGACGCGGTCAGCTACATTTGCTTATCGCGTGTAAGATTATGCAACGAGTTGTCGGAAATTCGCAGCAAGCATCTGATTCAAGCATTATCGAAACGCTTTTCTTGTGACACTACACTAAGATCGAAACCCAAGCCACCCGTCAGTCTCATCTCCACACACAGAGTTCTGGCAGCCTCGCACTTGGTGAAGAAAGCTCAGCGAAGCCTTCGCCGCGGACCTCCTGACGTATAGCGCTACAGTTAGCACAGTGAAGCGGCCGAATTAGGTGCCCCAACGGCTTCGGCGTGGCGTCAGGGCTGCACGCTCGGCGGCTTGTGCTGCGGGACGCCGGCGACACAGGACCTTTGATAGTTTTGATAGGCCGACGCAACGACGACGCTCTGAAACGCACTTGTTGTGCAGGAGCGGAGCAGATCTGGCAGCCAAACAAGTAGTGGCTAAGGGCGGTGAGGTGGCCACAGGACAACGCAACTGAATGAAGGTTTGCCTCTGATCAACATGTGTGCTGGGGAATGCTGTTGGATGCGAAAAGGAGAGATTGGTCAAATATGGACGGGCAGAATGCGGTCGAGTGCTATTAATAACCCTGGTTCACGTGCAGTCTTCTCCGCAGGTTGATGAGGCAGGCACGTCAAGCAAGCATGGAAGGAGCGACCGGTCACGTCTTGGGCCAGGAGGCGAACCACAACAAGCGCAAGAGGTTGTGCAGTGAGGTGTAAACACGCATCGCCACATGCACAACACAACAGCACAGCTGCGGACTGCATTATTGCCAACAGTCCCCATTGCAGGCCAACGACTCGCTGAAATTGTCGAAGGTGTTCGTCCACTGCCCACGCGCGCTAGGGGTCCCTCGTTCGAAGCAACTGGCCCGTGCACCCTGTTTCTCCTTTCGATAGGGACGTCGTCAATCCCAGAGCTTTATTCAGGATTCCGCAACCACCCAGAGCACCACCTCACCGCTCTCCCTTCCATACACCACCGTCGCTCACCCCAAGACACCTGACGCAGAAATCAATACTGGCCGGAGCGCAATCCCTCGCTGAGACGCTCCCTCTCCTGCTGCCGACACCATGGCTCAACAGTAGGGCGCCCCAGCATTGCTGTGTCTGAGGCCGCGAGACTGACCACGATACAGAATTGCTGCGTCCTTCAAGGACTTCTGGCACACCATGACCTCGTACGACCGCCACGCCTCCCACGACTCGCCCTACCGCACCGGGCGGCACATTCCCCTCCCTCAGAGCCGCCATGCCACTCTGACGTCGATTGCGACGAGCGGCGTCGAGTCCCGTACCGACCTGTCGTCCCCGTACCAGCACGACGAGTTGGCGACCAGCAATGGCTTCATTGGCTCCCCCCGCGGCCCCATGTCTCCGAACTCGCCATACTCACCTGGCATGCGCGGGCTCAGCCGCCAAGCGACTGCTGACGCTGACACCTTCGACAAGGGCCCCAATGGCGGCATCCAGATGCAGAACTTCAACGACGGCCTTCCCCCGCCGCCACCCGTGTCGCATTCGTGGAAGCGCATCGACCGCTGGGTCGAGGACAAGTACGAGGAGCTCTTTGACAACGTCTGTGAAGGATGCACGTCCAACGATGTGAACGAATTGGAACACGAACTCGACGCCACACTTCCCATGGACATTCGTGAGTCGCTGCAGATTCACGATGGACAAGAGCGCGGCGGCCTCCCGACTGGTGTTGTCTTCGGGCTGATGTTGCTTGACTGCGAAGAAATTGTCATGGAGTGGAAGAACTGGCGCAAGGTCGCCGACGAGTACCTTACCTCAAAGCCCGACTACCGCACTCCTCAGATCCCCGTCAAGGCTTTTGCTGGCTCGTCCACAATGCCGCCCATCGCACAGGTCCAGTCAAACACCAACCCGCTATGGCGACAGGACCTACTGGCCAAGCAGGACTCGCAGCCGCAGGGCGCTGTGCAGAAGGCTTATGCTCACCCTGCCTGGATTCCTCTCGCGCGTGACTGGGGAGGCAACTACCTCGCGACTGATCTCGCTCCTGGGCCCAATGGTACCTGGGGCCAGATCATCATTTTCGGCCGTGACTACGACTGCAAATACGTGGTCGCACGATCATGGGGCGCTCTCCTCGCAATGGTTGCTGATGATATGGGCTCAGAGAATGTACACATTGACGAGGAGACTGGTGAACTCAAGCTCCTTGCTTTCAAGCGCCAGAACATCGAGCCCCCATACCTCGAGGTTCTTCGCTGGCGATGCGACCAGAAGCACGGCAGACGACCACAGGCCAAGCGCCGGCCCAACAGCGGTCTCCGAGTCAACCCCAACGCACCCGGAAGCGTGGTTCCCAGCAGCACGGCTAGTAGCCCGTACCACAGCCCAGTTGTACAGCCAGAGGACCGAGGCCGAAGCCCCGTACGCCTGTCTAAGAAGTCCAAGGGTGTTAGCCCACGCGGCAAGCTTTCCAGCCCACTGGCCAGGGTCGCAGAAGAGACCGCCCAGCCAATTAGGGTTCATACTGACCTCGACTCAAGAGCTGGCGCAGGAGTCGACAACCTCATTTCTGTCGACACACCAAGGCCGAGCGACGACTTCCCGGCTACCCGCCTGAGCCAGGGTAGCGACAAGGAGAACAAGAGCGTCAAGGAAGAAACCGAAAAGGCACCTGCAGTGAAGAGCCCAGACGCCGAAGCATCGTCCGAGCTGAAGACGGTCGAGATATAGGAGACTCGCGACCTAATGAACCTTCATTGACACATCTATCGTAACGGCTGGATACTTGCAACACAGGCAATGGTTTCCTGCCATTCCTTTTTAACGGAGTGTAGGCGTCTTCAACCATCTCGAGATTGCGATACATCGACTGGCGTTACTCCCTCATTCCACGAACATGTTCACCGCGTGGCCCAAATGACGTCTTGACGTCACCCGACCAACCATGGCCACCCAACCCTTGAGTAAACGACGCCATAATCAACACCAATACACTGCAACCCTTTGTACAACAACCTTTTCTCCTTCACTTCGATTTCCTTCGCTGCTTCATACAACAAGCAGCAGCGTCTGTTCATTCTCTTCTTTCAACTGTGGCATTTGCATCCAGCGTAGCGCAACACGGCTCTGATTTTGTTTTATGACTTTGACGCAACTCTGGCGGCTTGATGGTCTTTACGTCCTTTCGTGAGCATCGTGGGCTTTGATAGTCATCCTGCTTATGACGGATGCGTGGTTTTTATAATATTCAATGGTGGTATGGTGGGTGGATGAGGGGCTGCGCTTAGAATTGGGGAGTGCAGGATCACTTTGTATGAACGTGTTTCTTCTTACTTCTTCTTTTTTGCTGGCTGGTATTCATGAGGGAATGCGAGACAATAGGCGTATTAACGTATCGGACGGGGCAAATGCAAGAATGTTCAAAATTCAAATCCAAGATATGTAAAGGAAGCCTTGTGTATGTGATTTCTTTCCACAGTCCTTCCATTTCCAACTCTCTCCTGCCTCTTTCATCCTCCCCCGCTCCCCCATCAGATCCTCACCTCCAACCCCTCCCCACGCTCCCAAAACTCCACGGTCCGCCGCGCAATGTTCTTGGGATTCCTCACCTCCTCATCCATCCCAACCACTCCCTCCACACTCACTAGTCCCACATGCACGCCCTTTTCCCCAAACGCCAGCCGCAAGCTCTGCACCATATTCCTCTGCGCGGCTTTCACTAGGCTTAGCGAGAGTAATTCCGGCACGGGGGAGTGGGGTAGGGCGCTGTTTGTTACCAGTAGCGCGGGCTTAAGGGGAGAGGAGGTGGAGGCGGAGCTTTGGGAGAGGCTAGTGAGATGGGGGAGGAAATGTTGAGCGATTAGGTAGAGTGATAGAGTCGTTGTCTGCCTGGGTTAGTAGCCGGAGAGGCCAACAAAGGCAAGGAGTGAACGCACACGTAAATCCTCATCTATCTCCTGCACAGGCGTGGAGAGGATGGGAGACGGGTGGATGCGCGCGGCGTTGAAGAAGATGATTTCGACGGATTCGTTGGTTGTCAAATTGTCCAACTCTTTTAAAACCGCAGGGATTGAGGCGAGGTCGGAGAGGTCGATTTGCAAGATGTCGACCTTGACGTCCTTGGAGGCTGCGGATACGAATGGGGCGTCTTCGTTTTGCAGGCGTTGAGTGTTGCGGGAGAGCAGGATTATGTGGTTTATGTCTTTGGAGGCGAATTCTGCGGCGACGTGCTGGGGAAATGGGTCAGTGACGTTGATTAAGGAGGGCGGGAAAAAGGGAAGGGGATAATGGAAGATGAAAGGGAAGAGAGAAGTACGTTACCGATGCCCGGGCCGGCGCCGAAGACGATGAGGGTGCGGGTGGTTGTCGTCATGATCAAGGAGTATGTATGAGGCTGATGGTTGAAATCTAAGGGCGAGTTTGCACTTTTTATATCTACAGCAGCACCGGCCTTCATACTGTCGTCAAGCTTGTGACTAGTCTACGCGGAGTATTAACCGGCTTGAACATAGTGCCTGCTTTGAAATTCACATTATTGCTCGAGTGCAGAGATTGAGTGGGCGAGTATCTAAAACTGGCTCATTAGTGAAGCCGACTGAGGCTCGTAGAATCTTTGACCATGATTAATGTATGCAAGTCCACCAAGTGAGATTCAAGAAGTGGATATGAACATGTTGCTGGATTTGTGCTAGTCTACCTCTAGCGCGAGTGAGGGTCCGGGATCACGTCACCTTGCAGCCTGCACCTCAGCTATCCTCGCCAAAATCCCGTGAAGCTTGCAAAGCACAACGACGTTCGTAAGCAATTCCCGCATTGCCATGCACGATCGATAATGGACTTCTCCGCGGACGACGACGAGGCTCTGCGCCAATTCATGCCCTCGGAATTCGGCAAGAAAGATGGCTCCGTAAACGTCGAGGCGCAAATCGAGCGCGCGCGCAGACCGGTCGTGGACGAGAATAAACGAGCAAAGAAGGAACCCGACTCGGACGACGATAGCGATGACGACGACAGCGATGAAGAGGACGAGTTCCCAGTCACACACGAATTGGCTATCAAGACGCATGAGCGCGCAATTACCACGATTGCGCTCGACGGCTCGGGCACGCGCCTGATCACGGGGAGCAACGACTGCATGCTCAAGCTACATGACCTGAGTGCGCTTACACCGAGTACCATTCGTGCGTTCAAAACGGTTGATCCATTTGTCACCAAGCCGTCGCAAAACGCCGAGTCGCATTCGATACACCAGGTGCTGTTTGGTCCGCACTCAGGGGGGCAGTTTCTGTGCATCACGGCGACGCCTCAAGCGAGGCTGTTTAACAGGGATGGCGAACAGATCGCCGAGTTTGTGAAGGGTGACATGTATCTGAGAGACAAGCATAATACCAAGGGACATACAGCAGACCTCACCAGCTGCGCATGGCATCCAACGATCCGCGACCGCTTTGTGACGGCGGGAACGGATAGTACGGTGAGGATATGGGATGTGAATAAGAGGATGAAGCAAGAGGAGGTTATTGTGCACAAGTCGAGAGCGGCTGGAAGTGCGGGCATGACGAGGATGACTACCATTGCTTGGGGTGCGGCGGCTGAGGGAAATAGCAGTATGATTGTTTCTGCGGCGCTGGATGGCAGTCTTGTCATGTGGGGAGGTGAAGGGCCATTCCATCGACCTACGGGGGAGATTCGAGACGCACACGTGAAGGACACTTGGACGAGTGGGATTGATATCAGTGCTGATGGCAGGCTGGTCATTACAAGAGGTGGAGACGACACGATTAAGCTGTGGGATACGAGGAAGTTCAAGACGCCGCTCAACACGACCTCGCATACATCGACATCGTCGCAGTACCCTACGTCAAACATCAAGTTTGCGCCGAACTCCCAGAGTATAATAACCGGGTCGGAAACTGGACATCTACACATCCTCAACCCAGCAACTCTCCGCCCAGAGCTCGTCACCCCAGTAACACCGGGATCGCCTCTCATCGCCGTGAACTGGCATCCCAGGCTCAACCAAATCTTCACTGGATCAGCGAACGGTCAGACGACAATCCTCTTCAACCCCGCCCTATCCACTGGTGGCGCCCTATCCATCCTCAGCAAAGCTCCCAAGAAACGTCATCTTGATGACGACCCCAACCTCACAGTCGACATGGATCCCCTGGGCATGTCTGGCGACGGCCAAAGCACAGGTGGCGGTCCAACGCCTGGTTCCTTCGCAGCACGACATCCCACCGTCGGCTTGACAGCATCAGGGCGAAGCAGGGATCCCAGACGACCACATATACCTGCCGTGACGCCGTTTGCCAAGTCCACGCCGGACCAGAAGTACGTGATGGAGCAGATTGATGGAAGTGACATGCGAGATGAGGACCCGAGAGAGGCGCTGCTTAAATATGCACCCAAAGCCGGCGAGAAGAATGTGTTTACAGGCGCGTGGGATAAAACGCAGCCCAAGGGGATATACAAGGATTACGACAGTGATGAAGACGAGAGGGACAGCAAGAGAGCGAAGAGATGATGATAGCGCGAGTAGGCATTGAAGGCGTCTTGGGATCTAAAAGCATATACCCATACTACATAGCAAATTACATCCTAGTTTCATCCCCGTCGTATTCAATTGCGTTCTGATTCGCCCTGCCCTACCCCAACCAAAGTCTTGGCACCCGCAACGCGCCCACCAATCTCGATGAGTCGGGTTGCACGACCGCGACGCGAATCCCATCCCCACAATCACACAGCACCACGACCGTCAACAAACACCCAATTCCTCCCTCCACACCCACCAAAACAAACACACCACAATGTCATTCCTCCTCCGCCCCACGCTGCGCACCCCCGCGCTCTCCGCGACCCGCGCCTTCTCCAGCACCCGCGCCTCGCAGCTCGCCAAAATGACCGTCGTCGGCCGCCTCGGCACCGCGCCGGAGGAAGTACAGGTCTCCGGGGACCGCACGCTTGTGCGCTACGTCGTGGGCACCAACTATGGAAAGGGCGAGAAGCAGAAGACGAGCTGGTTTCGCGTGGCGAGCTTTGTCGAGGGCGCGCAGAAGGAGTATCTGCTGAGTGTGCCGAAGGGGTGAGTGGGATGTTGTGGATGGGAAGGGGGGCTTGCAGAATTGACGTGTGTGATAGATCGCTACTGTATGTCGAGGCTGATGCGCGTATGGAGACTTATGAGGATAAGGAGACGGGTGCGCCGAGGTCGAATTTGAGTTTGATCGCGAGTAGGTTGTCCTCTTGAGGTTATGAAGGCAAGAGCTAACGTGATGATAGGGAACTTCGACGTTCTTCAGCGTCCTCGTAATGAGAGTGTTGAGACGAATGATGAGGGGCTTGTGCAGGAAGGCTCTCGATAGAGGGCACGATGATCCGTTTAGACAGGAAAGATGTGAATGGACGATTAGGTGATCACTTTCTTCGGTGCTGGAGGACTTCTTGAGAGACAGGTTTACGTGTCGCTCGGTGTATAACTACTTGCGGAGTTTTCTTCCTTATTTGATCTCCGCTCTGGGAGGACTTTTGAGCTGTGGTGCGTAATGAATGATACCTTTTTTCTTCGCAGCTTTAAACAAACAAGCTTGGAAATGTAACGTCTTTATTCAGGAAAGCTATATGCTTCTATACTTAATCCACGTTCTGTCTGAAGTACATGAGTATTTTGCTCCTATGTATTGCCGATAGTGTACGGATGTACTTTGGTGGCGTGCGGCGAACCATCGGACTCCCGAGTTGACATCCCAACTTTTTGTACCTCTACACGCCGCCCCTCCACCACGCCCTCCACCACGCCCTCCACCACGCCCTCCACCACGCCCTCCACCACGCCCTCCACCACGCCCTCCACCCCACAAACATGCAAAGACTCGTGCCTCAGCGAGCTCGCCAGCTCTGGGGCCATGCGCCCCGCGTCCGGTCATCCAATCGCAGGCAGAGAAGCTTTGCGACAGTTTCTGGCACTTCACAGTACGCCTGTCCTGCGTCGACACACTATTCACGCTTTTCTGACACGACTCTAGACCCTACGATGTGATCGTCATCGGCGGCGGCCACGCAGGCTGCGAAGCCTCTGCAGCAGCGGCACGATCCGGCGCCCGAACCGCCCTCATAACGCCCAAACACGACAACCTCGGTGTATGCTCGTGCAATCCTTCCTTTGGCGGCATCGGAAAGGGTACCATGCTCCGCGAAATTGACGCCCTGGACGGTGTGGTGGGGCGCATAGTAGATAAAGCGGGCACACAGTTCCGAGTGCTGAACCGGAAGAAGGGACCTGCGGTGTGGGGGCCACGAGCGCAAATCGATCGGTCGCTGTATAAGAAGTACATGAAAGAGGAGATGCTGAATTATGAAGGGCTGAGTGTGTTGGAGGGAAGCGTGGCGGATATCATTGTTGATCAGACGCAAGAGGAGGGCGTGAAGGGACGATATGGCAGAATCACTGGTGTGAGGCTAGAAAGTGGGGAGATCATACCAACGGGAAATGTGGTTATTACGACAGGCACATTTTTGGGGGGTGAGATACATATTGGACTTGACGCGTACCCGTCGGGGCGCATGGGTGAAGCTGCGACATTTGGTTTGAGCAAGAGCTTAAGAGACGCGGGGTTCACTTTGGGGAGGTTAAAGACTGGGACGCCGCCACGGTTGGATGGGAAGAGCATTAATTTCAAAACACTGGATGCGCAAGAAGGAGACCAACCGCCGATGCCGTTCAGCTATCTGAACGAAAGGGTGCAGGTCGAGCAGCAATTACTGAATCACGAGACACGAACGAATGAAGCGACGCACGACGTTATACGAAACAACCTGGACAAATCGATACATATCCGGGAGACTGTGAAGGGGCCGCGATATTGCCCGTCATTGGAGTCAAAGGTCATACGCTTCACAGACAAGACCTCGCATATCATATGGCTGGAACCAGAAGGCTTCGACAACGACGTCATCTACCCCAACGGCATATCATGTACTGTGCCAGCAGACGTTCAGATCGAGATGCTCAAGACCGTAAGAGGACTTGAGAACGTCAACATGCTCCAACCCGGCTACGGAGTAGAGTACGACTACGTCGACCCACGCCACCTCCGCTCAACGCTCGAAACCAAGAACATATCCGGCCTCTTCCTTGCTGGCCAGATCAATGGTACAACAGGTTACGAAGAAGCCGCCGGCCAAGGCGTCATCGCTGGCATCAACGCCGGCCTCAGATCCCTCAACAAACCCGCCATGATCCTCACCCGCGCAGACGGCTACATCGGCATCATGATCGACGATCTCATCACCAAAGGCGTCTCCGAGCCCTACCGCATGTTTACCTCGCGCTCAGAATACCGCATGTCCGCGCGCGCCGACAACGCCGACACACGCCTGACCGCCAAAGGCCACACTGCCGGCGTCGTGCGCTCGCCCCGCTGGACCGCCTTTTCGCGTGACGCAGCCGACATGGCGGAGCTTACTTCCCTCCTGCAAGAAAAGACGCTGGGCTGGTCCGATTGGAATAAACACGGCTTTGCCGTCCGCAACGACTCGACCAAACGCTCCGCATACGACCTCCTCCGCCTCCCCTCCACAACACCCTCATCCCTCACATCTATCCTTCCGCAAATCGCCAATTTCTCACCACGCATACAGGACCGCGTACACATCGAGTCCACATACGCGCCGTACGTCGCCTACCAATCTGTCTCGCAGGCGCGCTGGCTCAAGGATGAGCACCTCCGCCTGCCCGACGATTTATCGTACGAAGCTATTTTTGGACTGAGCTACGAGGAGAAGCGCGCGCTGGAGGTTGCGCGGCCCGAGAGCGTGGGGCAGGCGAGGAGGGTAGAGGGGGTTACGCCCACGGGGGCATTGAGATTGTTGCAGTTTGTTAAGGGGGTGGGGAGGGGGGAGAGGGATGCGAGGGCGAGGGAGGAGATTGAGGAGAGGAAGAGGAGATACAAGGGGGAGGTGGGTGAGGTGGTGAACGTTGCGGGGATGTAAAATATCGGTGTAGGAGGGACGTATGGATAGATGATGGAGAATGTACGATATGATCATAAGGCTGTGATTCCGGCCGAGCGAGAGAGAGCGTCCTCCTATCTGTTGTTTTTGGATATTGGAGCGATGTCTATTTTTCTTGGAACTGTTTGTACCATACGAAACACATTGGCCTTCTAGCCTCAGAGACAGTGGTGATAGACCGGCTAGCAAAATTTAAGACTGTCTATGACCATCCTCAGCTCGCCGTAATACATGCATTCTGAAACCTAAGCATTCATGTCTCGGGCTGCGTTGGCCGTCATTGCTCGCCGCGGCAGCCCGCATGTCTAACATCACAGTGAAACATCACTCCTCCACTTCAGTTGGCGATAGTGTGAAATTGCTCCCGCAATATCCTCAATGTCTCGAATTTGTATTTGTGTCGTAGCTAGACGCAGTTGGCAAGGGTCATTGACATGCGGATATGCTGAAATATCATCTCACGGCGTTTATTACCCGGGCGTGTTCAGGGAGAAGGAAGGTCCATCTTCTGCATGGAGACGAGATGAGTGCTTTTATTAAAACTTTTCGATGCTTAAAAGACGGTGGTAAGAGTGCTCATTTCGTTGTCCTCGTTGTCCTCGTTGTCCTCGTTGTCCTCGTTGTCCTTCTTGTTCGCATTGTCCTCATTGTCCTCGTTGTCAACAAGCCAATGGCTCTTATGTGATATCGCTAGCTTCCCACCAGCACCCCATTCAGTTTTTTTCCGTCTTAACTTACTTCAGCTGGAAAACATCTTTCATAGCATCTGTCTCACGTGCGGGCCACTCTTTCGCTCGTAAAGTTCCCGTGCAAACACTTCACTACGCACTAGTTCCAGTGACACAAACGGACAGCCGCATAGGTACCCGCTCCAGCTGCTTGTGAAAGCCTACAACATTGTCGACCTCTCGCACGGCCCGGAGTTCCGGTGTTTACCTGACCTACCTTCCCACTCCCCAATCCTTTTGTTTACGGCACAGCGCCTCTAATCTCCTCAATCTCGACCTCTCATGGCACCCTCAACTCGCCTCCGGGCAAATCCAACACGACGTGTTCTCTATGCAGAATCCACCGGCCGAGAAGGTTCTCGCGGTAATCCAATCGCTCTAGAAGACACTCCTCCGCCCGAACCAGTCACGTCCCCAGCGCCTAGGAAGCGTGCCGCGCGCAAACCAGCTGGCAAGCAACCTGCCCTCACCGTCCCGCGTACTCGAGGCGGCGCTATCGTCAAGCCCAAGGAGTCCTCTGAGAAAGCTACTGGCAAGAAGGAGAAGAAGAAGAAGGCGCCGCCAGTCAAGCGCGAGTGCTCCCTCTGCGCCTCGACCAAGGGCGTTGCTACCTGCTTCCGCCTGGACGGCCATGAGGACGCCTGCGAGCACTTCGAGAATACCTGCGGCCAATGCATCCAGAAAATGATCAGCGTCAAGATCTCCCAGCGCCAGCTCGGCGAAGCAGAACTCGCCTGTCCTGTGCCCGGATGCGCGCATGTGCTCGACTACACCACACTGAAGCACGCTTTTACCAATAAAGCCTTGTTCGTCGAGTAAGTCACAGTCCCCTCCCCCCAACCATGCAGATTGAGAGGAGATAACTAACAATCCACCAGCTTCGACAAAGCCCTCGTAAAACACCTCCTCTCCGCCTCCCCCACCTTCATCGCCTGCCTCTCGCCCATGTGCGGCAAGTACTTCTCCACCGACACCTGCATCCCCACCTCTCGCTCCACCAAACAACAAATCTCCTGCCCCTACTGCGCCTCCTCTCTCTGCCTAACCTGCAACCGCCCCTGGCACCCGCGCACAGGCTGCAACAGCGCCGCCGCCGCCGAAGATGCCTCCTCGCTCGCGCAGATAAAATCCATGGGCGCGAAGCCGTGCCCGCAATGCGGCGTCAACATCGAGAAATCCGGCGGTTGCGACCACATGACGTGTCACCGGTGCCGGCATGGGTTCTGCTGGGTGTGTCTGGTGCCGTATACGGTGAATGTGGTGCATGCAGAGGGATGTCCGCATGGACGGCGGGATGTCGCGGTTGATCCGAGAAATTGGGTGCCCGAGGGCATGGGCGAAGAGCAGGTTAATGCGCTTATCGAACACGCAGGACGGAGGTTGGATGGGGTGGGTGGGCAGGTTGGGTTTCAGCCGGTGCCGATGCCGCAGGCGCAGGCGCAGGCGCAGGCTCCTTGGGGGCAGTTCGTTGTGGGTGGGATGGCGAATGCGTTTTTCAACTTCATTGCTGGAGGGCAGGGTGGTCCTCAGGGTGGTCGTTGAGCCATTTCTTTTCTCTTCGCTTGGCTGCAGTCTGGGGCTGGGTTTTGGACCTGATCTTGGACTGGATGTCAGCTGGCTTTGAGAGCAGGACGAAGCGCCCCAAGAAGTTCTCAATGAGGACGGTGTTTAGGACTTTTGATACCCGGCGACTTCGATGTCGGTTTGTGTGTAGTAGGATCCAGATCTGAGGGACCCAGATAATGTAAAATGGTGATTGGATATGGTATCGTATGCCTAGACTGGACTCAAGGTTATACTTCCTTTCAAGTTCGATCATGTTGTGTATCTCGTTGGTCACGCCAGAGATACTTGTTTTTCCGTTTAGTACTCTCGCTTCTGGCTAGAGTTACAGTATCACCATATGTGTCACTTTGTTTCCCTCTCTTCGACGCTAGTGTAAGCGCGGATGCGGAAACTGGCAATGCGGTCTACTCCTAACCGAAGCTGTCTCCGTGAGGCTAAGGATTGCAGTGCAAACCGGCGAGATTTCACCTGCCCTACTTGTGGAACGTCGTATATCGTAGCACGACCGCAGTGATACCTGATTTTTTTGTCAGCAGGCAAAAAACGGGCAGTATCTTTCGAGCACTCTCTCTATGATAATGAGATACGACATGGCTATGCGTTGCGTTGAACACCGTACTTGATTAGTTAGGGCACAATTGCGTCAGTGTACATGCAACAAATCTCTTGAACACATCGGTGGGTTTTCAAGCATATTCATTTCAGCCGGACCCTTTCGCTATGAAGACCTAGCCTTTTCGGTCATGCATCCCATCCTTAATCATGAGACCCAAATGAACCCATATGAAGTAAACTCCGGCCCTATCTTCCACTCATCATCTAAGCCTTCTGGGCCTTGGCGCCCCGGACCTTGGTGGGCTTGTCGGCCTTGACGGCCCTCTGGCTCTTGCGGATGGCGGAGGCGCGGGCAACGGCGTCCTGGCGGAGGTCTGGGCGGTAGTTGCGCTTAGTGGTGGAGTTGACGATGCCGGCGAAGGTCCTGTGGACGTTAGTGCATGTCCTGGGTTGGTCTGTTGTTGGGACAAGTGGTGGAAGACGTACTTGCGGGTTGATCGCGAGGGACCGAAGGTGGTGGTCTGGGTGGAGAATGCGGGCTGGTGGTGCTTGTCGCTCTTCTTTACAAGCAGAGTGACACCGCCCTCCTTGCCGGGGATGATGCCGATGGCCTATTCGCGTAGTCAGTACCGATTCCTGTCTCTTGTTCGTCTGGATGCGCAAAGGTGTTCGTCGAGGACTTTGGTGATTCGTGGGAGTTCGTGTTGTCGTACCTTGTTGGCGATCTGGCCCTCATTCTGCAGCAAGTCAGTCCAATGCACTCGAATTTTGCCCAGACGACAACATACCTTGCGGCTGTACAAGTTCCTCAGGTTGAGGGGGTCGCGCGAGAACTGCACGCCGTTCGCCCTCTTGACAAGGGTTGCGCTGTGTCCCTCTGCCCACAAATCAGCTCCAAATCCCAAATCCGCTCTCTTTTCAATTCCGGTCACTCACTGGTGATCTCCCACGCAAGGTCTCCGGGAATAGTGGCGGCCATTTTGAATTTGCTTTGATCGTGAAGTTTGGGCTTGTCGCTATTCTCGAGAAGTTCGGCGGTCGTTGGTGGCAGCTTCTCGTCTGCGTTACCCAATTCGGCTGGCGCAGTTAGTGGTCGGAGAAACGAAAGGCCGCGCATTGCCCAGCCACGGAAGCGCGGAAGTGACGATGGAAGCATAAGGCTTGGCGTGAGGCGGTGCTGCGTGAGCGGCCGCGACAGTCAAACATTACAGGTGTCTCCACGCCTCGTATTCAAAGTAATCTCTTGTGGTGAAATCTTGATGATCCCGCGATAGCACGGAAACCTATCACACACCGTCTCCCTTTTGTAACCACTCGCTCCTTCACTCCTTCACTCCTTCACTCCTTGAGGCTCTATCGAGCACTCCCGAACGGCTCCGACGCGCCGCGCAAGCACCCCACCGTAGGGGATACTGTACAAAGTGCTTCAATATGGGCTACCTGTTCTATTCCATCTGGCTTGCAATCCTCGTCTGCGCGACCGGTATGCCACTCTACATTGATCCATGTCTCGTCCACTGACGCAATCCAGCCCTATACTTTACCCGTCAACGCTGGCTACACCTCCTGCCTATCCCCGAGCCGATCTACACGCGCTTACCAACATCTTTCCGCGATGATATCGAAGCTGGTCTCTCATCTTCTGCCTTTGACCTATCCAGCAATGTTGAAGCTGGCGATTCACGACAGGGATTAGATGATGCAGGCAAGAAGGAGGTCATGCGCATCATGAAGCGAAGGGGTGTGGATTTCGATGAAGCGAGACGCATATATATGCAAGATCGTTTCAAGAAGAACAACATCGGTGCAGACGGTGTACCGCGCGACCCGAAGTTTGTTAGCTTTTCGTAGGACTGAGAGCGTTCGACTGATATCTTTCTTCACATTCATCTCATTTGTCATGGGCAGGGTCGGGGTTAATTTTGCGTTTAGGACTTGCTCTCTTGAAGGTTTCCTATTATTCAGATTTCCTATGTCACTATATCCTCATCTGGTAAGCGTGGCCAATTCTACTTCATTCGTGAAAGACCATACCATGCCTCTCTTCAGCCTGTATGGCACTTAGTGTGCAGTCCAAGAACGCTTTGTCGGTATGAGCAGGGTCGAAATGGGAAATTTCGTAGGTCGATCATGAGCAAGTGACCAGGATGGTATGTGCCATAATTCAACATGTGACTTCGAGCTTGGCCCGTCGCCTGGTCCTAATATTGGCTTCTCCGAGGCTATGCTGCGCCCCCGCATCCTTTCCTGGGTATTTCCCAAATTCGATGCCACTTTTGTCACACACTGTCGTCTTGCCTTCGCTCATTTTTTCAGGGATGCTTAGCGATTGGTGTCCAGATGTAGCAGTTTTAAGCATATAGTAGAGTGCATGTAGATGCACGTTGGACGATCGTTGTGATCATGAGGCTACTTGTGGCGTTGAAAGTCCTTGATTGCTCGTTGTCCGATGCCCGTTGAATTCTGAGCGAGATTCGAAGCCCCACGGCACCACCTCTATACTTCATCAACTTGGGTAAACCAAGATCTACCTGGGAGGTTGTCCGAAACCAGGCGGTGGGAAGCCTGGTGGTGGTCCATTCATGGGTGGTGTTGGACCGAAACCGGGCGGGGCATACATATTCACAGGCGCACCACTTGGCGGTCGAGCTGGCAGACCTACTGGCGCCGGTGGGAGTGAAGGCATGCCTACGGGAGGAGCAATTGGCCGACCAAATCCACCGCCTGGGCCGTTGGGCGCAACTGGAATCCCGGCCGGATGCATGTTTGATCCTGTGGCCATGGACGCGCCTTGGGGTACTTGGAAAAGATGCGCTGGCAGTGGCTGCACCGCTGGTGCAACACCGTGTGCCTTGGCCTGCTTCGCAAGCATACGCTCTGCTTCGTCTCCGTGTCTCTCGCCTTTGCCGTCTTTCTTGTACGCGTATTGAACCGAGATTTGCTTATTCATCATGTACTGGCCATGCATGCTGGCAATAGCAGCGTCAGAAGACTCGAAGTCGCCATATGAGATGAAGCCATAGCCTTTGGACATGTTGCTCTCGTCGCGGGCAACTTTGGGCGCGTTGATGAGCGGCCCGAACTGGCCGAACGTGTCGTAGAGGGTCTTCTCGTCCACCATCTGGTCGAGATTACCGATGAACAGCTCTGCGCCAATCTCGACATTCTTCTGCTTGTCCGCGGACGCCTTGTTGACTCGTATCCGATTGCCGTGAAGCATGACATTGTTCATGACCTTGGGCGCATAGTCTGCTTCCTCCTCGGTATGGAACTCGACGAAGCCGAAGCCTTGGTGCTGGCCGTTGACGCGGTCGACGGGCATGTTGACATTGCGCACGCGACCAGCATTGAGCATGAGCTCGTGTAGAATCCTAGGAGACACGCGCTCATGAAGATTGCCGACGTATACCGTGGCTTCCTTGTTCTGTTCCCTGCGGCGCATCAGCATTCGTGCATCATACTTTGCAGGCGTAATGGACGTACCAATGACGGGAGCTGGGGGCTGACATGATGACACTATTGCTGTCGAAAGAATCAGATTGAAAGACCACACAAGGTGCTCAGCCTGATTAGTACCCTGTCAAATTCTGGCGGCGGTGAGGTTGCGGAGCAGGCGGTGGTCGAACTTTTGGAGGAGCTTGGAGAGTGTGCTAGGCCAGACACGGCTAGATCACCCGCACCCCGGCTTCAAGATTTTGGTGTAGCTTTGCCTTCATCATCCAAAAGACTACTTCGTCATCCCACCACGACCTCGTCTTCGCGTCCACGTACACGACTATCGACCTCCTACCATACAAAGCAACGGGACCTCGCAATGTTCACAATCTCGGAGGAGTCAAAGGTGTGTTCAGAGCCCCATCATCCTTGGACAGCCAACATACTCACACATATCTAGGAGCGCATCGCCCGCATCATCGATGTCTCCCGTGTTGCCATCCACTATGGCTATCTCCCATTGATCCTCTACCTCGGATACGCCCGCAGCGAGCCGAAGCCATCTCTCATCCGGTGAGTCTATCCCACGGCATCTGTTCTGCGGCCACCAGCGCCAGTTTCTTTTCGATACTTGAAGATGATTCCCACATGGATTATTGCTGGAAGAGGCTATTGCGTCTCTCAAGAAGAGCAAAATAGCACATGACCATAATTCGGCGCATCGTTGATCGGAATCTCTGTTGAACTCGACTAACAGACACAGACTCTTTTCACCACTCGCATAGACGCAGATCATGTTTATGAGTTTCCACAACTACTGTAAAATACCACATAAAGAAGGCGCAATGGTTATGGGATCGTGATGGCTTGGATCGGCTGGAGGGCTAATGCCCAGGTCCGGTCGGTCTTGGAAAGTACTTTCTTCTCTCTACACTACAGCATTCGGCACTCGGATACGCAAGACGGGTCGGTAATGCATTGAATGCGAACCACAGCATAGAGTCAGATTAATGAGACCCTTGCAGCATGGCATGCGCCGTGGCGTATGCCACTGCCATGCAGAGTTGCGCCCGACCCATACATTTGTGCCTAGCACCAGCGTGCTGCGACTGCTGGAGCCTGGGTGCCTACAAACCCAAACTACAATAGTCTCTTAGCCACTGGAAACCGCAGCGCTTTCCCTAATCTATCCTTCGGCTGCGCAATTGTCAGATTCGCTCTCGGAGCTGCAGATGCCAATGGTGACCCCACGTGCTCGCCTTGCTAGCCCCACTGGCTGACTTGAGGTTCTGTGCCTCGCGGTCCTCCACCATCAGCCTCAACGACCTTGAAAACTCGCCCGTAGGCTCCACAGGACCTCGAAGATGGACCCGCATACCCAGTCGCATGGCGCCGGGCCTTTCCCTAGCCCTGGGACCCACGATCACCTCATAGCCCCCACGCATTCCCCATATTCACTATATCGCGAGACCTTCCCCAGATCTTCTGGTATCCGGCTCTCTGACTTCCAGCTATCTTGATCTTCTTGCCTGCGTCGCAAGTTATTCTCGGCTTGTATTGTGCGTTCCTAACAGCCTTCGCTTACACCTTCGTACATGGTCCACAAGCACATGTGAAAATGGCCGTCCCCATTGTTGGGGACATCCTAATGCTTTCACAAGTCTCCTGGAAGATTGGTCGAGCATTCATTGCTGGTCAGAAAAGTGCACCGGCTGAGTTTCAAGAGATTGAAACAAGGGTCAGCAGTCTATCAAAGCAGCTGAAGCAGCTAGCCGAGGCATTACATGCTGAAACTGACCATAGCCTGATAGAGGATGCTTCGGAACATATCCAGCATGGCGTCAGGGTTATATTGGACTCGTGCGAGCGGACTATCAAAGATCTAGAGTCGCTCGTTGACCGAAACCAAGTCATCAAGAAGCACAGAACTGTTGGTGGTTTTGCCATTGAGCGATCATGGAGCGACCTGGTGTTGGCGGAGTATGCTACCATGACATGGACGACAGAAGGAGGAGGTTTGCACTGCCTAATGGACGTTCTGCAGATGCACGCCAGCTCTATCAAACTCCTGACACAGGCAATCAATAGGTAAGCAAGTCTCTACATTGCCAGATTTCAGCCTCTAATGTCTTAAAGCAAATCACACTCGCGGATAGAAAGTGTTGTAGGTCCAATGGCGGATCGCATCGATGGCATATGGCAGTCTCCATGCAACATCGATGAGCAGCTAGAAGAAGTTCACCTCATGATGGAAACCATGATTTTGGCTATTCCAACTGAACAATCTCCGCCAATCCCAGATCGTCATCCAGCCAGATCACCAGGCACAGAAGCTCCAAATCCGATAAATCAGAATGCATCGAGTCCACCTCGACAACAAAGAAAGATGACATTGCCCGCATCCCCACAACGCACTATATCGCCTAATAATCCCGTTCCGCCTACATCCCCTTCCTCTCTCACCGAGACCATACCTCATTCAAGAGTCTCATCACCAATCAACAAGCGAGTGTCCGAGTTTAGCTTTGGCGGATCTTCTCTCCGCTACTCAAGTAGTAGTTATGCTTCATCGACAGCTAGTTCTGGTGGGTGGTCCAGCCCAGGGACTCCGCTTATAAACCAGCAATATTCGACAAATGCTAAAATAATGACACATCTGCCTACAACCCCTGAAGGCCGAGAAGTTCGTGATCACATGGGTGGTGGCGCCATATCACTGCTGCCCCCTCCCGCCTTAGGATATACTGCACAGTTGGACGTTGAGCGACCAACGTCACGGCCTACAGTGCCGGCAGACCTTGGAAAGTTGCATCGAAGCTCTACGACCACGAGCCAGAAGGCGGCTTTCGAGAAGGAAGCCTTCCGTAATTCAGCTGTTCTATGTGATGTGTAAGCTTCATGTCGATGCGGGGTGATTCCAGTACAAAGTTAACCTTGTGTAGCCGTGGCAAATTAGCCCAGTATTCCCACCAAATTAACGAAGACGACCCAAGAGACGTCGAAATGATCCCAGTCTGTGAAGACTGTCGAATAGCAGTGGTCCGAAAACGAGTCCACGACCCTGAGACCCGAGCCGTGCGAGTTGTCACATCCATCTGGGTATTCAGTGATGATAACACTGTTCGTATGGAGCTCAGGATGGACGACGAGCAGATGTACATCCCATACTCGAGTTACTTTTCTCCTACCAAAGTATCGATTACTGTGCCCTGTGAGCTAAAGTTCCACGACGTCAAACACGGAAGCAGACCCGCGAAGCTTGCTAGGACAACTTGGGTAAATTACGTCTTCCAGACACGTGATGGTATGTATACCCTCGTTGTAATGCTTAAGGCCGACAAGACTAACACTGTGCAACAGCTGCTGCGCTTTTTCAGAATGAACTGATGGGACGTACGCTCCTCGCCACATTCCGAACCGAGAAGACCATGCGCATCCACGAAGGCATCGGCAAATCTTTCTCCTACGCTGAACAGATGTGTGGCCTCGAAAACCTCCGCGTATGGGAGGACAACGACACCGGCGCAATTATTGCCCTCATTCACTTCTCTGCCGACTTCCGTGACGGGTATCTTGCATTCTACCTCAACTCATCTGGTAATCCGATCAAGGTCAAAGACGAAGGGAACCGAGAGGTCAAGATCAAAGGCCTGAGAGTGCCGCTGGAAAGAGGCGATAAAGCTATGCGGAAAGACAGTGTTGTCGCTGGAAGTGGTAAAGACAAAGGCAAGGGTAAGGAGGACGCAAAGAAAATTGAAAAGGAAAAGGTGATTAGTGGGGCAAAGATTGAATTTGCGACAGAAATGGAGAAGCAGGAGTTCGTGGAGATGTGTAAGGAATTGCAGCGAGACTCGATTGAGCTGCCGGATCTGCTAGGAGTGAATTGACGACCTTTAGTGAACTGGGACATATGTAGATACTGCACGGAAGACAGCCTGTAGCTCCGTCGGAGATTGTGTGTTTCCCATGAAGTCATCACTAAGATTGTGCATACGCTGTGCTCTGGTTTTGGACTAATCAGATCTAGCGGGAAACCAGCACGGCTCGGACCGCGAATCTGGTCAGAACTTCACCGTTAACAATGGAAACGCTAGCTACATGACCCCAATTTGTGCCTTGATCATTCGCGACACTTGCCCCGCGTGTTTTTAATTCAACACCACTCATCTTGAAAGTGCCAGCTGCTGCAAACTTGAAAGGCCTCCCATGTCGGTCCCTGGTCAATGCTTTGCGGGACGCGTTCCGTTCCGTCACAACCAATCAAGCACATCGATCTGGGGAGGTTACCGTGCTCGCGTATCACAAAGCCGACATCTTCTCTTCGAGTCAGCCGGCATCGCATCTGACATGTCGCATGTCGCACCGGAATGACTGATGTCGATCAAACAAGGACAACGCTCCTGCTCATGGCGCTACCTCCACGTCCGGCCTAACTTGTAGAGCGGGCCGGGGGATGCACAGCGATTGGCCGCTGTGAAGCTTAATTGAAGGCCCTATTCTACTAATTAACGGCAGGGTGGGGCGCCCGGCAGCATTATCTTACCGCGCAGTTCCAAGGGCTGTTGTTCCGCCCACCGCCGCGTTCACCAGACGTCAGACGCGATATGCTGCCGTGGCTCTAACGCTCGCGAACTTTGCACTTGCTCCGCCCTGTCAGCATGTCATGGGCACCAGTCGACTTTAGCTTGGTGCGATACTCACCCATTGAGAACACGCATTTCTTCTACGACGAGAATCACCCTTCGTCAATTCAATTCTTGTTGTCGGGGCGATGGGAGTCATGGGATGTAGGCTATGTCAGCTAGTGAGTCGCGTGTCTAATGTTTACTGCATACCGAATAGAACAGTTAACGCGTACCAGCAAAGCTCGTGACCCAGCAATCAGGCAAATTGCAAAGGACGCTGAGACGCGTTTGGCCAACGATCCACAATCTGGCTACAGGCAATGGCCGTCGGAACCTTCTCCCGGTCCACAAGCAGGTCCGAGTAATGAACAATCGGACGCTCAACCAGCTCAAGAAAACAATGCGCAGACACCGATTGCGGATCTTATAGATTTCCTGGTACCACTTTCACCCACTCCAGAATCTGAGGAACCCGCACGGCAGTCAGCCGTTCCAAGCCCACAAGATGCAGCGGGCCCATCCACATCCGAGGGTTCTTATACCTCGCCATATGGTCAACCACAGCCGACGGGCTACCCAACTCCACAATCGACAGGCAGTGCAGCGCTATTACAAGCTGCTTTCCCTGGTGTTGCTGACGCTCCTGTAGCCGAACGACAACATCAGCCTCAACCTCAACCTCAACACCAACCTCAACACCAACCTCAACACCAACCTCAACACCAACCTCAACACCAACCTCAACACCAACCTCAACACCAACCTCAACACCAACCTCAACACCAACCTCAACACCAACCTCAGCCTCAACCTCCACAAGGACCGCCTCTTGCATCTGCCATACCCCCAGGCAGGGTCGCTCTATCAAGAAGACGAGAGACAAAGATCCTCCTGTCTATCGATGGTGATGGAGTCCGTGGTCTTTCATCCTTGTTGTTGGTAGAATCTCTAGTCAATGCTATATGTGTCAAGATCGGACAACGACTCGACCCGCATCAAATCTTCGACCTCACAGGCGGTAGCTCTCTCGGTGGAGTTATAGCATTGCTCTTGTGTCGACTTCAGATGTACGTTGAACCCATGTGCAAACTGTATGTGAAGCATTTGCTGACCGAACGCCAAAATTAGGCAAGCTCACAGAGCCAGAGAGGCTTATAAGAAGATATCACGGCAGGTCTATTTGAACAAGAGGGCCTTTTACATATCGCTAGACCCCCATCTACCACTTCCGAATCGGGATGGAACAGCACTGGAGAATGAAATCAGCCAAGTGATCCGACAGGAGCTAGGTTCTCTTGACGAGCGGTTGTTCGACGACCGCGAAGACTCTGGTGATGTGTAGGTCTCATAGCTCTACAGAATATGGTCATTGCTAATCGCACATCAGATTTGTCGTGTCGACGCACATTGAGATCGGCATAAACAAAGCAGCACTCATGCGCTCTTACCAGACCCGTCGCATCACCGGGCCCGAGCTTGATGCAAACATGACAATCGCACAGGCTATGAAGGCCACAGCCGTAGCTCCCAGATACATCCAGTCCGGGGCCAACAGCCGACTCGTCATCGAACCTGGCCTGGTCGACCACGGCACAGCAAAGAACAACCCCGTCCGCGATATCCTCTACGAATGCCGAAAACTCTTCCGCTACGCCAACGACATGATGATCATCATCTCCATCGGCACCGGCATCGGTCTCAACCGGGACAACGAAATCGCCGAAATGGCAAACGGCGTCGAGGACAGGAACGCAGAAGCTAGAACATGGGGCGAAAAGTTCGAGGCGGATCACCAGGCGCTTATGGAGAGGGGATGGATGAAGTACTTCCGCTTCAATGTGCCGGGTTTGGAAGACGTACCGCTGGAAGAGTGGTGTCATGAAGACGCTATCAAGGAGAAGACCTCGGCGTATTTGGCGCAGCCCGAAGTGGCGCATATGTTTTATGCTTGTGTGGATGCGATTACGAAGCTGCTTTTGGGACCTGGGCAGTAAGAGGTGTGGGAGAGGGTATTCTTCGGATGCGTGTAGTTATATATCGATAATATGGGTATTGAAAGAAATTCGATTGGATTAGCCGAGCCACAATAGGTGAGAAGTAACCTGGGGTCTCTAGCCCCTTCACCGTGATGCATCCTTAGCGTCGTCTCCAAATTATGGTCGACTATGGGACACCAAGTGGGTCGGTTCCCGAAGTTGCGGACCGCGAACGCGAACCGCATTCTCAGCTTCTACACGCAACGTCCGCGTGAAGGAGGTACTGCCTGGGTACGTGCAAAGCTGATGTGTTCAGACAAGTTCCTCAATGGACGTTGGTCATATTCGAAATTACTGATTAATATGAAAATGGAGACCCCTTCGTGTATGCAGACCAGAGGGGGCCAATATGGTATCAAAACGTATGCCTACTCATATTGAAGAGAGGGAATTGAGGTACAAACCTCATAAGACGGGGGCAGGTCTTGGATAGACTTCTGGTAGCCAAGTGGGTGAACATCTAGGTCACGCCGTACTGTATCGCGACTGATTGAACAGTGCAATTCTACCACTCGTTGTCTTCCATTAACCGCGCAGAATGATCTTCACCATAGTGGTATCACCGTACATGTGCAACGTTTGTGTCCGCTCTGCACCTGCACGACATAATCTGATGGCTTTCAGGAGCACACTTATCAGTGTATAGAGGATTCTGTATATCTACGCTGCTCTCAGACGTCTTCATCTGTTTTGGCGAAAAATTGAAAAATTGAAATATCTGGGTAGCTTACCTCACTCAATCTCTCCTCGTTAGGTGAGATATACAGGAGTTTTGACGGCGCCTGGAGATGTTGTGGATGAAATATGACGTCTTTCAATCCGTGTCGTTCAGTCCAAACCCAGCAGACCAGCTTCTTAGAGATATCACGCGTTTGTTCTATGTCTAGGTTCCGCCCTGCTGAATAGCTCGTTTACTAGTGCCAAAACACTGGCTTTACCATCATTTGTTCCTTCTCGGTCCGTTGTGTAGACTGCGGCTTTCCGTATTATCGCCAGATTGAAGAAGTACCAGAACGAGCATATGTCAATTAATTTTTTTCGACGATGTGCCGCAAGAACTTTGGACGGGCATGCATTATAACCTCAATATGTATGTTAGCCCAACCCTTGAACACAGACTTCCGGAAGCCTACTTTACCAGAGCCTTCGTATCCGTAGGGCACTTGTACAGTGCGACGATGATTCGGGGGTGGTACCAATTGAGGTAATCATTGGACATGTATTTGTTGTATAGAGGGTGTGACTTGTGGGCAATGAAGCCGCCAATGTGATCAAAGAGTGTCCAACTCGTAGTTCGGACAAAGTTTCGTACTCGGGGATCAGATCCTGTCCGCCCTCTGGCTAGTATAGCCCTAACTTTTCGATCATAGAGGCCTCAGATTTGCTGAAAATGGTGTCGACATCGGCTGGGTTGGTACGGTCTTCGCGGACGAGTACGTAGTAATCCTTGATGGCTTCGAAAACGCTATATTCAGAGCTCAGGGCAAGAAGCGCCTCGCAGTCAGCCTCAATTTGCGCAAACGGGAGTTTGCACCCTGGGCCGTCGAGCAGGGTCTGCTTTTGCTGTGTCATAATGGCGCGTGCCTCGATATTGATTGTGCGGCAAGTGACCAACATAGCGGTCTGAGCGGAGGAGGTGAGAGCAAACGAGCTTGCGGGACCAGTGGTGGGCAACCTTGCGAATACAGATTGCACAGTTAGGTAAGATATGTGTTCGTATATCATGATGCGGAGCTCGATAGGTAAGTCTAGGAAGCTCAATTGTTGAGCGGAAACCTCCATAGTAGAATAGCAGTCGTTTTGTAGCATGAAAGGTTGTAACGAGGTGAGAGGGACGAGAAGACCAAGACTAGGAAATTTAGAGTACGTGTCGATGACAAAGGAAGACAAGCTAGTAGGTTTTTGTCCTAATGTCTTGACAGTAAAAGTTTCTCTTATTTGGGTGAAGAACAAATGCACGTGCACTCATTTTTAGCAGAATGACACATGATCTCAGTAACGTCAAAACCCAGACTGAAATGAGTATTCGCATACATTTGATTTTAGGTGTTTTCCCGTGCGACTAGACTTAATATTCTTGATGTTTGTGCACATGCGTTCCGTTCCGGACTTGGAACTACCTAGCAGAATGGAGCGTGTCCATCCCCAGTAGACAGACGGGATTTTTCAAAGCCACTCGCCTGCAATCCACAGCTGTTTGTACAGGCCGCCATTGTATTGGTCGATATCTGACAACCCTACTGCCACTGCCAGTTCTGTGGGCTGGGTGTTGTGCACTAATAACAGTCTGACTTGGCCATCACATACACCATCTAAAAGGGCTTTGCTCCACAGATTACGCTCTGCGCCATCCCCATAGTCATTGCTGTGCAGTAAAACAAAAGCGGACGTGCTTTTCTTAAGGTTATTTGCAGCATGGAGATCTCCTATGGTAGTGGTCATGGAGAACGCGGTCGTCGTGAGCTCGGAGGGGGTGTCGCCTGGTTGCTTCCTTATAGCGATCTGAATCATAGGCCGGATCGAGTCATCCCCAGTTGACTTCCGTATTACTCTGACTTTGGCCTTCTGATAGGGAAATGATTTTGCGGCGTACTGTGCGAAACGATTGAGCTCTTGGAGTCCCTCCTCTTGTGTACCAGTTTCAAACGTGTATCCTTCTTTCGCAAGGTATTTGCCCACAGCTTGTGCGTCAAATTGCCCGGGGTCCGAGCCGGTGTGGTATCCCATGGAGAGAAGCTTTGGGATTAAGCCATTGGGTGCCCTCAGAGTTTTGAGAGCCCGTATATCAGACTCGACACGAGGCGCAGGTCCTCGCAAAAGGGTAACTCCAGCACCAGAGAACCATCCTGTCGTCTTGGCGAGTATAGACAGAGCTTCTTCCTTGATTTCGTGGGAGGTCGCCAGTATGGCCGTGGAAACCGTGGCAGTAGTGATGAGCAAAAAGGAGCTTGTCATGATGTCGTTCTCCATTTTCACGAAGTTACTTCGTCGGGTCACATTAGGCAGAAGTTCGTAGACCATAAGGCGCAGCTCTTTTGGCAAGTCGAGAAATCGGAAGGGTTCAGGCGACGCGCGCAACGAACTGCTGTCGGCCTTGTTATGCGCCATATCGGTTGTGACTCTGGGAAACAATCAGGCTTTGAGAGTGGAGCGTTCTAAGAAAAATTTGGGTTGGAGTAGAATAGGAGCAGAATTTAAGTGAGAGTGGTTGATTGTTCTGCAGAACGGTTAGCGCGTACCGTACCCAAGTTCTGTAGTTATGGGCCCCACCTGCTTTTCTATCACCTTCTTTCACCTTGCAAGCTAGCTCGCTTAAGAGCAAAAAGAAAGAACTATCACCTTTATTCGGCAAACCTAAGTAGTGAGTGACTGCAACCAGAATCGAAAGGCAGCAAAAAAAGACATACGATAGTGAGACTTCGCTCTACTGAAAGTGAATCCACTGGCTAGGGTGTTGAACTGTGAGGGGTTCGCACTTCGCTGCTTCAACACTCAGAGTATTACTACTACTTCACATCCTTCAGGTCTGACCTCCAGACTTGGGTGATCAGTCCAAGCCCTTCTGGTGGCTGAGGGTTTGCAGTACACTTTCCAACTGCACCAAGCCAAGGCTGATTAGGCGGTAAGGCTGGTGGGGATGACTTATTGGTCGTATGTGAAAGAACAGCGAACTTAACGCGTATATATAGAAGATAATTGAAAGTGGGGCAGAGGTAAAAGAAATTTGCGGTAGGCAGGTGAAGGCAGCCTAAGCGAGTGGATAAGATTGCCTGCGATGCTTACACGTTGGAGAGAGCGCACGCTGATGACGTAGTACGACAAACGCGCAGTCTGCTGTTGCTGCGAAACTGCGTAGTGTGCAGCTACACGCATGGCGCCGGGCATTGGAGCGACAACATCATAGCAAGTGGATTAAGAGAACAAGAGCAGGCAGAGAGATTGGGGAGAGAATCGGACCAAGGAAGATGTAAATAAAGAAAGAGCTACACGAAGGTGATAGAGACTGACAATATACACATCATGTGCACAGGAGTGAGATACCATACGAGCTTTACCTTCTCTATCTGCAAGAAAGGTGTGAGTGGCGACAGGATGAGAAGACATATATGAAAGCACGGCATTTATGTGACTTAGCCGAGGAAAATTGTTGGGTACCAATAGGGTTTGGGAGAGACCGATGGACGTCGAGGAAGAATCTCAACATCTACCAGATGCTAGCAACATTTTGGCTAGCCCAGCAACGTCACATGCCAACCGCTATGAAACTTCCCGCCAGATAGCATTCAGTGTTATTGGATGACGACAGCTGCTGATTGCTTCTATTGAGACGTCTTGCAAGAGGATGTTTGGCGTGGCATCTTCATCATCAAAACTTCGTCCTCAACGCCCACCCCTTACCAACTCCCCTTGCAATAATAAACAACACTGTAGACGCAGCATAAGTCGCTCCACAAAACAGCATGAGCGCATCATAATTCCTCCCTTCTCCAACGCTCAGAATCGTCCCTGAAAGCGGCACACCCGCAAGCGTAGCAAAACTCACAACCCCATACGCTGTGCCGTACTTACTCGCATACTCCTGCGCACTGCAAAGTTGACTGACACAAACCGGCGTCAAACTATACGTCGGCCCACTAAAAAACCCATAAACAATCGCGAAGACAACGAGTCCAGCAACACTCGATCCAAGCCCAAACCACAACCCGAAAATCGACGCCGTGCAGATAGCCGAGCACACTACCATGACATTGAACCTGCCAATCCGATCTGCCACTGGTCCCGGTAAACCACGCCCGAATATCGAAGCTGCATTCAAGATGGCGAGAATGTGCCGCGCCACTCCTTCAAGCCCCATCGCACTCGCGTACGTAGTGATATACGCAGGCGGCACCAACACCGCCCAATCAAGCACGAATATCGCAGCCATGGTCAGTACAAATCGTGCATCTCTGAATCCTCGCCAGTCCAGCGTTACCCCCGCGCGAGAGCTGCGTGGCAAACGCGTTTTCAAGAGCATGACGCCGAGCAGGAAACAGCACGCGCTCAGCAGCGCGAAGCACCGAATCGTCCACGCGAATCCAATCCGAACAACAAGGCTGCTGAACATGATTGGGTACAAGACGCCTCCGAAGCCACCTGCTGTTGTAGCTAGGCCCGTAGCGAGACCGCGGTTGGATTCGAACCAGTGGCCCAGCGCCGCGATGCTCGACGTCCAGAGGATGGAGGAAGATAAACCGCCCAGACATCCAAAGGATAGCATGAACTGGTAGTATGCTGGGAAGTCTTATTAGCTTAACACCCATTATTGTATTGGCAGGAACATGCATACACCGACAAAAGCTCACCCCAACCAACCCCACGACAACCCCCAAACACCCAGCTTTCACCAACACGTTTTCGCCATATTTGTCGAATACCGGTCCTGTCCACACATACACACTGTCAGCCTTTCAACGTTCTCGTCTCCGCTGGCGCATACATACCGACGCCCAACCCCCCAAAGAAAAACAAAAACGCAAACACGCTAAATATCCACGCTACCTCGCTCTCCGCATAACCCCGGAGCTGGTGTTCAAACAGCCAGGCTTGGAATATACCCGTGGAGTTGAGGAGCCCGGAGGCAGGGAGGAGGAGCAGCCAGGCGCCAAGGACGACGGTGTAGGCGGGGATGCCGCGGTCGGGGTATGCTTCGCTGGAGGACTGCATCATAGGCAAGAGTATGATGAGCAAAGAATCATTGGAGAAAAAGGACGGTAAATGAAGAACTCGACTGAAGTCATTCCAAGTACAAAGTCTCGGAGGGTGGATAGTGTGAGCTCATTGGTCAGATTGAAAACATGCTTCTCCTCTGGCTGGGTGTAGATCGATGCAGCAAACCGCACCAATCAATTGCTGTTGCACTGCAATATCTAGCGTTGCGGCGAGGTCGTTGCTCAGCCTTCGTGCCTTGATCCGCCCGGCGGCGCTAGAGATTGCAGCGCAGAGGCCATGTTACCCATGTTACTCTGTCACTTGTGCCACTCTTTGTCAGACGATGTCAGCAATCTACATTGTGAACAGACTCAACAGGGATCTAACGAGTATTGTGAGAGAATTTTGCTATACATTGCCCATAGAGCTTCCCCAATTCGCAATCATTTATTAAAATCATCCTATTACGCCTTGTTGCGTTTCTCGCAAAAAGGCGTACCATGCGACGCCTTTCCTGCACATTTCGAAGCGCAGCCAAATAGCAAAGAGTTCGTTCCGGCCCAATATGCAAGGGCAGGTGCAAGTCGCTCCGGTACTAATTGAGAAAACTTCCTGTATCCAACTTTCACAGCCAGCGACTTGCTTGGCTTTTGTTGACCTTGGCTGCTTCAAGCAACGCGGTGCTTCGTTATAATTTACCACTGGTGTAATGGTCACTTTGAAAGATGACGTGAATTCGAGGTTCGCATTCCAGTTCAATGTCCAACCACGGAAGCCAGATATGGAAGCGAGAAGCGCCGGCAGTAAACAAAGCGGTTGCAAATCCAGATGTGTAACAGAAACGACGGCGCCGGAAAGTCCCGGAGAAGTAGAAGATTGCTAGTCGGAGGCTCGAATGCACATCTTCCTAACGTTTGAAAATCGTGTATCTGAGGTTCGTGAAAATGCACACGGAAAGGGTATCGACCAACTCCAAGGATATATAAGGAACTCGCGGTGTAGGGCGTTCCGGTCCTGCCGTTTCAATCGTGATCCCCAGCCTGGGAATATTTAGTGGCTGCCGTTCTTTCGGAAGTTGAGCAGTTGAGAGAGACTGTTCAAGCTGCATCCGCTCTTGAGGAAGTCGTGTGTCATCAGCTCGGAGGCGCTCGCTCGCGACTTGACATCCACGCATAGGCAGACCGAGAGGAAAGCCTTGAGTTCCTTGGACAGCTTATCTGGCTTCTTGAGGCGCGGGGTACCGTTGGTCGCAATCAGGTAAAGGGCCTTGAGTGGCTCTTCGTTCAGGTAAGGAGGCTCGGACTCAATCATCTCGATAGCCATGATACCAAGGGACCAGATATCGACCTTGTTGCCATACTCCTTCTGCTTGACGACCTCAGGTGCCATCCAGTATGGGGTGCCGACCATGGTGGCGCGCTTGCTGCGTTGTTCAGTGAGCTTGGCGCAGAAACCAAAATCGGTGATCTTGACGTTGCCACGACCGTCGAGGAGGACATTGTCACTCTTGATGTCTCGGTGGATGATGTTCTGGTTATGCAGATGCTCAAGTCCTTTACAGGTCTATCGTTTGTCAGTGAATGATGATCAAGCCGGGTTATGTTGGTGCTTACCTCGAAACAGATGGTCGCAATCTGGTCTTCACTGATAGACGGGTTGTTGTCAATGACATCAGTCAACGCTCCACCCTCCATGAACTCCATAACTACCCACAACTCCGACTGCTCTTCCTGCAAGAAAGCGTCTAGAAAGTTGACAATGTTGGGATGCTTGCTGTCCTTCATGACGATGATCTCGTTGACAATTAGCTCCTTGCGCGGCTGGTTGCGAAGATCCATCTGCTTGATGGCAACTTGTGCGCGGGGTCCGTTCTCTTGAAGGATCCTCTTTGCCATTGCTGAAGTTGCACCTTCGCGGATGCGGGCAACATAAACGGAACCACTAGCACCCTGACCGATCTTCTTCTGCTTGTTGTACGACTCAAGAGGCTTGTCCTTGGAGACGACTTCGCGGAGCTTGGCCATGACCTCGCTTTCGGACATGCTCGACATGCGCACATCCTTGCGTTGGGGCTCCTCTTTTGGCTTACTAGTAAGAGCTTGCTCGGCTTTCTTGACAGCATCATTGACAGGAGCACCGGCAGGCTTTGCCACGTTAAGAGGCTTCGGCGCAGCAGATGAGCCTTGGTACTGCTTTTGCTGTGTCTGACCGTTCGCTTGGCGAGCTTGAGGAACCTGGTTACTGGAATTCTGGTAGCTAGAGCTTGGGTTAACAGGCGGCCTCTGCGGCTGTGTAGATGGAGGCTTCGATTGAGGCGCTGCACCGTATGCTCCATTCTGCTGGCTTGGTGCAGGTGGGGCAGGACGTTGCGATGCCATCTGGCGAAGCGAGCCCGGGGGCTGTTGCTGCTGGGTTCTCTGGGAGCCTGGAGTAGACGGAGCTGGTCGACTCGGGTTGTAGCGCTGACCTGATGGACTCTGGTCACGCGTGTCGTACGCAACACCACCGCCAACCTCTTGCTGTGCGATTGGCACCTTCTTCTGTGGTAGCGAGGCATTGTAGGCCGCTAGTTCTTCGCGCTCCCGTCGCTCAAACTCCTGCCTCTGTCTCTGCATCTCGCGTTCACGTTGCTGACGGGCGTTCTCCTCTTGCCGCCTGCGATCCTGCTCATAGCGATCCTGCTGTGATGCGCCATTCTGAGCACTAGAATATCCGGAAGGAGGAGTGTTCTGGCGACCCTGCTGACTGTAGCTGTCCTTGCGCTGGTAAGCACCAGGCGGTGCGGGCCGCGGAGGCGCGACTGAATTGCCGCTACCGCCATAGCCGAGCTGCTTCTCCATGCCCGCACCAGTTGATGGAGTCGGAGTGAGACTGGGGTACTGTTGTGGGTCCTCGGATCGCTTCACGAGCTTTTCAGTGTAGAATTCAAGCACCTCGAGGACAGCTTTGGGATTCTTCGCGTAGTCATCCTTAGTGAGCGCGGAAGCCGTGAGAAGTTTTTCCCACTCCACTGGCAATCCAACGAAGGCTCCGCTGTTGGGATCAAAGCCGACGTGGACTCGATGTGTGAAGTTAGTCGGGTTACTGACACCGCCCATGCTGGGGCAACGCTGGTAGATGCTGTCGATCCACGAGTATACCTCGTCATCCGTCTCGACCTTGCATGTTATGATCTTGGTCGGCCCGTCACGAGGGGGCGAGGATCCTTTGCTTGGGTTCAATGAGCGTGTGATCTCGAAAGACAACGGTTGTGTGTCCGATCGCTCGACACCCAGAATATCCCGCAGCTGGATAGACTGTGACACCTTGGACGCGTTGGCGCTCTTGAAAAAGTTCAGCTCGAATTCGCGCAGCACGAGCCATCGGTCTGACCAGGCGAAAGCCTTGAAAAGACCTTCATCCTTGACCTTGACCATGCCTTCCTTGACGGTAGCCGTGGAAGACACGCTGCGGTCCGTCTGTGTGCGGACCAACGACATCTGTGAGCCGTTGTTAAAGGCGGGCGACTGCATGCTAAGCCCGGCCATGTTCCCTGGCAGAGTGCTGCTGGTGTTGGGTGTGAGATTGAGGCGTGGGGGCGGTCGCGGCGCGGGACCGGGGTTCATGAATTGGTCGCGGGAATACATGCTGTGGCGTGGTGGTCAGCTCGGTGGTTGTGCGGACGGGCGACTAGGGTTAGTGGTCGAGGCAGGAACCTGCTCCGACTGGTAGACGATGTTTGGTGTTGGTGTTGGAGGGGGTGGGTGACGAGCCCAAAAAGGAGAAGGCGAGGGGGGAATACTCACGTAGCAAACTGTCATTCACAGAATGGCTACAATAGGCGTGGCGTGGCGCAATAGCAGGCGGGCGTGGTGGGTGCCTCCAATGCAGCCTGGTCTTCTAACGATGCGGTGTATGGCGGGGTGGGCGTCTGCGAAGTGCGCTCGCTGGCTGGTGTAGTCGTGATGGGCGGAAGTAAAGAAGGACACTGTCGGTGCTCTAGAGCGGTGAGAAGAGACGCTGGCGGTGACGCGGAGTCGTGAGGGTGAGCAGCAGCGCGAGGTCGGGCTGCAGTGAATCGGGGGAGGATCTCCCAATGCGAACGGTATGCCGCTGCCAATCGGAGTCGCAAATGTGTCAAATCTGAGTGACTCGAGTGTGGCCCCTACTGACACTTCACCACAGACGTCTCTTTCCTCGAGTAGAATGTACTCGCAGCAAAAAGGGCGGGAAAGGCGTGGAGGTCGGGTTTTGCGTGGTTGGAGAGGTGACTTTGGAGGTGGAGGTGGAGCCCGCGCTCAGTTAGTGGTTTGGCAGCACGCTAATACAGACTGCCAGAGTCAGCATGCACGTGAGACAGACTTGGAAGACGTTCGAAAAGCGCGCCGAATGTCAGCATCCAATCGTCGCCCTGCCACCCGGTCGTTGGCCACGCAAACGGTGAAAAGCGGAACAACTGTGGAATGTTTGCCGTGCAGCGTGCAGCTCACACAGACATGTACAGATCTGCGCACCATGTTTCATGGGCGAGTAGGCGCGCGCACGGCACATCGAACCTCTTGACTGCGGCCCGGCTTGGGCGCCCGCTTCCTCGGCGCTGCACAGGGTTGCCACAAGGTTGCCGCAAGGTTGCCGCCAACCACTCGAGTGTTTCAGACAGCCAACAGATGGACCTCTGAAACCCTTCTGGGTTGCACCAGGAACCTTCCATAGCCGCCACAGCTGCCCCAGAGGGAAGGCGCGCCGTTAGCACTATATCTGAAGTATTAAAGTAAGCATCGTGGCTTCAAGAGGGACACATGATGTCACTTGTGCATCGAATTCTATGGCCGAGCTCCAGGAGCAATTTCGTCTACAAGTGCACCCACAATAAATCACTCTGACCCTTTGCAGTAGCATCTCCACTGTCGTTACCAGCTAGCATGTCAAATGCTGACACGCCGTAGTCACGCTTTATGACGCGCTGTTTCGCCTGCCGTCGAGCTGTGCGCTGATGCTTTACAACAGGCCGAATGATTTGCTCTCGAAACATCTATAGCCACCGGGAACTTACCACCGTACAGGCGATTGCCGATATTGACGTCGACAACTGGCGAGCGGACTCCAAACTGTCTCCGTCTTGAGGCATATTCCTTCTATTCCACTCCCCAAACACCAAGCACGTCCCGTCCAGTGCCCTCCTGCTGTCGATTCTTACGCTTTTGTAACTTCTTGACTCGACGAACAGACAGACCAACACCCAAGGGGCCGACGATGGTGCAAAGTACGATCGCCCAGGTGACTACTAAAAACATATCGGACGGTCCATTCAACGCCTCTCCTGATGATGAGAAGACGCCCTTTGACTCGGCGACACCAGATATTAGGAACCCTATCTCGCCGCGGGCGCACATGGCGAGAGCGAGGATAAGAGGCGGGTGCAGAGAGAACGGTTTCGGTGGGTTCGGAGAGCTACGTCGGTTCGACATGTTTTGCGAAGTTGCCTCAGGTGTTGTAGTAGCAGTAGTTTGCGCGCCTTCCCGGGGCGATGGGGTCGCTTGCCCGCTCTTGCCCCATGAGTGAGGCACTGACGGAAGCCGCAACTTCGATAGCAAGCTTTTCGCAGCGCCTTTGCTAGGTTCCGCAGTCCAGGTAAACCTGACGAGCCAAAGCCCGCAGACCAATTTTCCAAAGGTCATCAAGACTGCATAAACGATGCCTCGCCAGACGATCGATGCATCAAACATCTTCGTGATCGGTATGGAGAAGCCAATCGAAGCGAAAAAGAGCGGTTGAAGTATTTTGGACACAGCGGGATGGTAATAATACCCGTAGATATAGGAACCGTGGGTAGCATCTCGAGCATGGCCATGTTGTTTGTCGGAAGGCTGTGCAGCTTCTGTCGGTTCCTCTTTCCTGGTACACTCTCCTGTTGCTACGTTTGAAGTTCGATCATGTGTGTCGGCTGGGAGCTGTCCCGATGGTGTCTGTGGAATGGTAACGATGGTCTCTTCCCTCTCTACATTGGCTACCTGCGACACCTTTTTCTCAGCCGCAGCATGGGCAACTTCACTATCCCACCAGCTGATGCTAGCTCCTGCAATGTATGCTGCGAATAAGTTTGAAGTTCCAGCATATGTGGCCCCGGTGACAAGACCAACCAGAATCAGTGTATGGATAACGAAAGCAGTGGCTGTTTTCTGTAGCACGTGGTTTAGCCATGATTCTGGGTGAGACTCTCGATGTCGGTTGAGCCACAAAGTAACAGGTTTGGCGCCAAAAAGACAAGTCAAAGGAGCCACCACTGCAAATGCAATCGAGACGATAACAGGCCGCACGACCGTGATCCAACTGAAGTTGTCGCCGCCAAGATTAGATATGACCTGCACCATGACGAGACCGACAACATCGTCCAGCATGGCTGCACTGGTCAGCACAACGCCAAGTCGCGATGCAGCCAGTCCACTAGAGTTGAGGACCGTGAAGGTCGTGCCCAAGCTGGTCGAACATAGTGCAGCTCCTGCTGCAAAAGCCTGGACGGGACTCGCATCAAGAAACCCCAGAAGCGTGTATGAGAGGCCGATGGGCACAGCTATGCCAGTAAAAGCAACGCCCAAGGAGAGTAGGAGATTGGCCTTCAGGGACTGAAACGACGTGTGTAGACCGCCTGCAGTGTATTAGTGAGAGGCACCAGCAGTAATGACATTGGTCAGTGAACATGCTGTCAAGAAATCTTCAAGTTACTTTGTTATGCTGACACATCCATGCTGCCGTGCCTTACAGATGCAGCTTGAAGAGGCTAGGGCCAGCTGTTGCGGCACCTGCATGTGGTGCCGTTCATTTGGGTATGACGTCATCGCTTGCTTGTTCGAGACGGATGTGTAGTTGGAGAAAGTGTGTGCAAACCTTCGTATACTAGCAATATCAGGCCTAGATAGCCCAATTGCACAATCGTCTCCTCAACACTGGTTGTCAGCCACTTTGCGCCAGGAGTGCCCCAGGCAATGCCAATCAAGACTTGTCCTAGCAAGCCGCAGTAGAGAAGCTTGTCAAGCGCGGCATTGACAACATTGAGAAGCAGCAAAAGTGATGTCTGTACGAGGATGGTGACAATATCTGGCTCATGATACGGCAACGATGAGGTGTTGGATGAGGTTCCAGCCATGACGCAGAAAGCACGAGTGGGTGAGCCACCAAAACGTGGCTGCCCTTGGGTATGAAAGGCAGGACACCACCAGAAAGCAGTAGATGCAGAAATGTGCTACACAGCTGTCTGGAAACAAGTGTCCGATATCTCGACGGTGAATGGCGAAGGGTCTGATATTGGTGTAGAAGTTTGGGCCAACGAGGGCTTGACAGGGCGACAAGGCTACGCAAGCCTCGATCCAGGGGTCCCCGCAACCGAGTCGGGCGCCCGCAAGTCCAACCAGCGACCACGCATCCATTGTTTGGGCCACGGAAACACCACCGCCAGCAACCAGCAAGAAGCATACCCATATTTGCCCGTCTATTCCTACCCGCACGCCTACATACTCTTGTGCGACACTGATGCCCGCAACCTGAGAAATGGCGCCGCTAGAGCAGCAATGGGTCAAGGTCCAGCAGAAAACATTCACCAAATGGTGCGCCTCCCGCTCCTTTCTAACGCAGACTGGATCTGACATGACACGTGCAGGCTGAACAGTAAAATCAAAGTGCGGAATGTCGAGATCAACGACCTGATTACTGACCTGTCCGACGGCGTGTGTGCCCCTCCCGGGTCCCAGAAGCGGCCCCTGTCCGCATATCATAGCCAACTAACGGCTCCCAGATTCACCTCATACACCTCCTCGAGATCCTGAGTAACGAGTCCCTCGGCCGCTATGCCTCCCGTCCGAAGCTGCGTGTGCAGAAGTTCGAAAATGTCAACAAGTCGCTGGACTACATCAAGAGTCGGGGCATCCAGATGACCAACATCGGTGCCGAGGACGTGGTAGACGGCAACAGCAAGATTATTTTGGGACTGATATGGACCCTGATTCTGCGCTTCACCATCAGCGACATCAACGAGGAAGGTCTGAGCGCCAAGGAGGGTCTCTTGCTGTGGTGTCAGCGGAAAACAGCATGCTATGACGAGGTCGAAGTGCGGGACTTCTCCTCGAGTTGGAACGACGGACTAGCATTGTGCGTATCTATGGTTTTTCGGAATTTGTGAAGCTAATATGTAGGATAGTTGCGCTCTTCTCGACATCCACCGCCCGGACCTGATCGACTACGACAGCCTCGACAAGAGCGACCACCGCGGCAACATGCAGATGGCTTTTGACATCGCTGCAAAAGAGATTGGCATACCCGACCTCCTCGATGTGGAAGACGTGTGCGATGTCGCCAAGCCCGATGAGCGGTCACTGATGACCTACATTGCCTACTGGTTCCACGCTTTCTCGCAGATGGAGCGTGTTGAGAACGCCGGGCGCCGTGTTGAGAAGTTCGTGCAAAACATGCAAGGAGCTTGGCAGATGCAGAACGACTTCGAAAGGCGGATGCGCGAACTGCTCGGACACATTGCAAAGCAACGGATTCAGTGGGAGGAGGCCACGTTCGACGGCACCTACAATGACGCTAGGAGTCAGTCAGCAGATTTCACGGCCTGGAAGCGCAAGAGCAAGCGGACGTGGATCGCAGAAAAGTCGGATCTTGTAGGGCTCTTGGGTAACATTAGGACAAAACTAGCAACATACCGGCTGCGGCCATATGATCCTCCTGCAGAGCTGAGCCTGGAAGCACTAGACGCGGCATGGGCGGGCCTCATGAAAGCAGAACGGGAGCGCTCACAGATCATCAACGAGACGATACGAGACATCAAGAACGCGCTGCGGAAGTCGTTTGCTGACAAGGCCAATGACTTTGCGCTTGCCCTCAACACCCTAGGCACGTCAATATCGGCTCTAGAGGGTGACGTTGAGGACCAATTAGCTCATACAAAGGAGATTAGCAAGTCTCTGGCGCCATTGGACGAATACCTAAATCTCATTGCATCGATAGACGAGCAATGTGCAGAAGCCAACATCGAGGAAAACGACTTCACAACATACACATACGATGAGCTAGAGTATGAGCTGAGCTTGGTGCGCAACTCAGTCTCCAAGAAACTCGCCTTCCTCGACAACCAGATGGTTGCACGAAATATGACCAATCTCACGCCAATACAACTGGAAGAGTTCGAATCAGTCTTTCGACATTTCGATCGCGATGTGTCAAATTCATTGCACGAGCTGGAATTCTCCGCAGCACTAGCCAGTCTGGGTCTGGTGTACGACGAAGAAGAAATGCACACCAGATTTCGGGAGACAAGCGGTGGCCGCGAATACGTTACTTTTGAGCAATTCATCCGCTTCATGGTCGACGAGACGGAAGACCAGAACACCGCAGAGCAGGTCTTTGAGTCATTCAAGGAGGTCGCTGACGGCAAGGTAAGACTCACACTGACACCATGCCGACCATGTACTGACACCACTCCAGCCATACGTCACAGAACTCGACCTCCGCCACTCTCTCGTTCCTGACGAAGTTATCGACGATCTACTCTCCACCATGCCCGAACACAAAGGCCCAGACATGCAAGAAGACCGCGACATCCCCAAATTTGACTACATCACCTACATGGAGCGATACATGGGCGGCGACCGAAATGGCCAAGTCAATGGTGGATAGTATCCTTGGTTCCGAACGCAGCTCTTAACACCTGCACTTATCTGAAACTTATGATGTCGCATTGAAGGAGAAGAGAGTATAGCATTTACTGGGACTTGAATTCATTGTGGGTTTGCATAGCGCCATGTATGGCGTTGCCTTGTCTTGTGGCTTGGGTTTGGGATGGATGTTGGATACCATGCAGATAGATTGTCTTCAATAGTCATACCCCGTTTTTGGTCGGAATAGAACTTTTTAATTGTCAGGGAAGGCGAATGCACTCAGCCTGACCCCGCGCTCGCTCTTGCCGAAGCTGGTCGATGCCTGTATGTGCTGGCAGCTCTAAACGACTTCAACTCATACACTCGACAATTCTAATGACATGGCAAATTCTCAGTCAGGACCACTGCGATGCACAATAAGTGGGGGGGGACTCAATGGGGGCTCTTTACTCTTCAGTGGCCATTGCGCGCAAGCCTCACTCATCCATCACATGCAAATGTACACCCAGGGAGCTTCATCCAGAGTGTTCAGCTTACCGCTTGGAGATGACCACGAACGAGAATCAAAGTCCCGGATTTGTCAGCCCGACTACAACATCACCCTTTCAGACCAAAACTCCTTGAAGCCATCCAATACCCCGACATACCGGAGAATCTCTGTCAGGTTCGGATGCAGCGCGGCATGCCGCCATGAGATTGGCAGTGCTCCTGTCCCTAGCTACGAGAACGTGCTTGTGATGAGAATCACTCATGGTATCTATCTTGCCATTAAGTAAGTATGTTTGGGGAAGCAGGAAAGACTTCAAGCGTTTTGCGATTGCGTTCGCACATGCACATGATGGGCATGCGCGATATTTCAACGCACACACAAGAGATGTCTTGGTGGCGTGATCAAGAATCTTACCCCCTACTTAAGCATCGGACTGCGAGACGTATGGTGAAGGCTCGGGATCATCATCATATCGCCTCCCCATGTGCGTCCCTATCGACCTCATAGAAAGGCAGGTGCTGCACATTATTTGCCAACTTAACGATAGTCTGACCAACAGCCGGCTGATAAGTCCTCTCCTTCGACCAGACAAGGACTCTGGTGTCGCTATCTCGTCGGATTTGACACGCACCGAGCATCTTGGCCATGAAAGATGCAAGTAACGATGATGGATATCGCACCCAGTAAGTAAATCGCCTAAAGCGCCGGACATGACGAAGGCCCGCCATAGCATCGTTGTAATCTTCAGTGCTGAGATGAGCCTGCATGAGCCACTATTCTGTCACATCAGTATGAGGTTCTAGCACGACTGAGTAAGAGCACTGACCTCGAGGACAATATACCCCATGCCCAAACCCATAACTACGCAAGTTATCGCCGTCCCTTGGATCCAGTACTTTTCCACGAGTGAACCATTGGCGATATTGAACTGTGTGAAATCAAGATAGCCGCCGACGCCAGCCCAGGTCGAGGTCATGCAGGCGCAGTTATTGAATGCGCCGATTGTTTGTGCGAAGATCAAATAACATGCCCAGGCCATGTTGAAGCATTCGAGCGGCGTGAAGAAGGCCCTTTGCAGCCAGTTACGCGTCGTCAGGTTCTGCAGAGTTGCGAAGTGATCTTTCAGTCGCGCTCGAGTGGCTTCGAGCTTTTTCTTCTTGCTCTTACTAGGCAGTATTCGTAGTGGAAACATCGCAAGCTGCGTCACGGCAGACTCTATCATTCCGAGCATGTACGAGAGAGTCGACTTTGGCGAAGCCAGGCCAGGCAGCGACGTATGTTTTGGCCTGTGATGACGACTCGCAAGACGCCTTGTATACTGCTCCAGACGCTCATGAAACTGCTCATGTTTTCTCAGCGGAGATGTACCCCACCAGACCGCTATCTCAGCAAGAAGCAGCACGAGTGCCACAACGAAGAAAATGAGGTATCCGCCTGTTCGACAACCGAGTCCGACGGTAGGCGTATTGTAGGATAGGACAAATGCGCCGGCGCTTGTGCTCGCCGACGAGGAAGATTGAACACAAGACTTGCCAGAATTGGCGGCCATCACTGGCGGGTTTTAGTGGGTGGTGAATAGTGGAATAGGAGGAGACGTGCAACCATGTGAAGCCTCGATCAACCTGGCCCAATACGAGTGCGGCTCTAGCCTCTCGGGGGTTATCTAACCACCCTCTTCCATGCTCAGATATGTACGCCTTTTCGATATCCGATAGTATAGCATACGCCGCTCCATAATGAACTAGATGTTGGTGTACGAGGTCAGTGCATGTCTCACACGCAATCCGTAAATACAGTCTACGTACACCTCGTCCTAGCCTGGCCAGAGAAGCCACAAAAGTAATTTCCCTTGATAACTTCTGCTCTCGCAGCAATTTTCTCGACCCAGTACGCCATCTGCTGCGCCTCGGGCATGTCGCGAAACGACGCGATGAAGTCGATACGATTATCACCATGGAGTAGGGAGTCGCAGACGGCGTCTACAAGTTTGTTGAGTTTGCGCTGGACGTCGTCAGACGCGACTGGGTTCCGGTCTATGATGGAGCAGAGAATTAAGATCGGCAGCCAGGAGATGAAGAGGCCCATGGCGAGGTTGTGGGCTTGGATATTGCTGCCGACGTCTCCGAAAGCTGCGAACAGATGTCAACTGTGACAAGGTGACATTCACTTGAGTATTTACATACCTGCTTCGATAGAAATCCCAAGCGCGAATAGAAACCACAAAGTGCTGATGAAGATGGGAACGACGCCTCTCCGGCGATTACTTCGTAGATCCTCCGCCAGTCGGTAGCGCATCTGGCTCAACGTCTTTTTCCGACCGACGAGCTTCAGCCCTTTGCTGAACAGGACAATTCGCAATAAGCCTTCTGCTTCGCGTGTCATGGATATGACGGGCTTCATCTTGTACTGATTCAGATTCATCAGGATGTAGAATGAGTCGCGCATACTCGCGAACTCGCTATTCACGTCTGGCGTCTCATTGTATGGAACGGCCATATCGACTACATTGTCATCAGCAGTCATGATATGGTTCGTAATGTCTGCCAACTCACCAAACATCGCACACTTTCCACTAATTTGAACATCCCACAGAATACACGCTAGACTACTTATCGGACTTCCGATCCACCTGTTTACAGCCTTGAATGTCCGCCAGAAGGCGTTGCTCTCGAAGGGCGCTTGCAAAAGTGCACCGAGGATAGGGAGAACCCAGGTTGTCACTGTCGCGGAGATTTCGACCCAGGGATAGTACGCATTTCCAGAGCCGCAGACTGCCTTGCAGCCTTCGTATGTGATCTGGGTCAGTGGGTTAGAGGGGATGTTGAGCACACTACCAGTGTAGTTGTAGCGCGAGATTAAGCTGGGGTTGGACATGTAAGTTTGGCCACAGTGAGTGAAATTAGGGCGGCGCATAATGGATGAACTGGTACGGAGACAATGACATGCTGATGAGGGCGATGTATAGGAGTGCAATGATAAGACTCAGATACAGAATGGGAAACTGATAGCCGCAAATTCAGTGTGGCTGCACAAGATAAGCGTGGTGAAATGCGATTTGATATCCCGTGGCTGCGTGGACGTATGCACGCCACTATAGGCTCCGGAGCAGTGGCCTAGCTCGAAGGGTCCAGCCCAAGCTGAATGGGTGAAAATTGGAATACAAGTCTAGTGTGAACTGCATGCTTCGTCCCACCCTAGATGCACTAACTAACGCACACGAGGTTTTACGACTTCCGACAGTCCCGACCATTCCCGCCCACTAACAGCAGGATTTCCAACTCTGTAGCCAAACTTCAACAAGTCCTGTTCTTCAATGCTACTCTTCTTTTCCGCCAGCTCATCGACATCCCATTTCGCACTCAAGAGTCTGCCATTCAGCCACAATCTCTTCTCTTGACTAAGCCAAACACAGAATGCACCACACAGTCCAACATCGTCCGTCAAATCTGTAGTCGTATCAGCCATACGTCAAGACACGGTATACTCAGATCATGGAGCTTACAAGCGCGAAAACTTTCTGGCGCATTCGCTGTCGCCAATTCTGTATCCACCCCACCAGGGTGAACCGCGACAGACAAAACCCCGTCCTCACCATACTGTCCCGACAAGAACTCCACAAGCCTTGCCTGCGCAAACTTTGATATGCAATACGACGTGCCCCCCAAGTTTTCATGAGTGACCGTCGCAGCGAACGATCCAACCGCAATGAACGTTTTGGCTCCCCCGCTCTCTTTCAACAGCGGCATGAAGTGGTGCGCAACATTGAATGACCCGATGACATTGACGTCGAGAACGCCTTGGAAATCTTTCGGGTCCTCTTCATCGACTTTGAGACCCATCGGGCCCGCGGTTCCAGAGTTGAGCACGACGACGTCGAGGGTACTGACTTCCTCTCGCACTGCTTTGGCGAGCTGAGCCACGCTGGCGGAGTCGGTAATGTCAACGTCAAGGCATTTGGTAGCTATGGAAGAAGGCGCAACATCTTTGGCCCTCTGCTCGACGGCGCGTAATTTGTCGAAGGAGGATTGACGGGCTGCAAGGAGGAGGTTCGCTGCACCGGCTTTTGCGTAGGCTTCAGCAATGCCTGCGCCGATACCTCGCGATGCGCCAACTATGAGGACAGAAAGTGGTGCTGAAAGCTTGTTGTTGGCTGGGTCGAGGGTAGGTGAAGCTTTGCTGTGTTGCGTAGCCGTGAAGCCGGACGCTAGCGTCATGTCCCTCAGTCGGTCAGCCATGGTGATACTTGAGAACAATTGGTGACGGTCTCCAGACTCGTTTCATTTCGCATTTTATACAATACTTGCGTTAGCACAATCATTTTGATTGTGCAGCATTTACCGTATTTTTTCGTCCGTCGTCGCACGCGAAGTTAGCAAAGTGGACGAAAAAATGCGGTACCACAAAAAGTGAGCAGCTTCGCAGGCAATTTGTTTCAATCAGATAATAAATACCGTAATACAGGATGTTTGATTCGCCGCTTAGCGTACGGAATGGCCAGTTAAACTACCAAAAGGTCCGTCTAACTCGGCGCTATCGCGGCACAAAGATGCCTTTTTCGTCTGTACTTAGAGCAGGTTTTGGTGTTTTTCATGGTATCCTTCAAAGCCGATTCTCGTTGAGTATATGTGTATCTAAGTGTATACATTTAATAGCTTGTTAAAGGGTCTGATTTATTTGCTCTCCCCAGTGATCAAGCCCAAGTGACAAGCTCTTTGAGCTCCGCGTACACCTTGGAAACGATTCGAAATCAGCCTACATTATACCTCTGTTCTCCTTCGGCCCATGACATAGGCAACAGTATCAGGATTATGACAAAGGACAGGCATGCGGAAGCTGTAGCATAATCTGCCTTTATTTGCGCCTTTAGTCCATGTGATAAGCAAAACGTCATGTACAGGTAATTTGTCTCACGGACGCATCATCTTTCTCAAGCTCGTATATCTTTATTTCATGCCATTGTCTATTCATCACTTCCTTCATCTAGCTTCCAAGGATAAGATTTGATACACCGGCTCTTGCATATGCTTCAGCAATACCTGTACTGATACCAGTACCAACACCTGTACTGATACCAGTACCAACACTTTGTGAAGTGCTAACCACGAGAACGTTGAGTGATCGTGAGATGTTCTTTGTATCTGTATAGAGTACGAGGCGGCTTTGCTTTGCTACGCTGCGCCATCTCAACGAAAAGATTTATCGACTGAGGTAAAGCATTCTATGGCATCTGTTTATTATACAATTTGAATCGTAATTCCCTTCAGCTGAGCTTCGTTTATGTAAGTCTCAATCATTGCATGGTATTCCACGGGGCCTCCACCCCATCCGCTAGCTCTCGCAGCTTTCTTAGCTTCTTTGGGTGTTTGCTGCTTCTGGGATACCTCTCCTTCACCGTTGTAGTAGCCAGGTGTACAGCTGGCTAGAATAGAATACCAGTGAGACCTTCTTTCGACTTGATCGGTATACCTGTCCTCGGCCTCCTTGGAAACCTCAATTATCAACTTCTCGGAGCAACCTGACTGACTATGGGCTTCTGCTAAGATATTGGCAGCAAGCCTGGACAGTCCTTCATAATATGTTGTCAAGTTGGGAGATGACCCAACTCCCGCAACGGCGTAGAAAAACATGTTGGGAAACTGGTTGGACATGAGTCCAAACAGCGTCCCGAAATCGCTGCTTCTCCATTTATCGTGAAGGGACCGGTCATTCCGGCCTATAATAGTTCCATCCATTCGGTCAGCAGGAGTGGCCTTGGAAGAAGGCGAAAACCCGGTCGCAAATATCAAGACATCCAGATCATACTCAGATCCATCTACAATGACCCCCGATGGACTGTAGCCTTGGACCCCTTTGCCGTCGGTGTCCACCAGCGTGACATTGGGCTGGTTGAAAGCGCTCAAGTACTGGTCATGGAACGTAGGTCTTTTGCACCACCCCGGATACCACGCCTTCAGCTTCTCGGCAATTTCAGGATCTGAGACTTCGCGATCGACATAGGCCCGGCTTTGCTCAGCATGTTCCTCGTCAAATTTCAGCATTGATCGGAAGAAATCGTCGTTCATCCGCGCTGAGGCAAATCCGCGCGAACCAACGGATCCCGCGTAGGCTCGATTCGTAGTCCAACCATCTTCCACTAAGTCGGCGGGACGATCAGGATCATCTGAGATGAAGTGGTCAAAGTTGAGTTGTCGTTTAAATTGCCATCCCTCCTCATGTGCAACATGCTTGTGCCAAGATATCACGTCTGTAGGTTGTTTGGCCCGGGGGAAGCCATGTGATGCCGTACGCTGAAACACGTATAAGTGCTTGGCCCACTTGGCTAGCTCTGGAACGACCTGGACTCCGGTAGCCCCAGTCCCGATAATCCCAACCTTTCCAAAATTAGTGACACAGCTGTCAAGATAGAATTCATCTGCTGACCTTTTTGTCCTTGAGATTCACGAGGGTAGGATATTCTTGTGAGCCGCCTGTATATGCGTAGTCCCAGCGAGATGTGTGGAATGTATGGAATGTGTTTCTACGAGTCTTGAGGATGTCCAAACCAGGAAGCTCGGGGATCCGGGGGGAATAGAAGTATCCCCAGGCACCGAACACAAAGCGGGCCTGAACAGTCAGGTTCTCTCCTTCGAATCCGGGACCTAGGTTACGCTTCATGCTTATGGTCCAGGCTCCTTCCGCTTCGTTCCACACCTGACTGTGAACTTTGGTGCAAAACATCGCTCGTAGATCCAGATGGGCCGCAATTCGCTCTGCATTCTCGCGAATCTCGTATCCGAATGAGTACCGATGCTTGGGAATATAACTGGTCTCCTCTAGTAGGGGGAGATAAATGGATGCTTCAACATCGCACATTGCACCTGGGTACCGATTCCAGTACCATGTACCGCCAAATCCGCCCGCGCTGTCAATGACACAGATTTCGTTGGATCTGAATCCCATTTCCATCAGGCGGTATGCAAAGAGTAATCCATTGTGTCCAGCACCCACGATCAAAAACTTGATGCTGTCACCGTGCCGAAGGGGTGGCTCCTGAGCTCGAATTTTTTCGTAGTCAACGAACGGATCTTGAAGATAATCCTCAGGCTGTTCCGCTTGAAGATTCTTATATTGCTTTGTTCCATCTGAGCGGAGGCGCTTCTCCCGCTCTTCAGCATATTTCCGGATTGTGTGATCCATAATTTGGGGTGTAAATAGCCCAATGAAGTTTGCAATAAGAGTATATGACTTGTCGATTGTGATTGAGAGTCTACTGCAATAGCTGATTTGGGAAGTGAGTTCTGCGACCAGCTATATAGAAAAGTGCGAGACAGGTTGTCGTCACCTCAACTGTGTCGGACGATTCCTCGAAACTCGTTCCGTTGTGTCTATTCGTTTACTCCCTGTGCAAGTGCTTACGTGTGATTGCGGCGGTCGAATTGGCCTCTGTCTTGAATTGAGTTTTATCGTCAGTTCCAAACTGCACATTTGTGAACAATCAGTTCCATCCTTCACTTCCAAATAGGTCACTAACCTATTATAGTAAGAGTCAACCCTATAAAGGCAGTTGCTAGGCCTGAAGAGGCAATCAATCACATCACATTCTCGCCAGTCGAGCCCCACACAGTTGATTGTCGCCGACTGTGCTCGCAAACTGAACGGTAGTTGAAAGCTAATCGGACGCATTCCCGGGATCCGAACAGAACCGCAGTAGGACCATCGTTTAGTAAGTCCAACATTCACTTATTCCTCAACCCTGTGCCGGCCCGATAGGAACATGCACGGTCCCGTACCGCGCAACCCTTGGTCGCACAACGGCTGCTAGTGAGCATTTGCCCTGTTCAGCCAACGATCTTTTACAAGATCATCTTCCCCCACACTAGCGGTCCGTTCATCGGCACCACATTACCGGGTTTAAATAATTATGCCGACACGCTAACACAGGGTATCACAGCTAGCGAGGAACTGTTGAGTGGGATGCGAGACCGACTCTACTCAGCAAATAAGGTACCAGGTAAGGGACTTAGAACAGGGTTAGATTTATCCGATGTATCACGACTGGCTATTTCGAAGTTGAACACTGTCAGAGGGATGATTGCGTTGGACTACCTAGAGTTAACACACCACATTTAGTAAGTAAACACACGCAATAGTCGAGGTAGCGGGGGAAATATATAAGCAGACTATAGTGCAGTCTGCAAACGGCAGTAACCATCCAGGTTATAGCGGTCGACCAGTTGCGACAAGTTCCGACAAGCTGAGTATTCATTTTGCATAAATCTGACATTTTTATGCCGATTCACTGCCGCTCTGTCTTTTCCTCTGACAAGATAGATTGGCGACGGGCCTTCACATCGATACATAATCACACTGGCTAAAAGCGTCCTTGATGCGGCTTTGCGTCTGGTGACTGGACCTCAACAACCTACCGTAGCACAGTGCATATGGCGAAACATTGCAAGGGGAACTTCGAAGAGAGACCGATCCAATCAGTTTCACAGACAATGACGAGTAGCTGCTGATCAGAGTTCGTGGCTTTCTCTCATGAACCCCTGCTATAGCTCGTCTTACGCAGTGCGCTGCGTTATATTGATGATCTACACTCAACAATAGGTTCCGCAGCGATCCGATGTTTCAAGAATGGAGTCCAATAATAGTGAATTATACTTTGCTAGCAAGTCCGAAAGTCCGAAGGTGTTCACTCTTCGCCAAGCCAGCCGTCTTTGGACCGGGGAGAAGGTAGCATTGGGTAGCAATGATAGGCCAAATCCCAGTGCATTGGCCAAGCCCTAAAGATGGGGAATTAACCGTGCCCAGGTCACACAGTAGGCCCATAATTTGACCTGTAGGTCCAAGGCAGATCCTATGTGTCTCCGAGGTAGAGCCAGGATTGACATCGTAGATTGTATCGAGATGCATTACGAAAGGAATGTGGCCGTGAATCTGGAGCATGCAACTATTGCTTCATTCTTGGGAAGTCAATCCGACAAGCCAAGTACCAACAAGGTCTCGAAGTTTATCATTTCTGAACATGCATGAAGCTAAGGGGGGCAAGTATTTAACACGAGCTACCGCCAAACTATTCAACGCACTCATGACACTTTCTAAACCAGGCTTCCTATCCTATCAGCTATGACTACCCCTTCTCTACCAATCATTCAGTTGACCATCATTGGGTGCGGTACGCTTGCGTCTGGTATCGTCGATGGCCTCAGAAACCAACACAATCTTACAAGATCTTACCGTCTCAGCCTGACAGGAAGACGGGAAGAACATGTCAACTTCCTTAGGAAGAAGCATCCGGAGGCACTCGTCACGGCCAACAATTGTGATCCCCGGATTTGGGCCCCGGTCCCAGGAGCCACGGCACATTTGGTGGTCATTGGAACCCAGCCTCAGTTCACCAAGGCCGTATGCACCGAGATCCGCGACACGATCGAATCATTTTGCAAGGCCAATCCTCCTGTCGTTCTGACAATGTGTCCTGGAATCACGATTTCCCAGCTGCAAACTTGGCTGCCAGCCAATTACCCAATTATTCGTTCGATGCCCAACACGCCAGTCGCCGTAGGCCAAGGTGCTACAGCACTATTCGCGAACAAATTCGTCACATCAGGATCGATCAATGAGATCAAGAAGGTCTTCCTGAACGTTTCTCCCTGCGTTGAATGCCTAAACTGCGAAGATCTTCTGGACGTTGTAGCCTCGGTTTCAGGGTCAGTAAACTCTATAATTCTAATAATCTATGTTCACCCTCGACCCGGGCAAGCACATACCATCGAATCACTGCTTACACAAATTTAGTTCTGGACCTGCTTATTTATTCTACATGGCACAAGCAATAGTGGATGCTGCCATTGCGAAAGGATTGCCCGAAAAGCAAGCGAAATCCTTGGTCATTCAGTCGGTCATCGGCGCGAGCCTGCTGGCACAACGCATGCCTCAATCTTTGTCCGAACTTCTTGACGATGTGTGTGTTCCTGGTGGAAGCACAGAAAAGGCCATGGCCACGCTGGACTTGCATGGGGCTAACGATGCAATCCTGAAAGCGGTGCATGTGAGTTGGCAAGCAAATCTGGAAATGGGAAAAGTTTGAGCAGGGTGAATATGTGACAGGCATGCATACTGGTCTGTGTTGTCAAAAGTAACTTTGTTTCAATGCAATACATGCGCAACCATTTCATCTGCTGTGCACATTCGTCACTTGCGTGCGTGTCACTGACACAATCAATGCGCTACAATCTCGTCGTCCGGGCTCGGTCATTGTCCGGATACATTGTGTTACCTGGATCTGTGGAAAATGGTGCCCTAGTGAATTGTTGATGCCATCTTGCTGCTAAGCCTCTGGGATCTTGTTCCAGATCTTCATACGACAGGGTTGAGGGGTCATTCCTACACTCCCCTCCCATGATCGGAGTACTAGCGTACTTGGCCTGCAAGAGCCACATCCGGGGTTTTCTGAACATCGAATCGGCCAACAACCCCCGATTTGGCTCTTGCACGCCAAGTACGCTAGTACTCCTATCATGGGGGCGGGGGGAGTGTGGTTCTCGACAACCTCCACTTCCCTAGCGGCATGCGGGATTTTCCTAATCAATCGTGCCATAGTATCTGAGTGTATCGCAAATGCAGACCGGCCGTTAACGTCCAAGGTTTCGCCGCAACGGCCCGTGTACCTCCCGCCGGTTTGCCGGTGCTTATGCTGCTTACAAGGCCTGTTCTCTTTGATGTTTCAGAGCCTATAGATACCCCACGATCTCTGAGAGCTGGACAAAACAGCCCCTTACTAACTTCGTGACCCCTGTATGTACAGTTCTTTATCCGAAGTTCTACCTACTACACTAGTGCGACGTCAGTACTTTATTTGGGCTTCAGGCTGTGGTAATTCCAATGCCGGCACTTGCAATCACATCACAATCGAGTCTAATAGTGTTGACTCAGCACTAGTCCGGCATGTCCGCGGGTAGGTCCAAGTGAATACATGGTCATATTCGGGGGGAGATGCTTCTTCTTGGCATTCTGTTTCACTCTCTAGGGTTACCATAGATATATATAAAAACGTGTGGCATTCGTCTTCAGGCTTCCTACCTTCGTCTCTCCTTCCAACAAATGCTGTACCCTTCTTCAACATGTCTTATAACTCCAATCCTGTGAAAAAGAATATGACGTTAAAGTTAAAACGCTCAGTGTCATCGAATTTCGTATCTCTTCACTCACTAGAACCTCATTCGCAAGGCCTTTCCGCGCAAGAGCCTCCCTCACAAGAGCCGCCAGATGGAGGACTGGTTTCTTGGCTTCAGGTCCTCGGGGCCTTTTTTCTTTGCTTCAGTTCATCGTAAGTCTTTTCCAAAGAATCGAAAGAATACATGCTAACATGGCTACATCTAGGGGCCTCACTGTGTCGTTTGGAGCATGGGTAGACTTTTTAAAACAAGGCTTCCTCTCCAACTACAGTGAATCAGCTATATCTTGGATCGGCACTGTCCAGGGATTCCTCATGGTCTTCGTTGGCGTCGCTATAGGCCCCGTCTTTGACCTCGGATACGTACGCCTACTGATCGTAGCCGGCATGTTACTGAACGTGCTGGGATTTATACTGACAGGCTTTGCCCAACATTATTACTCGACATTCCTCTCTCTGGGTGTACTCGTTGGTCTTGGCGGCGCATGTCTTTTCACTCCAGGCGTGGCGATTGTTGCTCAGTATTTCACCACCAAACGGTCCACCGCAACTGGCATTGCATCGGCTGGAGGCAGCGTAGGTAAGTTACCATAGTCTGAGATGACGGATCTTCTGGACTACCTACTAATAACCTAGTGCAGGAGGCTTGCTTTTGCCTATTGCATTCCGTAGGATCACCACTAGCATTGGATACGGCTGGGCGAATCGAATCTTCGGACTCACCATCCTCACCGTTTTACTTATATCCCTCGCTATCATGAAGCCCCGGACACTTCCATCTACCCGACGCAAGCTTTTCGATTTAAAGGCCATCATGGAGCCCGCCTATCTACTTTTTTGCCTTGGTTTATTCGCAGTCTGGACCGGAATGTATTTGCCTTTTTTCTATATTCCCCTTTACGCACGCAAAGCCCTACACGTTTCTGAAGATCTCGCTTCTTATATGCTGGCTTTTATGGGCGCTGGATCAGTATTCGGGCGTATTATCACGAATGTTCTCGCCGACAAAATTGGAGCCATACAATCTTTCCTTCCTGTCACCTTCATTCTAGGCTCTCTTGCATTTGTCTGGATTGGAATCAAGGATACAGCTGGAACCATTGTATTCTGCGTGTTGTATGGATTCTTTTCAGGAGCGTCTATCTCATTGACACCGGTAATGCTTACCGCGGTTTCGCCAGACCTTAGTGTAGTTGGCACGCGCATGGGAATGGCCTTCAGCTTTGCAAGTTTTGGATTACTGATTGGTAGCCCTATTGGTGGAGTTCTGATTGGAACCGAAGCTGGGTATACTGCTGTTCAGGTATTCAGTGGTGCCACAATCTTGATCGGACTAGTTTTACACTCTCTTTCAGGCTTCTTAACAGCAAGGAAAGGTCACCTCAAGACTTAGATACCTTTACTCACGCTATACTCTTTGCAGTAATTATGCTTTTTGGTGACACAATCAACTTTTTCAGTATTGCACCCAACCTCCGTTGGCTAATCGTTTATCTGATGAGTGCATTATCCTCAATAGGAGGAGTATAGACCAAGACAAGCGACACAACTTGAGCTGCAGTGGCTCTGCCACAGACCGGCAACATAAGCGTGTTGGCGAAGCCGGCATTGGCGTTGATCATGTCTCCATTCTGGGCTGCGCCCCAAGCTTCATCGCATCGTCAGCCACTCATTTCCAGAGAGGCACTCTTGGAGATTGGTTTGGATATCAGGTCGAAGACCCCAATATGTTCGTGATCAAGACCGGGTACTTGATTCTATATCGGGCTGTAAAGCTTTTATAATGTATAACAAAGAAGTGCTAGGTGTTAAACCATCCTCAGAACCCATCAAACTTCAATCGCCTCTTCTCAGACTGATGCAATCGCACACGAAATCGAACCAAGCAAGAAGAGTTAGAATCGTCTTGGTGGTCACCGTAGCAGTAGGTCTTGTTTTCTTATACGAGAAAAGCATTGGCAATACACAGTGCGATAACAATTTTGGGCCGCCGAAGGATTCGCTTGACCATAGAGGCCTTCTCGCTGTATTAGAATGGTCTGTTTTCTGCGCCTTTCGCGCGCGACAGATGATTGTGGAGGTCTGTCAACGACTGACCCTGCCAGACACCGAGCATTACGCAGAACACGCAGCCTAGGGCGAATATGCCCGTACTCTGACCGTGACTACTGAGGCCTTCTAGGGTAAAGGACCGGTATGTCAACTCGGGTGCGGGGTACATAGATGATGATCGCCAGGGGTTATCCGTGCAGGTGGTGTGGCCAACGGCGAAGGTGTTTGACGAGCTGAAGTCCTTGGATAATATGATGTTGCCTCTATGAATGATGTTTGACGGCTTGATACCTTGGTATCGAATGTCCTGGCTGTGCATGTAGTCGAGAGCAGAGGCCAGACAGACAAGCCAGCGCCCTAGTCAGTCGCCCCACATTCTCTTTTCCTCTGAAGAGTGATCTTGCTCACTATGTATATCTAGAAACTCTCGTAGCTCGTTGTCTCCTACAGGACTCATCAGCAGACAGTAGAAGTGTTTCTTGTTGCACCTTTGGTCTTCATAAGTTCCTATGAGTGCCACAATGTGGGGATGATTGAGGGCTCTCAAGTTCTCTGTCTCATCTTTTACTATCTCCAGATGTTTTGGCGATCGCAGATCTGAAGCTTGACACGCTTTCAGACAAAGGACGGAAGCTGTTGGTCCTTGAGGCAAACCTCATCGACTATTCATAGTGAGCCTTGTCCAAGTGTGGAGCATACCTCTAGCAGCTTTTCATCGGGTGTACGAAGAACAAGGTGTTGATCGCCCCAACGAAAATGACTTGCGTTAAGTTGAAACGCCGTTGAAGAGACTTGAGTGAGAATCTTGATGGAGGCTGTAGGCTCACCACGCAATTGCTTAGCGCCCATGAGTAGAAGTTACGGGCTTGCTCGGCGCTCGTAGCCATCGCCCACGCTCACTGATTCTGACTCTAGCGACGGATGTGCATTTGAACCAGTCATATTCCAACTGGAAGTCCGCTCGTTGCTATTCACTGTTCTAGATTTAATGTGTGCGCCTTGAAATTCAATGGCGACAGAGCCTTCGAAATTCCGTATGAGGGTGTATGATTCATCAGATTTTGAGAGTTCTTTTTGGGTTATGTGCGGTTTGGTCAGTGGCGATCATGGTCGCTTCCTTCGGCTAGATGGTCGTCGCGTCCTCTCCAGAGCTTTCTATTGGCAGACCGGTCGCTCCATTCGCCACATTTTTCTGTTCCATGGAAAGCCCATATAAAGCGTCTCAGACCTAGTTACTGGAGTGGCCTGAGAGTAGTTGATCGGCGTCGATGTGATTACCTGGAACTCCGCGATTCTTTTTGCCCACAATTCGATCTTTTCACGGGGTGTTAGTCTGTCTTAAATCAATACATTGGCAGACTTCCCTCTTGCTCTCGCAGTTATTCGAAATATCGGAAGCTGAGCGCTGAACAGCAGCTTTGCGACGTTTGCAGTCGTCATCTGCGCGAACTCCCTTGTCGCGGATATACGACTTGTACATATTCTGCCGGTATCTTTCATTTAAGTTATCATCCAGGATTTTGGTCGTGACCTCTTGCCCCTGATTTTCAATGAGTATAACGCCTGCTGAATTCCATCGCGATTCCTTGGCAAGAGTGACAGATGTAACATCATTGGCTTTAGCAGCGCCGAAGTTGTGGTCAATGGACATTCCATAAGCAGCGCAAAATGGGATGACAATTTCCTCAAGACAATGTTCGCGTCTGTATTCTCTTTCAGCAACTTTGGCAAGCAATTCTCTGTATGGCTATCGCCATAGGTGAACGTGTTTTGGGGTGCAGGGTCCATCCGAATAAGTCATCAGCTATGAGCTTAATCGATTTGTTTTGCATTCGATGAGCGCGATATCGTCCGTGGTCAACCTCTCCTGGGTCGTTACACGCTTCTTTTGGTCGCTTGCGATGCTTGAACCTGGGGTTGGACAGACTGCAGAGCGTCCTCCACTTCAAAACGTACACCACGACGAAGCTCCGGACGTTCGACATGTATCGCTTCTGTCAGTCGCAAGTTTAATATGCGTCCTGGAAGAGGACTGGAGGTTCTTTCCTCGCTTGGGACGGTAGCTGTGAGGACGTACGGACTATGAGGCTTTTCTTTCGTGTCGTGGGAGGCAGCGTGCGATCTGTTTCCTGCGGAACGACGGTCTATGGGACCATCAACGAGCCTTCGTTTCTCTTTGTGACGGTCGAATCCAAGTGATGTCGGCGGCCTATCCCCTAGCAATCCTGACATGGTCCGATACGTGCGTTTCAGTGTCTGGTGAATTGGGAAGCCAAAGATTGTGGGCCACTCTATATGCGCAGCAGAAGGCGCAACTCAGCCTCCATTGCCTCACCTGCGGCTGTCGAATCGGCGAAGTCTCTTCCGGAGTCATCGCAAGCCACATCAATCTACTCTTTCAACATTCTCTAACAAGTTATGCTTCACGCCTTCACGAGATCTTATCTTTCTAACGGCAGAGATCGCGCAAATACCCCAATCATATGTGAAGCACAGAGAGTGTCGAAGGAGTACATTTTGGGTGTAGCTGTCACGAACATATATTCATTCCACGTTCGTCTATCATAATTTTATATCCTCGTTCCCCATCACCTCCACTTCCACCTTCACTTTCTCTCCTTAATTCTGCCTCCTCTCAGAATAGCTAATCACCAAATGCTATGGACCGCAAGATAAAACCTCCCAAGGTCCCAAAGTCACCGCCAACGCCGTTCGCTCGCTAAGAGCGTTATGAAGTTTTGTCGCACAAAAAGCTAAAACATAGAAAGAAAAATGTACTGGAAGAAAGGGGGAAGACAAGCGCGCTCATAGAATTTGCTTGAGCTGTTCTTTTTGCGCGGGTGTCAGGCTTGTAGGGAACTTGATGTTGACGCCGATGATGAAGTCGCCTCGCTCGGCGGGCTTCTTCGACTTGGGCATGCCAAGATTCGGGTACTTTTCTGTCCAGGTAGGGCCGGTGGGACCGCCGCTGCCGACGTTGAGTTGTTTGCCGTCGATTGTTTGTACGGTTCGGCGCCAGCCTGTGAGGGCTTCTTTGAGGTCGAGTTCGATAATGTGTTTGACGTCGTCGCCTTCGCGGGTGAAGAGGGGGTGGTTTTTCTAAATACAATTGTTAGCTTCTCGCTCTGTGACTTGACGGGGTGGAGTATTGAGCTTACCTCTGAGACAATGAAATGTAAGTCCTGAGTACCACCCTCGACTTGATCTCCAACGTCTGAGAACTTGATCTTGCTGCCTGCCTTCAGGCCCTTCTTGATCGGAACCTCCAATATTCGGTCTTGTGTGCTTTGTCGTCCAGTCTCCGCGTCGAATGTCTTCCTCTTGATCTTTAACTTCTTTGTTGTACCACTGTAGAGATCCTCTAAGCTCACAGCCAGTGGCTTCTCTACGACTGTGACTTCTGGCTCTGGTGCTCTCCTGCCGCCTGCAAAGCGGCCGCCTCTGCCTTTTCCTCCTCCCATTCCACCCATGCCACCAGGCATACCGCCCATACCAAAGCCTCCGCCGCCACCACCGAAGAATTCGTCGTCGCCTCCACCACCCATGCCGCTGCCCCGCATAAACTCGGAAAATATGTCATCGGCGCTGGAGAAGTGGAAGCCATTCGGACCGCCACCACCAGTCGAGAAATGGAACGAGCGTGTGCCGCCGGGCATGCCACCTCCACTTGTGAAGGGGTAGCCGCCACCACCTGCACCCTCGAACGGGTTTCCTCCCGCAGCCTGTTCTGGCGGTGGTGCGCCTCCGCGGAGTATGAATTCGAGGCCATATTGGTCGTACGTCTTGCGCTTTTCGGGGTCTGAGAGGATTTCATATGCTTGCGAGCATTCTGCATTATCACGTTAGTATCACTCGTAGAGGTGCCGAGGCTATGCGCCCAACTTACCTTTGAACTTCTCCGAGGCTTGTGGGTTGTCCTTGTTCTTGTCGGGATGCCACTTCAGCGCCATTTTTCGGTACGCTTTCTTGATCTCATCTTGCGTCGCCGACGATGATATCCCTGCAGAGTTGTCAGTACTGTGCGTGTACGGGGTGTCAGGCTTCAAAGAGCCTTGGTGGGGTGGGGTATGCAGAGCAAACTTACCTAAGTAATCGTAGAGCTTGGTCTCCTTGACCATTGTGAAGTATTATTAGTAAAACAAGCGTGACTCGGGTATATCGTATGCGCGTATGAAGTTTGTGAGTGTTCTTCGAGGTGTGTAAGAAGGGTGGTTGCTTTAAGGTATCAAGCTCAGTTGCAGCGGTAAAGCCGCTGGCTCGTGCACGCGAACTTGGTGGGGAGACATCGACGTCAACGCAAATCGAAGCTTCGAGAACATTCCAAGAGCACAACAATCGCATCACTGGTACTCACGCGAAAAATGCGCAACGTCGGCAATATTCCATGTTATTCGTTTTCAAGACAAGGTATCTGAACATGAGAATTGCATCGACGTGACTAGAACGTAGCTACACATTTAACCGACCACCCTTGTCGATGAAGTTTTGACGCGCCAGAACTCCGTGATGCCAACCAAAAACGCCGATTCCCATACGCTCTTTTTCCGTATGTTACATTGACAAGGTATCCAGAGATAAGACTGAGCTACGATGAGTGCTTGTTGAACATGTACAGCATTCGTACAGTTTTCAACAACGTAGCTGTGCTGAGTAACGACATTTTCCTTTCACGCGCAAAGGCGCTTAGTCAGAGTCGCTGTCCGCAGCCTTGCTCTTGCGCTTCTCCTTCTTGGCCTTCTTTGCTGCCTTCTCTTCCTTCTTCTTGCGCTTGCGCTCGGCCTTCTCCTCGGGCGTTTCGTCGTCCTCGTCACGGTCCTTGCGCTTCTTGCTGCTCTTGCTGTCAACGTCCATGGCTGCGCCGGCCTCGGCTTCAGCCTCTGGTACGGCGGGGGCCTCGGCGGAAGAAGTGATTTGGGCAACAGGTGCGGAGCTTTCACCCTCGACCCTGTTGAAGTCCTTGTACTCTGTGTTCCACTTGGCGGGGGTCTTCTCGTTGGGGCGGCCATATTTCTGATCTTGTTAGCTATGCACCTAATAGTGAAAATATCACACTTACGTCGAGAGTGCCGGCCTCCTTCATCTTCTTCTTCTCAGTCGCAACTGGGCCCATACCCCATCTCCTGGGGTAGAGGTCGCGCTCCATAATGACACGCTTAATCCTTGCAACGACTCCGTGGTCGCACGAAGACATCTCAACAGCCGACATTTGCGCGTACGCAAGTGCAATCGCCTCGCCCTTAGTGGTCATCAGAACGATCTCCTCGTGGATCTCGATGCCCTTCTCGAATCGCAGAAGACCCGGGATCATGAGCTTGGCACCGTAGCAGATGGCGTTGACGGAGCTGTCCTTGACGACAACACGCTTGTAGCTGGTAAGGAGACTCTCGAGAGGAGAGATGACGTGGCGCAGGTAGGACTCGTCACGGTTGTTGTCGTGCAGCCATTGGGCGTCGAGAACGTCGTGGAGGGTGACCAAGTCCTTGGTCTCGTCCATGGCTCCAGACCTGACACGGCGCAGCTCCTGCATGTGTGCGCCGACACCAAGCAGAAGACCGAGATGCACGCACAGAGTACGGATGTAGGTTCCCGCCTCGCAGCTCACCCAAAACACACCGAGTTGCCTCTCGTTGTCGAACTCGTACAGCTTGCTCTCGTGGATGGTTCGGATACGGAGTTGGCGCTTGACGGCCGAAATGAGCGGTGGTCGTTGGAAAAGAGCACCAGTCAGGGTCTCGAGGGCGCGCGCAAACTGTGCCTCGCCTCCTGGGAGCTTGTCGTGCATGCGGATGACGCAGACATACTCCTTTCCAGCTCCCTGCTGGGACTTGACGAGACGGGTCGCGCGATCGATGCAGACGATGAGGCAGCCGGTGACCTTGGGGTCGAGGGTGCCGCTGTGACCAGTCTTCTCGACTCTGTGGACTTAATTAGTAAACGCGACACGTGATGCAAAACTTTTTTGTTCGTACCTCAGCATGCGCTTAACCCAGGACACGACTTCGTGAGAAGATGGGTTCGAGGGCTTGTCGAGGTTGATGACACCCGAGCTAATGTACGACTTGATGTCTCGCGACAGCGGCGCGCATCCTTGGGGAATGGGCGTGTAATGCGATGTGCGTACGAGCACTGCGGGCATGTTAGCTGGGCTGTACGGAGCTATAGAGAGAGCTTCCGCATACATTCGCTGTAATTCTTCAGCAGCAGGGGCCAGTCGCTGGTGTCAATAGCAGGCGCTGCAGCCTCGGGCTTGATGACATAGGCGTCCGGGTTAGTCTGAACGAGCGCCATTGCTGTGGTTGTTGGTGGTTAGCTACGGTGCAATTGGCGATGCTGTCGAGCTCTGAAGTTTTTCGAACTTTTGCCGGGATCAATTTTGCTACGAGCTTGGCATGCGCTAACGGCACACGGGCCCTTGCCCATTCGCTAGACCCTTTCCACTTCCAGAGCACCCACCGTGACATTTGCATTGCGCGTGTTATCACACGACATGTTCCTTCTCAACCTCAGATCCAATCCTTGTACCCTTTTCCAGAAACCCCTCAATAGGTTCCATGGGTAATCCATATCTCTCCGCACCTTTTTCTCCCCTCTAACAAATCACCCTCCAATTCTCCTATTTCTCCAGTCCTCCCACATGTGTGACAGTAAAGAAAATGAGAAAGAAAGTCCCTGTTACCTTTCAGAATCCCTTGCCCGATCCATCATTCCATCTCTCGACCTGTAGATGGCGGGTTAGATGTCTGACCAACGTGCGGGCGGCAACAAGATCCTGGTCATACCCTTTTGCTGCTGATAACATGCCGTAGCATCAAACGCGGGCCGGGATTTGGACTGTGCTGTGCATTATCTTGTTGAAAGCAAATTCGATCGATTGTTTCCAGTGATCATCGAAATGGATGCCGAACATGAAAGGATCTCTGTCGACCAAAGACCAACCCGCCAGATCTGGATCCGTCGAGCCGACCGTCGAGACAGATGCTATACCGATCCTAGGAAACTCCAACAAGTAAACCCCCTCACTTATATTCCAGAGGAAAAGCTGGCGCATGACGTGAAACTGATAGAGATAGCTTATGACAGTCCGCCAGGACCCGTACAAGTTGCATCTCACGAATGACAAGTCTACGAGGGTAGCGTTGTGTGCGAACAAGAACGAGCTGAGGTCCCTGTCACCCATGTCCCATCCGCGGAAACCTAAAGATTGGAGCTTGCCAAATTGCAAGGTCGACAGCTTGGATCACAAAAGAACGGAAGGCGAGGAACTGGACGGAGCGATGCCGTCGATACTAGCCTTGTCCAGTGCAAGAAACAGGACCTGTAGATTGGTCGCGTGGTTCAGAAAGCGGTATAGTCCATCCCCGGACTTTGCTCCAACTGTAAGGTGTCAGCCATGCTTTTTATCGAGATCTCCTGTCTGAGATAACGCACCGTTGCGGCTAGTCAACATCAAGGTGAGTGTCGTCAAATTCTTGAAACAGCCAGTATGATACCTCAAGTTGTCCATTATGCGCGGCTTGACACCATGGAAGAGCTCCGGTGTCTGGTCCCACATAAGCATGTGTTTTAGTGGCACCCTGCTAGCAATGATTGCAGGTAAGATCATGCTCGATGGATGTCTGGCCAGACTGCGCTGCCGTACACTCGCTGGGTACAGACGTTGGAACATCGGACCAATGATGACGGAGTATAGTCCCTTCAACCTCGCGAGGGCAAAGATCATGAACGTGGTTTCTGGCGCATGTTCGGTGACGTAGTGACGCAACTTCGCCATATTTTCTCCTCCGGCCTCCAGTGGCGTCGTCTTCGCAGTCGCAATTGTCTGACTGTCGGCCGCCGGGTGGAAGATGATGATCCGTAACAATGATGCGTATTTGTCTGAGAGCGACAACTCGACAAGCCTTGAAAGGCCTGTCCCATTAAATTGGACTGACGTGAGGCGGAAGCAGCGGGCAAATGCGCGTTCGGAATTGGCTCGCAGGGTCTTTGAGGATGCGCGCAGCTGACAGATGCCATTAGGGTAGATGAACTCATAAGTCAGCGTCGTGGGGTCGGCTTTCCGATGGCATGTATAGATGAGATCCTCGGAGATCTGCTGTAGGAGATCTGTCGGCAGCGCTTCGATCGCGGGAAGGCGGTTCGTCTGGGGGTTGATCGAGTCCTCTGTAAGGAGCAGCGAAGCGGTTGGATCCTTAAATTCCATATTCGCGCGACTCTTGTTGCTTCTGTGTAGTTTTGTGGAGCAAAGGAGAGAGAGATCTAGCTGGGTGGGAGAGGGGCGCTTTGTAAGGTTGCGCACAGATCATTGTTTGTATCACCTTCACCTTCATCGTGACTGCGAAAGTAAGCATGGAAACTCTTCTAAAAAAAAACGTGGAATCGAAGCCTGTCAAATTTTTAAGTGCACAAGAAAGTTGCTATGAATATGACATTCGATATAATGCTAATTGCCGAAGGTAATCGCTAAAATTGCATGACTAGCAATCCTCTCAAACGCCCGTCTGGATGGGTACCTGGCCATTCCCAATGTTCTCGCACTTTGCGCAGTCCACATCTGCTGACGTCCTGATCCCATTAACGTCATTCAGAGCGCTTCCATTCGCAGCGCCATTCACACCAACGCCGTCCACGTCCGGCCAAAACGCTTCCTCAGCATCCAGCACCGCCTGCCACACCGCATCCGTCCTCGTCTTAACCTGCCTCCACAACTGATCGTCACCCTTAACAGCCGAGCTCACCGCCTCATTCAGAATCCTCTCCAGCTGCTCCACAAACATCATAAAGTCCCTGTTCGACCAGTTCGGAATGAACTCGCGCCTCATCGCCCCACCATCCTCATCGTTCTCATACGTGCGCGGCGAGCTCTGCGCATCCTGTCGCCGCGCCCAACTCCACGCTTCGTAGTACACCTTCTCCATCGCCCAGAGCATCACGGCGCCCTCAAGCCATGGGAGGAATTCACTCCGGGAGGTGGCGGTGAAGGTGTTGAGTAGGCTTTCGTAGCGATGCAGACCTTCGTTTTTGGTTGCTTGGGTGATGTTGAGGTCAATCTTGTAGATTTCGGCGACTTCTTGGAAGAAGGCTTCTTCGCGGGTGCCGTTTTGGATCGCGGCATCCAGCCAGGCCACAAGCCGGGTTTGAAGGTCTTCCGGGTCATAGATTGTGGTTGATGGCTGGGTGCGACGGACGATGGCAAGTGTTTGTTCGCTTAGGCCTTTGTAGATTTTGAGGTACTGGAGGTCGTTGGCGAGCCACTGTGCTACTAGAGGTTTCGGAAGAGTGCCATTTGCTGCACGAGAGAGAAATGAATGGTGTGTAATGCGAAGTAATTGGTCGTGGCTGACAGACAAGAGATGTGTCGTTAGTGCCCAGGGGACGTCTGTGAGATTGATGTTGCCGTTGGCGACGAGGGTGCCGGGGTGGTGGATAGGCATTTTTGAGCAAGTCGTTCAAGTATGATTTGAGTAATTTGTACTGTCCGATGAAGGTACTCGATGATATACATCTTTTTCAGTGTGTGGGGTGCTCGCCTTACTTATATGCGTGACCTGGAAGTCAACGCCAAGGAGTGCGATGGCTATTCGGCATCAAAGTTACGTGTTGAGGCTTGTATACTCAAGACACTCGAAGAGACTGCCAAGAGCGCCGGTGGAAACTATGTAATAGGAATGACGTTGAACGAAAACTTCTATACGTGTTTATAAAGGGACCGGATGTTCTGGAACGCGGCGAGATTACTCGGCGCGATTTGGCAGAAATAGCCCAGCGGAATGCTTGGAGTGTGGCTGTACAGTTAGCTCAATAAGGAAAGCTTAAGTGCAGATCTTAGCGGAATTTCTTGGCCCATGACGACACCGCCACACAACTGTTGTAACGTTCAGTGCTAATGGCCTGACAATGATAGCTTGTCTTTGTGTGTATTCATCCTTGCAATGTTGTCCGAATAGAGGGTACTGGCGTGAGGTAGCGCGTTTCTCCGCGCCTTCTCATTTATGACTGAAGTGTCTCTGATTGGTGTAGCTCTGCATGTCTTCTCCGTGCTTTCCACAGTTCCTTCATACGCCTCACAAGCATCTCTCCCCACATACAGCGTCAAAGCAACACCGGTTCGATTCTCTTAGAAGATCAAGGTTCAGAAAAAAGCTGCTAAGTCGACAAGTGGCTTCTTACTCAGCCGCACTCATGCTTGGCACCCTAGTCACAGCTGAGGACCCCGCTGCTTCTCTGATGAGTACGATGGGTTTTCATATCACACAAATGACCATTGATAGTCTTAAATCATCCTATGATCGACGATGTCAATGTTCGCATGATTCAAGGACCAGCTACGAAGGCAGAGAAGGCCGAACAAGACCGTACAGGATCTACCGAACTTGCCGGAAGCGACGAAAATTAATCCCAACCCCTATGAAGGTCTACGACAACACAGGACCGCTTCATGTTCCTGAAGTCCCGTATGACAGCTCACAAGAAGTGCCCGATTATCCCTGGCCTCCAGCTCCAGATGGCTTCGAAAACTATGGGGATGCTGTGAAAGCTGATAAGCAGACTCGCTGCATGATACCCAGAAAGGTACGGATGAGACCACAGTGATCCCAAAGTGCACCTTCCGCCGTTAGATCATTACACGCGCCTGCAATGCACTAGCAGGCCAAAAAGAACTAGGCTTGGGACAAAAGCAAATGTGCTCAATACCCAGGCCTCACTACCACATGCCCAGACCAATCTTTGGCTCAGACGCAGGGTGCAAAGATTGTCGATTGATGCTTGAGGCAATTCAAATCTGTCCCGTCAAAGGATTCGTCCGGGCAACCCTAGACCTGCGGTTTAAGATACTCAACAATGACAACAAAGACAAAAGGCTTCACATCTTTCTCGTCTGTTGGTCTTCGGCAGATATGTGGAATTCCCCCATCGCGATGGAGGTTTTCTATGCGCCAGGCATGTTCTGCTTTTCACCGACAGCGGGTTGTCGACGACGCCATACGCTGACGAAAGTTTTAGACACATTTAGCACGACTCTCAGCAACGAACCTCGATGGTCTCAAGTAGTCCACCGACCTTTGCTACCAAGCTCTACCGCATCTGAAAACTCTTTCCTTACCATCAAGAAGTGGCTTGAAGAGTGCTTGCAGCATCATGAGCCTTGTGGAAAAGGGAACCAGGTTACCCAATAGGCTCATTGAGATAAGTGAGCATCAAGTATATCTTCGAGAGCCACAGCAGATAACTGGAGCAGATAACGCATGCTTAAGTCACAGTTGGGGTAAACATGGAGCCGCTCTTCAATTGAGGCGCGACAATATGGAGGCGTTAGTTGGCGGTATAGCAAGGGCGCGACTGCCTAAAACATTCAGAGATGCGGTGGACATCTGCTCTCAGCTCAATATAAGCTACATCTGGATCGATGAAATTTTTTAGCATCACTTTTGAACAGTCCTCCTATCGCTTCGCTAACAAATTTAAGCAGGCATCCTACAAGACGATTTAGACAACTGGAGTGAAGCTGTCAGTACCATGGCAAATATCTACACGAACGCTGTCATAACCATCGCAGCAACATGGTCTGATGATAGAAATGGAGGATGCTATTCTCAGGCTCGGGATTTGTACAAAGCACGGCGACTTAACGACTCTGGTCTCTACGCCAGCAGACTCACGGCGGATCTGATGGATGTCATCCGCTTCAACAGAGAAGCCGATGAGTGGCCGCTTTTAACACGAGGCTGGGTATTTCAAGAGAAACATTTATCGCCAAGAATTGTACTCTATACCAAGAACCAGCTGTATTGGGAGTGCGGTCTGTGCGTTCTATCACAGTGTGGCAGTTACGATTTGCGATTCGATCTTGAAGACCGATCTTACCCCGCGCAGAGCCTACTGGAGTTCAACCAATACGATGAAAGTATATCCGCAACCTGGTGCGAGTTGGTGGAGTTGTGTACTACCTTTGAATTCACCAAGGGGAGTGGTCTCCTCTCAGCTTTGGTAGGTATGTTCGAGCGCGAAATAGCACGCAGAGGATACGATGCATATGTAGGCTGCATGTGGATGGACAGTATTTTGGAGGATCTAGGGTTTTACATTTATAGTTAGGAACAGGGTGTCCGTGTCAGCAGCAGAGCACCTCCTTGGTCGTGGGCTCACTTCAGCGGTCAGGTTCGGTCCCGAAGGTGTGAAAAGCCACCGAGCTTGGAACTACTAGAATTTTCCTTTACCCGTCTTGGACGACCCAATCTTGGCCTGGGCATCGACGCGCGCATTCGCCTACGCGGTCCCATTTCTTCAGCGGCCATCTGGCACGCCAACCCCGTAGACCGTGAACATGAAGTTCTGTCTAGTGTTTTTCTAACCCTAAGAGGGGAGGCCACTGATACTATCGCGTCCAATATAGACGGCTAGGCCGACTTTTCCGGACTTGCGTTAGGAGATCCGCTCGTGGTACTTATACTTTCTCAGTTCAACGGGACCATGGCCTTTGGACTGATTTTGCGAGAAGTCACAAGCGGTAGATATCAACGAGTGGGATCTATCGACTTGCGTCAAGATTATGACGAGTTCAGTGGGGGTACTGGTATGAACGAAGAGGATTTCAGTGTTAATGTGAAGAATTCTATCGACTCGCTGCATATGGAGGGGGTAGAGGTCATATAATCGACCGACCACCTGAACGTTTGGCAGCAAGACCTGTTTCATTCGGCATTTACAAACAACAATGCACGCACGATACATCTGCTGCCAGCTATTCGAAGACACCCGTCCAAACATCCATGCAGCTCAGACCCCGAGACTCTTCTTCTTCCTTCGTCTTGGCATTCTTGACGGCGTGTAGCATGCTTTCCAACAAAACATGCACCCTTTCCTCTTCAATATTACCTCTCGCCCTTTCCAAGAACTTTCGTCCATCGTCCCGCAAAATCATGCCAACTTCCCACTTCGCATCTTCTAATTCCGGACCAGGCGCCCATGTCTCTTCTCGAACCAACGTCCAGCCCGCCTCCTCTGCTACTCTCTTGATCTGCGCTGAATGAAGCGGCGTCCTGATGTTCTGCGTACTGTCCGGAATATGGCTTTCACACGTCCCTCTCGCCAAAGCAGTCAAAACATGAGTTTGACCTTCCATTCCTGCAGCTTGCAGAGCCCATTCCGCAGTGCACAAGCGTTTCGCCTTTCCTCTTGCAGCTTCAAGCACTCGCCTCACTTCATCTATCGAGGCGAAGTACCACAAACAATGGCACAGAATCGCCGCATCATAAGCACCCTGCTCTTTTCTTTCCAACCAGGAAACAGGATTGCTTTGATGAAACGCGATTCGAGTACCAATGTCAAGAGATGAGAGCCTTGCTTGTGCCTGACCGAGAGTTTCCGGGCTGCCATAGTCCAGAGGTGCCGGGTCTATGGCATCGACTTGACCATCCAGTAAAGTAGATGCAAGGACAGCGGTCATGTCGCCTTGACCGCAACCGATCTCCAGGATCTTGCCGGTAGGAGGGATGTCGAAACTTCTGAGGATTTTCAGGCGATGTTCGGTTTGGTGTTCCAACAGGCCATATCTTTTCGCTAATGTAGCTGCATTGGAGGGAGAAACCATACTGTCGGTCATGGTCTGAACTCGATGCGACAAGGAAACAGTTGTTTGAGTTTTAAATGAGATGAGGATACAACTGTCTCTGTGAACAAGCGAATTTAAACAAAGCATGAGTCACATTTCATCCTCTGCAATCAGCATGGGAGACATAAGCGGGGAGTCATAGCGGGGTAGTGAGAATGACGTCCCTTCGGGATGTTCAGCGTGTGCCGTAGTACGCAAGTCATTAAATAGGTACTCCGAGCCCTTCTTGATCTGTGCAATGGGAGTAAGAATTACACAGTTTTGAAAAACAACATGCATTTTGACACCGGCTTTTGTTTGATAGTACATCGCAACTGCGCCGTGAGGGACGCGAATATTGCTCTTCAAAACCTATCAAGCTCAACTTTACGCACAGGTACAAGTCTTGGTCTTGTCGTGCCACAGAAGTCCATAGCCCGGAACTTGCTCCACGAATTGATCGATTGATGGAGGAGGGTTGCCTTTAGTTGAATCATCAGAGACTCTGACGCAGGTATAAAGTGCACAGATAGAATCGCGAAGAATGTTACAGCTTGCATCTGGTAAGGATAGCGGGACATCATTCAAGCTGCTGTATATGCAAGCCATCCTGCACCTTTTGTTGGATCTTGGAAAGGAAAAGCCATTTTGATACATAGTCTACTCAGGAGCGGGCGGTGTGATGTTGGATTCTGGGCTGGCTGAACTTTGGAAATTGTTGATGTTTTGCCCATAGCTTGTGCGTACGCCCTTACGAGTCTACGAACCGACGCAAGCTGCAAGAAAAAAGGGCGAGGCATATTACCCGAGGCGATGGAAGAAAAATCACCAAGGCGCTCAAGGCAGTGCAGTGATTGATGAGAACATGTCGGCTTCGATGGCTGTGGTAGTGAGAATGGGCACAGTCCAGTCAGGAGCTTACGCGTTGGCACCCGTAATTTCGAGACATTTCGGTAATGGTGTTGAGGTCCAAGGCTTGGTATTCAGCCATGGTGAGTGTCTCGCGAAATTGCAATGACTTCTCGCTGTGGTGTTGAGGTGTTCTTCGTCGCGCGTCACTGCCCAGGTGTCGCATGACTTAACTTATCAGCCGTTTTAACGTAGTGGCTTGGCGGACCTACTGCCCATGATGCGCATGAGAGGATGCCTTCAATATCCCACACGTCACGTGGATGTGGCTCTTCTCCATGAACCAGCCTACGAAATATCATGGTGAATACGACGATGGCTTTATTGATCGGACTGTCGTTTTGGCTTCTGCTCATGGCAGCCGCTGCGGCGGCGGAACCACCATTCTTGACCCAGGGCAAGCTCCGATGGATCATGTATTTGACCGGGTGCGTGTTATATATAACTTCCTGCTATGTTTTGACTGAGTATTTACAGGCAGCATAATGTTGTTCCAGAGTACCCGATGGAAACTATGTTGAGAGGCGTAACACATGTTACTCTTGCGTTTATGCGTTCAGACATCTTCAACGATGCCAATCGTACTGAATGGCCACTTTTTACAACAGTCGACGAAGTACGACCAAAGTTTAATAACGGCACAAGGGTCCAGGTGGCCATCGGCGGATGGGGAGACACCGCCGGCTTCGAAAAAGGGGCGAAAACAGAAAAGAGCAGGAAGCTATTCGCTAGCAACGTCAAAGCCATGCTAGAGGCGACTGGAGCTGATGGCATCGATATGGATTGGGAGTATCCAGGCGGCAACGGCGAAGACTATAAGGTCAATCCCAACTCCAGCAAAGTCTGGGAGATAACAGCATTTCCTGAACTTCTCGCTGCCGTCAGAGCTGCTGTAGGGCCTCTAATGACAATCTCAGCTGCAGTCCCAGGCCTAGAGCGAGACATGCTGGCATTCACTCCGGCCACTATTCCGAGAATCATGGAGTCTATCGACTTTCTGAACGTCATGACGTACGATATGATGAACCGTCGTGATAACGTCACAAAGCACCATGCTGGCACACAACAGTCGCTCGCAGCGATCAAGGCATATCGCAAGCGTGGTGTGCCTGCAGATCGTCTGAATGTAGGAACGGCATTTTACGTGAAGTGGTTCAAAACTGCAAACGGAAAGGATTGCTCTGCACAAGCCACGGGATGCCCTACTGAGCTGATGGAAGATCCAAAAACCGGAGCTGATCTTGGAAAAGCTGGAGCTTTCTCATGGCACGATCAAGTACCGTCTGAACTGTCAAATTCGTTTGATAAGGCCCTGAAACATGGCGTATGTGACAGAGAAAGTGGAGGCTGTACATATTGGGATGCAGACGAGCGGCTGTTCTGGTCCTGGGAATCCAAAGATACCATTTACAGGAAGCTGCGCGTCGTCATCGGCGAGATGAAGTTAGAGGGTGCATTTGCATGGGGACTCGGTGAAGATGCACCGGAATTTGAACATCTGAGTGGAGCGAATCACGGGATAAGTGATGAAGAGATATCAAGGTCTTCCAAAATTGATGCCATGAGGAACGCCGCCAGGTGGAGGAACGAGTTATAGAAAAAATATAATCAATCAATCTCCTAAAAGCATCGAAGGTGCGTATGATGTGGGCACGTGACCCGCGCGCCTCAACGCGTCACATCGGTCTTTAGATCGGCTAAAGACCGGGTCCTGACGATCGGAGAACAGGTGCGCGGCATTGGCACGCTTGTAACCACGCGCTCGCCATGTGTTTTGGTGGGCGCTTTGGTGTTGTCCGGAATTCTGACGGATGATACCAGATACAACTTAGAGCATGCACAGCGTTAGGGACTTCTTGTCATGGTCGGGACTTCCTTCCCCGAGATTGGTGTTGCTTGTCCCGCGCACAATTGATGACGGATGACATATGCGCGGAGCTCAGACCAGCCGTTAGGGCATTAGTCACCCTGCATCTTCCCATTCGATCGTGCATCCTAGATCTGTAATTCCCTACCTTTGCCGCTCGACTTTTGCTTGCCTTTTCTCTGCTATCGTAGAGCCTGGCACATAACTCGACCATCCAATCGATGCAGCAGGGACAGCAGATTCCGTTTCTGCCACCCTCTTCGGCAACCGGCGCGTACGGCTACCTCACGGCCTCAAAGGACAATCGTCAGCCATTATGCGGCAATAGTGAAGGCTGGGGCCCAATCAGCCCAATTCGCTATGACTTCACGCCTTGCTTTCTGGATGTCTGGATCGCAACGGTCTCGGCTTTTGGAATTGTTGGAGGTGCCGGCGCGTTGTGGTATCTGTACAGGAAGTGCTCGCCGCAGCCGGTGAAGCGCAACTGGCACTTCTACGCGAAATTGGTACGATACGCAACTTGACTCTGGAACCCAGCCCAGTCAGCAGTCGCTAATCAACACGTCGCATAGGTTACCCTTGGAGCACTCATCGCCACGACCGCAGTACAGGCCGCGCTACAAATCGAGTACTACAAAGATGTTTGGGCTGGCGACTTCCGCTTCTGGACTACGATACTTACGCTCGTCTCCCTCGGATTCATCTTCTTCATCCAATACGTTGAACATTGGAGGTCGCGCAATGCCAACGGTGTAGTGCTCTTCTACTGGCTCTTCCTCCTCATCGCATACGCTGTCAAGCTCCGTTCGCTCATTGCCCAGAACATTCATCGGGAGCATGTTGCGTACTTCTCCGTCTTTTGCGTCAGTGTTGGACTGGCTATATTGGAGTTTGCCCTGGAGTGGCTGATACAGAAGCGCTTGAGCGACTATGACGCGCTAGGGGACGAGGACGAATGTGCGTATGAGTACGCTGACGTCTTTTCCGTCTTGACCTTTGGTTGGATGACACCAATGATGAAGCGCGGCTACAAGACGTTTCTCACCCAGGATGACCTCTGGAACCTCCGCACACGAGACACCACAAGGCACACCTCCCAGAGATTCGAGGATGCATGGGCATACGAGATGGAAAAGAAGAACCCTTCTTTGTGGTTGGCCATGTTCCGATCTTTTGGAGGGCCATACTTCAGAGGTGCTGCTATCAAAACCGTCAGCGACGTACTGAATTTCGCACAGCCGCAGCTGTTGAGGCTCCTGATCAGCTTTGTTGCCTCGTATCAGACAGATAAGCCTCAGCCTGTGGTCCGAGGTGCAGCGATTGCACTCGGCATGTTTTTCGTCTCTATCTCACAGACTGCTTGTCTACACCAATACTTCCAGCGGTCTTTCGAGACTGGCATGCGTATCAAATCGTCCTTAACTGCCGCCATCTACTCCAAGTCAACTCGCTTGTCGAATGAGGGCCGGGCTTCGAAGTCAACAGGTGACATTGTCAACTACATGGCTGTCGACACGCAGCGGCTACAAGACCTTGCCCAGTATGGCCAACAATTGTGGTCTGCTCCTTTCCAGATTGTTCTTTGCATGTTGTCGCTGTACCAGCTACTTGGCTACAGTTGCTTTGCAGGTGTAGCGGCCATGTTTGTCATGATTCCTGTCAACGGTGTTATTGCGCGATGGATGAAGACTCTGCAGAAAGAGCAGATGAAGAACAAAGACTCGCGTACAAAGCTCATCTCTGAGATCCTCAACAATATGAAGTCTATCAAGCTTTATGCCTGGACGACGGCTTTCGCAAGCCGCCTGAACCATATCCGTAACGACCAGGAACTCAAGACACTCCGCAAAATTGGTGCTACCCAGGCAATCTCCACCTTCACTTGGTCGACGACGCCGTTCCTTGTGTCATGCTCCACCTTTGGCGTCTTTGTTCTAACGCAGCACCGTGCGTTGACAACCGACATCGTTTTTCCGGCGCTCACCTTGTTCAATCTGCTCACCTTCCCTCTCGCTATCCTTCCCATGGTCATTACCGCGATCGTCGAGGCTAGTGTTGCGGTCGGTCGTATTACGGGTTATCTCACCGCCGATGAGCTCCAAGAAAATGCCGTGATATGCGAAGAGGCTGTTCAAGAGACTGGAGAGGAATCGGTCCGAATCCGCGATGCCAGCTTCACGTGGGACAAGGCCAGCGAACGTCCGACGCTAGAAAACATTAACTTCTCCGCGCACAAAGGAGAATTGGCATGCATCGTTGGTCGTGTAGGCTCTGGAAAGTCTTCCCTTCTACAAGCAGTCTTGGGTGATCTTTGGAAGGTGAACGGCGAGGTTGTCCTTCGCGGGAAGACTGCCTACGTTCCTCAATCGGCGTGGGTGATGAATGCTTCCGTAAGGGAGAACATCGTCTTCGGTCACCGCTGGGATCCACAATTCTACAACAAGACCGTCCAGGCTTGCGCACTGCGCGATGACTTTGCGCAATTGCCGGATGGTGACCAGACCGAGGTCGGCGAACGTGGTATTTCCCTGTCAGGTGGCCAAAAAGCCCGACTCACGCTGGCTCGAGCCGTATACGCGCGCGCTGATGTGTATCTACTTGATGATTGCTTGTCTGCCGTCGATCAGCATGTTGGACGGCATCTGATCGATAATGTTCTTGGCTCCAAGGGCCTCTTGGCCGGCAAGACCCGCATTTTGGCTACCAACTCTATACCCGTTTTGATGGAGGCAGACATGATCTTACTTCTTCGCGAAAACAAGATCCTTGAAAGGGGCAACTATGATCAGCTCATGGCAATGAAGGGTGAGATTGCCCAACTAATCAAGACGTCACAGAATGAGGATCAGAGCGAAGGCGACAGCAACCGTGCTACCGAGAGTATCATAAGCGACCAGGACTCCACGGTTTACGGCGGTAGTCCTGTTGACGATGAGGAAGACCAGGCCGAGGCCGAAGCCGCTCAGGAGAGTGCGGCTCATCTGGCACCGCTCAAACCGGGAGGCGGTACGGCCCGTAAGCACAGCTTCAACACCCTCCGTCGGGCCAGCACTGCCAGTTTCAAGGGTCCGCGCGGAAAACTCTCGGATGAAGAAGGGGGCGGACTGAAAAGCAAGCAATCCAAGGAGTTTTCTGAGCAGGGCAAGGTCAAGTGGTCGGTATATGGCGAATACGCAAAGACAAGCAACATCTATGCTGTCGTAATCTATCTGCTTCTGCTGATGGGAGCTCAGACCAGCTCTATAGGTACGTTGTTATTGGCTGACTGCAATTCGATATGTGAACTAACGCTGTACAGGCGCAAGTGTGTGGCTTAAAAAGTGGTCAGAAGTCAATCAGCGGTATGGCGGCAACCCTCAGGTTGGCAAATATATCGGCATTTACTTTGCTTTCGGTGTCGGTTCTGCCGCCCTCGTCGTGGTACAAACGCTCATCCTCTGGATATTCTGTTCGATCGAAGTACGTCCTCGCATGACTCGGATCATGCCCGCATGCAAACCCTGCAATTGCTGACTGGATGATAGGCAAGCCGAAAACTACACGAGCGGATGGCGTTCGCGATCTTCCGTTCTCCAATGAGCTTCTTTGAAACAACCCCTGCTGGACGCATCCTCAATCGGTTCTCAAGGTACGTTCGAGCTTGTGACCCTTATAGGCTGTCAATTTCAGCGGTCCGACCCAGGTCTACCGATGATGTCCCGTGACTGGCCATGCTGTCATTATCTTTTGAGTGATCGATTCCTCTGACTAACTCCGCCAGTGACATTTACCGAGTAGATGAAGTATTAGCGTAAGATCCACTATGGCCCCTTGCAGCGATTGATGACTGACGTATGCAGCCGCACTTTCAACATGCTCTTCGTCAATTCGGCTCGAGGTATGCTGCTCTCCTATCGATGGCAACGTTACACAACTGACTGACGCAGCTGGGTTCACCCTTGTCGTAATTTCTGCGTCGACACCCATCTTTATTGCACTAATTTTGCCGCTCGGCGCACTCTACCTTTACATCCAGCGCTACTACCTGCGGACATCGCGCGAGCTGAAGCGCCTCGATAGCGTCAGCCGCAGCCCGATTTATGCGCACTTCCAGGAGTCACTCAGTGGTATGAGCACGATTCGCGCGTATCGCCAACAGAAACGTTTTGAACTCGAAAACGAATGGCGAGTCGACGCTAATCTGAGAGCCTACTACCCTTCGATCAGCGCGAATCGCTGGCTCGCGGTTCGTTTAGAATTCATTGGCTCAGTCATCATCCTGGCTGCTGCAGGATTCTCCATCATCTCCGTAGCTAGCCACAGCGGCCTGTCGGCCGGCATGGTCGGTCTGGCCATGTCGTATGCGCTCCAGATCACCCAAAGTCTCAACTGGATTGTCCGACAGACCGTTGAAGTGGAGACCAATATTGTTTCCGTAGAGCGTGTTTTGGAATATGCGGCTCTTCCGAGTGAAGCACCTGAGATTATTTCCAAGAATAGGCCACCGATCAGTTGGCCGTCTCAAGGCGCGGTTGCGTTCAATAACTATAGCACTCGTTATAGGCCGGGTCTCGACTTGGTGTTGAAGAACATCAATCTCGAGATCAAGCCCAACGAAAAGATTGGTGTTGTAGGACGCACAGGCGCAGGCAAGAGCTCCCTAACTTTAGCGCTCTTCCGCATTATCGAGCCTGCAGAAGGATTTGTGAGCATCGATAACCTGAATACTAGCACCATCGGTCTGCTGGATCTCCGCCGACGATTAGCGATTATTCCGCAAGATGCGGCACTGTTTGAAGGAACGGTGCGGGACAATCTTGACCCAGGTCATGTGCACGACGATACAGAATTATGGAGCGTACTGGGTATGTTGCCGATCTACAATTGTTACACAGCCACTGATTTGTCCGCAGAACACGCACGTCTGAAGGATCATGTTGCTAGCATGCCCGGCAAGCTGGATGCCCACATCAATGAGGGCGGCTCCAACCTCAGCTCTGGTCAACGACAATTGGTCTCGCTGGCACGCGCTCTCCTTGCGCCATCAAACATCCTCGTCCTCGACGAGGCTACAGCCGCTGTTGATGTGGAGACTGATGCAATGCTGCAAACCACGTTGCGCAGCAGCATGTTCAAGAACAGGACAATCATAACGATTGCGCACAGGATCAACACCATTTTGGACTCTGACCGCATTATCGTCCTAGACAAGGGTAGAGTGGCCGAATTCGAGAGCCCCGCCGAGTTGGTCCGACGAAAAGGGTTATTTTACGAGCTAGTGCGGGAGGCCGGATTACTGAATTCGCTCGACCTCAAGGACTTGAACACACAGCCGCAGTAGCCATTATAGACATGTCTCGGGCAAAATGATGAAAAGGAATTAGTGTGTGCGCACATGGCAATTCTTGTGCGTCAACCGCGGCACATGTTTTTAGCGTGTTGGTATGCGGAGGCCCAGAATTAGACTAAGGTGGTTGACGAAGACTGACGTCGGTCACCTCGAATGAGGCTGGCCTGACTTGAGCTGGGCGGGGAGTTAGCATAGGTTGTTGGTGGTGGGAAAAAGCAAACAAAATTGACTAAGGGAGTCCTCATCGGTCAGCCTCATGCCCACTGACCCACCTCATACGGATGGAGTAGAACTAGATGCAGACGTGTAATGGATCTCAGGAACTTCGAAAAGCAAGCAATCTGCCGGCGGGTTTCTGTATGTGGGGTAGTCAGGATGTGTTTCACCTTCCCGATTCTTTGTGTCCTGCGTTGGTTGCCCTGTCGTGGAAAGGATTCTAGCCAGGTTCACGTTAGATCTCCCGTCCGTTCACACTGCCCGTGTACTCCATGTGGTGTACGAGAAGGAACGGCTCATAATTGCTGCATGAATCGTAACTGCATGGCCCCTGTGCAATCCCTTCCCCTATACCCTGCTCACATGCATGGTACTACAAGGGTCAGAAGCGAGACGTTTACGTGTTGCTCGCAAGTGCGTTCCAGAAAAAAATTCCGTTCCCCTGTGTTCCCGGACTCCTAGTGGGCAGTTCGCTGGCGGTGTAGGCCTCAGCGACGAAGGATGGGTAGCTCGGTGTAGGTAGCCGCGAGGCCACTTTACGTCTACATTGGCCAAGCACGGCCGTGTCAAGTAGCATCCCGATGGGACTGCAGTGCAATGAAGGAGCGTCGATGACTTACTCGATTCCGTATCGCAGACGCACCAATCCGCTGCATGCGGACTCAAGTGTATTTGAATGCATGCATGTTAGCGAACGACGACTCCACGGTGCGCTACACCAATTGTCGAGGTGCAGCTCTCGGTGTGCTTGACGTACGAGCGGGCGGGACTATCGCCATCGAAATCGCACATCGTGAATCGTGAATCGCGAGTGATCTCGACCAGCTACCTGGTTGATGGACGGCGCGATCACGGGAGGAACGGTGCGATCCATCATGGTGAAATAGAGTTTGCCATGCGAGGGCGCTGGTGTGTTAATGTTTCCGCGCTTAGGGCGGAGGGAGAAAGTTCGGTAGGTTGCCTGGCAGTTGCAGTAGTGTGACGGCATTGAGTGGTCATGATGGAACGGCTTCAGTGCGTGAAACTGGTTCACTTGCCGCTGTTGAGGGCTTGCTGAGCCGCGAGTGGTCGGGGATGCACTCCCTGCCGCTATCCTGATGTGCTGGACCTTGTCAGTCCTGCTTCGGCCGTCCAGAAAGAGATCGGAGTGCAGCAAGCAGGCTTGCTCGCGTATGGAGTTGCACAAGGACCTCCCAGCAGCTCACGAGGAGTGGCTCATGGTTGGGTGCATTGACTGTTTCTTCCGTGCGACATCGCTTCGACTCTCGGCACAGGATTTGTGGAGTGTGTTTCTCCGTGGCGCGGGGTGCTTTGAATTGCCAATGGAGCTGATGAGCGCGAGAGCGTATCTACCGAGCACCAAGAAATCCATGTCGGCTGTTTTGCGGTACATGACCTTGCGAGATCTCTCCGAGTTATGCGAAGATCAAGCTCAGTAGTTCCTTTGGTGGGTCGATCGGATTTCGATCTATCCGAGCGAGGCTATTTGTGCGAGGCTATTGCGAGGCTGATCCGTGTACAAGAGAGCGCTGAATGCGCCGCGCGCCATGTGTCAATAAAGTGCAGTAGTCTGTATACAGTGTGGGTTCCTTGGTGCGGAGAAGTTTCCGACCCCATGTCCCTGCCTCCCGCGGTGGTCATTTTGTCATTTTCATCTTCAGTAATCAAGAGCACAGCAAGGACCCGTTTGGGAGGTAGTGTATCCACCGGGGAAGCCGGGAGCTCCAGGTCGACATGGCCCTAGGCCCTGATCCTAGTTCTCAAGACGGGTCGAGCTCAACGGCTGTCAATCACTGTCCATGGTGAAGTGCGTGACAGGATGGGCCTGTCGTTTTTGTATAACACGTTCGATGAACCCTGGTATCAGGGGTTCGTGCTCGACCGAAGTTTGCGATTCTGATCTAGGAGCGAGCGAGGGGTCTCTTTAAAAAGGTTCAGGCCCTGTCAATAGCATCAGCATTTATCGTTCTCGTCATCCCGCACATCTCGAATTTTGTTTCGTGCTATTGAACCCTGTTCAGAACATTCGAATCCTTGTGGAATTCGCAGTCTCTGCCGTTTTCTGTGCCACCCAGCCCGTTTCCGCGCCGCCACCCATTAGTTGCCTGTGAGGCATCTTTCAGTCTCAACAGTGCTGGTCTCGTGATTTGTATCGAATCTGCTTCTCAAGCTCGACCATCCAACTCTTAGCCTGTCCATTCGCCGAAAAGCCCGCCAGCCTGCACACCGTCAGTGACAGCGATTACGAATAAGACTGCTTCTTCAGGTAAGCCCTCCCAAGAATCTCAGGCACAAACTGGTATACAGTCGTGACATCCAGAGCATCACTAAGAACTTTGAAAAGACTGACAGTAGGTAGAACGACGTGTTGATGACTTGTGCTGTTTAGAACTTCATTCTCTGCGACTCGTCTCGCACGTGCCTTTTCCTAGATCGCGACGATTCTATGGCGAGGTGCTCGACTCAAAAGGCAGGCCCACCGCCTCAGAAGAGCCGGCGGAAAATGAAACAACCTACGAATGAAGAACAGCAACATTATGTCAAGCGCACCGAAGATGCTGCAGTATTGGAATCCTTCAAAGATGCGGAGGCAATGACGGAGCCGAGTCTCAAATCCAGACTCGTCGCTCGTTTCGGAGGGCACGAAGAAGAAAGCAATGTGAGTCTCAGATTCCGTGCTCCTGTGTCGTCGAACTAGGCTGTGGCGCGGTCCCTCGCCTGTCATTATTCGTGCCGCGTCCTAACTTAGCGGCCGTCCAACGTCCCCTACCGAAACCGAAGTTTCGGGATTGGACCGCCGTGCCTGTCCATGTCGGCAACGACGATAATACTGAACATATAGTCCTAACGCACTCTCAGGCTAGGCCGACACTTGCGGCGGAGACTAGGAAATCTCTCGACGAAGAAGACAATGTCGCTATTCCAACCCCTATCGATGCGACAATCCCCTGGAAGATTGTGGCTCCCGACGGCCGCGTGCGAAACATACGTCAACCCATTCACGGCTTCGAGCACCTATTTGACGGGCCAGATGACTTCCAGGAAGTTCCCAACTCCGGCCGTTCGTGTAATGCGCCCAGCTTCGCCTATCAGCCACAGCTTTCGCAAGCACCGGGTCAGACGCCCATGTTGTACACCTCGGAATGCCATCTGAATAGTGCCGCAGGAACGCCACAGCACATGTTCGCCTACAATAACCATCAGCAACCACGTAGCAAGCACCTACATGAGATCAAGGTACCCTCAAAGAGGAAGACCGTACTGAAGCGCAATGTGCTGAAGAGGACCCGCTCTGTCGCCCAGGAACTTGCCCAGCATCCGAGCCCACATGAGGCTACCGACGACGACCAGGCCAACACCAAGAGCGGCGGAGATGAACTTGACAATGAAGTCGCCGTAGTCACCGAGGCATCGAAAACTTTTCATATCGGCGATATCGAAGCACTCCAAGTCTTTTTCCGCCAGCGCATCGATGAGCTTACCATGAAGCCCGTACGTGGCATGGTCACCTCTTGGGTCAAGCAGTTGGAACCCAAACGCAAGGGCGGTTACGGCCCATATCACAAGATGCTTCCATCCGAAGCACCAGAGGATGCTACTCCACCTTGGTGGCCACACAATGTGCCGTACATCGAGCCCGCGCACCTCGACAAAGATGGTAAGCTATGCCCTGTGCTCCTCGTCGGCTATTGCTAATGCTTCTATCGTAGGTCTCCTGAGCTTAGCCGTGGAAATCATGATGCAGCACCGGGATGTTCCCATCGACGAATGGAAACGTCAACAATCATGGTCCCACAAGCTCCGACAGGTAGCACAGTTCGAGATCGAGATGACGCCCCAAGAACAATACTCATCGTCTCGAAACCCTGCCTTCAGCAAACTGATGAAAGAGCGAGCCCAGAACGGTATCATACCGAGCCTCTTCGACGTATCTCAATCTTACGAGGATCACGTCAACCAGTATAGCCTGTGGTCATACAAGAACATCAAAGACTTCCCCAAAGGCAAGGCCGTCACGTGGCAACTTGTGCCTCGGCCACCGAAGCAGATATCCCACAAGAGACCTCGTTCCGCGCCACGACCCAGGGTCAAACGAGAGGAGATGATCATCGAGGCTCTAGTCGAGAGTTCGGGTGACGAGACCGAGCCAGACGACACAATGTACCGACTTGCTGCTCAAATCATACGCAAGAAAGAGGCAAAAGAGGCCCAGCGCAAAGCCAGAGCGGCAGCCGGATTTTCGACACCTACCACACGAGCGCCATCTGTCCAACGTGCCTCCCGAGAGCAGACGGTCGAAGCCCCATCACCCCCAGTGGCCAGTCAAAGATCTGCTCCAGTGACACCTCAAGCTGAACCCCAGCATAGGCAAGACCCCATCATGGACGGTGGCAAGCCTGTCGTAAGTGCGTCATTTGATCAGTCGATGGACCATCTACGTCTTCAGGATGAGGCCAACAGAGGAAAGTTCCTTCAATGTCAGCATCGAGCCCAATCCACTCATCTTTCGGGGCAATCTTTCGATGAGAGTCTGCAAAATGGCGGTTCTGCCTCTTCTCGGTTAGAACAAAAAGATGCTGAAGAAGCCAATCTTGACACGCTCAGTGGCCAGGACCAGGAGGTTCGTCGAGACATGCAAGCCCTGGATGAGCTCACACATCACAACGCAACACCATCTCCCTACCTCGACACCGCAAGCAAGATTGATGAAGACGATGCCAAAGAAGATTTCAGTTCGGGGCCGACGAGCGAAGACCAGCAAACACATGGCGACATGCCGATCCTCGACGAGCGGATGAACTACCAGGAGGGTCAGCCTGTCTTCGTCAACACTTACCAATCGCCACAAGGCAGCGGCCCTTACGCTGGCCAGGAGGGATCGCCATTTACACAGTTCACTAACAACAACTTCATCGATCCTACACACATGCCGATGTTCAGTGCCTTTCACATGCAGATGGCGCAACCTTACGACCACAACATGACATCACTCAACATGCACATGGTCTACCCATACAGTTCGGACAGTGCCTACAACCCAATGGGCGTTACTGCGTCACCAGCAGCGGTCAACTCCTTCGGTGGCCTTCCTTATGAGTTTTCAGGATCACAACATTAACGTTGAGAAGACCAAGCGTGCAACATGCCACGACTACGTGCAGCCATGAATTTTTTCAGCAAGCACATAGTTTCAAAGGCAGTGTCATGCTACAGGATCATTGCAGCACTACGTGGAACAAACAGCACGTGGATGCAACGACGCGCGCTCTTTTTCGGTAAATACATTTTGACAGCGTCTGCGGGCCATTTTGGGCCATTTCTTCACGATTGACGACTGATATAACGATTTTCCTTTAGCATTCTGGCATATTCGGTTTTCTATTCTTTTATCCCGGCACCGTTCGAGACCCATATGTCGTGCGGATTTGCTTCGGCATATGGCCGGGAGGTATCTGGTCGCGTGTCTTGTCTTGGAAATGCATTTTAGCAGGCCATGGACGCAATATACCCCATGACGTTACGCCAGTCACGAATGTAGTTGCAACGACAATGGGTGGGACAAGCAGCTGCCCCTAATGGTGGATGTAATGCGGGCCTGAGGACTCCTCTTTTTTTCGGTACTCGGGGTGGGTGCTAGTCATTGTACAAAACTGGTGATGGAAGGCTCGCGGGCGAGACGGGTGGTGTAAAGTTTAAACACGGGCAAGGAGCTTCATTCAGCGCGAAGTGGTGTCGCATAGATAGTCGGCGATACTGTCGCGTGGCCACCACACCAAAAAGATTTCGGTTTGTCAGGATAAACAATCAAATTTGCATCCGCAATGCAATGCGTCGCCGTGCTCCTGACGTGAATGTTGCGATGAAAGTGAAAAGTGAAAAGCGAAAAGTGAAGATGCGAGGCTGGGCGCGGCCAAGTCCCAGCCTCGCGCGCGGTGAAGCCGTGACTTTGACGCTAGTCGCGTCAGCGGCCCGTGCACTTTGTCGAGATCCATTGAGCTCTCCGCGACCAGTCTTTGTACTTCCAAAGCAACCGCTGTCGACGTCCGCATCGGCACGGTCTGCCCTGCCACGACGCATAGCGCTCCACCATCGAACCGATATCCAACACCCGACGGCAGCCCCTGCGCAAACAACACCCCAGCGCATGACCGCAACCCGCAACCCGCAACCCGCAACCTGCAACCTGCAACCCAGCAACACTCGCGCGAACATGTCGACACCGCGCGGCGGTCGGGGAGGAGAGCGAGGCCGCGGCTCACGAGGCAATACCTACACCCGCGGCACCGCTGGACGAAGTCGCAGCAACGGCGCACCGACGGACAACAACACGGAGCGACCGACACAGCAAATCTACGCGCGCGGCGGCTCACGAGGTGCAAACCGCGGTGGAGCTGCTCGAGGAACCACAACCACAACCACCACTGCGGCTCCACGCGGTCGAGGAAACCATTCGTAAGCCCCCATCTCCTTCAAACAATGCGCCCAGACCGTGGGCGGTGCGAGGACGCCTCCGTTCAACATGCGACCTGTGACCCTCACTCTACACGCCTCCCCCCCCTGATAGCGACGGCTGCCACTTGCGCCGCTCGCGGTCTGTTCTAACTGCAAACTCTAGGAACTTCACCGCACCCACAGCATCATCCTTTGGCGGCCTGAACTCGACACCCTTCAGCCAAGATGACTACGCAAAGCGACTGGAACATGTAAGCAGCCCCGGCCTCGTAGGCACGAGAGGTCGCTAACAGACACAGATTCGAACCTCGCGACCGAAACTGCGCGAGCGATTCATCCAGGAAGGCCGCATGAACCCGGAAGGCCAGATGCGCCTTTCCGACTCGGTCAAGCTCTACGGCCTCTGCACCGACATGTGCCCCGAGTACGAGCGTGTGCGCCGCATAGTCGAGGACGACGTCAAGCCGCCTGAATGCGTAAGTGCACTCTCCCGCGATTCAAAGCTACAGCCTAACTTGGCTCAGACACCAGAGACCGAACATCTCCCACGAAAGCAGCGCATCCCGGACGAGTCACGCATGGTCAAGGCATATACTCGGTCTGCAGCAGGCATGGATGTTGAGCTGGTCTCGGAGATCCGCTCGCCTCCAACCTGCCTTGTAAGTGTTGCCCTGAGACCTACTGTGCATGATTAATTTTGGCAGAAAACACTCGACTATCTCATGCAGCGACTGGACAATGACGCCTTCGATTTCCTACACAGCTGGATCTGGGACCGAACACGATCCATCCGAAAAGACCTCCGAACACAGCGCATCGAGTCAAAATCTGACATAAACATCCTTCTTACTTGCCTCGAACGCAGCGCCCGATTCTTCATACTTTCCGCACATCAGATGGCACGCAGCCAGCGCGATGACTACGTGCACCAGCAAGATGTTGAGCAGCTCAACCAGACGATAACCTCCCTGAACGAGCGTTATGCAGACAACCGACGTATCAACTACCCTTCCGAAAATGAGGCCGAATTCTTCGCATACCGCTTGGTTTTGGCTCCTCTTTTCAGCAAGAGCCAATATGAGAACGATTTACAAGCGCTTCCCGATCATCTCCGAAAGAACACCCGGGTCAAGACTGCCATTGTCATCCACCGCGCCATCAACGCCGTCATCCTAGACAAGAGCAGTTCCTTCAACCAAGCTCAAGCAAATTGGAAGAAACTGTGGAGCTTGATCAAGTCCTCGCGTGTGTCATACCTCATGGCATGTGCAGCCGAGTTCTCCTTCCAGCGCGTGCGCCACACCATCCTAGACACGTTATGGCGCGCGTATCGGTATGGCAACCAAAGCCGGCCGCAGACGATTGAGTCCTGGACGGTTGCCAAGCTCAGGGAAACTATGGCTTTCGACACCGACGCTGAGACTGTAGAATTCTGCGAGATGTTTGGCTTCCAGTTCAACTCCGTCGATGGTGGACCCGTCTTCCTCGATGTTACTGCACGTGGTTTCTCAAAGGATTCGTTAGATCTCGTGAAAGGCAAGGACCAAATATTCTCCCAGGGCATCGTGGAAGAGAAGCGGAAAGGCCGCGCATTCTCGGCTGTTGTGCAGGGCATGTCTGTTCAGGAGGCGGAACGACGCAGCCTCATGAGCGGCTCGAGCAGGGAAGAGACAAATGGAGAGACGACCAATGGAGAAACAGAAGACGACACTTCGCTATTCGTCCCAGAGGCTCGCTCTGCGCAATCGAACGTCTTTACGCAACCCAAGAGCAGCTTCGGTCCCCCAACAACAAATCCCTTCCTACCAAAGACGGCGGTCGAATCCAACCCCACAACCCCGAAACCGAATCCATTCTTGCCAAGTCAACAAGCTGCACCCGTCTCTGGCGCTGCTGCGAAGCCCAACCCATTTCTATCACAGCCACCAGCCTCTACTCAAAGTAGTGCTGGCTCTGCTGTAGGCGCCGCACGACCCGGTTTGTTCAATCCTTCCGAGAACTCCATCAAGTTCGCATCTTCCGACACAGCAACTACGCCATTTGCGGGTGTCAGCCAACCAAACCCGTTCCAACCAGCAGCCCCGGCCAACGCCACAAGAAGTGCAACAAATGGGACCCCTCCTCCAGCCTTTAGTTTTTCTTCCACACCGGCCACACAGGCGACTCCAGCGACTACTACGTCTACTCCACCAAGTGCCAACACCAGTACTTTCGTCTTCCCTGGACTCAACGAAGCCGCCTTGAAGGCATCCACACCAACTCCGTCATTCTCCTTCACGCCAGCAGGATCGCCTGCTCCAGCTGCATCCTCGCTGCAGGACGCAGAAAAGCAGAAGGCAGAAGAGGAGACGCGACGCCAAAAACAGGCAGCCGACGCCGAAGCTCAACGGCAGCGTGAACAAGCAGAGCTGGCTCGACGAGCAGAGCAGCAACGGATTGAAGCGGAGCAACAACGACAACGCTTGCAAGAGGAGGAGCGAAATCGGCAACTACGAGAAGCTCAACAGGCGCAAATGCGCGAGCAGGAGGAACGACTGGCACGTCAGCACGCGCTTGACAATGGATATCAAACGCTTGCGGAGAACGTCATGTTCGATGTGAACGAGGGACTAATGATACAGTTTGTTGAGAATCTGATTCAAACCACGGCGGCCCAGGTTATAGCTGCTGATAGGCAGGAAAAGCTACAGAAGTTGCGGGAGAAACAAGAGGCTGTGGCGGATGCCATGGCACATCAGCGAACGTTGCGATTACAGCGTGCGGTTATGGTGAAATTACTGGCGAGGGTTGAGAAGAAGAGACGGGATCAGCAAGTTCGGGACAGGCGGAAGCGGTTGAGAGAGCAAAAGGCCAAGATGGCGAATACGGACGAAGCAGCCTCAGACCTGCCCACACCTACAGAGTCTGAAGGCCAGCCGGATCGTCTCGAAACTGGAGCGACATTCCGCAAACCACAAGCGCCGGCAAGCGCGAGACGTGCAAGACGCACTGAGGAGCGACGCGGTACCTCAAACTCCCAGCAGAATGGAGCCCCGGAATTGGCTATGCAGGCGCAGCAGCCAGCTGCTCGAGCTGTCCTTACACCAGTCAGTACGAACAGCAGCCAAACCTCCAACGCGGGTTACTCGGATTCATATCGAAAGTCTACTGCGCCGATCGATCGCACCGAAACCGACTGGTTCTCATTGCGTGCGGAAGGCTACGATCCAAGCACACTTCGCAAGCGCCAGTTTGATACCACGATAGATGAGGATCAACAAGATATCGAATCGAAGCGCCCAAAGATGTCACCCTCCACCGAGCCATCACCAGTGCCCCAGGCAACGTCCACCGCGGACCGTCGTGCTCGCCTAGAAGCCATCGGGCAGCAGTTCCGGAGGTCTACAGGCTCGCCTCAGGCTGCGACTGCTTCCTCTCCATTCAACGGACGGTCTTCATTGGGCAAATCGGCAAGTACGCTCATCGAGCAGGCTAAGCAAGTTCTGGCTCGCTCAAAACCATCGCCTCCCTCTGTTCAGCACGATTTTGGTCGCAGCGTGCCCAATCTTAATATCCATCGGCGAACAATGTCAGCCCAGACATCTGTCCTGGGACGGTCAATGGGCGCACGAAATGATCGCCCAGCTTACTGGAATCGACCAAGTCGATTTGTCCCCAAGGAATGCTACGGTCAGGGCGCAAATGCCGTTCGCGACTACCGGATCAAGTACGGATTAAGCTCACCTGCCAACACACGCCCCAACAGCATTGAGCCTGTGGTGTCGGCCTCGTCTCCAATCTCCACGCAAATGTCATACGCGCCCGTCAACAGCTATACGCAAGAACAGTACAGCGAAGAAGAGTCCAGCGGTATTGAAATCGTCGACGTAGACGCCGAGGAAGAAAACCCCGGTGCCACCGAAGAGGAAGAGAATTCCGCCACCACTGAAGAAGAGTACGATAGCGACGACGAGGGCGACGAGCAATTGCATCGTCGTCAATCACATCCCAAAATGTACCGCCAAACCGAATACGACGAGGACGGCGACTCGCCCATGCCCGACGACCAAGACGACGGCGGCTACGTTAACGGCCAGTACGCCGACGATGCACTTGTAGACTACGAGGGCTACACCGAAGACTCAGACGCCGATTCTGACTCGGACTCTGAGACGCAGTTCGCACAGCACGTCAAGCCGGCGCAGAAGAAGGCCACTCCTCCACCCACCGGCGGTAACTGCGAGGAAGACGCCATTGAGCTTTCCGATTGAAAGCGCGTTTTGTACATTACACATTGACATATTGTCCGAAATTTTGCATAGCGATTGGAGTTTTGGATTTTGGAATGGAGCATTTCGCGAGGGCGGGCTTTCACGATACCCACTTATTTAGCACGGGCGCTTGAGATGGGGAAGAGAGCATGAATGGGAGTGATTGGATGGGATGAAGTGTAGATACGATGGTAAATTCTAAGAATGTTGCGCACACAACCAAAAAAAACCAGTTGAAAACTACACAATTTACTCCCAAACAAAGAACCCTCTACATGAACTATGACACTGCGTGACGACCTGACAGCTACGACTCGGACCCTTCAATCCCACCCCAAGATATTTCGCTCTGAATTCCCAAATTCTCCCCTCCCCATCGCCACTGCCTCGTGCACTGATCATCCCCCCCTTCCCTTACCCCAGTCCCACCTCAGCCTCACTCACTCACTCGCGCCGGAAGTCCTCATCCCCGCTGCACCTCCCCTTCCCAGGTTCGATTCCAAATCCCACACAGCCGGCATGATCGCTGCAACGTACACGTCCCACTTGCAAGGGCGGGGATGTATTTCTTTTCCTACTAAGTGCCGAGGTGTTGGACGCCATGTTTGCTTTTCTTCCAACTGGGTACGAGTGCCGACGCTTAGGCTTGCTTTTCCTCGGGGGCGTGTATGGCCAAGGGTTCGAGTGTAGGGTCAGGGGGGGTGTTGGTGGTGGTGGAGGGGGGTATTGCTTTTTTTGCGCGCCCGTGAGGCTGGCTGGAGTGGGGCGCGTTGTTGGGGTTTGGGGGCGGGACGGGGGGATGGTGGAGGCGGGGTCCACTGTGTGTATGTGTGTGTGTGTGTGTGTGTGTGTTTGCTTCTTGGAGGGAAAGGGCCGGGTGGCGAGTGGTAGCTTGTGGATGCTAGAAGGGGAAGTGACGGGTGGAGAATATACTCGAAAAGGGAGTGTGGTGCTGTATGTGGAATTCCATCTTCTTGGCAATGGATAAGGTAGGATGGGGATGAGCCGAGATATGCTGGTAGATTTTGAGAATGATGGAGTGGGTGCGGGATACCCTTCTGGGAAACGAGATGCAAGTGGAGAATGTTTCCGATTGAGAAATGTTTGGATTCTTTTGGTAGTAATTAAGTATCAACCTTCCGGTTGTGGTGTGCGAGCTTTGGGTATATTCGCGTCTTCGAGCAAAAAACATAAAAGCACTTTTAGTCCTCCTCTTCTTCTTCTTCTTCTTCCTCCTCCCTCCCACTCCTACTTCCTCTCATCGCATATCCCATCCCGCTCGTCCTTCCTACACGATAGATCCAATCCTCCCCTGTGCAGCATTTCCGTACATGCTCTCTGGCCCCATAACCCTCGCGCCACCTCCATACGACGCATGATACGCCGCATTCACTGACTTGTGATGCTCAACCGCGTGGTGCTTGATTTCCCGCCACATCTTCTTGATGGAGCCGTTGAGCGTCTTGTGGGTCTTGTCCTGGGCCGCGACGAAGTGGTGCGCATCATGGGCGGATTCGTGGCTGGGGCGGCGGGATTGGGTTGTTGGTGTGTGGGTGGCGGTGGAAGATGGTGAGGGTGTGGATGAGGAGAGGGAGAGGATGCGGGGGTGGTAGTCGGTTATGGACATTTTGTGGTTGGGGTGTGTGGTTGTTGTTGTTGTTGTTGTTGTTGTTGTTGTAGAGACTTTGATGTGATGTTGACTTCGGAGTGAGGTATGAAGTGTGATGTGAAGTAGTGATGATGATAGACTTGACTTGCTTTGATGCAGTTCCATTATTGCCAGTCTCCCCCGTCCCTTTATATAACCCACACGTCACGAGAGAAATTTTCCTTTGTCCCAAAATCTTGCCTGCCAGTACTCACCTCGCCCCCAGATCTCACGATCCAATTCCGCACGTGCATCGTGACACAATTTTCGCAGCAAAGTAGCACCTGTGGGTCCCGCCACGACGACGCGCACACCGTAAGACGCGACTATTGGACAAAAGCGCGCAAGAATACTTTACTGTCCAATTCCCGTAGTATTCAACGCCCTATGAGGATAAGCGGCATGGCAAAGCTTCCGTTAACTGCAATATGCTAACGACGTGGTTGAAATGTTCACGTCCTCGGGTTCCGTCGGCTTAAAAGTGGTGAGCGTTTAATGCTTAAGCCGAGCAGGCTCTGATGACGAGCTCCACAGCTATAACATGACGGTGTTGCCTTTGACACACGGAATGGCCGTTAAAGGATATTTGTGTGTCATAGTCGCGGTGCGGGAAATACCATCGTTTCGTCGTGCCTGAAGATCTGCCGCGCATTGGTTGCGGTTCGGGATCCGTGCGGCTCAACGAAAAGTTCGAGACTTTGCACGTGAATGGGTGATCATGGCGAGATTGTTTGCGGTGATGCTGTGATCGTGAGGTGGTTTCCCGCGTGTTCTGGTGCCCGTCGGAATGGTCTCTCGTAGTCCGACGCGGAAATGAGGTGGGTTTCACGGATGCAAAGTTCTAGGTCACCTGAGATATTTTGAGCATAAACTTGAATTGCAGAGTGATTTTTTGATGTTGGGATCAATTGGCGGTATCGAGTACACGTCAGGACGCAATCTCGAGACCCGTCAATGCAGCAGAGGCGAAAGCGTAGAAGCGGCGGATAAGTATAATACAGAGTCGACAAGGTAATGTTCTACCAGCTATTCCTGCTGTGACATATGAGTAGGAAAGTTGTAGTCGGTGTAATCGATGTGTACAAACGCACGGTCGACATAAGGTACGCTCTCTGCAGGTATGTTAGCATATACACAAGTTGCATCTCGAAGGAGCAAACTTACCGAGGACATATTGCAGGGACTCTCCAAGGTCATGGCTGTCCCTGAGCGGCAAATGCTCATCTACCACGATATCAACCTCCACATTCAGCTTGTCGCCCGCATGATAAGCTTGAAGTCCCTGAATACGCTTGATACTCTTTGCGAAGCGCATCGTCATGTACAGCAGAATGTTGCGCTCGTCGGCGGTTGCACTTGCGCCTGCGAGGTTGCGGATGTGCTCTGCCGATGTGTGGCTCCAGTTGATGATGACATAGGCTGATAGTAGGATACCGCCAAGCGCGTCAAGCCACCAAACCTTCGCAAAGTAGCCAACAAGCGGGAACAGAATGGAGAAGGTGTTGAAAACAACGTCGGTCATCGCATCTTGTGCAAGAGCTTGGACCGAGGAGTTGCGGATGAGACGGCACCAAAGCCAGCAGAGTCCTTTGATCACAACTGTGGAGGCCATGATTGCTACAGCGGGGATGGTGAGCTGGACAATAGAGCGATCTGGGCCAGATAGCCGAGAAATACCCTCAATGCCGACTTGGGTGAAGGAAGTAATCATGATGACGGAGAAGACCAGCACACCAATGGGCTCGAGACGCCGACGACCGACAGGATAAGCGTGGCGGTCTTGCCGGGCAATCATCCAGGACGTGACCCAGATGATGGCGGTACTGAGGAAGTCCAGAGCTGCATCGACCAAACTCGCGACGACGGAAAGAGACGATGTCATGACGGCCACGATAATCTTGAGTATTAGGAGTGCGGTGTTGGCAGCAAGATTGACGTAGAGCGCCAGCTTGACGATGGGGCTCTCCGTGTCTTCATCCTCCTCGGGCACCCACTCCTTCAACTTTGGGTTGGAGAGCTCTTCCTCTTCGTCTTCCAGAGCATTATCATGTGCCAGCAGAGGCGTGTTCTCGTCGTTCTCGGGGACCTTGTACAGGTTCTTCGGAGTTCGCTTGACCTTGGCCTGTGGCGCGCCATTGGAGCTGTTCGTGCCGTAAGTGCCAGATGAGCGACTCGACAGAGGCGCGCTTCCGTTTTCGGTGGTACTGCCTGGTGTGCGCGCGCCTGGCGTGGCTATTGGGGTGCTGGTTACCGACGACTCCTCTGTGATGGTGGTGGGGATCTTGACCGCGCCAGATTCGAGGTTCGTGTACTCTTGGATCAGATTGTGCGGCAGAGAGGAGTCGAGGAGGCGGTCGATGTAGAGATAGTGCTGGATGAGCTGGTTGTTTCGCTCATAGTACTCTCGTCTGGCGTGCTGTTAGCTTTGCAGATTGAAGAAAGGGAACGCCTTACATGGGCTTCTTCATGCCCTTGAGCTCCTCATCGCTCTTGTAGTACTTCTCCCTGTTTCTTGTCAGTGTCCAGTTTCCAGTGGCCGCCGTCGTCCCAAATCCACTCACCACTTGTATCTGGGGTTCGAATTGCCAATCAGACGCTGACTGCGCATCTGCGGCGTGTTCAAGATGGACGCTGCATTGCTGGCTCTGCGCTCCAGGTCGCGATCATAAGGCATTGCGAGCCCGGCTTTGATGGCGTCAAAGTCTTCCTCCTCATCGGTCAAGCTGCCGCGACGCTCATTGCTGCGAATCGTCGATGGACGGCGCGTACTAAACAGCGACGGCAAATGCTGTCCACGCGTGGAAATGGTGGTCGCGGCGTCGTTGGTGAGGGGCAGAAACAGCTTCGAATTCGTGAGACGCGGAAGACTTGCAGAGCGCGGACTGGGAGGCGGATGCGGCCGCCCGTTGGATGCAGGCTGCTCTGACATGCCGGCGAGGTATTCTCGTAGATGGCTCTACGCGCCTTGATAGGACTGGCAAGCTGTGCGACGGGACGTTGTCTCTGTCCGGTAGATGGCAGTACCTTGATTGGTCGCGTCGCAGCTATATCGCGCCGCTGACGTGCGCAACTGCAGGAAGACTGTCGAGAACTGAAGCTACTTGGGACGAGAGCGAGCACAACCCTACATATGCGACGCAATTGACAGACCTGCGCGCTTCCACGATGAAGCGTCCGGTGAAGAATAGAGTGCAGTGGCAGGTTCGCCGAGACGGAGAATGGTCTTTTCCTCGGGCGCGATCAACATGCTTTGAGACAACGGCCCAATACCCTTGCCCATCGGCCGTTTAACGAGATCATAGCTCCCTCGCTAGCCGCTGTGGGGCGCTGTCGCGGGGTGAAAGATCGTCGGCTTCAAAACACTTGAGCACTCGTTTCGGGCTACCAACATGCGTCTCAAACTCAATCTGGGTGCGTCAATTTGACCGAACTGCACAACATCGTTCGATAAGTGTTGCAAAGTGACAAGATCGTCAATTACCTGCAGCACGGTGGCACCCACGTCTGATCGCTCATATGCAGGGTCCACTTGGAGCCGAGAGTCGGAGGTTGCGTTCATGCCGGGAGGATCCGTTGTGGGCAGTCAACACTTTTTGTGGTCTTTTCAATATTCTCCTGGCAAGGGAAACCACGCACTAGCAAGTCGTCAATATGCTTCATCTCCTTCGAATCTATATCATATTCCTAGATCTATAGCATGCCAATGCGCCAAGCCTGACTCCTGACGTCTGTTTCCTGCGGTACATATGTTGATCAATCTTCCACAGACTGCAGTACGTGGAACCACTGGCACGTTCATCAGCACGCAGACTGCAAACACGTCCTTATTACAATTCGAGTTGCGATTATTCATTACTGATACATGACATTATTTTACAACAAGCAGATTCAGCCCGAGCCTATGCTGGCGAAGCTGCTGCTTCTTGTTGGTAGGAAAACTTGAATTGGACCATATAGTGCTGGACTATGATGACATCTGGAGAGGCTCGTAGCTGCCGGTCTAGCTATCAGGCGATACGCCATCCGCTGCAGGAGACGAGATAGACAAGTTCTCAAGCGCCTCAACGTAGGCCTGCTATATAGCCATCGCCATGCCATCGATCGAGCATGACTCGATGAGAACCACAAAGACATGAGCCATGTCATAGTTCTTCTTCCGAAGCTCATACTTCTCGCGCATCTCTACGAGAGACTCGCAGGAAGCTGGGAAGTAAATACGAGGTGGATGATAAACGTCTTCGTTGATGAGAGCACGACTTAATCGTGCGGAGGAAACTGAGGTCTGTGAACTATGACAGCCACCACAGGCATGGTAACTACTAGGTCGACTAGCGTTACTACTACGGCGACTAGGAGATTGGGAGGAACTATGGTCGGAATCGTGGTCAGAACCGTGGTCGGAGGCATCCTCTTCTTCGTCGTCTGAGTACTCATTCTGGTCGTTGGCCGCGGTTTCCGACTCCTCTGTGGTGTTTGAACCAAGAATCGACTGATCAGGAATTGGCTCTTCAAAGCCAGATGAGTACAGCTGCGCATGCGCCCACTGGAGGAAGGTGCGAAACGTCTGCTCAGTGACATCTGTCAATTCGATCTTGCGGCTAGTTGCCTCCTTGAAATCACCCTCGAATGCACCTCCAAAGTAAGGTAGACAGCTTTAAGAAGCTGAAGGTTGACGGGGATTTCGACTGCTTCATCAGCCTGGCAAAGACGAACAGTAACCATCTCGAAGCTCATCGTGAGAAAGCTGGACATCGTGTTTTTGTGTTGAGAGGACATCGTAATGTGGTGGTGAGATGATATGTTGGGAATTGTCGTGTAATCGCTCATGTAGTTGTGAGTGGAATTGGATGCCGATAGAAAAGCAGGAGAGTGGCAGGGTTTCATAGATTAGGGGGTCACTTCGTTGTGCGAGAGCAGTGACAATCGACCTGGGATGTTCTTGGAGGAACGCCGTGAGCATTGTGAAGTGTGTGGCTTTGTGAGTTCACTCGTCGAGTGCAACGCGATTGGCCAAGTAGCCTCACGATGCTTTTCCGACAACGGTCTTAGCTTCTTTCATACAAGCGTCTAGTATGCCGTCGAATATAAATTTGGAATTGGCTAGGCGGTGGCGACAAGTATCTTCGTCGAAGACTTGATGCTCGTGAAAGACGCAAGAATTTTTCAAGCCATGTTTGGCCAGCTGTGGCACTGTCTTTGTGGCATCTGTCTCTCCCTCTTCAGGTGGCTGGCCTCTTTGAGCTTGTGCCGTCATAACGTCTAGTGTGAAACCTGGGTGTAACTTTTTAAGCTTTCCCGACTCCAGAGTCGGCTTTACAGGAGTCCAGAAGTATATTGTTGAGAGGACAAGGTAGCGCGAGAGCATAGCAGTGGCCGGTAGTTTTGTGTAAGCAAGGTCAATGACCTCTATGTCGTCCGGGTCAGGATACATTCCGAATGAAATGCAATAGCCCACATAGGTAGACATGACGTCGTCTCGGAGTTGGGGAATGCTGTATCTGTCTGCGAAGATGTACAGTCGAACTAGAGCCTTTACGACTTCCTGATATGTGTTTTGCCAAGCTGGATTGCCATGAAAGCGCCTGTCCAGTTCTTCCGGACCCAGTATCCGAAGCACCGGTGATTTACCAGAGACATACTCGTCGAACATGCGTTTTCGAGGACGCCCTCGGCCTGCCGGTTTTGCTTCTGAGTTCACGGCATCGCCAGCAGTATTCGTGACTACTTTTAAACCATTAAGGCAGCCCAGGAGTGGCTCTGGAGGTGAGGGAGGGAGATATTGTGAGTGAAGCCACGCGAGAAATGTGCGGAATGTGGCTTCACTCACATCACGAAGCGTGATGGTTCCTTCTTTGACACCAAGAAATGAGCGATCAATGGCACCACGAAAGAATGTCGACACTGAACAGATGAGGTGCCGGTATACCATGATATCCACTGCGTCTGCCGGTTTGCCCACACGCACCAGAACCATGTCGAAGTTCATATTACTGTGGTCATCAGCATTTGTCACAGATGCAGAAGGCTAGGAGGTTCAGAGCGTACGAGAAATGCGGAACACAATAACCCGGAGCATTTGCGCCATGATTCCCACCTGAGCTGAATTGCCGACTGTGGACATTGGCGTCATGGTATGCAGAAGTAGGGTAGGTGCAAGACTTGGCAGAACAGTGGGATACAGTCCTAGTCGTGATCTGTCGATATATGCGGCTCCGGGCTATCATCTTTCTGCATACCGCTTCTAGAAGAAATTATGTTCTGCATTGGTGTTCTTGTACGATCCTGGACCTGTCAAATTACAGTGATGTTTCAATGTTGTCGCCTTCGAACTTTCGCAGACGGCTGCTAGTCTGTTAGCGCGCCACAACGGGTTTAGCCCGCTTGTTGGACTTGGCACACCACACAAGCGAACACTCGCATCAATATTCTATCCTCTCTGATTGACCCCAACGACAACAACTTCGACATCCCGACACCCGTAGTCACGATGCCGGTACGAATCAACCCGCCACCAGCATGCTGTCGACCGAGATGATCTGACAATATCGCAGTCCCAAAAGTCCTTCCGCACCAAGCAGAAGCTTGCCCGCGCGCAGAAGCAGAACCGCCCCATCCCCCAGTGGATCCGCCTGAGGACCAACAACACCATCAGGTACGCAATATTCGAGGGCGGCCGTCAACAGGCTGCTATTGCGACACCAAAATTCGACAAAGCACGAGCAAGACCGAGTGAGATCAGCAGACTAACAGCACCTCCAGGTACAACGCCAAGCGACGACATTGGCGCAAGACTCGTCTCGGTATCTAGACGACTCGCCCCCGCACCCTCAGCCTCGATTGCCGATTTCTCATACCCTTCTTCACGTCAAATACCAACACGAACGAGCAATCACGAGCGTCATGCACGACATGGCGACAGGCACTGGAGCGAGGTCTACCTTATGCATGGAGTAGAATGGTGGGCACGTTACTTCACCGGATACTCTCACTCTGGCGCAATGGGTCTGAAAATGATATCGGAAATCAAGTCATGATGGAACAGGCTAGGCAGTGATAATGAATGCACTTGCTGAGTCACACAAATGATGGTCTTGGATACGTGATGCCCATACATGATGTGACAACACAATTTGCGGTGGATGGGATCGGTTACAGGCCATGTTTACTTGTTGATACAATTCCTTAAGCTCTCACCTATTACTGGAGCGACAATTAGACCGAGCAACGCCGCCTGAGGACCCACTACTTCAGACTTTCTCGTTCTTGTCTCTAGCACATGAGACCTGTACAGACCCATGCGACAAATTCTGCCTCCAATCTCTACCGACCTCACCTTCTGCGGTCTCAAAAGCACTGTCCTCGATCCCAAATTAATTATTAGAATGACTGAAGGCCCCACGCGACATCGCAGCAGTCCTACTTGCGCATCCACCGACCCAATACTTTGCCCTGGGTGCCATTCTTCACCAATTAGCCTTGCCGTCTTTTCGGCCAGTTATTGTGCAACATCGCTTGACCTTATTACAGCAATCTTGATTAGCAAGCCCGTTCCATCCTCACGACTGCCCACTCCTGACCTGAAACTTCGGCCTCTCACTCAAATCCACCACAAGACACTTCTCCTCGCTCTTCCCACACGTTTCAAACAGACTAACCACGCCCATGTGGATCTTAATCACCGTTGTGCTCCCCGCATAACACACGCCCTTCTCAACCCCACACCGATTCGCCAAAACCACATACACCGGTTTCTCACTCTTACTATCCACAATTGGCTGGAAGCGCTCGACCCAGTACGCGACGGTCGCTATATCCGGTTGCGTGGGTTCCTGCACGAGCTCCTCGGGCGTCAAGTGACATAGCCACGCCATGCTGACGCAAAGCAGGGGCGTCTTGTGCGTGAGCGCAGTCCGCGCGAATTCGTACGACTCCCACGGCGCGGTAAAGCGATAGGGGTTGATGTCCATGCATATGCCGAGTGTGACGTCGCCGAGGGCGCCCAGGGGCCCGGAGTAGAAGGGCTGGTCAGGTGATGTGGCGTTTGAAAGGATGTGCGCGTTGTCGGCCGGGCCTTCGGACGACCACGTCTCGTCCGTGTAGTAGAGGAAGGACTTGCGGTAGTTGTGGAGGATTTCGCCAGTCGGGGACACGGTCACGGTGGAGTTGTACTGCGTTGGTGGTGTGGAGGTTGTGATTTCGGGGTAGCCGATTGTGACGTGACATGTGTAGTGTTGGGCGACTTGGATGGCCCATTGTGTGCTTATGCCTGCAGTTGTGGGTTCGAGGTATGGTCTTATCTCGTCGAGCGAGTGGAAGTTGTAGCCCGAGAATGCGAGTTCGGGTAACACGAGCCAATCGAGATCAGACGGTATCCGTGTTTCTTGTAGTATAACGTCCGCGCGGCGTATGTTCTCCTGCACTTGGCCTACTTCAGGGGCGAATTGAAGACAGGCGATCTTCATGTTTTGTTCTTTGTTGTCTGTTGCCATGGGCTGGGATGTGGACGTTTATAAACTTGAAGAGCGCAACGAGACTGGGGTGGGAAGAGCTGGATATAAAAAGTTCGAAAGCGAGAGGACTGGGTGAGCCACGCATAGGATAAACCACAGCCAGTCAACGCCAGAAACACTTTCACTACTACTGATGCCGGTGGTGGGGTGCGGGAAGCGGGGCACTTTAGTGTTGAGCGACTCAGTCGGCACAATGGGCCGCAAATGAGAGCTGGTGGTCTTGACAGTTTTCGGATGTATTTGTCACGATGCAGTGATTTGCTTTTGCTTGTGTTACTTGGGAGCAAAGCCATGGTGCTGTACGGCTGTCTGGAAGCTGTAGTGGGGACGTACCTGCAGTGGTACTGGCCTCGTCTGGTGTGTGATTGGCTGGCACGTGCAGGGTAGCCGAGCTTAGCTGCATCAAGCTATGACGCGATGATGGGATGTTTTGAGGGCAGCCTAAGCAAAGTCTCAGCGCATCGTGCAATTGTCAGACAAGCTGCGTCATGAATCAGCTACTACGGTAGCCCTTCACACCAATCTCAATGGCAGGCAGACGGCTCGTCGATGCCGCGAAGCTCTTCAATGCCTCCAAGTCGATAACACAGAAGCACATTGCGCTGCGATCCAACCAACTCGAGAAATTCAACAAGACATCGAGCTTAGCCAAAGCCGTCAAGAACCAGACTGACCGAGTCACACTTACGGCAGCTGCGGCAATCGAACTCTCGAAACGCTTCAGCGAAGAAGCTCCGGCGTATGCCAGAGCTGCTGCACAACAGGCGACAGGCACATCCAAACCGCACGAGGATATACCGCGAAGAGAAACAGTAGAACGAAATACTGGCGTACCAGGGAAGGAGGAGGGCCTACAGCAAGATCACCACTATGAACGGTCTGAGCAGAATTCGGCTATAAGGCCCCCACCAGAGGCAGAACTCGAGGTTGAGCAGGAAGAAGCGCTAAGGCGGCCACTGCCGGATGGAACTATTCCAACATCTGGCGTGACGCTGGAGGAGGAGAGGGGCCAAGACACTTTCCCGGCGCGGCCACTTGGAGAAACTCCGAAAGAGCCTCTAATCGACGAGAAGCACGACCCAGCTCGACACGAAGACGTTGGTATCAAACCAGTAGAGTCCGACGAGACCACGATACCACTACCGGGCCAGCCAAGAGGTAAATCCTCAGCGGCGACCGAAACTATACCGGCGCATGCGAACGACGTCCAACGACCGCCTACATCCTCGCGAGTTCAGGACCTACAGAAAGGACATGATCGAGATGTCTTCTATTCGAGATCAGCCGAGTCGCAACCTACCACCTCTTCACTCCCCCGCGCGCAGATACCGAACCATACAGCAACAAGACAGGCGAGTGACATACATGTGGATGATCAGCAGTTGAATCAGGATGTCTTCTACAAGCAGGATACAAGACAAGTTCCTTTAGAGCAAGAGGAACTACCTGAAGGCATCAATACAGATATATTCCACTCGACACGAGTCAAACAGATGCTTGGAAGCGACCCAGACTCACGCAAGGAGCGTATGAAAAGGAGAGGACCGAGCACAAATCCCTTCATTCCGCCACAATATCAAGCTGGTCATGGACATGACACAGTGAAGAACAAGCAGAACCAGCCCGAGAAGCTCGAAAAGCCCGAGAAGCCCACACAGCCAGCGCAGACACAGACGACCGAGAAGGAGATGCAGAACTTGGCATCACAATTGGCTCAAGACGCGCAGAGCAACACGGCGACAACTGAAGTATGCAAAGTTCCATCTAATTCACGAAGTATACTGATTAGCTGACAGCGATACCCCAGATAATTGATGAACCGGCCGCGACAGAACCAGAAAAGGCTCCGTATGCTCTTCGAGAGTCACGCGTACCATCTTCACGATTCGGTCGGATGTGGCAGTATGCCGGTTTAGGAACAAGCATGGCCCTGGGCGCTGTGGGTGAAAGCCTTCGACGCGTGACAGGCAGTGCTGCCTCAACGGGTGGTTCTCTCATGCTCAGCCCGGGCAACATCGAAATACTAGTGTCGAAACTTTCCAAGATGCGAGGCGCTGCTCTCAAGCTTGGGCAGATGATCAGCATCCAGGATATGAAGATGCTTCCACCACAGATACACGACGTTTTGCAGCGAGTGCAAGATAGTGCGGACTATATGCCAGCATATCAACGCAACAAGGTTCTTACGAGCAATCTGGGCGATAATTGGCGCGACCTGTTCGATTCCTTCGAAGATGTCCCCATCGCAGCAGCGTCAATTGGGCAAGTCCACAAAGCAGTGCTCAAATCCAATGGACAAGCAGTAGCTGTAAAGATACAATATCCTGGGGTCGCTAGCTCCATTGATTCCGACCTCAACAACCTCTCCGTACTTCTGACTGCATCTCGTCTTCTTCCAAGGGGATTGTTCCTCGACAAGACTATCGCGAATGCACGCACGGAGCTAGGATGGGAGTGCAACTACACGCGCGAGGCGGAATGTCAGATGCGATTTCGGGACTTCCTTGCAGACGATACGGACGTTTTTACTGTTCCTAAGGTCTTTTTTGAAGCAAGCGGGCCTACTGTCCTCACTGCAAAACTCATGCACGGCGTTGGAGTGACCAAGCTCAAGACCTTGAAGCAAGAGCAGCGCGACTGGATTGGCACACAGATCTTGCGACTGTGTCTGCGAGAAATCGTCGAGTTCAAGTTCATGCAAACTGATCCCAACTGGACGAATTTCCTGTATAACGCCAAAGCACAAAAGGTCGAACTTCTCGATTTTGGTGCATCACGCGAGTATCCCGACGAATTTGTTGGACCCTATGTCAATATCCTCATTGGCGCCTCGCAAGGAGATCGCAATGCTATCCGCGATGGCTCCATCGAGCTTGGGTACCTGACAGGAGACGAATCTCCCACCATGCTGGACGCACACATCCAATCCGTCCTGACCCTCGCAGAACCTTTCAAAGCCGACGGCCCGGAGATCTACGACTTCAGAGACCAGACGATCACGGATCGCGTGCGCGAATTGATCCCAGTAATGGTGAAAGAGCGCCTCGCCCCTCCACCCGAAGAAACATACTCCCTGCATCGCAAACTCTCCGGCGCATTCTTACTCTGCGCAAGACTGGGAAGTAGAGTCCCGTGCCGCGAGTTGTTCAGTAAAGCTATAGCAACGTGGGAGGGAAAGGGTAAAATTCTATAACTGCTGTCGCTATACATGGTTGTAGGTGTAGATGTAATACTATCAATATTTATGTACTCAGCGCGCTTCAAACTGAACCATCCTATTCGTGCGCCTCTTGTACACGCTTCGAAATCCACATTCCTTGCACCGGATCGGTTCGCCTTGTTTGATCCTCACGGGGTCGACACACCCTTTACCGCCCGCGCAGTCGTAGTACATGACCCACGGCTCTGCAGGCGGGACCTGTGCTAGTACAGGTCTTGCTGATGGAGTGTGATACTGCAGATCCGGACGCTCAGTCAGACCAACACCGATAATAGCACTACGATTAGAAGAAGACGGCGTAATCGGTGCGGCAACACTCGTCGGCGTCGCAGGTGACGACTCGCCAGATTCTGACGCGGATACTTCTCCGCCTGTTTCTGATCCAGATTCTGTTTCCGAGGCAGGGGTCTTTGCGAGGTTTCGTTCTTGTTCTAGAACCCGTCAACATTGCTGTTGCGGGGCGGTTGGGAGAAAGAAGATATAAAATGACATACCTTCATCCTCTCTATGCAGCGCCTCGATCGCCTCGTGCATTTCCACACTCAGTGTGCGGCGTTTTGCTGATATCGTCACTACATCCTCGTTTCCATTACCGGCTGATTCCTTCACGGGCACGTCGAAGGTTATCCGACTCTGTTTTCTCTCCAACACTTCTTCAACATGCGCACTATCCATTCTCTCCGCACTATCCATTCTCTCCGCACTATCCACCCTTCTCTCCGCATTCGCTGTATCCATCCGTTCTTCTTTGGCCTGAGCCCTACCCATTTGCTCACCCCCTTCCTCCCTCACCATAACCGTACTCTGCCTCCTCGTCGTCGGCGGCATAATTGGGCGTAAATACAACCGGCGCCCGTACTGATTGCACTCTATTGTCCGGATGTTGGTACGGTGCGGGGGCGATGGGGTGTCAGATCTGAGACAAGTCGGGAAGAAGAGGGTGGAGATGGTAGAGAGGAAATTCATGGTGGTGGTTTGAGGGATGGGGGAACAAAGAATTGTGAGTAGGGTAGGGTGTGATGGAGGTGACGGATGGGGGAGACAAAGAGGAGGATTGTTGATGGATGGGAAGGGACGACGCATGCGATGGGTTATGTGTGTTTGCTGGGTTCAGGAGTGGAGTGGAATGGAGTGAGCGGTTGCTGTTTTGGGTATGAGAGGACGAAGGTTGAACCACAAGATGTTTGTATTCTTTTTTTTTCTGGCAAGACTCGCTTTATCGTACAAAGAACTCCAAACCCCGCTCATGGGCTATTTATTTCTGCTCAATTTCCTTCTCTGTATTTTTTCTTGCGTTCTGATTGTACCACAACCACGCCGCGAGCGCAATGAAGGATCCAAACCCGCTCGCCATGATCATCCTGCCTCTGAAACCTTGCTTCCTCTTTAGCGCCTCATCGCCGCCGAGAATGACTACTGCTTTCTTTGACCAAGTGTACTCCAGCCCGCTGTAAATCGTCGTACTAGCAACAATAGCCGACATGCCTTGCACCATAGTCCTGACACCCGCCTCACCACCAAGCGCATCCTGAATCGACAACAAAAGCCCGCCCGCCGCCGACTGAGTCGCAGACGGATCGTGCAGCAAATTCGTACACAGCAGCGTACCCAACAAAGTCAATTGCAAGAACGTGTTGAACTTTGAAATGCCCGTAGGATGTACCTCAGCGCTTGGAAGACTGAAGTCCCAGTACCTCGCCATAGTCTTGGGCGCAGGCAACGAGGCGTACCGATAGTACAGCGCGGAGACCGCAAGACTGACATCACGTCCCAGAATTAGGGCAAAGAGCGGCATGGGTAAGCTCCCGTTGACGGCTAGACAGGTGACTAGAGTGGTCATCAGGAACTTGTCGGCCATGGGGTCGACGACGCTGCCAACGACGGTTTGGAGTTTCCATTTTCGCGCTATCCACCCGTCGAGGAGGTCGGAGACAGCGGCGTAAGTGAAGAGGGAGAAGGCGTAGAGGTGCTGGTCGTGGATGATGAGATATCCAACCATGGGCGTGGCGATGAGGCGTGTCAGAGTCAGGAAGTTGGGGAGGTTGTAAATGTTCTCATGGCGGGTGGTGTTTAGCTTAAGCGTCGACTTGAGGGTTGTTGCAAGTTTGGCTGTTGTTGATGGTGGTGGCTCATTCTGTAAGACCATTAGCAGGTATTCATCGATTTTCTGTACACCCCGGTCTTAGAGTGGCTGGAGTTGAGGTGGCTTGAGCATGTCACTTTGAATTCATACACATTCAAGTATATCTTGTTTTGTTATGTATACACAGAGTTTCTCGCTTGGAAGGAATTCTACCAACATTGACGCCTTTTCATAGAGTTGCAACCTACCTGCGGTGATTTTGATACCGATGACGTTGCATCTTCTGGCCTTGCTTGCCGTGTATACGAGGTGCTGAAAGCTTCTGATTTGTGTAAACGGGCTGCATGGTTATTCTTCAGCGCTGATAGCGCTTTGCTGTGACGAGATATGCTACTTTGGCCCAATGAACACGAGGCACGTGAGGGTGACCACCTGAGGCATCGTGCTGACCACGGAAGCCGGAGCGCGGCCCGCGGGCCGATCGATGAGCACAAGGCAGACTGTACCGTGATAGACGGTATCCTAGTAGCAGCCATGGATAGAGTTGATAAATGATTGGCGCCTTGTGTTGTTGGTATCAGTCTTCCAGCGCAGGGTTTCCCAGGTTCCTGCATTGAAGTTTGCCAAGCCCTGGGACGCTAGCGATCCCATGCAGCCTCGCAAACCTCATAAACGAGCGCGAAATCTACATCACATCGCAAATTGCCGTCTACCTCGTCGTTGCAGCTTTGCAATGCAAACTTCCTCCCGAAAGATGCTCTCTGGGACTGGCGTGACAACTGCCTAGGTCGATGCCCGTGCCTTGCAGCGAGCTCATGACGTTGGCAAGGCATGCTTGCAACTCGAACGGCTTCGTCAACCATAGAGATCTTGTCCGTGTCAAACAACACGGCCTCGAAATTTGCAGAGTGTTCCATGTGGACGCGGGAGTTGCTTGTCTCCCGAAAACTAGGGAAAATCTGGGAATGTTGGAAGACAGGCCGGACGGGGGAAGCCGGCATAACGCCGCCATATAATTCCACATATAATTCCAGCGATATGCTGGATGCGTTGAAGCATGAACTGACTTGGCAGACATTACATCACTGGACCATGTTAATATCAACTCAAGGTCCACTCAAGGGTCCAGACCCTTCAACATTGTTGAGCGCCATGGAGTGCCTCCAACTATACGTCGCTAGATGATCGTCTTCGCCCACGTTTTAGAAGCCTACTATGATCATGCGGGCAGCGGGTCCAATAGTCTATTCCTATGCGAGCATTACCTCAAAGAAAATCCACAATCTGTTCCGGAGGGAACTTCCGCCAATCACCAGGGAAGTTGACAGTACCGCGAACGGTTGACAAACCTTAACAGAAGAAGTTGAAAGCCTCGTCCCTGTGAACCCTTGAATCAATGATCTTTGTTCTGTAGTGTCGGCAGACATTCCCAGCTTGCTGGGACGGGAAGGTTTGTTGCAGTTTTGTTGCGGTTCGGCGTTCACGGTTGCCGAATTCTAGCGGTTCATCAGTCTGGAGGCGGATGACTTCCATTCGCGTGCGGAGAGAGTTCCGTTCGAGGTCTCCGATTTCCCACGCCAATGTCACAAAACACGACCTATGCCTTTCGCGGGTAAGCCGTCAAACGCGCATGAGCTACACGAGTTAGGGTCTCCAATATCAGCCTGGATTTCCAACGCTACGGTTGATCGACGAGGGAGCTCTACGATGTCCAGGTTTTGCTGACCACATGTAGTGTGCGCCTCCAATGAGACACCTCATCGATATTCTCGGCGGAATTGCGCGGAAGCCTGTGTTCAGCCCCCGATTGCTGGGTTGCCAGCCGGCACTGATGCAGAGGGATGCTTGTTCCAAATAATCTATCGCCGGGCATGGGCATGGAAATTCGTCACCAGCAAACTTACCAGCAAGCAGTTCCTCGCAGGACTCCCAGGCTCTCGTATGCTCCCTCCCGCTCTCTTGCCCTGATCAAGCGAACCCCGAGGAAATCCTTGATAAGGTTTGCACTCGTGTCATTGTGCCAGGTATCGTGCATGGCAATAGACCCAGGAGATCATGCTGGTGGCTTTCGTCCCGCAGATTTACTGTGCAGGTAATCACAGAACCTTATCCCTAGGCTTCAAACGTTCCTCGCCACGATGGCGCAACGATACGGGAAAGGGCCCGCACGGAAATAATAAACAAGTTGGCAAAGCAGGTACCGAAGAACTCTACTTTCTCTCTAGAAGTTTCAATGCAACGCCACAACCTTGGAAGTCGGGCTCGCGATTTCCGCATCCGTTCTAGTGTCACCTTGTCTAGCACAGTTCACATCTGCACCAGCCGATCAACCATGTGCAACAATTGCAGGCGGCCCATAGGATCCCCCGCCACAGTTGGAGTACCGCACGCAACGCGGCTCCAGGGAAGCCCTTCGCGAGCTGCCGTCTATCTGAAACTGCCGGCACTCTGATACACAGTCTCGATTTCTGATGCAGCAGTGGCCGATCGTCGACGCTCAAACACGCCGTACGCACCTCGCTTCGATCGAGCTTTTCTTGTCTTTTCGGTGACCAAGCAAGAGGATTCGGCCATACGCGCACGCAGGTGTCGTGAAATGGTCAGTGATGGCCGTTGAACGAGGACCCCGGACAGCAGCGCGGAAGATCGCCGCTTTCTCCATGAAAGGTCTGCGTAAACGGAGATGTGCAGTCGCTTCGGTCAAGACTTCTATTGACCCACGATAGAATTGAGCATCCACCGAGATGAGGCCACTGGCGGGTTGAACGGCAATCGGGCATACATGGAGTATAGTTCACCTCGGCTCACCTGGCTCTACAATTCTGGGACCCCTTTGCCAACTCGCCCACGACTTCCGCTCCGGGTCCGAAATCGTTCACGATCACCAGCATAGTATGTCGATGCAGTGCATGACACGTGCATGCCCCTAGAGGTGTCGCTATCAGGTGATCTGTGCGGGTCAAATATTGGCCTAACTTGTTCCTAGATCTGCAGGCACAGAAACGGGAAGTACCTTTGAGCAAGCTGCAGGTGTCTATCAAACAATACAAATGCACTTGCAAGCGAAACCAGCTTCGCTGTGACGGGTTGTATTGTTTCCGGGTTAGGCAATCAGGGACATGGTGGATGAGTTTCAGAACTGACAGTGCGCCCCCACTAACGCAGGTACAGAGGACCACTATGCCCATTTTCGACATTGCTCCGGGTTCAGTGTGCCAACGTGGATAGCTGCACAAGTTGATCTTGGGAACGGCAGTAGGTGTCTCACGGCAAGTCAGGATGCGTTCGCAGCTGCAGGTCACGATTTGGATTGGCAAAATCGATGGTCTAGGGTTTCGTGCAGAAACCTTATACAGGGCGCGAATAGCCTCGAAGGCAACGGCAGGACTACGTGCATCTTTAGCATCTTGGTTGTCGGTTGCAGCTGTTGGATTCTGGGCCCTGTAGGATTGGCGGCATGAAACAAGAAAGGTACCCTCCATTACTACGATGGGCTGCTGGGCTGCTGGGCATGCAGCTCCACCAGTAACTTATCCGAAAGTACGTAATCTGGCAGCAGCACAACTTGACAGGGCGAAAGATATGACGGAAATGTGATATCCAGCGTGCAGATGCATGAAGAGTGGGTGAGGATACCACACGATATCTTCCAACGGGCGCTTGCAAGCGAGAGCAGGCTGGCCGTGTGCACATGTGATTGGGCGATGGCGTTGAATGAAGACGGCTAGAGGGCAACGGCTAGCCAAAAGTAATTCTGAAACGGTTTCCACGACCTTACTGGCTTGCGACTAGAGCGAGACGCCCAGCAAACAGCCCTACTGGAATTACGGACATTCGCGCTTGCGATGTTTGGATGACAGCGCGAGCAGGAGGCGGGAATGGAGAGGTTGGGTGGGTGGGGGAGGGGACTCGAGCAGGGCGGAAGAGTGACCGGAAGGTCTGCGCATCGATATGATGCGAGATGGGAAGGTGCCAGCGCCCGCGCTCCCGCAGGCGAGCCAAGGTCGCGTGTTTCAGGAGGCCGATCAAACCATGCCCCAGTGCTGTTTCTGCTGGTTCCTGCATCTCGACGCACCTGCGCAGGCTAAGTGATCAGCCACGGCAGAGGGAGAATTGAGTTCAAGGCTGGATGGCGGTCATCGATGTGGTGCTCTTGTGACGCGCGCGCAGGCTTGCAGGCTTGCAGGCTTGCAGGTGTCACTACGGCAGGGCAATGCACCAGCGACGACGAGTTGCAGCTAGCGAGACGGGTAAGTACCAAGTCCAAGTAGGAGCGCCATTATTTTGCAAACAGTGGTTCTGGGTATTTGCATTTAGTCATGGAGGTCGGTCTGGTCGAGCAGAAAAGGATTTTGTAAGATGACAGCGGGGCGGTGACAGTAGATGGCACGCCGTCGGCGACTCGAGGGGGCCGGCGTGCAACTGTCAGCGTTGATGCAGTCTGGGAAGAAGATGGTGTTGAGGCGGCGGGCAAGGCCGGCATCCTTCATCCACTGGGCCGGCAGCGAGCTAAACTGACGCAACAGAGCGTGGCCATGTTCTGAAGCAGCAGCGGGCGTCGAACGGCGATGATCTCTACTGCGGTGGGTGGGCAGCTGGTGGTGGGAGGGAGGTGATGCAAGCGACGGGGCTCGGCTAGGCCCAAAGCGATGGGGTGCGCCGAGCAAAGAAGGGCATTTCGGGCCCGACGCAGCCAGACGGGGAGGGCAGGAGCGAGCGAGGAGCTGCACCTGCACCTGCACCTGCACCTGCACGTACTCCAACGACGGCAGGAACCCAGCAGTCAGAGGGAAAGGGCGCCCTGTCCGGCTGTTGTTGCTGTTGCAGCCCGCAGCTGCCGTCATCGGGCACCGCTCGTGAGTCTCTGCGTGTCTGCGTGTCTGCGTCGCTGCGTCTGAATATGCAATTCGCTCCAGCGCCACAATCCAGCAATCCAGTCCAATCTACACAAGCATGCTCCATGAGGCGGCCAGAAGCCCTCTCCCGCCGTCGCCAACCAGCGCGCGTCCTGTTCACTCGCTCCACCCCTCCCCCCATGCCACCGTGCCAGCGCTAGGCCCCAGCACGGCCGTCCCACGAGTCGCCGTCCCCCAGTCGCCCAGGCTGGCTCTGCACAAGCGTGCGCCGCTCAATTGGCCGCGCCCGGCGCACCGGCCACCTCGCTGACTTGCAAAAGCGCGGGCCAGGAATAGAGCATTCTAAAACCACTAGGCTCCTGTTTCACGCAGTCCTCCGACACCTAAAGCTGCCGCTGCCCCCTCGGATTTGCGTTTCGTATCCCCAAAGCCCTAACCTTCACTCTGCACAGTCTGCTCGACGTCGAGACTGCTCACCCCGAGGCAGGCCCTCGATACGTTTATTATCCCATTTAACACATCTGATACCGTCCTGGCTTTTTTCTTTCGCTTTGCGCCGCACCTTTGATTTTCCAATCTGGCAGGTCCCTTTGCGCCCGCACCGCACCCGACTGCACCCACCGCACCCTATTAGTTAGCCCTGCTACGTCTGACGTCCCCAACCCTCCTTCCCAAACACTGTACAGAGGAACGTGTTGCAGCGCAGCATGTATCCTAACGCCCACCATGCCCAGATGCCGCCGCCCCAGGCACGCTCTGTCGCACCCGAGACTTTTCTATTAGATCAGGACGCTCAGCAAAGCCTGCCGCCAGACAGCGTCGTCGCTCTCCAGCAAGTCGACAACCGTATGTCCCTGCGCATGACCTGATTTGCATTGTTGGCTAACCATGTTGCAGTCAAATATTTCCTCATCTCAGCGCCAGTAGACTGGCAACCAGACCAGTACATTCGCAGGTTTCTCCTGCCAACTGGCGAATATGTTTCTTGCGTTCTATGGTAAGCTCAACGTCTCGTTGCAATTGTGATTCGTCACTAATCCGCCCAGGAACAACCTTTTTCACATTTCCGGAACAGACATCGTGCGATGCCTCTCCTTCAGATTCCAGGCCTTTGGCCGCCCTGTCAAGAACTCGAAGAAGTTCGAGGAGGGCATCTTCTCAGACCTGCGCAACCTGAAATCCGGTACAGATGCGTCGCTTGAGGAGCCCAAGAGCGCTTTCCTTGACTTCCTGTACAAGAACAACTGCATCCGAACACAAAAGAAGCAGAAGGTCTTCTACTGGTACAGTGTTCCCCATGACCGGTTGTTCCTCGATGCTCTCGAGCGCGATCTCAAGCGCGAGAAGATGGGCCAAGAAGCGACCACCATGGCCGTGAGCGAGCCCGCTTTGTCCTTCGAGTTTGACTCTTCACAATCACTCTTCGAGCAGCTCACCAAGGCGCAACAAACAAACTCATCGTCATTCAACAACAACGTGCAGTCATACTCGCAAAGCACATCGCCAGACATGCGCGGAATGGAGGGCTCAATGCCCCCACCAAACATGGTCCCAGTTCCTCAGCCCATGCCTCACGATGCAGCAAATGCCTCAGATGCCCCAGCAGGTGCATGAGGACCCTATGGCTCAGTACCACCAGCAAATGTCGATGCCGCCATCAATGCAGAACACCATCGTCAAGAGCAGAGAGCAGCGCGAGTTCAGCGCACAGATGCAGTACGACCGCAACGGCATTCCCTTGTCGCAAGTGCACCAGCGCCACAGCTCCATGCCCGCCTACATGGAGTACTCTCCTGCGCCTTCATTCGTATCATCACATTACGAAGACTACAGCACTCGCGGCATGTCTTTTGAGCCTTTGACCCCTCCTCAGCACCAAATCAGCCTCGGACCTGAGCCTGCATACATTGCCAATGAGGACACTGGCCTGTACAGCGCCATTCCTGACCTTCCAATGCCAAACAACTTCAACCCATTGATGAACATTCCTCCATCGAACCTGATGGGTCCCGGCTTCTCCGGTGTCTCCAGGCCGTTCGCGCCTGGCAACGTCTACTCGGTCATCGAGGGCTCGCCCACTTACAAGCAACGGAGAAGGCGGTCGTCGCTCTCTGCTGCAGGTATTGCCGCCGCAGTCAGTGCATCCGGTAACGCCCACCAAGTTCACCGTCCCAGTGAGCTGAGGCGATCCATGTCGAGCTCTGTCGTCCCTGTGCCCGAGGCCGATGAGTCGACCCACAACTCCCCCAACAGTGCCAATGGCGCAAGCTACGCCCAGGTGATGCCAGACTCGAAGCCTCTTGTCGACATTTCACGGCAAGGTACTCCCCTGCACACCGTTGAGGAGAGCCCAGAGCCTCAGCACGCTATGCTGCACAACGACGATCTCAACAGCATGGTCAACGGTGAGCTGTTCGAGGCCCCTCTCCAGCACAGCGCTCTTGCGCGAACGGCAGGTGCTGCTCCCGTCTACCGACGCGCCCGCAGTGCCACCATGATGGAAATTGGCCCGTACCCGCAGAAGTCGCACTCCTGCCCAATCCCCACCTGTGGTAGGCTCTTCAAGAGATTAGAGCACCTCAAGAGGTAAGCGCCCGCAATTTCCCCACGTTATCCTCGTTGTTGAGCAACGGTTGGATGCTATTTTCGTTTTTCGGATAGACGCTGACTGGGCGCTTAGACACGTGCGCACCCACACACAAGAACGTCCATACGTTTGCCCGTTGTGCAACAAGGCCTTTTCGCGCTCCGACAACCTTGCTCAGTAAGTCACAACGTTTATCCTCCAACCAATTCTAGCATGCTAACAGCACATCAGACATCGTCGCACACACGAGCCTCGTGCCGATGGTGAGCCGCTCAGCGACTTCCAAGAAGATGACCTTGAAGGCGAGGAGGACCACCTCCATTCGCTTGAGGAAGACTCTCCCGAATCTGGCAACGATTACCTGTCGCTGTCCCACCACGGTGGTTTAAGCGACATGCCAGGACCGGTAATCGGAATGACCTCGATGGCGCCACCGCAACAGCTCATGGCTGGCAGCCACTACTGAGCACTGACTGGCCTCACACCTGCCACATATCTGACGCCGTCACACGACGTGAAATGAGCACTCGGCGCTTGCATCTAGACGGTCTTGTTTCCTTTTTCTTGTTCGACTCTTCTATGTGGATCCGTTTAATCTCTTAGACCGATCTGTCTCCTGCTTCTTTCTTTTTCGGGCATCGGTTTATGATGTCTTGCATTGCATTGCATGCTTTTTTTCTACTTTCTCCCTTCGCACTTTACGCGGTCGCTAGGGGGGTGGAAATATTTGGGATTACCGGTTTTGGCGGGGGCGGACACCGCATCACGACCCACGAACACGACGTTTCCTATCTCTCGCACTTTTGTTTCCTTTTGCTATTTTCCCCCATTGCCTTGAGCACAACAACACCCCCAGTCTCTTCTCGCATTGCGGAAAAGCTTTTACCATTCTGGAGCTCCTGTCATGGGGACCAGTACGCGCGCGCGTGTGTGCCTTTCTACGGATCGGCGCCCCTCCTTTTTGTGTATCTCACGTCCAAGAAAGGAAGACGGAGTGCATTTTGGCGAGGGAAAAAGTCGTCTGTTGATGGACGGACGGGCTTTTTGTGTATAATTATATTTTTGAACAGTTGAAAACAATTCACCACGCTTACATGCGCAATTTTTATCGGTGTTTGGCTTGATGAGTGATGTTTCTGGCACGTTCATCGTTTCTCTGTGCTTTGTGTGTCTACTGGTCCTTTGCTGAACTCAAGCACCTGTGCTCATTCACTGTTTGCCCTGTCCTCGGGTCGGGCACATCACGTTCACCTTCCTGACTCCTACTCAGACGTATCCTACACAGCCTAGATAAATCTCTGTCGGTACTTAGCCTGAACACACTCATTCCACCGCTGCTCCATGCCCTCTCTCGCATGTGGCGTGTTTCACCCCGCCTGTTCGTCAGGAGTGTAGTCATGTTTCGCGGAAAATACGGGTATTTGCTGGGTGTTTGGGTGCTTGGGGGTGGCGTAGATGTTATTCCGGATGCTGGGGAAACAGGTGTGCGGGTGCGGGGTCTGCATCTGCGTTTCGGGGGCTTGGATGGTTGGGTGTAGAGAGGAGGTATAGGAGGGTGTTATGAGGGTGTCAATGGAGTTTGGGAGGTATGGAGAGTACAATGGAAGGATTTGGTTTTAATTCAGGGATTAAATGAGGGGAGCACGCAGAGTGTGGGATTGGCGAAATTCGTTTGGTAATGAAGAGATCGCATGTGCGACCGGTCTTGACTTCGAGATAATAACGTCTGGTGGGATTTTGAGATGGGGTTAAGATGTTGTGGTGCAGATTCCAAGGTAGGAAGTGGTGGTTTGAAGAGCTTGCCATCTCTGTAGAATATTGCCACGGCAAGAACTATAACGACTAGGCTATTTGATTGGCGTGGCGCATCAGAGAATAATGGTGTGGGTACGTCAATGCCACGTTAATGCCACGTACGAGGAGTAACAAACTGTGCTCGGTGAACACTCAGCTTGCAGGAATTATACCCAAGGCTTTGACACAGTGAGAGGCAGTAGGTATCACATCACTTATAGTTAGAACTCGATAATGTATCTGAAAGCTTCAGTTATTACATTATCAAGTAAAGATCCCAGAACGATCACGGATTATTGCTAGGCTAGGTGCTGGACAGTTAATGTATGATCTCATTCTACAGAACATTGACATGGTAATTACTGAAGAAACAATCACCCTTACTTCGTGCCCTCGTCGATGCTATCGGAAGTAGAAATGCTACTGTTGATAAAAAGGGTAAACATAACCTACGTCGCACTCTATCTTATGTCGTCACTGCGCTTCTCGAATCAACCCGACTCATCTTCACAGAATCATCCGTAAGCCCACTTCGCCAGGCCCACCCCGCCTCTCGAATGCGAGTTCGATTTCCGCCACGCCTCACGCTTCTTCCACACCAGCATCGGCAAATCTGAGGGTAGCGGGCGGTTGGCGGGATCTGAGCGCAGACATCTCTTTAGCAAATCTCTCAAGCCATCATCCCTGTAGCACCGTGGTAGCGGATGGTCCCCATCAAATGGCCTCCCCATGTTCGGCTCCTGACGCATTCGCGCAAGGCAATGAACCGTAAGCGACATCTGATATACATCGCTGCGACAGCAAAACTGTGGTGCCTCAGGGACCTCAAAGCCCGGCGTCCCACCACTGTTCTCCTTGCCGCACGCCCTCCCAAGAGCGATGTCTTTGAGTGACGTAGACAGGCCAAAGTCTCCCAGTACGACGACGGGCCAGTACCGGTCTGGCTGTGATTTGTCTTTTGTCGTGAGGAAGAGATTACCTGGCTTGATGTCCCGGTGTATAATTCGATTCCAGCCGTATTTGGTTGAAACAACTTGCTGTGATTGCGCGCATTGACGGATATAATCATTGCTGCGCCCAGTGTACAAGTGGCATAGTGCTGACGACATGTCCCAGGTCAGTTTCCAAAGAAAACCCTCGTCGGGCAGAAACGACTTGTGTGCAGTGTACTGTTTGATCAAGCCGCTGATATCACCCAGCTCACAATACTGCATGAAGATGCTACCGTAGCCAATCCTGCGATAGTCAGAGAAGTCTTCGGCTCGATACTGAACGATGTTGAAGTGGTTTTGGCACTGCAGCATGGGGCGGAGCTCGCGATCTGCGAGGCCTTTGTCACAATCTTTCTTCGCGATGCGCTTCTCGATGTACAACGTACCGCTGCCTTTACTCTTAACGAGGAGAATTTCAAGATTCATACCGCCACTCTTGCCACTAGAGAGTGGTTGAATGGTTGAGAAGTCCGAGCGTCGACTCATGGTGTTTAAGTTAGGGTTGTAAGTTCAGATGAAAGGGCGCAGTGGGCAAGAAGAACTGCAAAAGATATAGCCCTCGTCCTATGCGATTCTTGGTTACCCAAGCGATGATCGAATCCTCACACCAACTTATTGTCGCTTGATTGACGATAGAGAGTTGCGATCAGCTGGATATCTGGTTGGAGTGGTTGTTGTGGATCTTGTGAGAGAGGGAAAAGGCGAATAATAGAATTTATCGCAGATGGCCCAGTGAAATGGGAAGAGACAGAGAAACGCGAGTATGATCATTGTGCCGGCACGTGCTACATTTCGAAAGTTGAACTTTTGATTTATCAGTCAACGTATGTCCATATGCAAAATTACACGCAGAACCAGCCCGAACACTTACATAATCTTTGGGAGATCACAATGTAATAACGATATTTCCATTGGCTTTCCCTTATCCTCGCCAGAATCACAAGGCAGCCATCAAGTTCTAGCAATGTGTCACATTTAGCATAGGTACGAAATACTTGGAACAAATTCGTAGTGAGAATCCAAAAGGTGTCAAATTACTATCAACTACGCACCTTCTCTAGCGACTAAGTTGCGGACCCTGCGCTGACTTAATCCACTTCCCAATTCCATCATAATCCTCAATCCTCCCGCCCATCTCTCGCACAACCCATATCTTGAGATTCTGAAAAGCGTACCAATCATCAGTGTCATGGATCGGCTCACCTTCAGCTTTACGCGGTGACCACGCCCAATCTCCGCCTTTGATAACAATCCCAGATCCAATACGTGCAGTACTATCAAAGTCCCCGAGGACGAACTCATGCGGGCGCGATGAAGAATGCGTCTTCTCCACGAAGATATTGTCTGGCTTGATATCGGTGTGCGAGAGGCCTAAGCTGTGCATGTATAGAATGCCCGCTTCTATCGACTGCAGACAATATCGGACATCGAAGCGCTTGCGTTTCTCTACCATCGCCCAGAGATCGCAGTCATATCGCTTGAAAACGAGTGCGTACACACGCTTCGTATCAAGCTCTATAGTCACCGCCGACCTACCCTTGCCAAACTTTAAGCTGTCTTTGGCAACCACACCGCGATACTTGGCAATGTTTGGATGTGGATGATCGCGGAAAAACTCACAACGTAGCAATCTCGCGCGCTGTCAACTCTGCCGAGAAAGAATCTTTCCCTACAACGTACAAATTCTTCTGACCCTCAGCCACCACGAGCGGATGCTGCTTCTTCTTGAAGATAGCGTCAGACGGCTCACCCTTTCGCCAACGAAAGGGGTGGTACGAAGCCAGAGCTTCTGTGTACATTCTAGTGAGATCGACGCGTACTGGTGCGATGTATCCGGACTTCTGATACCATGTTGATACATCGGTGGTATTGAGGTCATAGGAGTGGATAATGCCTCTCTTGATGGCAACATAGAGCTTTGAATTTGCGGTAGCTAGTACAAATGTTGCAATTTCATGATCATATTCACCGACTGTTGTCTGGACGATTCGCATGTGCGGTGCGGCTTTGCTGGCGTCCTTCATGACGTGGATGCGGAAGTGGTCGAACATCTTGCAGAGAAGCTTTTAGCCTGACAAATGATGAGATTCGAATGGTTGCGACTAGCTTTATCCTGTATGCCAGATTGTATTCAGAGGGACTGACATGAAATAGGCGGTCATTTGCACTGTGCTATCATCGTGAATGTACAAGGTCGTGTGCGGTCACTTTTACTTTGATCTGGTTTACAAAAGGAGCTGTAAACGTATCATCGACCCATGCTAGTGAAATGAAGAGCAGTTTTGTATCACAACCCTACGTGGGCCTCACTCCTACAGGGCATTGTGCAATGCGCACAGCCTGCTTTGTGAATGTACTTCCGCTAGGTCCCCTTTGGATACTTCCATGTGTGTTCACTTTGCTGTATACTCCCGTTAGAACTATGTCGTATGCAGAATTTCCTATAGGTTGTGCTTGATTTCCCCATCCTTTGCTCAACTCATCTGTTGCAGTCAAACAAGACCGCCAACATCACCATGACCGCCAAAATCAACCCTCAATCTGTGCCGCGGTTCAACGCGTCTACTATGACCATAGCACCTCTTGAGTCCGGCAGTTACGAGAAGAAGGCCAGCCATGAGTCGCGAGATTTGACGCTGAGAGAAATTCAAACCTGCGGGGTATTGCAGGAGTGTCCACATCCGAACATTTGTGGCTACCGTGGTGTAGTTGTCAACAATGGTTTGGTGACCGCACTGATGTTCGATCGCTACGACATGAACCTTCGCGAATTTCTCTACAGTCAGAGGTCAAACAACATGGATATCCCAAAATGTATTCAGGAGATCAAGAATGGCATCGACCACATACATTCCCTGGGGTTGGTGCATTGCGACATCAAGCCAGACAATATCTTCGTCCACTTAGCAAGCGCGCGATTTGTCGTTGGGGACTTCGACTCTGTCCATCGAGAAGGCCAGCGACTGACTCTCAAAACTGGCACAGAAGGATGGGCACCTCTCGAAGCAGACACAAACGATTTAGCGCGGCGTGAAATCGACATCTACGGCCTAAAAATGATTCAGGCGTGGTTGGAGAGGAAATTGGAGTACGGGAACGATCCGCAAATCACTAGCGATGAAGAACCTTATTGGACGACTACCATTCTTGGAGAAGCACGAGAGGAATTGCTCCGGGAAGGAAACAACGAATACGCTCAAAATTCGACTGGAGAGGAGGAGTCTAGATTCGACGAGATGGATACATCCTGGTAGCAGTACATTGTGAGAATAATAATCATGTTCTAGTTGAGACTATACACCTTAGTGATGCGTCGAAAGGGCTGCCTGACTTCCACCAAAGATAAACGTTCAATTCCTATTTTCACACTCAAGCTCTTTCACTGCTTAATATCTAGTGCAAGAAAAAAACCCCATTTTCGAACCTTGCCCCCTTCTCCTCCACCACGCCAACCACTCAACCATCGCCTAATATACCGGCGCTATCAAATGTTCAACAACCGGCCCACCGCCATGATTCCCGCCAAAAGTCCACGCCTTACAATGACCGGCTGTACAATCCGCGGCGGACTGACCCGCGCCCTCTTCAGCTCCGTGACCGGCGAGCGCTGGTTTGCAGAAACTAAACACCCCCTCGAACGAGGCCAGCGCTCCGATCCCTGGAAATGGGACACACCACCACGTGTCATTAACCTCGGGCGCATATACCCAACCTACATTCCCTCCATCATGACGGTAGCAATCCGCGAGGGCGCCTCGTACCTCAAAGAGGTCGACTTGCAGAAGCTTGGTGCGCGATTGTTTGCTGGCGCGCCCCCCGCTGAAATCACGTTGCGAGAGATCATAGTGTGCGAGATGCTGCGGAAGAATTCGCATCCGAGTCTCTGCGCGTATCGCGGCGTTGTGGTGAATGAGCAGGGTCTGGTGTCTGGTCTGGTGTTCGAGCGGTATGACTGTACTTTGATGCAGCTTGTACGCGGACATCAACAATTCGACGCGAAAGAGTGCTTTCGCGCTGTGGAGAGTGGGGCCAAGCATTTACATGCGCTTGGGTATATTCATTACGATCTGAAGCCTGTGAGTCAACTCCGTGGAGAAAATGGGGCGCTGAATTGTGACTGACATACGGATTTCTAGGAAAACATATTCTACGACATGCGTAGCAAACGCTTCGTCCTGGGCGATTTCGACGCTGTTCAGAAGATTGGCGTGCGTCTGCACCTCAAGCATGGTGCCATGGGCTTCATACCTGAATACACAAGGACTGATCTAGCTCGTGTTGAGTGCGACTGGTATGGGCTTGAAGTGCTGAAATTCTGGCTGGAGAAGAAAGGTAATGGCAAAGCACGCAGATTTGATATGCTACCATCAACCACCGAGATCCTAGAAGAGGTAACCAAGGTGATGCAAGAGCGCTATGCTCAAAATTGAACTGTTAAGGCTGGATGGAGATCTTTGTAGATACAAAGCGCGATAACTGGAGCTAGAAAGTCAGCAGCTACTCGAACATGAAAAAAGATACGAAATGAAGTACTGAACAAGTAAACCTGATTCTAATAACAAAAATCATGGCGTCGTCCATTCAAATCGCAGTCTTGACATGTAAATCTCATTGTCGAACATTTCTGTCTCGTGCTAACTCTCCTCTAATAACAAGAAATGTATATTGGTTAGGTCATGAATATGGTCGTTAATCTGCGTGGTCTTTTACACTCTCATTCTCGCTAGCCGTTGAAAACGAATAGTTTCCACGGTGCCCGTGTTCGCTCATCTCATACTGGCGCCAAAATTGGACTTCCACTTCCTTGTGTCACGAGATGTGCCGCATAAATCGCTACCGTAGATCGGTTTGCTGGTGGCTATCGTTTCAGTACGCTTGACATTATCCCAACGTTGCCCGTCCTTCGCTTATCTCGAAAGTCCCGCCCCTATTCACCCTTCGCCATCTTGCTTCAAGCACTTGATGAGAAGCTTGATTAACAAGTTGCGATCGACCGGCTTTGCAATATATCCATTCATACCCTTTGCGATATAGGTATCAGCCTGCCCTTTCAATGCATTCGCAGTCATTGCTACTATCGGTGTCGCCACGCCCTTTTCTCGAAGCTCTTTCGTGGCTGATACGCCATCTTGAACAGGCATGTTGACGTCCATGAGTATTAGGTCATAGGGTGATGGGTCATGAGCCGCCTTGGAAACAGCTTCCTTTCCGTCCTTCGCAGTGTCGAGACTTCCAAATCCAAGTCCCTCCAACATGCGCAGCATCACTTTGCGATTAATGAAGTTATCCTCGGCGAGGAGTATTCGCTTTCCAACAGCAGCTTCTTTCATTTGCTGCATGGGATCAACCAGTGAAGCCGTGGAAGTTTTCAGGGCCTCCAGTCCTTCAGCGAGATCAATGACGCTCGTTTGCTTGCACTTCTTCAGCTTGGCGGTGAACCAGAAGACACTGCCGCGGCCTTCGGGATTCGGGAAATAGCCAATACTCCCACCCATGAGCTCAGCAAGGCTTTTACATATACTCAGCCCCAGCCCTGTGCCTTTGAATCTTTTGGTGGTAGAGTTGTCGAATTGTAGAAATGGGGTAAATAGTTTGTCGGAAGAGTCTTGCGGAACACCAATGCCTGTATCGATGACCTCGGACATTATGATGAAGTGATCATCTTCTTCTTTATGCAGCTTCGCAACGATGCGGACGTAGCCTTCTTCGGTGAATTTGGTGGCGTTGCTAAGGAAGTTCTGGATAATCTGACGATACCGGAGGCTATCTCCCTCAGCTGACTTCGGTAATCTCGGGTCGAGCAAGATTTCGAGCTTTACTTCTGGCTTGTAAAGCTTGAGATGTGCGCGAAAAACCGACTGTACAATGTCGGTGACACTAATGATATCGTGACTGACAGAGAAGCTTCCGGATGCGAGCTTACTGTAGTCCAGTATGTCGTTGATGACTTGAAGCAAGACATCGCCAGATTCTTGGATGACGTGTGCGAGGTCGAGCTGATCCTCGTCCAGCTTTGTGTCGAGTAACAGTGTCAGAGCTGACAACATTCCATGCATTGGAGTTCTTATCTCATGTGACATGTTGGCAAGGAACTCAGACTTCAGCTTAGAAGCTTCTTCGTAGGCGGATATTAGACTTTGCTCCGCCTTGCGCCTTTCCGTCAAATCTCTTGTAACCTTGGAGAATCCTAAAAGTGTGTCGTCTTTGAATATAGGCGTGATAATAACGTCTGCCCAAAAACGTGTGCCATCTTTGCGGTAGCGCCACCCTTCGTCTTCTACCCGACCGTCTCGCAGTGCATCCCGTAGCTCTCTCTCGGGCTTCCCAGAGTCGCGGTCGTCTTGGCTGTAGAACCGGGAGAAGTGTTTTCCTATAATCTCACTCGGTTGGTATCCTTTGAACGCCTGTGCACCTGCGTTCCATGTGGCAACATTGCCATTCGGGTCGAGCATGAAAATTGCATAGTCCTTGACGGTCTCGACAAGTATGCGGAAGGTCTCGTTCATATACAGGCGCTCTTTCAACTTCAGTTGCTCCCTAAGCTCCTCGGTCGTGTCCAGAAACTCCATTTGAATGTACCGCAGGCTACCATGGCGCGAAATTGGAACAGCACGAACGGTCCAGGACGTCCCTGTATCGGGTAAATGCTTTAACTGTTGCACCTTTAATGTGCTCTGCGCAATTCGAACGGCTTTGTCAGCCGAAGCGTGGGCTGCAAATGTCACCGTGTTTGCGAATAAGTCATTTGCATGTCGCCCTAAGAGGTCTTTCCGATCGCTTGCACCTGACTGTCTTACGTAGCTGTCTGACACCTGGCGGACAGCTAAAGCTGCATCCAGAATGACCGTGGGTATGGGCGAGTATCGTATTAGTTCGTCCCCAAAAATGATGGAATCCGTTCCACCGTCTCCGCCTGGCGCCGGCGCGATGTCGACGGCCCTTGGAGTATGTGACTTGGGCAGTAATGAGCTCAGGGACGCAGCCATTGCGTCGGCAAATGCGCGGCAGCGAGACTAAGCTCTCCTGGATTGCTGGGCAGCAGGGTTAGTGCTGTGGAGAGGATAATCGTACGAGTTGTACATGTCGGAGGAACACTTCCGGGGTGTTGCCAGCTTTTGACCCCATGTGCTCGTTAAGACTCGCAGAAAGGGTTGACACCGCAGGTGCCTCATTGGAGAGGCTGACGTCATTGGAGTCGGATGCGAGATTTGGTGGCTGCGACTCGGCTGTACCATCCATGCGACATTCACACTGCATTTCGTTTCTTGTGTTCAATTCTCTCCCCGAGCTTGGCGCCTCTCCCCGGCTTACACATTTATGATCTAAGCCTAGCCATGCCATTAGCCTCTTGCACAAGTCACAATCTACCAAGTTTTGGGTGGGCTAGTTCATCAGCCTCCAGCAGGAATTTCAGCTCCTAAGGAGTTCTTCAAGTTAGCGCCTCCAAGGTCCAAGTGAGCCTCCACCCACACTACGATATCAAAACCTTGTTCTAGCACGTTCCAATATGCGGGGCAGACAAGTCTCGCCTTTTGCGATATGGCCCGTGACCTGGAACATCTATCTTGAGCACGTACTATTTGCGTCAGCACCTGTTCAAAGCTGTGCGACACGACCGCAACTGGCGAATGAAGTGGGCAACAGTTTCAAGTCGAGATTCCATTGTACTCTCAACGAAACCATGCTTCGGAGGGACGTGGGTTGTCAAAATGCCTAGGGACTCTCTGTGCGGAATTGATAACAAGACATCAGCTCCAGCATGCATGTTTGACCCGGCGCGAACCAATCGATGATACTCCTTGGGACCATGTCTGCGTAACGCGGTCGGCTAGACCCAGCGATGATCAGCTCCATACTGATTGGATAGGTCCTTCCACACACTCGTCACTTTTTGAACGTGGGACATTGACCTCACGCATGTGAGATTGTCTCACGCTCCTCTACCAATTCATTGTGCAACATACCTGAGCATTGAATATGATTTTCCTGGCATCGCTGGGCTGCACTTTTGAGCCGAAACGACGGGCGGAGCCACAAAAACTTTCAACTCAATATGAGCAAAGCATTTCGTCTGTGCGACTGTTCCAAACGTCCACGGGCCCCAGATTACCACACATCAATATTTTCACCATCCGCCAGTCAGCATTTCCGGATTGCAGAAGCTGGACTCAGCCTCTGCCGCTCCAAAATCGACATGTCTGGAGGTTGGCGTATTAGGAGACTCTTTTCTCTTACCTGTGATAGTACGCTCGACGCTTCCCCGATATTGCGGCTACTGTACCAACCCTTAACAATTGCTGATTGCTTTCGGCACCTTGAGTTATACTTCCCTTCATGATGGCATTCTCCTGCTTCTAAACTGACTGAACAGGCTTTGGCGCGCGCTGATCACTTCGCATTAACGTCTCACAAGTCGAGCGCGCAAAAACCTGAGCTCACACCATTCACTCCATGTGAGCACGCCGATATGTCCAAGCACACACGTTCTCCATCGTTAGGAGAACCTCGCAAACGCCGAGGCTCGATTGCTTCACAGGAAAATTCCTCAAGCTTGGAGTCTACAAGTTTGACGACTTCAAACCCTAGCCTCATGCCAGGAAGTCTGCAAGCACCGAGCACGTCCGGAGCTTCTAGTCTAGATGGCAGGTCTAGAAAAACCTCTGAATTGCGACAATCACGGTCGCCGACACCCCGCTTACCATCTGTAACAGCAGACTCACTAGGCAGTCTGTCTGCAGTCGTGATCTGTGCACAAAAAGATATCACTGGCCTTGAAACGCCTCGAACAGCGCCTGTGTCTTCAAACAACGGCACAATTGTAAGGCATCTTGATAATTTTGGAACTTCACTTACCCTAAGGACAGGCGTCTGCACATGTCGTGAATGTCGTCCGGCTCCACGCGCCTGTACCCACGCATTACACGCCAGTAGAATCATTTCCGGTATTCCACACTGGAAGTGTGATCATCCAGTGCAACCTTGTCGACCCGCCCAAGAAGTGGCAGCTTCACGGTGCCATTCTGGAACGCCACTCTTCGTGGTTCAGATATGCGATGCACGTCGCCCCACAGAACCGCGAGCACTTTCACACTTGGTCGTTCTTCTTGCTGGACGAACACGATGGGCAAGTCACTTTAGTGCTTCAGGAAGCCAAATCAGTGACCCATAGCGAAGGCGAAGGACAGTCAATTCTCAGTAGTGAGACTACCCAAGACAGCTCGCTCACCATTATACCCACGCCACCCATGTCCGCGACTCTATCCGCATCATTTGGACGGGATTTGGACCAGACAATCACGAACGAAGCCCATGCCGCCACAGTAGATATGTACGACCAGATCCTCGGCTCATTCTACTCAATCCCACTGCGAATCCCCTCAGACACCATCAGCGCCACCCTCTCAGCCTGCGAATCCCTCGTCAAACTCTCCCACAGCCTCTCCAGCACCGCGCTCATACTCCGCGCAAATCAGCACCGCCCTGCACCAACACCGCCAATCCCTCTACACCGCCATATCCGCGGATCCTGCGCGCTTCCTCCTCCTCGCCATGCTCCTCTGCAACGACGCCATCTTCTCCGAAGCCCTCATCCACATTGCCGGCGCACACCCATGCTGGCCCTGGCCTGCGAAACGCACCTGCCTGCCCGAAGAAATCATACAGCTCGTGGTCCGCAAGTCCGCAGAGCTGGGTCAAATGTGTCTCGAAGCGGAGCGCGATCTCCTCCTCTTGACCATCCACATCGACCGCTTCGGCCCCGTCGAGCCGCAAGTCCACTCTACCTTTCCAACATGGTTCATCGTAGCCACGTTCCGCGACCAATTCGCGCGCACCTTCCACGCGCTCGAAGCAGATCGGCAAGCTTCGCTTAAACGCGGCGCGCTGTTCAGGAAGATACGCAAGGGCGGGGAAGAGTACATGGCGCTGGGCGAGATGCGCAGGTTGATGGCGAGGGTGATGCCGAGTGCGGTGGGGGGCTTGGAGGAGGATTTGGGCATGTTGAAGGAGTGTGCGAGGGGGGTCGTGGAAGATCTCGCGAGAAACGAATTGTGTTTGGATGTGGAGGGGGGCCGGGTCGGGTATTTGACATGTGTGAAGGTTGGGAGGGAGGATGTTCCTTGGCGGGCGGGAGGGAAGGGGCTGGACTGATGAGATTGCTGGTGTTGGCTTTTGTATAGTAGTTGTAGGTTGGGAATGCTTGTATGTTCTTTTGATAGGGTACCATATTTTGATTTGTGTCTACTGTCAGCTATATGAGAAGCGTATAGTAGGGGTATCATTCTTGACCAAGGAGATTCATCCGTCTAACCACCTCTACCTCCGTGAAGTTGAGCCGAAGCCCGTACTCTCATGTCTTGTGCTCGAGAAGCTCGATGAGCCCGAAGAAGGCCTCGAGCTTCCCTCGCCTCCGTTGTCCCATGAGCTTCCACCTCCATTATTCCACCTGCTACCGCCGCCTGTTTGGTTGCCTCGATTTGCCCAGCGATTGGCCGCCCACGTAGCCGCAGCTCCACCAGCAGCACCGGACCAGAAGCCTGGCCGCCATTGTTGCTGTGGTTGCGCCGTGCCATAGCCAGGTTTTGTGCCAGGCCTTGAGTCGTAGTATGGCGGTGGTGGGTCGTCATAGCCGTCGTTGTCGTTACCTCCGCCCCAACCTCCACCTCCGCCTCCACCGCCCCAGCCTGGCCGGTTACCGCCAGCTGCACCAGGTCCCTGGGCCCGAGCGATGAATGCAGAGTATATTATCCAGCCCGCGACACCAATGAATGCCATCCAGAACAACGCCGCAGCGACCTGTTGACCGAACGTGTTAGGCCCATGGCTACCACTTTCATCGTCGTCGCCGCCCCACCAGCCTCCATTGCCTTTGCCAAACTTCTCGTGGCCCTTTTCGGTGAGGACGAGTCGGTATTCTACACCACAGCTCCCCTTCAAGATATACGGGTCCTCGGGGTAGTCGTAGCCCTCGCAGATGACGTCGGTGGAGCCGAGCTTGAACTCCTCGGGGAGGGAGGCGGTGCATGTCCATTGAATATTGTTCTCGTCGTAGTCGGCGCCAGCGTTCTTGCAGCGCATGACGTCGATTTCATAGTGGCCGCGTCCGGAGCCGCCAATACATTTGAGCTGTCGCGTGTGAGCTTGTGACCTGTGTAGAGCAGCGGCGTTACACGTACCTGTGGAATCGAGCTGACACGCCTATGTGAGGTTTCCAGGTCTTTCCGTAGCGTGAGGCTTTGTACATTAGACAGCTTGACCTTTGAGCCTGAACGCAGAGCGTCTGCGCCACTCGCGGCGAGCAGCGCAGGGTATAGGAAGGTGCGGAGATGCATGTTGCAGAGAGAAGTGTTCCAAGCGTGTGCGAGGGTATCTCTATAGCTGTAGATGCTGATGGCGAGACATGTGAAAGGACACAGTAAGGTAAGTGTTTGTCCGAGGCAGCGATTCCAGACCCTTCTAACAACTGTGAAGGCGGGTGTTGCGTCACTCGCCAGGAACGCGGCTGCGCTAAGCTATGTTGGATTTGGTCTGGATATACGTCCGAACATCACGCGCGAGGGATGTGAATGCTCACTTTAACCATGAAACAACGTATAACATATGTGTTGAAGGACCCTGATGCTTTCACTCCCGATCTGCTGGAGCTCAAGAAAGATGGCTCAAAAGACAGCTTCATAATCAACGGCGTGCAAGCAGCTAAAGAACACCGTATCACTCTAGGGCTAGATGAGCTGCCTAGTGAGGTTTGTCTTATTCCCTCGATGTTCTTACATTTGTGATGCAGCATGCTGACTTCTCGTAGCTCGGCGCTGCTCTACAACAATGGCATGAACTCCACCTTCGATGGGCGTCTCCCACGCACTACTCGTCCACACCACCGTTCACATCACGTGTCTCGCCTGGTCTACATGTCCTGTTCACCCCTCTCAAATCGACTCCTGAAGAAGCATTATGCGAGCAGTTACATGCCTTCGTAAATGCTGGGCTGAACTGCACTTCTACCAGCGAGAGCTCGATCAAGCTCCCTGTTCTGTCGGAGCGCTTCACCATGTCTGCATCTTCTCAGTACTATGCCTATCTATCATCGATTCGAGAGGTAGCCACGGTCCTAGGGCAGAAGTTCTGTAAATCAAAGGGCGAGGAATGCCTCCACCAAGCGCTCAGTTTATCTACTGCTACGTACCTGGACATCGACTACGATACAATTACTCGCGCCCTCGTCATAAATGCCGGATGGCCGTCCGCTCCAAGCGAAAAAGGATGGACAGAAACCATATCTCGAAAAAGGGCCGACGCAACCATTGAAATCGGCGTCCTGATCCACGAGCCCAATCCCGACCCCGAGGACATTCAATTCGGCGGGTTTCTCGCCGTCCTAGGCCAAGACACATCACCCAGTAAGCCTCTCCAGAACCCATACCCAGCGTCCCAACCAACCCAGTCCTAACCACCCACAGAACCAACCCGATTCCAAACCCCCACACGGCACTACCCCCTCCTCTCATCCTCCTCCTCCCCCCTCCCCCAACCACACCCCCTAACCTTCACCACCACCTTCAACTCCCCCACAGGCCTACACCCAACCCTCACCCTGTCCTTCCTCTACCACACACCTCACCGCTCCGAACCCCACCCTGCAAACTCCACACGCACCTAACCCTCCCCTTCTTACCTATTGCATCGACAAATACCAATTCCACCGACCCCTCTCTTCCTCGCCTCGAAAAAACCTGAAAAAGCCTGCCACAGTCTAAGCTGGGCAATACCGACCTCCAGGCCCCTCGATTGGGGTCGTGAGGCGAGTGGGGAAGCACCCCGCTGTTTTAAACTCGACGTGCCAAGTTTCTTCGTCTATTGAGACTGCGCACCAACGTCTCCATCCCCTTGCACTTGCGCTAACATGCCCGCCTCGCCCGCCCTCCAACACTCTGCATGGCTCGTTCTCCTGGGCCCGTCGTCTTTCTGGGCCGTGCACCAGCGGAACGAAGGGGGCCAAAAACGGGCCGCCCAAATCCGATCGCATCCCCGTTTCATCCTGGGGGTATGAAGCGCTGTTCGGGCCGAAGACGCGGTTCATGCATGTTGAGCCGGCAAAGGGGGACTTGGTGGCGTGGATCGATGTGCCCGGTGCTGGATCTGGGGAGGACGGGGTGGGTGGAGGTGGGGACTGTGGGGACGGCTGTGTGTGCGTTTTTGGGGCTGTGTTGGGTTTTGTTTGGGAGGGGAGGGAGGGGGGAGAAGACGGAAGAAGCAACAGTAAATTAGAAGGGATTTTGGGTGGGTTTAGAATTCAATTCTTGCTATGGGTATCTCATGCTATTGCGCCTCCTCCGTGTGCGCTGTTTGCCTGTCTCTGCATCTTCGTTCATGCAGGTTGTCGACTAACTATTTCTCGTCGTCTCTACTGTTCTCATCGTCGATGATGCTTGACTTTTGGCTTTCGCAGCGCCTGTCCTGCGCTCGACTAGGCGTATGTAGTCTCAGCTCAAAGGTCCCGCGATCAAGGAACTTCCTGGTGCGCTTGGCATGATGGGCAATGGCGTATCAGGGAAGATAGGATGCAGTGGGTAGATTGGGCCCGCACTCTCTTCTCCATCAAACAGCATCAGGTTCTGGATCGGCTGCTCACGGTTACCCAGCACGTTGATGACATCCTGCGCGAGTTGTCCGCCCAGGAAAGCGGTGACAGGCGCCAGCTCGCTTCCAATGTTGCCTAAGAAGCTCTTCAAGAATTCGCCGGACAGTGTGCTCTCAGGCAGCATTAGCTCCCTGTGCTTCTCCTTGACCAACGTCGCAAAGATCTTCAGGTTCTCTTCTGAAGCCGGGTGCGCCGGATTTATGCCTTTACCGTCGCGCTGGTACTCCCAGAGTGCTCGTACGCAGGTGAGAAGCGGGTGGACCTTCTTCACCTTCCTTCGATCCTTGGCGATCTCCGGTGGCAGCGGCGAATCCTTGGCCAGCATCATGGGGCTGTACAGCTCCTCTTTGGTGACCAGCTCAATAGCCTTGCCGTTCTCGCGCTTCGTCTGTGTGCCAGTAATGCGCCTCGTTGTGGTCTCGGTCACTAACTCGGTCTTCCTATTCAGGTCGCGCTCGATGACGAAGCTGTGGTTTATGAGGTCGGCGAAGATGTAGCCGTACATGCCGTGTGATGCGCCTGCATAGAAAGCTTTCTGGCACAACCGCGTGCCTGCATTGATTGCGGTGAAGGACAGGAAATCGAGGTCGGTGGCGATGATGATATCGTAGGCGGCATAGAAGCTTAGCTCAGGCTCGTTGCGGATATCGCGGGAGATGACGTTGACTTTGACGCGTGGGTTGAGCTTCTGTACTTGGGGAGCTGCTGCTTCGGCGCGCTGTATGTCTTAGCATGGTCATGCGCAAGGTGCTCTGGGGCTGATGTACATTCTTGCCTACGTCGGCATCGCTGACGAAGAATTGCGCGCCGAGGTCTTCCTCGGTGACAACTTCATGGTCTGCGAGCGTGATGGATCCGATGCCCGCGAGGACGAGGTTCTTGGCAATCTCGTTGGCGAGGGCCTTGATGGAGACGAGCAGGATGTTGGCGGTGCGAATTCTAGGCGCGTTAATTGTGATTCGAGGTGCGCTGCGAGCGTCTTACTTCTCTTGCGCTTGAACACCCCAGAGGCGGATCTGTCGGTCGTACAGGGCGATCTCATCCGCAGAGATCTTGTCGGCTTCGGCCATGGCAGCTACCGTCTGTCCAGCTGCATCGTCCGCAGGGAAGGTGCCATTGGCGACTGGCGCCGAGGAAGGCGCGGCCATGTTTCGATGTGTGTTCGTTGGTGATGGCGTGCTGCAAGTACCTCACTTCGAGCTGGGCGTGGAGAGGCAAGTCCACAGCGCGTCGCAAAAATGAGGCTGAAGTCGATGTGCCGATCGCAGCTGCAGGCGCAACTCTCGGTGACTTTGACTTGATCAGCACCAGGTAAAGGCAGTTAGATCGGTGACGAAATTAGTCTGGTACCTGCGGCTCTGCTGGGCCCGTGACACGCTTCCCCACGCTGCACGAGAGAAAGTGGGGCGACATGACAGGGCTCTCGACGCTCTCCTCAGCCTTCACGCCAGCGCCTCTCTTTACCTTCACCGGATACACACCGCCTTGTCCATATCCACTTCACACTGACCTAGGGAGACCACTGAAGACCGCCCGTCTTAATGTGAGCGGCACCAACGTCATTCAATGCCCAGACCGCCCGCTTCCCCGACACCTCCGCCGATAAGCTTCCCCTTCACCGCCGGAAACTTTGACTATCCTCATGCATCTACCTCGCCGTCTTCGTCTTCTCGCCTGAGAACCAGCGAGTTCATAAGGCGCGCGCCGCCCTCGCTCTCCCACAGGCCTGACCAGGACTCCTCGGACCACCATGTCGCACCCGCTCGCCGACCGCCGCCCCGCCGCCTGCTCCAGTCAGGACGGCGTGGCACCATGCACAGGCTCTTCGGCCCTCCCCGCGATAGCGACCCACCAGACAACCTTTCCAGAAGACCAACTACCGCGAACCCCAACCGTCCCCGGGCCACGCCCAGTGAACGCTACCTCCGCCGCTCCTCCGCACGCATACGTGAAGCGCGCGCTGACATGGAATCCGCCGCCGACCTGCTAGACTCTCTCAGCGACATACCGCTCAACAATCCCTTCACCTTCCACAACACCAATGCGCGCGCACGCAGCCCCATCGTCGAGGTTGCGGCTGACCGCAGGCAGACAAAGCGACGGAAGCTCGACCACAACGCTGGCCTCAAGTCTGAGTACGACGGATTCAAGTACGGCTACAAAGGGCAGGTAGTGCCTGGTCGTCTCAAGATGGAGATCCTCAGCTGCGATGGCGGTGAATATTTCGACAAGGACCACCCGATCGGCCTTCACAACGTCCGGAATGTTCTCAAGAATGACAGCAGCGTGTACTGCAGCGAAAGTTCAAGATGCAATCTCTTGCTGAAGCACATTGGCGATGCTCCATTCACCTTGGAAAAAATTGTCATTCGAGCTCCGGATCGGGGTTTCACAGCTCCGTATGTACCTCGCCTGTTGTGAGAACAAGATGCTAATACTTCCTCAGTGTACAAGAAGGACTGATATTTGTATCCATGTCCGCGGATGAACTGTTGTCAAGCACGGCAGGCTATGATTTGCAGTACTCGGCACGTTCCCCAGTCATGTCAGCTACGCCCACTTCTTCTGCAGACGACGAGGACATCTCACTAAGGGAAGCAATCGAGGACCCACATGTGTGGCAGCACTCTCGTCGTGGCGCTCAAGAGGAGATGGAGGAACGCATTGAGAATCTGCGCCTGCGCACCAGCCGAACGAGCAGACAGTCATGGATACCTCCAAGATCTGACCGCAGACACACACAGCGCCAGCAAGAAGACGATGTATATGGTGACAACTGTGACCATATCGCGGATGACTCAAGGTCTGGGATCATCAGATTGTCTGCACCCACTCCCCCGCCCTTCACTGTGACGGCTGCGAGTGAAGCGGAGGAATCTGACTCGAACGAAGAGACGCCCAGTGCTGCCGTCATGGCCGATCTGATGCGAAGAGAGACTCTCTGGCGCGCCGAAACTGATGAAGACGACGATGAGATCACTTCTCGTTTCGGTGGACTTCGTCGGGCGCCCCCTCTCGACTACACCACATATAGTGAATGGCGAGCGAGGCGAGAGCGGCATATCGAACCCATTCGAGCTACCCGAGTCGGGGCACCAAGCCGGATTGAACTATCCCAGCCTCTACCCGAGGATGACAACCTGATACCCCCTCATGCGAGGTTCTTCATCGCCAAGAACAAGAGCAAGATAACCATCAGGTTCCATCCAGCCATGTAAGTCACCATTTCTCTATGCCTTGGCTCCGCTGACCCGGTGTAGTTCTGGAAGGAATATCTTGCTCAAGCTTTGGAGTCCCACGCATGATGGCAACATTGACATCGAGAGTGTGCAGTTCTACGGCTACTCTGGGCCACGATTCTTTCCGGCGATACAGCTTTGCTGAGAATGAGCGACAGGGAGATCTCCTGATTTCAAGCTACGACTTATGAGTAATGATACTATGGCGGCACCAAGTGCGCAGTCTTGCAACGATAGTCTTAGCAGCGCACTGGCAGTAATACTACGTGTACCAATGAATTCTTCGTTGCACGAGTAGATCAATGCTTCACAAGAATCAATGTCTCCCAGACCCTCGATTACCATGTCACATAGCATTTGTCTCCCACATCCTCACCAAAAAGCACGGTGGGTCTCAAAATGACGTCGGCGCTTGGCATCCAAAAAAGTTCCGGCGCTCGGAACTGTGCGAACGTCAACACTCACAATGCGCACGATAGCACGCAGTATACAGCCTCTATGCGCGCCATTTCTACATCCAAAGCATACCACGAGGACACAGTTTGCAAACTCAGTACAGAGGCCTACATGCACGCGATCTTTCCACGCGTCTGCGAACTTGCGTGTTGTCGATCTCGCATACAGTCTCCACGATGAAAAAGGCACCGCGAAAGGAGACCCAATCGTGATCATCCATGGGCTTTTTGGCAGCAAAAAGAATAACAGAAGCGTCAGCAAGTACGTGTGACAACACCAGAATGCAATCCAAAAGCTAACAATCCTCCCCAGTGCTCTAGCCCGAGCTCTCGACCGTCCTGTCTATGCCATCGACACACGCAACCACGGCGACTCCCCGCACGACAAAGTCCACAACTACACCGCCATCGCCGACGACGTCGAAGCCTTTTTGCAAAAGCACAATCTCAAAGATGCAACCCTCATCGGCCACTCTATGGGCGCAAAGACGGTCATGACTATGGCCCTCCGCAACCCAGATTGCTGCGCAAACATCATCCCCGTCGACAACGCGCCCGTCGACGCCGCTCTGTCCAGCGACTTCCCCAAGTACGCCGAAGGCATGCAGCGCGTCGAAGCCGCCAAACCCAAAACCCAAAAAGAAGCGGATGCCATCTTACAACCCTATGCCAAGGACCTACCCGTCCGCCAATTCTTACTCACAAATTTGATCCGCCCCGCGCCATCTGAGCCGCTCAAATTCCGCATTCCAGTCAAGATTCTGACGGATGCGCTGAACAGCATGGCAGATTTCCCATTTACGGATCCGGATGCGAATAGGTTTGGGAAGAGGGCGCTGTTTATTCGGGGGACGAGGAGTCATTATGTCAGTGATGAGACATTGCCGATTGTTGGGAGGTTCTTCCCTAGGTTTGAGCTTGTGGATATTGAGGCGGGGCATTGGGTGATTAGTGAGAAGCCTGAGGAATTTATCAAAGGTGCGTTGTTTTGTGTAGCTGTTGGGAGATGCATGCTGATGACGACCTAAAGAAGTTGTGGAGTTCTTGCAGGAGAAGGACGAATAGAGCGCGTGACTGCAAAGTCTCATAAACCCAGGCCTGGAAAAGAAGTTGCATCCAAATCTTCGAGAGTATCAGCTGGCCTTGTGCATAATCTCTGGCCTTACAAATGTGGGCTCACATTAGTCTGCGTCAACTATGCGTATCAGCTCCTAGTCTCTTGTGTAATATCTTCGTGCACTGTCTTCCAGTGTTTTTGTCCATTCGACCATACTAGCCCTGCACACTTCACCAACCCGGGATTTCGTAAGAGGCGAAATTCTGGCTGTACAGGGTTGTTATGCCAGTTTTTGCGGCGCTTGCTGAGTCTTGTCGCCGCCTCATTGACAAGATGCTGCGGTAAGCGTGCCGCGGATACCCACGCACACGACGAGATTTTGCTTCAAATCCCAAAGCTGGCTACCAGTATTGGGGACTCGGCATTCGACATTCCCGAGCCTCGAATTATCAGAGCGCATTTTTGTTGGCTTGAGGGAGCTTCTAACATGGTGTAATAAGACTGATGCTAACTGCCGCAGCTACCTCAGAGCTTCATGCTCTGCTTCTCCAGGTTCATCCGTTGGTCTTTGCAAAACGCCACGCAGCTATAGCCTGTCCTGGATAACAAATACTACTGTTCCAGCACCTAGGTAGATCTCCCGCGCTACACCTAGCGTGCAACTCTTCTTTGACAAATTGAGCACGCGATAGTGACGTCAATACTTCTCGAACGGCGAGTTGAGGCCAAATGACCACGCGTACCTCGCACAATAGATACATATGTATGTAGTTGTGTATATCCAATACCCAAAATCCAATGTAGGACTCGAATCTACCTTCCAGCTTTCCTCATCCCTCCCATCGCCGTGATGTGGACCCTAGTGCAAAAGAGACGGATAAAACAATCCGTGGAACGCACACGCGCGTTTTCTCCTCGAACAAGCAGATCCATTGAGGCCGATGAATCGCAGAAGCAAGAACCAGCTTCCGCAGACACCGGAATACCACCCAATCACCATGATACCATCCTAGTAGAATGCACTTCTTCTTCCGACCCCCTGGACCCACGAAACTGGCCGCTCGCACGCCGCCTCACAACACTTTGTATCCTCAGCCTCCTCGTCTTCACGCAAGCCTGGGCCGGCTCTTCCTCTTCCCTCGCGCACGACAAAGCCGCTGCCCAGTTTAATGTGTGCAGCGTCGGCATGGATTTCTCCACAGCGGCGTATCTCTTCGGCCTTGGATCTGGCTCGTTGTTCACGGGCCCTTTGAGCGAGACAGGTGGTCGGGCGCCCGTGTATCTGGTCTTCTCGTTTGCGTTTCTCTTGTTTGAGCTCGGTGCTGCGCTGAGCAAGACTTTTGAGGGCGTGGTTGTTTGCAGGTATTTTGTTGGGCTGGCGAGTAGTGGGGCGCTGGGGATCAATGGGGCAAGTGTGGGGGATATGTTCAACGAGGTGGAGCGGACGATGTGGTTTCCGGTACTGGCTTGGGTTAATGTTATTCGTAAGTCATCATATCTTTTGGAAACCTTCAATTTCTTCTTCAAGCTGACCTTCCAAAGCTCCAGTCATTGCGCCGATTGTTGGGGGATGGGTTGTCAATCAGCCACACCTAGATTGGGTATGGACTGAATGGATTACACTCATCATATCAGCTTTTGCGTTCCTCGTTGCTTTTTTGTTTCTCCCGGAGACGTACTTGCCTGTTCTGTTAGACTGGAAGGCGAAATCTCTACGCGAGGTCTCGGGGCAAGGATATCTACGCCTCCAAGCACGCCGAAACCTCATCCTTTTTCGGTCGACTACAACACAACGTCCCGCTTGCAGCTTCGCTTCGCTACAACTGAGCCTGCTATCTTGGCCTTAGGTGGCTTCCTCGTCCTACTCTACATCCTCTTGTTCAGCTTCCTCTCGGGCTTCGACTACATCTTCAAGCGCACATATGCGCTGGACCCCCTCCAAGAAGGCGCTTGCTTTGCATCTATATTACTCGGAGCAACAACCTTCACACTCACCACCCCATTGTTCTACAGACAGACCCGCAGACTCACAGATCACGATCTCCACGCGCCAATCAACCCCGAGTACCGTCTCTGGCCAGCTATAGCCACAGCGCCCCTCCTCCCAATCTCACTGTTCTGGCTGGGCTGGACCAACTACTCGCATATATCGATATACTCCGGCCTCGCAGCATGTTTCTGCTTTGGCGTCGTCTTGAACGCAATGTACGTTGCTAGCTACCAGTATATCATTGACAGTTATGGTGAGCACGCAGCGATTGCGTTGTCGAGTATCACTATGATGCGCTACATTATCGCCGGCGGTATGGTTATGGCGGCGCGGCCCATGTATGATGGAATTGGAGTGCATTGGACGATGACACTGCTGGGTTGTGTTGCTACATTGCTAGTGCCTGGGCCGTACCTCCTGCGGAGATGGGGCGGGAAGTTGAGGGAGAAAAGTCGGTCCGCGAAGGGGGGTGAGGCGTGAAAAAGTGATGGAGTCGAGTGGAGATTTTGATGCAGTGCTGATGAAAAGATTTGGTGTGAGACTTGAGCAGATGTTACCTGGTTATGTCAAGGGTCTTGTTGCTGAATCGAACATGTTGGCCTGCGTACACAAAGCGTCATATTGTGGTACTTATCATGGAAACTGGGTATGTGGCAGTGAGTCTCCGCTACCACCAGGGTGCACGTCGTGGCTTCGAATTCGGCGAATTTACTCCAATTTAACAAGCTTCTGATCCTCATGCGTAGATCGCTATAGCTCCCGGCTATTATCGCGTGCTCATATCCAGGCTAATCGGCAGGTTGACAAGTGCCCCACTGGTATGCACCCCACATGTGTTACTTGTGAGTTACATACATGTTTAATCACGCTGGGACGTCACAGCAGTGTCAGTAAAGTGCGCTGCCTTCGTTTGGCTGCCCCGCCTAGATGTTCACTTTACTGGGCTACAACGGGGCTGACGTATCAGCGCATGACCCCAGTTTTAGCATGTCTGATCTGGCGTAGTGGTATATGAATGTGGCTCAAATTGGCAGACCACATTCTAAGAGAGGGCCTCTTGCCAAGATGGGCAGAGTGCATCCCATAGTCTTCGCGGTCTAAGGGAAGATGACCACTTGAATGGAGGAGATGGGTACCAGATGCATGAGAATTATTCCATCAATCAGCTTCGACCTAGCCAGAGTGAGTCCGCTGTTGGCACATGAGCTTGTACGTCCCAAAAATCAATGAAGAAGCACCCGGGTAGATACACGTGCACCAATTCGGTAAGTTCTTTACACGCATGGGATCTTCCGGCAATGCTTCACATTAACATCCGTGTGGAGCGTTGGCTATGCCAATCAGGCCAAGGAGTTCTGAGTCTATTATATTATGGTCACGCTAGAAAGCTCAATATGCTTGTATCGAGCCCCATCTGGCAACCATGTCTATCCCCGGATTATCCGATCACCCATGTTCGATAAACGCCTTATATAAGTCTGTTTGTTGCTGCCCGGGGGGCCGTTGGTCAGTCAAACATCACTGAGAGCCTCGCCATCATGAAGTATTCCATCGTCCTCCCGCTTCTCGCTACCACTGTCCTTGCGGCTCCTGTGATCGAAGAACGTCAAGAAGCAGCTTGCCCTGCAATTCCCTCCACTTTCCCATCAGCCACCAACGCAAAGTTGCCCAATCCTTTCAAATTCTTCGATGGCACAGCCGTAACCACAAAGGCACAATTCGACTGCAGGAACAAGGAAGTCAGCGCCGCTATCCAGGCCCAGGAGCTTGGTGACTTCCCCAAGAAGCCGTCCTCCGTTACTGCTACCTTCTCTGGCACCTCGCTCGCGATCACATCTACCGAAGGCGGGAAGTCGGTTTCTTTCTCTGTCACTATCAAGAAGCCCAGTGGTGCCGGACCATTCCCAGCCATCATCGCTTATGGTGCAGCTAGCATCCCAGTTCCCGCAACTGTGGCGACCATCACCTTCAACAACGATGATATTGGCCAACAATCGGGTGGCTCCAGCCGTGGTAAGGGCAAGTTTTATGACCTTTACGGCTCCAGCCACAGTGCTGGCGCAACCACTGCCTGGGCATGGGGTGTGGACCGCATCATGGACGCCCTGGAACTTACTGCTTCAAGCACTGGTATTGATCCCAAGCGCGTCGGTGTGACCGGCTGCTCCCGTAACGGAAAGGGTGCTTTTATTGCCGCCGCTCTCGTCGACCGTATCGCTCTCGGCCTACCCCAGGAGTCTGGCTCTGGTGGTGCCGCCTGCTGGCGTATCTCCGACTCAGAGAAGGCCAAGGGCAAGAACATCCAGACCTCTAGCCAGATCGTTACGGAGAATGTGTGGTTCTCCACGCGCTTCAACGCCTTCAGCACAAAGGCGAACACGCTGGCCACTGATCACCATCAGCTCGCTGGTATGGTCGCGCCTCGCGGCCTGCTCGTCATCGAGAACGAGATCGACTGGCTTGGTCCCGGCTCGACGACTGCTTGCATGAAGGCTGGTCGTCTCATATACAAGGCGTACGGCGTGCCCGCCAACATGGGCTTCACCGGTTCTGGCAACCACAACCACTGCTCTTTCCCATCGAACCAGGGAGCTGACCTCACTGCGTTTATCAACAAATTCTTGCTCAATCAAAGCGCGGAGACAAACATTGAGAAGGGACCAGCGGGGACTGACGCCTCTCAATACATTGACTGGACTGCGCCTACGCTCACTTAGGCGGTATGTGAGGAATTGTGGGGATGCACGTGGCTTTTTTGTATATACATGAGACAGGGAGGAAACTCGAATATCATACCCTCGCTTCATTCTATGGCGCGGCTGTTTTTCTACTCAAGCTGTGAAATGTCGCAAATTGCTGCCACAGTCCGTAAGATTGAGGAACCTACAAGTCAAAGCAGAAAATGGCTAGCAGACTCCATTAATTCACCAGGATAGGTAGGAGCACAGACCACAGCAGCTGACCTGGTCATAAGTATGGGGATAAAACGACACAAGTGTGATAGACGCGACGTTCCCTACAGGCCGAGAGGATTGCGTGGAGTGCGGGGATGTCAGTCAAGAACATCGCGGATGTGACTCCTTTACCACGTATGTTGGCCAAACCACCAGCTTCGTCCTGGTGTCTATCAATCGCAAGCACGAGTTTGACACGTGAGTTCAACATGACGGCGTCCGTTCGAGATTCGTTCCGACGATGCGAACTCGCTGTTCTTTGATGGAGGAAGAGACAAGTTGGTGTTCGAGAACAAGCGGTGGGAGGGGTCGTCTTGGTGGCACTCCACTGGCTCGCCCATGCGCCTTCCGAATTTCAATGCGGTTGCCCAACGTGGAACGCTCGGACGCTAACCACGTCTTTACCGCGTTGTTTGTATACAACTTCTGCACCCCCAGTGAAATTCGGCCATGCTTGATGCTGCCCGTGAATACTTTGCGACTTGAGCGAGGAGGCTGGCGCTCGAGGCACTGACCCGCGCACGTGACTTTTCCCAATGCCAAGACCCGCGCTTACCTATTCGATCGGCCGTACTCTCAACGCTCAGCGCTGGCACCCACGGCCACTGACAACCATATCCCGCATCACCACAAAGTGTATCCACATCCCAACTCGGCCGGCAGAACGCTTTTCACGACGCGTCCTGCAGTTTGAGCACCTTGGAGCGCGCTTCTGCTGCCTTCCGACTTGCCACACCCGGTTTTGCGCATCCCCCCCTTCGGCCTGCTTCGTTGCGACGACGCGACTGCGGACTTCCGGTGGAGCTTCATCTCTCACATTCACCAAAGGGCTCTCCCCAACACCACTCCCCACGATAATGACATAGTCGCCGACCGCACGCGTCTTCCTCACCGTCGCGACAGTCTTTACCTCATACCCGCGCGTAAAGGCTGAGATCGCGTCTGAAATCTTCAGTACCTCATATCAGCTGTTTGCGCATCGCATCTTCCGCAACACCTCCCGCCCACCATGGCTTCCGTACAACCCGGCTCTGATATGGGCTCAAACCAGCTGCCTAGCGGCATGACCCGCGAACAGGCGCAACACGTCTACAAGGTATGTAGCACTTTGCGCTCACTTTGCGCCTCTGCCAATTGCGCATGAGTAGGAAAGAACGTCGCTAATACATCCATTACAGCAATACCAATTGATGAAGCAGCAAGGCGTCCCTGAGACGAACCCAGAATTCATCAAAGCCCGTAATATGCTCGCTATGATCCAGAAGCAAACTCAGTACAACAATATGCGACGCATGCAGCAGCAACAACGCCAACAGAGCATTTCCGATCCACAAGCCATGCAGCAGAATGGAGCTGCCATGGGCATGGCCAATGGGAAGCCTGTTGTGCCTGCCGATGTAGCTTCAGCATCGAGCGGTAACGCGACTACAACGCAGATTGCGACAGCCAGTGGACCGGCTCCCGGAGGCGATGGGCAGACCCCAACGTCAGCTACGAGCGCGAACGCTGCTTTGTCCAAGGACCAACTCATGATGCTGCGCGCTCAGATTGGAGCTTTCAAGCACCTTAGCAAGGGCTTGCCTTTGCCTGCGAATATGCAGCAGCAGATTTACGGCCATCATACTTCTAAGAAGCCACAGACCCCTGTCGATGCCGTAAACGCCGCTTCTCAGGTCCTCGACAGCGTGACCCGCGCTTCAAGTACGAGTGGCGCTGTCCAAGACACTCCTGCTCTGCCTCGCCTTCCCGACACCTTTATTGAGCCTTGGCATAGCGAAGCGATCCGCGACGTCAACTACATGACCCACGCTGAGCGCAAGAACCGCCCATACATGGCGACAATCATGCCACAAGGCGTCGACATTGAGTCTGTACAGCAGAGCATGCAGGAAATGCGCAAGGAGCGCGAGATCATTCTCTACAACCGACTCACTGCGAGAAAGGCGGAGCTGGAGAAGCTCAACGCAAACATTGGTTCGTGGGATACCAGCAAGACGGACACGCCCGAGGACGACGGAAAGGTCAAGCTGGCTCTGGTGATTGAACAGAAGAAGCTGAACCTTCTTGAGAAGCAGCGCAAGTTGCGACGAGAGATCTCGCAGCAGATGATCCACGCCGACAATCTCGCCATGACCGCCAACCGGACAATCTACCGCCGTCTCAAGAAGCAGTCGATGCGCGAAGCTCGTCTAACTGAAAAGCTCGAAAAGCAACAACGGGACGCGCGCGAGACAAAGGAGAAGAAGAAGCACCACGAGTTCATCGACGCCATCCGCAAACACCGCACCGAGCTACAGGAGGCTGGTCTGGCACAACGACAGCGTCTGCAGAAGTTGGGCCGCACCATGATCACCACTCACCAGAACATCGAGAAGGAAGAGCAGAAGCGCATCGAGCGCACTGCCAAGCAGCGTCTGCAGGCCCTGAAAGCCAACGACGAGGAGACCTATCTCAAGCTTTTGGGAGAGGCCAAGGATACACGTATCACGCACTTGCTCAAGCAGACCGATGGTTTCTTGAAGCAGCTTGCTGCATCCGTCAAGGCCCAACAGCGAACTTCCATCGACCGGTACCAACTCGCCGACGAGGTATCCGAAGACGAAGAGAGCGAAGACGACCAAGATTCGGACGCTGAACCACGCCCGGGCAAGAAACGCACCGACTACTACGAAATTGCCCATCGCAACAAGGAAGAGGTCACGCAACAAGCGAGTATATTGGTTGGCGGAACTCTCAAAGAGTACCAGGTCAAGGGTCTTCAATGGATGGTGTCTCTCTACAACAACAACCTCAACGGTATTCTTGCAGATGAGATGGGTCTGGGCAAGACTATTCAGACCATCAGTTTGATCACCTACCTCATTGAGAAGAAGCGACAGCCTGGACCATACCTCGTCATTGTACCCCTCAGTACCCTTACCAACTGGAACAACGAGTTCGAGAAGTGGGCGCCGACTGTCTCGAAGATCACGTACAAGGGACCACCCAATCAGCGTAAGCAGTACCAGCAGCAGATTCGATGGGGCCAATTCCAAGTTCTCCTCACCACCTACGAGTTTATCATCAAGGACCGACCGATTCTGAGCAAGATCAAGTGGGTTCACATGATTGTCGACGAAGGACATCGTATGAAGAACGCTGGCTCCAAGCTTAGTGTGACCATTACACAGTACTACACCACCCGTTATCGTCTCATTCTCACTGGTACGCCACTGCAGAACAACCTGACTGAACTGTGGGCCATGCTGAACTTCGTCCTTCCCACCATCTTCAAGTCTGCTACATCGTTCGATGAGTGGTTCAACACGCCGTTCGCCAACACTGGTGGACAAGACAAGATGGAGCTCACTGAAGAAGAGCAGCTTCTTGTCATCAAGCGTCTTCACAAGGTTCTTCGTCCATTCCTTCTGCGTCGTCTCAAGAAGGATGTCGAAAAGGACTTGCCGGACAAAGACCCGAAGGCGGCGTCATCAAGTGTAACTTCTCGACTCTGCAGGCCAAGCTCTACCAAGGCAACTCGTTACCCACCAACCGCCTTAATGGTTTAGTTGACGGAAAGGGCGGTTAAGACGGGTATGCGTGGTTCTGAGCAACATGCTTATGCAGCTGCGAAAGCTCTGTAACCATCCTTTTGTCTTCGAGCAGGTTGAGGAAGTCATGAACCCAACTAAGAGCACCAACGATCTGCTGTGGCGAGCTTCTGGCAAGTTTGAGTTGCTGGACAGGATCCTGCCCAAGTTCGAGAAGACTGGCCATCGTGTCCTCATGTTCTTCCAGATGACACAGATCATGAACATCATGGAAGATTACCTGCGTCTGCGAGGCATGAAGTACATGCGTCTGGATGGTGCAACAAAGGCAGACGATCGCTCGGAGCTACTTAAGGAGTTCAACGCCCCCAACTCGCCCTATTTCTGCTTCTTGCTATCAACACGTGCTGGTGGTCTTGGTCTGAATCTTCAGACTGCGGATACCGTCATCATCTACGACTCGGACTGGAACCCTCATCAAGATTTGCAAGCGCAAGATCGTGCCCATCGTATCGGTCAGAAGAACGAGGTGCGAATTCTGCGTCTCATTACATCCAACTCCGTCGAGGAGAAGATTCTGGAGCGAGCCAACTACAAGCTGGACATGGACGGCAAAGTCATTCAGGCTGGTAAATTCGACAACAAGTCTACCAACGAGGAGCGAGATGCCATGTTGCGTATCATGTTGGAGTCTGCAGAAGCTGCGGAGAGCCTTGAACAGGAAGAGATGGATGACGACGATCTCAACTTGATCATGATGCGAAACGAAGATGAGTTCAAGCTGTTCCAAGAGATGGACCGGCAGCGTCTCACAGACGATCCATATGGTCCAGGCAAACCGCTGGGACGTCTCATTGGCGAGAGCGAACTGCCTGATATCTACCTTAACGATGCTGATCCCATCGTCGAGGAGAAGGACGACACACCGGTTGGTCGTGGCGCTCGTGAGCGCACTCGTGTCAAGTACGATGATGGTCTAACGGAAGAACAATGGCTCGAGGCAGTCGACAACGACGAGGATACTATCGAGGATGCTATTGCACGCAAGGAACAGAAGAATGCCAAGCGGAGCCGGAACAAGACCGCTAGGATGGGCCTTGACCCAGGTGAATCCTCCAGCACCGTCGCGAGAGAGCTCGGAAGAACCCTTGCCGAAGAAGCGAGGCCGGAAACCCAAAGCAGAGAAGCGTAAGGCCGATGAAGCCTCACTCGATGGTGACCTCGCACCACGCAAGCGCGGTCGACCCGCCCCAGCCAAGGACAGCCTCAGCCCCGATAGCCGCGCTTCACTTCAGAAGGTTGTGAACTTTGTTTACGAGGCACTCAACGACCTTGAAGAAGAGTCGTCTGATCCTGACATTCCCAATCGTGGCATCATCGATCCCTTCATCGAGCTGCCCGACAAGTGGGATTACCCAGACTACTACCAGCTGATCAAGAACCCAATCTGCATGAACCAGATCAAGAAGAAGATCAACAAGAAAGAGTACCAGTCTGTCAAGCAATTCCGCCAGGACATTGGCATGCTCTGCAATAACTGTCGTCACTACAACGAGGACACTAGCTTGCTGTTCGCAGACGCAAACTTGATTGAGTCCACGGCTGTAGACAAGCTGCGCGAGGCTACCGCCGAGTTCCCAGAGTGGCAGGACTTTGATGAGGCTGGTAGCGTTAATGGAGGGCCGAGTGCTCTGACCAGTGCCGTTGGCACGCCACGAGGTGGTCTATAAAGATGGTAAGTTGACTTTCTACTTATCATTAGGGCGCGTCGAACTAACATGATTTCAGATCACACATCTTTTGATGATCCTTCTGGCGATATGAGTCAGATCGTACCAAGTCTGGCCTGGATGCGCAGCCGCTCCAGCGCACTATTTCATCTTCTCAAAATGTCTTTTTCCGCCACCTGTACAATTGCTAGGTCGCATATCAAGAACCTTTCTTGATCGACCATTTCTTTATTCGAAAACATTACATTGGCGCAGCTCCACTGGATTGGGCGCTCTGGGGTTCACATGCATGAATGATGCGTTCAAAGACTTTGATTGGGGTCAATTGGAGGAGTTTTGAGAATTAGTCTGCGTGCAACTAGCAGACTAGCGCTAGCACATAGCTTTGGACATTCAATGTATCGATAACAGTTCTATTATCCTGTACTCCCTGCAAGCATGCTAACGTGATCGAAACGTTGCCCTCGTTGCACATTCCCCTTCTAGAATTTCTCCGACGCAAGCGAGGTCACAACCCCTGGATGTCGGCAGATGCGCATAGAGATGTGGGGAACGTGGTAGTTTCTCCGAGCATTTGATTGTCTCGACACCCCTCTTTCGCTTGAAGCCAAGACACTCTATCATAAACAAGTCGACGCCTTTGGGCAGGTGTTTGGATAGATTTCTTAACCAACCTGTCTCATTGGATAGAATCGACCATGTGCACCATACTTTGAGAGCCATCGTCCTCGGTACCTTGGCCGATGTAGATGGCCAAGACGCAGCGTTGCAACCGATTTAGGGCTTTTGGGAAGGTGTTCTGAAACGCATGGTCGTAATTGGAGGGTTTGAGGGAAGTCCGTGTAGCATTGTATGCTATAGACTAGGAAGACCCTGGAGTAGATGAAAGGGACGCAAGTGATGGATAGATCGACTAGGATACATGTTTACACCGACAAGGCTTGGATTTCTATAGATGGGAGTATATGTACAAGATTCATCCCGCGCCCATTCCATCTCCTTACCCACACCCACACTCGCTCCCCCACAACCGCCCATCATGCACTTCCCTTCGATCCTCTGCCTAGCTGTCTACGCCAGCTCCGCCTCCGCCGCGATATCATGGACCCTGGCTAAAGCCTCCAACCCCACCGCCGACCAAACCGATGCCTACGCCCGCATCACCCTCGCCATGCAACGCGCCACCGCACGCTACGCGCAACACTCCTCGCTCTCCAAAACCGTGCGCGTCGCCTACGCACCAGGCGTCCCCACGGCCGAGGCAAACTACAACGGCGACCTACGCTTCGGCAGCAACCGCGCGTACATGAACGAGCGCACGGCGATGCACGAGATCAGCCACACGCTTGGCGTGGGCCAGACGGCGAACTTTGACCGGTTGTGTGCGAGTGGGGATTGGAAGACTGCGTTGCCGCTTTTGAGGAGTTGGGACGGGAGTGCGGCGAAGATCAATTGTGGGGGGAGTCACTTTTGGCCGTATGGGTTGAATTATGATACCGAGTGGAGTGAGACGAATGCGAATCGGCATGTGCAGATTATGCAGGCTATGGTTAGGGATGGGATGTGAGTGGATGTGAGGAAGGGGATGGGAGCGGGGGGAGATGGTGTATATAGTTGATGAAGCAAATGGATTGATGACTTCTTGCAATGCTTTCTGGCTCTTTCGCTGTTGTGGATTCATCTTACCATCTGTCATAGCGATACTGATTTTTGATCGTTGGGCGTATCAGACCCGTGTGGCCCAAATTCTCGGATTTATGTTATTTTGACAAGATGTATGATGACTGTGGGGACATGTTGGGCAGTCAATACCTACCGTCCCCTGCCGAGTAGGATGACAGATCTAAATTGATACCGACATTTGTCGGCACATATCAACGGAACCCGTTGAGACGAGCAGGCAGTGCAAAGTAGCGCGTACTCAAGTCTTTGTAATTCTTTTGCCCCCTGGGATTTGCCGTCGTGCGGATGATCATGCGCCAATTGAGGCTGTGGTATTTGTAAGTCATCATCAAAGCTTCGTTGTACCCTTACCATCGGCATCGCGCAGTGAAGGAGGCGGTCAAGGACTTGCATGAGAATAATCGACCATGTATGTGTATCGAGCGAGCGCGTCAGAACAGGGTGGGGAAAGCTAGCGTTGGGCGCGAAGCCACATCCACAGCATCATCGTCACAGCATCATCCCTCCAACCCTTTACACATTCCTGCACTCTTTAGGCCACCACACCAGGAACGCCCAGCTGTCGTCATCCCGAAAGCTACATTTCAGCCACACTTAGAGGCTGCGTAGCCGCTTGGAGTCTCTTGGCTGGTCACGACGGTGCCGTTTTCCGAGGGCTGGCAGTGGTACCAAGACTTTCCTGCCTTGTTTTCCGCCATAGGCACTCAAAACAACACACGATGACTGGCCAGGATCGACAATTGTGGCACCGGTTTCCCAGCATTGATGTCAATGTGGCATTCTGGATGATTTAGGTCTCCTCCCAAGTCTTGTTTCTGACTGCGCATGGCCATCTACTCAGATGCGCTGGCCGATAGCCGTGATCATTGTTTGTTGGCGCTACAGACCGCTGCTTCTTAATATTTGAGGGATGCGCAGTCTAGCGGCATGATTCCCACGATTCTCACTTCTCGCTACATTCAATCTTTCGTCCTTGCTGGTCTAATATTATATGCAATGCCATATATCTCTAGATCGCTTTACAGTCTCCGCTCGCGTCTTGCATTTGTTCTACTTGTCACAGCGTTTTGTCACCAACAACATCTCTTCTTCGTGTCTCGACAATCACTGGCGGCGAAATATTCAGCAACCGAGTTTGAAGTTGCCCGTCCAGAGCTCCATCCAAGATTCGAAAGACCAGATGACGAGGATGCGGAATTTCAGGACGATCTCATAGCGAATCGTGACGACTGGACAGTCCTGGGCGAAGGCTGGGAGGGCAAAGTGTTTGCCTATAAAGATTCGGTCATCAAGACCTTCACACCGGGCCGGAGTCCGTTCCGTAATTGCGCATCTGGTGCTACAAACGAGAAGTGGCCCACCGAAATTGCCGCCTCATTACGGTTCGGAGGATTCGACCAAGAAGTCAATAACGGTGATGCTGGAAACACTACTTTCGAGGGCTTCCTTCCTGTGCGAGCATACTTCAAGGCAGCGCTTTCTCCCGCGGAGGACCCGGAATGGCATCTCGTGACACCACTGGTAGAGGACGGTAATCTGAAGGATCTTGCGAAGAGATTGTCTCGCGAAGTAAAGGACAATAGCGTTAGAGAGATTGACGAACACTACCGACCCGCATTTGAACGTCTTCTCCAGAACTTGCAGACACTTCACGAAGCACGATACTGCCACGACGATATCAAACCAGCAAACATCTTCGTCCAGGAAGACACGAATTGGTTGTTAGGCGACCTAGGGAATGTTCGCCATGTTTCCCACGCCTACCACTCGTCCCGGCTATGGCAGGACAACAATCAGTTGAAGGACTGTCGCGCCAATGACATCATGAGGGCACTCAAGTCCTACCTGCAATTTATTAGAGCTGCCAGCCCAAATCAGCAGCAATTTGATGTCGATTTCTTAGAGCGGAGAGAACCATTAAGCCGCCTTTTCTGGACAGCGTCGGCCGGCGCACCCAAGATGAGCGCAGCAAAACTCCAGCACCTCTCTGCTGTGGAGTACCCTCATCGCGCTCCCGTGCCACACTCAGATGAGCAGACTTCAGAAATCTTGAAGCTTTTCAGGCATTGGAGCTTGCGGAAAGCGGTAGATCATGCTTTGGAAACGAGGATTGGCGAGAAACTGGCGCGGTGGTGGGGAATAGTTAGCATATTTGGTGTTCCGGAGAACAAAACTTGCGGCTTTTGATACCCTGGAGATATTGTTTGTTTGATATTTTATATGAGTAATGAATAACGCGGTACATTTTTGACCAAATGATAGTTGTGTCTAGCCTTCTTCTTTCACTAACGCCGTCGCCAGCTATTTATTCACTCGCGACTATCTACGCTTAGCACGGATCGCATGCTTCCTTCCCAGTAGCTTCAGCTACTATTAGCGAGACACGCATTAATAACGCTAGCAGAGAAGCTGATATAACTCAGGCGACTTGGTCAAGGTTGATCACGATGCGCTTGCATGTTAGCATGTTACCGATTCAGCGGAAGCCAATCAGACATGTAAAAAGTGGTATCCCTCCCACGCATACCATATTCTTCGAAGAGAGTACAAGAATCCCCATGTGCTTTGCCTGTCGACATGCTTTATACTCCACACAAAAAAACCCAACATGTCAAGCACCAAGCCCAAATCCAATCGTCATCCATCTGCTTACAATGCCGAGTTACGTCTCAGGAACTTCGGAGTATTTTCCATTGTAGCTCTACGTGACTACACTATACTTATCATCTTCGTGGGGACTTTTTGGTTCTGGATTCAAGCCATCCCAGCCACTGTGCCCATACCATTCCCTATGCGCTGGGCATGTATCGTGGCCTTCTGGCTCGAGACAATAAGTAAAAACGCCTTCTTCTTCAAAATCATTACCGCTCTAGCAGCTCAGTGTATATCAAAGATCGAGGACGAGAATCATTCACGAGACTGTGACTTGGCGACACGCACCACAAACCTCGAAGATTGGATTCTGGCGAACTTTTGTGTCATAGCTGGTCTGTCAAGCATCGGTCTTACGGCACAATACTGGAGGAGAGTTCTTTCGCTCATGGTACAGTTCTTAATGAATATTATTACGCTTGGGATTTGGATGTCGTTTTGCTGGACTTTGATAATTGGAGGTCTTCTCTCGCTATTCTGGTTCATCAAATGGACTATACGTCGTTACCGGAAAGCCAAGGGGATCGAACAGGATGAGGCATGGCGCTTCCTGATTGCTGGCAGTGCCATTCGAATGTACAACATATCACAAGGACCCAAGGCGGATAGAGTGCTGGAGCAAGTTCTTGAAGTCAGTGATTTTATGTTTCAGGGACTGACTGCGCTACCGAAGTTCTGGTTGGACATAATCGGCTTTCACATTGGCAGAGGGCCATTTTTCAGTAAGTCCAAGGCTAAGATCTGACGAGATGAAAGACTCACGCCCCTTAGACCGTCTACCAGATGGCTGGAAGGCTGAAAGAAAAAACTGTAAAACGCCGGAGGACATACAAAGATTCTTCGCGGTGCTCCTTTCATGTTTTGGTAAAACATTAGATCAAGAAGAAGACAACGAAAAAGAACCCCAAGATCACGAGGAAGCCTATTTCCACCCATCTGTATTTGAGCAGGAGCCAAACCCCGTCATTTTTGCCCATCTACGAGGTGAGCCTCTAAGCTCACCGGATTCCGGTCGTGCCGAAGCAAAGAATACGTCCGAATGCCATCTCATGGATACAGCGGAAATAGATGGAGGAGTTTTTCCTGAGGTGGATGTCCATATTGACGACACAATTGGCCCCAAGAACGTTCAAAAGACTCCCTTTGTGCCCAGTCACAACTGCCCAACAACAATATCCGTCAATCTCTCTTCTTTCCAATGCACGGAATGCTTATATGTCGCCAGGAAAAAGAACAAACTCAAGTATGCCACAATTTCCTCACCCAAGTCTGCTTACACTGATTTATGGTAGTAAGCATATCAAACAAAAGCACGAACGCCCATATGGATGTGCCCATTACGGTTGCAAACAGACCTTCGGTCTTCGAACACATTTGGAGCGCCATCAAACGACGCACACAGAAAAGAAGGAATTCGAGTGCTCGAATGTGTTTTGCAAAACACAATTCACACGCGAGGATAATCTCAAAAGACATATCAAAGGGTGCATCGCTTCTACATGAGTACACACGACACGATCCATTTATCCGCAGAGAGATGAGTCATACCCATACATGATTTTGATCGGCAACAATGAACTCGGGATGCTGCCGGCGAAGTAGGGCGAGTGCGTTCAAGCGGAAATGATGCATTGATGGGCTGCAAAGCATACCTTTGAAGTGATGACTATACAAGACAAATTCTTTCTAGTCTAGCTAGAATTACACACAATGTCATGGACAACATAGGGCTTGTTGTCGCGTCTTTGTTGCTTTGTTCGAACTGTCGCTTGTTCACCTTCCCCAGCAAAATCAATTCATCTGCTACCAGGAAAAACATCTCGATCTTCTCTAACTACTAAACCCTGAAACGTTTCAAATCCATATTTAATAACAACACGAGCAATGTATCTCAAGATGGCCGGTCGATACGGTCTACGTGATCGCGCAACGATAAAACCACCCAAGAGACTCATCGATGAAGTTGAGAGTCCACCAAAGAGGAGAAAGGTGACCGACGCTCAACCTGCAGTGCCTGCGGCAGATCCTGATGTACCTGTAGCGCCGATTGTACCTCCCGCTCCCGTAGCACCTGTTGCACGCCCGGCGCCCGTTGCGCCCATCATAGCAATTGTGCCTCCCACTCCTACTGCACCTACCGTACCAACCGCTCCTGCCCCTCCAGGAAGTGATCATGAAGAGGACATTGATGACGTCCACCGGCCCGTGAGAGGAAAAAAATATGTTGGTTTCGTGGATGATGAAACTCCTCCTCCCACCCCTCCCACCCTTCCGCATGGGCCGATGGGATCACAATGGGTTGATTTACCAGGGGAGCTCCGCACGATGATCTATCCGGAATCAGGCTTCAAGAAGATTTTGAAGCCAATATTCGGATCAAAGCGACTTGAGCGTGGCGACTTGTTTGAGGCCATGGTCGTGCTTTATGTGGTTGATTCTGGTATCCAATTCACTCGTCGCAGTGAGTTTCCTGGTGTCCGTGAACTAGAGCGAGACTACAACAAGGCTCATAACCACCAGTTGAAAGTTTTTGTTCACTGGGACTGTGTGGAGCAGATCATCCCATTTTTACGCTTGGTGAAGGAAGCAGTTTTCGCTGATGCAGCCTGGAGAATGGAACATGGGAACACCTTCCCACCACCGGAGCGGAAAGCACCGTGCATCGATGCACCTATTCTCAATTACTTGAGAAGGACTCACCCTCAAGGTGAAGACTTGGTCCTTCCTGCACTTGAGCAACAAGCTCTCGAGAATCTCCTGGAGATTGCTGTACATGGATTCTATCAGACAAGCCCACCTACACTTATGGATCCTGAGCCACTGATAATCAGTATCCTTCTCCCCACCCGAACAGAATTCGAACCAGCAGTCGGTAGTGAAGTTTACCGGCTGCTCCGCCATCCCTTCGACGATCCTACCTCAGGCATAGTCTGGCGGTGGCCAGATCCAAGGACTATTCAGTACGTGATGGAATCTGCTGCCGTTGAGAATCCCACCTTCCCTGCGATTATATTGGCTACAGTTGAAGATGTCGCCTTGAGTGATGACTTTGAAAGGACATTCTCCAGGTCCCCACCGGATCCGCTGATTCCTTATCTGGTTTGAGAAGCACGACATGACTGAGACTGAGATTGCGACCCGTCGAGTAGACGAAAATGGGTTTTGGAACTATTTGTTTGCGAAAGATAGGAGGATACATGCTATGCGGCAAGAAGTCTACCAAGCACTCTTCGGGTAAACTACCATGCGAAATTAAAATTTGTATGATATATTCAAAAAAGTTTTAGTTATTGTATCTTATCGTCGTGGAAAGTTATCAACGTGATTGATTACGCATTGTTGCTGGGCCTAGTGCTGGTAACAGGAGATCTGTTTTTGTTTGTATGATTGCGAATGTGTCGAAGGAAAAGTATTTGAGGATTGATGGATAGATCTATGTGAGCTGGCACGGGTTCTCCCAGGTTACAGAGCCAGGTCTATCCGGGATCAGTTTGCGTACTTAAGCCTAATCCGCAAGAAGCTTGATAGAAATTCACTGATCTATAAAATTCAATTCCTCCGAGTTTGTCCAGCCTCAACATTGTCAACAGAATGGCAATCCGATTTTTGTTTGAACATGCTCCAGTATACGCAGGATCTTCTCATCCTCGAAGCGTCTGCCAACAATTTGCAAGCCCACAGGAGCGCCGTGAAATTCTTCCGGGTCCCACAACTTGCGATTATCTTCGTCGTGCCCGCTCAAGGGCTTGGTATCGTCTTCCCACCGATCCACTGTTTTGTCGACTTTGCATACCGGGAATACGACGCCAGGATAGTCGAGAAGATTCCATTGACTTGTGTAACTCCAGTACTTTGCTGTATTGTGCTTTGGTGCCACGCCTGGGCCGACAGGACAAAGTAGTGCGTCGATGCCGTATTTGTTCCAGTGTAGGGCATACTCTTTTCGGTATGCTTCGCGCTCTTCGTACCAGTAGGCGAGCTCGCCCACTGAGAGCCTCTTGACGCATGGGTTATCTTTGATGATCCATTCTGACAAGGGACGCCATGGCTCTCCTGATTTGGCAATGTCATCGTCATCCGCTTCACCACCGTCAGGGTAATACAATGAGGACAGAATCGCCCACGCCTCATCGTGTAGATGTGGTGTAAATTCGACCACCTCAGAACCCGTCTCTTTCAGTCGGTCTGTGACAGCTTTCAGAGCGCGTGTAATGGGTGGGTGTGGCCGCACAACACCATCATGCCAGAGAACTCCGACTTTGAGAGGTCGATGATCTCGAGGTAGATCATAATCACGCCACGGCATCGGTATCAATGCTGGCTCGGTCAGCCATGGTTCGGAATCAATGATGGTCTTCATGAAGAGCTTGAGTCCAGATAACGACGTTGAGAGAGGGCCAAGAACGGTCTCCACAGAATCGGCACCTGCCATCATATATCCCCAGCCATCAGTGGGAAGTCGGAAAGCCGTTGGCTTCAGGCCATATATACCACAGTTTGCCGCCGGACTTCTTATCGAGCCACCTACATCCGAGCCGATTCCAAGGCACGAGCCACGTAAAGCAACGAGCGCACCCTCGCCCCCAGAACTCCCGCCAGACGTGAGGCTCGCGTTGTAAGGGTTCGTAGTGACGCCATACAAGTTCGAGTCTGTCTCAAGATGCATCATTGTCTGCGGGACAGTCGTACGGCAATGGAAGACAGCACCTGCATCATGGAGTACTTGCAGGATGTGAGCGTCCTCTTTAGATATCACATCCCAGTGAGAAACATAGCCAGTTGTACATCGAAGCCCTGCGAAGCCAATATGTTCCTTGACACTGATGGGAAGGCCGTGTAACGGGCCAATTGGACGCTTATGGAGTGCGAAGAAATCGTCTAACTCTTTTGCTTGGGATAGCGCACGATCAGGAAGGAGTTCGGTGACGCAGTTGGTCAGACTGTGAGCAATTACAGCTCTCTGTAGGAAGGCAGTGGTGACCACGACGGCTGATACTTCGCCAGCTGCCAGTGATCTGATCAACACCTCTGGCGGGCTGTCCGTGATGGCCAAGAGACTAGGGTCAAGCAGCTTCCCTGGTATATTCATGGCATTCTTCGGAACACTCGTTGCAACATGCGGCGCAGGAGGTGACAGCTGCGCTATAGACTCATCTCGATAGTCCTGTGCTTCTTTCGCGATGTCTTGCCATGGTCGCCGCGCCGGTGCGGATGTCATGGCAAAGTCAGCGGGTACTCAGTTCTAGCAGTCACTGTTATCGGAACGATGATGTTACTCTTTCGAAGACGAACGCAAGACGCAACGTCTGGAGTAATCGCGAGTCTTGATGTAGATGCTGAGTCAGCCGTCGAGCCGGCGAAATGTAATCCCGATTATCTTCCCGAGCCTGGCCATTACATCAGCGCGCCAGGGTCCAATGTTTTCCTTCAGACCCTACTAGTCCCTCACAGATCCTTTCATTGCTGGTTCCTGATTGTGTAGACCTGCTTGCGTGTATGTACTGAGTGCCAAAGATAATGAAACTTGTTTCACCTTGTCTCCCACTTCGCTCATTCTCATTCTCACTTGCCTCTCCTCGCTCTGTATTGCGCCTGCCATCTCCAACTAACACAGCCCGTAGCATCTTCTCACCACTCCACTTCACACACAACTACAGCACAAACACGACGATGCCTCCCCCACCCAAGCGCAAGTGGCCAAACCGTCCACGAGGCGGCGGCGGCGCAAATGGCTCAGCGTCTGGTACGCCCACAACACCTCGCAGCACTGTTGCCCAGCAGCCTAAGAGGCCCAAGGTCGAAGATGCGGCGCCAGCGGCAGAGGGCGTAGACGTGAAGCAGATGTACAGCACTTCTGCTGGTAACGCGTCTGCAAAGCCTTTCTCCGAGTTGAGCAGCGTACTGGACAAGTCGCTGCTCGACGGCCTGGACAAGATGGGATTTGAGTAAGAGCACATGTGGCAATATTACTGTACGTATGTTAACAGCATCCAGATTCATGTCACCTGTACAACAAAAAGTGCTTACTGAACTTCCCTCCCTCTCGTCCGACTGCGTTGTGCAGGCCAAGACCGGCACCGGCAAGACGGTCGCCTTCTTGCTCCCCGCCATACAAAACCTCCTGGCTGGTAACATGCCCCCCAGGGGCAAGGTCGCGATTCTCGTCGTCTGCCCCACGCGAGAGTTGGCCCTACAGATTGCAAAGGAGTGCAACGGCGTCACCGCATGCCTGCCACGCAAGATGGAGTGCCACACTGCTTTTGGCGGTACGTCCCGTGCCTCCAACCTGAAGGCCTTCCTCAACGGTAACCCTACTATTCTCGTAGCCACGCCAGGTCGTCTCGACGATATTCTGGGCGAGGAGCACGTCCGTGAGCGCTTTACCCACCTGAAGACTGTGGTCCTTGACGAGGCCGACCAGATGCTTGACGCTGGTTTCGCGCCTGCCGTCAAGAAGATCCTAAGGCGGATCCCACCTAAGAGCGACGGCTGGCAGGGCATGTGCTTCTCCGCTACGTTGCCCAAGGAGGTGCTCGATATCGCGAAGATTGTGCTATTCCCAGGATTTACTCATCTCACGACAGTTGATCCGAACGAGGTACCCACCCACGAGCGCGTACCACAGTACTTCCTCTCGGTTCCCAATGTTGGACAGACCTTTGCCGCACTTTCCGCTCTGATCCAGGAGGAGCACAAGCAAGACCCGACTGACTTCAAAGCCATCGTTTTTGGGACAACAGCCAATGGAGTTGGCCTGCTATACGACCTGTACAAGCATGCCTTGCCTCAATTCCGAGTGTTTGAGCTGCACAGCCGCATGTCGCAGCCCATGCGAACACGAACCACAGCACAGTTCAAGGAGGCGACCAGCGGCATTCTCTTCGCCTCAGACGTTGTCGGACGTGGCATGGACTTTCCTAACGTTGGTCTCGTTGTCCAGCTTGGCTTGCCTTCCTCTACTGAGCAGTATGTGCACCGTGTTGGTCGTACTGCGCGTGCCGGCAAAGATGGCCGAGCTGTACTCGTGCTGTTCGAAAAGGAAGCATTCTTCCCCAGGATCAACAGAACACTGCCTATTAAGCCCTACCCCGTTGACATTGCAGCAAAGGTGCCCGAACAGGAGGCGGCCATTACCAGGGCATTCGCGAATGTTGAAGAGGAAGCCAAGGCGAAAGCCTACCAGGCGTTCCTTGGCTACAACAAGACTTTCCTCAAAAAGCTACAGCTCTCGACAACAGAGCTGGTGCGTGTGGCGAACGAGTACTCGAGGGCTATGGGCTGCCCAGAACCGCCTTTGATCGAGAAATCAACTATTGGAAAGATGGGATTGAAGGGCGTACCAGGTCTGAATATTGGGTCGCGCAGGCACTAGGTGGTACGAAGCTCGGCCACGAGTGCCGCATGAGCCGCAAAGACCAACACCATAGCATTGCGCCTGCTACTCTTACACACGATGCCATGTGTCAGTGATTACGACCCGATGGACGATCATAGAGCTCATTTCACTACAGGCCGTTGGCTGCGATCGATCCCAACGAGCGATTCTTCATTCGCGATTCTCATACTGTCTTACTTTTCTCGGCGTTCATCACATAGACTTGCTCTTCATATAGATTGCGCCTTGGTGGCGCTTAGAACTACCTCGGTAACCTGAGACCCTAAGACGATGGACGCAAGGGAGGATAATGAACACACGAAATCAAGTTGCAGAAATTACTTTGCTGCTCCACACAAACGCTTTACAAGCATGTCCCCAAACATTTCCACGCATTTGTCTACAACTGTTTTTAATTTCGTTTCAACTCTTTGGTCTCCACTAATTTTCTTTTTCAAGAGGCCTGGAAACAAGTAGGAAACATGATATCAAGAGACGGAGATTGCTGTCGGAAAAGCCATGCTCATGGACATGTATCACCGTTGGATGATGTACGCCAAATGGCTTTTGGGCTGAAGGCAAGAACGTTGCCGTTGATTATGGTAACACTCTGCAATGGCCCTTTCTGCTCTTGCAGCGCCTGGGCTGAAGCCACTTACGCTTATTCACCACGAGCTTATGCCATTAATGAACGTCGTCAGGCCTACTATCTTGGCTGTAAAGTATTTGTTGAGGCTTGTGGAGAGACTTGAGAATTGACGTGACACCGAGACGCGTTCAACAGCTGAAGCGTAGTCCGCTGAGCATGGCAGAGAAACGAAAGGACCATCGGAGGCGTGATTGTGCTTCGGAACCTCACAAAAGCAGTATCCGTCGTACGATCTGTTCCAACGCCATGAGGTTTTTCGCCCACTGGCCGTTGGCAACCTCGGCGCTGATGGCAACCAGCATGCTTAGTCGCATTGGTCTCTGATCAGTTCAATGTACTGACATAGTACATGGATGACCTTCTTCAGCGCCTTACTGAACAGGATCCGCAGCGCATGTATATATACTGACCTGGCTGCCGATGATAGACCTCAGCCAGCAACCACACTCGCTTCTTCTTTCAATCCGTTCGCTCAAGCACCTTGGCTCTCTTCGAGATGCTTCTTCCCGCAGTTCTTGCTGCGCTTGCAGCCGCCTCAGTCGCTACAGCTCAAAATGTTACATCGTCTCTCACCAGCTGCACCACGAGCTTCGGCATGTCGCCCATAACCACAGGCACGGTACCAACCTCTGTGGCCTGGCCCTTTCAAACGACCATGAATGTCATCAACATTACATCCACAAGCTGCTCGACCGTATTCGCCACTCGATCTGCCTCGACCATTACAGATATCATGATGACGACCATGACCGTGGCAGTAACGACAACATCTGTACCATCTCCAACAACCGTCGCCACACCTGCTGGCTTCTTGCCACTCCTCGTCTTCAACCCCGCTGGCCCCACTGCTACAGGTGCCATCTCGCGCTTCAAGCGCTTCGAACTCGAAGGCCGCGATGCTTTTGACGCCCTGCAGATTCTCAAGCGCCAGGCCCAGACTCCCAGGAACAACACCGCCGGCTTCGCGGTCGACAGGAACGGCCATACTACGAACCTCCGTCGAAGGTACCCTCAGCGCGTCGACTGTGATGTTGTCGTTAACATCAGGAGCACAAGCACGAGGATCATTGCTGGGCCTGTCGAGACTGTGTGGGCGAGTGGAGGCCCGATGGCGACAGCGATGAGTACCAGCACGGTTATGACGACGACAACTTTCACAGCTGTCATGCCCAGACGCACGATTTATGCTGCGTGTCAGTCGAACAATATTGGTAAGCTGATGCACGAATGATTGGTACGGAGAACATGTCACTGACGAGAAACAGTAAACTCAATCCAAGGAGCGACCGGCGAGACGCTGATTTTCGACCGCGTGATCTACCGCCCAGCTGAAGGCTTCCCAATTTCGAACGAACTCATTACCGACACGGACGATGCGGAAGGATGCTGTATCGCGTGCCAGAGAACTGTAAGCCATATGCACTTGTTCATTGATAGTCACTAACCCAGATCCCCAGCCCTACTGTGCCGGCTCCTTCTTCGTCCCCTCCCTCTCCGAATGCCACCTGCGCCTCACCCAGGCACCCACACACTCCAATACCACCCTCACCGCACCCCGACTCCTCTCCCTCCCCTACAACGCCACCTACCCAATCCTCAACTCCACCAACCCAATCGCCATGCCAATGCCCATCGCCACAGGTACATCTCCATCTACGCCTCTCAGCACCGCAGCGCCAACGTGTGGCAAGGGCAGTTTGAGCCTCTACCTGGGCACTATCCAGGGCCAGACGGACTTCCCGATTGAGTACGCGCTGGCGATGAGTAATGGGCCTTGTGGCCGGTTTACTGTGTGGCCGGTGCCAGTGAATGAGAGTCTGGATACAAGACTGGTGGATCCGCCGATGGGGAAGAGGAGTGTTAGATTGACTTTGTGAGGGGGTGGGAGATGGGGGATGAGGGGGACGTAAGAAAGGATTGGACTGGTGTATCGAAGATGATGACGAGCAGGGGACATTTGTTCCTCTTCCAATCAAACAACTGGTGGTGTTGGGTTGTATTTGCTCGATGGGGTTGGAGATTTTCTCGTCCACGTCACTCGCTTACTTTCTGGACATGTGCTATTTTCACAGACGCATTTTCCTTGTTCATTCGATTCTAAACATTGTCTTTGTAGATTGAATTGTTGGTGGATTGTTGGTGGCTTTTTTTTGGCGGGATCTAGAGTTGTATAGTCACGAAGAAAAATGAAGAATATGCCCCATACATTTGCAGCTCTTTCGTGAAACATGGGTCTGTGCGGTTTCTAGACTCTAATTCTGGAAATCTTGAGGATTTACTTTTCGCAAGGCTGTAAAGTATGTTCCTTGTGGTCTGTGTGCCAAGTGACTGTCTCGGGTTGCGCCACACCGATGGCAAAGTTGAGGGCCGTTTCACACCAGAACTGTCTTTCATAACGGCTTCACATGTCTCTGAAGGAACGAGGAATGACATGACGTTATAGGCACACAATATATACTATCGTTTCCCATGTCTTGGTGCTCGGAGCCACATGCCGCGAAAAATATGTTGAGGTTTGACGTCTCGGTAGACGTACGAATACGATCCGCAGTGATCTTCACAGGCCGCCCCACGCGTGCCGTGATCACCAGCGGATTGAAGTCCGAATCGAGATCTCGAAACAATTGGTTTAGACATGAATATCTTTGAGCAGTCACAGCAACGCATGCCAATGCTGAGAAGCATTCTGGAATCTCAAACGCCACGAGTTGAGGCTGCTTTGAGGTATCACATGGGCTACTGGTGGAATTCCAGCGGGGAACGTCTGACAAGGCAGAGACTGGTAGCGAGAAGGCGTCCCTCGCATCAATGGCCGGTAGGCTACCCGTAGTGCTCGCCCTTAGTGTTGTCTCCTTTCCTGCTCGATCGGTCCGGCAGCTGTCAATGGAGATTTTGCATCCGTGCGGGAGTACTTGGATCGCGATGCAGAGTTGCAAGTATGTACCGTGCCCCGAGGCAGCGCAAATGAATGCGCTGTCACGCGTTTAGGGATGGAAATTGGGCATTCGCGATGGAGAGTCTGGAACTGCGTCGAGTTGCATGGGATGGTTGGACTCCGCTTTCAGCTGCAGCCAGGGTGATCCGCGTCGTCCCTTGTCGAGTTTCACGCAGTCGCCCTATGGTTTGGGCAAAGGCTGCCAATCGTTTGTGCCTCCCTGCACATAGGTGAACCATTAACCACCGAATGGGGACGCTGCTCGCAGAGCGAGAGGTACCCGTCTCACGTTTCGCGTGGTGCAGGCGCTTGCGAATGGGAGCCTTGCGTCGACTGTGTCTGCGACGGCGAACAGGCAAAAAGCAAACCGTCGGAACTGGGCGTTGATGACAGGCGCCTGATAGCGCAATCTGCAATCTTCGAGTGCGAACAGCTGGCTAGCTCGAGTGGCTTAAGTGCCGGTACGGGGGATGTTCCTGGGAAGTGGTCAAAGAATGACGCGAGCTTGGACAGGCTTGTAAAGGACGCGTCGAGGGCGGGTGTCTTGATTGGCGGAGAGGCCCTTGCACCACCGCTCCTTCCTTGCATGGCTGCCAAGGTCTGCGACTGATTGATTCCAGCTTTCTGTTCGCTGTGCCCGCTCGCTCTGGCTGCAACTCCGCATTGCATTACTCAACCGCCTGCACTCGACACGCCCGTGTTGTTTGCTCTCCTGCTCCCACCGCACAATTAACCCAACAGCACCTCCCGCCAGACTTTGTTAAGCAATATTATACGCGCACCCTATCGCGCACCGGCCATTGCACTGCGTCACAGCTGTTTTTAGCGCCCGACAAGCGAGCTGCTCCGCTGCTTCACCTTCTCCGCACAGGTAACCCGGCAGCCCACGCCCCATTGACTCCTTTCTAACCACCACACCGCAGATTCACGACCTTCTGCACCGACAGCGCACGCCTGTCGACCATTGACTTTTGGCACTTGACCGTCTTGTCACGCTCACCCTTGGCCATCGTCACCGCAATTACCGTAAACAGAGCACCCGCAGACCGTGCCCGCCGTCTCGCACCGGCCCATTCTGCAAATCTTCACGCGATTTCACGCGTCATAGCGTCGCACGAGATCATACAAGGTCTCTACAGCCCTCGCCGGCTGTGCACGCCATGGCTGCAGCGCGTCGACACTCCTCCGTGCAGATTTTTCAGGACCCCGTACTCCCTCACGACCACCACCCGTCCAGCCAGCTCGACCCGCGCTACCCGGACCAGTTCGTCTCCGTCACCGACGTGTCGAGCGACTCCCACACCCTCCTCGCGCCCCCGGCCTCCTTTATCGACGCGCATTCACCCCGGAAGACCCGCCACGTCTCTAGCTCACCCCCACCCCAGGCCCTCGCCGAAAAGGGCATCAACGGCATCTCGATCCCACCACCCATGGAGCACCAGTGGACCGACGCGCCGTTGAAGAAGACATTCACATCACATCCCGAGCAACCACACAGCATGACCAGCATGCAGTACTGGAACACATATCCCGCCGGCATGGATAAAGAGAACGTCTACTCCTATCCCGACCCACCCATGTCCGCTATGGCCGCCGCCGCACCCCCGATCAAGCACAGCCTGAAGCGCTCCTTCTCAGATGTGGTACCCGCAGCACCACTACGCGACCGCAGCAAGAAGCAGAAGACCAAGGAAGTCAAGGTCGAAGAGGCGGAAGGCCCGCTGCCCGAGCCCGACGAGATGCCCGCTGTGGAGGACGACGGCGCCAAGCCCTCGTACAGCTACGCGATGCTCATCGGCATGGCCATTCTACGCGCACCCGCCCGCCGATTGACCCTCGCCCAGATCTACAAGTGGATTTCAGACACATTCGCCTTCTACCGCAACTCCCAAGAGACGGGCTGGCAGAACAGCATCCGCCACAACCTCAGCCTGAGCAAGTCGTTCTCTAAGCAGGAACGACCCAAGGACGATCCCGGAAAGGGCCACTACTGGGTTATCAACTCCGGCTTCGAGAAACAGTACCACAAGGTCAAGCCAGTTCGCCGACCTGCCCAGCCAGAGAGCTTTATGTCGGCATACCCCGGAGAATTTCCTCGCCCAAACACGTCAGCATCCGTCAGCTTCCCGCCCATGAGCTCTGCAAAGGGATTCGATTCAAGCAAGTTCCCTGAAGAGCCCGAGCTGCCTTCGTCGGATGCGACCATCCCGAACTCAGATCCTGCCGCCCACGATGGCCATGATCCTCTCAGCATGCCCCCACCGCGCCAGATCCCCTCTTCACCTCCCCCAGCCGACATCCACTCCTCACCGCCTCCACCCATATCGCGCTCGCGTTCCGCTCGAGAGGACACGCCACCGCGTGCTCCCCGCCTCCACTCCAACAGTCGCTCTCTTGGTGGACGCAAGCGCAAGTTCAACGGTCTTGGTGACAGCGGTTACTACTCATCCATCGAGTCGTCTGCGACCAAGGGCCAGGCACTCGGGACCCCTGCTCACCTCCGGAAGCTGATCTCGATCGTCCGATCAAGCGCGGTCGTGCTGAAGAGGAAATTGCGCGGTAGTCCGCGGCTCATAACCTATGACTCACCTACTAAGACTCGGCCCTTCATGAAGCAGCCTAGTAATGGCAGTCTGATGTCCTCGCCGTTCCGTTCCAACCCCAAGCTCGGGGGACCACTTACCCCTGCCGTGGTCTCAAGCGTCCAGCTCTTCCGCTGCTTCGGCCTCGCCCAAATACCAACCTGCGCAACCATCGCAACAAGATGCGAGAGCTCGTTGGCGAGTTCACCTGACAAGAGCCTCGACATGTGAGTCGACACCTCGTTCCTCGACCATAAGACTTGGAGCCCGGCTGTACAGATCCCCAACGAGGAGCACGTCAACCTGGTCGGCTCTGGCTTCGATAACACCTTCGACATCTTTGGCGACTTCCCGTATAACGAGAGCCCCATCAAGCGCAGCGCTAAGCGACCGAGGCTTGTGTAACGCGCCGTCACGACGACGGGCATACTCGCTGACATCACCGGCGCCAAGGCCAATGTGAACTCTCCCACACCTAACTGGAAGATGGCATCCTCTTTCCTCAACATTCCCAACCTATCTCCTATCAAGGGTCTGTCACCACTCAAGGCCCCGCAGCTGAAGTCATCAACCTCCAACCTTGCCCACGGCTTTTCTCTCCCTGGTCCTGGCAAAGAGAATGGCCAAGCTAGCATGTCGTCCGCCAAGTCCTTCGGTGCCACATCTACCCAACAGAACCAACATCAACAGGAGGATGACGACATCTTCCACCTCCTTCACAGCGACGAGTCTGAGCCTGGCATTGATCTTCTCCAAGGCTTTGAGAAGATTGGCGCCCGACCCTCTGCCGTCGCCGCAAACGGATCTCCTCAGAAAGTGTCTGGCCGCCCTGGTCTAGCACGCAGCACCACATCTCGCTTCTAGGCTTGAACCTTACCACCCGGCTGCAACATTGCACGCCCCATTATCTTCTTGACTTCCATATTTGGATTCTTGATATTCTCCACCACTATTCGCGATACCCCTCGTCTTATGTCGTCCTTTCGACTCTCGATATCCCCTGACTTTATTGTTCAAGCGCCTTCTACCACACTTTGCTAGTATCACCTTGGATACATTGCACCTCACGATACCACGATCAACGATACCCACGATAGCGACGGCTGGCCCTTATACGTCTAGTGTTTTAATTCACTATTGCTTCCACTTTTTGGGCAAGGCGTTGGAGGGCTACGTGGGCGAACACATTGGACGCCAACCACTTGCGTCCCTACTACCATGGCGTTTCCCTAATTGCTTTTTTTCTTCTTTTTAGGCTTGCGATACACGTGGTAATGATATGTTTTAGTTGAGAGATTGAAGTGTCGCTTAGGCGCGACGTCTCATTATGAGATGGGAGATGCGAAATGCGTGGATGCGAAACACGATTGATGCATGGAGATGGTATCTCACTCTTGCTGTTTCGCTAGTATACTGGTCAAATGGAATGTTTCTTGACTCTCACATTATTCTGCCTATGATTGAGTGTGACGTGCATTCATTGGAGTCGTCTTATCGACAATTCACACAACGATTTCTCATATTGTTGTATGTTTACTCTTGGTGCGAGGGGTGGTACTTTGGGGGAGGGTGAGCGTTGACGAATGATGAGATCACAGACGCAAGTGGTCTAGAGATCATTTGAGAGTTCTGAGTTCGTGGAGACGGGGATGGAGTGTGCGTATATGACTCAAGCTTGTTGTTTTGACTCGGGATGGCTGTCATTCCAGTGCGTTGCGTCAGCGAAAGGTGTGCCATAACTATGGGAATCAAACTGCTGAAAGGGCAGCTTGTCGTGCGGGATTGTGACATAGGCACCGACAAATGGAAACGCATAATCAGAGACGTGTCGGAAAACAAGGTACATGTAGATGAACTAGTTCGTGCATTTGAGAACTCGGTTAAGATGGTAGAAGTCATGGCGTTGGAGGATCGTAGGCTCGTTGGATGACCTATAATAGATACGATAACATACAGTATTTGAACACGATTCTCCTCAGCTCTACGCTCCCAGTAGGGTGAGCTGATGGGTTTCGATGACCCGATGCTGGGTGTTAGATTAGTCAGAGGCGAACAGATGTGCATCACCTGCCTCACTGTAAATCATTCAAACTTGTTCGTACAAAACGCTACCGCATCACAGGAACAAACTATCTCTCGTACTTATTCACTTCCCTCAGCAGGCGCAGTATAAAAGCTTACTACAAGTTCTGGATCCTACACTATCATTCTCGCAACCTTGGAAGCCATGCTCGAACAGACTAAAACCTTCATCTCCCGCGTAAGCCACCACGCAGAGAAAACATCCTCTCCACTATCTCCCGACCTCATCTTGGCAATCCAGACACTCAAGAGATCCAGCCGCAGAACACACGCAGATCCCAACCTCTTCAAACTCCTCACCTTCCTCTTCAAAATCACGCTGAGCACAACCGGGCCCCCTTCCTCTGGTAATGCAGACGATAGACTCAGCACGATCGCCAGGTTGAAAAGCATTGAAAAAACCGACGCGAAACACAAACTCTGCGACGTTCTCGCTGAGCTCGAGATTCGTGAATAGTGGAAAGGTGGATAAGAGCGGGACGGTCGGTGAGCTAAATCTGACGTGTTAGATGGTTGCGCTGGTGGGGATCGTGGAGGGCTGGGGTGTGAGTTACGAGGATCTGACGAAGCTTGTGAGGGGTTTTCATGAGCATCGAGTGTATGAGAGTGATTTGATGAATGCAGTCATGAAGGCTTATGGGCTTTGGGCTCGGATGAAAGTTGAGGTTTAGAATGGGCGTCGGGGTAGAGATTGTTAGTGTTGAGACTTTTGGTAGTATGGTCTGCGTCCGTGTGGCAAGTTTGATTAGGTGTTGGATTAGTCACAGGTGTAGTTCATATGTATCATTTTCCTTGCTCTGAATCATTTAAACTTGTTCATATAAAAAGCCACCGAATCACTGAAATTAACTGTCTCTCGTACTTCTTCACTCTTCGCTCCCCACAGCAGTCGCAGTATAAAAAGCCCATTACGACTTTTGCATCCTCCACCATCGCTATCGTAAGCCATGCACGAACAAACCAAAACCTTCATCGCTCGTGTGGGAGAATACTTCTCCTTGGCCGAAAGCCCTGCCCTCGCCTCAACCCTCGAAGCTACAATCGACGGCCTGAAAAAACCTAGCTGCTCAACTCCCGTAGATTCCGACCCAGTTACCCTCATCGGCTACCTCTTCAACATCACCCTGATCATCCCCGGACCCCCATCCGACTCTGACGATGAAGATGATACACTCAGCAAGATTATCACCGGGTTGAAAGAAGTTGAAAATAGCGCTGTAAAACACGCGCTATGCAATGTCCTCGTCGATCTGGAGATCCTAGTGTGGGATGAGAAGGATGAGTGTTGGGGGGTTATTTGGGAACATATAACGTGTTGGATGGTAGCGCTATTAGGAATTGTGGAGGGGTGGGGCGTGAGTTATGCGGATCTGATGAGTATTGTGAGTAAGTTTCCTGAAGATCCAGTGTATGAGATTGGCTTGAGGGAAGCGGTTATGCAGGCTTATGAAGTTTTGGCGCGGATGAAGGAGAAAGGAGAGAGTTTGACGGTTTTATTGATTAAGGATAGCCGTGAAGTGTGAGCGGATGGCTCAATTTGAATTTCTAGATACTAAATGCGACTTTACGTCAGTCATTAGCGTCACAGTCTGATCTGTCATTGTGAAACACGAATCGCTGACTGGTTTGCGCGTCGTATAAAAGGCTGGCTTTTGGTTCTCTGGTATATACACTACTTCTCACGCGAAAATTTCCACACCCGACCTGTCTTACCCATCCACTGCCCCGACGACATGAACGAGAATGTTCAATTTTTGTTTTCTCTCTTGCAAGAAGAGGGATCCAAACCACTCAACATTGATCTTATCGATATTATTGGCAAACTCAATGACCCAAAAATCAAAGAGGCGGTAACTGCTAAACGCCTCAAAGACCTAGAAGTGCTGCTGCGTTTCAGACTCTGCCGCCGTGCGCCGTATGTAAACTGGAGAGAGCAAAACTACCAGTATGAGGTAAGCTCAACACTGGTCGATTTGAAAGACACGGAGGAAAACCGACAGTATCTCTGGCTCTACGATGTACTCATCGACATCAAGGTGCTTTCATGGAGCATTCTCCATTAGCTCATGCAGTAACTTCTCAGTCGCTTTCCATGAACACGCAACTTCAATAAGAGAAATTAGCCAAAGGAAAAGCGGCTCTTCATCGACCTTCAGAATATCACGTATATCGATTTCTTGGAGAATATCGAAGTGGAGATGTAACGATGCATCCTTGTTCCGCCGCACGATACTGTGTATCGAGCTCTTTATACTTGTACGAAGTTCTTTTCCAGAGCCGTCAAGGCTTGTGACAGGAAGTCTGAAGATTTTTAGAAGCACATCTCTCTTCTCAGCGTCTGCTTGTAGAAAATCACTTGGAGTTTTCAGCATTGACACAGCGTTCGCGTGCGACTCTGGTCCCACTTGGGCTCGATGGACTTGCTCGACAAACTTCTTGCGTTCGTTCATGTTTGGTTTGAGGTTTTTGCTCGTTGCGCTTGTGTGGTGATGATGAGTTGAAGATGGGACAGATTTGTTACATTTATGCGGATGGTGAGCTTAGAATTGATTCATGAACGGCGATTTTATATCGATGGAGTCAGTAGGGTGTGACATATATGCGAGTCACCATGCACAGACCTTGATGCACTGGTATTGTCACAAGTTGAACAAGTCAAAGCGTGTTATTTCAAACATGTTTCATGATGGGTATTGTGGTGCAAAGAGTCAACCCTTCAAAAGTATATGGCCAAGAAACCGGACCTTATCCATCTCCACACCTCGATCGCGAGTTTGAAGCAGCCATTGAAGCAGTCATCTACCCTCGGAGAAACCTCGAAGAAAAAACTTGCCTCACTTCAATCGTACTTCGGTCATGTGTCTAAAGCATATGAGCCCCATGAAGATTATGCCGAGTAGGTAGAAGAAGCGGAGAATATTGCAGTAGAGACTTTCGATCCAAAGGATTCGGCTTGCTTTTGGTTCCTAGATGCACTTCATGCAATTACAGAAAACGAATTTGAGCAACAGGCACTCATGTACATGACTGGACTTGTTGCGATCGCGGAGGCATGAAATTTCAGCTATCAGACACTTCTCTCTCATGTCCAAATGCCTCGAAGAAGAATTTTGCGACGACGTGACAGGAAAAAGATTGGAGGCGTATAATCGAAAGCTTGCTGCAATGATTTCAATCTTGGACCAGGCGTACGATTGCTTAGCTATTTTGTTTGAGAAGGGCCAGGTGCTTCCTGAACGTTTGAGGGAAGAATAACTAAATTAGTCGATACTTCTTTCCCATCCTTCTACATTTTGAAATCCGAGCACTATTTCTGACATTATTCGTGAGCTTGCTGTGAACGTTGCGATATGTAGCAATCCATACTGAGGTGTGAGAAGTACACAAATCAGGAATTGGTGATACACCACTTGATCCAATATCCTAGGTGCTTTGATTTTCCCTATCCGCGCATGTGATCAACACCGGGAGTCAGCACGAATTATCGCAACATATGGTGATATCGCTCGTGTTGTGACATCACTGTGTAAAGTGGCAGTGAGCTGAGCCTTCCCACCTCCACCACAGCGAAACCCTGCTTCAAAAACCCATGCGGAAGTATTCATCGTTGCACCCTGAGAATACTCTACCGTATGCCTTCCTGTTCACAATTATAACCATGTTATACAAATCGTCCGCTCTCAATATTAACATATATTTCATGACATGATTCTCGCCTTCATACATCCTGAACGACCATTCAGCTCAATCTTGTCATGACATATATGTTGTAATGGTGAGAGAAAGTTCGTGACCACTGGTAATACGTTGTAACTGATGGTGTGCACTAGGCCCCAATCATTTTATAATGTGCGATAACTCAAACAATTGAGACATCTCATCGGGCATAGATTGACAGCACGTGGCAAGTAAAGGTCCGATCAGCAGTCATGTATTGAATAATGACCTTCGTAGGTAGTACCTGGAAGGCCCGATGCTATGCGACAACGAGAATGCGTCGAGAGCTTGCGAATTGAATATATATATCTTGATGAATTTGAAGCCCCATAATCTGCTTCGGCTGCAATTCACACCTACTAAGCCGCACTGATCTACTGAGCTGGCTGAACTGGCTGAGGCTGAGCAAGTGAAAAAGTGCCCTGCTCGTATTTCAGCTTCCTGACCTTGGTGTTGCGGAGGTTGTCCTGGCCAGAGAGCGAGGCATCGGCGTAGTACAACAACCAGTCATCCTTGAACTTGGTGATGGACTGGTGCGTGGTCCATCCCTTGACAGGCTGCAGCAAAGTCGAGTTCCAGTGGAACGGACCATCTGGCTTGGATCCGACGGCGACTTCGACAGTGTGGAAGCTACCGGTAGAGTACTGGAGATAGTACTCGTGGCCAACCTTGTTGATTGAGGGACCTTCGAAGAATCGGCGTGTCGTGTTAGCCTGCATGACTTGGCCGTCCTTGTCGTAGATGACTAGTTCCTTAGGAGCATGTACGAAAGAACGCATATCAGCTGACAACTTTGCGAAGCGAGGACCAAGAGCCGGGCCAGAGCTGGGCTCGTTGGGGCCAAAGGCCGTCTTGTTCTGCATTTGGTCGTTAGCAATGTATAGCTTCGCCGATCTTTGATGGCTTACCAGGGTGTTGTTGGTCCATGCCTGAAGCTGTCCGCCCCATAAGCCACCAAAGTAGATGTAATAGGAGCCGTCAGTATCAGCCAAAACAGATGGGTCGATGCTGTAGCTTCCTGGAATGAAACTTGGCTCGGCCTGGAATTTGCCATCTGGGGTGTCGGAGATCGCAACACCGAGGCGGAAGACACCCTCATGATCCTTGGCTGGGAAATACAGATAGAACTTTCCATCTTTTTCCGTGGCGTCGGGCGCCCACAACTGCTTGGCGGCCCATGGCACATCGGGAAGATCCAAAATCTGGATCGAAATTAGCTGAAGGTCATGTGATAGCAAAATCATCATATATCACCTTCTGGGAGACCTTGGCTGGCGCGCTGATGTTGGTTTGAGTAAGGACGTAGTAGTCTTTCATGTCATACTGTACTACAAGTTAGCGTGCGGATACAATACGCAAGAGGATGAGGGTACTTACTTGGCTGCCACCATCATCGGAAGTAGAAGTACTGTTCCAGTCGTGAGATCCATAAATGTAGACAGTGTTGGGATCATGCTTCCATACGTGGGCTGCAGGATCGCACTGGTGGAAGGCGTTGATAACGGGAGGATCGTAGGCTTGGATCGACATTTTGATGTACGTTGAACAACAAGCGACTAGTCGGGGTGTTATTCGAAGCAACTCGGATGGGGCGCTTGTACCGTATGGATAGCGTCGAAACCAGTACTTATATGTTTAAGCCTCCATGGATTTCGTCAAGCGCACACTTGTGCCTGAAGTTGACATTCCTTTTAGGCAGATCTCCTCGAACAGAGCATGAATTATCGTCCGGAACACCCGAGTTAGAGGTCGGTGTGATTCAAGCCCAGGCGGAGCACCGGCATTCGAGAAACTTGCGGACCGTCTACCTGGGTAGCGCTGACGTGAGTCGGAAAAAGCATACAATTGGGTGGTGGTAACAACCAGCAGAACGGAACAGATGGCTATACGCGGAAGATCCATGCCTCGCATAAGAAATCTAGAAGATAGTTCAGATGCTAAGATGACAGTGACTAGGCGAATGCATGTCGCTCGTGCACAGACGCACCTTGTGTCCGCGACCCTGTTGGTCTTCACAGTTAGAACTGTCTCTAAGGCCAGGAAAGCCAGCCCCTACCAAAGCCAATTCCTGAAGCTAATCTCGCAATCGAGAATGCCAGTATCCCTCAGTGCATACATATAATGCTAGGCTTCAACGACGGCATCTCGGTAGGTGGCCCAACAGGATAGTGGCAAACCGGGTGTAACCTTCCTGTACGCTTACCGCAAAAATATCCTGTCGGAGATATTCCTGCGTTTTGAAGATCACAATTGAACACGGGCCGAAACGGGTGCCGGAGAAGGGATCGCCCCGGCCTCTTGTCGGCCCAACTACTGTTATGACTTGCACACCTTCATAAAAACGTTTGCAAGCCAATCCATGCATCAAACATGACACAATCAGCCCATTCGCTTTCTATGTGATGTTTGTTTGAGACAAAGCATTGCTTGTTGCTCGTTTAGAAACCTTCGCTGAGTGCTGACACAGGTAGCTTAAACGGCTGAGTTGGAAACAGCTACATGGCGTCAGCCCGTCAGCTCGTGGCAACTGCCGAAGATGGCTTTACCCGCCTTTCGAATGATTATCGGCTATAGAGAATTTCCTAGAAACTTTCCAGACAAATACTTACTGTCGGTGAACCACGTGGGGGATATTGCGCTATCTGAAGTATTCGTGACGAAGTGGTCGACGACTGTGAGTGGATCAGCATGCATTTGGAATTGCCTATACAAAGTCTCGTATAACGACTACGTCGCTTGAAGTAAAGCATCAGGGCGCGAGATGCTGAAGCATAGAATCCAACCCATCCTTGCCCGCCCTTTCGATAAATGAGTTGCGAATCGACAGCGGAGGGACTGTTGCGCCATAATCGATGAGACAATAGAACATGCTCATATGCTCATTGAGAAGGGCGCAGAAGATTGCCGGGAGGTCGTCGTTGGACTCAATGGCGTCAGCACCGTGATGGAGCAGTGTCACGACGGCTTTGAGGTGACCGCCTTCCGCAGCTGCAACTACTGCATCAGTCAAATCGTTTGTGTCTCCCTCCTTGATCTTTGTGTATAGTAATTGGCATCCTGCTTCGTGGCCATTCAATTCCGCAGCTCTTAAAGCACTGTTGCGACTGACTTTGTCCCTCTGGAGGAGTAACTGTACCATTCCCACATATCAGCTTGCAGCTGAATGATGCAAGTATGTCTAATCTACTGGTGGGACAGCTCTTATAAAAGCGAGCCGTATTTCTCAAGTAAGTGAATTGCCATATCTGTCCAGCCATTTTCAATATACTGCTTCATGAAACCTTTTTGCCACCACATCTGAATGAGATGTCCGTTCTCGCAATGTCTCTGCATGACATAGTCCCATATTTTGGGTCGTGGGGTCCTCACAGGTCTTGGTATTCTCGTCGCGTTCCCCAGAAACCTATTGCTTGTGGCGTCACGGTTGTAGATGTACTGTACCTGTTCTATGGTACCATGATACCCAGCTGCGCGGAGAATCTTACATACAGCAGGGGTACTGCTCGCGCGACTCAGACAAATTTCAAGCAGCTTCATGGATCCAGATAGGATCCCTTTTCATAACTACTGAAGGAATGGTACTCCGATGCGGACAACATGCGTGGGTCGGAAATGGTGTTGTGACTCAAGTACACTGCGGCTATTTGGGAAAGTGCATCCAAAAAATCGGGACAGAGTGGTCCCACAGGACCTTGATGTCGCGAGAAGATGTCAGTCACTTTTGGTGCTGCCAATTCGGAAAAAAGTCTTGTGATCCTCAATGCTGTCCGTTCCCTAGCAGCAAGTCGCTCAGTGATTTGGCGGATACACATCAGTCTGGTGTTGCCTTGGTTGGTCTCTTTCTTTACGCGGTGCTCGAGATAGGCAGCGATAAACGATGGGAATAGACTTTGTTACAGTAAGTCAAAAGTTCTGCTTGAGCCAGAATTACACACGACAGACGAAGCGTAGTCTCATGTCACGCGCAAGATCGCGGACTACGAATGCTTCGTACAGGATGCACTGGAATAGCTCCAGTGGCAGGTCTACTAGTCCAAGGACTGTCCGCGGTACATGGATATGTTGCAACATTACGGTCTTGATTAACGTGGGTAGCGCTCAATGTTTGTTCCCAAACGACAGCTGAAGTGCTGTTGTAAATGCTGATGCCTATATGGTAGCGTCCCTGTCCCTACATTTGGACTGTGATTCTGTTGTCACCTTTATCGCTTGCATTACAAGAACCGCTATGCAGTAACAATGCTTGTCGCGTAAAATCGCCAACCCTTGTTGGCCCTCTGTTGGTGAGCATGAAAGTAATTTAAAATCGACAACGCTATGAGGAAGGGCATCAAAGTCGAGCCTGTACGTCAAGATAACGCATTGATATTGGTGCAGATCAAAGGCTTCATGTGAAGCGTCCAGTCCCATCTGAAGGTCGCGCCTATCATCTTGGCATATTGCGTCATCGCTGTCTACCTCAGACAGACCTTTCTTTCTACAAACTTTGATGAGTTTTGACGATACTAGTCAAGCGCATGTGGAAAGGGGTAGAGGCTGTTATTGCGATATCCCATTACTACTCAACAATGGTATATCGCTCATACGTCGCAACCCTTAAGGATGACTGGAACGCCGCAAAATGTTTCTCAAACAGTGCGCAATCACTATTTCGACCAGCCACGACTTCTTTCTATCGGAAATTGAACCTACTGCCCAATGTGCCGAAGCGCTCGCTGGTAGTCGATGGTTTTGTTGGACTCTGTGCCGCGACCTGCGCGCCCTCTTGTACCTTCTCCAGTAAAATCGCACCCTTCATGTTATCCACTTTGCCATACTTTCTGTTGCGCTGCGCAACGTCGAAGAACTCATCGCTGTTTTCGGTGCCCATGAGCGCGACGGTTTGTGTCAATTCGTCCAGGTTCTCCATCAAAATGGGGTTGTTGAGCGAGGAGACAAAGTCGGAGAGATAGCGCGTGTCGGTAGCCAGGTCAGCGACTGCTGATGGTGTGATGCGCTTTACTCCCTCATCAAGTGTAAGATCTAGAATCGCGGTGCTCGCGTGTGAAAGCGCATCGAAATAAATGAATTCCTTGATGTCCGTCGGAAGTGCGAGCAAAACGGAGGACATGATGTTCGAGAGGTAGCGCGTAAGCTCAAGCATGTACTCGCTCGGCTCGGCGGCAGGCTTTGTAGCCATCCAGTCGTACTCAGCAGTCTCAATGAGGTCGTCAATCTTGCTGTTTACGAGCTCGAAGATGCGGTCAGATGCTTGCTTTTTGGCAAGCTTAAAGCGCTCTGTGGCTTCCAGGATAATTGGTCCAGTTGCACTTGGTGAGCTTCGTGCTTGGAAAAGCAGATCTTGTAATTCGACGCACGCGACCTCGAAATGCTCCAGGTTCGTCAAAATCTGCACGATCTGGCCGGGATACTGTGAGGAGAGCCGCTCGATGAGTGCCTGGCATACCTTTTGGCACAGTAGGTCGTCCAGCGCAGTGCGAAGGGTTTCGTCAATGATGCTAGACTTTTGGAAGTAATCGTCGCTAAAGAGGTATATTTGGTTGAGGAAGTTGCGAATGTCGATACAGCAAAGCGGATACATCTGAGAGAACGGCAGCACACATGGGAAGCTGTACTTGAAGTTAGTCATGCACGACATGAGAAGCAATGTAGACGTACGTGAGCTACTTCGCGCGTTTTATCAGGCGAATACCAACTGACAGTCACGACCTTGTCGTACTCCTCAACGCTATTAATAGGCATGGGCATGTAGTCGTCCGTTGTAACGATCTCGAGGAAGTCATCGCTGAAGCGTTGCTTCAAAAGTTCTGAGTATTTGGAGAATAGTGTTAGTAAAAGGTCATTCATTGCTGCCACGGAGTATCCCCATTTCTATGCGTCTTGTTAGTAAATGGCCCTGAATTGAGTATGAGGATACACACTTCCATGGTAAGCATGAAGAGTGCTACACGACCCTTAATCCTGAGCAACAGCTCATCGTTTTCCACGGTGTGTAGGTTCTTGGTGATGAGATTGATCGCGCTTTGGCACATCGAGTCCCACAGTTCATCGACCTAGGTAATCTTTAGCGGCGTCTGCTTAAATCTGGAAAATCTGCTTACGTCTGATTGATGTCGTAGGTTGGCAGTCTTAGACATGGTGGCCTTCTCAATGATGGCAAAACCAGCGATACTTTCCAGCAGACTGCTCAAATCGCCACACTCTTCGTCGAGCAGATTCAGCTTAGTGGGTATGATTAAATCCTTCTGGGTCCGTCGATCCGCTGCGTATTCTGTTCTGAACTGATCGCTCTTGCCGAGCGTTTCGTTAATATGCATCGCTTCAAATAGCGGGGAAAAGTCCGTCTCATTGCCAGCCTCTTCGTTGTTCAATACGTCAAACTCGTCGGTCTCATCCGCTACAAGCTCAATTGCAGAGTTCAATTTGAACTTGGAGAAGCGCGGATCGGCCTCAGCTCGATTTTGATTGCGTGTTCGCCTGACATCAGTGTAGTAGAAGGACACCTCGCCAAGAAACTGCGATGACTCTCGAATCCTGAATAGCCATGTGCTGAGGTCCGTCTTGACGGCTTCTCTTATCTGATCCTGCGTCTGGGGCACGGATTTCTCAATCATGTCCGCAATCTTGTATCGGTCGATAGCTTTGAGGTGCACGGTCTGTAGCTCGTCCAGCGCCCGCAGAGCGCCATAGTAGTTCTTCTCGCGCAGCATGTCTTGGACATTATTCGCTATTCTCAACACGTTCAAACAAGCGTTCAAAGCTTGCGTTGCTTCGTTAATATTTTGCCGTACCCCTCGCGAGTCCACCAGCGCCTTCTTTTGCTCCGCCAGTTTCTCGATACTTTCCTGGATCGACTCATTCAGTTCCAGGATGTCACCACTCATTTGGACAGTCTGGTCTCGGATACGAAGCATGGAATCCACAGAGCTCACAAAGTCCTGATGGTTGGCGTTACATATCCGTTCGATCTCAGCCTCGCGATCATTCGAGAATTGATCAAATGCAGATTGCAACTGATTGGAGTACCTTGCATCTTTCATGATAGGTATGAGCTGGTCAATGTAATCTGAGCCCATGGATGACTGGGAAATCTGCCATATGTCAGCTTTGATACAAACTTCCCTCATGCAGTACCAAAACTACCTGTTTGATAGCCATCCATAAGTCGTCCTGGTGATCCACAGCGGAAGGCATGATGAGAGATCCTTGGCGCGTGTAAGGCGCCCTTCACTTCAGCGTGATTTCAATATGTGACCAGAGAAGGCCCCCAAGTATTGTCGATTATTGTCTTATTTGCGACGTGCTGTGCTGATGGTGTCCTGATGTCCAGTGATGAAACGCGTGCCTCGCGCATGCGGCTCAAGGTACGAGATGCGCCCTAGACGAATGCGCTCTAGCTTCGGCTCCTCCCCGGAAGATGCGCGTTCCCCCACCTTCCATTCCGAGGGAGCGTGGCAAGAGCGATGACGGAGCGCGAACGGAGCACCCCGCTAAAAGTTTTGAACTCCGTCGGACTCAACGACAAACGATATAACGTCCAAAGAACTTCTCATATCGATTCAAGCATTAAACCGGTAAAGATGGAAGCTATTACAAGTAAGTACCTGAATTGAATTGGTTTGGACGAATGCTAATGTATGCAGACAAGTTTCAGGAAGTCATTGGCTCAGTCAGCGGTAGTGCTGCTGGAGCATACAGCGGAAAGTGAGTGAATTCAACACCCAGGCGATCATAGTGAAGAAGCTAATCTTTACCTAGGTCGGTCCTTCTGCTCGGTGCAGGCTTCGTGTAGGTAATCAAACGTGCTATGAAAACAGTTAAACTAATGATCAAAGCACGCGACCTACTGCCGATGTTCTAGGAAAGTCGGGCGTCAAAGTCACCGTCGGTAAGAAAAGCAACATGCAATCCGAAATGCCTCTTCTGACTTTTTCCAGCCTGCAGAACTCTCGAGAAGGCACAGGCGCTGGCCAAGGGCATTCCAAATGCCACTGCCATCAGCGTAATATACATGACTTCTAATATACCCTCAAAATACTAACAATGATAGCTCGATGTCAACAACTCTGAAGCTCTTGACGCTGAGGTTCGCAAGGTCGATCTTGTCATCAGTTTGATCCCCTACACATTCCACGCAACTGTCATCAAGTCGGCAATCCGGGAGAAGAAGAACGTTGTCACTACGTCATACGTGTCTCCTGCAATGATGGAGCTCGATGCTCAGGCCAAGGAGGCCGGTATCACAGTCATGAACGAGATCGGTGTAGATCCTGGTGTCGACCATCTCTCGGCTGTCCTCACCATCGACGAAGTACACAAGGCCGGAGGCAAAATCTTGTCCTTCAAGTCGTACTGTGGTGGTCTACCCGCACCTGAGAACTCAGACAACCCTCTTGGATACAAATTCTCGTGGAGCTCCCGCGGTGTTCTGCTAGCACTCAGGAACCAGGCAAGCTACTACCAGGACGGCAAGGTCAAGACAGTCGAGGGCCCTGAGCTCATGGCTGAGGCTAAGCCTTACTTCATCTACCCCGGCTACGCGTTCGTCGCCTACCCTAACCGTGACTCTACCCCATACAAGGAGCGATACAACATTCCCGAAGCACAGACCATCGTCCGGGGTACTCTACGGTACGGCGGATTCCCAGAGTACATCAAGTGCTTGGTCGACATTGGGTTCCTTTCAGAAGATCCCAAGGACTTCCTCAAGGAGGGCGAGAAGCGCACATGGAGGGACGCTACGGCCAAGGTCCTCGGCGCATCGAGCGACAAGGATGAGGACATCATCTGGGCCATCAGCTCCAAGACCAAATTCGCTACCACAGAAGAGAAGGAGCGCATCATCTCGGGTCTCCGCTGGATCGGCCTCTTATCTGATGAGCAGATCATCCCCCGCGGCAACCCTCTCGACACTCTCTGCGCTACCCTTGAACAGAAGATGCAGTACGAGGAGGGCGAGCGTGACATGGTCATGCTCCAGCACAGGTTCGAGATCGAGAACAAGGACGGCAGCAAGGTCGTACGCACATCGACGCTAGTGGAGTACGGAGACCCCAAGGGTTACTCTGCCATGGCTAAGCTCGTCGGTGTGCCGTGTGCGATCGCGGTCCAACAGGTGCTCGATGGCACGCTGAGTGAGAAGGGAATTCTCGCACCCATGAGCCCAGAGATCTGTAGGCCACTCATGAAGACGTTGGAGGACCAGTACGATGTACGTTTCAAGGAGAAGACTGTCCCTCTGTAGACTAGAATTGCATTGTCGAAGCTCAGGTCATGGCCGCACACGCTCTCGTGAATATAGAAGGATAGATAAAACCTAAATAGCATGAACATCCCTGCCAGCAAACCCTTGGACGAGCCGTTTGATATCCACTTCGATCGTCTTGATGCGAATACTATCATAATATCTCAACATCTCGCAACCTGTATCGCAACAACCATGATAGTTTACGATTGGCAAGTAGAACAGTCATGTCAGCTGAGTTCTATTCACGCACTAGAAAAGAAAATGTAACATGATTCTCTTTGCATTCAGTTAAGGATTAACAAGAATGTGCATCACCGGTGGTGATGGCCCCACATGACGACTAAAGAGGTTGAGTATGCATCCTGAATGCGGGGAACACGGCGCACCTACTTCCCATGATTGGCAAGACTGCGAATTGCTCCGCTCTTCGGGTTCAAATTACCGGGAGTAAGTTGAGGCAGTCTTGCCTATCAGTCCAGGTACATACATATTCTACATCAGAGACCTAATCGTCATCCTTGCACTCTCAATTGAAACAACATCGCCCAAGATGCCAGGTCCTCTCGCCGAAGCTTCACACTTCAAAACCATTACTTTCAAAGAGCTTCATCCCAGCTATGGTGCAGAGATAATTGGAGCCGACTTTGAGAATGCGACCGACGAGCAGTTTCAAGAGATCAAGTCTGCTATGGCCAAGGTACTACCTTCCAAGTTGCTTATCACGATGTACTTCTAATGAGCATATCTCTCACAGTATGGTGTTCTGGTCTTCCGCAACACTGGGCTGTCCGATGCCAAACATGTCGAATTCTCGTCACGCATCGGTGCTCTCGACAACGTACGCCGGTATCTGACTGGCGGGCGGAAGCTGCGATACACGCATTACGAGCTCTTCGATGCTGGGAACGTGGACGAGGAGGGCAACGCCATCGACCCGGACTCACCTCGTGCACACTACAACAAAGGAAACGCCCTATTCCATGTCGATTCGAGCTTTAATCCACGTCGAGCGAGCTGGTCGTTGTTGCGCGCAGTCAAATTACCACCGCCGGGTATGGGAGGCGAGACAGAATTCGCTGATAGTCGAACGGCATGGGACGACTTGGATGAAGACTTTAAGATAGAACTCCTAGATTGCGACCTCGTGGGCGCACACACGCTCTTACACTCGCGCAAATTGGGGTCGCCCGAGTTCTTCGCAGACTTGGTACCCGAGTCAGAACCAATGATGCGGCACAAGATCGTGCAGACTCATGAACCGTCTGGTCGTACGAATTTGTATCTATCTACGCACTGTCATCATCTGGAGACGTCAGACTGCAAACCACTCCCTGAGAGCGAAAGTGCGGCGTTGTTCGAGAGATTGCTAAAGCATGTCACGCAGCCAAAGTACATCCTGAGTGTCGACTGGCTCAACGAGGGTGACATGGTTGCATGGGACAATACTGCAGTCATGCATAGGGCAACTGGCGGTAGCTTCGAGGGTAAATTTGTGAGGGACATGCGGCGCACGACGGTGCATGACGACAGCTCTACGGCTTGGGGCTTGAACGCTGGACAAGAGGCGCGTGGCTTCAATCTACAGACCTCCAGTGGGACGACCGTAGAAACGACAGTGGCTCCAGTGAATATCAAGGTGTAGGAAGCGTTGTGGTGTTTCATTCGAACTACCATCGATTGTCACAGGATGCACATACTCATTGCAAGGGCGAGCCGGATCTTGCGGAACTTTGGGAATTGCTCTAGGGACCTTCTTTACGATATGAATTCACTTGAGACAAGTCATTCAAAGTTGGTGTTGGGAGGGAAATTGGTAAACAAAAGCGTTCATTGTGATGGTGCTTCAGCCAATCATGTCGCATTACGTCATTGTTCGATCCAAGCCTCAGCCACTTTTGCCATCCACCTCATGAATGATTCCAACATTATGAGACCTAGAATTAATCCTGCTTCACGACATCTGACCTAAATACTCAAACCACGCCTTACTCTTATTTTACTACAGTTTGTCGCCTCCCATTATGGTCTTCGGCTTGAGTCGCCTAACGCCGCGCCGCGTCATAATCTTTACATCTGCATCAGTACTTTTCTGGTTATTCGTCTTTAGTCTAACTCCCATTACATCGCCGCTTCCACCATACACCGGGCCTCATGAAGTTGGTATCCTGGATGTAGAGACTGAGGTGCAGAAGAGAGTCATTCATGACGCGATATTGAAGGAGACGGGAGAGAATGCATTCGAACTTTCAACACTCGCAATAACGCTGTACTATCCATCTTCCTTACCACTAGCATCGCCCAGTCGACGACCTTGGGCGCGTCCGTGGCTTCCGCAGCCTATTTCTCTCATTGGCACTGGATACGCACGACTTGCAGGTATTTCGTTCGCACCGCTGCAGTCACTGTTCACTTTTGGCCTTTGGCTGCTTGGATCTAGCACTGTGATCCCAGGTGTTGTCGATGCGCCCATCCTCAGCAGCGCGGAGAAGATTTTGGGAGATGACGGCGCTGGCGCTGGAGGTCTTGGCAAGGTCATTGAGCAAGAACATCAAGAACTAAAGCGCGAAGACGAGGTTGGAATTCTACCATGTGTGGTCTTTACGCATGGTATGGCTGGTATGAGCCAGAGCTACTCACACTACCTTGGTAGTATCGCTAGTCACGGCTACGTCGTAGCCGCAGTAGAACATCGGGACGGAAGTGGCCCTGGCACCATCGTTCACTACCCCGATGGCAAGGAGAAGAAGGTCTGGCATATGAAGTTGAAAGACTTGAAGTCTGACCCACCCATGACCGACTTGGACCTCAAGGCCGCACAACTTGCATTCCGCGAAGCCGAAATCAGCGAGACAATAAAGCTATTTGCACAACTCAACGCCGGCGATGCACCCGTTGTCAACCTAAAGCCCGATTCCCCACGTGAAGCTCTTCCTGGCTTCAAGGGCCGTCTCAACCTCGCCGCTGTCACTGTAGCCGGGCACTCTTACGGTGCGACAGGCGCCATGCAGGCCCTGAAAGCCGCCGGAACCAAAGCCATGCCCACTAATGGCGGTATCGCGCTCGACCCCGGGAAAGGATCTGGCCCACTCAACAAAGACATCGACGTGCCCGTGCTGGTCATGCAAAGTGGCGAGTGGACAGAGAAGCAAGTAGACTTTTACGGACAGGGCCAGCATTTCGATGTTGTTCGGCGCATCATCGAAAGTGTGAAGGAAGGGTGGTTCATGACGCTGTGTAAGTTTGCTCCCTCCTATTTCTCTTTCGCAATGTTAATACAAGACAGCTGGCACCGCGCATCCATCCTGCACTGACGCTCCTCTGATAGTCCCGTGGATCATGAAAATGGTCACGGGCACAACGCTCAATCCGCGCATCGCTCTATTCAACTACATCGACGCATCTGTAAAGTTCCTCGAGTACCTCCAAACAAGAGAGAAGAAGGGAGTCCTAGCGAGTCCAGTGACGAGTAAGGCTGGGCCACTGGGTGATGCTGAGAAGCGCGAGAAGTTTGAGGGGCAGTATGATGCGCAATGGGAGGTCCATGTTATTCCCAAGGAGTAGTGTATACAGGTAGGGTGTAAAAGTAGTTGTAATAATGATAAGCGTTAGTGTGGTAATTCGGCTGAAAGTGTCAATATGATATGAAAAGAGCGAGATATTATACCAGTTCCATGATTGCGACAGTCAAAGCATGTACTTGTACATTGCAGGCTGCCTTGATCTACTATAACAACTCATAATATACATGCAACAATCCTCTCTATCCACACATTCCACCCTCCTTCATACCTCTACCACGTCCCAACCCACCACGCGAACCCTCCAAGACCTATAGTGACCCCCAAATGCCACGCCAACCCCCACGCCATCGCAAACAAAAACTTCGGGCTAAACACCGTCCAAATGAAAAGATGCTGCCTCAACGCGGTACAAGCCACCATAACACTCGTCAACATGACTCCCGTCCAGAAAGTCAACAGACTCGCATGCCCGACCCAAGCCCTCTTATCCTTCCTATCATCGCGACTCTTCTCCTCCTTCCTCGCCATATCGTTCAAGAAATTATGCTCTTGTGCGATCCAATCCGCCTTGTGCAGTTCCGCGGTGTTGATGAAGCGTTGCTGTTTGCCGTGGGCGCCGAGGAGGAGGACGCCGGCAAGTGACCAGTATACAGGTCCGGCCCAGTTGGAGAGGAAGACGAGGAGGCCGACGGCGAGGACGTTGTAGCCGGATACGCCGTTGTAGGAATTGGAGAGGTCGATGGAGGAGATGGAATTGCTGTTACCGAGAGCGAAGAATGAGGTTTGAGTTAGGAGGAGGGTGGTGAGAGTTATGGCGGTGGGGGAAAGGTCGATAATTGCTGGGGGGAGGTTAGATGGGTGGTAGAAGAGGTGGGAGGGGGCTTACTGAGGAAGAAGAATTGCAGGCGGAAGAGCATATAGAGGGGTATGTTGTGAGCTTTTGTTTGGGTGAGGAGGAACAGGGTGGTTAGGTCGAAGAATGCGACAGCAAGGTCTGCGATGAGTTAGCGAGTGTCAACGACTTCTAAGGACGAGACAACGTACCACCGTTGCCCTCTCGACCTCTCTTTGCTCTCGTCCTGCTCCTCTGCCACTCAGTAAAAGTGATCCAGCCTCCGCTCAAGGCAATGCCACCGAATACCATTTGCGCAAGACCGACGAGGTCGAGTGCTTCCAGAGAGTCCATCATGCCTCCAGATAGACCGTATGTAAGCTCAGGTGCATCTTTCGCAGTGAACGCGAGCTTGAACGCAAAGGCTGTTGCAGTCAATGGCAGAACAGCAATCGTTCCCATCAGACGATTAACGTCGGTAGGTTCAGCGTCCAAGCTCTTTTTGCTTTGGTCGCCGTCGAATGTGGCGATTGAGCGAGCAACATGCCCAGCCAAGCGGAGTGTGACATCCATGTATGTCGCTCCGACTAGGGACCAGAGCACAAAGCTGTTACCGTGGAAGATACCACTATTGACTATGTCGTCTGCTCCAGCATACTTCTGGCCCGTCTGATTCCATCTCCGGATCACTCGATGTAGGACGAGAGCCATAAGCGCTGGGTGGAACATCCACCGAATCGTCCAGTCTTTGCGTTGGCTCTCGATGAAGACAACGAAGAACCAGCCTGATGTGGCCCAGTACCAGAAGTTGTGTTCTTCCTCGACATAGGAAGACGCGAACATAAGGACGCCGTAGAGCGCAAGGGTCATGATGTAGTAGACGCCAGCAGGTGAGATCGGACGAAGCTTGGGTAGTGTAAAGAAGCTCAAGCAGCATATGAGGAATGCTAGAGCACTTCCAATGAACAGGCGAGGCACGTCGTAGTTGGATGCCGCACCGGACATGCTTTCTTGAGCTTCGCGCATGAACTAGAAGGCGTCAGTAACCATACCACAAGTGGGTTTCGAGCACGCTATCTTGGGCAATGGAATTTCCATACCTTGTACAGGCTGTCCGACATTGTACTCCGATTTTCAAAACCCTTCATCACGTCTTGCCAGGCGCATGCCAATGATTGACCGTCGTTCAGGCTTTGGGCCTATCACACATCAGTAGGCATTCTTGCTAGATCAGATTGGCGACTGACCTTGCCACATTCGAACCCCATTTCCTTAGGTATGACTGTCTGCTCGTCGAACCTCAAATTCGAGAACTTGGCTTGCACGATCTTCTTGATCTGGATTGCATTACGGTACAACAGTTGGAGTCGATCCTCATCTAGCCTCGTCAGATTGAAATTTCGAACTCAGTCAAGGTACTTACCTCTATCCCAGAATCCCAGGAACTCTTCTAGAAACACCCCGAGATTATTCTTTGGAACTGGGAATCCCAGTAGACCGGCGACCGTAGGTGCAATATCACTCTGTTCTACCATCTGGTAGTAGTCGAATTCAGTACCAGCTTTCGGTGCTGTTGGACTGCTTCGCTTCGATTTGCTTGTAACTTTGGTGAGCTTGGGGCTCATGAAGACAAGCGCAGGCGATGTTTCGCCGGGTGAGGATCCGCCGTGATTGCCGCCTTCATTCATGCCATGGTCGCCGCAGATGACGAACAAGGTATTCGCAAGGTGGTCTTCGTTCTCGATGGCGTTGTATATGGTCCGGACCATTTCGTCCATTTCCTTCTGCTTTGGAACCATGTTGGGGCTATTTTATCATCAGTATATTCCTCGTCCTAGATCGCGCGAAATTGACCTTTTAGGACCAGCCTTATGCCCAATATGATCGAGGCCCAAGTAGTGCAATATCATCGCGTTCCAGTCACTGTTCAGCAACTCCTCGGGAATATGCCTCGTCACATTATTATCCACTTCTGTAAAGTCCTGCACGCGCCATGAGAGTCAACATTGTATTCTTCCTATGTACACTGGGTGGATGCTGCGCACTGACCGAAACAAAAAAACTGCTCGTCCCATCCGCACGCTCGAAGAAGTCTGGGAACAGCTTCAACCACGTGTCGTCGCCGTACATAACTAGCTTTCCTTTGCGATTGTCAAAGTCCTTGGCTTTGATTTGCGCAAGCCAGGTGTCTTGTGTGCCCAGCGTGGAAGTGGTGTCTGACTCGGCGAAGTTGAGAATTACGTCTACGAATGAGGGGATGGAGCCCGTGGTAATGGCTTTGACGCGAGGCATCGTGATGGTAGGAGAGGTAGCATGAGCTGTGAAAGGCAGCGCGGTGCCGTCTCGAATCAGACTGGATGGCAATTAGCTATTTGAAGGTCCTTTACAGGTTTCTAAGTAGTCTTACCTCTGCACAAAGCTCATCCCACTCTCCTCACCAAATACGAAATCGCTCCTCAGCGCATCCACGACCATGAAGACCAGCTTGTCGAATGGCGCCGCGGGGATCTTCTGCGTGCCATCTCCCAACGCGCTGTTCGATTCTGTATCCTCATACAAAGCCAGTCCCGGCATAAACGGCTTATACGGAAAGAATCCAGTCGCAAACACGAGAATCGCAACCGGAATGAGCAGATTCGCCAGCGCGAGTAAAACTGTCCGGGCCGCCATTGCCGCGCTCTCACCTGCCACTTAGTCTCTCAATACAATCTTCCAAGCGATGGAACGTTATACAAGGAGCGACATTAAATACAAAGAAAAAAGCCTGCGAACAATCCATCATGGTGCAACTCCGCGACGCGACGTCTCCCAAACCCTCAATCCAGGGTCCAAGCTCCCATCCCCGATGCGCTTAGCCGAGACGCCAGAGCAGCCAATGACATCACCAAAGCAACGAGGGCACATCCGCGGCGAGCGAGGGCTTGAGCAATTGACCTCTACATGTCTCGGACGCTGTGTACCAATTCCCTTCCTATATTTCGAAGCTTTAGGCAAAGTATCTCGACGAGTGGTGCTGTGTACTTGTACTCCACCCGAGCAGCGAACACCGGCTCAGCTGCCATACACGTGGGATCAGCGCGCAAACCTCGGAGGATCACCAGGAGCCATCCACGGGAGGATTTAAAAGATCAATTGACCGCCTACCTGCAAACCCAATATCCTCCTGTCAAGAAACACGGAAATTTCAAAATGTCGTTTCTCCTCCCTGGCCTCCGTCGCGGCCTAATGGTCAGCACCCCCCTCATCCTCTCCACTCCGCTGCTCCTGCAATACCGGCACTCCCAGCGCATCCGCTGCGACGCCGCAGATCCAATCAGCAAGATCAAGAACGACTTGATGGGCAACTATGCATCTGAAGCGCGGACGCCCGTCATCACCGAGTCTGGAGCTGCGAATCCACAGGCTATCCGGCAAGTTAGTATGGGCTCGATTCTGGGTGTGTTAGGGGGATTGGGGATTAGTGTGTTTAGCAAGCCGTTGGCGATTTTGATTGGGTTGGGGATTGTGGTTTTGCAGGTACGTTTTGAGGTGGTGAAGAGTAATGGAAGGAAGTCTATTGGGGGTTTCTATATGCCATATATGCGAAGGACGATGCTAACAGACATGCTAGGCCATTGAATCCCGAGGAATCCACATAATCCCATACTCATTTCTGCAGCGGCGCTTCAAGCAAACGAATGTTCGCTCGCTGGTGCGGGATAACGTCGCGTTCAAGCTATCCTTTGGCTTGACGTTTGCTCTGGCCGCATTCGCCGAGTTCTAATCAGTAGGTGTTTTGCAGGCTCAGGCCGTGGATCATCTGGTGAGGAGTCATGGCCTGTGGTTGCAACTGCATCTGGAGCTGTTTGCACGTCTGCCAGAAAGCCTTGACGGCTTCCCTGAACGCGTTTGAGTTCTTTGCGTTTCTGTGTATATATCAGTACCTGTATGCGAGGGAGGGTGATTGGAAGCCTACCGAATCATACTCTCGATGAACTTGCGGACTACGTCCTGCACCATGGAGTCCTGCTGATAGCGCTGTAAAAGTGGCTGCTCAGTCAGAGCGTTGGTGATGTATGTTCGAGCGTTCTTGTCAGATTTGATCAAAGCACGTAACGGTATGACGATGTGGTCGAGACTTGTCTGGTCCACCTCACCGCATACGTTCGAGATCAGGGCGAAGGTTATCGATGGGCCGAAGTGATTGATGATGTCTTGCGCAGTGCCTTGGTGTGGACCATGTGTATTGCTGGCTAGCTCGAAGATGTCCTTCCATAGTTTGGCTGCTGCCCGCTTCGGGAGCACCTCAGGCGACTTGACTGATTCGATGGTAAAACCGAACATGCCGGCAAGGATGTTTGGCTGCTGTTGGATAAGGATCTGAGGATTTGAGTTGATGAAGTTCTGAAGCAGTTCGAGACAGCCCACAGAGATTTCAGGGTCGTTGCGTGGATGTTCTAGCGCTTGCATGATGCCAATATTGTGTTGTAGCAGACGCTGTGCATTCTCAGCGAATCCCACAGGAGGGCTGTGCTTGAAGGAAGACAGCCAGCAACACGCCGTGTCTAAGACGAATGGAAGCCTGGGAGTCTGAGCGTTTGTCTTCGTGATGAAGTCGACAGCTGCTGAAGGTGGCAGCACAAATGGGCCAGGTACGGTTTCCTTGAAGCCGGTACGGAGAACGTTGCATGCTGCTTCGATGATCTCGTCATTTCCAGGAAAAACCTGCGTTAGGTAATTCACGAAGTTGATGATCTGGTTCTGGATCTCTTTCCCGGGTCCTTGCAGCCAGAAGGTCGACTGGTCTTTCTCCGTCGCAAGATCGACCACGTCTTCATCCAAAGCCTGAAGCGATCGGCCAATGGTCGTCAAGCACTTGAGTGTTGTGAGTGCCAGTACTTGCCCGTGCTCCAAATCCCTGCCCTCTTTGGTCACGTTGATGGCTTGCATAGCGTCCTGCGCGACGTAGTGAAAGAGCTGACGCACGCCCGCCAGCTTTTTCTCGTCCGTATCAAGGGACTGTACGATAGCTGCGATACCTTCGAGCACCTTGCTCTTTGTGAACTCCTCGGCGGTCTGATATGTGAGAAACTGCTCGTACATCTGGAAGAAGGAGCCCAATTCTTCTGTAAGGGACTTCCGACATTCTGAGCATAGTTGGGCAAAAGATTTTGCGGCGCTTTGTGCAGTGGCAGGGTGAGCCAAAGCTGAGAGTAGGAACGGCAGGACTTGCGGTAAAAAGCGAGGATTCCGAAGGAAGAAGTGATTGAGGACTGCGATCGCCTCCACAGCTGTTCTCCGTGTAATGGCAGGCACTCCATCAGTTCCAGATATAGTTGAGAGAAAAGCTTGGTCAAATAGACGGTACAAGCGCTCATCAACTGACTCGTTGAATGCATCTGCAATGGAGACGAGACCAAATAAACCGGCTTCGAGCTTCAACCATTCGCCTCTTTCAAGTGCTTGCAAGCTGAAGTCAATGAACTGGTCTGTTAGGGCATCGCGAAGACATTCGTATGCTTCCGCAATGATGTCCCGAACGTCCATGCGGAAGACTTTAAAGGTTTTCTTAGCATCCGCATCCCAGGATTCCAGGACGTCAGTTGGCGGGTAGATGGTCTTTTGCGCGAGCTCCGACACTGCTTGGAAGACCTCAGATTTTGCGCCTTGCATCCAATCTGGAATCTTGTTCTCCTCGCCATCTTCCCCAAATGGCGGGTGCATGAACTGTTCCTCGGCGATTGCGCTCACATAGTTGCTCCAGAAGTCAAGGACTACAGGTGCAACCTCATCCTCGTCGCCTACGCACTCAGGGAATTTAAGCAGGTCGTGCAGGAATGCTATATCAGTCGTTAGATATCATGTCCACGAATTGAGAGCAGTGAGAATGGTGGAGCTCGACTTACATAGCACCTGCTGGTTGTGTGAGATGTTTGGGAACTTGTAGAGATCCTTGGACTCTAGTAAGGTTGTTCCGAAAGCAACGATGATTCTAGCAAGCGATACTGTCTCCGCGTCGGAGTTCTTGAGAATTTCTATTCCCCATGGTCCTGCAATCGCTGACCAGAGCATGTCTTGATGCTTTGCTTCAAAGAACTTGGGGTAATTTTCTAGAATGTCGGCAATGAACTCCATAGTGTCTTCGACATGGTATTCTAAGCAAGTCAAAACAAGCTCAGTCGCCGACCGAAGATGTTTCAGTTTCTCGGGTTCATCGCGAAACTCGGCTTGAGCATAGAACACCCATCCCTGTTTTGTTAGCAGCAGTTGGTGCATGCGTGGAAGGCACTCACTATGAAGCACTTTAGTGCAGCTACGCAAATCTTTTCGCCTTGCTGTACTGCTTCTGCGAAATTTGGATTATTGATCGGCACTGATAGCCACTTGATACCGCGACCGAATGCCACATGCAATATCACCTCTATGCTCTCGGCCTGAGCAACCATGCGCTCGTGTGGCTTGCGACTAATGATGTTAGCATGTCGCCGTATTTGTGGAGGTAGCTAAACTTACTCCCTGGTGTTGGAGGGCTTCTTTGCTTCATCTGCCAAGCTCATACCAAAGTCAAGGAGAACAAGAAGCTGGTCATCCGATAATCGTGGTAATAGATCCCATGTCGAAGGATGTTGATCTAATGCTTCGTCCAGCACAGGCTGCCCGACAGCAAATGAGACAACTAAGCTGCGGATGCACTGGGTCCATACTGAAATGGGTTTGATGAAGTACTGCGCTAGAGTCGACGTCACTTTGCGTGTAGCGATCGAAGTTGCTGGTCGCGATACTAGATGGTTCTGAGTCGTTAGCCATGGACTTTCCGGATACCAGCTTTGCGAACGTACAATGAGAGTCGAAAGCAGTTGCTCTGAGTGTTCCTCGGTAAGCTCAGCGCTGTTCACATGGTTAGTGACAGTGACATGAGATCGTTGTGACACTTACGAATCTGCATTCAGTTTGACGGTCAATGTCAGCGCTCCGAAAAACCGCACTTGTTCGTCATTGCTCTTAAGAAGGGCGTCTGCGATTTCCCATCCTTGAGGTGATCGCTGGAGGACCCTCAATGTTGCTTCATTTTGGGAGATCTTCTTCGCGTTGCCAGGGTCATACAACGACTTGACCAAGCGCTCGATTTCGTCGAAGGCCAGGGGAAATGCCTGCGCTGTTTGACTTGTGGCGTTCGCCATGTCGAGTTTTTTCGGAATGTCGTCAAAGTTGCTTGAGCAAGGTCAGAGTTATCGTCAATAGTGCTCGCTATGACGCGGCGCACGGACCATCAAGTATTGACGCTAGGCTACGAATCTGGTGGAGTGAAAGATGTGCAAGATTTGACGAGAGAGGTTGAGGAACTTGTGGAAGAAAATGGAAAGAAAGCATTCGCGAAGGATTAATGCTAGCAAACAATTGAACAGACTTACTCGTACTAAGATTGTCGAAACCCTTTGCAAGCAAGGGATCAGATATTATAGCTGAAGAGGCATACTCTGCCCTGTTTTCCATGTATGTTCAAGGTGTGGTGTTGCTCACGTGCCCAGATGGCATGCGTCTAGCGGGGGGAGTGAACGTGGTGGGAGGCGATCGGACATGCACGGCCACAACGCACATGCATCTTTACACGGGCTGGAGGAATTGGTGTCGCGGTTGGACAGTCTAAGATTCTGGGGCTAGATGGCGTCCGACAGTGGTGACAGATGTGCCTGGTGTCGACAGGGAAGGAAGGTGGGCTGCGCTTGACCCGCTAAAATGCCGCGGGACGCTCTTTCCTTTGAGCTGCAGCTATCGGCGGGGCTTGAGGCTACCGAACATAAGCTCGATATGCTCACACGCCTGCTACGGCGCACACATGTAGCCGTCAAACACCCATTGCTTGCCTCCAGAGCCTTCCACACGTCTCCTGCCCTCCGCGCCATCGACATGGCCAAAGTTGACACCACCGAGCGGCTCGCCGAGCTCCGCAAGCTCATGAAGGAGCGCAAAGTCGATGTCTACAGTACACATAGCCTGTCGCGGTACCCAGCAGACACGTCGCTAATCTATGCATAGTGGTACCATCGGAAGACAGCCACCAGAGTGAATACATAGCACCGTGTGATGCACGCCGAGGTCAGACCCCCGCAGCCATCGCGGCCTAGCTATTGACCGGTCCCAGCATACATCAGCGGCTTTACTGGCTCTGCCGGCTATGCAGTTGTCACACACGACAAGGCGGCCCTCGCGACCGACGGCCGGTACTTCAACCAGGCTGAGAAGCAGTTGGACAGCAACTGGGAACTGTTGAAGCAGGGCATACAGGACGTACCCACCATCCAGGAATGGACCGCAGACCAGGTAGAAGGAGGCAAAGTCGTGGGCGTCGACCCTAGTGTGGTGACGGGGGCCGATGCCCGCAAGCTCGCCGAGAAGATCAAGAAGAAGGGCGGCGAATACAAGGCCGTGGACGACAACCTTGTGGACCTGGTGTGGGCAGCTGAGCGTCCCGCGCGTCCTAGCGAGAAGGTCATTGTGCAGCCCATGGAGTACTCGGGCAAGTCGTTCGACGAGAAGGTTGAGGACCTGCGCAAGGAGCTCGAGAAGAAGAAGAGCCTCGGCTTTGTCGTTTCTATGCTGGACGAGGTCGCGTGGCTATTCAACCTCCGTGGTAACGAGTATGCAGTCGCGCACACATCAATGACAACAGTCTACTAACCCCGTACAGCATCCCATACAACCCAGTCTTCTTCTCCTACGCCGTCATTACCCCAACAGTGGTCACGCTCTACGTCGACGAAAGCAAGCTCCCGAAAGAGGTCAAGGATCATCTAGGGGATAAGGTCGCCATTCGCCCCTATGAGGCCATATTTGGGGATATCACTGCCTTGAGCAAAGATGCGTTTGAGGCGGCGGATGCAGATGCGACAAAGAAGTTTCTTACCTCGAATCGTGCATCATGGGCATTGAACAAGGCGCTCGGCGGGGACGACAAGGTGGAGGAGATCAGGAGTCCTATTGGGGATGCTAAAGCAGTCAAGAACGAGGTCGAACTCGAGGGTATGCGCCAATGTCATATTCGCGACGGCGCAGCTATCTCCGAGTACTTTGCCTGGCTCGAGGACCAATTGCTCAACAAGAAGGCTACGCTTGATGAGGTGGATGGGGCAGACAAGCTCGAAGCCATTCGGAAGAAGCACGACAAGTTCATGGGGCTATCCTTTGACACCATCTCGTCCACTGGACCAAACGGCGCTGTCATCCACTATAAGCCGGAGAAGGGAGCGTGCTCGATCATCGACCCAAATGCCATCTACCTGTGCGATTCCGGTGCGCAATACCACGACGGCACCACTGACACCACGCGGACGCTGCATTTTACCAAGCCCACGGACATGGAGAAGAAGGCATACACTCTCGTCCTCAAGGGCAACATCGCTCTTGAGCGTGTCAAGTTCCCCAAGGGCACCACTGGCTTCGCGCTGGACTCTATCGCTCGCCAGTTCTTATGGGCTGAAGGTCTCGATTACCGACACGGCACTGGTCATGGTGTTGGCTCATTCCTCAATGTACACGAAGGCCCGATTGGTATAGGTACCAGGGTGCAGTACTCCGAGGTCTCGTTAGCGGTCGGTAATGTCATCTCGGACGAGCCAGGCTACTACGAGGACGGTAAGTTCGGTATCCGGATTGAGAACATGATTATGGTCAAAGAGGTGGAGACGAACCACAAATTTGGCGACAAGCCGTATCTAGGATTCGAGCACGTCACCTTGACTCCACACTGCAGGAATCTCGTCGACATGACCCTGCTCACGGAAGACGAGAAAAAGTTCATCAACGACTACCACAAGGAGGTCTTCGAGAAGACGAGCAAGTTCTTTGAGAACGACAAATTGACTATGGACTGGCTCAAACGCGAAACCGCGCCGTACTGAGAAGACGGCATGTTGGAGCATGACACAAGATTTTGCATTCGATAGGACTCGTCTTGGGCATGTAAGAGGGATTGGCATTGCATCGGCGCATTTCAGCATCGCACATCTTCAGCATGTTGCCGGGCGTTCCAGTCGTTGAATATCTTTCCAACTCTGTTGTCGCAATGCAGTCATAAATATACCCCTGTTACACCAGGCACGAATACTACAATTTCGCACTTATGACAGAACGGCGACCAGAGTGCAAGATCCGGCAGCTCATACAATAACCTGAAGCTATACGCAGCGCCTTTCTGTCACATTCGAAGCTCGATAAGATTGCGTATAGATCCAGGCTACTTGATGGCCTACAGTTCACTGTCCAAATATTCAGGCAATATCCTCGTGACTAAGCGCGGCTATTCACGGTGGCACTTTGTACGCTACCCAGCTGCTTATGTGTCAGTCAAGGGCGTGCTAGGTTCTAGATTTAGCGGGGCATGCTGCATGCCGGCTCCTACTCCGGTTCGGAGAAGGGATCATGGTACTGCTAACGGGCAAAAAATGTCTGTCGATGCCGCGGTGCAGTCGTGCAGGTAATACACTCCTTGAGTCACTCTACAGATCGTTCCGACTCGGACTCCATATTTCTCACCTTCACGACCCACTCTTTCCTCTTATACCCGTAGACCCTTCTGGAGTTGCTTCTACATCTTGCTCCTTTCACATTTAATTGACATTCGACACTTACCACACACACACACGATGGCAACCGAACTCCCCACGACCAACGGCCACGGTGCTCAGGATGGTGAGAACAACTTCGCCGTCAAGGCTGGATTGGCAAGGATGTTGAAGGGTGGTGTCATCATGGATGTTATCAACGCCGAGCAAGTGAGTTTGGAGTCATTCTTTGCCCTCACGTGTGTCAATTCTAATATCATGAAAGGCACGGATAGCAGAAGAAGCAGGCGCCTGCGCCGTCATGGCCCTCGAACGTGTTCCCGCCGACATTCGATCACAGGGCGGCGTAGCCCGTATGAGCGACCCCCAGATGATCAAAGAGATCATGGACACCGTCACGATCCCCGTCATGGCCAAAGCCCGAATTGGCCATTTCGTCGAATGCCAGGTACATATGCCAACCCTCCGAACGCCCCTCTTCACCCCACTAACACCCCCACCAGATCCTCGAAGCCCTCGGCGTCGACTACATCGACGAATCCGAAGTCCTGACCCCGGCCGACGCCATCCACCACGTCTCCAAACACCCCTTCCGCATCCCCTTCGTCTGCGGGTGCCGCGGGCTCGGAGAAGCCCTGCGCCGCATTTCCGAGGGCGCGGCCATGATCCGCACAAAAGGCGAAGCCGGCACCGGCGACGTCATCGAAGCCGTGCGCCACATGCGCACCGTCAACTCTGAGATTGCGCGCGCAAAGGGCATGAGCGACGAGGAGCTGCGCGTGTACGCAAAGGACCTACAAGTCGACTTCGCGCTGCTCAAGGAGACGGCGAAGCTGGGTCGTCTGCCCGTCGTCAACTTCGCGGCGGGCGGTGTCGCGACGCCCGCGGACGCGGCGCTCATGATGCAGCTGGGGTGCGACGGCGTGTTTGTCGGCAGTGGGATTTTCAAGTCCGGCGACGCGGCGAAGAGGGCGAAGGCAATCGTGCAGGCGGTCACGCACTACAAAGACCCGAAGGTGTTGATGGAGGTGAGCATGGATCTAGGTGAGGCAATGGTGGGGATCAACTGTGGGCATTTGAGTGAGCCGGAGAAGCTGGCCAAGAGGGGCTGGTAGGTGACAGGCATTGTGCGTATGTGTGTACATGCATAGGTAAGGCGTTCCATGGGGAAAATGAGTTCTTAGCTGCTTAACGTATTGGTGGGAGAATCTCAACTCTGATTTGATGTGTTTCGAGTTTATTCAGGTACTCTGATGACGGCTGTATGCGGCGTGAGAAAAAGTCTTTTCTTGCAAGGCCATGTACTTCATGGGGTGCTCTGACATTTGTGTGCGCAGGTGTGTGATACAGCATCACATCAAGACGCGCGTGACCAAAAAAAGGGGTTTTTCTTGCGCCCCATGTCTCACAGTTTCATATGAAATGGTCACACAAGATGAGGATTACTGGTTATTTTCAAATAATTCATTTTGAGGCACTGGCCTACGTATACACGAGAGCAGAGTAAGCCACATCATATGCTGTACAAGGCGATTGCTCGAACCGGGAAGTGAAATTCGGGACTACCGAACAAGCCCTCCTTCCATGCAAGGCCTAGCTAACACTAAACCGAAGGATGCCGTGACTGAAAAAACGCCAGAACTCCGGGCAATCGCAGCAAGCGCCAGCCGCTGAATGCCGCGAGCGTGTGGACACGCGACCGAGAGAGGGGACAAGGGCAACCACTTAACGGTCCTCGGCCCACTCATTCTCGCGGCGGATCTGCTCCTCCTCCTCGGGAGTGAAGTCGTTCTGGATGTTGAAGGTCTTGCGGATCTCGTCGGGGGACTTGCCCTTGATCATGTTGGCGACCGTCTTGCAGCCGACGTCGAGGAGCGCCTTGATGTCGAGGTAGTTGGCCGCGAGGATGATTTCGAAGAGCATCTCCTGGTCCACCTGCATGAACTTCTGGTCCCACTCGTCGATGTCGGTGGACTTCTTGCGCGAGTCGGAGTCATCGTCCTGGGTGGCCGGGGGGTCGTCCTTGTGGTGGTCGCACCACTCGAGGACCTTCTTCATGACCGGCTCGTTGACCTGGGTGTTGTTAGCTGTGTTCCTAGGGGCGTAAGCGGGGCGGGGGTGTAAATACGTTGGGGATGGGGATCGACTCAGACGTCTCGCCGCCCAAGTCCTCGAGCAAGTTCTTGATCAAGATGGAGCGCTCGGCGACCTTGCGGGGCACGCTCATGACGGCATTGTCAGAGGTGGTGAGGGAGATCTGGTCCTTCTCGGTGGCAGCGGCGTCTGTAGACATGATTGTCGGTATAGAGTGAGGATGTGCTTTGAAAGCGGGGTAGCTGTTATTCGCGGATGGGTGATGTGCGGATACTGCGGTTGATAATGTGGCAGTTGGTTGCGGTATGGTGGGAGACTTGTAAGGGCGCAGAAGAGGGGAGCCTTTATATGGACTGGGGATCGCTTGGTGAGAGTGATGGGGGAGGCAACCACGGCGCAGTCAAGCAAAGCTCAGGCCACCCGCCCGCACAGGGCTTTGGCCGCCGAACAAGGCTGCAGCCTCAAAGCGTGTGACAAAGGCCCGCTTGCCTGGGGCTAGCAAGCGATCTTCTATGTAAACAATATCTCTATTTTGAGTTTTATGTGAAAGCAATCGTCGGCACACACAGATGTTGTGCGTTTGTAAATTCGCAGCACCACCAACCCACGTTTGCACACGATGCACGCTTCTCGGACCCCGCCCGTCGCAAACGAATATGTTTGGAAGACTCCGCCACAGCACAGCGGAACCGGTTATGGGGGCGGACCATGTACCATGGATGTTGAGCCACGATTGCTGCCTTGCGATCGCATCCACTTCGAGTCAAGGCACGACTTTGTTTGAGCATTCGACCTGTAGAATTCGCAGTGCAGCCTATCGACTATTGATGCAAGGGCAGACATTGTTGACTATACACGGTGAGACCTTGGAATCGAGTACACCGTTCGAGGCCTTCAGGCATACTCGACTACTGGGCAAGGCTGGTATAATAGACTCGTTTCTACCAATAGACATAGGAGACGTGAATATGTGTTCAGATCAGATGCTTTCAGAGTTCGTTGGTGAAGTGCCACGTGACATGGCAACACCAAGACGCATTTGGGAGCTTTGGGAGCTTTGGGAGCTCTGACTGGAGGCTAAAGGCCGCACCCGAGATATTGTTGGTTGCAGTGAGCTGGCACATCTGACCACGGCGCCTGATCTGGCTCAGGAATTCCGCGTCTGCACTTTTATCGCGACATGTAGTCGCAGAGCCCCTCCAGTGGTGCACGAGTCGTCTCATCATTTTCTCACTCGTCATCGGGCCCCTTTCTACGTGGTCACAGCGACAGCGACTATTGCTCGCCAACAGCCAAACCTAATAAAACAAAACCATTCGCTGGCCTTGTTTTTCGGTGCAACACGTCGACGACAACAGATGCTCCGTCGTACCTGCCACCGGAGCACCTCACTGCAGGCACCATGTGGAGGAGAGTTTATTTCCTGCTGGTCCTCGTGCGCATCTACTTTGCGCTGTCGCCAAGCTACCTGCATCCCGATGAGAACTTCCAGGGCCCTGAGGTCATAGCCGGTTTGTTTACGAGGCGCCGTGCAGCCATGCGACAACGACTGACAGCCTTCAGGACGCGTCTTTTCCTATCCCGTCCACGAAACATGGGAGTTCACGTCGGACCACCCCATCCGCAGCACCTTCCCGCTGTGGCTCGCATACGGCTGGCCCATGTACATCCTGCGCTGGCTCTGGGAGGGGTTTGGATATGATGTCTCGCCTTCGGTTGTGTACTGGGCGCTGCGCGTACTCATGCTCACGCTGAGCGTCGTCATGGAGGACTGGGCAGTCCACGAGCTGGTTGAGTCGCCGCGCGCTCGCAGTATCGCTGTCCCGTTGGTCGCGTCGTCGTATGTCACGTGGACCTTCCAGACGCACACCTTCTCCAACAGCATCGAGACGTTGCTGGTGAGCTGGAGTCTGGTCCTGATACACCGTATAGTCCAAGATAAGGTAGGCGCGCCTCGGTCCGCATTCCGGTGCGGCGCATGCAGCTAACACAAGGTGCAGAAGCGTTCCAGTATTTTGGCCTCATCTCTCCTCGGCTTCATGGTTGTCGTCGGTGTGTTGAATCGCATTACGTTCCCTGCCTTTCTCCTGTTCCCGGCGACCGTATTGCTGCCTCATTTCTGGCGCAAGTGAGTAGATCGTCCAGTTCTTGCAGGGCCATACTGACATAACCAGGCCATTCTCCCTCCTCTTCCTCGCTGCCTTTGCGCTCTTTACAGCTTTCGTTGCCGTCTGCGTTGATACCGCGTTCTATACCCCTGGCGAGTTCGATTTTGCCATAGTCTTCCACAAGCCGATTATTACACCCATTAACAACTTCATCTACAATTCGAATCCCGCGAACCTGGCCCAGCATGGCATCCACCCTCGATACCAGCACGGTCTGATTAATCTCGCTCAATTGCTTGGGCCGGCTTTCCCGCTTTTGTTCTTCCTACGACGCTCGCACCTCAACCCGATGCTCATTTCGGCGGTTTCAGGCATTGCCCTGCTCAGCTTGTTCCCCCACCAAGAGGCCCGGTTCCTGCTTCCAGCTGTCCCGCTTATTCTGTCTTCGATACGACTGCCGAGTCCTCGCTTCCGCAAAGTCTGGGTTGTAACCTGGGTTATCTTCAACCTCGCTATGGGCGTGCTGATGGGCGTCTACCACCAGGGTGGCATCGTCCCTGCGCAGATGCACATTGCAAAGACGAATGAGGTGGTCAGCAATGCGTTCTGGTGGAAGACGTACAGTCCGCCAATCTGGCTGCTGAATGGCAAGAACGAGAATCTGACCACTGTCGACCTTATGGGCATGCCTAGGGAGGAGATGCTTGAAAAGGTCAAGGCAGTTCTCCCTCCATGCCGGACTCGAGCGCCACCACAACTCGGCCACGGCGCCACATACCTGATTACGCCCCGCTCTGCCAACATTCAACACTCTTACCGTGACAATAACACGAAAGAGGAGATCACCATGTACGAGGTCTGGGGCTACCGGAAACACCTCAATCTCGACGACATGGACTTTGAGAATGACGGTGTCTGGGGCACTTTGACCCGAGTAGTAGGCAATCGAGGCATCGTCATCTGGCGCGTCAGTAAAAACTGCTGGTTGCAGGACACTTGACTCCATTCAAAAGAGCGTGGCGTTTACACATGGGGTACTTTTATTCTTGACTTTTATGGAAAACAACGTACGGATTTTAGATGTACATGGCGCGAGCCCTGGGCGGCTTGGACTTTTCAGCTTCGAAACAGATACCCCAAACTTGACAGTAGCTTTCTTTCATAATATACAGACCGGTCTTTGATACGTTACACGTCTCTATTTGCGAATTGAAGTTCTAAACATCTATAAAGCCCCACCAAGCACTCTAACAAGCCACATGCTCAACCGCACGCTCATGCCCACCCTCCTCTCCGGCTTCTCAAACTCGCTCTCATCAACCTCCTTCGCGTACTCGCCCAGCCACTTGACCTCCTCCCCAAGCCTCTTGCGCAAGCCAGGATCCGACGTAGCGATCACCACATTCGCCTCGAGATCCAGCTCATACGAGCGCTTCGTGTAATTCGAGCTGCCCACGACCGTCAAACTCGGCTCTTCTGCTGCAGCAGTATCGGAAGTAGATGTAGATGGAAACGTGACCCACAGCCCCTTGGCATGATACGTCCATCCTTCCTTCTCCCCCACCATACCCTTTTGCCACTCCTTCAACCGCACATTGCCCTCCAACCCCTCGTGCCTCACTTTCCTGAGGAATTGCTTGGCCAAGTGTGTATACGCCGCGGGTAACATCCCGCTTACTCCCTTGGACCCGAAGAATCCGTTCGCGTGCGGATGCGCGGTGAGTACTGTTCCCGAAACTGGGTGTGTGGCGAGCAGCATCCGGCGGAAGGAGGGCGTCATGTTGAAGTAGCCGGCTGTGAAGGTCCAGGAGGAGGATTGCAGGGGTGGACGGGCGAGGGATGTTAGGATGTGGGTCAGGGCGGGGAGTTCGGTGGATGTGGCAAGGAGAGGGACGAGAGAGAGGATGGGGTAGATTGTTGTTGTAGAGGTGTTCGTAGTTGATAATGCTTTCGGGGAGTTGGAGGGCAGGAGGAAGTGGGAGAGGTGTTTTGAGGCGGCGTCGCGATATTTTGAGGGCGAGTCGAGGGGGGATGGCGCGGGGTTACTGGACGGCCAGGACATGGTGTAGCCGCCTGATTCTGGGGCGGTGGAGGGCTGCAGGTCGAATGAGAGGCTTGCAACGCCGGAGTGGATTTTGGAAAAGTACTCGGTTAGCTCTTTGGAGTGGAAGAGGTGGTATCGATCTTGGCGGTTGGAGAAGTAGTCGCTGGAGAGGTTGGCGCCAGACATGATGATTTCGTCGTCGACGCCGTAGAGCTTCATGTGTTGCAGACCCCAGCCTTCGTTGATGCGTTTGGGGATGTACTTCTTTCTCAGACCAGTGAGGTTGGGCGTGTGGTACATGCGAACCTCGACTCTTTCGGGACCGAACTCTGTGATTAGTGGGACTAGAAGTGATGCTGTTGATGCCTCTGGTGTTTCTCTGGTTCCACGAAGAGAGTCTGTGAGGAAGGAGACGCGTAGGTCTGGGTTCTTGGCCAAGGCATTGCGGATCGTCGAGATGAATTCATGCTCAGTCTTGCCAATGTACAGCGTGCTGAGGTAGATCCGACGTTGTGCTTTTGAGACTTTCTCCTGCATCTCGTCAGTACACCTTCTTAGGATTTGCATCAGGTAGCGGACCTCGAATAGGCTCTGACATGTGCGAGGGCCTCATTGTCTTATGTTGCGTCCGTTATACAATGTGAATGAAGTATTGATGAATTTTGACATGAAGGCAATCGTGACAAAGATTAACAAGGAAAAGTTGGAGTTCGCGCTTGTAACTGGGAGTGACATGGTTGACACAAGGATACAAAGACATATCATATGGGACAGCAGCACGAGCAGAATGAAGCCTACCTTGAGTGTTTCATAGAACTCTGTGGGAGTCTGGATGATAGTGATCTGCTCGGGCTGAATCTCGAACCTCGGAGCTATCTTATCCAGATCAGTTGTTATCGTAGCCAACATCGACGCCTGACTCTGTGGTGTTGATGAAGCCATTGAAGGTGCACTTGATGTTGAGTATCTCCTTGCTGTTTTGATCGGCCGGCTGGGTATGCGAAAGACTCTTCTCGATGCGATTCGGGGCGCCTGAGCCCTGATCAAGCTTCTAAGTATCATACTGAGCCTGTGAATGGCGATGGTTTTGCATGTGCTCGAGATCCTGAAGTTTTGATGCGGCTGCCAGTGACAGGGATACCGAGACTAGCGCACTTTCGGCGAGGCGCGATGAATGCTTGGCATCGTCAATCGAGCAGCAACATCCGACGACTCCACGCCTTCGAGCAGACAACGCCGCCATGTCGACTATTATGAGGACGCTGCGCGGCTTGCGCAAGATCGGTATCAAGGTGAGAACGCCATGGGATGTTCATTGGACCTGGGCCGCGGACTGACAAAGCATCACAGGAATATTTCCACCAACTGAACGTACGCTCATTCCCGCTCGCCTACAATCGCTCGCAGAGACAACTAACGCTGGAGGTTTGGGATTTTAGTACATCGGTACGCTCGAGGACTGTCTTGGTGTTGGAAACGGGGTGTTGACAGGATGCAGGTGATACCAAGGTCGGAACTTTGATCGGCAAGGACAGGTACGGCAACAAGTACTTCGAGAACTTGGAGGATGAGCTGCCCCGTACGTTGCTTAAGGAAGACAAACCAAAACCGGGAGACTGATAACGTGGCAGTGAGGACGCGCTGGGTCGACTACAAGGACCACGAGTTTGACCCGTATGTTACCCATCGACTCTGAGGCCCTACAGGACCATGGATTGGAAGAATGCTGATTCTCTGAAAGCTCCCAAATCGAGCCTGGATGGCACGCGTGGATGTCGTACATGGTCGACAAGTCGCCTGCGGCCGACCCGCTTCTCCAACGCCAAGTACGTGTCTGGGAGCCAAAAGAGCACCGCCCGACATTGACCTGGAGTCGATCCGGATACAAGCCATACAGCACGTATGTTGCGCCGTCTAGCATTCAGTGGTGACATACTAACATTCGACAGTGTCAAGAACAAGTACTCAGCATGGACACCCGTGGCCAAGCCCCGGCAGTAGAAACCGCCCTTTTATCAAGTCATGTACATACTGCAAACCAATTCAGGGAATCCAGAGTCACAACATCCGATTTGCTGGGCTAGCTCTCTTTCGTTGCTAATTATCATTCGCCTCATTTCGACTCATATTGTTGTCGAGTCATAGGCACCATCGTATCAAAGTTTATCGAATGCGATAGCCCGTTGCGAGTCCGGTCTTCTGGAAACAGCTATTGTACAAACTGCGCCTTGCGCTCAACAGACCGAGAAAGCTTTGTCAGATTCTATTGTCAGAGTTGCTCGCTAATCTGTGTTCACGCCCTGCTATGTGCGCATATGTCCCTCTGCAGCACATGACCATGTAGCCCACACATGTACCAATCGGTCCAACAAAAGGGCGTAATGTCTAGGATTGTATGGTATTGCAATGGGCGGTCTGACAGAGTGCTAGAGTGAGGTTGTGCATCATGTTCCCACCTTCCCCAAACGGCTCGTAGCTTAGATTATAAAGATAACGCTCCGAGTGGCCACAGCTACCCCTACCTGCAGCTTGAGGGCTTGCAATAGAGGGGTCAGATGCACGCTGTGCATGCGCGCTTACCCCAGATCTTGTCTCTTGAGCGCGAATTCGATGGCAACATTGATTGGCCTCCCCTTGGTTGTCAAGATGCACCAACATAGACAAACACAATGCGAACCAGTGCATGTTCTGCCACGCGGCGACTGGGTTCGGCATGTCACACTGACCCGTTGAGGCCTCTGTAATTGCCAGCACATGCCGGCGGGGTCGCATACTTGGTTCGCATGGGAAGACGCGTCCGGGATTTCGGTGAGTGCGTGATACCCGTGCCTTCTCGTGCATCGCATCTGCACGACCATGGTCCATGGATCGCCCATGAGTCAAATGGCGGTATACTGGGTGGGTCCTTGTCATTTGCTGCGAGAACGGTTCACGCCAACAAAAGCTACATAACGGTGCTCTCGCGCAACTTCGTGACAGCTCCAACGTGGCTTGCGCGAAGTCCGAGTTTGCTGCTGGGTTGGTGTACATGTGCTGCGAACAAAGAGTCACACCATCTTATCAGATCTGCGGCTCACCTCGGTACATATTGTCGGCCAAATTACAATTACATCACTGGTACGCGCGAGCGCGGAAACTCTTGCACTTCCGCTAGTGAATTGCGATTGCGAGGGCATTCCTAGCACCAAAAACAGCGATCAGCCCGGTGAGAGCTGTTACTGTACGCCTTAGCAACCTGCTTTGTTTGCATACATCAGTGCGACTACCTCCCGCCGATAATTCGTTGCGCGCCTTCTCCATAGCTCCGATGAGCAAGTTCTCGCAATAACGAGTGCGAGTGCTGTGAGTTATCAAGACCACCACCGCCGCCGCCTGGAGGGGACCTGGAAAATGTTCGCCAACTGCAAAAGCCCGTTCTGGGGCAGCCATGGCGACGACTTTTCGCCGTGTTTCGAGCAAGAGTAAGTTTGCGATAGCATTGCGCCCATCCCCGCGGACAGCTCTAGCCGGCCTCCAACATCGTCGCGGGGTGCATTTTGCTGGCTGAGACGCGCTGGCTTACATAGAGCAGTTATCTCCTCACGTTATTCCCACTCATCGTTTGCGGAGTGTCCGTCGTCTATCTCTTAATACAGCTATATTTCGCCGCCACCGCGAGCAAGTACTCCCACGCCTACAGTGTACTCGAAGACCCACGAAATCCCTGGTCGCTCCGCAGCCCCCACTACGATGGCGAAGACCCCGATAGCGAGGAGGACGAGGACGAGGACGAGTTCGAGCGCAATGAGGGTCTTGCGCTTGACCCGACTACCAGCCGCCAGGCCGTGTCCGCCATGACGGTAAACAAGCCGCGAGGACAAGTCACGGTCGTGGTTCTGGAAGAGGCCGCTGTACTGGCACAGCTGGCTATTCACATCGCTGTGCTTTGGCTGAATATCTGGGGCAAGCACGGCAGAATCGCTGCGATCGCAAACATCGCAGTCTGGTCCTACATCGCCACGCTCGCCTCACTGCGACTACTCTTCACCAGCACCAGCAGATTCTCCTTCTCCAAGCTGTGGTACCATACTGCTTTCATCTACGGATTCCAGTGGGTCCTGAGTGTCCTCGTTTTCCGATCGGCCATCATCCACCCGCGCTCCCAGCTCCACCAAAAGCTCACAATCGCCGACTTCGCCCTCACTTCGCTTCTCTTTCTTCTCTCGTTGTGTTCGAGGAAGGGCAACAAGACCGTGGAGTTAGAGTACGAGGGGGATATTGCGCCAGCGCGAGAACCCACCGCCAGTGTCTTTTCGCTTGCTACGTTCAGTTGGGTAGATCCCATTGTCTGGACTGGTTACAAGAAGACGTACGAGCTTACAGATGTGTGGAATCTGGCACCAAAGGACAAGGCAGCGGTAGTCATTGACAACTATCGCCAAGTGAAGCGAACCTCGGCCCTTGCATATCATCTATTGAAATACTTCAAGAGAGGTCTTCTCATTCAAGCGAGCTGGGCTGCTATTTCGGGCTTCCTCACTTTCGCTCCAACTCTGCTGTTGAAGGCCATTCTCGAGTACATTGAGAAGCCCGAATACACGCCCCGTAATGCCGCCTGGTTCTACGTCATTCTACTTTTCGTTTCAGGCAGTCTGTCTGCACTTGCTGATGGCCAAGCCCTTTGGATTGGCCGCAAGATCTGCATCAGGTTGCGAGCGGTAATAATTGGAGAAATCTATGCCAAGGCGCTCAAGCGCAAAGCGGCTGCCGGTACCGACAAGGTCTTGGGTGAAGAGAAGAAGAAGAAGGAAGAGGATCAGGAACCGAAAGGACTCAAGCGTTACCTGACGTTTGGCAAGAAGAAGGACAAGACGCCTACTGAGACATCCAAGGAAGACGACAAGGAGTCTGGTGGAGATGCTCAGGTTACAACAGGTGCAATCATCAACCTCATGGCCGTCGACGCCTTCAAAGTTAGCGAAATCTGCGCGTACTTGCACTTTTTGTGGGCCAACACTCCTGTCCAGGTTGTGGTGGCAGTCTACCTACTTTATCGCATTCTCGGTTACAGCTCGATTGCAGGTATTGGCATGATGATCATCCTTCTTCCGATCAACATGTACGTGGCCAAGCAGTTCTCCAAAATTCAGAAGCTCATCCTTGCGGCTACTGATGCACGTATCCACACCACTAATGAGGTGCTTACCAACATTCGGATCATCAAGTTCTTCGCCTGGGAACAGCGTTTCGTTGGCTTGGTCAATGCGAAGCGCTACACGGAGTTGAAGCATCTTCGAACACGATACATCTTGTGGGCTGTAGCAGCTACCATCTGGTCTGGATCCCCAGTCTTCATCACTTTCCTCTCCTTTTACGTCTACACTAATGTAGAGCACAAGCCTCTAATCCCATCCGTCGCCTTCACTGCGCTGTCTTTGTTCCAGATTCTGCGGATTCCCCTGGATCAACTCGCTGATATGGTTGCACACGTTCAAGAATCCAAGGTCTCAGTGGATCGTATTGAGGAGTATCTCACCGAACCTGAGACAGAAAAGTACAAGCAACTTGTTACGCGCAGAAAGGACGAGCACGGCGACCCACTTATCGGATTCGAGAACGCAACTTTCAGCTGGGGCGGCACTGACATGTCAGACAAGACAGCGGCAGATGCTTTCAAGTTGATGGACCTCGACATCAAGTTCCGCGTCGGCCAGCTCAACGTTGTAGCGGGACCAACTGGCTCTGGAAAAACGTCCCTCCTGATGGGTCTTTTGGGTGAGATGACAAAGCTCAAGGGCGACGTATATCTGCCTGGAGGACGCAGTCGCGAGGACATCCGACCGGATCCCGCGACCGGCCTCACCGAAAGTGTGGCATACTGCGCGCAACAAGCTTGGCTTGTCAACGGCACTGTCAAGGAGAACATCATCTTTGCCAGCGATTTCGACCAGAAACGCTATGACGACGTCATCGTAGCCTGCTCCCTGAAGCGTGATCTGCAGATTCTGGACGGTGGAGACGAGACCGTTGTCGGCGAGAAAGGTGTCACGCTCTCTGGTGGTCAGAAACAGCGTATCTCCCTTGCTCGCGCACTCTACAGCAAGGCCCGCCACGTCTTACTGGACGATGTGCTGAGTGCAGTAGATTCTCACACCGCTAAATGGATCTTCGAGTATGCACTTACTGGTCAGCTCATGCAGCACCGGACTTGCATTCTCGTGACCCACAATGTCAGCTTAGCGCTACCGCCTGCTGAGTTTGCGGTTGTTCTCGATAACGGAAAAGTGGTCGCACAGGGCACAGCGAACGAGGTCATCTCCTCCGGCAAGCTCACTGAAGATTTGACCAAGTCACGACCAGGTTCACGAGGCGCATCAAAGGCACCTTCGCGAGTACCGTCCGAAGAGTGTCTTGATGAGGCAGAAGAGGCAGCGCATGTCAACGGTTCTGCTGATGACAAGCCCAACGGCACCGTAGACAAAAAGAAGTCGACAAACACTGGCCAGGAAGAAACCAAGGCTGAAGGCGGTGTCAAGCTGAGCATCATAATCATGTACCTCAAGGCTATGGGCCCATGGTACTACTGGGTGGGTGCAACGCTTGCCTTCGTTGCTGCACAATTGTCTTCAGTATCCACGAACCTATGGATCCGCACATGGGCAAACGCATATGCGGAAAAGGGCTATGCGGCTGCCGGAAATCACCACCGATCACCAATCACACATGCACCGACGCTCAGTGGACTGGGGACTTGTATGAACAGCGGTACCTGCAGCTGGAACTTCCCGTTCTCAGCGCCAGAGAAGGAGCGGGAGTATTCTTACACCTACATGTCCACAGGTTTCAGGATCATGGACAACGATGTTGACACGACCTACTTCCTCGTCGTCTACGCTATCCTTGGACTCATCTTCATGTTCATCACTTTCTTGCGAGAAGGCTTCCTGTTTGGTGGCTCACTAGCAGCTTCACGGCGCATTCATGAGAGGCTGATCCAAAAGGTCACGCACGCCAAGTTCCGCTTCTTCGACCAAACCCCCTTAGGTCAGTTGATGAACAGGTTCTCGAAAGATATCGAGAACGTCGATCAAGAAGTCGCACCGGTTGCCATTGGCGTCGTGCATTGTTTCGCGTCCATTATCACCATTGTCATCCTGATCTCCATCATCACACCTGCCTTCTTGATCGCAGCTTCGGTCATTTCAGTGCTGTACTTCCTCATTGGTCGCTTCTACATCAACTCCTCTCGCGATCTCAAGCGTCTTGAATCTGTTCACCGAAGCCCGCTGTATCAACAGTTCGGCGAGACCCTATCTGGCATGACTACCATCCGGGCTTATGGCGACGAACGACGCTTCATCCGCGAGAATCTGGCCAAGATTAACACTCAACACCGACCTTTCATCTACTTGTGGGCGGCGAACAGGTGGCTCGCGTTCCGCGTAGATGTGGTTGGTGCATTGGTCGCATTCTTCTCGGGTGCATTTGTCATCCTCAGCGTTGGACGTATTGATGCAGGTGCCGCTGGTCTTGCCTTGACGTATGCCGTTACCTTCACAGAGAACGTGTTGTGGTTCGTCCGATTATACTCCGCAAACGAGCAGAACATGAACTCTGTGGAGCGTGTCAAGGAGTACCTAGACGTCGAACAAGAAGCGGCGGCTGTCATTCCCGAGACACGACCACCATCCAACTGGCCAAGCAAGGGTTCTGTAGAGTTCATCGGCTACACAACACGCTACAGGCCAGACTTCGATACTGTGTTAAAGGATGTGACCTTCAAGATCCTCCCCGGCGAGAAAGTTGGTGTTGTAGGCAGGACAGGTGCTGGCAAAAGTTCGATGGCGCTTGCACTTTTCCGAGCGCTAGAGGCAGAGAAGGGCAAGATTCTCGTCGACGATATTGATATCGGCTTGATTGGTCTGCAGGATTTGCGGGAGAACATCGTAATGGTACCGCAAGGTAAGCAGCCACCATGACATGCACGATCGTGCAACATGCTAATTTGAACAGATCCAACACTCTTTACCGGCACAATCCGAAGCAATCTCGACCCCTTCTCCATCTTCACTGACGAAGAGATCTACACCGCTCTCCGGGAAGTGCACTTGATCTCAACCGAATCTCTACCTGCCTCCGGTAACATCACTCCAACTGGAGTCAGCACACCCCCTCGGGCGATCGAAATCCCCAATCCTACAAGTGGAGCCGTTACAGCCGATGTGGCGGCCAGCTACTCTGCCTCCACGGTCAACCCCAGCTCCATCCTGCAAAACCTTGATCTGTGCCGTGCAGATGCCGACGACACCATCATCGTCATGCCAGATGGTGAAGTTGCAAGCCCTGACCAGGTGGCACAATCAGCAATGCAAACAGATAACAAAAACCCCTTCAAGCACCTCAACTCGCCCGTCTCGGAGTCCGGATCCAACCTCTCTCAAGGCCAACGGCAACTTCTCTGCCTGGCGCGTGCCTTGCTCAAAGCTCCGAAAGTGCTCCTCATGGACGAAGCCACTGCCTCCATCGACTACGCGACCGACGCCAAGATCCAGGAGACGATCCGCCTCATCAAAAACACAACCATCACCATCGCTCACAGACTGCAGACTATCATTGATTACGACAAGGTGCTTGTGCTTGACAAGGGTAGCGTCATTGAATTCGGCAACCCCTTCGACCTCGTCACTAAAGAGGGAGGAAGTTTCAGATCGATGTGCGAAACTACGGGCGAACTCGACGCTCTCATTGCTACTGCGAAGGCCGCACACGAGGAGCGGAATAAGACAGCGAGTGCTTAGAAGCATTATGTGAATGTTTGCAAGAAACGGAGAGGACGATCACGCTTTGTTGATGTAAATGGAACGCGTGTTAGAAAGTTATATGGGCTAGGAGGCTTTTTGTATTCAATGCATGGGCGAGATCAGCATTTTATTTTCCTTTTCATTACATTATTTTCTTTTGTCAATAGGGAATGGGGTGTTGGGCTGGGTGGCTTTTTGCTGCATCTGCATAGTTTCAGGGTAGATATGGAAAAGTAGCGTTTCGCCATTTTTGAATATGTGTGTGTTGTTTTGTTGATGTGCTGTGGGTTTTGTGTTTGTGCTGTTGAAGGTAAGGGAGATTCATGTGCAGGTGGTTGGAGGTGTATGTATTTTTATACAGTGCGTTGGAAAGATTGAGGATGTTGTGGGTCTTGGCGGCATTGGACGATATCGATTCGGATTCTCGATGTCATGTATAGGCGTGCCATTGATGGTAGGAAGTAGAAGTCAGAGTGCGGTCTGGGTGGAATTGAGTTGCACGTCACCCTTGTTGCTATACTTTATGCGGTGTCACCATCATCAAACAAATCCGTCGCTACTTCATAAATAGATGCATGGACTCCTGCAATATGCATACTAACCGGCAGTCTACAAGAAGCGGTGAAAGCGCTGTGATGAATATGGAGCGGACATATTCATGACCAGTGTGAACCAAATAAAGAGTTTGTAGTTTGAGCAGTCCCATAAATTACCATCGATCGTCTTCCTCTGTCGCAGGACCAAAAGCAAGCATCGCGCTAGCGTCCATATGCCTCCGCAGCAATGGCATCCCATTCGTGCCGCAAATCGTCCTCCAAGCTCCTACCCGCCAGTCTGTTACCATCAAACTCCACCGTTCCAACACCAGGCACTCCAAAGAGCGCGCCTATGAACGTCTGGTTATCGAAGAAGGTCATCGAACCAGTACAGCGCTTTCCAAAAGTAAACTGGCCCGTCTCAAGGTCGCGTAGACGCCAGCCCAGCGTGCACTGGTTGCCAACACCTATCTGGTCGGGACCAGGGCTCATCTGAATGATGACATCCCAAGCACCCCAGCGAAACGTCGCCCACCAGGCGTTGCGGGCGGGATTCTCGGCCAGTGTCAGTTCGAGGTTGTAGTCGCCAAACATGTCGCTGGCGGTCGCACAGTTGACTTCGTAAGTGCCGCTTAGGAGGACGTATCGAGCATGCCCGGGCTGAGCATACGGATCAGTTTTGATGTGGGGTGATGAGTTATACGGTGACTGTTGGAGCTGATACGATCCGTACTCTTGCTTGACACGTGATCGGGGAGGGGTGCTGGCAGGTGAGGAATCTTGCTTCATGCGAGGCGCCGCCTTTGAGACTGGCTCCTTCTTGGCTCGCTTGATGGGCCACGGCTCTTTCTTGACTTTTGCAGCTTGACTCAGCGGAGGACTATTGGCGCGCTTGCGCTTCGAAGGTGATGGCTTCTTGGGTGTGATGGTTCCTTGGAGTCGTTGCAGATTAAGCTGCTCAGACAGTGACATACTTGAGGACAGCGACAGATTGACTAAACTGTTAGCATACATGTCCGATACTTCTGGGCACTTGGGCTTACCCGTAACGTTCACACCGGGGCTCGAAGTCGGCGCCGTCTCTGCTTTGCTTCTGCCGCCCGCACCTGCAACGACTCCGCCCGAGGTCTTCTTCATCTTCTTGTTCTCCGCCTCCCACTCCTTCTTTAGTTCGCCCTCGACTTTAAGTACCCATGCCGGTACCTCAAGTTTGAACTGATTCATGGCGTTCAACAACCTAACTTTGGCTCCGTTCTTGTCTTTGGTTACTGGCAGCCCGTAGTGAATCAGTTGGGCGCTGTAGAAGTGCCAGGGCCGGTCCTTCGCAGGCGACGATGTATCGGGTTTGCGACCTTTGGTATACAGACTAGGTGCTTCCGGGCGGAGCAGAGCTGCGAGTTCTGCAACGCTGGCTCGCGGGTGGTGGTTAGCATTTCCCGCGTCGGCATACAGGACAGATGAGTAGAGGAGATCGCCGCGACGAGCGGGAGGAGCGAATGTCGACATGGCAGTACGCAGTATTTGAGAATTCCGGGTTGACAGCAAGTAGAAAGTAAGTCGCGGACTTCCGTGGGTCTTCGCGGGATTTTGGAATTTATGGGACCCGCTCCCTTTGGCGGTACCGTACCAGTGAATGCGGCATATCAGAGCTAGCTCAGCCCAGCCACCCAATATATATCGTTAGTGATGCGCGATAGGCATATTTATCATGCCGTATACTCCAAGCTCTGACTGCGACCGCGTCCAGCCATTTGCTGATTTACGCTCGACGGTGTTCACTAATGCGAGATCAGACGGCCAAATTGCATCACTGGCCACACCAAGATCGTGGCCACGCAACTGACAAGAATCGACATCACGCGAGTGAAATTATCTTAATGTCTTCATTGTGATGTATTGAAGTCACCAGGAATTCATACCGCTACAGATGATACATGTTGATGTTCAGTTCTAATTATGATTATTTTAGTCTTTTGATAGAAACATATGAACGCCGTTGCTTTTGATAACAAATGAGAGCCTCGCAGCCTCTGAGCATACTCCTTCAAAACCTATCACCATGACTCCCACTCTAACCGTTCCTTACTTCGCAGCAAACCTCGACTTCGCCCTCAACTTCTCGCCCAAGAAGAAAAGCGCAAACAACCCAAGACTACAACCAACCGTAAGCCCTCCCAGCAAGGAGACGCCGCGATTAACACCCAGATTGTGAAACAACGGGTAGCTGAAGTGAATCGCACCCGCCGCCAACGCCGACCTAGTAAAGTCGTTCCCAGCAAAAAGCGACGCAGCATACTGCGGGTAAACCAGCGGCAAGTACAAGAAAATGCACTGGATGATGAGGAATATGCCAATCGTCGTGATCACAATGCCGATGCAGCTCGCAATCCAATGGACGTCGGACCGCGCCGTCCAGCCGAAGATGAAGAGCCCGATGGGTACGAGGAAGGTAACATACAACGCGGGAATTAACCGACGCTCAGGGCTTCCGAGGCCGTTGAGACGGATGTCGGGCTCGACGATGGTGTAGATGTACCACCAGTACCAGGATGTTGCGAGCACGACGCCGACTGTGACGCTGAGGAATGTCAGGCCCATTTCGCCGAGATTGAAGCCGTACATTGAGATGTAGACGAGGGGGAAGGCTTCGAAGAAGGAGTAGAAGATGCCGTATATGATCGCTGTATACAATGCCGTGAAAAGGATACTGGGGTCGAGTAGCATGAGCTGGAATGGGCGCCACAGTGCCTCGATGGTAAGATCTGAAACTGACATTTTTGCTTGATCGATCTCGCTCTGCGACTTGATGTTCGTATTGCCGGTGAGTTGTCGCAGGCGTTGAGCGCGGCGGAGGAGGATGTTCGCCGAGGAAGTTTCCGGGAGGAAGAAGAACAAGATCAGAAAGATGGGGGCGTTCATCCAGAGCATCTCCCACAACGACCAGCGCCAGTTCTCCGCTGCCACGCTGAAACCACTGATAATCGGGCCTAGCGCAGGCCCACAAGTCGCTGCAAAAGCCCACAAGGAGAGGACATATGGTAGTTTGATCAGGCTGTAGACGTCCTGGAGCGTTGCACCACCGGTGGCGAGACATGGACTGCCGAAGAAGCCCTGCAGGAAGCGAAGAACGATCAACCCCGCAAAGTTATCCACGAGCGCAGTAGGGATGAGGAGTATAACGAAGATGGCGTAGCTAATGATATAGGGTGGATTCCGTCCGATGATTGGGATTTCGCTCAGGGGAGAAAAGAGCAGTGGTCCGATGCCGTATCCCAGGACATACATCGAGAGACCGAGACTGGCGGCTTGAATCTCCACTCCGAATACTTCCTGCACGCCAGGGATGGAGGGCGAGTAGATGGCCGAGCCCTGTGTAAAGTCAGTTGTATGTCTCAGAAACAATTCGTGGCTGCTGAACTGACCATGTAGAACGCCATTGTGTAGATCAGAATTTGCACCAGGACCGCGGTTTTCTTCCAGAACGAAAAGTTCTGCGGATTGGCCGTGTCGTCTGTCGCATACCAATCAACCAAGATGGTTCCGTCGTCCAATTGTTCGGGATTGATGGGACGACTGGGTCCGCGCTCTACTGTTGCCAACGAAAATTGTTGCTCGAGATCCGCTCGTGAGATTGACATTTGGAGTGCTGTTCGTGTGCCAACGCGGGATATTTGCGTTCGCAGGGTGTGCTGTGTCCGCGCAGTCTGGATCTTCTCGAGGTCATTGAGATCATCGTCGCTGATTGATTCTTTTTGCACGAGGACATTATCGGAGCTGGGCTCTTCGACTTCCTCAGTGGCTGGTCCTTCATAGTCAACGGGCGAGGCTACTGTAGATGAGGTTGGGAGTCGTTTTGGTGAGGGGCGAGCGTGAGTTTGGTATGCGGCTGGGAGTTGGAAATCTGCTTGTTCTTCTGGGTACTGGAGGATACGATTGTTGGTGAAGTAGCGAACAAGTTGCCCAAATGGAGCATCTCTGATGAGAGCTGACATTTTTGTTGAGGCGAGGCTGTGAGACGTGATACCTAGGGCGTGCGGTTGGACTTTGGCAGGATGCACCGCGATAATTGAGTGGACTTGGGCTGGATTATGGGAGTATGCTGAAGATGCGAATTGATACAGCAGACTACGAGACGTGCGGAACAAACATACTTATCCCTCTCCTCGGCGAGTTACTCACTCCAGGCTGATTTCTACTCACTCATCTTATCTCCATCTAAGCATTCGCAGGTCCACTGTAAGCAAGCATTGCTTAACAAATCGACGCACAGAGAGCTTGGCATAGCTTCAAAGCACGCGATCGGTAGGACGAAAAGTGGGGAATGAGTAGCTTTGCTGTCTAATCTTGTTACCGATCACAGCGCAATTCGCTAGCTTGCCCAATCAGAGCTCGATATCCCTGCTCACTTGACCGGATATGGCCTAGCATCTTCACCATTTCTAATCATCCTGCTGTGACGTCATGTGTTGACAACACTTTTAGCCTGGTGTTGAGTTTCGTCCGCTTATGAATCACGACAGCGGGGCTGCGACCATGAACCGCCAGATGCTAGTGAGTCGAGCCGAGCATTGTTGTAGGCCTGAGGTATTGCGCTTGCGGTTTACTGTACAAGATCACAACTCGACAATGCAACGTACATGTTCGGGTCAATACATGAGACAGCCTTCTTTTCTGCTGATGCTTACGTGCGACTCACATGTTTGGCTGACTGTAGTATGTGATCATGGCGATGTTGCAATATTCGATTTGTGCTACACTGTCTTTCAACCATACAATTTGTTAACATAAGCTTCTGTTGACTTTCACATTCTCAGTGCGCTTGTACCAGCTGCCTGCTTTTCTCCATCCAACTCCTGACTTCATAACAAGGCACCAAAAAGCTACTGTGACGGCTGCAGAAGGTCCACTCGCGGCAACTTCGTTTCGGTTTTGGTGTCTTCGAAGACCACCCCCTCTTCAGCTGCAAGTTGTCGCGCCATGTCATGGATCCACATTCGCTCTGGTACAACCGATTTGCCCTTGGCGAGAGTGTCCGCAAGATACAGCCAGCAAAGCGCGTTGCCAACCGTACTCACCTCATCGCTGACGTTGTTACTGGCATACTCTGACATACTGTCATAAGTCGTGGGGCTGGTAAACAAGAGATGAAGCTTCTCGGCCACTGCTTGCGCAAATTCACCTGCATCTCTGGCGACAGATTGTCCCGTCTCCTTGTCTTTCACGTCTCTTTCTATGAGATAACCTGCTCGGTCGCCGACCACCTGTAGAGGAATGCCACCGCGCCATGTTGCAATAATGGGCACGCCAGCATGCAATGCTTCGCTGACCTTGACCTCGAAACCTTCCCGAGTGGAGAGTTGCAGAGCAACATGGGCTTCGCGCATCAGTACGTTCAGTACTTGATCACTTGGTCCCACGCGCATGACGATGATGTCTTCTGCGAACTCGGGATACAGCTTGTTGATGGCAGCCATAGTCTCGTCATAGATTGGAAGCGCGTCCGGGTCATCTATTGCGCCATGACCGGCTATGACTAGTTGGGGTATCTTCTCAATATCCTCCTCATCTTGCATGAAGTGTCTGCGGAGATAAGCATACGATGCCAGGACGTCGGGTATGCCTTTCGCCGGATCGAATCGGGCGATTTGGACGATGTATTTGCGGTTGGGAAACGCGAACTTAAACTTCCGGGTATCGCTCGCAATATCCATGCAAAACTCATGCATGTAGTGCATTGTATCCCCACGTATCCATCTTCTTGTTCAGGCCATCAAGCCAATCAGTCGTGGCAGGCATGTAACCAACCTTTTCAGAAGTAACATTGTTGGGTACAAAGTCAGGAACCGGGTGACTTACGAACACATCGCACTTCTTAACATTTTGCCATACCCAATTCCAAACTCGCGCAGTATTAGTACTTTCATCATTGGCCCGGTCGGCGCGAACCTGAATGTGACTGCGGAAGATGACTGGACGATTAGGGTCAATTTGCTTAGCAATATCGACGAGTTTTGGCATCTGCGGATCGTCGACGATGATAACATGGGCTCCACCTTGATCTGGATGGGCAAGAGGCCCTTTGTCGGGTTTGATCCAGTATCGTGCAGCATTCTGCTCACACCACTCGTCGAGCATTTTAGCTTGCTCATCTTCGAGCTGAAGCTTCTCGTCCACGCCCTGGAGAATGTTGTGATTGTTTTTGGTAATCCGGAAGATCTCACTATTGGGTCTTGGGACATACCTGAGAAAGAGTCAGTACGGGTACATGCTGAACAAGCTTAAACCAATCTTACCATTTGCATTTAACACCGAGAAGACGAAGGAACCGAATGAGGGCGTGTCTCATTAGGGCGACACCGCCACCTTGGGGCGTTGTATTGAAGAAGGCAATCCTGATATCGTTCTTCTTGAGCGAATCTGCGAAATGCATGGTTGTCTTCCAGGTGTTGGCATGAACGGAGCTCTTGTAATCCTCAAGGCTGGTGAGTTGCACAACTGAATCAGCATCGACAGCGACTTCATTGCGCCCCTTTACCATCAATCGTGGAACATTGCCTGGGCCGTATTTCCTACATACTTGTCAGTCCTTACGACTCACGCAAGAAGGCAGGGAGTCCTTACTCAATAGCCTTACGAACCACTGAGTCAGACTCTTCGTCTACCTGAGACTCCAAGTTTAGAAAAGGTTCTCCCCGTGTTTCGTCGGTAAATGGTGCGAAAACAAGGCAGACAACATCAATGCAACTCCACAGCAGACTGGGAAGCTCAGGGCACAGAACAACGGCTTGCTGAGTTATACCAGCACCAGCAACCTTGTGATGATGTTGCTTACGATATTCATCAATCATTTCGAGAACAAAGGTTGCCAAAGTCTTGGTGGAATGAACAGCCTGGGACGTTCCGGATGTGCCAGTTGCCGGAGTGTCAACACCGGAACTAGACCCCGAAGACAGCTCAGAGCCACTAGCAGCCGATACCTCACCCGGGGGATACTTTCCTGCGGTGTAGTTGATAGAGTATGTTCCATCGTGTGCGGTTATGCCGATCACAAATTCATCGGGATGATGCTCGTCCTTCGCAATGGCGATACCCAGGTAGACGACCTAGCATGCGTGAGCTTTGCCTGGTGCAACTACCATACCGCTGTTACTAACGTCAAGTCTTTTGTGGCCTTTTGCCTTGATAGAGTTATCCCTGATATAAGCTTCCTGCATGCGCAGGTTTTTGAAGGCCGGTGATTTACTTCGCATCGGCGAAGCAGCACTCTGGTCTGGAGTGATGGCGGACATGCTGGCCTGTCAGTATTTTGGAAGTGAATAGTGTGGTCTGATGGATGCTGTAAATTAAGACTGGAGTGATATATGCGAATAATGTGCTGGTGTGGTAAAGACGGTAAGGGCCGGCGAGCCTTAAGTATCAGCACGATATTCACATTCGAGCATGTGGGCTCCGCCGCCGCACGCACATGAATTGCGCCCCCGTCGATTGCAGATTGCAGCTATATGCTGTCACAGCGGGACGTAGTGGCGATATACGCTGTTGTATAGGCCGTCCAGATCATGACTGCAGCCGTGAAGGGCCAAACATTCACAATTCATGTAACCGTGGCGCCTATGTAGCCAGATATCGAAAGTAGGAAACGGCGAGTGACAGGGTGACGCGGCGAGGTTTGGGGTGGAGCATTTGACTGTCTGATACGGCGATGCGGAGGCATGTTACCGCTGCAGGAAGAACATAGACGTCCGCGATACCACACGATCAAGGGAAGACGCAGCCAAAGCAGTCACCAAGACGCCATCTGCTGGGTGCCGTATTATTGCAGTGAATAAGAGTCGTTTGACATGAACGAGTTTTCTGTCCTAGTGTTCATTCAAGGGTGATTGGCGATGGATCTGCCATGACGCGGGGCTGATCAGCGTAAGCTGACGGTCGTGAATCCCGCCGTCGAACGCGTACAACCATCGTCGCGGACTGTAGCGCGGGTGAGCTAGACGTTACCCGATTTGTGGTCGTGGCCTCTTTGCAGTTCGTGTTCAGTCATTGGTTGATTGGTGCGAGAACGTGACGGGCACGTGATCTCTGTCCGCCCAGGCGGGCATGCCCACGGGTGGATATATCGGTGAATCTTTGGCAGTGCCTGCAGAGGACACTGGCGGAGTTTCGGTGTGCATATCTTCTCAACAGTAGCCGTGACTTTGCGCTGCGTACATCGCGAGCATGTCCATCTCAGTGTGACGATGGCGATGATCTCCACTCGTGACCCCTCGACGACCCTTTCATCTCGTGATGACGGGAATCTATGGTTTCTCGGTCCATGAGGGTGGTTGGAAGTCGCATTTGACCGCGGTGAGTGGCAAATGGCATGCTAGTTAGCGGGCAGCGGGAAGGGTAACCATTTTTGCTAGCCGAGCAGCGGGCCTGGCAAGGGTCTGGTATCACAGTAGTTCGTGTGAAGACGCCAGCGCGGCAGCAATAGGAGCAGTGGTGAAGGCATCTCAAGACGCACGAGACGCAGCTACTGTAGCGTGCCAGATCAACAGGCAAATGGCAGTCGCGATGGGTAAGCTGTGGTGTAGGTAGACAAAATGTTTGCCTTCAGCCCAGATCTGAAACGGTCGTACCAAGCCAGAGCACAGACATGGCCGTGGACCCACACGCGCTGCCGCCATCTTCGCTCCGCTCAAACCTCGCGTTCTCCAACCTCACCGCAATCATCCGTCTCCACTGCATCGCCAGCTCCCCTCCGGCTCCTTCTCACCTTCCCATCCGGCATCTGTCGCGCCCACGTTCGGGCCGGCCTTGCGTGCTCGTCTTCTTCCCCCACAGCTGCTGAAGCTGCGCGACTCCAGCCTCGCCAGCCTTGCGCCCGTCTAGGCACCACCACGCCCGTCGCAACCTGCTTTCGCCCGTCGCACGCCCGTCGCAACCAGGCGCACCCCAATCGCCGCCATGAACCACGGCTACCCTCCTCCCCGCGTCATGGGGGGCCCCCAGGCAGGCCCGACCCAGCGCCTCAACGAGCTCCTCGATAACATCAGGACCGAGTTCGAGACCGAGTCCCAGCGCAGCGTCGACTATGAAGGCCAGAGTGAGTGAGCCACTGCGCTGTCCTGCAGATGAGAGAGGCGACATGTTTGTGCGACACAAACAAACACATGCTGACACGAGCCCCCAACAGTCACCCGCCACATCCAAGAGATTGAGATGATTCGCGGCAAAGTCTACTCCCTGGAGCAGCAGCATAACCAGATGAAAGCAAAGTACGTCGTTGCCCGTCCCACGTGCATTTGACGCGTCCGCAGTGTGCTTCGACATGCTTTTCGACGTGGCGCATTCATGCAGCCAAACTTCACGCTACCCAGCAGCAACTGACAATCTCCCAGGTATGAGGACAGGATTGCGCAGCTCGAGCGCGAGGTCGAGGCCCGTGGCGGTCCCAGCCAGAACTCGCAACACGGCCCCTCCCAGCCTCAGCCCCCTCAGATCGGCCATGGACCCAGCAACCTGTTTGGCGGCATCATGGCCGGAAGCGCTGCGCAAGGCGGCCCAGGTCTGGCGCCTCCTCCACAGGAGCCGCAGCAGCCTCAGGGCATGCCACCACATCTAGGCCCACAAGGCCCGCCGGGCCTCAATTCTGCACCCGGTCCCCCAGGACCACCACAGCACTTTGGTGGCTACCAGCCGGGTCCCTCTGTCAATGGTAAGCTCCACACTCCACTGCTACGAGCAACGTAGCTCGCGAATTCCAACTCGACCATTTCACTGCCTCCGCATCTGCAAAACATGACTTCTAACGCAATCCAGGATATGCTCAGCCTCCACAGCCTACGGCTTCGCCTGGCGGTAAGCGTCCCGGCCCGCGTGGTCCTCCAGGAGGCCCTGCCACTCCCCAGCAGAACAATCCTACACCTTACCCCGGATCGCCTCACGTCCCCCGCCCGACGCCGCCCCCTCACCAGCAACAGAATGCATTGATGCCGCAGAACCAGATTTCTTTGGCCCAAAGCAACGTGCTGGCCGATCTCGACATCGAGCAACTGCCAGAGAACCTGAAGAAGGAGGGCAGCGATTGGTTCGCCGTCTTCAACCCTCGTGCCCGCCGAGTCTTGGATGTTGATCTGATCCACAACCTCCCTCACCAGAGTGTCGTCTGCTGTGTGCGCTTCAGTCTTGATGGTTGTCGTGTAGCGACTGGCTGCAACCGCTCTGCTCAGATTTTCGACGTCGAGTCGGGACACCCCATCGCCCATCTTCAGGATAGCAGCCTCCCCGAGGACGGCGATCTATACATTCGAAGCGTTTGCTTCAGTCCCAACGGTGCTTACCTCGCAACTGGTGCTGAGGATAAGGTCATCCGTGTAAGTAAAGCTGTGACGCAGTGCCCGTGACTGTCGCTAATATGCATCTACAGGTCTGGGATATCAACAGCCGCCAGATCAAGCACCAATTCACTGGTCACGAGCAGGACATCTATTCCCTTGACTTTGCCCGCAATGGTAAGATCATTGCTTCTGGCAGCGGTGACAGGAGTGTCCGTCTGTGGGATCTTGAGAGAAATGAGCAGGTTGCAAACTTCTCCATCGAGGACGGAGTCACCACCGTCGCCATTTCTCCGGACAACCGTTTCGTTGCTGCCGGGTCTCTCGACAAGAGTGTCCGCGTGTGGGACATTGCGAGCGGAAACCTTGTCATGCGTCTCGAGGGAGAGCAGGGTCACAAAGACAGTGTTTACAGTGTGGCTTTCGCTCCTTCTGGCGACCGCCTGGTCAGTGGCAGTCTTGACAAGACGATCAAGATGTGGGAAGTGACCACCGGATCTCGCTTCGGGCCCGTACACCAGCCAAGCGGCAAGTGTGTACGCACTTTCGAGGGGCACAAGGTACTTATCTTCCACACCACGTCTCCATTTTTTATGCTAACTTTGCGTGACAGGACTTCGTTCTTAGTGTCGCCCTCACACCCCATGGCGATTGGGTGCTTAGTGGTTCCAAGGACCGTGGTGTCCAATTCTGGGACCCGCACACTGGTGTTGCGCAGCTCATGTTGCAAGGACATAAGAACTCTGGTACGTTTGACAAGCAGCTTGATCTAGACTTCTCGGCTAACCGCACAAAGTCATTTCCGTGGCTCCTAGCCCAACTGGCGGTGTTTTCGCGACCGGTAGTGGCGACATGCGCGCTCGTATCTGGAGGTGAGTGACATCCAATCCAATCCCTACGCATGCAATCCCCCTTGACGCGATGTCTCCCTCGAGCCACGTCATTGACTGTTGCAAACCTTGTTGCATTGCGACATAGTTGTACTCACAGCAAACTGTCCTATCATGACCGGGCTGCAATAGCTGCGCTACGCTGTGATGGCTTTGGCTGGGGGCACACAACGCCACAAGTTCGCTGGCGACAGCAAGCTCGTGAGATGCACTGCGCAACCATGTGCACATATTGCCCTGCGTTTTGTGTTTTACTTCGGAAACACTATCATATTCATGAACATGATGCTGACATGACCATAGGTACGACAGGTATCCTGGACCTTAGGAGGCACAATGGCTGCTCGACGACTCTGAGTTACACCCGTCACCTCCAATGTCCGATCTGTGACAGCTGCATGAATCTCATCAACCAACACGGCTGTCTGGCGCCCCTACGTGCCAACCGCTACCTACAATTCTTCAAGATAACCTTCGTTAGTATCTTTTGCACACTGGGATGGAAAGCCTTATTGATCAACTGTCTTCCCCGCTGTGTTGGGACATCCTATGGATCTTTGTCGTGGGACGCCCGAAGAAGGGAAACTCTTGATTCAGTGATTAGTATCTACAATAATTTGGGCGATGAGGGGATGACGAAAAGAAAGTGTTCTTTAGGCTATGTTGTGTCTAGTGTCGATGATTGCACGTTACGTTTGAGTTTTTAGGTAGTTTCTCTATTGATTCCCATTTCTTCTTTGATCTATGCAGTATGCGTTCGTCTTAACGTGTTGCGATAGACCACATTTTATCACCTGCGGTGAAAAGCGACCACGGTGCCTGAAGCTATACACATGACACATGGTCTTGCCGTCGCAATCGAAGTCTAGTGACATTGTGTATAGCTTCAAGCCATTCTCTGCTATTGTCACTTTTCTTCATAGTTACCAACTTCCAGTACAGTGTCTCTCGAGCTGCAGAAGAAGCAAGATATAACTAATGCAGCCAGGCTGCGACAACAGTCTAAAGACACCAGAAAAAACGACGAGACAAAGTCGCGAATCACTCCAGGCAGTCTTTAAACTTTTCTTAGAACAGACTCAGGTAGAGTTGTCTGCACGCAGGCTAGGACTACAGTTCTGCATGTGAATTTGCGAAGCTCGCTTTTTTCCTACATCGTGAGAGAGAGTGTCTGTCGCCCCTTGTCACTCGCATCTCTCCACATTCCGACATAACCCCTACATTTGTCCAAGATCAACACGTGCTCCACCAGCAAGCCTCACAACACGTGTTGCGCAAATCCCTTGCTTCAGCCTCACTGAACAAGGCAACCCAATTCACAGGACCGCAAGCATCTTCCCTCTCTCTCCCTTGACGTGCAGAGTGTCTGAGTGCCGCGGCGCTGCAGCGCACAAACCGTGGAACGAACGCGTCTCCATGGCCGCACAGGTTACCAACACGGCGGTTTTCCCAACTCGACCCTTGATGTGGGTGGGTCGATCGCGTGGGTATGTTGTTTCCCCATAACCATGCGTCTGGATGCAGATTCTGCGCGGAGATGTTGGGAGCCGATATGGCTTCGGCGAGACTTTGTTGGAAGGATACCCGACTTGTGCTTGGTGAACCACTATTGGAAAACACTGTACGCTTCCGTGCCCGTGCCTTGTGTTCTGGAGAGGTTAGGACATGGTGGAGTGCACATGGAAGGGAAGGGAATGGGTGCGGAAGAGCATTTGTTGGCGTTTGGAAGGGTGCATTTGGAGCTGGTGTACCCGGCTGGGCAGTGCCGCTGCGCTATGACGTGATACGTTGTTGGACTGGATGGTTTTATGCATATTTTGGACGTGGGATTTCTTTGAATTGTGCTTAGGGCGTTTTAGCAGTGATGCTGAAATCCCAGGGGGGCATCCTTCTTCCTCGCCGACCAAGAGCTGTAGTATGGTAGTGAAAGAACCCACTCGCTTCTGCATACCTTGCCACAATACAACACACACTCCATGGTCGGATATCTGGCTCCCGGATGATCGAGTGGATGCTCAGCTAATATTGGTGAGGATTTGCGTTGGGATGCTGTATACGGCGAGGAACTCAGCCAACCATTCCAACATCGTCGCCACAGGCTCTTCGCTTCACTCACGATCATACCACCACCGCAGTCGCTTCCAGAACTGTTGAGGGCCCGTATCTGTGGTTCTTGATCTCAATTGTTGTTTCAAAGGCCTGCCATCAAGACACCATCCCGGACTCATCTCAAGGAAATCCCATGTTCTTGTGACCATCTTGGCCCCCATTTTCGATACCCGGCGGTATGGTCGCAGCCGCACTGGTTGAAACGTACTTAGGCCATACTAGATCCGAGTGATCGGTCGTTAGCCTCGGCTTGTCATCCACACAGGCGCCCATTTCGATCTGAAGTGGCATTTGGGGCGATTCGCTGTTGGACGTGGGGTGTGCACCAAGCGGCGATGGAAGGATGCTCGATGCGTGTACGCGTGGACCCGGGAGCTTGGGAATCCTTGATCCTGCTCATCATCCCTTGATGTTGCTGCGTGGGTACCATGAGACTTAGGTGCTTGGGCCTGTTGTTACTATTTGGAATACACGTCACTCAGTCGCGATGAGTAAACGACACGAGCATCCAACAGCATAGATACCATGGACCGTGTCTTCCTAAGAAGCTACTGCACGCGGATTTGTGCCATTCCACGGCTTAATTCCAGGGCTGTAAAAGTACCGAAGTATCGTGTTACCAGGATGTCAAATCACTCGACGCCAGGAAACGCACCTTTGCCGCTCAGAGCCTCCATTTAGCCAGATATGCATTGTTACCAATGGCTTATCCTGCATCTAGCTCGTGTCGGAGACATCTAGGGCAGATTGACATGTCGCTGCGTCTGCGCTTCACCGTGCTCAAGTTTTGCCCCGAACAAGGCTAACCCGCTCTCCCCGACTACACGCTAGCAAGCCCGCCCAGCACAGGTCCCTAATTGTAGTTTGGTGTTCCTGAGTTGCAAGGAAGTCTCTGAAGGAGGATGTACCCGATGCGGTCGCAACTGCATGATCGAAACCCAGCCCAATGTACGCGCCCAATCTGCAGATGAGTGGAGACATTCCAGAACAGTAGCTTGAGATCTCGTAAGAAATTGTGGTGTGATGGGTATGAGATCGAGACTAGAGGATGCTGTGTGAGTGGGCTCGTATCGGATGAAGCCAGCCGCAGCGATGGTGTTAGAGAGTTAAGACATGCGGAGGTGCTTGCCGACGTGCTTGAGGTGACACAGCGCGCACACACAGATTGGATACAGCAGGGAAAGAGGCTGAGGAGATTACAGACCTGACAGATCGCCGCGGTCGGCTACTTGCCGTGACGTTTGACACTGACATGGGCTCCCGCAATACAGAGCTTTCGGCAGTGGGTCTCAAGTTCCTCCACCTCCCGCGGCACCTACCGATCAGTCGTACTTTCTTAGTCAACAAACTCACATAACCATGTGGCCGGTATCAGAGCGGTCGGCGAGCTATCGTGTATCAACCCTGCTGATTGTATCGTGCATGCCGTGAGGCTACCGGCTGCAGCATCTTGCGGCATCACATGCGCGTCGATGGAAAGGGTGCGATCGCAAGCCTTTAGCGCACATTTAATGACAAGATGACAAAAGAAGACCCGATGTAGCATCATTGCCGGCGAAGGCAGGAGCCCGGGAGCTGCGATGAGCAGACGACGAGACGACCTGTCGTCGTTTGCCGATCTACGATGCGCGCAAGAGATTCGCGAGGACTATGCCGGCTTGACGCATTCGAACGACGGCCTCCACCATTGGCTGCCTTGCTAAATGGACGCGTATTGTGGCGATTTCCAACGGGAGGGTGACACCAAGGATACAGCTAAGAGATATGGTCAGTCTACCAGATGGTCCAGCTCCGTGTTCAACTTACCGCCGCGTTTCCACTTCCCGCGGGAAGACCACCTAGTCGACTCCGTCTGTGTTCCTCGGCTGTGTTTCGGACAGCGTACCCACCACCCGTTCGGGGCCAGCCGTGTCGTTTTCATTCTCCTGAGGAGAGCGATACCCTGATGATGATAGAGGCGTTAAGGATCGGCCCTTCCTCGACCCTTCTGCGTGTTCGCGCGGTCTACCGCTTCCACCATTTTGGGTCAATCTTGCATCTGACATGGGTGTCAGATCTGGAGAGGTTATTGTTACGATTCGCCAGCTGTGGTAAGAATCCCGTCATGGGCTTACGGGTTGTTCAGCAGATGCAGTAGCTTCTGCTGAAAGAACGAGGGCCTGCTCAATGCGATACTGTAGGCGATGTGTCGGAGCAATTGCATCGATCGGTTCAGGACGCTTATCGCAGCTATGATGCATGCTCTCATGTCACATGGAAAGCGCGAGATTGCTGTGCGACAAGACGAAGGGCTGTACGGACTGACCGCAATGTCAAAGGAAAAGCAGGCGATTTTGTGTCACCGATCGAACACCTGCAGATAGAAATGTGGTTACACGAAGCGGAGGAGAACTTCCAACGGCGGCCAGAGACATTATCTACGCTCGGAAGCAATTCGCGAGGGGAAGCGGGTCTTCCCCGGCGCAATGCAGTAAACCTCCCAAGATGGATGTAGGAGTGTAGCTCGGTTAAGCGAAACGAGCCCGAATCCGGCCTCGAGCCAATTGTCGCATTCGCGTCTCTCAGCACAGAACGAATCAAATTGTTTAGGCACACACGTACGTTTGAGGATCAAGTTGAATTCACAAGTGCAATTGCTTCAAGCATGGAGCACCCACTTTTTTGATTGCTGTTATCAGCGTGCCGAGTCATGCGATGATGCCCTCGCCTTCAGGTCAGCAGATGTTCGTTCTGCGATTGTATGGGTCTGCGTGCTTGTCATCAGTGCGTCCGCTCTGATGTCGAATGTCTGAATGTCTGATTTATGGAAGGGGCCATGATATGGTCTTCGGAACCTTGCGGATGTGATTTGGTGGGCATGATTTTGGGCAACCAAAGTGCTTGATGATCGGATCGAGATCGCGACTGAGTGTAGCCGTATATGCCCACTGCTGCTGCTGCCACAGTATGAAGGAGTCATGTCGGCACATGATCTGTTATTTCCATTGATCGTATGATGTCAAGCTCCGCTTCAGGCATGCTCAAGTGGACGACGACAAGCTGAGACTGTCCCTTGAGGGCCCTGCTCAGCTGAAAGTCTTCCAGATCTCATCGCCATTAAGGTCGGCCTCCCCGTGGCGACGGCAGGCTACCGGCTGGCGGAAGCACAAAAGTGGCAAACCATTTCTGACATGCACAGAAGCTAGCAGAAGCGCCCACGGAGGAGTTTAGACCCATAAGAATTCGATAGGGCATAACGGACCCGCTTCAGGCTGCGGACGTCATGCTTGGAAGATGAGGAAAGGCTGATGGCAACAGATCTATGGGCCAGCTGCCCAAGCCTTGTAATTAAAGAAGTCTCGACTTCGCTCATGCCGTGAGAGACTGAGTTTCGGCTTTCTTGTGATGTTTGTTCCAGGTCGCTTCCGCAAATCGTCCATTAAGATAGGTATTGTCTCATGGTGTAAACACGTCGAAATGATCCGGGGAGCGGGGCGCTCGAACATCATGCAGCCGCGCAACGCGTGTAGTTGTGGTTGAGGAACTGGATCAGGGAACATGGATGATGAAACGTACCAGTGATGTCTCGTTCAGATACATGCTAAACCCAAATCGAATCTGACAGACGTTGGCGCGATGCACAGCGGCGTCGGGTGCGTGCTATGCTCCGCCGCAACTTAGACGAAAAAGAGCGAGAGTGGAATATTGACAGCATGTCAATCATGACAACATGTTGCTCGAGCGAGGTTTGCGCGATCATCGGCCCAGAATGCCGATACAGCATGCTATGCGTCGAGCATACTGGGGAGAGGAGCGGAAGCTGATGGCGACACATGCGCCGAAAAAGGGCCGCGCCCGCAGCTTCCGCGCGCCGCGGGGAACTGGGCGCATGCCAGCCCATTTATTATTGAAACCATAAACCGCCCAAACAGACATTGGGCGAACACGATCAACAGGATTTCCAGTGGTGCGTGCATGGGCAGTATCCGACGCTCTCAGGCGCCGACAGGAGCTGAGCATGCTCTCAGGCCTCTTGAATCTGAATTACGCGCAGTTTACAAGACCAAACCAGCGGCTGAAACTCTGAGTGCCACTGCTCATCCAGAAGCCCGCTTGTCACTTGTCGCTCATCCTGTAAAGTAACGACCATAGACTATCCGCACGTCCCCTGTAACTGTTTGGAACTACTGCAGGTCCTCGCTTTGGGCTTGACAGCTCTTATGCCCGTTTGCTTGCGTCATCTGCATGGCGGTCTGATCAGAACGACTATGCCATTCATGCACTGGATTTGAGAATTCTGAACGGATCAATTGGTGGAAAGCCTGTAGCGCATCCGGGGATGCAAAGTGCGACTATCGCACGATCCAGCAATGCATCGTCACGACCAGGTGTGTTGCGACTCAAGGTCAAGAACGAACACGAAAGCGAACGGTCACGGCGGTGCCGAATTGTTGTCGCCCTTCTGGCTACGATCGACGAAACAAGCACTACGATCATGAGCCTGGCGTATGGGAGCTGCGTGACAGATGTGGATCGCACAAGAATGAGAGATGGTGGAAGAGAAAGACGATGGATTCTTCGGTGCGTGTTTTATGCGAAACCCTCGTCCAGCAAATGTGCAACAGTATTCGCATTTGAGTGGCCACTATTTTACTCACAATGAGCTCGTGTGTTGTGGTGTGTGAAGGTACTTTTGCGCTCGGACGATAGGGCCATTGTCGGCAATCAGGCCCGGCCTCAAGACATTCTAGAGCCATTACCAGGATCTTCAGCAAATGGCCCCGCCGCTTCGTAAGAAACTCCTGCAATACTCTTGCAACAGCAATCAAGACAAGGCTATGATGGCCCACACGGTGGCATACGGTAGTATACAGAGCAAGGTCTGGCGGCACTGCCAAGTCTTATAGAGAAAAGCCAAACTTGGGCGATACATACTGTTGGTGTGAGATGGTCAAGTCTCAAATTGTATTGCCGTTTGTCTCAGCGACGAGGCCATAAGTCAAGGAACACGGGCGAGAGATGCAATCGGACCCTGACGCAACCTGAGGAAATGGGCGTCTGCACTTCCGATCGAGGCTGGTTCGTGTCCAGGTCACCGGTAACTACTGGAAGTAATGGAGCAGGGGAGTCACAGGGGAAGTATGCCAGCTGCAGTGACCAGAGTCAGTCGGCGATGATCGAGCCAAAAGTAGCGAACGCGAAGTCTCAGTGGCGGGCAGGGCTGTGTTTGAGTGCCAACGAAAGCGTATTGAGGATGAGCAAGGGAGGATGGCTGTATGCATGTCCATCCGAAAAGGGAAGAGCACGAGGAACCAGCATGGTGAAGCGAAGGATGGTGAGGATGTACCTTTGCGGATTGAGATCCAACTTACAGACAGGCGTGCCTGCGTTTTATTACTTTTTTCCTAACACTCTAAGTCAACCAATCATGTGTTCGGACGGACCTCGGATCTTAAGGGCCGCCCCACAGGAGCAGGTGCACGGATCCTTTTCGTCATGATTGCTGTGGGATGACTCGCTCATCACCCTCATTATTTTGCCCAATTATGCCGCATCTGCGACGGGTTGTTTCTTACGAGACCAGGACGCACCAGAGCCCTCACTTTCCAAGTGCACTGCTTGCGTCTGCCCGTATCGTGCGTCCACGGCTGTTGCTGCGTGCGGGTCCAACCAACCCACGGGCTTGCCCGTGCGATGACCGGCCAGGGCTTCCATATAGGCCATCCGGCCGCTTTGGGGGACTTTGTTCAGCATGTTCTGGGAGCCACCGCCTCATTACCTAAGTTTAGCCCCGTCATTCGCCGTCTGCCACCGTGGCGGGCTGGGCTTACCTCGATGTGGGTAAGATGAGCTTCGGGAAGAGGCGCCGCCGTCGCTTCTCGTTTGGTTACAGTACAGATGCAATAGCGTGGATTTGCACGCACGTGTGTGGTCGTCCCAGGGCACCTGAGTCGTGTGTTCGATATTGAGCACGAGAACCAACTACAAGATTAAAGTCCAGCCACGATAAGCCAGCAAAAGATCCTCGCCAGGGTGTCTCGCCCTATCGGATCATCGTGTGCGAAGATGGCCCAGCATGCTCGTCAGTATCGCACACCAAGCATCTTCACAACTTCACACTGCGATAGTGGCCGTGTCTGCTACTCGAAATGAAGAGCTCAATTCAATGTTTGGAAATAACAAAATAACACCTACCTCCACCAATGAGCTTTGTCGTTTCCATCAGGAAAGGGCCTCTTTGTGGCGCCCAATGGTATGCGGCTCAGGCGTCTGTCTCGAATGGACGCACCCCCACACTTGTGTGCACCTGAGACCTGCCCATCGCAGCCACTACCTGTCCGCGCAAACTCTTGGAGCGAAGGTCCCGGCTCCGGCCCGTTCAAGATGCCTGTGGGCTCGTACTGCTGGCGCCCCTAGACGCATCCCTGATCCACCGCAGTGACCCCCAGTGCCCCCATTCACACGACACTGCAGACTACGCACCCCTCCCCTGCTATCGCCAGACCCGGTCGATTTTCACTAAAACTGTCATGCCTAGGAATTCCTGTGGCATCCACCCATTACCACTTGGCTGCATACGAGAGCGAAGTTCCCTGTCTATCCTGCTGCATCAGTCGTGGTCTCGATTTCCGAGTCTCTCCCTGTTCCTGGGCCCTTCGGACGGTCTGCTCCACAACAGATCGTCATCCTTGTCCATTCGCGGGATGCAAAGAGGAGCTTACCATCTGTCCATACCTATATGTAAACCCCCAAACTCTCCCTCACCACGGATTGGATCGAGCGAGCATATCGAACTTCATGACCGCATAGCTCCCACGCCACCCCATCTTCTCTCGTCAGTCATTAGCTTCCTCCTGCACTACTGCCCACCTTCACACGGCTATTCGACTCAGCTCGCTGTTAGCTATTTAGCACATACTCCCCACTGTGCACTTGGAGGCACTAGCTCTCCTGTCTGCAATGGCCGCTGTCGTTGCACATCAACAAGCTGCTCTTTGGCATCGACGACTTGACCATTTTCACATCCCCGACGTCCACTTCACCGGCATGATGCCACAATACGAAAACCAAAGGACTGGTGGCAGTGCACCGACATCCCGATCGTTCCTGCCTGCGACAACGCAAATGGACTTGAGTCTGCCTCTATTCTCTGCGAACGGACTCCCAACATCGGTGCCGTACCAATCAAGTGGAACTTTTGCATACGGCTCTTCTGTCGATCCCTACAACATGCAGCAGAGTAACATGCAACACTCGTATTCGATGAACTACACATCCAATCTTTCACCTGCGGTCTCATATGCCGACAGGACTGAGCATCAGTCACTTGCCAACGTCCACGAAGCTCGCCACGCCTTTGCTCTCGATAACGCTCATTTGGTCAAAGCGGAAAGCGCATCTCCCGCTCAATCTAGTCCAGTATACAACAATACTTCATACACTTCAGAGTGCAAGAGATCTTCTTCTGAACCAATGGACCCGTCCAACATCAACTTCGCTACGGACGTCGACACTTTGATGAAGGCAATCCAGGCGAAGCAGACGACATCGACACAGCAGCAAGAAGCACCTCCCAAAGTGAGTCATACATAAGACTGTTCGCTCTAGTTCGATATACTGATCACATCACAGCGTGAGGAGCCAAAAGTCAGCCAAAAGCCGCGTAAGCGGTACCAGTGCCACATGCCAGACTGCAACAAGAGCTTCTTCCAAAAGACGCATCTCGAGATCCATATACGGGCACATACTGGAGCGAAGCCATTCGTAAGTCTTTCCAACCAAAAGCTCAGGGCTTCTATTAATCGATTCCCAGGAGTGCAAGGCACCAGGATGTGGTCAAAGATTTTCTCAACTAGGCAACTTGAAGGTAAGTTTTTCGAGGCTGCACAGTCACTGTACATTTGCTTACTTTGCCATCAGACTCATGAAAGGCGCCATACTGGAGAGCGACCCTACAGTTGTGACATTTGTGGAAAGACGTTTGCACAGCGTGGCAATGTCCGTGCTCACAAGATTGTACACCAACAGATCAAGCCTTTCACTTGTAGGCTCGACGATTGTGGGAAACAGTTCACCCAACTTGGCAACCTCAAGGTAACTATCGCATGCAGCGTGTTGCTAGAGCGTCGCTAATTCTTTGCAGTCACATCAGAACAAGTTCCACGCTTCGACACTCAAATACCTCACGCAAAAGTTCGCCACCATAACTCCAGGCGATTACGTATCACACGCAGACAAGGAGTTATGGGAGTACTTTGCGTCCCTGTACAAGAACTCCAATAAGGGCATAAAGGGACGCGGGAAAGACCGGAGAATATCTGCCATGTCCTCTTCAGCCTCTGTCCATCCCTTGTCGTACTCGACGATGCCCACGTCTAACAATCGAAGCTATCCCGGATTGTACAACCACAACGGTAGTGACCGCAGCAGTCGCAGTTCGTCGGCATGTACGGATCTCAGCAACCAGCGCCCAGAGCCTAATTACGACTTCAACGCACCTATGCAGGCGGGTTATCCGACACAAGGGACAGGTTACGATGACATGGTTTTCCCCGAACGCAAGATGTACTGAGCGACTAGGTCACATGCCAGGAACGAAAACTATACAACATGTATTCAAGATGGGTGATGAGGAGTTAGGGGCCATGGAAAAAGTAGGACCGTCAACATGGTATCCGAGCTAGTGCAGCGACGGTACATTTTTTTGGTCTTTGTCACCTTAAATGGAGTTAGGGCTTCGTGCAACACATTCGGCCATCAGTCATGTATATATCGCCAACCTTCGCTTGCACTTGAACGGCAAATACTCTTTGTACATTATATGTATTACGCGCACCGAAATGAATATCGAATCATGATTCCACGAACAGACCGAAGAATTGCTCGCGTCCAGCAGGAGATTGACCCTTTTACGGTTGTCCAGCGGTGAGTGAGTGACACTGCACTGTGGCAGAGTCGGCGCCTAGGGTTCTACATTCCCGTACCCCAATCCACACAACTCCCTTCCGTCTCCCACGATCGGCAATATCAGAGATTGAGTTGCCGCACAGCATGTGTGACCTCACAGGTCTGAGATGGCTCGATGACGCTTATCTGTCATTGCAGCAATTGTGCGATGATGTGAGTTTGTGGCGTCTGGTGCAGTACGGCTTTGGATCGAGCTGCAGGTCCACCGCCCCACGCGTACTTCGGACGGTGAAATGTTGGTTGAGGCTACGGATGTCCGCCGAACCACAGCGGGCGCTGGGCAGAAGGGAAGGGCCGACTGATGGACCCTCTTACCGCGCGGACCGTCGACAAATGCAACACTAAAACCTCGAGCATCTTCGCACGTGTCCTGTGCTTCCAGCACATCATGGCTGCATCTTCCTCACTACGATCCTGCGCTTTACAAGAAATATTCCCGCGCACTCCAACTCGCACAGACGCTTTCTCCGCGGACTGTATCGGGTTATCGAGATCCAACCCGTTTCGAGCTGCCCATCCCGCGCGCCTCACAGCAAGCCAGCCCCCCTCCTATGCAGGCGTCCAGATACGGTTGTACAAATCTACCGCCAGGCAGCCAATAGGACTGTTGAACTCAATGCCGAGACGATTCCGAGCGCCGGGTTGGTATTTGTGCACTCCCGAAGGAAGCTGGCATATCCCTGGTTGTCGGCGACGGCATGCCGTCGTCGCGTCTTGTGACCATGAAGAACCCATGAACATTTACGAAAGGAGCGAGTGATTTTCAAGGCTTCATAAATGCGCTTCATTATTCTTTAAGGGGATATCCAAACCCACTGATCTGCACATCGTCACCGTAATTCTGGGCATGATCGACGCAGATCTAGCCGTCGATCATGTGGTCCAGAGCCCCATGGCATGCAACTTGGTATGACGTTTAACAGCCAGTCTGGAGCGACGTTCCGAGGTAGTGAGGCTTATTGATAGGAAAAACTTGGTCGGTGTGGGAAGAGCGCATGCTGGGGCATGGGTTACGCTTGAACTTTAGTGGTCCAAAATGATGCAAGATGCTCACTGCTGGGGCGGTGTTACAAGGATTGCACGAGGTGCTTATCGCACAGACTTCCACATTGTATGACCATTGCCTCGACCTTGCTAGTTGGATCCCATGGAGCCAGAAATCATCGTTATGACAAGCACTTTTTAGAATTGTGCTTCGACTGGAGGTGGTTGGTGCGCGTGGGCTGTCATATGCGTGGTCGGGTTTGAAGTAGGCAAGCATACCCATGGTCAAATGGCTGTCACTCCTAGCCTTCATATGGCGCCCCTTCAACCTCACGACTGACCCTTCTACATTACGTACCCGCTCACGACCTCCCCGAAACACGTGGCGGCAATCTTTACTCTTACTTGCCCTAGATTCTGCTTCCAATTCATGTCATGTCATCTCCTAGAGAGTTTCGACACAGAGGGCTCGCCTGCTTGATCGCTGCACCCCACACGCACGCGGCTCAAAGCGCAGAAATCCGCGCGCCATGACCAACTCCAAGACTCTGTTGACGCCCAATTTCAGCTGATGTGCCCCCGGATCGCTCGGTTGATATCCTCCGCCTCAAACTTACCAAGCAGTCGGGACCCGTCCGTTTTGACTGCATGGCCCGCTGTTCACTATCAGCATAGCGAGTCAGGCATGGTGACCCAGAAGAATTGTGCAAAGATGGGGCGTAAAACGCCCATAGTATCATTGCCGCGCAGTACATGAGAAAGTAGTGGACCATAACAGCTGGCTTCATCCTGCCAAATGCCCGAGTTGCGCCGCCGTCCCAGCATCTAGACGTGGCCCCTGTATACTCTAACAGAGCAATTCTCGGTCATGACATTTGCCATGATCGCACAATCAGCTTAACAGAATGGACGGCGACGTGCACGAACAAGGTATTTGTGAAGGTGTTACTAAATGTCAAGCAGGATTTTTGGTATGGCTGGGCGTCCCACGACAGCGCCCCCATGTTTTGTGGTATGTGCTCTACCACACACCCGATCCTGGCACCCTCGAGATTTCCACGTCTTCCAGCGATCCATTTCAAAACACCGCATATGCAACGCTCGCACCCGTTTCAAAACCATGGTCACACCGCGGCCGTATTGTTTCCCTTAGTGGAAAAGCTGCAGCAAAGCACCGATGCTCGGGAACGCCCCGTGGTGGAGTGAACATTCGTTTGTGATGCTTTACCAAAACGTTCCGATCAGCCACTCGTGCTTGCATGAACAGTTTGACACCAGCGTGTATCGCGATTTGAGATATAAAGAAGTGCCCAGCTTTGGATGTTACAGTATGTTGTTCAATTTGGACACAACAGCTCTGTCCCTCCACGTTCAAGAGATATTTGACACGAGCTTGACAGCTTGATACATCACACTCGTACGACCTTACTCTTCACGCGCTCGGCTCACCGCTCCGCTTTCTCGAACGCCGGCAGGTGCCCTACGCATGACAATGATGGCGCTCGCCAGCCCGACAACTCCACATTCCGATAACGTCCAAGACGTCGCACAGTCTCGTCAAGACGGAGTGTACGACCTTCAGCCTACTCCCCGGGAAGACCGATGCCCCTCCTGATGTCTCCATACGTCTGCGTAACCACACTTCCCAAAACGTCGGGTTCGTGGTTTCCTTGCTTGCTCAACTGCATGATCTAGAGCACAATGTTGAGGAGCAACATGCTGCAGGAACTTCTCAATCACGAGGGTCGATAGTATTCTGCGTGGTGACATGCCCTGTCTTTCGGATTCTCACGCCACCGAGTACGTACACCGTTCATTCGTTCCTAGCATCGAATACTTTCCCGTTGGTGTGGAAATGAATACTGCCGTGTCACCCGCGAATGCACCTCACGGACCTGGCCGCGCAATTTACCTCGTTCGATCTCTCATTTGCCCATCTACCCAGCGCTTCGAAACTTCAGCACGTTGCCACATAACCGCCTGTCTCACTCTTCTACTGCAAGCCCAGCCAACACTGGACATAACAAGCGCACATAGTCATACGACACTACTGCTCAGAACCGAGTGGGTCTCAGGAGAGTATGAGGATATTGGGAGCCGGGGAGCCCTACATTGAGCAATGTGCGAGACCGGACAGAGTTGCATACGATATGTAGGAGGCTTTTCTCACATGACCTGTTGTACACCAAACTCCAGGGCAGTGGTTCCGAACGGTACTTCCCGTTTTCACCGATGCGTTTGAGGGCACTACCTACATACCTCGAGCATGTACCCCTGAAGATCTGCCGGCTCGGAACAGAATCTCATCGAGCATATGTGGGCTGATGCCCTGCGTTGCAACCCGACTTCGGAGGGGGCGTACGTACTTGGGTGAGACTGCGAGGTGTATTGAAGGCTGAACAGACACCATGCCGTTGCTCGGAGCGGCAGTTGTGAGTGACACTGCCAGCAAGTATTTGTTTCCTTACGAACGTCGCAACGTTCTCGGCTGTTGGGGCACTGTAGAGGCGTTGAAAGTATGAACTTCCTCAGCTATCCTAGGCGCTCTCTACGCTCACCGGTCCGGAACATGATCAGATGCAGGCGCGTTACTCTATTGTTTACTTTGGTCATGCCGGGTTGTTCCGTCTATCATGCAGGAACGACCCGACTTCGTGTGGGTGGTCGTTATACGTCATTACGACAGCGTGCCAACATTAGCAAGTCCTTGACATTATCGCGAACACCAACGGACATCGCAATCCTAGTAGGCTCACATACCCGTACCGCCCGATTATAGTGAGGTGAACCTCGTGCGGAATCGATGTATCCATCACCGCCTGTCGTAATGATACGGATAGGGTTCTTGCACGAGGCTAGAAACCACGTTCTCGTGCACCAGTCCCACGCGAACGGGAATGCAGGTACCCGAACCCGAGTGCTAGACCTTTGACCGTTAACCATCCTTATTGCGGTAAAGTTGATCATCTTTGTATTCGGAGGATTGAAAAGCCGTTGGAGATGTCACCGGCCTACGCATCACCTGTTCGACGCGTCATTCGAGCACAAAACGACCACGCTTTCTCGCACAGTTGCAATGTGCTCAACACGCTCGGATCATCGCCGTTGGTAACAATTGAGAGCAAGAAGCACAACAGCCGATAGCTCGAGTGAATGTTTGTTGTATGGAACCCCACACGAGCAGGTTGGGCGCACCTACAGCCGGGTATTTGCAGCTGCTTGTCGACCGGGATATCGGGTCAGGATTACCGCGTGAACTGGTATACCGGTATTCGATAGCTCGAGCGTGCGGGATCTGTTCCCGCGTTGTGAGCTTCCCGATAGTGTTCCGCGTTGCAATAAGATGCGCGAGAATATCCGCATAGTGTGGTGTTGTGTCGCGGATCAATTCGTCGCCTGTGGGTGGTTCTTCGCTCGACTATTGGCGGCGTGTAGTGTCGTTGAGCATGTATGAAGGTAGACAGGCTAGAGGATTAATAGCAGGGTTTTGGCAGCAGCGGGAGGTGTTGAGAAGGTCGTGTAGGGTAAATTTGGTAATGATGAGGCGATACCATACGAATGGGCGTAACCATTGTCGTCTTCATGATTGGAAAGATGACCCATTTGGTTCCAGTACCTCCAAGCTTCGTTGATAACGTTGAGTCTGGGAACGGAAAACATGTATAGGATGTGGAATTGGTTGAGCAACCAAATTGATGCTATCGTCGCCTCGTGCGAGAGACCAGCTCGTGCTACAATAACAAATGAACCCGCGCTCAGATGATTACGGTATTCATGCTCAACAGAACCTGATACATCATGTCCTTGGAGAAGGATAGATGTGTTGGTGACGGTGGCGTGGAGTGCACGTGATGTACGAAAAGGGCAATTCGCATTTGTCATCGAGCGGAGTGTGCGGTGAGAGTACGGTAAGCCCACAAACGACAAGAAATCAGAGGAGAGAAAAGACGCGTAAAGGAGGGGGCACTCAGGTAAATCCCGCAGCGCCCAGAAACGGACTGGCGACTGAGAGGGTGGCATGATGGTGTTGCGTGGGTCGTCCGACTGCTCCGAGCACGATCCGAGGCCCATCTGATATGATAAAGGGGTGCCGGTATGTCAGGTCCCGGTCAGTCCACTCGGGCTTCCACGGCTTCTTCATTTCCGTCGCCTTGGAGAGATCACGTGAAGCTGCTAGTGTCGTACCCTGAAGTGTGTGATTGGCAGGTACCCGTTTTTAACGGCCGAGTGATGAAATTTAGTGGGTCGATTCAGGGACTGCAATTATCGCCGTTAAAAGTGCTAAAGTCCTCAAAGGGCTGCCGTCGCCTCCCGTACTGCCCCTGTATTCACTTTGCTCCAGCGCACTTGCACTGCTCTTTCACTTGTGTACGCTGTTCTATCTTGTGCTGTTCCTACATTGCGACAGCTGTTATCCACCCCTTGCCTGCGTGTCCAGGCCCTCCAAAACACAACGAATCGCAGCTCTTTCGTACCTGAACACCCGGCGTTGCGCGGTCCAACCAACGCCCGCCATGGATATCGTCCTCGAGGTCTTCGACACGTTTCTCTTCGACCCGATCTACGCCACGCTGCTGCCAGCTGCGTCGCAATCGCTCGCGCCCAACGCCACATATTCGAGCTTCCGAGAGGAGCCCACGAGCTTCGTCAAGCCTCACTCGTCGTGGCAGTATGAGCCGTCGACACACTACTTCTCCATACAGCCGTCGCAATATGCCTACCAGAGCGCATTGACCCGCGACGACTGGCGACGACAGGCGCTGACGCTGTTTCTCATCACATGGTGCGCCTCTCCAAACAGCCTTCTCAAGCACCCTGGCTAATTCACCGCGCAGGCTCTTCGGCGTCTTCGTCTACTTCATCTTCGCCGGCCTGTCCTACGTCTTCGTCTTCGACAAGGCCACCTTCTCCCACCCGCGATACCTCAAGAACCAGATCAAGCTCGAGATCAAGCAGGCCAACGTCGCCTTCCCGGTCATGGCCGTCCTGACGGTGCCCTGGTTCCTCGCCGAAGTGCGCGGCTACTCGAAGCTATACGACACAACAGAGGAGGGCCCCGGCCGCTGGTACGACTGGGCCCAGTTCCCCTTCTTCCTGCTCTTCACCGACTCGCTCATCTACTGGATTCACCGCGGTCTCCACCACCCGCGCGTCTACAAGTACATCCACAAGCCTCACCACAAGTGGATCATGCCGTCTCCCTTCGCCTCCCACGCCTTCCACCCGCTCGACGGCTACGCACAGGGCCTGCCCTACCACATGTTCCCGTTCCTGTTTCCCCTCTCCAAAGTCGCATCCGTCGCCTTCTTCGTCTTCGTTAACATCTGGACCGTCATGATCCACGATGGCGAGTATGCCCACAACTCCGCCGTCATCAACGGCGCCGCCTGCCATACCATGCACCACCTTTACTTCAACTACAACTACGGCCAGTTCTTCACTCTCTGGGACCGTATGGGTGGCAGCTACCGCAAGCCCAACGACGAGCTCTTCCAAAAGGAACTCAAGACGTGCCAGGCCGAGTGGAAGAAGCAGTCCGAGGCTGCTGACAAGATGATCCTCGAAGTCGAGGGTGACGAGGGCCGTGAATACGTCGAAACTAAGAAGGTCCGCTAGATGAAGATGTCATGGCTGTTATGAAGAATCCTGCATAGAAGTGACGAGGAAGACAGGCGCCCGTGGTTGTAGACCGACCATGATGGCACGCCTGGGGATGAACAAGGGGGTTTGTATATACCATTCAACGCATTCGCTTGCATCATGTTTGGACAGGAGAGCGTGGCGCGCTCAACTGCTGCCTCGCGATTTTAATGTTGCAGCAACAGTTGGCCCATTTTCTAGCATAAGCTATCTATAGAATAATATCTAATGTCACGAGAGTGATTCACTTCATTACTGTTGGTTCAGAATTCATGTGTTGCCATTGACATCTACCATTGATGATAGACGTCCACAGCTCTGGTATCCAAGTACAAATACATCAAAACGCTATACCCGTAGTCCACCACGACTCTCCTCTATGCCATCTTACAATGTTGAATACCCCATTCCAGCACCACCAACCATCCCTCTTATCCGCGCCGAAACCCAGTCCTCTCAAAACCGAGACTGGTACGGGCTCGAACAGCCAAACGCCCCCTCTTGCAAAGTCATCGCACAACAGATGCGCCGTGAAATAAAACCAAACATGCACATATCCAAACGTCCAAATCCGCATAACCGACTGGGGAATATTGCGACCAAACCTCCTGAACGCCTGAGATGCCGACGCCTCGACGAAAATGCCCACCGCCTGCAACATGAAGAACAAAAAGGGATTTGCCCACGGATACGTCTCTCCAGGGGAAGTGTAGCTGCCGCTTGCATGCACAAGCCCACTCATCGCAAACGCCGTCAGCAACTGTCCCGCCTTGGCCAACGCCGACTTCCTGTCCATCCCAAGCACTTCGATAGCCTTCCGACTCGGCTCCTGGAAAGCGAAGCGGAACGTCTGGTGCCACCAGCTTCCCCACCATCCCGCCAGGCCCTTGTCCAGCACGATGGAGTACGGGGCCCATGTCTCGGGGTACATCCAGACTTCTGCGCGGGCGCCGAGGAGAGCGGGGCCGAGGAGGGAACTGAAGAACAAAGGCCCCAGGGCAAAGATGGTTTGAAGCGCCGTCTTGACGCCGAGCATGGAGAGCGCGAGACGGGTTATGTGTATGAGCGCTGGGGACGAAGCGAAGAATGAATACGGAGGATAGTCAGGTGCTGGGCGGTCCACGAGGCCCCAGAAATACGGGTCGTGCATCATGAAGGTCTTGAGGAAGTCGAGCATCAGATATCCTTTTACGAAAGTCTGGAGGTTTGCGCGGAGGAGTTCGGCGCGTGTGGAGTACATGCGCACTTGGCCTGGATGGATCCGATTCGAGGTCTTGGGTGGTGCTGTGTCTGAGGAATTACGGTGTAGTTGTTCTTGAATGGCTTTGGGAGGCGGGGGTAGAGCAGAGGTACGCCAGTTCCAGCCTGCGCCACGGAAGTTGCAGAAGATGTCGAGAACCCAGTCGAGGCGTTCAATGAACGGCGTCAGCGGATAGCTTTGCCACGCAAAGGAGCCATGGCGGTGCGTAGGGCCCAAGTGACCATTTGACATCTGATCTGCCTTCTTTTCCATGATTTTGTTGCCATCTTCTTGCGAGGCTGACGTCTTTGAACCTTTGAAAGCTCCTTCCAATCTTTCTATCCTTTGGAAATCGGTCTGAGCGTCGTTGCAAATCAGGATTGCAGAAACCCACGCTACACTCCAGGAACTGACTATACCGATCCCAAATGAGGAGGCCATCCCTTTAGCTCTTGCATATAATATCGTGTATGTCGCAAAGCCAGTGATCCAGGCAAATGCTATGTAACGACATCTCTTGAGCCATGGCCGGTTTTGATGTGGGATCAACAAATACGCGATCACGATAGCGGCTCCAAATGTTCCCCAGGGATACAAGAATGGTCGAATCTCTCCGGATGCAACTTGCTTATCGTAGTTGGCGTGGTAGTGTTCTATAAGGTCGTAATGGGAGCGTGGCCAAGGGTCCCTCTTCCACGCGTCTAACATCTTGACACACAAAAACAGAAGGAAGGTACAAGTACAGTGTATAACAACATCGTAGAGGAAAGAAACACGAGAACACTGAACAAAACAAGCAACGCAGTAGCGCGCCACATGATGGCAGTTAGGGATGACGCAGTCGATCTTACCGTCGCTAACGTAGTAGACTAGGCTGAAGTGGGGTAGCGCTGAAAGCTGCAACACCAGGCCTCTTCCATCGTGATAGGTATCGCGCTACAGCACGCTGCAACAGGTGTTGCACGACTTTTGTTATACCTTCACTCGTTAGTCACACGCGTAGTGTGATAACACAGCCAGGATGGTCAACATCACAGAGAAGATCAAAGAGTATTGACGACCGTGAAGTTTTGATGTGCCATGCGCTAACGCCCCACCAGGATTGAGGATGAGATGCGGAGGACGCAGAGTGAGTTTGCTGGCATTTTGAAGTGATATAAGGGCTAATTAAATTCAGAGAACAAGGCTACGGGTACGATTACTCAAATCTGGATCAATGCATTCCAATTCGAAGCGCTGCTAGACATCACGTGCTAACACTACCTTAAGAATATCATCTTGGTTTACTGAAAGGGTACGTATATACCGTTGTAGTTCGTGGATAGAGCTCACCATATGATAGAAAACTCGCCCGCCTCCGTGCTCAATTGCTTGAACCCGCTCCAGGAGCAGGTAGCGGTGGTGGTACCGGCTTCGATGTTTCCAAATCTGGTGACGCACGTATAGCACTCGTTGGCTTTCCCTCTGTTGGAAAATCGACCTTCTTATCACGAGTCACAAAGACCAAGTCAGAAGCTGCATCGTATGCTTTCACTACTCTCACTGCCATTCCTGGAGTACTCGAGTATGGCGGCGCCGAAATCCAGGTGCTCGATTTGCCTGGTATTATCGAAGGTGCGGCGGAAGGCAAAGGGCGAGGAAGACAAGTCATTAGTGCTGCCAAGACGAGTGATTTGATCTGCATGATTCTCGATGCCACGAAGAAGGCTGAGCAACGGAGATTGCTGGAGGCCGAGTTGGAAGCAGTCGGTATAAGATTGAACCGCGAACCACCGTGAGGCTTTTCCGATACTCTCACTAAGCAGTGTAACTAACGGCCGTCCCAGCAACATCTACCTCAAGCCCAAAAAGGCGGGCGGCATGAAGATCAACTTCCAAACCCCCCCAAAATACCTCGACGAGAAGATGCTCTACAACATCCTCAAAGACTACAAAATGCTCAACTGCGAAGTCCTGATCCGCGACGAAAACGCCACTGTCGACGACTTCATCGACACCATCATGAAGGACCACCGCAAATACATCAAGTGCCTGTACATTTACAACAAAGTCGACAGCATCGGGATCCCGCACTTGGACGAACTAGCGCGCGAACCCCACACCGTCGTCATGTCATGCGAGCTGGATCTGGGGATCCAGGATGTCGTCGACAGGTGTTGGAAAGAGCTGGCGCTGATTAGAATCTACACGAAGAGAAAGGGCATCCCGCCGGATTTCAGCGAGGCGCTGATTGTAAGGACGGGCAGCACGATTGAGGATGTGTGTGACCAGGTGCATCGCACGCTCAAGGATACGTTCAAGTATGCGCTTGTGTGGGGTGCGAGCGCGAGACATGTGCCGCAGCGGGTGGGGCTCGGACATGTGGTTGCGGATGAGGACGTTGTTAGTATTGTGGCCAAATAGATAGACAGTGGCATGTGATGAACGTGGTAGCAAACTCGTGAGCTACAATTCACAATTCACAATTCACATCTCACTTCTGTCTCAATCAGTTGGTCTGACTTGGCCGCCAACACCTGTCTCATTCACCTTTTCCCTCTCTCTCACTCAAATTCACGTCTCTCAACCGCCCAATGGCCCCCTCATTCATCCCCCTCCTACCCTCTTCTCCCTGAATCTTCATTCCACCCTCTCCTAGTCTACACCAACGTCCCAAACCCTGTCCCTCACCCTCTTCACCACAACCTAGCGCTCACTCTCCCACCAAGCCGCCCCCGCCATGCTCTGAAACCCCGAATTAGACACCACCAGCACAACACCCCAAGATTTCCACCCACATGTGTACGAGCAGGTGCGGAAGACCGCCATCAACACGGGGGAGGAAGCGCAGTGCGCCGTGTAGAATTGGCACATAGTGACGAGCAAGCGAGGAAGGCCGGGGTCCGTGTTTCGCACTGCCGGAGAATGGGGTAGTTGTGTGTGTGGAGAAGGCGAGTAGTACTGAATTGTGTGTGTGTGTGTGTGTGTGTGTGTGTGTGTGTGTGTGTGTGTGTGTGTGTGTGTGTTGGAGAGAAGGTGGTTCGAGTGAGGAAGGAAGGATGAGACGCATCAAATCATCAATACACACATATACATCAACTCACTCCATTACTCTACTTCTCTTCTCTCACCCCAACCCTCAAAACTTTATATCCCATTTCTCCATCCTCGTCTCCACCTCCATCTCTCGCTCGCCATCTAAAACGCATCTGGGTATCTACTCTCCAAGCAAACAATGCTACACGGTTCCAATCCAACTGTATAAAAAAAAACGGCCAAGGAGATATTATGGGGGGGATGTAATGCTTCGCAGCAGTTGGGTGTGTCTAGAGTCATGACGCTTGTTGTAAAGAACGATGAAAACGAAAAACATAAACTGATAATGGTCCCGGAAAGGCAAGCACCTGCAATGCCATGCATTCGCCAATACTCCTATTGCGCATGCGTCTTTTTCTTTTGGGAATCATGCTATGTCCCGATGGGTTGTGGTTGCGAGTTCACTTGGAGTGTGGGTGTGATTGGGTACGGGAGGTATTGATCGCGCTGCTGCTGGATGGCTTCGACGCGCTCGTCTTCCTGTGTGGCCGGCCATGAGCCTGTGTCCGGGCCGAGGTGGGGGTCTGGTATTTGTATGTCGAGCTGCGGTCGGACTGTCAGTCGCTGTCATTTTCTCTGCTTCGTCACACTGCACATACCGTGAGATAGCCCGTCCGCCGCAGCGGGATGATCTTGACGGCCTCCTTGGCGCCCACATCCCTATTCCAGTCGTCGATCCAGCGCTCCAGCTCGGCGAGTTTCTTCTTCACGCCAGTCAGGCCCACGTCGTCCCACAGCCAGAAGGTTGCGACGCCCATGACGGCGTCCAGACACGCGCGGAAGGTGAAGGGGTCGAAGGCCTCGACCAGCGTGTCGTTGATCTTCTTGACCAGATTCCGGAAGTCGTCCTCGCTGACCAGGGGGTCGAGGATCTCAGGGTAGAGGTTGGCGAACGTGGGCGCGAGGTCCCCCGCCATCATCCAGTCGCGCTTTATGCGGATGATGCGTGTGTTGTGGTACAGCTCCGACTTGAGCGGGACGTGTGGGTTCGGATGGGGGAAGCATGGATGCGCAGGGCCCCATGGAAACTCGGACGCAGCGTCGTCGTCGTCGTCGCCGCCGCGGCCGCTGTGCACTGAGGTGCGGCGGGAGCCTGGCAGCGAGATGCGTGCGGGCCCCTGCTCTTTGCTCAGGCCGGCCTCGACGTCGCTGCGTGGTGCTACGCCGGCGGATAGCGCATCGTTGTTGCTGCTGTCGGCGGTCATGGCGTCACTGGGTCCCGGTGTCGGCTGCAGCAGGCTCCTGCGGGGGCGCGGAAGGGCAATGCTTGTGCGACAGCTGATGGTGTCCTCGGCCGTGGAACGTTCGACAGCCAGGGAACTGTGGCGGCTCTGGCGGCGCTGGGGGAGGGTCAGCAGCGGGTACTCGTCGCGGTCGTGGTCGCGGTCGGCGGCTGCAGGCTGCTCAATGGGGAGGTTTGGCTGGGGCGGCGGGCGGTGGACGGCGAGGGTGCGCGGCGACGAGTTCACGGGGTTCCAGAGGCGCGAGGCGGGCGGGCGCGGCGGGCCCTCGTAGAAGCTGCGCAGGGGGTTGAGGTTGAAGATGCGGTTCGTCAGCGACCAGCGGGCAGGCAGCGGCGACGGCGGGGGTTGCGGCGCAGACGCAGTCGAGGGGGTGCGTGAGAGCGCCGTCGTGGTGAAGTCGGATATGTCTGCCACCGTGGTGATGTGAGGGTGAGGATTCGAGTTAGTTTGTGGCTAGCGTGCATCGCTCCAGCTGCATGGGTGGCCGACGCGCTGCACTCTTTTTTTCTCTCGTCGTATTGTGTGCTGTCGTCGGAATCTGCTCGAATGTTTTGCGTCGTCCCTCGTCTGCTATATCTGGTGTCGTGATGTCCGTGGTGTATCGAGGCTGATCCAGTGTTTCGCGGTTTCGCGGAATGCGTGTCTGATTCAGTCGTCGACGGCTATGATGTCTTACCACGTACAGTCCACGTTTGACAAATTGACAGCAGCGCCATCAAAGTTTCAATCTCCAATCGTCGTGTCGCAGCCGGGGGTCGCGCCTTCCTTCTTGTACACGTCTCACACGGCGGCATGGACAGCGCTGCGTCCGGCTCAGAAAGGGTGTTTGCTTTCCCGAAGCCTTCTCTGGGCTCGTGAGCTGTCCTGGGCGACTTGACAGCCCTGTCCCCTCGTCGTTCCGCTGCGTCCGAAACGAATCTGGCCAAGCTCAACCCTGCCTGTCCGCACTGTGCCTGCATTAAACCGCCGTCCCCGATGGCGTTGGAGAAAACCACCACAGGCTTCATCCTGACTAGCAACCTGTCACCTTGCTCGCCCTACAAGTCAGCGGCACCACACCCGATGACGACTGCGGCACACTTGCCCGACGCTGCAACGGCCTTCGTCGTGCACTCACTGACCCTTCAAGCCAAGTTGCTGCCCGGAGCCATCACCAGCCATCACGTCCATCGCACGCATGCAATGCAACACAACGTTATGCCAGCTGTTACTGCATGCATTGGCTGATCACCACCAAAACACCCACAACAACACAGCCTGAATACTCCTATGCTCACCCCCCTCCCTCTACTATTTCCTCCATCAACCACAGACGCCCACGAGTCCAGCCAGCCCAGCCTAGCCCAGCCCACCACCATCGCAATAAATAACCCCATCTCCACAGCGCGCCACAATCCCAGCACCACACCACTGGGTCCCTGACCGAGAATTTAGAAGAAAAAAACCGCTACTCGCGCACGCCCTCGCCACATGACATTGAACAACTGACGTGCGGCGTGCGTCCGTGTGTCCTCGCTTGAACCAAATCTCCCCCTTTTTTTTTTCCACGAGCCACCATGACGCAACTTTCCGCACAGTGCATGAACACTCATCCCCTGGCAAAAGGACCGTAATACACAACCTTCCACGTACCTTTTCTGCCTGCATTTTGAGCTCACTTGCGACTCGCTGGGGGGGCGGGGGGCTTGACGTTGTTGGTAAGCCGCCATGACGCCGACATCATGTACACGACACAGCGTCATCATCGGCGCAACTGAGTCCAGCTAGAAATTACTATATTGAATTGTAATGCGTAGATGTAGTGGCTGATTGAATGCGTTTACGCCTGCATATAGCTGATGCGGCGTAACTTATGCTTTTGATAATCTACCGTACCGTGAGGATATCGTTCCGACCCATTCCATCCTGGAAGGTACCTAGCCTAGCCCTGCCTACCTACCATGGCTATCCATACCCTACTACCTGTCCTTCATCTCATCACAAACTTCCCTGGAAATGACATAAGACCCACACCTTCGTTGCTTTCATGTCTGATTACATGTCCTGAAATGAATTGCAATTGCGTCTCATGAGGCATTGCGCGCTGCATTTGCCTGCATCTTGCGCATGGCCTCGCGATGCGCGTCCATCATGTGTCCGCTACGCATCATGCTATCCAGCATAGATGCACGTTGCTGCTGTATCGATTCGCGTTGCTGCTTCTCTAGTTCCTTCTGTCGCCTCTCGTTCAAAAGTGCTGCTCGTTGCTGCTCAATCAAGTGCGCTTGTGTCTGCGGAGGTGTCACGTCTCGAATGTTGTCTCTCCATCCTGCGTATAGCTCCTCGCGCTTCTTGTCCGACTGTGAGCTGCTTGTACGCTTCGGCTGGTGCGAGTCGAAGCCTGTTGGTGCACCCTTGGTAGCCCACGACTTGTTCTGCCACTTCTGCGATGTCGACGGCGGTGATCGTCTTGGTGAAGTAATCGAGCTTTGGTGTTGCAGCGTCGGTGCTGTTGATTGGTGGTTCTGCAGCATCTGCCTTCGTTGTGCTAGGGACATGTTCTCCTGGTCAGCCAGCTCCAGGAGGTTCGTTGCTGATGAGCCTGGTGTGATTGACTGGGAAGAAGTTCGCTTCCTCATCAGCGTCTCCCGCTGGCCCAGGAGCGTGTTGCTTGGTAGTGGGGCAAGGACATCAATCCGAGCGCTTGAGTTCGAGCGAGACAACACGCCTGAAGAAGCAATCACCGATGGAGCTCCTGCCCTTGACTGTTGGGAGAAGGTGGAAGCCGATCGGTCTAGCCCAAGGCCATTCGGCTTATGATCCATGGAAGCTCTGTTTGAGTACCTCTTACTTTCCATGAGCGGAGCTGCGATTTCGTCGCTTACTGGCACAGCCCTCTCCTCTGAGACTTCTTCCGAGATCGCGCCAGGCAACACTGGTGATGGCAACTCGTCCAAGTCTGGCTTCTCGGCGGCTTCTAGATGCTTTGCCCACTCGTTTGTACGGTATGACAACGCAACCTTGGACAATCTGGCTGGCATAGGAGCATCTTTGAGACTGCCAATCTGCGACTCAGCGTGCCCTGTTTGTGACTGCATATCCGAGTCCGAGGACTTTGACTGCGCACTTTGCTCGCTGCCGCTCTTGTTGCTGGCCATGAGCGTGTCGGCCCGCATTCGCGAGTCGCGGAAAGACGAGCGCTTTGTTCGCTCTTCATCCGACCTGGGATCCGTGCTTGTGGTGAGAGACTGTCGAAATGCTGGTCTTTTGTCGGCAAGATCGTCTGCTTGAGCGTCTGTGCTCTCTGTAACATCCTCTGATGGCATGTTGTGTTCAGTACCGATGGGCGATTGCGGTGGAGAGATATGCCGGACAGACACACCGTCATTGTGGTCGTCTAACGTGGCTGCGATAGAAGACGCACGATCATCTTCAACATCGTTGTCAACAAGTGCTTCGGACGACTCTGAGAAGACGTGCGATCCTCGATGCATTGAGAATCCACGTGCTGCTGACATATCAGATATTCGCTTTGACATGGGACGCTGGTCCGCTGCAGCCTCATAGTGAGTCTCAGGCACGGCCGAAACTGACGAATTATCCTCGTCTTCACTCCTGGCATCGCTTTCGGTAGGTATGTTGAACGGTAGAGGAACTACAACTGGGGGCGGAGGCACTGCAGCCTGCAGACTAGTTCTCTTTGTGACAGAACGTTCCTTTGTAGGAGGTGCTGTAAACTCTGGGCTGGTGGCAGTGGGGCCTCTCGGAAGACTTCGGTACGTGATTGGGTTGCCTTGAGCGTCTAGTTGTTGGATGTCGTCGTCCGGAAGAACGTTGATAGTAACTGTTGTGCTTTCTGCGGCGGGCCCGCTCTTGGGCAGACTGGCCATCTCCACGCTGTCTTTGCCATATACCTCTTTTTCTCGAATGCTTGACGAAGCTTTCGGACTTGCGATAGAGGACGATCTGACGCTTGAATCTGGAATGCTCTTATTGCCGTACGCAGCTTCCCATTGCGCACGTTCCTTCTGGAATTTATCTTCGACAAGTCGTCCTTGAGCCTCCTCTTCTCGGTCGTTTTCTTCCTGCTTCTCCAGCTCCTGCTGTGCGCTCTTCTCTCGACGCTCCTTGACCATGTTCCATACGCGTAGTTGCGAAACGACTCCGAAGACGGAGATGATGACGATGCCAGCTAGCTCGGCCTTGATGTTTTTCGTCAACGGGTACGTGTTCGTGTTCAGTGGGAAGATATCGTCGTTCAGGCTCCATAGGTACAACCAAAACTCCTTCAATCCAGCGCGTGCCAGGCAGTCGATTCCGAGGATCGCGGCGGTGGCGCCGGAAAACGAGATGGATGCGATCAAGCCGTAGTTGCGCGTGTAATGGCTGAAGGACAGAGAGTATCCACCAGCACTCATGCAACCAATGAAGATGGCACGTCCAGTGGAAGATGAGATGAGACCACCGCTTTTGAGGCTTAGGAACCACATGCTAAGACAGAACCCGCCCAGCAAGCATCCGAAGCCTTCTGTGATGTCTGAGAAGACGAGGGATAAGACGCCGAAGATAAGACCAGTGAAGAAGGCTGCGACGAAGAACGCGCCTTGGACCCCATCGGAGACGGGAGGGTTCATCAGGTAGACTATTAGTACGGTGACTGCAAGAGCAGTCAGGTATGCGGCAGAACCAAATACATAGATCCTGGTCGAAGTTAGTGCATGTGTTGGTGACAGAGTCATCTTCTAATGCCAGCATAAGGTCGTGATTTATCATGACAGAGACGTTCGATGTGCTTTGAAGGTAGTCATCAGTGTATGGGGGTCGCACGTACCACTTGTTCTTGATGCCGATCACTGCATATACCAACCCTGTGATAAGTAGCAGGGCACCCGTCAGACCCATTGCGGGAGTAACCTTAGGGTGGATCGGCAGTGGGTTCTCAGGATCACTGTCTAAAATTCTCATGTCAGCCACATGGCTCTTGAGTCTTTCAATGGATTTCTTACCAGCAGAAGAAGTGGCTGATGGTATGGCGGTGGCGGCCGTGGCTGGGACCCGAGGGACATCGCTCGCAATAGCAGACGGTTTGGCCGAAGCTTCTGACGAGACGGTGCTGGATATTAGTGAGGATGAAGCTCCGGAGGGTGCAATGGTAGTGGAAGGTCGTGAAGACCGAATAGTGGTCGAAGCTGGAGCCTGCGACTGATCCGGGGGAGAATCATCCTGCCGGCGTATGGCATGATGAGGAATTGCTGCGACTGAGTGCAGGCACAGTACAAGCGCAAGGCAGAGAAGAAGGAAGCGATATGATTTCATGGCGTTGGTGTATCGTGGTGGTGTTCAGTGGTGGAAAGCGACTGCCATCGAATTATAATTAGGGTTCCTGGAGGTCGTCTAAGATAGTGAGTGTGGAAGGCGCAATTGAGGTCCGTTGTGGTGACTGGGGTGAATAATGACGCGCGCAAGAGGGGAAGGAGCGAATTGAAGCTTGAGCTGATACTAAAGAGTGTGTGGAGGTAATGTTCCTTGGGAAAATGCAGTAAAGAGCGAATGAAAGAGAGTGGACGCAGACACTGTCTGCCGTGTTGGCGTGGTGTTGATGCAAGAGAGGTGCAGAAACAGGTTGGGGAGGCGCAAGGGTAATGTCTCGGTATTAAGATAGAGCCATAGAGCATCCGCTCGCCTGCATGGGAGATCGTCAGTTGGCTCCGAGAGTCTCAGAAAGCGAGAGCATGGGCCTTGACTCGAAGAAGCAAAGCTGAGAACCGGGCATCTCGAGTCGGTATGGCGGCGTTAAACGGCGCGCTTCATTGGGTGCATCCATACTCCGAGTGGTTTGGTAGCTCCTGGATAGCTTCAGAGGGAAATTACATATCGTCAGCCACCTTCGCGTCAACGTTTTCCTGCCAACCAGGCTATTGAGAGAAAGGGATAGTCGTGAACCATCGTCTCGATACAGCCCGGAGACCCTACAGCGCGATGCGCAACAGCCGGCAGTCGTTGACTGCACACTTGTTCAGCTTGCCATTGAGTACGGCGCTTCATTGACCCTGCTGCTGCTGCTGTTTGCGCGAGGCTGTGCACCACACGCTCCCATGATGTGGACCATGAAACTCAGCTTTGTTATGCCCCAGTGGTCCCGAGCATGAGGTTGATGAAGGAAGACGCGTCGCGAAACGTGGTGAAGGATTAAAGACCCCGGGCCAATCGTTGCTGTGATTCAATAGGGCTGCCCAGGCCGCGACAGGGATGCATCTGCAGTTTTATGCACTTCGCATGATCGTCTCCACGCTTCCGACACTGCACAGCCATTTGGACGTCGCAATGTCCTGAAGGAATTCGAGGCCTCGTATGGACATTGTTGAGATGTGAGGCTCTCGAGACGGTACGCAGGAGCGACCATATCCTCTTCCTGTGCGGCCAGTCCATTATCTTACCCTCGAAGCAATGATCAACTTAGCACGGACAGACAACCCCCCTGCTATGATCTTCAGATCACGCTGAAAATCCATTTCTACCCGAGCACCGAACAGATGCGCTAGCAAGACAGTTCGGGAAAGTGTGCCTGGCGGTTCGAGTAGACTTGACGCCTGTCAAGTGGCTGTCGCGCGTTTCGAAGACAGCAAATGTGGCATCACCGCAGTTCAGGAATCTGCTTCAAACATCATGCAATTGGCAGTTCATTACTGAGGACTTGATGCTTATTGTCATCCTGGGGTCACCGTTGTACAGAACAATTCTCGTCGTGGCACGTTCTAGCCACAGCATGGTTCTCAGCAGAGTGGGCCCAACGAGATTGGCAATAATCTTGAAAGATGTTGGAGCTAGCACGCTTCCGTTGCACGAGAGTGACCCTCGATGGCATGCGATACTACGGTCTTAGCAACGTGTCGCTTGAGGAATCGCAAAGTTGTAAAAGCAGGGCACGTAGCACGACAGGAACACGTCCGACGAACGCGCATCCCGGCTGCAGATGTGGTGGCTTTTGTGTACTTGCGGAACGTTCTTGCCGGCTGCACCACAACTAGCGTCCGTCCGTTTTCGTGCCGAACGGATGGCGCTGGGAACAACGTCGCAATCTGACTCGATTGAACGGCATTCGAGATATCGATACTAAGTAGTGTTGCACGAGTTGTATTGAAATATGGTCTACACTCTCCTCTCAAGCGGCAGATGCCATGGTGGCAGGCTGCCAATAAGCCCAGTGAACTTTGTATATTGAGCTGACGATTGCTGATGCCGGAGTAGCCACCGAACCTAATCCGCAAGTCATCTTCAGTCCACCAAACAGACGCTGTCAACCGCGCCGAAGCCCGCGGCCACACCTCCCTCCTCGCTTTGATCCCCTTTCGTACGCAATAGGTACCCCGCTTCCCAGTTCTCTAGAATCTCACCCTTTGAATCAGATCCGCTTCGGTCCTTCCAAAGACACACACCATACACTCCCAGCTCACAAATGACACCACCCCTTTGCAGCTCTCCATTTCGCAAGACTGCATTTGTCAGTGGAGGCGGCTCGATCATTTCCATCAGAATGTAGGCCGGCCAATGTGTCTCCGGAAGTTTCTCCAGGAACGGCGGGATAGCCTTTCGATAAATGTTATTTCCACCTCCCTCGCGTTGAGGTTTCAGCACGTAGCGAGAAGCGGAAGATGGATCCGTAGCATGCTTCCTTGCTTCCTTCCCGGCCTCGCTATCGTCGAGCGGGTAGATGGGTGCAAACGTAGCTAATACACGCTCCGCCACTGCGGGATCAGGTAGGAAGCGCTTGAGATGCGGAGAGTGTGGAGTGGCCAAAACTTGCTGAACTTTCTTGCATCCAGCGAGATGCGTCAAAATGCTGGGACACTTGATAGCTCTGCTCTTCTCGAGATGTAACCGGGCGGCCCAGTCTTCCTCTTTCGGATAGTCGTCTGGCGAGTATCCTGCACGGAAGTAGATCGTCGTGACTTCGTATGTTGTCGACGGTGAGTTTGGCGGTGTGTAGACGAGCGTCCGATCTCCATCGAGCTTTGTGTGTACCAAGGTTTCTCCAAAGGGCAATCGGAATGACCGAACACCGTTCTGCTCCAGCAAGGCATATTCCAAGTGTCTCTGGTCAAAGACGTTCCTCTCCGGATCTTGTACGACGAAGAGTACACAAAGAGGCCGTGAAGTCTTCGATGCGCCATAGGCCTTGTGTGCGGTGGCCAGACCTTGTGCCAACGAAGAGGCTGACTTGCTTTGCCGCAGAGCGTTTTCCTTGATGATGGACGTGGCTGAAGCTGGGTAGGCATCAATGGTGAGGAGGTACTTGTGCAAGGCGGACACCTGCGACGAGAGTCCACCGAACGAGGACGCGATTGTGTTGAACTCAACTTGTTTCAAACCAGGAGCAGGATCAGAATGAGCGGGATCTTTGTGTACCATGTAGTCTGACCTGAACAAACCGAGTGAGAGTTCTTGCACGTAGCCTTCCTTCTTGACTGCAAGGTGAGTTTGCCATAATTTCGCAACGAAATCATCAATGTCTACAAGCTCTTCCACTATGCTCTGTAGCCATGCCTCGTCTCTTGCTATCGCGGAGTAAAGCTCGTTGTAGGCTTTTTGTATGACGAGACCGTCTTCAAAGCAAGACTTTGGAAATAGGCTTGGAAAGAGTGTGACTGGTGCTGTACTTGCTAGCACCCCGGAAGGGTCCTGAGATGGTTGGACGAATGACGGAGCTGGACGGACCGCAAGACCGTGTGCTATCGACCAATCTTTCAGGTTCGACAGAAGGTAGTGTTCCTCTTCTTTCGAAATTTCGGGCGGGTACTCAGTCTTTGCCGCTGACGCCATGTCGAGGGCTGCCTGATGCCGTTAAGGTAATAGAGTACAACGTGAATTCGATGACTTATCCTGGATGTCTTCACAGGTGAGTGGGGCGCTGAGGGCGGCAGCTTTGAGTGATCGAAGGCTTCCTCGCTAAAGCCTCAAGGTAAAAGATAGCAAGTAAAGGCAGACAATCTGAGCTTCCACCTGGTAAGTAAGAGGACTGATGAGTACTTTGATCACGCTAGCGTCCTTACAAATGCCACCCCGCGCTAGCATAATAGGTCGCGATTGCCTCATCTGCCCCACTGAAACCGGAATACCTACCGTATTGTGTTTGCTTTTTTACAGATATGCATCTCTTGCCTATATTACCTATCTTGCCTCGTTAGTTATTGTCAAGAACAGTTAAGAAGCTGCAATGGCCCTCCCATTGGTACGGAATTTTTGCACGCGTCATCACGTGCGCTCGCGTTTGGCGACTGCCCAAAACAGCCTCGCTTCATAATTTACCCCACATCCCGCGTCCTCACCACTCTCACACCAGCTTTGTTGCACGATAGCGCTACAGACTATTGCTCATAACGACATATGACATGGTGTCTGTCTGATGCAACGCGACCAGATCAGAGCTAGTACTACGCCGCCGATAAGCTAATTAGGAAGCACCTACTCAAGAATGACTTCGCAACTCACGTTCGCCAAAGATCCCTGGTCGTGGAATATCGAAGATCTTGTCGCGGCAGTTTGCCACTCGTCTCTTTTCCAGGCGGCAGGCTGTAGGCTAGAAGACTTGCCGAACGCTCAGAGCCTTGAAGCTCAACTGCGCGATCAGGAGGTCACTGGCGCCACCTTTCTCACAGCCCTGGACTCGCGCACTTTGAGATCTGAGCTTGGCATTCAAAACCTCGGACAACGAACGGCGCTGCTTGCAGTCATTGAATTATTGCGTCAGCACTCTACTGCGCACAAACAGCATGCAGCAACCATCGGCGTACAAGCTCTCGATATCAATCAAAGTGGCTCCTCAGCCAATACTACGTATGCAAACACAGATGGTAGGAAGCGCCTCAAAACAACCCATATAGCTACAGTTCCGCTCCATGTTGTGCAAGAGCCACCACTCGTGGATGGCACAGGTCAGTGGGATCACCTCCTACGCTGGGAGCAAGAGCAGCAGCACGTCATAAGCGTAGACGACATAGCAGCTGATGCTGAGTCCGAGTCTGAGGACGAGGAAGAAGACATGGAAGAACGGTCTGGCTCTGGGGAACCGGAAAAAATGCCAGTGGACACTGCTGTAGAGGCCCAAAGCCGCAGCAGACTGAGCCAAGATCAAGTTGTGAACATCATCAACGAGCGTCTGGATTACTACACGAATGCCTGGAAACCTAATCACGGTGTCATCAAGGGCGATGAGATCAACTACCAGCCAGAAACCATGTGGCAGGAGGCAGAGGCGAATGGTCATAGACAAGCTCTGATAAAGAAGTACGAAACAGATGTTCTCTACTACAAGCACCGACTAGATCAACTCTGCGAGGAGATCATAAAGTCTCCCGGCAATACTGTAGACCGGGTACGGTATCAGTGCCGCAACCTGGAAGTCACGGTAAACTCTCTGGAGTTGTCTGAGTGGTTGCTATCGATCTATAGATTGGATCCAGTCGATGATAGCGATGATAGCGGAGACGAAGAAATTCGTCACAATAATCTCATCAACATCAGCGGTGAGAATACCAGTGCTAGAGGAGCAGTCCGAACAATACCGCCTCGATCGCAACAAAGATTCGACGTCATTGACCTAGGTTCACCACCCGAGTCGTCGCAGGGTGATATGGAGGATTTGCTCGTCGAGAGCTCTCCCCCACCAGAGTTGCCAGCCGTACATCGCCACCCAAGTCCTCCTGACGTGGACCATACCCCAGACTTGGCCGTTGCTGAGACTATCGAGCCAGGCGCGCATGCACATCCGCAAAATCCACAAACAACGAGTACCGCTACGAAACGGTCACGCGGTCACCTTGGTGATGAGCCTCAACATGCTTCTATCGCTTCTGCACGGCGGTGGACATGGAGTGATCTCACCAGCACACGGGATCGGAAGCGCATTGTCACTAAGGCTTTGTATGAGATGAATTTCAACGAAAGAGAAACTATACGAACGCGACTCGGAACAGTTGGTAAAGCAGAAATGATTCGGGAGATCGTTGCTTGCGTGCGAATGCTTGCCCAGAATGGGAACAAGATGCCAGGTATCCTACCACGAGACCTGCCAAAAATTGTCACACTCACTAGGCTCTTCCTTTCCTGCTGGCTCGGCAACAATTACCTTCGTATTGAGCCGACGGAGTTACACCTCCAGGACCTTGGACAGCGTCTACAAGATGGATCACCAGACCTGGGCACATTCTGGGACTATCTCAACACTGTCATGACCACTACTTTCAGCCCAACCGCGCTACAAAATCCAGAGAGACCATCGCAAGCCGAAATTATTGAGATCTCTGACGACGATGAGCCATCATCTAGACCGTCTGCAAGGCAACCTACGGGTCGTCCTCAGATGTCGCAGCATCCCACTACAATCATTCTCGACTGATACCGCTCTTAACATCTGATGTGCCACGCAGGAATTGCTCCGCACTGGTGTCCCGGATTCTCATGGCCTTGGGATCTGGCGTTCAAGGGTACCATTCACATCAAGTTCACATTAGCGACAGATTCCTTCAGCATTTTGTTTTGTTAGCGGGTCAGCATGTAAGGGTGCAAAGAGCCGCAGTGCGCGATATGCGTGCTCGAGACGTTGGTACAGTGCGCCAATACAGGCTGTAAATGGTGCTTTCTTAACTTATCTGATTAATCATGTTTCTCACATACACACATACACACACACACACACACACACACACACATACACACACACACACACACACGTCTCCAAGTTCAGAACAAGGCTGAATGCCCTAAAAGATTCAATAAATTTTGCTAGTCTCTGGATGCACACTGAAGATAAACAGGCTGGAAGGTGCGGTTAGCGTATCTAAGTCTTGTACGTCACTGCGACGTCCCCGAGCGAGCACTGACTAGTGTCCAAGAATGTCAGCTTTTTTGGCCAGGTCCTTACTGTGGTAATTGCTAAGAGGTTGTCTCAAAATGTCTTGGTTCTGCGGCCAGAATTGGTGTACCTCGGCAATTTCATACCTGCCTCAGTTTCAGGTGATGAGGCATGCTCACCAAATGTATGTGGGCGGCTTAATAACTGCACTAGGCGCATCTCTGAAAGATGGGGTAACCACGCGATCTAGAAATCGCTTCCAATGTGGCATCCGAGATCTACAGTACCACAGCGGACGGTCGTGCTTCCGAGCAAGTCGCCTGGAATGAAAGCGGAATAGACTTGCTGTTTCGCCGATCGCTCGGAATGGCGGAGTGCATAGGTGCATGATGCGAACCTGAAAACAACCTTAATGTGGGGCTACTCATAGCCGAACAATCTGCAATTGGAGTTAAAGGACGACGACGAGTTCCGCTGGACTCGATTCATTGCAGCTGTGATACCTCTGCCAACTCATGGACATGATGTATCTTTAGAATACGAGAAAGACACATGTCGGTACCCCACCTGCGGATCACGTTAGTAAGATGGACCGTTCGATTCAACTTCGAACAATCAAAGATTAAATCAGGTCGGCATAGTGGCCAATCAGAAGGCGCCTAATGAAAGCCTGTCTGCCGACCGCCGGCGTACACTACTCCCATCTTAGCGTCCTTTCTGACGCTTGGTGCACATATGAACTGATTCCGTCCCTCTCTCACGCCTCCAAAGTAATCCCGCCTTACCTTTTCCCTTCCTACCAAAGAAACGCACTTCTGAGATTTATCAAACCTCCGTATTTTGAACAAACAAGCAATCGACCACCATGGAGGCTCTTTTGCGCCAGTCGAGGACCATGTGCCCGTTCCTCTCCAAGACGTCCCCCGCCACCCTCCGGTCGCTCTCCACGACTGCCGCTGGTCATGATGTTTCTCCAGGAGCCGGAAGCATGTCAAACCTACAAGTGCTCGGTCGTCGCTGCCCGATTATGGGCAAGGCACTTACTGTTCAGAGTGCTCGTAGCGGCAACAGCGCGCTCGCGGGAGCTTTCGGCGGCGCTCGTGCTTACCACTCCCGTGTCAATCGCGCCAAGTTGCATACTTCTGCGCCCAAGGAAGCCCAAACCGTGGAAATAAAGAATTTGAGAGCTCAGCAGGGTACGAAACGCCTCCCAGTCATTTTTCCCAAGTCATGGTGTCATGGCGGAAATACGTTGCATATGTAGACGTGAATAACAATCTGACGAATATCCAGGCGCAGTAACATTTCCTCCTCCTGCCCAGCAGCCGGCAGCCACCAAACCCGCCCACGTTGCAACCCCGGCTCCGTCGCAAGGCAAGACTTTCGACTATGAAGGTTTCTACCACAATGAGCTGGACAAGAAGCACAAAGACAAGTCCTACCGCTACTTCAACAACATCAATCGCATGGCGAAGGAGTTCCCTCGTGCCCACTTGGCCTCTAAGGAGGACATGGTCACTGTGTGGTGCTCCAACGACTATCTTGGAATGGGTCGCAACCCACACGTCCTCAAGAGCATGCATGAAACGCTCGACAACTATGGAGCCGGTGCGGGAGGAACAAGGAACATCTCCGGACACAATCAGCATGCTGTAGCGCTCGAAGATACCATTGCGAAACTCCATTCCAAAGAAGCGGCGTTGGTATTCTCTTCGTGCTATGTTGCAAATGACGCTACTCTTGCAACTTTGGGAAGTAAATTGCCTAATTGTGTCATTCTCTCGGATAGCTTGAATCACGCTTCGATGATTCAGGGTATCCGTCACTCGGGCGCCACAAAGATGGTTTTCAAGCACAACGATGTGGCGGATCTTGAGGCCAAGCTCCAATCAATTCCTGCCGAGTATCCGAAGATTATTGCGTTTGAGAGTGTCTATAGCATGTGCGGTTCCATCGGCCCTATTGAGGAGATCTGTGACCTGGCAGAGAAGTACGGCGCAATCACCTTTCTCGATGAAGTCCATGCTGTAGGCATGTACGGACCACACGGTGCTGGTGTTGCTGAGCATCTCGATTACGACGCCCACAAGGCTGGCCGCCCCCAGGGCACCGTCCAAGACCGCATCGATATCATCACTGGCACACTCGGAAAGGCCTACGGCTGTGTTGGCGGCTACATTGCTGGTTCTAACAAACTTGTCGACACTATCCGATCACTTGCTCCTGGTTTCATTTTCACAACTTCGCTTCCGCCAGCCACCATGGCCGGCGCCAAGGCTGCGATTGAGTACCAGGTCAACTACCAGGGCGATAGGCGCCTGCAGCAGTTGCACACCCGCGCTGTCAAAGATGCTTTGGAAGCCAAGGATATTCCCATCATCCCTAACCCCAGCCATATCATCCCGGTACTTGTAGGAAACGCCGAGGTTGCGAAGAAGGCTTCTGATCTGCTGCTCGAGGACTGGGGGATCTATGTGCAGCCGATAAACTACCCAACAGGTGACAAAATCTCATCCACATGCTCAGAACTTATGCTAATCGTCGCTCTAGTCCCGGTGGGTCAAGAACGATTGCGGATTACTCCCACGCCAGGCCATACCCGCGAATTCCGCGAGCACCTGATTGAAGCGCTTGATAGTGTCTGGAACCAGCTGGGTATTAAGCGAACCAGCGAGTGGGCTGCTGAGGGAGGCTTCATTGGTGTAGGAGTCAAGGGTAAGGAGTCAGAAGCTCCCCTCTGGACGGACGCGCAACTCGAAGTAGACAACGTACTCAAGGAGCTGGAGGCCGGACAGGGAGCCACTGGTGTGCTTGAGGCCGTTCTGGAGAATGAGCGAAAGGCTACTGCGCAAGCTGTGGCTGCTGCCGCGTAAATGTGGAATCAGCTATAACTTCACATTCACGGTCTAGCCGCTCATTAACAAATTCAAGACCTTAAGTAGCCTCGCAGGCAACGCAACGCAGGTTTCTGTACGCAACACTGCAAACGTTGAAGTGTGCATTCGTATGCTTGATTATTGCAAATCGGGAAGCAATCATGCCCAAGAGACGAGACGTGACGTGACGAAATTCCGCAACATGCGACAATAAAAATAGATTGGAGAGGTATGCATGTACGTATGCGCATATTCAGCCTACACGCTATCCTACATGGACACCTCTATAGTGGTGCCAAAAAATCACAGTTCTACTATTCTTCACTGGTGGAGTGAAAGTGAATGGTGAACCCTGCCAAGACTTGGACCGGGCGCGGAGCTAGTGGACCTTGAGGCTCTCGCGAAGTAAGACACGCTTCACGCAGCCAACTGCGCTCAACGCAACGTGATTCTTTTGCGCTTTCCGTTGCAGGCCCCATCAAAGCACGGAAGCTTCCTTCCATTACTTTCCTTTCCAGTCCCCTTCCGACAACCACCCTCTACCTCACGTCGCGAACCTCTGCCGTGCATGCTCCGCATTACCACGGCCAACTTTCGACTCGCGCCAGTCTCTTAAGAGATTATGGCACCGCCGCCAAAGCGGAAGCGACCCGATCGCACAAACTCATACGAAGATGGAAGAGATGGGCGACCGTCACCATACAGGCCTCAAGATCTGCGCGCCGGAATGGCACACTCTCAGCAACAACATCATCAGAACCAACAGAACAGCCCACGCGGAGGTGGTCCACGACGCCAAAGCCGGAACGGTGGTCGCGGTGGCTCCAGCGTCCCCCAAAGCCCCGTCAACACCTCGCACAATTCACCGACAGCCATGTCTCCTCCAGCGAATAGCTTCCACTCGAATAAGCCTGCGCCAGCTACACCAGCTGCGCATGCGCCGCCGAGCAACCCGCCATCGACACCAACCCCTGCGAAAGATGTCCCCGAAAGCAATGAGTACCTAACGCCCCAGCGCGTCGCCAACTGGAACGGTAGCGCCCGCAACGCCGTTGTCCAGGCTGCTCTGTCAGCGCAGCGGGATGGCGACATGTTGACTTTATCCGTTGTGTTCCACGAGATCATCGAAGCGGCTATCGACCGGCAGCTAGGTGCAACAGAATTGGGTTCGCTGGTGCGAGAAATCGTCACATCGCCTTCAAGCGCCGACGTAGACCCTGTCGCGACGTTCCTCGACACGCTGAGTTCCTTGACGCTCGACAAGGATAAGCAGGCCCGCGTACAGCAGATGCTCATGGCCACGGATATCGACATATCTCGTATGCGAGACGAGCTCGAGGCTGAACTACTAGGATCATTAGGTCTCGTCCGCGACACCTTTGGTAGGGTGGCCGTCCGCAAAGCAACCCACGCCTTATATCGCCAATCAAATTACAACCTTCTGCGCGAAGAGACCGAGGGCTACTCGAAGCTCATGACGGAGTATTTCACCACGGTGAACAAGCCGTTGCCCCCGGATGCCGCCAAGGAGACTCTTCAACGCGTCAATGCTCTTATCGGTGCATTCGACTTGGACATTGGACGAGTGCTCGATGTCACTCTGGACGTATTCGCCAACCTTCTTGTGAAGCATTACTCATTCTTCATAAAATTCCTACGAGTAAGCGCGTGGTGGCCTCAACTGCGAGGCTTCGATGGCTTGGAGTGGGAAGAGCCTCTAGTAGCATCGTTGCCTCAATGGGCCCTACCTGGCTCGCTGTATAGGCGCGATTCTCAACATAACATCGATGAACAGATGCAGCTTCGAGAGCAGCGGGATCGGAAGTTTTGGGCGCGAGTTGGAGAGCTTGGAGAGCGTGCAGGGATACAAGCATATTTTGAGCTCGGCGCCCGTCGCATTACGGCGAACAATCGACAACCAGATCAGACTATGCCGGCAGACGGTCAACCGATCTCGAAACAACAAGCGGCTCGAAAATGGGCAGACGAGTGGATAGCAGAAACCGGAACACTGCCACCGCCAAGCAACGACATTGCAGCCCAGCTCCTCGGCTTCAAACTACGCTTCTACGCTTCCGATGCTCGTGATGCTCACGACCTCCTTCCAGACAACCTCGTGTACCTGGCAGCTCTATTGATCAAGATTGGATTCATTTCACTACTGGACCTGTATCCCCATCTATACCCCTTGGAAGAAGACATGGAGGCTCACAAAGAAAAGCTCATGGCAGAGAAGAAGGCTGCCGCCATGGAGAAGGAGAGTGGAGAAGGTAACGCTCTAACAAGGGCTGGTGCATTACCAGACGATGCCCCACCAGCCCCACCGGCCGTTTCACGCCTGAGAGAGCGGGAAACTGCGTCGAAATCAGACTCTGAGCGAAACACACCTGCAAGCACCGACGAAGAGAAGGACAAAAAGAGCTCGTTACCCGAACCGGCCGACCAAAAGCATCTGCTATTGAAGAGTCTTCTGTGCATAGGCGCACTGCCAGAAGCGCTGTTCATTCTTGGACGACACCCTTGGATGCTAGAGGTATATCCAGATCTTCATGAGTTCTTGTTCCGGATAGCTCATCACTCCGTGAGCAAAGTCTATGAAGCCACCCGGCCTATCCCCTCGGACCAGTTCCCTGTTGTTCCAAAGGGGGCCGGTCTACGGACAAACGCACGTCCAAGCGATTTTATTCCCCGAAAGACGCTGAGATGGGCGAAGCTCGACCAGCGCGATGCCGGCGAGGGTCTGAACTACAAATTCTACTGGGAGGATTGGGTAGACAACGTACCTGTCTGTCAAGATGCTGGAGATGTACTCAAACTCTGTACTTCCTTCCTGGGTCTACTTGGTGCAGAATGTGGCAGGGACACCCTTCTCTTGACGAAGATTGTACGGATAGGCAAGAAGAGCTTGGCTGACGACGACTCCTCCGCGAACCGCAAGCGCTGGATTGACTTCTGTGCTACCTTTATTGCTCCTGCATTGTCGTTCACAGACAAGAACCCGGGCATCACCAATGAAGTTTGGGGACTGCTCAAAACTTTCGACACAGCCACTCGGTACATGATCTACCAGCAATGGTTCTCGAGCATGAGGCCGACAAGCTTGCGAGACGAATTCGCGCAAGTACTGAAGTCGACCAATAATCTCCTTGGCCGAGTTGCTGCAGGAAATACCAAAGAGTACAGCAAGAAGATTGCCAAAATCTCATACGCAAGCCCTGGTATCGTCTTTCAGAGGTGTGTGCAGCGAACCATCAATTATGCCAACATGATTGACACACTTGTGGAGTGCGTCAAGTACCTTACGCTCCTCGGATACGACTGTCTCACCTGGACCATGGTGAAGTTTTTCATCAACCCCAGCAAAGAGGGCACGCAAGACGACGGCATGCTTTCTGCACCATGGCTGAAGAACATTGCATCTTTTGTTGGTAAAGTCTACCAGCGTCATTCATTCATGGATCCAACGCCGGTCCTACAATTCGTCGCTCATCAAGTTTTGCAATCCGAGGGAGAGTTGTACATGCTTGATGTCCTTGAGCAGATGATCAAGTCGATGGGTGGTATCAGCATTTACGGCACTCTCTCCGAGAACATGATTCTTTCCCTTTCTGCTGGACCGGGCTTGCGTACATTTACCTTCACACACCATCTATCCGACAATCGCCACCAGGTCGGATCTTCCGCGAAACGACTTGCGAGGCATCTCAAGGAGACTGGCCTTGCGTCGCAGATCCTTGTTGCGTTAGCCCAGCATCTCCAAGGTTATGTGTATCGAGAAGACCAACAAGATGCGCCTGACAAAGTCGTGCTTTTCAATCTTGACAAGTTGCGCTCCAATCTATTGCAGTACCTCGAGCTTCTCCGCACCTATATATCGGTAGAAGAATACGACAGCCTTTTCCCTGGGGTCGTCGAGATGATGTCTGCCTACGGTGTGGAGGCGGACATCGCTTTCACAGTCGCACGCGCTAGCATAGCTGCAAAAGCGAACAAGACCAGAATCCGGAAACCCAAAAGCCCTACTTCCCGGCAATCAAATGGCGATGTTGTCATGGGCGACGCCGACGGGAAACCCACTACCAACGGTATAAATTCAACACCGAAGGATCCTGAACAGAATTCGACAGTAGCAATCAACGCGGATGTTGCTGATCAATCATCGACAGATGTTGAAATGGCAGAAGCTCACGACTCGTCCGACCAGCTAATTGGCGACCCGGAGCCAGTGGTTGATTCGGCCAATCCCGGGATAGAAGCGTTGGTGAAAGAGATGAAAACTGTACTACCGGACACGTTTGGTCAGCATCCATGCTTGTCGTTCTACGTCACTTTCTGGCAATTGTCACTACCTGATGTCGATACTAGCGGGTTCCGACAACAATACCAGTCTGTGATCGAGCATTGGGAGAGACAGTTGCCTGCTCCAGCACCTTCGGGCCGCCGTGGCTATAACTCCAGCGTACCCCGGAAAGAGACCGATCAGATGCGGAAAGCGAAGATTGAGATTGCCAAGCTGAAGGTGGAACAGCAGGAGGTCATCCTAGCCAACAATCTCACTCAGACCCATCTGCGTGTGGAGATGCAACGATGGTTTGAGGGGGTCCCGATGATCGGTGCCCAATCGGATGAACTCCACAGTGCACTTCTTCAAGACTGCTTCCTTCCGCGAAGTCGCATGTCGCTCCAGGATGCCCAGTTCTCGGCTGCTATACTGAAGTACATGCACAGTTCTGCAACACCCGGCTTCCGCACCATCAAGCTTCTAGACCTTTTGTTCAACGCCAACAAATTAGCTTGCATTATCAGCATGTACTCGGACGAGGAAGCACTGACTTTTGGCCGCTTCATCAACAGCATCCTTCGAGAACTCTACACATGGCATGAGAACAAGAACGATGCATACGCCAAATTTGCTCTTGGTTCAGACAGAAAGCTCCCCGGATTCGGCAAGAAGTTTGACTCTGACCGCATTCCAACGGACCATCTCCAATATGATGAGTTTTGCAAGCTGCTTTACAAGTGGCACAAATCGCTCTTTTCGGCCCTCAAGGTCTGTCTCGATACTGGCGACTTTCAGCAAATTCGTAATTCTCTCGTTATCTTGACAGCGTGCTCTGGAAGCTTCCCTAAGGTCGACACAATGGCTTTGGAGCTGAAGCAGGCCATCGAACCCATGGCGAAACACGACGAGCGAGGCGATATTAAGACTACGGCAGGTTCCAGTCTGGCACTGTTCCGCAACCCCGAGAAGAACTTCCAGTCGGAGTTCAAGTTTCGCAATGTAAGTCCTTCTTCTCTTGCGCCGAGGCAACAAACTTACGCATTAAAGGTTCCCGAGCCCCCGAAACTGTCACCGACGCCAGTCAATGGGAACAGTGAGGGCACGCCTAGAAAATCCGCCACGCCCCAACCGCAAGACAATTCCAGCACGAAGCTCAAACCAACAGCGCCGGCCTTCCAGCCTAAGACAGAGACGTAAGTTCCCATGATCAACATTGATCAGTCTTCGACGCTGACCTCACCCTGCACAGTAACGGCAATGCACGAGGATCCACACAGCGGCATGAAGTCGACAATCAGAATCGCCCCACAGCCTCGCCTTCAACACTGCCGCCTTCTTCGCGTGACTGGGAATCTGCAAGGTCGAATTCGAGATTACAAGAGTCTCGAGCAGCAACTCCATCGCAACAAGAAAGGGATAGTGTCAAGCCGGCTGCAGGTACTCCAGTGTTATCTACATCCACAGTTCCGCCTCGACCAGATGGCAGGAACACGCCCCAGGGTCCACCAACAGGCAGACCTTCGCACGTTTTACCCACGAGGCCCGATCCACAGCCACCAAGATCACGCCAGCCTGAGCGGCCTGGGTCAGAGCGACCTTTAGATCATGGCTCTCATGGTCGTTATGAGGTTCGAGGGCCTCCGGGCGACTATGGACGCCTAGACCGTTCCGGTGACCCTGCACGTCAACGCGAAGCCTCACCAGGGCGTCGTGGACGTCCTGTTCCTGGAGGCAGGACCCCTGAGCGGATGCCTCACGCAGGCGATCCTCGAGATTGGGCAGCTCGAGATGCAAGGGATTACGACGAGCGAGCAATGCGTGCACCGCCGCGGGATGCTCGAGCACCCCCAGTGCGACCTCCTGCTTGGGATCCTCGAGACCCCAGAGATCCCCGAGATCAGCGCGACCGGACTGACTCTCGTGGACATCCTGTTCCACCGGCCATGGAGCCCAGACGAATGCCGTCTAATTCAGCGCTTGCCCATGAACATAGGCGTGACATGCCGTCTCACTCCCGCCATTTATCGGATCGCAGCGATCAGGGATCATCGCGACTACCATCAGCCGCACCTTCACCTTCTGCAGATGGACCTACCGTGAATCCTGCGCGCGCAGCTTTGATCAATCAAGCGGATCATGGGAGAGACGAACCATCTAGAAATGATCGAGAACCGCGGAGAGACCGAGGTATGAGACCACAGTCTCCTCGTGGAGAAGACCGACGTGGTGAGAATCGCCACGTCGATGACCGTCCCCTCCCCCCATATCATGGCCGGAACGATCTGCCTCGTGAGCCTCAAGACGAGCGCGGCTTGCCACCGCCGCATTCAATTGGTCGTGATCGTCGTGAAGAGCCGGTAGCAAGCACACCAACAGGCCCTCGGAGTGGGCGGAATGAACCCGGGTCTGCTGCTGGTACATCGAGAGAGATGTTCCAGCCACGGTCTGCACGATCAACAGCCCAGGATCCGAATTACGGCAGGCTGAATCAGCCAGCAGACCCGGCTCCGCCATCAGGACCGCGGGGCTCGTACAACACCCCGAATGTTGACACTCCATCGCTCAGCAGATCAGGCGAGCGACCCCATCCGCAATCTCAACCTCCAACCCCTACTCCACCTTCAGGGCCTGCCTCATCCCAGGCAGCCGGAATACACCCCAGCAGGTTGGACAATATTCAGCGTGACAATATTCAACGTGCGCCACCAGGTCCTGCCTTGCAGACTAACATGCCGAATGCGCCGAGCGGCCCCCGTGGTACAGGCCGAGGACCCCAAAATGTCCTGCCCTCGCCTGTCAATCGAGGTCCTCCAACTGGTCCTGCCGCCAACGACCGTGGACCGCGTGGAGGTGACCGTCGAAACCCACTAGGTGCAATCAACAGCGTTCTTACTCAGAACGCGCCTGCTCCTGAGAGCGGATCGAACGGTAGGGCCCCTCTCCCACCGCAGAATCCTCCTGTCCGTGGTCGCGGAGCAAGTCGCGCCAATGGACCTGTCGATGCAACTGGTGGCACCTCGAGCCCTATGCCCCCTCCATCACACAGCTCAACACCAAATGCACGTGCAGATCCCTCTCAACAAAGGAGTGGCAGGGGCGAGAACCAACCGAGCACGCCACAGGATGAAGGACGATCGGAGCCTCGAGGCCATCGAGAGAGCAGACGTTCAGGGCGCGAGCGAAGTCGCTCGCCGGACCGGAGCGACCGCCGTCCCGACGAACGAGCTGCCCGCAATGTACCGCCTACTGAAGATCGCAGCGGCGATCGAGAACGAGGCAGTGGCCGCGACAAGCGTGGTAGCGACCGAGAGGGTGGTAGTCGACGCGACCGTGGCGAACGTGAAGGTGGCGAACGACCTCCACGCGAATCAGGAGGTAGTCGAGAGTCACGCGACAATGGCAGCAGGCGTGAGCGCAGCTCTCGCGAACGAAAGGAGGGCGCCCACGCGAGGACCGACGCAGCAGAGGCGGCGGCTCAGCAGACGACGGACGCAAGAGGGTGCGAGATCCTCAGGATCAGGGGCAGGGACATGGCGACACGAAGCGAAGACGCTAGAAGACGACTAAATACACACCACTGAGCATTTTCCTTTTATCTAAAGTATCATCATGGATGCATTGCACGGCGTTTTTGGGAAGGCATCACGATACCCCGAGTACGTTTGGCTCGAGAGCGACAAAATCTGGGAAAGCATTTTCTGCACGGAGTTTTCTCTTCTCATTCTGTATGGCTATAGGTTCGCCGTCACTTTAACTATTTTCCTTTATGTTTGTATGAGTACAAAGAGCGGCATGTTGCTTGGTAGGTTGAGCACCGCATATTAAAGACACAAGTTGGAAATAAAAAACGTTGAGATGTCAGACTTTGTATGCTCTTGCCGTTATCACTGTGAGATATTTGAAGATGAAGCGCGACCCGTACAACAAACACAGACGGCAGACTTGAGATAACCGGAAGTATGGCGTCTTCCCAACGTCATGACTGATCAGCGAATGAAGAGCACCTTTCTAGTGCAATCCTTGTATTAAGTATGAACACTACTTTTCTTGCTAAGCTATTTTAGGTCGAGGAGAAAAGGTCGTCCCACTAAAAACTCCTCTTTGTCGAAAGCTACGGACAGCGGGGAAAGAAAACGATATTTGACTTCAATCTCCAATATCTGCGAGTGATTAAATTCGCTATGTGTACGTGTGCTGCCATGCCCACTAACCTTAGCCCGCAGTTGCTAGTCCCCAAGCTCTCAGAGAACAAGCTTTCAATAACAACCCAGCTGGACACGTATTTGCCGCTGCGCAAGCTTCCCTCAGGGTCGGAGCTCGTGGATCCATATCCGAGACCAGAGTAGTCCCTCGCTGGAACCGTGCTGCGAATGGGACCTCCATGTAATATCCGCACTTAGTTACAGGGTCGGTGAGAGGGTTTTCGGTGCAGAATTTATGGTATGCAGTCGTCGAAACACCACCACTGCTATCATTAATGTCTACAGTAGCATAAGGCCTAAAACCGTCGGCGTTACTAACTGAGCTGAATACCGCTTGAGTGGCCCCATTGTTGGCTCCAGTGTCCGATCATCTGACGGAAATTCTTGCGATGATCGAGCGTCGGATATTTGTGCCATGGTGACAATCGAATATTCCAAATGCGCCACTCTCTGCGCCAGTGGAGATGTGACCTTGACGCTTCGATATGCCGTCGGCAGCTGGATCATGAGGGACGGGGAGCTGTTCTGGAGGGATTTCTTTGTCCATTGAAACTTCCACCCATCCATTTGTACCATCCTTCAGGGCTTGGAATTCCCCGGTAAGTGCTATATCCCCGGGTCCTGGTGGTGAAGCAAATGGTGAAGCATTCGCGACTGCGGCGACCAGAAGGAGGGGCTTTGTAAAACGCATAGCCTATGTTGTTAGCTACCTATATTACAGCTCATCTCGTAAGATCAAGCCAAATACTCAGGTATACATACGAATCGATACCGTACAGGTAATGAGAGATAGCTGGTGATATAATATGACTAGACTTGTTAATCTGTGCTGAATGATGGACGTAAGTTCGTGGGCATTGAGCGCCTTGTATGCAAAATATTCTGTACCTTGTCACTACAGTCCTGGGGTCTTCGAGCAGATTAACACAGGCACGATGAACTTCGGCTGTAATCCAAACGGTCGGTAATGGCGAGAAGCCCCTTCACTAGAGGTACCTGGGTACCAAAAAGCTTGCATTCCGCGTTGCACTAGTCTTGCTGGCCAGTGCTAACACTAAATACGAGTCTCTTCGCCGTCTATTGCAAAGCTTCTAAGGATGTGCATGTTAGAAAAGGACCGCTTGGTGAGATCTATCCCCAAAACAAGGGGAAGTTGTGATCAAAACTCATCCGGTGCATGCCATAGCGTGCTGAGCGCTCGGCCATTCGGACGGTACTGATCTAGGACGTGCTATGGTTTGCTCAGAAATTGGCTATACGGACGATAATAATCCAGAGCGTGCCTTATCTCGCTTAGTATTCAGCCTTTTGAGCTGATTTCTATGGTATGAATACGAGCTGCTGCGAAGAAGGCTGTAAGCAGAAGATACGAGATTTATAATTTTCAAGTGCATGAGGACCTCCTCGACGCGGCAAGAACCAGCTTTCCAAGCTGTTCTATCAAAGTAACACAATAACCACTGCATGAAGCAGATACAAATTTGCAAAAGCATGTTGTTTGCGTGCAAAGATACTGCTAGAACTTACTTACACAGTCTTGAAACTACGCTCATGTCTAACAGAGTTAGGCCGAATCAAGAAACCCCCCTTTTCACTGCGCGTTTGAGGGGTCTCCATGCACTTGAGAATTACGGTAACAGATAAGCTCGGAAGTACCTCCTTGAACGGCAATAGCCATAGTTTCCCAATACGAACGGAAGTTGTAGAGCACTGCCAATCAACTACCAGCAACCAAGCTCCCCAAGATTTACAAGATGCTTTTAAGCATCTAGAGTAGCTTTAGGGCATCGTGCCGCGAAGGGAGTCACCGGAAGTTACGCAAAGCCCCGCAAGTACAATAAGGTAGGCCTCCCGGCAGTCATGGCTATGTAGTGCTACAGGACCAACTATGGTTTCCTTCTCATGGTTTCTCCAGGTCTATGTAAGGTGCAAGTACGAAGGCAACCTTTGCTGCTACCGCAGCCGAGCGATCCTAAACCTTTGCTCATGCGGCTAAGCGATCTCAACCAAGAGTCAATGATTACTTGATTTTGTCAAAGCCTTCTATAGGACATGCGAGACAGGCTGGACATAGGTCTCAACGTACTGCCTGCGATGCCTGTTCAATTGTGTAAAGTACCTTGCGTTGTTCCCATGGGCCGTTCAGTAGTGCCGACTTCTGGCGGCGGTCTCTCCAAATTCGTACAACATTCACTGAGTTAGCCTAGACTAATTGGACCGCTCCGTAAGTTACTGCTAATCCATAGCAGCTGTCTCTTGACATCGTATGATATGGTACGATCACTGAATGGGCTCAGCCCAAATACGCATTTTAGTACGAAGTAGTGCTCATTTGCAGCAGCGGTCTTCCGACACCTTACAATATCGTAAGATTGCCAAATAAGCTCAGCGGGAAGAGCATTTTAGTAGTGCTGATTTAGAGCGGCGGTCTCTCCGGTTCATACCAAACACGAGATATAACCGAGTAGCACTGCAAAACTGCAGTCTCAATGATTTGTGTTGAAAGATATCTGTTTAGAGTGCCATAGTCTTCGAACTTCCTCGTATGGGTGGAATGTCGGCCTTCATGTTGGCCTGAAATACAGGGATGGAGGAGCTAAGTTCGAAGACACGAGGTCATGAATTTGGGTCAAATTGTACAGTATCGCACATCCCTTACCCGTTCAAATCATGCTTTGTTCACCTTTGCTTGTATTTAATTGAGAGAGAGAATGATTGTCATTGACCGTCCTTAGCCCAGCATCTGTTTCTTTGCATGCGCGAGTTCAAATGCTCTCACGGAGTGCTTCCGTCTTCCTTACCGCGCAATGATATATCTACATGTTATGTATGAAATGGTGTACTTTCAGGGGTTTCGCGGGCGTCAAAATCCAGGAGTCTCAACAGCGCGTATACATTCAGACCGCGTCGTTATAAGATTGTTGGTATCTGATCGAATTCCGACACTAAAGTTCGCATCAAGCCACTTTCTAGCGGCCGGCAGTATTTCGCTTAGCTGAGTGGCGCCCACACACACACCACCCAAACACTCGACATCAGGTCGCGCCTTCCTCGTTTCGTGCAGCAATATAATGCTCAAGCAGGTCCAAGGTTTCATCAAATCAACTGGGCTCGTGGTTTAGTGGTATAATACTCCCTTAGCATGGGAGTGGTCCGGGGTTCGAGTAAGTCACTCTGAAGCTCATCGGTTCGATTCGCATATCTAACCAGATATAGTTCCCCGCGAGTCCATCTGTTCAATCCTTTTTTGCCATTTGTCGGTCGACATGGCACATGGTGGTTGTTTTTCTTTTTGTTCTACGTATATTAACAGCGGAGCCAAAGCAGTTATGTCATTTTGATAGTTTTGATATTCTCTGGATGGTAATAGTGTTCGTCCTGCTGGACTACATGTGACTTTCCAAGTGCCCCTGACTCCAACATTGAAAGGCACCACACGCGACACAAGAGATCATCGCACGTGGACTGTGATTTTGCATTACTAGAGCTGCCTTCCTTTCGCTCTTTTACGTACAAGTCTTGACTACTTCCTCATTCCCCTCCCATGCTAAACTTGCGTCCTCGCGCCCTGCCCCTTCGAATGAACCGAGAGCCCTAAAAGCCAAAAATGCATGCGGTGGTATCCCAATGTCCAAGCCTCAACGTGCGCCGAGCCCATAGATGATCATGATATGCTACCCCTCAAACGCCCCACGCTAAATCCCACTCACACCAAGGAGAAAGAAGGAAGAGAAACGAGAAAGCGACTCCACTTCTTCAGCTCTTGTAGGGTACCCAGGAATCCCCGCCACGGAACAGGCGGGAGCTGATTCATGGATTGCCTGACCACTTCTGGCTCAGGCTCTACCCTGTGAGACCATACAAGTGTTAGCTGAGTCATTGTAAGGAAATACAATAATGCGACACAAAAGCGAAACAATTGAAAAACGGGCGTAGGGTCAAGGGGAAGAGCTGAGCCACGCAGGGTTTTGTGACGTCCCTTGTCCAGGATATGACGGTCGTGAGTTCGGTGGAGGTGGCCTGTACGATCCGTATCCAGATCTATCAGGCGGGGTTGATGGCGGGCGAGAGTATTCATGGCGGGAACTGGAATGCATGCCGTGATATGAGGGCGGCATTGGACGGCTATGGGCTGCGGAATGGGACAGGGGAGGAAGTTGATACCGACGGGTGTGGTCAGGGACGCTATTAGGAGTACTGTACGCTACCTTCTTAGCTGGCCTCACGGGCTCATCATCGTCACTCAGCGTCAAGTCAACCACCGGAGCAGACCTCTTGTTCGATCGCGGAGCTGTCGATGTCTCCCGAGAGGGTATTGGAGGCGTGCTGAGCGATACGGGAGTTGGTGCAGCTTCGCTCTTGATGGCTGTCACACGATCGCGGTAATCCGAAATTTCGACCAGATCTTCGTCGCTGTCGTCGTGAGCACTGTAACCATTTTTCCGTGGAGGCGATGGAGCCTTGTCGGTCGACCAGTCCCCATTGGGTTTTATGGTCACCTGATCCGCGTTCCGTACTTTGCGTAGAATCTCTTCGACGTATTGATCTACAGCAAGACCTTCGTAGGATATCGCCTTGTTGCAAATCGGGCACGTCCATGTTGGCGCTTGTTCCTGCAATTGCAAGAACGAGTCCGCATCGAAGCACTGGTTGTGCGTGCAGACAGTCGACCTGCAAGGTGTGCTGATTCTCAACGTCGAGATGGGGTCCTTGAGCGACATGACCATGGAATCGAATTCGATGTCGGGATCGTTGGCCTTCTCCGCCATCTCGTTCAGGACCGATTGCCTGGTTATGACGTTGCGCTGTTTTATCCGCTGAGTCAATTCCTCAACAGAAAACTTCCTCACCATGTAGACGAAGAGGTTGTACTTCTGAGGTTCTGTAAGTGGGTGTTCACAGAAGAGTGAGTTGAAAGGGGATAAGAAACCTCCGGTGTATGACTTGCCTTTTGCGTCAGCGCATAGGTGACAACGAGATTGTTGCGATAATTGGCCGGCGAAATGCGCACCTGGCTCGTGATGTCTGCTGGGCGCGTCGAGCCTGGCTTATTTTTCAAGCCCTTGTAGTTCGCCTTGACTTCATCGCCATTAATGCGCACCTCAATCTGCGAAGGAAATGTAATGTCCAGACGCGTAAAGGCCGCTAGTGGCTGCTCCGTGGCGCCGAACAATAGCAGCCGCAACGACGGATCCGCCTTGAGACGTGCAGATTGGCTGTCATTTAGTATCAGATTCCGCGTGCAGTTCTGGCGATGACTTGGTGAGGCTACAGATATCAGCATGGGCTATAGTTTCGGATTGGCGAGCATACCGTCTAGATTGATGCTGCTGAGGACGAGTTCGCGAATCTCAAAGAAGGGGCTGTCCTTGAAGAAGTACTGGGGTCCTAGTCACTTTTAGCTGTGTGCCCGGGCGAAGATTGAGGGCATATGGGCGTACGGGACGGCATCTGTGGCGGGGGATAGGGCTGATACGCTGCGCTGCTCTGATAGCCGTTGCTCATGCTGTAGCCGTTTGAAGCTGGAGCAGAGGGCTGGGCGTAGGAAGGCGCGGCGGGACTGCTGCTGGTCGCGGCTGGGGGTGCGTCGCCGTGGTGTTGTACGCGGTACTGCAGCCGCCGCAGAGCCTCGGCGTCGTTCTTGTAGACGGCATTGGTGATGACTGGTGAGCGTGAAGTCAGCATATGGCGAGAGGGACGAGAAACAGCGCCCATGGGGTGAAGGGAAAGCGCAAGCGAGAGCACCTACGGCCAACAACGCGGGCCTGCAGTGCGGCCTTGTTCCCGGTTTGCGACGTGCCCTCCTCTTTGCAGATCTTTTTGAGGTCGTTGTTGATGAGCGTCTTGGAGCGCTCGGTAATGCCAGCGGCCATGTGCTGCAGACTGGAAGCCATGGTGGACTGCAGTCGCGGGCGGTATCGCTACCAAAAGTGGAAGCTGGTCGAGGCGGTGGTGGAACGCTACCAGATGATGTCGGCGCGAGAAAGCATTGGAGGCTGCGGACTTGGACGCGGGCGCGGCTAAGAGGCGACGCAGAGTGAGAGGCGACGTGAAGGGCGAATATCGGGGTGCTCTGTGAGGCGCCTTCCTGCTTCCTGCTTCCTGCTTCCTGCGGTCCGACGTTTGCTTGCGACTTCCTTAAACTTGGGCGTGCACAGTTCCGGTGGCACAAACACAGCGCAAGACAGACGCAGAGCGGCGAATGCGGGCGAGGGCGGGCGTCTCAGTGCGACGGGATGAGGCTATCGATATTCTGTAGCCGTCAACTGCTACGGCGGCTCTCGCGGCGAGGGCCTCTCTTCCCACCTTGTCGTCTCAAAGTCAGCGTCACTAGGCGACGCGCACCGGCACCACGGCGCACGGGTACCGCAATCGATAGCCTGGCCCGACTTGCCACCAAAAATTCCGCGCCGAACTTTTTCCCCACCCGACCGCCAACTTTACCACCAGCTTCACTCACCTCCCGCACACAACAACGGAAGGAACGACCCCCACCCACAACACACAGCAAAAATGGCAAAAGGCGCACGTGCAAGCAGCAAGAAGGCGAACCGCACCAAGTTGCGCGCCCGCGTGTTTGGTCCCGCAGACAAAGCCCGCGCCGAGCGCATCCACGCGAAACTTCTTGAGACAATCCAGCAACCAAAGCCCGAGAAGACCAACATGGACACCACCGAGGATGGTAAGTTGACCCATCTCCATTCTTCCAGTGACTTGACTAATGTACTTGTAGCTACCGCGGCGACCAAAGAGGATGACTTTCCCAAAGGTTCGTCTTTCCTCACTGCCCCCATACCACACTCCCTGTCAGACTCTTCCAACACCAAGTTTGACCCCACACGTGACAGCTGTGAGCTGAGAAATCTCTGCTTTCAGCTGGGGCTGTGCTCTGACGTCCTTGGCTTCACCGAGGAAGGAGCACTCCAAGTTGCCTTTGACCCGCTTCCACCACACTGGTTGAGTGAGAATCATAGGCTAACAGTCACTTGACAGACATGGATGTAGACGGCGCTGCCAAAACCTCCACCAAGAAAGGAAACAAGGACAAGAGCCAGACGCGGAAACAGCTTCGCCGGAAGTCCATAAACAAGATCTCTTTCCCAGCCTCGCGAGGCAAGGGTGCCCTGAAGCCATTCACCGGTGGCCGCGTCAAGAAGAGGTGATGAGTTACGAATTGCATATACACGGCGTTTACATCGGATTCAGCATACCATGGCGTTGGGAAAATTTTCGTTATTAAGGAAGACCGTCAAGGTCATGGAAGATACCACTTCGAAGTAGCATGTCGAGATAGCAAAACCAGAAAGTTGCACCGGTCAGTACCGGTGACTGCCCTATCATTTCTTCCCCTCTCACTGCGTGACGACCCTATTCCGGTACTGATGTTGTGCGCAGAGTTCAACGCGGTCTGAATTTTTGCGAATCAAATCAAAAATGACCTGTCCCATCCTAATCACACAGCCGTACCATGAAGCAGCGCGTTAAGCATCTTCGAACTCGATTACTGTTGGCTGAACTACGCCTTCGATGTTTTTGAGTTCGACCCTTCAACCCGTTCACATCCTATCCCTTGTCATAAAACTACATCGCTTCAGCAAGCTTGACTCACTCTTAACTACCCTACTGTAGACTCGACCCAACTCACCGCACGACATTATGGCCGATTTTCTGATCTGACCGCATGTACTACACTCGCTACCACCCCTTTAATCCAAGCCTTTTCACTTACTCTCGGACGACATCAAATCTCCACCAACGCTACACCGCATCGATTGCGCCGTTGCTACTATTATTTTACCAAAGATGTGCTGTGTTGCCGTCTGGTCGTAGGACGTTTGGCCCATGACTTCACCACTTACCTTTCACGTTTGTTGTGATGAGTATCATGCAGGGCGCGACAACCAGGTGCGCAATCCCTAGCGCATGAGACCGACGGATGCCTCATGGGACCTTCTTCCTGATCACTTACCGCCGTCTGCATTATTGTGCAAGTTATTTCGTCTTGTGGGTCGCAAAAATGCTCCCGAGGCACCCTCATCTTTTTCGACAAGCAGGCTCAGGAGCTCTTCGAGAACGTGCAACACCACAATTATACAATGGTGTGTGCTGTCTTTGCAGAGATAAGCATTCTATTTTATGTAGCTGATTTTCCTCAGGTCGCTTCGTGCTGCATTGGCCATTGTCGTCTTAAGGCCTTCCAACCTCACCTTCACCATCACCCAGCACCTGGCTCGTGCACGCCTCACGCGCGTACTATCAGACCCACATACACGATGCTACATCTAAAACATCATAACGCTTGCCTTAATCGCTGCTATCTGTTGCCTAGCTCGACGACGACTGCCTATCAGAGCGCAGCAAGATCCCGCAAGTGAAAGTGACCTACAGTATGGACGCAATACTCTCCTCCCAGCCCCCTTTCAAGCAGATTGTTTAATACCCAGCCACCCACAAAGAAATTGACTCTTCGTTATCGACTACGAAATTGATCCCTCTTCATTACACCCCACTCTTCCTACCTCCTCGTACTACCACAATCAATAACCACAACATGTCCTATGCCAGCAACACCGACTTGGCGCTCGCCGGCTTCGAATACGAGAGCATCCGTCTCCCCAATCAGATGCCTCTGTATCTTCAGGGCGACCTGGGCTACACATTCCACCCTTACCGTCCTCGTAACACCCTCCCCGCCCGCGCTGACCCTGTCCTTGACAGCCCCTCCAAGGAACACCCTAGAGGCTCTCAGCAACTTGGATGGTACTCTCCACCTGCCTCCGAGTATGCTGAGAGCCTCCATGGTGACTCTGAGGAGGTGGTCTTGTCCGCCGGTTCCACCGCTGAGGACCGCCCCGCTACGCCAGGCGTCGAGGCTATAGTAGCCGAAAACGCTCATCTGAGGGCCATAGTAATGGCGATGAGCGAGCGTGTGACTCAGCTCGAGGCCGCTGTCGCGCTCAAGACCCCGCCCCAGCCTCAGCCCAACCGCCCTCCTACCACTCCACACAAGAGGCGCGCATCGCGTGTCAATGACCCGGCCTCACCGAAGTATACCCCGATGACGCCGCAGTCAATGGGCCCCATAGAGGCCATGTGGAGTCCCGGAGTGACGCAAGAGCAGCGCCTTGCTATCGCCAGGGGCCAGATGAGGTCCTCTACTTCGCCGGCTGCTCCCATGTCATCTCCGGGCTCCATCATGAGCCCCCAAACCTCTACTTCAAGTCCAGCTGCCACCATCCCCAAGGATCCTACCCTCAAGCAAAAGCCGGCTACCAAGAAGACGCGTGCTTCTCGCGTGAAGAAGACTTCGGTGCCAAAGAAGGCTCGCGTCTCCAAGGTTCGCCCTGTTAGTGAGCTCGGTCCGCTCAACTTCGCTTCTCTGGGCGCCGAGGAGAAAGCCAGCATCCTCCAACCTCTTCTTCAGGGCATCGACCCCTTCACCGGCACTGAGCTCCCCGTATCCGCTCCTGTCCCAATGAGCATGCAGAGCGAGATCATGCCTGCTCCATCGACTGCCATCTCCACCGCTGGTCACATGACAGATGACGAATTCAACGCCCTGCTCAACTTCACGACTAGCGACGACATTGCCTACAACCACGGCCAAGTCGACCACTTCAGCAACTTTGATGCGGCCGCTCGCCAGCGTGAGGCCTTGGAGAAGCACGAGAGACGCGTGACTGAGGGTCGTCAGCGCTAATTCTGGATGGAAGAAGTCGCACGATCAAGACAGTGAAGGCAGGAAGGTTGGCGTCACGGATAGGGCATAGCAAGGGTTAAGACATGCGCGATACTACACGGTACACAATTTTCGATAGTTCTCCCATAATTAGAGAAGTTCCACCCCACTTCTACTCATGTTGATACCCACGTTCGCAGAGAAAGTGAGCATCCGGTGAGCACCCAACCACCTGCAAACGGGCGACCTTTTCTCACTCTCTCACACCCACACCGCCGCTGATTTAGAGATTTTCCCATGAATTTCCTGTACTACGAGCAAACGCGCACCTCTATCTGTTGTCTCGTTCTCCGTCGCACTCCTCGCGCCTTCCCCACCGCCTTTCTTCTGCCTGCACCGCACTTTGGGACCCCGCAGATCTGTTTTGATCACAACTAAGGACGCGACCGTCGCGTGTTCTCGCACAATTGCCGCACTACTCCTTTTACCTAACATATCACCCATCGACTCTTCAGCATGACTACTCCAAAGCGACCGCAGAGTGCTACAGGCGACACTCCATCCACGTCGCAATATCACTCGGCATACAATGGTTACGTGGCTGATCAGGGACGCTTCATGCACTTTATCCGCTCGCCTGATCAGTCACATCTCGAATTTGGTTATTGGTGCTTCTCCACGACCCAGGACGAGGCTCGCGCCTTTGGGCGTGGTTACCATACGCCGGAGGAAATTCTGATAGCCGCCGACAGTGGCGAGGGCGAGTTCGCCGACATCAATATGCTCTGGATACCAGGCCGTGTCGACAGAGTTTTGAAGTCCCAGATCTGTGGAAGCGCAAAGCAACACACTCGTGCAATCTACGACATGAGGGTCTTCTTAGGGAAGTCGCTGTCGTTCAGAGGCTGTGCGCCTACTTATCCCATGGACCAGAGACTCGAGGACTATTGGGCCAGCAGGCGCATTCCAGCGTCGGTACTGACAGATCCTCCTGTGCTGCAGTCGACCAACAGACCTCCACCACCTATTCAGATAACGCGCCTGCCGTCACCGGCCATCGGGCCAAACACCGGACCGCAACGGACGTATATCGACAATCCACGAACACAAAGTGTCTACGGAAACACTTTCTTCAGTCCTGTGTCGAATGGGACAATCAGCTCGAGAATGCGAAGCCCAGTATATGTTCCAGTCACGCGTGCTGGTACACCATCTAGTTCATCACCAGCTGCTGCGCCCCCATCACAAGTCTCACCCACTACATTTGCGCAGACATATCAATCCAATGACCGAGCGGCATTTGGTGGTCATGGAGCGCAGGCCATGAGCAGTCCAAACGCCGCAGCAGCTCATCCTCAAAACACTGCTCACCAAGTTCAATATCCGACAGGCGATACGAACTATCACAATGGGCCTACTCATAATGTAACATACCTCCAAGCACCTCCTCCGCGCCGTCGACCTCCGTACAGTTTGCAGTCTCCATACCTTGTTCCAGGGTTGCTACCAAAGCCTTTTCACAACGCATCAAGCCCAGTTCAGATGCAGAGCCCATATGCAGCTCAGCAAAATGTTCAATTTGCTAACACAACTCAGGCTGGCGCTCCGTCGGTCGTCCAGCGCCAGACAGCATATAGGTCGCAGCCCTACAACTCAACCCCGTACGGAGCACCGGCAGCGCAGTCCGCTCCTTGTCCCCCTGTCCCATACAATGAAAGGAAACCGCTTCGTACACCACAGTCATATGGTGTTCAGGATCTTCCAGGATCGCATCCCCGGCCAATCGCCCAACACAATACTCCTGGAGCTAACAGCACACTATATTCGAACTTCGAGCTTCCAACCATGCACCAAACTGGCCCTATGCCGCAGCAATTACCAAGTTCTGCTACAATTACTGATCCACGCCTAGTAGGACATGACCAGAATCCTGGTTCAGCGGCAGCTCCGATAGACTTTTCTTTCGAAGACGATGAGCCAATAACGGTCGCACCAGACGAGGTCGTGGTAGATGAAGGTACCACGACTGCAGCAGGCGTCACCACTGCAGTTCGCCAGCCTGCGCCCATTAGTGAACAGATTGAGCCGGAAACTCGGCAGATCAAGTCGCTGCAACGTCAATTGCTAACAGACGGCAATGATGAGGGAAGATTTAAGAGGCCAGAAACTTCGGATAATCGCCAGGATTCACTCACAACGACATCAGACCAGTTACCTACGCCTGACGCTGTGCTTGAGATGCCATGTATGGATTGTGGTGAGGAAGTCGAGAAGGGCCACAAAGCAGGCTGTCACCTGGGTGAGAACTCAAATACATTCATCGCCAACCCGATGCAAGCTAATGAAGTGACAGATATTGCTCCAATGAAGCTTACTGTACTCGATCACCGCGTGCTTGCTGACTGCGTCGAGCGCTTTGATCCTGGTCCGTGGACCACTCACCAAGGACCTCCAGCAGAGCCAGAGCTAGAAACCCCCGAAGATCAAATACGGGGAATGGCAGACATCATCAGGAACGAAGATACGTACAAGAGCGATGCTGAGTTATGCCTCCTGCCTGACGATCTCATGATTCTGGCATGGGCGATGAAGACTGCCCCCAACATCGAGGTTATTTGCGAGTAGACCAATTATGTTTGTTCCAACTTGTAGAAAAGCAGATGTTTTTTGGACCATGTTGCATTGTCAAGAGGTGGAGACTGGCAGGGACTTTGGCGTTCCACGTCTTGTAGTCGACTCGCTTACATGCTCTCCACGCCCTATTGTCGTTCACCGATTAGATCCGCGACTCACGACTTAACGTCGAGGAGCGGTGCGGCGCTCAGCTGAACGCGACGCTCGGGTATTTACTAGTTAATTTAAGAAAATCATGTTAAATCCTTCTTCTTAATTTTCCTAATTACTAGTAGTTTTCGAGTAAATACCCGAGCGTCGTTCGAGCCGAGCGCCGCACCGATCTCGAAGTACCCATGCATTTCTGGAACGAATCATTGTAATTACCCTATAGTCCGTACTAAGATTATAGTCCGTACTAAGATTTCTGCATTGTCGTGTACCAAAGTTGGTGCCTGGCGCTTAGGGCAGGATGTGGTACCAAGCACCCCGCATGGTGGGCCGAGGCTACAATGTATCTTGCAATGACGGACGAAAAAATGGTGTTGGGGAGAGATATGGGGCAAAAGCTAGGCTGATAGCAATCAACCCCAGGATCATATTCTGCAAGTACGCGTATCAAGTCTGACCTCGCTTCTGACATACTTCTGACTTGACTGTGTCGGGTGCTTATATATAAAGAGCCGGGCGCATCCCAACCCACCTACAACACTCAACACCAAATCTTCCTATCTGCCGAGAACACTCTGCAGATTCGCCGAAATACAACATGGCCGACTTTGAGACTGTGATTAACGACACCATCGCAGCCCACGAAATCCCGGGTTGTGCCCTGGTGGCTACCAATCGTGATGGTAAATCCCTTTTCACTTTGGGGTCACAATCATATACTCAGACTTCCCACAGGCTCCTTCAATTACGCTAAATCTTTTGGCAAGACCTCGATGAAAGAAGAAAATGCCAAGCCCTTCGACTTCAACACCGTCATGTGGGTAGCATCCTGCACCAAACTCATGACATCTATCTGCGCTATGCAACTTGTGGAACGTGGCCTCGTCACTCTCGACGAGCCTATCTACAAGCACATTCCCGAGCTCGAAGCATTGAAAGTCCTCAAAGGCTTCAACGAAACCACTGGCGAACCCATTGAAGAAAAGCAGACAGCCACCATGACACTGCGCCATCTACTTACCCACGCATCGGGTCTGAGCTACGATGGCATGCACCCGACACTACTCGCATGGCTCGCATACCACAAAAAACAACCCAACCAGAGCGGCAAACTCCTCGAACGCTTCAGCGCCCCGCTCGTCGCCCAGCCAGGAGAGAGCTGGGCGTACGGCCCGTCCATCGACTACGCTGGCCTACTCGTCGAGCGCATCTCCGGCAAGTCGCTGGAAGAATACATGAAAACCAATCTTTGGGAACCGCTTGGTATCAAGGACATGACGTTCTACCTGGACTCTCGGCCAGACATGAAGGCTCGTCTCGCAGACATGAGCATCCGCAATGAGGAGGGGAAAGTCAGGTTTACCGATGCGCACATGCCGTATCTTAATAATGATGGCAAGGAGAATGAGGATTGCATGGGAGGCCAGGGCGTCAAAACTTCTGCGGGCGAGTATTTGAAGGTGCTTAAAGCAATCTTGACTACGGACACGGATGAGAAGATCCTCAAGAAGCAGACGGTCGAGGAGTTCTTCAAGCCGCAGTTGGGCGAGGGCAGCCGCGGCATGTTGAACTTTGTGCTGCAGGATCGCATGGTATGCGCCCCACCCCTCGGTATTCTGATACGAAGAAATACTGACAAAACAGGCGAACAACGCAATGGGCGGAACACACCAGGGAGCTAAGAGGGACTGGGGTCTGGGCGGTATTCTCATCATGGACAAGCCAGAGGGTAGCGCGTTCGAGCCCGGCACGATGCTTTGGGGTGGCTATCCTAATCTCATCTGGGTATGTTTCATTGAATCGCAGTGCCACTCTCCTTCGACACGAAAAAGACTAATCTGTCGCCAGTGGGCCGATCGCAAGGCCGGTCTCACCGGCCTATACGCCAGCCAAGTGCTCCCACCCGGCGACGCCAAATCCGCGCAACTCACGCGCCAATTTGAAGAAGGCATGTACGCCGCTCTCCAGAAAGTAAGCACACCACGTCTATAGCCTTGCATTCTTGTTAATGTTTGTTGCATCAAAGGCCTAAACCACCTCCCCTCGCGTCGCATGTCTGTAGTTTACAGCGTCCACCTAGCAAACCAATCCAGAATCAAACTCGTCGCTTCGGCGTCTTTGCACGTCAGTAGACTCGTCTTGTCGTCTGTGTCCAGGTTGAAGAAAGAACTGGGCCAGTCATGCTCGAGGTTCTTGTATGCGTAATGCACAACCGTCTCGTCGCCCCATGTGTGCTTTGTCACTGATTTCTTGCCGCTGCACAAAGTGCTTGTGACATTCTGATCCGCTTTGAAATGGTCCCTGTCCGCCCAGGCATTCACGTACGCGGGGATGTTGGTCGAGTTGGCGTTCTTGCGGCTATTGAGAGCGCCCTTGTACTTGATCGTCTTGTCCTCGATGCCGTGGAACTCTGCAATCGGGATGGGCAGGCGGCCGGGCTTGCAATCTGGCAACTGCTGCGTCGTCTTGTTGAGGTAGAAAGCGCCCGAGACAGGCGCGAATGCTGCAATGCGTGTTGATGCGACCGGGTCGCAGGCTAGCAAGCCGGTGAAGCCTCCGCCGTTGGATTTGCCGGCTGCGTAGATGCGGGACTTGTCGATGCAGAATGTGGATTCGAGATGGTCGATCAGCTCCAGGGTGAATTTTACGTCGCTGATCTTAGGGTCTGCGTCGGGGTCGCCTTGCCACTGCGGGACCTCTTTGCCGTCGTCGGTGATGAAGTTCACGCCTTGTGGGTAGACGGAGATTCCCTCGAAGCCGTAGCTCGCGTTGGAGAACTGACTGAGTTTTTCTTGGTACTTTGCATCCTGCGTACGACCGTGGAAGGAGAGGATAACAGGGAGTTTCTTAGTTCCGTCGTAGTTGGCAGGGAGATGTAGACGGTATTTGCGAGTTGGCGTGCCGCTGTTGCTGGAGAGCGTGAGGTTCTTCGACTTACCAGGGACGAGACCCTCTGGAAGAGCTGAGCCACACCCGGATTTGGTGTCACGGATGCTTAGAGCCTGGATACTGGAGACGAGGCCGAAAGCCGCAATCGTAGAGATAATCAATTTCATCGTGACAATGCTGTGGGGAAAGATGGTGATAATTCAAGGCGAAATGAAAGCGACCGACGCGAGATTATATATTATACAGGTTACGCTCAGGACCCCGATGATGCGTGAGGCTGTTCTCTATTTACAGACCTGAAATATACGCCAGCTCAAGGCGTCCAATGCGACGCCTGACGATCCCTCGTCAACACTATCCCATGTGTGGAGTAGTCGTCGGAGTACGTTCGGGTTCCCTATCTAGGACTACGACGGCTTGAATAGTGCAACTCGCGCTGATGGGAATATGAGACAGCACGAAATGATGTCTCGTGAAGGTTTGCTAAGGTAAGCCGCTGATGCGGAAACTGTCTTGTTCTGGGGTGATGCGTCGTGGTTGATGATGCAAAGGAAGCGGCTGACGGGAATTGCCCCATGTCAAGACTCTAAAATTAGCACAAAGCTTAGTCGACCCGACCCGTCCTGAACGCCGGCTCACTCGTTCTCCGTCACGATATCTCCATCGAGCGTACGTCAAGCTTCACACTCAAAATGACTTGGACGACTTACAATTCAGAGGGATGGGCACTTACACCTCTGCACTTGTCTTCGGGCTGTCTCCATACAGGGCCACGACACTCGATACTATCTTGATATCTCAACCCTATCAACCTTCCCTTGCTTCCTCTGTTCGTATATGTACAACCACTACGTGCATTCATTGTCGTGATTACTTAGGCACGGGAGAGCTCTACGCGAAAAGGCCCAAAAGCTCGAATAATGAAACTACGTCGATAACTGGCAGTTACCAGTGTAGCTTTCCTGGAACTATCTAGACATTTCCGAATCAGGCGAAGTCGTTTGAGCATGAGGCAAAAGAAATGAGCTTTAGCAGCTTCATTTATAAGCTTTGTATCAGGAGAACCAAAGGAGTTCTTGGAGTATCTCGCTGCTTTATCCAATGGTTTTCTCTCATTCTTTAAAGTATTGTCGCAGTCTTGCTGCATCACCTGTATCTCGCGACTCCTGCCACTATTTTCCTCAACTGGGGGACGACCTGCATGTGCCACCAGCCCGATCGGGCGCAATCAGAAGCTGAAAAGGCTACAGGCCATAATATAACTTGTAGGTGTGACACCAGAGTTCATTCGTTGACTCATGTGGATCTCAAATCTCTCAAGAAGAGTCGGAAATATCTGTCGTGTTAGCTATCGTCATGAGTTCATCATGGGCTGCGTATGCTGAACAACCACTAATTGCAGACCCGTAACGAGACTCATGCACTTTGATAACACACATTATATGTTCCCCTTCTCGATTAGAAAGTGAATGCCAAGTCTAGAGCTAGTCAGAAGATCGAGGGTGAATGCGAAGTTTTCACGTCACAGCAACACATGTTTGCTCCAATCGCTGCTCCCCGCTCTACGCATTCACTACTCACATCCACCTCTCTAGGCAACCCTGCCGTCACCTTCTCTGGGCTTAGCTCCTCGTACGGCCTGTCGCTGCCCGGTATATAATACCTGCTCCCCCGCCCTCCTTGTCTTTTCTCCCCTCAAGCCCCCAACCTATGTCCCTTTGACAGCCATGCCGAGCCTAAACATCTCCTTGCCAGTCTAGCATCAAGCTCGCCTTTCCGTTGCAACAAACCTTCCTCAACGAAGGACGTCTGCGCTCCCGGGCGCCCAGTGGACGCAGCGCAGACGAGCGCGGATTGTTCCCAAGGCCCGACGTCTCCACTACCTCCAGGGACGTCAATGGGTGACATGGTCGATTTGCGCCATTGGTAGCCACTCTGTGGAACCCGCACACGCACACGCACACGACTTTCGGCCTTGGATTTCTAACGACCTAGGTATCCCAGAGTCCAGAAAATGCTTGTCCGAAATTGGAAGCATCAGGAAGAAGATGATGGATTTACCACCTCGAAGGAGCACCTGGCCTGGGGTGACTGCCTTCGAGCCGCTCGCTTTTGAGGCTGCAGACACGCCGGCGCTGCTGTCTTGCAGGGCGGGGACCACGACAGAGCTGAATCGACGCTCAAGCCCGATCGGAATGCGACATGCCCACAGTCTAGGGTGCTCATGTTTGCGAATCTCTGCCCGGTTGGCGAGGGAAGCCAGCTGGGAGGACTCACCGCAATGGTTTGACTAGAGTGTCGCTGGGAGAGTGAGACTGAGCTATGGCGATGGTGGTGCCTGACTTCAGAGATAATGCTTTTTCATTGATTCAGTTGGCTTGCCAGCTGTTCGAGGAAGAGGGTCGATACGAAAACGGGCAAATGAGTTCTCTAACACGCCGCACATTTGCCTGAAACTTTATACTATGTCATGTAACTATGGAATCGCAGTGTCGTCGCTGTTGACACCATGCTCTCTTAGCAGTTGTAGCATCGACTCTAACCCGTATCCCTTTGCGATCCTCACACACTCTGTAGCAGCTTCATCAACGCGCGGGTCGCAGCCTCGCTCAACCAAAAGCCGGAATAGCGCCACGTGCTCATGTTCGATTGCATATGCAAGTAGAGGTCGCGATCCAATCTTGATGTCTGCACCATGGTCCAGTAGTTCCTGAACCACATTCCTGTGGCCTTTCGCCACTGCTAAAGAGAGAGCATCTCCAAATTTTGCTTTGTGTTGGAGTAGCAATTGCACGGTCGCCAGATCTCCCCATCCAACAGCGAGCTCCAAGACTGGAACAGCAGTATCTGCTTGATGCTCCAAGAGCATTCTAATGGTGTCCTTGTGCCCGCGTCTGCAAGCTAACAGGAGTGGTCGCCGGTCTTCTCCGCACAAAGACCTGTCGCCTACACCTTCGACTGAAGCCCCGAGGCTCAAGTAGTGCTCAGCCATTTCAGTCCAGCCTTCAATCGCGCAATGCCGTAGGAACCGTGTATATTGTGCCGGCCCGAATTCCCGGTTTATGCAGTGCAAACTTCGTTTCTCCATCAGGAACTCAAAAACCTCCCTGCTGGGGGTGTGCATCAATGCCAACATCCACTCGTTCGCGTACGCATGGTGAGGCCGCCTTTTCCTCGAAAACACCCAAGGTAAGCTTTCAGTAGCGAAGTTGAAGATGAACTGCACCGCATCAAGGCGGCCGGCTTCGGCGACAACGCATAACATCTCTACTCTTCGTTCTTGTGCTGATTCGGGGAACTTATCAGAGCCGGTTGTCAGCGCGGCAAGAAAACGCTCATCGCTGTGTCTTGCAGCGTGGTTATTGATCGAACTGAACATCCAACTATTCTGAGCAGGGTGTCGTGCGCTTGCCATCCATCTTTCGACGATCGTAGTCGTCTGTGTAAGATAAGCGGCCACGTAGAGATGGGTCTCGGAGTCACTTTTGTCTTTGACCTGACTGGCCTTCAACATCTGAGCTAAACGTGTGGACGGTCGTTGGTCGCGTATGACCAGCAGACACAGCTGATGAACATAGTCAGGGACGCTGCGTGCTTCTGCATCCGCTTCGTGCAGCTTTTGTGCAACGGCACGAATGCGGAGTAAATCGGGAAGCCCATTGCTAGGCTCACTAAGCACTCGACGTGCAAGGTAAGACCCAGCGAAATAAGGGATTCGTGGGATGGGATCTTTGGAACATAGTTTGAAATATGTATCAAGGAGTCTAAATATGTGAATCACATTGATAACCTCTTCGGCAAAGAGTTCTGACAACATTTAGCTTTTCCTTTAGATGCGAGAGGTTTGAGAAAGAAGGTACTGTTGACAAGTCGCAGCCTAATTCTCCTTCTGAGACCTCTAACTTCACATGCACGTCTGAGTATCTCTTGAATCAACTCAAGAGGCAAATCAAGGATGCGCATTTAGGGCAGCATTCACAATCGTTCCAAAAGGCAACACGATGTAACTATGCGATTTGGAAGCTGTAAAATGATGTTCACAAGTTGAGATCGAATGAGTAGAGTAGGTTCGGTTATTGGGGCGTGATGGAATTGGGCGCAGCTCTCGTGCTTGCGTAACTGAGAGAGATCGCCGCGGCAAGGCTAAATCGCGCCCGGGCCACGGGCAAGGGCGATAGTTTAAGCTGTCTAACTTCACAGTTGTTTTTGCACTTCATGATATACCAATAAGCTACTAAGTCTTTCCAGGCTTCGATATGAGGTAGCAGCTGCTCTATAATAGCAAGTTGAGTTCAAACAGAGTGTGCACGTATCATCATAGTATCTGGTGACGTGGATGGCATTGACTCACGTTTTGATCAAAACACTTCTCAACACTTCTAGGCCACCCAACCTTTGTATCTCTCATCCTCGTCTTTCTAGCATGGAAAAATCCCATTTCAAAACCGCACTAGGCCAGGCTATTTACGAATACGGTCATGAAAGCGACCGTAATAATCACAGAGAACTATGCGGCAACAATCCCAGCTCCGCCACAATATTGAATACAGAGCCAGCTCTGCGCGATCGTAGATTCCACGCAATTCACAAATTATGGTCGGCGATATCAAGCGAAGAGCATCACATTCTAATCAAAGAAGCTAAAAGTGAAGGCGAAAAAGCTCAAGTAGCGTCCGTGATGCTAGAAAAAGGTGAAAGGGCCGTAGAACTGCTTAAGGGCTTACTTGAATCGCACCAGAAGCTCATAATAGAAGAAGCCGAGAATCAAGAACATAGTCCAAAAGAAATGCGGCTGGTCCTAGTTGGCAAGCCGTGGAAGAAGCGTGAAGAAATGATGTGGTGGATGGTTTCATTGTTGAGAATTGCGGCGGAGTGGGGGATAGGTGAGATATTCGTGACGGAGGGATTGCCAACGGAACCGGAAAAGTCGTGGGACGAGGCGTATGGGGTGTTGGCTATATTTAGGGAAGTCCTAGAGGACCAGGATGTAGAGAAATGTTAACATATTTGACAACATATCGTGATTTGACAGACTGGCGTTATTTGAACTAAGTCCACTAACCATGACACCATGCTTGTGCTGAGCTTTCTGGTGCTTGATCTGACTTACTCGCTTTTGCCTCTGGCTGATGACTAGTACGCCATAAGGCCGACGATATGACTCTTTTCAACTAAGGACTGATTCAGCAAGATCTAGTCAACGACGAACAATGCCATTGAATCTCCCCGCTCTTCATTCTCTCCTAGCCTTTATATACCATTCTACCATGCCCGCCAAAGCACTGCGTACCCATTATAAGATCAAACACCTCTACAACGACATGGAACCTTTCAAACTAGAGCGCGATAAGATCAAGACGCTGATAACACCGACGATGGATCCAGCATGGACGAAGAAACGTAAAGAAATCATTGAAAACCTGCAAGCTATTCACATGATTGCGTACCGCGACACTACGATACGGGATCCCATTCGTGTCATGCAAATCGAACGACTTGCTATACGAGCCATTAATGGAATGCTCGAAGAAGACAACCAGCGCGGTTTTTTCATTCAGGGATTGTACCATGGGCCAAGATCAGCAGGGCATCAGCGTGTGCGTGCGCATCTGGCCAAGACACCGGTCGAGAGACTATGGTGGATGTCTGTAATAGTGAGGACAGCGGTGTGCTGGAACCTGAGTAAAGAGATTTTGAATCTTGGAATAACGAAGGATTGCAGCGACGCGAGAGCGGTTTTGGAGGAAGCGTATGACGTGGTGGCTATGATGAGGGTGATGCCTACAGAAGCACCACAGTCAAGCTACTTGTGTCGGTTTTATTGTTTATTGATGCAGTTAATATCTTGGATCTTCTAGTGCCCCGGCTCTTAGTAAAGCACACCCTTCGTACTCCTAACCTCGCCCTCCCACTGCTTGACCACCGTTGTTGCATGTCTGATGGCGATCGCAAGTGCCTTGAACGCACTCTCCGCCCGATGGTGATCATTCTCTCCCCTTATGCAATCAACATGTAGCGTTGTGCCACTCGCTTGCGCAAAGCTCTGCATGCAATGCGGAATCATCTCGCAGCTCAAGTCGCCAATCTTCTCCCTCTTCAGACCCAACTCGATAACGCTGTATGGCCGGTTTGACAGATCGATGACGGCTCGTGAAAGCGCCTCGTCGAGAGGTGCGTATGCGTGTCCGAATCGTGCTAGACCTGTTGATCCTTGCAATGCGTTCTTGAACGCGGTGCCGAGTGCTAAGCACGCATCTTCACTGGTGTGATGGTCGTCGATGTGGAGGTCGCCCTTGCATCTTATCTGCAGACTCCAGCCGGCGTGCTTTGCGAGGGCGTGGAGCATGTGGTCGAGGAAGCCGATGCCAGTGTCGACGTTGATCTCTTGGCTGTTGGACTTCTGTGTGGCGTGGTCTTTGTCGACCTTCTCGCCTTCTCCGTTGAGGTTCTTCTTGTCAAGAGCATCCCAGAAGTCGGATTGTTGGTAGGCTTCGAGTTCGCCTCCGTCGAGGTTGATGGAGACTTGGATCTTGGTCTCGTTGGTGTCGCGGTTGAGGGAAGCGGTGCGCGGCATTGTGGCGGTCGTAGCTCTGTCTGTGAATTCGTGTGGCAGGGGATGTATATTTCTGGGTTGAGTTGGCTGAAAGATGATTCAATTGCTTCGTATGATGTCAAGGTGTAATGAACAAAAAGTTCGAGCCGACAGAATCGGAGGGGTTTAGATGCACCCCACGCCCCACGTCACATGTCTTGGCATATAGGGCTGAAAAAGTGGCCAACCACCGAATCGCCGAACGAAAGCTTGCAGCTAAATTTTTTGACATCGCAAAGTCGCGCGCAACCACTCTCACCCAAAGTAAGAGCAAAGGAAACCAGTTTTACGCGAGTCAAATAAGCAAGAGCAAGGAAATATTCCGCAAAATGCCAGGCACGACAGAGGAAAACGCGAATGTAGCGATCGTGGATCCTACTTCGGCAACTGGAGAGGAGATTGATGCATCGGTCGATCGCGACAGGATACGCGTGGTATGTACTACAGTTCGTGTTGCAGAATACCTTTACTAATTCGACGCAGCTATCTGGGGCGACTGAGACCGCTGCATCATTTCAGATTGATGGTGAGGATCACACGCTTGGCAACGCGCTTCGATACATTATCCACAAGAAGTGAGTTTTAGCTACTATATCGTTTGCATCATAGTGAAGTGGCCAACACCATATATAGCCCTGATGTCGAGTTCTGTGGATACTCGATTCCCCATCCATCTGAGGCCAAGATGAATTTGCGTATCCAGACATACGGTAAGCTATGCCCGCTTCGACTGTCTGAATCCTGTCGCTAACTGTGATAGATGGCGTCAGTGTGTATTCTGTGCTTGAGAAGGGGCTTGAAGATTTGATGGCCATGTGCGACGTTGTCGAGGAGAAGTTCAAAGTCTCAAGGGACGACTTTGTCAACCAGATGCAGGAGTGAGCGTTTCAGAGCATTGCATTACAGGCGTTCAAGGGTAGCATGGAATGGCGCAAAGGAAGGAAATGGTATTGTCTTTGCTATATACACGCTTCTGCTCTCCGACTTTTGGGTCTCTGCTTGGGGCTGGTCTAGTTGCGGCCCTGCACAATGCATCAGTATCAGTTCTCTGCCTCAGATGGTGGGGCACTAACCTCTAAGAAACCGTTGATGAAGTTACTCGGCAGCTTAGCCTTTGGTTCTTCTTCGGCGCGGAAGTATTTGAGCACGTGTGATGTCTGCTTCCAGAAATTCAGGGTTTCCTGATGGAGCGTCAGTCCTGAGATCCTCTAAAAAGCTCAAGTTCGCTTGCAGACGCGCAAAGCCTCTTGAGGGTTCGGCAAGAGAGGTCGTACCTGGAATTCCTGGTGACTTGAGAACAGTAACACATCCACTGTCCGTAGTTGATTCACGTATCTATGCCGCTCGAACTCTTGTCGTATCTTGGTTCGTAAGGTGGAAACGGGTAGGTTGAGCGAGTACATGGTCTGGACCTCGGGAGCCTATGTGAACTGTGTTAGCCATTGGTTGTCCAATGGTGTCTTGAAGCTCTCTCGTCCCCCTGGGGATCTCATGTCTTCTGGTTCGCGAGGTTCCATATACTCCACGAGACACAAATTCCAGGGTTGAAGTCGCCAGAGGAGCTCGTAAGAGAAAGACGTGACATACCGACCGCAGCCAGTCTCGATAGCTGTGAATGACCCTCCTCTTCGCATCGTTCCAGTTGACCGCTGTGCCAGCATTAGCGTTTCAGAGTCCCCAATGCCTCATGGTAATTGTATGCATACATGAGCGCGTGCGCTGGGCGAGGTAGGTGGGGTTAATGACCATGTTTGCGGTGTTGGTGAGCTCGAAGGTGTCCTGGAGCTTGACCTGCCGTGACGATGCGGGCTTGGGTGGAGGTTCGCCAAGCCTCACGTTAGCGCGGTTTCTTGGTGGCAGGCGCATTCGTAAAGTTATGCGACCACCTTCTGCCTCACCAAACACTCAACTTACAATCACCACGACAATCGCCCAAAGACGAAAGACTTGCTGCGACCTTATTCTAATCACAGACCCAACCTCGTACAAAATATACGCCAAGATGCCACCAATCCGAACCGCACGCGCCTCGAAGAAGGCCCCGCCGGAGGGCTTCGAGGATATCGAGGACACTCTTCTGGAGTTCCAGAACAAGATGAAAGACGCTGAAAACGCATCGCACGAGGGAAAGAAGAAGTACGAAATGACTTGGCCCATCTTCCAGATCACGCATCAGCGCTCGCGTTACATCTACGACCTCTACTACGAGAAGGAAGCGATTAGCAAGCAGCTCTACGACTATCTCCTCAAGAACGGATATGCGGATGCTATGCTGATAGCGAAGTGGAAGAAGCAGGGTTACGAGAAGGTATGTGGACTTTGGAAGAGCTATACTGGGATATTGCTGACTTGAACTAGCTCTGCTGCACCAGGTGCATACAGACCAAGGAGACCAACTTCCGCTCGACATGCATTTGCCGAGTACCGCGCGAACAGCTCAAGGAGAATCAGGACATACAGTGTGTCAACTGCGGGTGCAGAGGATGCGGATCGAGTGACTGAGCGAAGAGAGGGACTACGATATTTCCTGATACTGGTCAAAACAGAAGAGCTAGGCGGTGCCCTGGCTGTTGACGGACATCTGACTCCCACACACTGGCATGGGCGTTGCAACATCCAGAAGCAAGACGAGAAGCAGAAAAGTTGGCGAGAATGATACCCCGTTATGACAGATTGAAGTCATGACATTCACAAACAACACGAATCGACAGGAGGCACAGGGTTCGTCGGTCAGACACAGCGTTGTGTTCAGTCGTTGACATGTCTACAGATAAGCTACATGAATAAAGTGCAGTATTTGTGTCATAAAGAAACCTCCCGGGTATGCCTGAACTCCTATCTTGAGCATATTTTAGTGCTTTCCCTAACGCCAATAACAAACAGTCGTAAAATACTATCCCTTTCGTACATACTCACCGAACACGCTGCGCCGTCAAAATCTTTACAGTCTCGTGCTAACGATGGTAGACGGGGGGTTTCCATTGGACCGGAGGATACAGACTGTAATCTGTCTTCAAGCGTGCAGAAGACGGAGGCGAAGGCCAGTACTTTGCCAAATCTGTCCCCAAACTGTGCCGCTTGACCGTGTCGCCACGCTTCAGCCGAAACGGCATGCTGCCGTCGATTGGCGATTCCAGGTCTGCATCGAGGACCCCTTGGTTCTCATTTGATGATGCAAGTTTCAGCGGTTCGACGTTCCTGCTCTTGTTCTCGGTCGCATCCATGGTCTGCAGGGCTACCGGTCGTGAGAATTGCGCCTCACGACGTCCATCACGTTCCATGGGCGCGCTGAAGGCTTTCATATGAAACACCTTGCTACTCCCTCTTCGACTCGCAATCGAATTTTTGTAGGATTTCAGATCCTTCTCTGGGACGGGAGGTGGCTTTCTCGGCGCGTGATGCAGTTTTGGTACAGCTCTCCGTTTCCGGGACCAGTAGATGAAGAGAATGCACAACCCAACTAGGAAGATGACAAGGGGTATCATGGCGAGTCCAATGATCATTACGCTGGGCATGTCGCGACCAGCCGGATGTGCGGAAGGTGTTGGTGTGATGGTGTCTAACTGGGTGTAGACCGTGACTGTAGCGATCGGGGGTTGTGTCGATGCCGGCGTGGTGTCGCTGCGCATTGTGAAGCGTAGTGGCGACATGATAACCCACAACGAGGTAAGGCAACCAGATCGAATCTCCAAGCTCTACTAGCAGGAAAGACTGGCCAAATAGGCAGAGTATATCGATAAGAGCCGTATCACAAACGCAGCTGAACTGAACACAATGCGCGCCAGGCCACCCCTTAAGTAAACCCGAACAATAAAACAAAACGAACACTGCCCACCTTTTCCCATGCTTTGTTTTCTAGCACACCACCCTCAAGGAACAAGGTCCAATTCTTGAGATCTACGGAGTCCGGTTGGCCAGCCCCATCAGACCTGCTGGGGGGTCGAGTCTGTGAAACATGAGAAAACATGGACGCGAGTAGTCGAAGGCTAGAAAACGTGAGCAAAAGAGCCGGCCAAGCTAGAGAAGTTAATGCACGTTCATTGTGGGAAGCATGGTTCATTTTCCGCGATTTACTAGTAGGGTGTTTGGTAGGGTGGTTTTTTGCTTCTTTCTGCGGGTAGTTGTCTAGTCTCAGGCACGGAATATTGACAGAAGGCCGGCCCCGCATCGTGCCGGCAGATCTTACATGGGGCTGGCGGGACGACAGTTGGGCTTGGGTTCGCTGACTGGCTGGTATACATTGCCTTGGAATCGAGGTTGTTGGGTCCAAGAGTTCGTGAGTTCCGACGGGTGGCGCTGGATGTGGTTAGTGTGCCTTTTTTGCTATTTAGGGGTCGTGAGGCTGAGCTTGAGTTCAGCTCGGGAGATGTTGGCAGGGGTGTTTGACTGGAAATCCTTGTTGGATGTATGCTTTATTGCTTATTGAATTGATGCTTTGTGACATAAAGGAAGAGAATGAAAGTATTGCCTACTCTGAATTGGCTGTATGTTCGAAGCGAACCCGTTGTGGAGGGAAGAGTCTAACGAGCATAGTTTGTTTTTCACGTTCACGCGCTGAGACAGTCGTTTTCTGTCATGGCTGGATTGGAGTTTCATTAGTCCATCGTTTGATGTTCAAGAGTTGTGGGGTTGACAACTCGTGTTGGGCGTGGAGATATGCCGCTAGACAGGGGTCGCGATGCGATAATGCAATAACGGCGGGAGGAGCTTCAACCTCTGACAATAATTTGAGGGACGAGCCAGAGTCACTCGTAGGGCGCCGGACGCCAATTGACTGAGTCACAGAAGCTGTAGAAATCTGTAGGCTTCAATCGTATGTCCACGTTTTCTTTCTGTCTCCATTACCCATCGCAAAGCACAGCAACTCAATTTTGTGAGCTGGGGACTGCGTCAAACCAACAAAACTTCCTTTTTGTGCGGGACTCTAACCTGGCTTCGGCAGATCGGTTGGGGTCGCAGCTCTTGCAGGCATCATGTCTCTCACTCGGCTGCACCCGCGACTCCTCTCGCGGACGAACCGAATCTTTTCGTCGCAAATCCGATACTATGCTGCGCCTGGCGAAGGTACAATCCCCGCAGCCAAGAAGAAATATGTTCCAACGAGCGGTACATACCCGCTTGGCTTCAAGGCTGGAAGCGCACATGTTGGTGTGAAGGCATCGAACACGCGTTTCGACGATCTCGCTCTAATCGCATCGGACACGCCATGCGCCGGTGCCGCGGTTTTCACCACCAACAAGTTCCAGGCGGCCCCCGTGACGGTCAGCAGGGATATGCTGAGGAAGAGGAAGGGTGAAGGCGTCAGGGCAGTCATTGTGAACTCAGGCTGCGCCAATGCCGTGACTGGGCGTGGCGGCATTGAAGATGCGATATCTATGGGCCAAGAGACGGACCAATGCTTTGTCAAGGACAACAATGGCAAAGATGACGGGGCAAGGGAGTCGAAGTGTTGTCATGAGTACTGGTGTCATCGGCCAGCGATTACCCATACAGAAGATCACATCGAAGATACCCACGGCATACCACAATCTCGGAGACACCCATGACCACTGGCTAGCGACGGCCAGGGCGATATGCACCACTGATACTTTCCCCAAACTCCTCTCCCGATCGTTCCGTCTCCCAAGCAGCCAAGAAGGAGTACCATATTGCCGGTATGACCAAAGGTGCAGGCATGATCCACCCCAACATGGCCACCCTGCTGGGGATTATCTGCACCGATGCACCAGTTTCAGCAGGCCCACTACAGACAGCGCTTACCTCCGCCATTACGAAGTCGTTCAACTCAATCTCGATCGACGGCGACACATCAACCAATGACACAGTCGCACTTCTTGCAAACGGAGCGGCAGGAGGCCAATCCATTACATCAACCTCATCCGAAGACTTCCAAGCTTTCCAGAAGACCCTAACGGAGTTTGCCATCGATCTTGCCAAGCTTGTCGTCCGCGACGGCGAAGGCGCAACCAAATTCGTCACCATCCGCGTCACGAACGCAGCCACGTACAAAGACGCGCACAAGGTCGCTTCGACGATCGCCCGCTCGCCTCTCGTCAAGACCGCCCTATACGGTAAAGACGCAAACTGGGGCCGCATCCTCTGCGCCACCGGATACGCTGAGGGCGTGGACTCAGTCATCCCCGAGGAAACAAGTGTGAGCTTTGTGCCTACAGATGGCAGTGAGGAGCTGAAGTTGCTCGTTCGCGGCGAGCCGGAGCAGGTGGATGAGACTCGGGCAGCCAAGATTTTGGAAGCTGAGGACCTGGAGATTAATGTGCGGTTGAGCGAGAACAAGGGTTATAAGGAGGAGGCTGTGTTTTGGACGTGTGATTTTAGTCACGAGTATGTGACTATCAATGGGGATTATAGGACGTGAGGCGAAATACACAAAAACGAATAGAGTTTGTTCGAGCTTTTTATGGTCTTGTGCACCCCGTTTCTTCGCTTCAACGGTGGGAAAGACTCAGGGCACAAGAAACTTGGTAACTCTGAGGCCACTGAAAGCCTTTTTGCTGCCTGTTGAAAGTACTAGCGATGGCTAAAGGCACAATCCATAGATGATTGTTGAGTATCTTCAGCTGCTAAGACAGAGCATGGTACCTAAATACTCTCTGAACTACGTCTCTTCATGCACCTGACAGGTCCGCTGTACCTAACGTGCGCCTCTGTAGCGTACGATTCGCTATGATTACTTCGGACTCCGTTTCATCTCCATTCTCGTGAGTTGTACGCCGTGCAGAGTTCAAGGTATCTTTTGCTAGGTCATTGAACTATTGGTAACGCGTTTCAGCCACATCTCTCGACGCACAGTGTACATATGACCACTAGAATTGATATCTGCTTTCTAAGTTCTGTTTGTACTCATACAATTATGGCTCTCTCCTTTGCCGCTTCGAAAGCCAAACCGGGGTGCGAGTCCGTCCATACCCCCATAACTCGCTGTATCTCTGCCCTGACTGCATTCGCATGCACGTTTCTATCAGCGTAGGTTTCCGTCAGAAACCCTGGAAGCTCAAGAGCCGCTAGCGAAAGTCGCACAGCCCATTCCTTGCCTTCAGGAGTATAGATTGGATTTTCCCAGGGATAATGACGATTCTCCCTGTTCGTAATCTCATCGAATGCGGTCTGGATGGAGCTTTTACAGCTTTCGCATGCCTTCACAAAAGACTCGAAGACTTTCATCAGTCTTTCCTCTTCCTTGTCCACTTCAGGACTCATCTCTACGACATCTTTAGGAACTGACTTCCAGATTTCGATCAATTGCTCCCGAGTAGTCGCCATCGTTGGTGTGTCGCCCTTTGCTATTTTCCTTTGTGCCGTTGAAGAGATAGCTGACTGTTCGGCTTTTTGTGAAGATATAGAGACCAGGCTGGAGAAACTGAACTTAATGAGAATAGCTAATTGTTGCAGACGTTGAAGCTTTCTGGAGCTTTATACAGCTCGTTAGTCATTGAATCATAGGGTCATAGAGCGACTCACGGTAGGGCTGATACATACTTTACTGCCTCAGACTTCGGACTTATCCAACTCTCGTGCACGCGTTGAAGGCGTTACTCGTCATAACATGTATAAGGTGTGGCCATGATTTTGAATTGCTGCGATCATACTGCTGGCGGATCATGAAAAGCACTTGACAAGTGTGCAGCTCTCACGATGCGTACTGCTTGATACCAACCTAGGTAGGTATTTCTGGTCGTGAGGAGGTCAGGGGTGAACTTTTGTTTCTACCCTTCCGTGGGCTATTTACCAACGTTATGGTTCGTGTGACGAGTACAGGTGCACCGACGCTTGGATAACGTGGCGCAGTGTGCACAAATTCGTGAATCTGACAAACCAACTGTTTGCACCTGTCGATAATTCTGAGGCTGCTACGAAACCTCGGTGAATGATGTTTCTTTAGACAAGCATTTACCCTCATTGAATGCCTTTTCCATCTCCTCCGCCATCCTCTCATCCTCATCATCCTGCTTCGCCTTGTCCTCCCCGGATACTGCTTCCTGCTTCTGACGTCTCGCTTTCTCCTCTGGGATCTCGGGTATCTCACTTCCCGAGAACGCCTTAACTTCAATTCTCCATGCGCTGTCGAGCCTCCTAGCTTTGTTGAACACGAGGCGAGTATATCCATCCCAATGATCCATTCCTTGAAATACTGTGTCCCAGATGCTGAGCCTCAACGATTCCCATAGAATCTTTTCCTTACGACCGGGAAGTCTATTACTGAATCTGATCAGGTATATTGAACGTGCGAATCTAGTGCTCCAGTACTGGCAGCCTGTTGTGTCGTGCTTACGTGCCCATGGATATCCGTGCCGCTTTACCCCATACTTGAAAGTGTCTACTACAGTGTCGTTACTGCAAGTCTCATAGAAGGCATTGTAGTACTGCTGCATCACTGTTTCAGATGCCAGTTGGTAATTGTGCTCATCGATGATTCCGGGTAAGAATATCCTTAGCCATTCAATGTACTGTTGTTGGGGGGTCTTTTCGCTATTGGGTGGGAGTGGGGGTGGGGGGGAAAGTAATGACTACCATGATGTAACACTATCTTCACGGGGAGGCGGATGAAAGAGCTGATAGAACACTAAGGGGTTGGTTCGTGTGAAGCAGTATTGCGAGCGAAAAAAGACCCAGGAGCAGCTATTTCTATTCTTTTTATACATGTCGAAGACTCGAACGCGATGTTACACAAGCGTTGCATTGGTACCGGGTCGGCTCTACAATCCTTATTCATGATGACTCTGGGAGCTGGGATGATTTTATGGAGTGTAGTTGTGATGAAAATGCCTCCAGTCATGTCATCAGACCGCGTAGTGGCTGATGTCGTCACATTGTTTGTGATTACAATCACTGTGTCACGAAAAGCACTGTTCTCGTGCTGTTGGATTGCCCCCTGATTCGAACAACAACTCACACAGGAGATAAGTCATCATTCTATGATTGCCATAAAAGCTGGAACTTTGGCACCAAGACACTCTACAACACCCAACCCAAATCGTTTACTAAATCAATTAGGATTCGATCAATCAAATCGCTGCAATGGATCTGGAGAGACCAGAGACCCCCGCGCATGACAAGCAACGACCATACACAATTACACAGGAAATTCAGAACGGCCTTGAAAGACTTACAAAATATTGGAGGTTGACTTGTGTGAAGAAGCACGGTTACGGGGAGGGCGATGTGTATGAGGCGAATCGAGATAAATTTCACAAGGATTTTGTCCAGATGCTCGAGGGTGCGGAACTGTTGAAGTGGGAAACTGTTGTTTTCCCAGAATCCGGAAACGATGCGAAAAAACTCAAATTCCCAGACAACAAATACCTCTATAGGTTCTTTGTAGCGGTGGCAGTGGTATGGGGACTAGAGTTTGAAGCAGTGAACAAGGCCGTCCACGGTGGTTCGACGGAACCTGACACCGCAGGCGCATTCCTTGCGAAGCATTGGGACTCTGAAGTCGCATTTCAAGAACAGAAAATAGCCAACGCGGAGAAAGATTTGGAAGAACGCCGAGCTAAACTTAAGGGCAGTGCTATTAAGAATAGTTTGAGGGTAAAAGAGGGCTGGATATGACACTTATCAGGATTCAATAGAGGAGAGCGGAGAGTGTTGAGTGAGGTAGATGATGAGGGGCTGAACTGTTTGTCAATCATGTTTATCACCATGTACTTAATTGCTAAATGAATTTCATGTCTGTGAATCATTACAGGTACCAGCAAGGACTGGGAAAGGATTTCATTAACGCTGAGATAAGACTGCAGGAAAAACGTGATGTGATTGAACACACAAAACTGGGCTTTGATCTGTCCGTTTTATGAGAGGCGAAGTAGGACAGCGTGTATAACTTGCGAAACTCAAAGCCGACAATGTGAAGGTCCGCAAATTTCCAATTGAAAAGCCATGACATGATCTCTATTGCAACAAACCGTAAAACGGGCCGTTTGGCAACCTCGATCACCCGGAGTGCAGCACACTACGGTTGAAACCTGCATGACTTCAACTAAGACACGTCTTGAAAAATTTGATATGTAGCTCGTGCTTGGAAAGCCTGGTGGTTGCTTGTCCAGGTACTTCACGATCGGGATCTTCTGATAGCGAAAGTCCAGCGACATCTGGGGGAAAGGACAGCAGCTCGAGCGGGTCTTCTCTGTCGTTCCGATGTAGTCTAATCGTCAACAGGTATCATACCAAGTCCGAAGCTGTCAATTCCAATATCTGCATCCCAAGTGACATCCCATGATCCCTTTTTGGTGCCGCGCGAACCCTGCGATCACGACCCAGGTTTCTTGGACGAGATGCAGATGGGATAATGTCTATTCCATAACAACAGCCTAAATCACCGCCTTCATCGTCTGTAGTTTGGACAAAACCTGAGCCTTTAGGTATGTCACGCATCCTGAACCCAGTATATGGGATGTTAACACCATTTTGGTCGTCCCACCTGGGGCACATTGTGAAACCGGCAATCAACACCGACTTTGCAGAGATCTATTGGCATTTCACAGGTATCACCAATAACACATGCCGGTACAAATCGTTCAGTGTGCATGGGAGAAGGTACAACCTTCGCTGTGCGTCCTGCATACGATTTGCAGCAGCGAATGACACACGAGATACACCATGAACCACCCTCTCAGTTTCATCAGTGATCTTTTTGATAAGCTTTGCGTACTCTGATTCGTTGGTGGCCAACGCAACGAACATTTCATCCGAGCTCATGGTGGCCCGCACGTACTCTGTGATATCTTTCTGAATGAGCTCGTGAACAGCAAGCCAGCAATCAGTATTTTGCGCGAATGCGCTTTGGAGGGACAAGTATGGTCGACTAGAATCGCAAGGCTTGACACATGGTTTGTAGAGGAATTGTTGTAGGAACTCGATAAGCTTTGTCTCTTCCATCGCTGGATCGTCATGCCGATCTTGCTCGTTGAACTCGTCGAAACCATCGATAGAACTAAGGAGACGGATATGGTGGTCGGCGGAAGCGTCAAGTATGCCGATCAAATCTGGCGTCAAGGCACTCTTGGAGAACTGGGTGCCAGACGGCACCAAGCGTCGGCAGAATTCTGTCTGCCTTTCCTAACGAGAAGAGGTGAAGAGGTAGCCTGTAAATGTTCAAAGATTTCTAATAAAATAAGGTAGAGTATCTTAGAGCTGCGCATACACCCAGGCTCCCCTAACCTTATAATGAGTATACCTCTAAAGAATATCAGCGTAGGTGCAGAGCGGGCACGAATTTTGCCGCTGCCTGGTGGTGAACCAATGATGATCGCATGCTCCAGGCTTCTGCTTCACGCCGCGATACCAGCCGTCCAAAAAGATTAGATTTGCACAAGTCAGGAGTTCACCTTGCATCAAGTGCATGCATGTCGAGTTGACTAAATGTCGTGCCATTGTGCGCTTTGTCCTATACCGAACAACCGTGTGCGCATGTGGATATCTCGTGTGGCCCCAAACGCCTACAATGCAACTTACATACCAATTAGTCCTGCAGTTTATGGTACCTGGTCGATCAAAATCTGTTGGTCGTCAGTACGCCGTCCAGGAAAACCAACAATGAAACCTACCTTATCTCGTAGTTACCCGCTCGTGTCATATATCGGACCCACTTCACACTGCTGTAGTTGCTCTTCTCGAACACTTTCAGGTATCGCACAAGCAGCCCAGAACTTGTGAACATGAGCAGCGAGAAGTTCAAGCTGAGCGGCGGCCTCGACCAGGCCTTCTGATTGGTCATGCTGGTCAAGCTCGCTTCCGCACTCAGAACATACTCGCTCTGACCAGTGAAGCGGGGTATTTTCCAGACAATGTTGTTGTGCTCTGGCTCGTACTTTGCCTTGCCCTGGGATGTACGTTCGGTGATGCGGGCGGTATTAAGGGGCGTGGGTATCCGCACCACGACATTAGTCGCGAACAGCTTTGAGCCATAATTGGCACGAATGGCGATGCTGTACTCGACTTTTGTCTTTCCAACCTCATTGACGATAGCATGTACCTTGAACGGTAGGTTGACATTCTCGGTAGCTCGATACCGCATGAGTTCGAATTCGCCATCAGGTGGGACGAAGGAGATAATCCGGTCTGTGTCAAACTTGCCAAGCTTGACGCATTGGTGAAATTGACAGTCCTCAAGTGTGACACTCCCAGCAGCCGCCCTAGTCGCCTTTGCGCCCGCCTTGTTGCCTGATGGCTGTTGTAGGTGGTCTTCACCGAGCGTTAACCGATCATTGAGCCCGAACTTGCACTCTGGCGTTCCCGACAAGTATGCGCGCATTATAATCTGGCCGTTCACATCTGCCCGCAGTACCGTGCCAGTCGCTGACATCAGCAGGTTTACGTCTTCGATCACATCGACGAACGCCTCGTTCTTGCGGTATTTGATATCGGCTCGTCGCCATGACAGAGCGCCTGTCGCCTGCATTGTGATCTTCGAGGAGTCCTCCTGTCATGAGTAAGCAGTTGCCTGTCTCTCGAGGAAGACCGATTCTGAGCCTACCATTGCTCTCTCTGACTTCACGCCTTCAGTTGTAATGTACATCTTCAGTGTATCCGTTTCGGTGTTTTGCGGGTACCCGAAATCCAGAATCTCGTCTAATAGCTCGTATACCAGCACGAAGTTGTTCTTCACAGCCTCCTCATCGAATTTCCCAAAGTACGCCTTTCCCAATCCTACAAATCGATATAGGAACTCGAACACTAATGCCGCGTTTGCATTACTCTTCGTAACTGCGACCAGGTAGATGTTCTCGTGCTTGACATGGCTAAAGGTCGTTGAACCGAGTGTGAGGATTGGTGACCGTACTTGGGCGTTGGATATCACCTGGATGCGGAAGACATCGGCGAGTCGCGGGCGACAATCGTTGCGGAATGCGCGAAAGATGAGGTTCTCGCCTTTTTGATTAAATATTAGTATGCCTGATAGCATTTTGAGGGCTCAATTGTGTGGTGAGGGGTGCAATGGTGTGGAGATAGCGCGAGTGGTGGTTGAGCTCCGCGCGACCTCCGTAAGCAGGGGCCTTCGATGCCAAGAAAAGGGTCCATCCCGTGTTGACGAACGGGGCACATCCTAGTCCTCTCTTCAACGTCCTCAATTTCACGTTTGGCAGCGTCCATGTACAAAAATGCGCGCCAAGCTTGAGGAGTCTCGCCGGGGCACCAAGCTCATCGTATTCACGTCACGTGTCAGATGAGCAATTCAGACCACCTTGGCCAACGACGCTCCGCACAGGACCTGGGCATCTCTTAAGCTTGCGGCACATTCGATTTGCTTCGGCTTCACAGATGCATGCGAAGCAGATCCGTCAATGCCACAATCAACACAGAGCCGCGTAGCCAGCAGCACTCGTCCGTGACTGATACGCAAGCGTCACAGATGAATTCACTGTTAGAGGCTGACCTATGCGGTCATTACGCATCAAGCATGTCGGCCCAGCAAACAGCACACTAACAAATCTTCCCATCTCCTTCATCTACTTCTTTCATCTGCGATGCCGATCAATAGTGCCCATCAAGTCGCCAACCACAACTACAACATCAAACATGGATGGCACCTTCACCCCAACAACCTCAACTCCCGAAGTTTCCTGGATCTTCAACGTTACGACGCCGAACATAGGTCTTGATAATGTTACTTGATGATGAAAATCTCACTGGGGTAAAGATCAAGCTGTCGATGGCAAAGCAGGGTGATTTCAGTGCTGGGTACGTGCAGGCAGTAGGGGAGCATCACAGTCGATACAGTGGGACGAGTGCGCATCTGACTGTCGAGTGGATCGAGGCTACACAAGACGAGCCTGAGTTGATGGATGCGTAAGGACGTTGTAGGTATCTCGGAGGCCACTGTTCGATCGAACCTTCAGACATACCCTTTCACGTATGACGTACGCATTGTCAGCTTTCACTCCCTAGCTGCGACCCGTGGCAAGTGGGTCTGCCTCCGCGGCCATGCCACTAGCCCCCGCCTCCGAGCTACAAATATCTCCAAAATCGGTCTCCAAGAAACTTCTACCACGACCCACGGGCACGTACTCAACTCCACCCCTTAGAGCGACCAGAGACAACACCAAGACCACCATCTCCCCCCTACTTCTGCACCGCCGACTGCTTGAACAAGTCCCAAGCCAGGGACTAAAGTTTAATACCTGTATTTCACTTCCGTCAACACATCGATCACCAGGTATTCAACATGTCACCGGAAGAGTTCAACTCCCAGGGCACTTCCATCAGCAATGCTCTTATCGAGGCTGGTATGGGAAAGGACACCATAGACAAGTTGCACAACAAGAGGACCATTGTGATCGAAGAGAACAAGCGCTTCAATTGCGGCAGAGTCACGGCTTTCGCAGTACATATCGGAACGGCCAGTGGCCGTGTCTGGGCATGTGTCGAGAACGGTGACCTCATCGACGAGGATGGACGCGGCTTAGGTCAAGCAAAACGAATCTTCAACAGTCCTGAGACACCGGTTCAGTTCCTGCCTTCAAACAACTGGCCTACTTCCATCCGTAACGATGTTCAAGGATTGTTACGACATGAGCTCTTTGCCCTTGTGCGGCTGGATGTGTACCGATGGGCTGAGGTTCGCAAAGCCAAGAGCGCTACTTTGGCCATCGTACCAGATCTCAAGGCCCTGGTCAAGGCTATGAAGCTCTACAGCTCCCACAATAAGTTGAAGGTCGAAGACCCTAAGGGGCCAGACATAAAACGAAAATCGAATCCCAGTGGCATACAGCCGCGTGGATCTTTACAAAGTGTCGAGAAGGAGGACAAATCGGACTCCTATATGAACGACCGACATCTGAAAGATCGATCAGGTTCAGTCTCAACGGATTCTGAAAGCGAAGGAGACGTCAACGACTACTTCATGGACTACGAACGTGCGGAAGAGGTAGAATATGCCTCAAGTGGTGTATTACTCGATGCTCTGGGCCAGAAGCTGATGAGCGCACTGCCTCACTTCTCCGTCTACCGCTTGGCACAGCGGCAGACCGAGAATTACCTGCCCGTTCGACTCCACATTGGAGAATGTTACGATGCAAAGTCCCGCGTTCTGTGTAGGCTCTGGGTCTACCTGTTCCCAACACAACAACGAAAGCACGCCCCTCACCTCGACTACATTGTGGGTCGCCCAGTCAGAGACCAAGATATCCAGCTCATGGCCAACACCAGAAAGGAGGAAATCAAGGGCATGAACCATCAAGCGCTCTGCACTGAGCTGTCGAATGGCACGGCGAAGTTGTTGCCTCTTTATCGTCTCTTCGGCGACCCTACATCAGAGGCAGAGTTACAGGCGCTCATCAAGTATGCCTTCGTGCTTGCTGCTGAGCTTCATCCAGCCAAGCTGCCTGATCATCTTATCCCACTGAATAGCACATTCATTGCAAATCTCAGGAAGGTGTGCCAGATTCTTCAGTTTAGATCTGTGGATCTCAAGGCCCGGAACACAAATCTGCCTTTGCGTCGCGTGGATATTATTCCAAACCGGGGCTCCGGGATAAGCTCTCAATCCGCCAGGGATGCTAAGATGACTGGTTTGCACAACCTCGACAAAATGCCAGAGGATCTCCTCAAGAATCTGGAAGGATCCTCACCGGTCCGTGCCGCTAGATCAGAGCGGAGAAGTGGGGATAGACTTCCTGAAGACGGAGCTTACATCGCGGAGGAAAACTCCCCTCGAAGAAAGGTTGAAAGGGTGCATCAAGGTGTAAACCGCGCATTTTCTCCGAATAGTTCGGCTGAAATGATGGATGCCGACGACTTGATCAAGAGCAATGCAGATCGCGACTCACCTGAACCTCGTAAACGCAGCAAGGACGGTGGTGATGATCCTGCTGGAGTCCGTATACGGAAGCCTGCCTCTGCCGCTTCCCAGTCAGGCGCCACGACGACCTCAGCTGCGAAGGCAGGCTCGGGGCTTTCAGTGTCTCGTTCAATCCTTATTTCTCTAGTACGTAGGCCTAAGGCTCCAAAGCCTAAGCCAGCGTCCGAGGTGCGCCCGAAGCATCGCAAAGAGCACATTCTACGCAATCTTGAAATTCTTTCGAAGAATAGGAAAGTGCTCAGAGGTCGCATCATCAAAACCCGCTCTGCATACAATAGGAACGCGAATCGTCTGAGGCGGGCCACGCACAGGGAGGAGAAGCTGTTGTCTCGTTCTGACCGACTGATAGACCGAATTCTGCACGTTTCTGATCGGCAAGAAAAGTACATTGAGAAGCTCTCCGCTTTGATATCAACTCAAGACGATCCTGCCGAGGACGAGGCTGACGGGGCTGAGCAGTAAGATGAAGAGACGGAGGCGGGAGATGAAGAGGGTGAGTCTGACGATCCCTATCAGCGAGCACGTAATTGAGTTATCATGACGACAAAGAGTCCAAGGAATGAACGACGTGCGCGAGATGTTTGATGTCGGAACGTGAATGAAAATGCTAAACCTTGCATGATTGGATCTACACTACCTCTCAGGGTGCTGTACATGCTTCATGGGTGTGATAAATCAATCTGGAAAGAAAACCGAATGAATAAGCAAGATGAAAGATTTATTGAACCTTTTGTGCGGCTCGTGACTTTTTTGCGTTTTGTGAAGCTTGTGACTTTCTTGCCTTACGCCTTACGCATTGCGTCACACTTCTCTCTCATTTTTGGTCTTGAACATGGATGATTCCAGCAGTATCAACTAATCGCAGGCGGCAGACTTATTTGGACGCACTCTGATTGTACTCAAACACTTGTCATAGAGCAGTGGTAACGTTATGGGTAAGCCTGAACATATCTACTAGCTTTTCGCCATATCGCGAGGTACCCCAAATGCCGTGAAGTTGTACAGCCTTGCCTGAGTCATGTGAGATTGCCGATATTCGGAATTTATCATCTTAGCAGTCTAACTCTCATATTCTATACTTGTCTTTCGCATCTGGTCCGGCGTTTTTGGGTGTACCATGCACATGATGCCCAACACGAGAAGAAACACGTGGTCTGATCCAACGTGTTTGTGATTGCTATGATCTCCTTGTGAAAATTCATGCGTTTATTAAACCTCCCAGGCTCGCTTTCGAAAGCCTCTCTCACCCCACCACTTCACACGACGACCAGGTTCTTCGAATTGAAGCATATTTGATAACCAACAAAAACTGCATCAGATCATACCATGACCAATATGGATCCCGGCCAGTTACGGAGTGCCTTCCTTAGCAACTTCAACAGGCTGAAGAACGCACTGGAACAGAATGGTCTCTGGGCTGACGTCCAAAAGAAACTACACGATTCCGGCGCCATCGAGGTCAAAGTGAACAAACACTTCACGAACGGACATAGAACAGCCTTTGCTTTGCGTATCGGAGATTCTCGAGGCAAAGTCTGGGCTTGCATCGACGGTAAGGTGATCGACGAGGATGGATACGATTCTGCACAGGCCGAGGAGATCGACAAGTATACCAAGCGACAAATTCGACTATGTCAATGGAATACATGGCCTGCGAGTTTCAAACGGGATATCTATGGTCCTTTCGGAAGCGAAAATCTTGCACTTGTGCGATTTGACATTGCACGATGGGCTGTATTGAGACAGTCCAACCACATATCATATGGCGACAGCATCCAACCAAACCTTCAGGACCTTACTGAAGCTTTGCGGAAATACCGCCCTGCTAACTTTGGCAGTCGTCCCAATCCTGCGGGACTTCCATTGCCGTTCAGACAATATAAATTCAGCCGCACGAACTCCCAATCAGTCTCCAAGGATAACAGCGACGCAAAGGCCACTGGTCGTGCTTTGGATCCTCAACAGTCCGATGAGCTACAGAACGAGAAGACGCCCAATATCGCGGACAATAGGGTGTCTGTTGATGAACTGAGCCCGATCAACGACGTCAACGACGTCAACGACATTGAAGAGGCGATTTCCGAAGACTGTCAGGCCGCAGGTCTGCACCCACTGCGCCAGCATGCCAAAAAGGTAACAATGATCAATCTCAACATTGATCATGCTGTGCAGAATAGTATTTATCGTACAGACCGCCTGCCTGCCCACACGGCCTTACAGCTGTCTTACAAAGACGACGCAGCGATGGTTTTAGATCCACTCCCACTACACTCCAGAGAGCAGGTTGTAGGCCGCAAGACTCGGCGTAGCGCTCGAGCAGCGAAAGACGCACAAGAAAAAGGACTGACTGAACTTGGAGATGATTCTAGGAAGGTACTCCACAATCTTGGAGAATTCTCATCTTCGTATCGTGGCAGCCAGGACGACTCGGATTCATCTTCCGACAGTCTTGCTACGTCAAGAGGCGACACTCTGGAAAACGTTGAGGCCGATGATCGTGATATTGACAATTCTCTCGATCATCACCGTCGCTGTCAGGCAACCGCCATTCCTTCCGCAACTGTACTGTCATCTTCCCAACCCGCACTACCATATTCAAATGAGTCTTTTGCACTCGCAGCACCTGATCAATCGCAGCAAAGCCATCGAAGAAAGCTGCAGGTATCTTCAGAAGTATCTGACATACCATCTCGGCGTAGACCATACTATGCCACTCGTCCAAAGACACGCAGCGAAGAAATCCTGCAAGAATTTAAAAGACATGGCTGAAGTTAGCCATAGTCTTACCGCGGAACAAGCTGAGAGAGACAAACTTGTAGCAAGGATGACCAAGAAGCAGATCCCAGCTGCTCTCCAGATTGCGAAAGAACGCCAGACTGCACTTTATCGCAGGATAGACCAAGCTTTTGCCAGAAGTGATAGACAAGACGAATTAACAAATGAGTTGTTGGAGATGGTAGCTGGCACCGCAACAGGGCAGACTGGAACTGGTGACGAGGAAGATGAACGGGGTGAGGAAATGCCAAAGCATAGCGACGGGCACTCTGACAACTACATGGGAGAGTAGTTGTTTGAACAGATTGGCGAAACTAAGATGAAGATAGACGGGCTATTTGAACATGATATTAGCATGAAATGCGACATAATTATGAGCAATTACGAGCCAATGATGATGGTGGCCAAGGCTGTGTTTCCCATCAGTATTGTACGCAGCGCAAAACTTCCAAAGCAGTAGCAGATGACAACTAACGATGATGCGACATCGTCGATGTACTTCATACATATATTGTCATGCTGATCGTGTTAAAATCGGAAGTTGTGAATTTGAAAGTGTATGCTAAATGATTCATCGAACTTTTCGGAACCATGCAAGGTTTATTCAGACACCAGATCCACTCTCTACTGGTGGTGGACCCTGATTTTGCACCACAATTCTAGGTACAGAAGCAATCGCCATTGATCCCGGCGTTGGTGCTATCTCTGCCGGTGTCGCCGTCCCCGAAGACACTGAACTACCACCAGCCGCACTTGTCGTAGTTGCAGATAGTGGAGAAAGTGCTGGGGAAGCACTCATTTGCGGTTGCCGTTCAAGGCGATCCGCGGCTTGAGCCTTCCTGTGAAGCTCCAGATTATCTTGCCTTATCTCTTCATCTCTTTTTTGTCGTTCTTGTTTTTGAGCTTTATTATTCAGTATTTTGTGCCGACAGTGAAGGTGTGCTACTTACCACGAGTCGACTTGATCCAGGGAAGCCGAAATGGTGATATGCTCATGTCGAGATCGTGGAAAATTCCTTGGAAATCTACGAACTCTCTCCCGAAAACTGCTACAGGTTCATCGCTGTCCACTATGAAGAATTCACTGGTCACCCATTTCTCAGAGCCTTCTGGACACCATGTCAAAGAGACCTTGCTCTTTGCATCGAAACGCACCCCTCGCCTTCCACGAAATGATTGTGGCTTCTCTATTTTGTGCTCTTGGTCTGTCGTCCATATGTGTTCTTTGAATGCGGTCCTCTGGGCTATTAAATTCTTTTCCGAAGTTGTGTCGAGTATGCCTGATATCTGCACGGTTGAAGCTGCTGCCGGTATGCCTCGGAACCACACTGCAATTTCTGTTTCAAGAGCTTGTGTTGGATCGAGCTCGACCTTGCCGTCTCTTTCGGTGTCTTTCGGTCCAATAGATGTCACATGTGCCTTCGGATCGTGGCCTGAACCGATTGGCGCTTCCGGCTCTCCAGAATAACGAAGTTTTTGAAGGACTGGGGCGACTTCATATTGACTTTCATCCACGGATTCCACAGGGTAAAGACTGGGTGGATTGGAAAGCCGAGGAGATCTCCCACTAATCACCCTTGAGCTCATATCGAGACATGAAAAACAGTCAGGAAACTCACATCTCGTATTGAAGCGCCAATTCATTTTCCAAGCCCCGCACCCTATTTGAGAGCTTTGTCACTTGTTTATGTAGATCTTCTGTGTCCCGACTACCAGTATTGTGAGCTCAAAGAAGTTATGAAGCACCCGCGGAAGACTGATTTTGCCTTACCTCTGCCTGACAGCTAGCCATAACATCATCTTGTCCTGTATAAATTGTAGTTTAGTGTTTGCGAGCGTGTATGCGCTCGTCCATTTAGTCGCTCTGCCACCAACGATATTGGTAAAGCGAGAGTCATGTGATTTTGAATTTTGCCATTCGTCGCATGTAGACAGAATTTCCAGAAGAATGCCCTTTGCTTCGTTCAATACAGCCCTTTCAATGTGATACGGTCTGGTTTCTAGGTTCGGCCACAATAATTCAATCGAAGCTTGCAAGTCGATTGTTCGATGGCGAAGGAACAACCATTCCGCTGCGGTAGTCATCGTTGATTACAGTGATGAAGATGGAATGGGTCGTATATCTAGGTAACTTTGCGATGAGCGGGAGGAAACAAATATGTAAGAAGGTCCCTCTTACCTAGCGGGCTTTGGTAATAATTTGAATGGCAAAGCTTACCATGGCGATGCGGGACTGCATTTGACAAGCCACATTCGCAGCAGTATGACATCAGCATGCGTATACGAAAATATCATCCGGACCAGTTATTGTTACACCAAGATAATCTTTAGTGTGACAATCTCGACTTGCGCGAACAAAAGAGTTCGTGATCGTGTTGAGCACACCAGTTACTTAGGTAGGTACTTTACATTGGTGGAGATTCGAAAAATGCGATAAAATTTTCGATGCCGCACGGGTGATTCCACCTCAGCTGAAAGCCAGGCAAGGCTGGAATCATGACTGGTTTTCGGCTTCGATGGGATTTGTGCAACGATGCGCCACCATGCAGCTGGGCATCAACTCACAGCCTGGCCTTGGAGACCGCTCTCTCAAACCGATATTCGGATCGAACATACTAAGATCTACCCCAAGTTCGATTGTTATAGCATGAATTCTCTGGATGCACATACGGGCCGGGCCGCATCGCCTGGCCCAAAGCCCATAGGCTACAATAAGCTCGCCTCACTCATGGGACCAAATTCCGAAGTCGCCATATTCCGCCGATTCGGAAGCCTGAACATGTTCAGCCTTCTTTCCATGCAAGCAGAGCTCACGGAGCTAGAGCGAAAATTCACCGACATATGTCTCGACGATTCAGCGAGCGATATCGAGCCTGTGAACCACTTTTGTCGCAACTTTGCCAAGTTGAGAGCCTCAGAAGGAACAGAGCACGATCTTCAACTGCAGATGTTAGAGAGTATCAAGACCAAACTTGCAGAATACAGTAATACCATCTGCCTCGTCGTTGACTCCGAGCCCTTTACTCACGGGGCTATACAGATGCAGCCCTAGTCCTAGCTTCTGAAGTCGCGAACTTGGAAAAGCCTGGAAAAGCCGACGTCTCTCGACTACGAGAGTGGTTGAAAACAGATGGCCTCGGCGACAACTTCCTGGCAGGAACGGGAACGGAGTCCTTCACATGGGACACCAAGAATGAGGGTGACTTCGTGGTGCTGAGTGCACCACCCTCTGATAACGAACCTCTGCTGCCAGCCTTGTCCTCGCTGCCCTTGGACTTACTTCACTGCTGTCTGAGAAGAAAGGTGTGTGATATGTTCATAGTATTTCAATTCTCTTCTTCTGTCCACGTGCATATCAGCTGATGAACTTTGTTTGCCATAGCGTAGCAGAGCTGCTGATGTCGAGACTGGTGTCTTAATGTACAACGACATCTACTTGCGACGCTTCAACAAGCTCATCGTGACACTCGTCGCTTCTCTCCTCCCAATCGTTGCCATAATCGTCCTGTACGCCGTCAAAGGAACATGGCGTCGCATCTGCGTAGCCATCGCATTCACTGCGCTCTTTGGAATCGCCATGGCGTGCACCACCGCGCGGCAATCCGAGATCTTTGCTGCAACGGCAGCATTTGCGGCGGTTGAGGTTGTGTTTATTGGAAGTGTCTCTGGCAATTGACATGCGTGTGAGTATATACTTGACCTTCACGTCATTAGTATTGTAGAACAACGTCTCCACGGTTTTCAGCAAGCAAAAAAGGATGTACAGCTTTCTTTCTACTTACATGCAGTGGCTAGTCACAACATCCAACTGCAAGATATCATACATATTTACAATAATGTCATCTCACGACTTCTCCACAACCTTGACCTTCTTGCCTACGTTCTCTGTACCCGGCGGGACCTTCAGTCCACCGAACACAAGTCCGCTCACAGCCACCATGCCTGCCGCGCCCATGGCATACGCCGTCTCCCGTCCCGCCCACCAGTAGAGCGTACAGAAAATCAAGGGCCCGAGGGCTCGTCCAGCTTGCCCTATCATCATGTTAGCAATCGTTCAACAGAACTTGTAGAATATAGAAGAGCGTACCAAAACTCCTATGATTCCCCAACTTATTCCCCCTCTCCCCAGCACTTGCCTCAAACGAGCTCAGACTATTCAAGCCCGTCACCACCGTCGCACTCGTAACCGCCAGCAGCGCCGCAGCACCATACAACGCGCCCTGAGTCTGTACGCGGCCCAGCATGACGAACGCAATCGTGCAGCTGACCACGCCCATCTGCACGACCTTGAGCGGGTGCATGCGGCGCACAACAGAACCCTGCAGCAGCGAGGCGACGAGCCCGATGAAGCCGAGGAGTTTGCCCGAGTCTTTGGCTTGGTAGGAGAAGAGGTCGTAGGTCATGAAGGGCAGGGAGAATTCCATGCCGCTGAAGAAGAGAATGAATGTGAAGTGCGTGGCATTCAGGAGCGTGTGTGAGTTTGTGCGGACGAGGGCTTTGGGGGCGGCGGGGGTTTTTGCGTGCCCGTTGGTAGAGCCGTTGGAGGTTGAGGTCGCGGATGGGAGCGTCTCGGGGAGGCTGATGTAGAGGTAGATGGTCTCTGTGACGATGAGGAAGAGCGAGAAGCCGGCGGCCATGGCGAAGGGGTTGGTGGTCATGACTTGGAGGGTGGAGAGGTATGCGCCTAGTGCTGGTCCGAATGTGAACGCGATGCTGAAGCACACGCCGACCAGGGCCATGGTGGCTCCTCTCTGAGCATCGTCGCTGATGTCTGTCGCTATTGCCATTGCGATCTGGACGTTGCCTTCGCTCAGTCCACCGACGATTCGGCTAGCAAGGAACGTCCTGAAGTCTGTTGCTACGACCCAAAGCGCAACGCTGAGGATATTGCCGACCATGGACCACAGAAGCGCTGTGCGTCTGCCATATTTGTCTGATAGCGTGCCAATCACTGGCGATGCGACGGCCTGGCATATCGAGAAGAGCGAGCCGAGTGCGCCGCCGAGCAGGACAATGTCGTAGCGCGAATTGATGGGTTTCGCAAACGAATTCTTGTATGCATTCAGACCCGCGAGGATCTTGGAAAGGATCGTGTTCGGATCGCCAGTCTCGTGATTGCGGTAGAACTCGATGAGCTTTGGGAACAGGGGTAATATGAAGGTGAAGGATATCTACACATGTCAGTCGTATCGCGCGGGAGCACAAGCGGAGCCATCGGATGACGTACCAAGTCAAGCAGAAGCGAAATGAACAACACCTTGAGCACCTTCTTGCGCAGTGCCGCGGACACGGGCAGCGTTCCTGAAGCCATCTTCACTGTCCAGAAAGATGACCAATATGCGTGCTGATGACAATGCGCGCGCGATGTTAGGTTAAATAGGACAACAGCGATCGTCGGGAGGGGAGCTGGGAAGAAGCCACTTCAGCAGTACGCGCTAGAAATAGCAACCGCGGCGCAAAAACAATCTATCCAGCTAGATTGTAATATCGAGGGCGAGCGCAAACCTTAAGTCAGGTCATGACGAAGTAGACGGCCCAAAGTTGTGAAACGATTGACAGGCGCTGTGGAGATGCCACCGAGCTGCTTGCGGCCGTCTGACAGGCCGAACAGTGCGCTTGAAACATTGCGGGTACCTTCCTGAGGCTGGCAGATCTGGTAATGACAGCTGTACTACTGTTGTCGGAAAGGCTATACTCCGGGTACCATGGCCACTTGATTGTGTGGCTGCTCACGCGAGTCGACTTTGATGATCGTCGGGGTCGAGATGCAGGCTAAGCCGAGGCATTGCTCTTCACAATTGTCCGAGTGAGCTAATATGTGAAAAGTACGCGCAACTACCTGTCTCTACGCCTGAAAGCAAGATCTCCATTGTGGCGATATTCCAGTGAGGTTGTCGGGTGACTTGTCGAAAATGGGCGATCCTGAAGCAGATCGAGAGAAGGCAATGGCAGCCGTGAGGGCCATGTTCGAGAGGTACAACCTTATTGCAGCGCAGAGGCCGAAGGATCACATCGTGAGTATGGGAATCGCTTTTGGAAGTCAGCGATGCTTACGCGACCAGGACTTTGACCGCGAGGTCATGGAGAGCATGAAGGTTGTAGATGCTGGCTTGGATGGTTCAGTCGCATTCGAAATGACCATAGGGCCCAACTTCTCCAATCTGAATAGTACATAGCCGTCTCGAGAGTAGAGTCTATCTTCGCTAACTCAACCGCAGATGTGATGCACGGCGGTGCGGCAGGTGTCATCTTCGACATGTCCACAACCACAGCACTATGCCCACTTGCACGTCCAGGCTTCTGGGAATTCATGGGAGGAGTGACACGATCACTCAACATTTCTTACCTGAAAGCGGTTCCAATCGGCACCACAGTGCGCTTGAACAGCAAAGTTGCTGGCGTAGGCAAGCAGATGGCCATGATCCGTGGAGATATGAAGAGTCTAGACGGAAAGACGACGTATTGCACTGTAGAGCACCACAAGGTCAATGTGCCCATATTACCGGAGCACGCAAAAGTCCGGATACCGTGGGATGATGTGTTTGAGAGGGAATGGAACAAAAACGGGGCTGTCAAAAGCAAGATATAGCCATAATGCCATAAGAGAAGACTTGAAGTGACCGGGATATACCATTTGATATATGTACAGATCTGAGCCAGACCGAGTGTAACGCCATCCAATGCTTCGTTTATAGTACACCTCTGCTGACGCGCATTTACCTGCGCTTGTTGAACTTCTTCGATTCTGCATATTGTCAGCATACATGTTGCTTCGCCGGGGATGAATTCAACCCTACCAGCAGCAGTCCGCTTCTTCTTGGGCGTGCCCTTGCCTCGTGACCGCGCAACACCGAGGTGCTCGATCCAGTCCTCCTCGTCTTCGTCTATGATCTCATTCTCAGGATACAGACTTCGCAATTGGCTGATTGTTCCTATCCGCGGCGGGTAGTACGATGCGACTGAAGGACCCTTGAGGCGCTGGTGGAGGATGCGCGATCCGAGACGGAGCCGTTGGGGGTTGTATGTGGTGCTGAAGACTTTGCATTGGACCTGTGCGTGTTAGCTGATCGCATTGTATGGCGTGGAAGATATTCGCACCTTCATGAGATCCAATATCCGCTGCCTGGGAACCGCCATTGCTGCCGTTGACACGCTCGATATTCAGTGATGGCGTCGTGGATTGAGGATTTGGAGATGCTTGGCGCGCTAGTGCGGACTCCCGAGCTGCATCACGCCCGAACTTTTTTGAGGTCACCGTCTCTTGCTACGACACCAACAACACATTACTAGAAGATATGTCGTCGCAGAAGCGCGGCAACGCTTTCAATCACTACGGAGACCGGAATCAGCATTCTAACAAGAAATCGCGTATTAGCCAACCCACATACAACACGGCATCTTATGACGATCGCAGCTCCAAACAGTACAACAGGCCTCAGCAGCGGGGCAATTTCACTCCACAGCACCGCAACGATGGATCTCCAAGTCCGCCTGAGCTCTCGGCCGCTGAAATGCAGACCGGCCTTGTAGCCTTGCTAGACAGATTTGTCGCTGCAGAGATGACGCCAGACGCAGACAAGGACATTCTTTACCATGCGCGAGAGCTGCGCAGACTCGTTGCCTCACGCAATGAGAAGTCTGTATCTGCCCAAGCTAAGCGCGATTTAGACGAGAAGCGCCCAGACAAAGCAGCGAACGTCACTGTGCCGGACTACATCCATCGCAAAGTTGTGGCAGCCAAAGAGCTCCCACCAATACCTCCAGTCACAGAGCCCCACCTCCAAGAAGCCGTCTTCACCCACCGATCCATACACGCGAACAACGTCAACGTACACCAACACGTCGACTTCGGCCTAGACTACGAGCGCCTCGAGTACCTGGGCGACGCCTACATCGAACTCATCGCTTCTCGTGCCCTCTACAACCGCTTCCCACACGTCGACGTCCCTCAACTGTGCTCATGGCGTGAGCGACTCGTCGAGAATGTAGCGCTAGCCAAGTTCTCCGAAGCCTATGGATTTCCCGATCAGCTGAAGCGCAAGGTCGAGTTCGATAAAAATTCGAAAGCATGGAGGAAGGTCGTGGCCGATATCTTTGAGGCGTACGTCGCTGGCGTCGTGCTCTCAGATCCTGAGAACGGTTTCGCGACAGCAGAGAAGTGGCTCGACGAGCTCTGGGCTTCACAGCTGCTCAACTTCCAGGAAAAGGTTGTCGAGAATGCACGTGCGAGAGACGATTTGCAGAAACTCCTTGTCGTCAATGGCATCCAGCTCAATTACAAAGAAGAGAAGCCGATGATCATGGAACAAGGAGTACAGAAATACTACCTCGGCGTCTATCTCACGGGCTGGGGCTACGAGGACGAATGGCTGGGCAGCGGCGACGGCCAGAAGAAGGCGCAAGCGTGCATCTCGGCGGCCACAGATGCTATCAAGCGAAACAGTGCGGCGCTGCAGAGTGCAGCCCAGCAGAAAAAGGAGCTAATGGAGGTAAGGGCAAAGGAAAGGGGAGAACAGGCGCAAGCTGAGGCAGCCGAGATTGGCAAAGGTGAGGACGACGATGATGGAAAGGCACCTGAGGTAAAGTCCGCGGGGATGCTGGACCACACTTCCGATAGTGCGAAGAAGCGGAAAAGCGATAGGTCTAACGAGTCGGAGAAGAAGAGCAAGAAGCACAAAAAGGACAAGAAAGAGAAGAGGGAGAAGCATCACGAGGACTAGACGCGAAGTCATCGGCCAACGATCTAGGTTGTCGGTTCCCGGCATACCAGAGCAGCTTCATGTGCTATCTCTTGCTGAGAGGCATGTACGCGCTTATATGCTATTCGTCACATTGATAGCATGCGCAGTCCACTCCAAGGACCAGACAGAAACGACTTTGGAGAAATGAAAAGTACTTCCATGTAGGTGGTAGGTAATGTATGTAGGTGTACATCTTCCCATCTCAACATCAATCTTCCACACAATCCAATCCAAGCGTGAAAGTAATCCGTGTCAATGTCAATCCAAATCGAAATTTTTTGTCTATCCCGCAATTCCATGCGCCATGAATCCACCTCCGCTTGCCCAGCGACAAATCTACTTCTTCAACGCTCGCCCAGCAATGTCTTTCCGGAACTGCATCCCCTCGAAACGTATGCACCCCACCCCCTCATACGCCTTCTTCACCGCATCCTCCAGCGTCCCCGCCGTCGCCGTACTCGCAATAACCCTCCCCCCACTCGTCCTCAGCACACCCTCCTCAAACACCGTACCCGCATGGAACAACACCACATCCGCCGGCGTCTGCTCCAGCGTCATAACCGTGCCCTTGGCATAGCTCCCCGGGTATCCGCCCGCCGCCACCACGACCGTCGCCGCGGATTTCCCGCCGACCTTCAGATCCGTAGCGGACAGCTTGCCGTCGGCGCAGGCGAGCATGACGTCCGCGAGATCCGACTCCATGAGCGCGAGGAGGGACTGCGTTTCCGGATCGCCGAAGCGCACGTTGTATTCGAGGACTTTGGGGCCTTGTGGGGTCATCATCAGGCCGGTGAATAGGACGCCTTTGAACTCGAAGCCCTCGGCGCGCATGCCGTCGATGGTGGGCTGTAGGATGTCTTTGTCGATGCGGGCTAGGACGTCTTGCGGTGCGATGCGCGTGGGCGCGTATGTGCCCATGCCGCCTGTGTTGGGGCCTGTGTCGCCGTCGCCGATGCGCTTGTGGTCTTGTGCTGGCGGGAGGGATTTGATCGTCTTCCCGTCCGAGAAGGAGAGGATGCTGAGTTCGTCGCCGGTCAGGAATTCCTCGATTACGACTTCATCGCCTGCGTTGCCGAATTCCTTGTCTAGCATGATATCCTTGAGCGCGGCGTGTGCTTCATCCTTCGTTTGTGGTATGATCACGCCCTTGCCAGCAGCTAGGCCGGACGCCTTGATGACGACGTTGTGGGAGATGGAATCGAGGTATTTGGCGGCAGCATCGAAGGAGGAGAAGTTCTCGTATGCGGCGGTGGGGATGGAGTGGCGCTTCATGAAGTCTTTGCTGAAGGTCTTGCTGCCTTCCATTCGTGCTGCTGCTTCGCTTGGACCGAAGACTTTCCCGCTGTAGCCGTTCTTCTCGAAGTAGTCGACGATGCCAGCGACCAATGGCGCTTCAGGCCCAGGGATGAGTAGATTGACATCCTTCTCTTTTGAAAATACGACGAGGCCGGCGAAATCGGAATCCTTGACGGATGTGACGTTTGTTACTTTCGAGCTCAGCGTCGCGGTGCCGCCATTTCCTGGACACACGTAAATGTGAGAGACGCGTGGGGATTGTAGGAGTTTCCACGCAAGCGCGTGTTCACGGCCACCGTTTCCGACGAGAAGGACGCGGATTTGATCTGCCATTGCGAATATGTCGTGTTGTTGCGATGATCGGAGCTGTTGCGAAATAATTTTTGGGTCGGGAAGGAAAGGTGCCCCGCCGTGGGGTAATGCAGGGATGTCTGCGCGGGATGAGATCATATCAAGCACTTAGTGCAGGTACCAGCTCGAGGTTGATGTAACATGTGAGATTGAAAGAAATCTATGGGTATCGCTCGTCATGTTATTCCTACCATCTGCTCAGCGTCCCTCGTCTCCACTACTTAAGAACAGCTCCACAATCCTCACCATCCGCTCCTTCCTCGCAGCCTTGTCTTTCTCCTTGAATTTCGCCTCTTCTTTGCACCTGAACATGGCGCTCGAGAAAATGACGGCATAGTTCCTGATGATCAGTTGCTTCACGGCAACCTCGTGTACCTTACTCAGCGTCCTCCTGCGCACCTTGACGTTTGGGCTGGCTGGAAGGTCTACGCTTGTTCGAGGTGTTTCTGGCTGAGGTTTTGATGCCTCGCTGATCTGATTCGCGATGTTCTGAAGGAAGGAGAGTAGAAGCAAGAAAGAAGCGTTGTGACTAGGCGCCGAAGCCAGAATCTCCAGAGCCCACATCTTCTCGTCGTCCGGATCGAGATGCTGCCTGGACTTTTCGCGCGTGACAAGACCCTCCTCTAACCTCTCCCACAGACTTTTCGTGATTATACCGTCCGTCAGGCTCGACAGAAATGTGATCAGCACTTCTGAAAGCATCTCGACCTTTTCCGTACTTCTAGTTTCCGGCTCAAATGCCTCGGCGAACGCAGTGTCGCAGTCAAGCGCGTCGTATAGTGCCGCCAACTCCTCTTCATGGTCTAAACTCCCGTTATTCGAAGTTTTGTAATTCTTGATAAACGGCCACCCAGCGTTGTCTTTGAAAGGGGCTCTCTCGCCCTCACTCTTGGTCATTTCCCACTCCGCAAGCGTTCTTTCGGTCAAGTTTTCTATCGCCTCCGTCAGCCGGAAAATTTCCCGAGGCACGCTCCATTTTACCTCGCCGCGATCCGGTATCTGATTCTGCAGCTTCCTGATACCGCCTTCAGGGATTTTAATGAGCTTGTCAACTGTCCGGGCAAGTGCAGATGGAAGCCAGTGTGCGCGTAGAGGCAGGAAGTGGTCGCGTCCGTTTTCGACCCTGAGCACCAGAACGTCTTCCAGAGTTTGCTCACCCTCGTTGAGGTTGCGCACGGCGCTCACACTCTCAATCTTTAGCTTGAGTTCAGCATTAATGACTTCAGCTGGTGCCAGAGTGTAACGCTCGTGCACGTCATCTGGTGCTGGTCGCTCGCGCTTGTCAGGCTCCCGATCGAAGGTAACCGAGAGCCAAGCTGGGAATGGTCCTGCGTTCTGATCCTGGTCGACTGGGCGATCCGCGAAGCCAAACGTTGCAGGCACTCGTCCTGTGTTGGCGATGGTGATAGCCCGCCGCTTCGACTTGGCAAACTTGACGTCGTCAAAATCTACCCCTTCGAAAGTGCTGTTCGTCTTGTCGGAATCGTCAGACGACGAAGAGCCAGTTGCGCGATCCACAACTACTGCGATGGACGGTCGGCCTTCGTTCTCCTGTCGGTCTAGCTCACGCACTATTTCTGCGTGTATTGCAGCCTTGAGATCGGGAACCACTGCGTCGTATTTGAGCGAAAATACTGCGTCCAAAGGCTTATGGTCAGAGCTCAGCACACGCATATGGGTCGTGTAGTACTCGAGCAGGATCTCGTCTGTAAGACCGTCCTTGGTAGTGACAACTTCGGGCACAGGGTCTTCGTCATCGTCGTACTCGTCGTAGGCGCCGGGTAGGTTCTCGCCATCAGTATCTGGGTTGTAATCGAACAGAATGTCTTCGTCGCCGGCCAAGTCCATGCCCTTTGCTCGCATGTCCTCGTCCTTCTTACGAGCTGCTTCTTGCTCCTTCGCCTTTGCATCGTACCGTTGCTTTGCCGCTCGCGTCCGATAGAGAATCCGGTCGCACCAACTAGGACAACGACGCTTTTCACTCGAATCGAATACACCAACAGTGCCGACATCATACTTGTAGGACGGCAGGAAGCGTACCGGTCCCTCTTCCCAACCGTCGTGGAACGCTTTGCCACTTTTCATCTGTTGGTGCAGCTCATCGTGCGGTAGAAGCGACGCGATTGTCGTCTGAAGTGAGGCGGGATCAAGCTCGGGCGGTAGCGGCATACTGTCTTGCTCCATGGAGGTCTTTGAGCCATAGCCGGAGTCATTAGATGTGGATGGTCGACCTTGGTCGTCATGGTCATAGTGTTTGGTGTGTATGGTGAACAGCCGTCGCACGTCATCACCCGGCATGCCCTCAAGTCGGTAATTCAGATCGCCAAACCAGAAGGCGAACTCTTCATCGCCCAGTCCCTCTCCTTGATTTTGTGATGAGCCTAGCGAGTCTATGATTGGTTCGAAACGAGTTCTGGTGTTGATCTGGGAAACATCCCAATTGCGACGCTCGAGTGATGCTTTGTCAGCTCCAGCCGCAAGATGTGAGTTGATGAAGGCGAGTCGTGTGGTCTCCCCCAGCACAATGCGGGATGTGACTGCTCCCTTGTTGCCCATGTACCCCATCAGACCCGTGCCCACGCTGGTCGTGCTGACATTCTTGATCTGCGGGTACACTTCAGGTGAAGCGTATATGACTAACCACAGCCCGATCAACTGCTGCTCTGCAACCATTCTGTAACCTTTTGGCAGTGCACTCTCGAGTGATGCCTTCCACCGGTTCGCAGCCGAGGGATCAGTGTATGGTCTTAGAGCCTCAGTCGCTGAGGTTATGTCCACGATCTCCTGCAAGCCCAGCACGTAGATGTCCACCTCTTCGCCTCCTGGCACCGACCCAGGGTCGTGATGTGGAATGGTGGGAGTGGCTTTGGCATGTCTTGCTTCTTGCGATGCCACACTCTCTTTGTTACTTTCACTGTGGTTCTCTCGAGGATCTATTCCCAGGCCTGCCATGGCCTCTTCTACGCCCTTGCCCTTGACGAACCACGCGCCGACATCCTGCTCTGTGCCCTTTTGCGCCGCCGTGTTCCACGTGCCAACCTTGATGCGGACATTGCGCTGTCGGGTGTATTCGGATCTTCGGTCATAGAGCGCCTGCGAAAGCGACGTTTGGTGGGTCGTGATGGAGGCTATGCTGGGCGAGCGGCCGTCTGGGAATGCACCGGGAATTTGCGCATTGAGATGTTCCGTCGAGCGCGCCGAGGGGCTCGCGGAGGACGGCATGGCGGCGTTGTTGGGAAGGAGGGGTGTGTCAGGTTGGACGACAGTATTGCTGCGATACTGTGGGGGCCATGTGCGGGTCACATCCTGGCGAGTGGTGAACAGCGGCGCATCAGCAAGCGCAGTTGAGCCACAGCATTGTAAGGGAGACGACGGCCCAGGGCGATGACGTTGGTGGGGAGTGGCTGCCCTTGATGGCGGTGCACGGCCTAGCTTCGAAGCTCCTCTGCACTCTGCATGTCCAAGACGCGACTCATCCAAGACCACTACCACAACATTTTACTCACTCCCTCCAACCCCGCAACAGTCATGGCACCCAACAGGGCCAGAGCGCGCAATCAGCAGCCTCAACCACCGCAGCCCTCCGACTACGAGACAGATGCCCCGCCTCCAGCACTCGACGTGCCGCTGCCTCCCCCGCGCTCCAACGAGGAGCTGAACCTCTCCGTCCTGCGACGCGTCTACCCCGAGGTGATCGCCATAGAGCACGTGACATCATTCGTCGCCCTCTATGTCTTCAAGCTCGAGACCCAGACCTGGGAAAAGGTCGGCACCGAGGGCACCCTCTTCCTCTGCCAATTGACTCCTGCGTCTAACGGTGCTGAGCGATATTGCGTTGTCATACTCAACCGCAAGGGCCTCGACAACTTCTACCTCGAACTCACCAGTAGCGACGACATGGAAATTTCCGAGCCCTACATCATTGTGCAGGGTGACGAAGTCTACGGCCTCTGGATCTTCGCCGACCCGCCGCCTGCCACGACCGCCAACAGCCTTGCCGAAACCGCGGAAAAGATCATGGAGATTGCTGACAGGGCGAAAGCAAGCCGTGACGCCAAGGATAGAGAAGGCAAGAACGGTGTCAAGCAGGCCGTCGAACAGACCGAGGCTGCATCATCTGCACCCATGGGCCGTCAGCTCTCGCTTCGCCAATTGTTTGGCCAACCGCGCGAGCAAGATGCCGGATTCAGCGTCAACAGTTACAGCAGTGGCCCGCCGCCGAACATGTACGCGCAACAGTCAGCCTACATGCCGCCACCAAACCCTGCACCAGCACAGCAAGACGTGCTAGGTCAGCTGTTCATGAAAGCCAAGCACGATTACAATGGCTTTGGCTGATACTTTGTGCGTATAGTAGACAATAAAGAACATCTCGAGGGAGACGAACTCGAGAGGAGCAGCATCGTCAGATTCCTACAAGGGTGCACTGAGAGGCGCCATGAGACACTCGAGACCAGTTGGGCGGACATGGTGGAAGAAGAGCTTTCAGCCCCAGAAGGCACGCAAAGCTCCAAGTCAAATTTTGCGAATACCTTAAGAGAATTGCACAGGCGGCGGGTGGAAGATGCCAATAAGCAATTCACAGCGAAATGGGCAACTCAAACTTATGACATGAAAAGGCGTCTTGGAGCAAATGAACAGGTGGGGACCGATGCAAAACTAGAGGGTAGGGGCCCGGAAAAGACACTCTATTATAAACATCTCTCTGGCACAAACTGGAAGCAAATGGAACGAAAAATTCGACATACTGCCAACGACTCACTAGAGTCCGAACTGCCGCAGAAGCAGATACACACACATCCTTCACAAACTAAAAACTACTGGAGACGCGTGTCTGTACATATCGATGCTGACCAGGAGGATGCTTCCGTTGGCAAGGACGATACTCTTCAATCAGAATTCTACTGGCGATACTTAGTTGCAACTCTCGACAATGACTCCCCGACAATCACAACACCGACTGACGACTCCCCTAGCCCTGATCAAGCAGTTCCAACGCCCGTTTCAAGCTGGTGGGCTAAGAGAAGCTTCATCATCAAGCTGGACATATTGATCTTTACAGTGGCCTTCAGCATGCAGCTGTACATGCTTGGTGTACTACAGTATCCATATCCCTCATTAGACGAATCTTGAACGTGGTTAAGCATTGGGGACACACGGTACGGGCTATTCGTAGATAAACATCAATGCATCCATGCCACCTCCAAACTAGTGTTTCTTGACTTGATGATACATATGCTGCCACGTGCAAGTGAAAGTATCATCTCAAAACTACATTTCTTCTTCGTGCCGCTAGGCGAACTAGGCTTAGCCTTATTTCGGGTCAAGGGTCCACATGCATCAGCTCTAGCTCCCGCAACTGCGCTATCTGCGCTATAAAACTTCCCGTCCGAACTCTCACCGTCTCGAACGCATTTCCAGTTTACATTGCTAAAAAAACACAAAATTATGTCTCTCGCACCACCAACCTCGAAACTGCATCTGCGAACGCCGCCAGAGCCAGGAAAGAAATCCGCACAGACGACTTACCTCATCTACTTCATAACTGGCAACCCTGGTCTCATCGAATACTACCGTACCTTTTTGACACATTTGTATGGAGTGTTGTCGCAAAACACCGCAAGTGATCGAAGTATCGAGTTTCAAGTTTACGGTCGATCATTGAGCGGATTCGAGGTAAACAGCAGCGAAATCAAAACGTACAAGTACCGCAGAGACCCGCCCTATGGACTGCAGGACCAGATCCGACATGCAGAAGACGACGTTGTGGAATTGGTCGAAGACCTCAAAGACAACGGCGCGAAAGATGTAAGAGTTATCCTAGTGGGCCATTCAGTCGGCGCATACATCAGTCTCGAAATTGTACGGCGACTACGAGCCCACGGCGTCGCAGGTGAAGACTTCGACACCAGGATATCCGGCGTAGTAGGCCTCTTCCCCACCGTCGTCGACCTAGCAAGAAGTGAGAGTGGTATGAAGGCTGCTGTAAGCTTTATCCTCGTCCCTCTGTGAATACCCACAAGACTAACACGTGACCCAGCCCTTTGTCAAAAACTCAAACTTCGTCGTCTTTCTCTCCGTCATCGCTGGCTTCATCTCTATGCTTCTGCCCCTCTCCCTGCTCACCAAACTCATCGCGTCAGTAATGTCCTTCCCCCAAGACGCCGCGCACACCACCGCGTCGTTTGTTAAATCCCCGCACGGCGTCCTCCAGGCGCTGCACATGGCGCGCGACGAAATGTTCCAAATCGACACGGACATCTGGGACGAGGATATCTGGGGCGCCGCGGCCGATGCGCCCGTGTCGAAACATCCGCATCCGAGACCCACCCTGCGGTTCTTGTTCGCGAAGAAAGATCACTGGGTTGCGGACGAGACGCGGGACCAATTGATTCGGACGAGGGGCAGGTTCAGCTACGGGGATGAGGTGGAGGTGGAGGGCCCGGAGAGCTGGAAGCCGGTTATGGAGGTTGATGAGACGGAAGGGTGGGTGCATTCGTTTTGTGTGCGGCATGGGGTGCCGGTTGCGGAGAGAGTGGCAGGGTATATTAGGGGGATTGTGGAGCGAGATTTGAAGAGGTGAGAGATGAGCGCGGAGACTGAATGAGCGGGTGAAGTGGGAATGTTGCTTCGTCGATACCGTGTAGCATAATTTCATAGACTCCCTAACTACACACCCCAAATGAAGAAAAAAAGCCTCCCAAACACTAATATAGACCCCATCGACCCCTCCAGTCCTTCCTCCCCATTCAAACCTCCCCTCTCTGCACCATCCCCCTCACCTCCCCAACCCCCAACTCCGCCACCAACCCATCCCTCCCCCTAAACGCCTCGTAAAACCCAGAACACGCCTTGAACTGACACGTATAAAACAACTCCTGCAGGCCATTCTGATTCAACGCCCTCTTCGTCTGCAGTCTCGACGGCAGCCTGCAGTTACAAAGCGGATTGTTTGGATTCAGGCCGCGCGTGTCAGTGAAGCCGTTCCATTCGCGGCAGCGCGTGCAGGAGCGGTAGGGGCGCCCGGAGTTGAGGTTGTTGTAGGTGGACTTTGTGTAGAGGGTTTTATTGGGGGCGGAGCAGGCGGGGCAGAGGGTTCCTGGGGGTGCGAGAGGGGAGGTAGCGGGCTGGTGGGATTGGTAGTTCTGTTGTGAAGGGTAGGTCTGGTTGGGATAGGACTGTGTGGGTGTGGGGCTGGAGAAGCTGGAGCTGGGGGTAAAGATGCTGTTTGTAGTGTAGGTGTCGGAAAGTGGGGATTCTAGGTCGCTGGCAGGACTTTGAGATGTGTTGGTGTATCTCTGGGTTGTGTGAGGCGCTTTAGTCGCGGCATACGTATATATTGGCTCCCGGTATGTATTTGACCGCTCTCGAAATGTAATTGAAGGCTCTTGGTATGTATATGACGGCTCCTTGTAGAAAGGTGGAGGTGGGATGTAGCTTGCTTTTGCTGATTAGACTGGATTTGTGGGGATGATAGTGCTCGTACTCGTACTGTAGCTGCTATCATACTGAGGCTCGCGCACGTTGTCATGCTTTGATCTGCGAAAGAGCTTTCGAAGAATCGTCATCGTGTATTGTGGGGGGTTTGACTTCAGGGTGCATGCCAGCAGTGACCTACCGTGCTTTAAACACACATCAGCTCCGAGAAGGCCCGGAAAGGCTGAAGAAGATCGACAAGCCTCGCACATTAGAGGCGCTTTTGCAACTCGATATGGGTGAGGGGAAGAATGAGACAATAATGTAGTGCGATGTAGTGTTTCGAATACCGAAAGCGTCCGACTCAGGATCAAGGACGAGCGCCACCAACAGTGTGGATTTAGTCGAATGAGCAGTGCCGCTGGCATCTATCTGCAGACATATTGTTGCCGACTCAGGGCGCGTAAGCTTTCATGCAGTGGGAAGTCAAGGGCAAGCGAGGCAGGACGCTGCATCGCGGAGGGGGTACCTGCAGCCACAGCAGGCTGACTCTTCTCTGATTAGCTACTCCGCTGGACTGGTAATCAGCTCTGCGCTAGTAAGGATTATGGGTGTTCTTGTCTTAACCACATGCATGGCGGCAAGAGGTGGAGGAAGAGGAAGTGCTGAGGGCTGACTCGGGAACTTCGAGCGCCCGACCCGATGCCGTCTACCGTCCAGCGGCATGTGCTGTCGACCAACAACTGCATTCTTGGTCTCATCCAATCGATTAAGATGATAAAACGGTAGAGAGTGTTCGCAATGTCCTGATCGTAGCGATGAATGCGTCGTGTCCTTATAATTAGGGCTGGGACGGCGGGCTGAACTGAAAGTTGCCCTGCCCCGCTTCACTTCAGCCACAACCCAAGGGTCTTCAAGTCTACCTGCATGCATATACACCACACTGTCGGTCGCTACTATACATGTGTCGGATAAAGAGATTTCGGATTATCTCATCATGTCCCCTAAGAATGGTCTCGAAGGGTATAAGTATACCCCATTTCCACAGGATGACTCAAAGGGCGATTATATCCGTTACCTGACGCTCCATGCTGGATCAGGAGACGAGCCCTTGCAATGTACAGTTCACACAGCGCCAATGGTCCACACAGAATACGAAGCGGTATCGTATGTTTGGGGAAGCGATGTCCGAGATCAGATGATCACCTGCAATGGCCGGCAGCTGCCCATCACCACAAACCTCTTCCGGGTGCTGCAGAGAGTTCGACAGCCAGATGCACCACGAAGCATATGGGCCGACTTGATCTGCATCAATCAGGAGGACCTTGATGAGAAGGGATATCAGGTTTCAATCATGGGCAAGATATATCGCCATGCGAACCGTGTGCTTATCCACATGGGTGGTGATGATAAAGGTCATGGCCAGAAGGTGCGCTCTTTACTAGAGACTATATGCACGAAAATCAAGCAAGTCCTCCTCATGATCCCTACGGATTGGAACACCTATCCGTACCCTGATCAGAGCGATAGTATCCTCACCGATTCGCGATGGGATTCTCTGCGCCTCTTACTAGAAGAGACATGGTTCACTCGCGGCTGGGTAGTGCGTGAGGCAGGTTTTGCAAAAGATGGTCAAGTCTACTGGGGCGATAGCGAATTCAGCTGGGACGATCTCATGCGAACGTGTGCTTGGCTATACAAGCGAGCTGTGAACACGCTGTACGACAAGAGCTTCGACGGTCGGATCCCGCTGGCACACGTGGAGGTATTCGAAGATCGTCATGCAGAGTATGCCAAGCTATTCACGACTGAGATGACATGGGTAAATGCGAGTCTGTTGGGCTACCTGAGCCTCACAAAGCAACTGAATCTGAAAGATGAACGGGATCGCATATATGCCTTTCTGGAGCTCGTAGAGAACGAGGAGCGGCCAATACACCTGCGGCCGAACTACAAGGATCATTTCCTGCACGTCTATCACCAATTTGCTGCCGAGTATATTCGTTCCACAAGATATATCGGCCTACTGAGCAACGTCGAGCATGATGGGCTATCTCTACATTCAGGCATACCATCATGGGTACCGCGTTGGGACATGTCGGTGACGCGGACCGGTTATGCTTTTGCACCAGCAGACTCGGGGTATCTTCCACTAACGTCGCGTGACGGGTCTTTCAGCGAGCCTACAGTCGAGAACGATTCCATTCTTTCCTCAGAAGGCGTCATTATTGATACCATACTCCACGCATCGCAAGCGCTGGACAGTTCTTCAACAACCGTCGACACAATATCGAACATCTGGCAGACGTTCGATAACACTGCAAACGGTTGGTCATACCCGAGTGAGAATCGACTGGGGGTCTTTATTGGCATCCTCACAGCTGGCACTCGCGAGGGCGATGCGTTGGAGTGGCTACGAAGCATGGCCGCTTTCTACCAAATCATCTATGAACAGAGTGGCAGCCCTGCTGGTATCGAAGCTCCTAGTTGGCTAGCAGAAGCTAGCTCCATCGACCTGTTCCTGAACACAGTCAAAGGATATACACACAATCGAAAGCTCGTGCTCACAAAGCGTGGCTACATAGGACTCGCTTCGGCCATGGCTCAGAAAGGCGACGCATGTGGCATTATTTTTGGTTGCACTACACCCTGTATCCTGCGCGGATCAAGCGATCGAGACTGCTACAAGTACCTTGGCGCAGCTTACATTGTTGGCCAAGATCACTGGAAGACTTCGGATGGGCGTGTGATCTTTAGCGAGATACTTGGGAGTGAAGACAGTAAAGACTGGGTAGATTGGGATGTTGAAGAGCGAGATATTCGACTTTGTTGATCCCATTTCAATTCGATAGAACACCAAGGCCAGTCGACGTTTTCATGAACATCTGAAGCTCGGCATCCCACCAGGAACACGAAGTTCAAGTCTCCATCATAGACTTGCATGGAACGTACCAGTTCATTTCAACAGTTAGCTAATTGAATAAGATTGCTGCTTGCGTGTGTCATCACCTGACTGGAAAGCAAACACGACTTCTAAAGAACATATAACACCGCGTCTGCCTAGGAAGCACTGTCTGAATACTAAGACCATGGCTGCCAATACCGCTCAACAGCAACTCATCGCTGCACTCAAGAAGATTCAAAAAGACTTCGGGCTGTCTGATGCGCAGATTCAAGCATTACCAAAACTTGACGACATCCAAATCGAAGAGCAGAAAGACAGCGACTCCATTACTTTTGACGATATGAAGAACCGTACCGCGCACCCGTTCAAGCTGTTCATAGGTCGGCAGTTGAAAGAAAAGGATGATGGAGATGAGTGGAGAGACTGCTTCGCGTACCTCCTGAAGAACGGCAAATCTGCTTTCCAGATCTTCCTCACTGGGCTTTATCCGGAGCAGTACTGGCTAGCTGGTACCCCAGACTATTTTGGATCGGCAAAGGAATTGGCCTTCCCTTTCAATGAATGTCTTGGTGGCAGCCGCTTTATTGCGTTGGTGAAGTTCTATTTCTTGCTTGGTCATCGGGTAGGACTATACCCAGCAGACCCAGGACATGCTGTGACAAATACATGGCGCAAAGATTTACAAGGCATTTGTGATGATATCATCGTAGCAGAGGCTGGTATTGCGAAAGAGAAGCGGGAGAAGGATGGGAAGCAAAGGCTCGAGCAACCCAACCAACAAGCTCTATCGCGCACCACGGCACAAGCGCCGCCTACACAACTACCACCACCACCATCATCATCAAGGAGACAGTCGCTAAAGAAACCATCAGTAACTACAAACACCCCTGCGGTACGCATGGAGGACGACGGCAGCGACGAGTATGAGCAGCGCCGTGATAGAGCAATGCCGCCCCCAAGCTTTTCCCCCTACGAACATGGTTCGAAGCCGCGAGCTCCAGGTCATTACCAACCACCACCATATCTAAAGCCCTTCGGCTACCGTCAGCCGCCCCCGAGTTACGGACCCATGCCTTTCCCGCCACCGATTGGATACAACCCTTACACGGGCCGCCGGTATTCAGCTCATCCTCCAATAGCAGCAGAAGGATTTGGATCGTCCGAACGTATGAGTTCCCGAAGCAGTGATCATATGCCTCCCCCGAGTCGTCCTGAGCAACCAACGGCAACCCCCAGCAGTCGTTCTCGAAACTCTTCGGCAAGCCGCCACAGCGACAACAGTCTGAAAAGTCACCCAGTCGTGATGCTCAACAATTTGGATCAAGCAGCTCTGTAAGTACAGCCGGCTGAGAAGACTGATCATTTAGCTGACATCACTCACAGAGACGCTGAGCGGACGGGCGTCTACCTGCCATCTTCCCTCGTAGCAGCGCAATTGGTAGAGGAGTACGAACAGCTATATCAACAGCGGGAGCAGATAAAGGCGCGTATGGATGCCATCACCGCGCAGATCCCCGTTGCGGACCGCCAGGCTATGGTGAGGAGGTTGGAGAATGTGCAGTTGCCGACGTTGAAGCGACCTTCTGGCCCCGGCATGTAAGACATGGAAATGTTCGCAGAAATTTGGACGACGCATATTACTTCCATATAGCATTCGACGGTGTTAGATTGTGTTGAATGGTATCACAAGAATTCGCTGTCCATTCAATCTGTTCCCTATATCACAGCATGTGCGATGGTGCCATGGTGAAGGCTTTTTACGAGTAGTAGACACTGAATAGCAGTGAGTAAGCTTTTCAATTATGAACAGAATCGTTTTGCGCTCAGCACACCGCTGGACGCTGCCATCTTCCGCACCCAGAACTCGAACATACAATCACTTCAAATTGAGGTGAAAAGACCTCGTGCAGACGGAGCTTGTGTGCGCACCTCCGCTCTCACCCACGCCACGCACCCTACACCCACATCATTTTTTTCCTGGCTATATTTCACTCAATTGACAATTCTCTCAACAATCCAGTACACCTTAAATACGTGCTGGCGGCGCCCCCAGTTGACTACTTAGCGTAGGCTTCGTGATAACCAAAATCTGGTTCGACTTGCAAGATAAACTGTGTAGGGTTTGCGAGTATCCTTTTGCTATTTTGGATTTGCCGGGAAGAGCGTGGGTTCGAAACTGGGTGTTTGATGGGGGTTTTTTTTGGTATTAGGTTAATAATATTACAAGAGATGAATTCACGATTGCTTAGTGTGAGAGGCAGTTCTTTGCATAAATTTTTGACATAACCTGCGCTCTCGTCTGAAGGAGAAAGAAGTGTAAGACTTGCCTCTAGTTGGGGATCCTGTCAATAGATGCTCTTGGGATGCCATTATCTAAGGAATTATTCTCAAGCTAGCATATCAGTCACACCAAGGCTCAGTATTCGAGCGGAACACTCATTTCAAGCCACGCATACAAGGCCACAGATGCTCGACCACGCCAAGGTATGCCGTGCAGTCTGACCAAATACCCGGATTCTAAACATAACTATTCAACTGCTCCTCCACGCTAAGCATTGCAGTGAACTTATATTCGGTGAAGGACTAAGGGGCCAAAGAAAAGTATACCCCGCAATATATTTGGTAGGGAATAAACCTGGCTAAATCGATGCCATGTTTCACTACGGGGCTTCTTTCACACGAGCTACGAGCGCGATATGTGATGTTCAACGAATCAATCGGGTAGCGCACACATATACCAAAGACTTCCGCATTTTGACACGCGTTGCGAGTAACACTATCATGTATCTGCTGTATGTACGTGAATGCCTCGGGCTTCCCTCGGGGTGCATGCGGCCCCTGCATTGTGCAAAGGGCTGTGCTGCGACGTGCACCAAGCCATGACTGCTCGCCCGCGCTAAGAGTTGCAGTGAATCTGCATCTGAACGAAGCTCACGTCACTGCTAGCATACCGGTCAGCTCCTCGCGTTCTTTTTCGTGTCTGCCTAACGCCACAATGCACAAAAGCTGGCGCCAAGGTTGATTTGATTCGCTGAAGGACAGATAATCGAGCGTCTCTCCCAGGCTAGAGATTGCAGTGAAGAAGTAGGTACACAGCGCACGCAGTTCGATCCTAGCACGACGAGTCCCTCACGCTAGAGAATGCAGTGCACAAGAGCCTCGCGACCCCGCAAATTACCCGAAACAGCCTCGTTGTCGGGTCATGAAAACATAGTCAACTGAGTCTGATTCACTCGCAACGATTGCATGTTGTCTCATGTGCAATTCGAATATATTACCATCGAAGAGAAGCCCCGACGCCCCAAGCACCATCGCTAAGGAGAGACTATAAACCGAGAGTTGCCTGCCGTAACAGCCACTCGACTCCACCGATTCAAACGAGAGAAAGAAATGAAGAGTGAACCTTGAAACGCCCTATATACCCATCCTAAATCCAGATCGATGCCGCATATAAAACCATCCTCGTCATTCCACTTCACCTACGCCACGTAGTAGAGCTTCATCGCAGTAAGCACCCTCTTCCTGCAGACAGGGCAATTCTGCACTTCTCTCGCACACATCAAGCACGCGACTACATGCCCGCAATCGTAAAATGCCGCTTCGGCCGGCTCGTCCCAGCAGATTCTGCACATGCGCTCAGCCTCCTGTGCGTTTTTCCAGTGCGTCACGCCCTCGCCAAATTTCTTGTCGTTTTTCCAGCCGCCGACGTAAGTGTTGCCTGTGGCTGCTTCGACAAAGGTGCCTGAGCCGTGTTGTTGGCCGTCGACCCAGTCGCCGTCGTACGTGTCGCCGTTCTGGAACGTGTACACGCCGTGGCCGTGACATTGACCGAGGCGGAAGGAGCCGGAGTATGTGGCGCCGGAGTGGTAGATTAGTGTGCCGTGGCCGTGGCGATGTCCGTTCGTTACTTCACCTTTGTAGTATTGCGACGAGAAGTAGTTGTACGTGAAGTACCCGTTCAAACTATTGGGGAAGTTCCGGGCGAAAGCGCGATACTTGAGGTATGCCGAAGGATCTGCAAAAGCTGCGCGATCGGCGAGAGCTGCGCGCTGCTCAGGTGTGGTGGGCATAGAGACAATGATGATGGCTGTATTGCGCAGATCGAGTTGGGCAAATGATCGACGATGCTTGATCATGCGAGCGCTTGTCATATCTTCCTCCTCCCACAGCTCAATTTTCTTCTTGTCTTCTACTGGTAGACCGAGCAAAGTCACAACCGTTTCGTCAACCCGGGCAGATGTGAGAGATACATGCGAGCCACGCGGCTCGAGAGCTTGCTTGTCGGGGTTCCACAACTTCAAGAAGAAGTAGATTTCGTCCGGAGGTGGGTCGGGAGTTTGTGAGCGCTGGGGTGGGGGTGGTTCGGTAATCTCAGGCTGGACATCGACAGGCGGAGGAGGAGGCGGCGGTAGATGCAAATCTTCCTGCGTACCGCCCATCTCCGTATCTCCTGGTGCCATCAGTTCCTCCGAAACGAGTACATCAACAGCTGGCGGGTCAGGCACATCAGCTGATTGGACCTCGACCATCGCGGTGTCAACATCGTCCACGTTGTCTACAGGAACAGCTTCAACTTGCGGCGCATCCGACTCGACCAGTGCTACTTGCGACTCTCCTGGTTCACTCATTGGAGTGTCCTGCGTGCGAGGTGTAGTTTGAGTTTGCACGGCATTCGCCTCCTCACCTTCGCCGTTGCTTGCTTCCGCGGTTACTTCTTCCACATGGAGTCCATGAGACATGGGTTGCTCTCGCTCTAGCTGCTCCTCTTTCGGCTTTGGAAGCTCGGGCAATGTGTCAAAGTCGAGAACATGAACCCAAATCCGGCGACTTGCGGATGGAGAATTGGCCAGCGTCCAGTGTTTGGTCTCTGTATAGCGATCATAGGTACCTCTAGAATACAGAATCTTACCAGTACCCAGAAACTGTGGTCGGTTCAGCGTCCCACGAGCTGGGTCCAGGAACCAGAACAAGATTTGACGGGGGTCTTTGACATCAGGGAAGAGTGGGAGAAGTTTTTGAACGATGTCGTCGCATCCGGAATCGCTAGAAAGCTGGATACTGAACACATGCTCCATATTTGTTTCTCCGACTGGGCTGTAGGCATCGAAGTTGCCAGCTCCGTCATGTTTATTGAATACACGAGAGTCAACAACTTGGAAGTCGAATATCGAGACAGATTCTTCTTCCTGATTGTCTTGTGAAAGGCCATCTAGCTCGCTATTGGTGGCGGGAGCATCGGCGGGTGGAGGAGGAGGAGTGGAGGCGTCATTTGAGTCCTTGTCTTTCTCCAGCTCTCTGCGAAACCATTCAGGGACAGCCCACAGTTCACCGTCCGAGTTAACGGCAAATGCTGCATGTGCTACATCGTCCCGAACGTACATTGCAATGTATGCGACCGCTTCGTTACCCACGACTATATCCTTGCCTGACTTTCCTTCATGGTCATTCACTGCTTGCCGCTTCGTGAGGCATCTCACTTGGTTCTCGTCTTTGCTGTCGGAGTAGCTGTACCACCGCGATCCTGGCCCTTCAGGCCGTATTACCGGCTGGTAGACATACGATTGGAGAGTCTGCTTATGAACCACGAATCCATACAGGGTATAGCTTGTGCCGTTGATTGTCAAGTGATCATCTAGGGTGACTTTGTTAAGTACCTTAACGTAAGAACGCGTCTTCACGTCGAAGTGCTGTCTATCGAGCTCGATCGTCAGCAACTGTGGCAATGGCTTCCCTGGTACGACAAAATCTGACGAGCTGTTGACTGCTGTCTGCATGGTCTCGACACCGACGACTGGGACCCTATATTTGGGAACGCCGGTAGCGTAATCGCGCTTTGGGCCAAAAAGGAGCTCCAAAACGCTAGTATGTGTAGTGCTTTGTAGTTCTTCTTCCAGCTTGGCACGCAATACCTCCCATACTTCTACGACATCGACTTTGTCAAGCCGATCGTGGATACCGTACCATTCCAAAGCATCTAGAACATCGTCCAGAGGAACGGGGCCAGCTCCAGGATCTACTTAGAGTCCTGAGCATGTATAGAACCTTCTGCAGTGCTGTCAAGAGTGGTTTCGGGCGGCTAAATGAACCCTTCTCTGGATCGAGGACGTCAATACTGTACAAGACGTCTCGGAAAGGTTTGAAAAGTAGCCACGAAATGACTGCGGAGATCATGTTGCCACCAGGCGCGCTAGCATCCTCACCCAAGATGAGTGACTGTAGTCCAGTCATTGCGAAGCTGTCCCATGGGTTCTCCCTGTTGGGATGCTCCCACAGGCAGTTCGTCTCATCTTCGACAATTCGGATATAAGCAGTGAAAGCAAGCTTATCATCGCGCAGGAGTGCAGAGCGTTGGCCTCGCATGCGGTGGGCAATTTCGTAGTACGGTCCATGAAAACGTGTCCAGCCCCAGTCGGGAGACCCGCTACAGAAGCGATGCAGGGCAGTTTTCGAGTAATGCACTCGAGGCTCAGTGGGGTTGTATAGCACGACACTTACTTGCGCCGCAACACTTTTTCGCTTAGGCACAGATTTTGAATCGAGGAGTGGCAGTGGCGCATGCTGAGGATCGACAGGCACATTGGGTGGACTTGTTGCGTCTGCAGTCGCCTGTACACTTGTCTCCATTCTGTCGTGTTCTTTTTCTTCAACATTCTGCGCATTATCCTCATTTGACGTCTCATTGCTCTGGTCCGCACTCGACGTTTTCTTTGGATCCATAACGCTCAGGCATTCTAAATACACGCTGAGATAGTCCGAGTCATTTCCTTTTGGATAGAACTTGATCTGCCATTGGTGCCCGCCAACAGTGACCACGTCGGAGGTCATGACAATGTCTCGATTTGGCTTTTCGCGTGTACCATTATAGGCATCGATATTCCAGTTGATACGTCCAGTCTCACCAGCGGTGTACTCCGGTTCCTCTAATGGCAGAAATGCTTTGCTCTCCCAGTACTTGTGGTCAAGAGCGCTGTGTTCTACCAAATCCTCAAGCTCCTTCAGCTCATCCTCGTCCGGAGACGAAGTGTCCTCCTGTATTGGGTGCCATGGCGGAAGTCCATCGTCATCGTCAGAAGACTCGGATTCGGAGCGGACGGGGTCAATGGGAGGCGGCGGTGGCGGAGGATGCGAAAGTGGATCGATGGGCAGTGGAGGGTCGAGTGGAGGTGCATTGTCAGTCGTTACCTGTTCATCTTTAGTATACTGTCCTAACTGTAATCGTGTCTTTCTTACCACATTGTCCGAGGGATCATCTACGTTGTTTCTACCTGGCTCAGTCGCTGAAGCCTCTTGTGTAGCAGAGACGAGCGGATCGGCAATCGTGTCAGGCTGAGCCGTTGAGTCATGCTCTAACACCAAGTCTGTATCAAGGTCCGGTGTGGTGTCCATAACATCCTCCTCTACAGCAGCGACCTGTATGGCAACCGCGCTGTTGGCGGTCTCGCGATCGTTTGGAGGGCTTGGAGGCTCTAACGCATGGCCGTTTGTCGGGTCCAAAGTGCCTGTGCCGCCCGCAGCTTCGGCCATGTCTGCGTCGTCCTGACCGTGCTGCTGGGCCACAGGCGCTGATGTGGTGGTGGAGGCGTTCATGTCGACATCGGCTGGTGGTGGCGGTGGTTGCGGCGCGGGTGAATGTGCATGGGGGAAGCGACTTGGCGATCGTGGAGGGCTTGAAAATGAGGGAGATGAAGGCTGCTGGCTGAAGTGCAGCGGCTGCTCAACGCTGACGCTCATGGCTGGACAGCCGAGAGAAGGCGCATTCGATGGTGTGACAATGGCTGGCCGTTCCACAGGCTGAATTAGGAATGACTAATGAATGTGTCAGAAAGTTCATTGTGGCACGTGAAAGCAGACGTACAGGGAGTGAGTAATATCTCGTTGGCGAGCTGGCCGAAAGAGAGCTTGGTGGTGAGACGGTTCTAGATATGTAAGGGCAGTTCGTTGAGCCGCTGTCGTGGCCGCTCGAGGACGTGCAATGGTCGTAGCGTAATCAGCAAGAATTCTTCCACTTTACGGTCCACGTCTGTCCGAGGGTCGTCGTTATCGTGAAGCTCAGTAAAGGCAGTCTTGGGCGAGATCGTGGTGTTGATAGAATGATCGTCAGAAGAGATACAAACGAAATTGCTGGAGATGTTGTGAGAGTGGAGAGAGTTGAAGACGCAAGAACAAAGTCGAGAAAGACAGCCAGGCACGGGCGTGGCTGGGGTAAGGCTTGAGTTGTCGTTGCAGCCTACGAGTGGTCCGAACCGGTGCACAAATGAGGCGGAAGCAAGTCACTGCGCATCGGTTCCCGCAAGGAGCTATTCCCCATACGACTGCGTCTTTGACGTACAGCGCCCTCGTCATCATGCCTCGCCCTTTCACAGCTCTCACCTCCATGGTCGGTCGGAATTGACTCATCTGTCAGGCTGCAGGCCGTGCCACGACCGATGTCATCAACCTCCATCACCTTATCGATTGAGGTGCTTCTCCACAATAGCTCCAGGCTGAAATGCCACTAAAACGGAAAGTGGGACTGGCGCGCCGGGCTGTGGCTTCCCTGCAGCGCTCATCACCAATCCGCGCCCGCAACGTTTCTCGATCCAACCGCCAGCAGCTCACCGACTTCACAGACAGGAATTTGCCCATCGTTACAGTAGACACATGTGGCGATGTTCACGATAATCTATTCTGCCTCTATCCGCATCGATCACGACTTATCAGCCTGTTGCACCCGTGCGAATGTTGCCGCCACGATGAGCGGAAACACCACCGTTGCCTCGGCGTAGACCTTGACACTATCACCATCCACCTTGATCTTGCCCCAACTGACGGCCTCATCTGGCCTCGCCCCCGCATCGCTCCCGTCGAACTCCTGGGCCGTGTTGATGTAGACGGCGCTCTCTGCCCCGTTGCGCATCAAATTGGCATTGGCAATATGATGCTTGACTATGCCCCCACCCAATACGATCATGCCTGTCCTCTTTGCCCGGACAGCAATTGTGTTGATCTTCCGAATGTCCTCTACAATGTCCACCCGCAGCTGCTCAGGAGATGACTTGAAGGTGTGGAAATAGAGCATGTCACCGAGGCTGCCGTCAGTCAGCGCTGGGCAGAAGACGGGTATGTCGTTCTTCCACGCCCAATAGTAGACGGAGCGCTCATCGTTGATCTCCTTGCCGAGGCGGTGGATGACTTTGCTTGGCGTCCAATGTAGCGGCTCCTCAGTCTTCTTGCTTGCTTCCTGTTCCTCGAGCATTGTGTCGAGGATCGGCACAACCCAGTCCTCGAAGGCGCAGTAGTTGCTGTTGGGCACGACGAGATTTCCTATTCGGTTCATGCCCTGCTGGCGTAGTCCTGCGCCCGGCGTAGAGAATGCGCCAAGATATGTTGGAGCGAGGCACTTGATGAAGTCTTCCTCGACGCCGCCCGCAGTCGTGACAATGGCAGCAACATGCTTGTGCTGGACGAGATAGCGCAACGTTTCGCGCAGACCAGACGATATCAGATTCGAGGTATAGCCCAGGAAGATGGTCGTTCCGTCACCTGATTCGGGGTCTCTCCAGGAACGCTGCCACATATATTAGCTAGATCTCCAAGCTTCATGCGATACGCGCTGCTAAATTCGGCTAAAGTGTCTGATCCCTAACGCACGGATACTTTCCGATGCGTTCTCCGCACCGCCTAACGCTAGAGCCGCACACATGGCCGAGAACAAACTCACCATGTTGTTAATGATGCGCACAGCCTCTCCGACTGATGTTGCCTGGAACCCCATGCTTGCATAGCCGCCGACCAGCTCCTCAACCGTGATGCTGCGCGATGCATACTGATTGAAGTCGATGCCCTGCACCTCGCGCGAGCCTTCAGGGATTGGATCGCTTGGTTTGAGAACAGCATCCGTGGCGCCGGTAGGGGCCGAGCTGCTGTTGGTGGCAGACATGACGCGCGCACTCAGGACGTGGATGTATCTCCTGGTGCGAAGGCTCCGCAGGTGAGGAGTGGTTCGAGGTCACGTCTTCCACTGTTTCGGGGTGCCAGCAGTGGGTTTGCAGTGGCTTTCCCTTTTGTGAGGGATGCCAAACTGCTTGTTCGTGCAGATTTCTTGACCCCCACATTTTGACGCTAGCGCGGCGATCGTGGCAGATGAGCTTTGCCGCTGCCGTCCACCCAGCATTCTCTACGCGTGAGGCGGGCGCACAAACGCAAAGTCGTCGCGTGTGGAATTGCACATTCGTCACAGGCACCGTCTTCTTGTAGCGGCTGTACATGTTGTGGCCCACGCGGTGGCTCGTTGACGTCTTCACTGCCCCTGTGGAGTCTGGGCACGCTGTGACACGGCTCTCTGAAACCGGTTGGCCTAGTGCACCTGCCCATCCCGTTCATCTTCAACTCGCCAGCCTATCAGCGCCGCGTGCCGAAGCTTCGATTTAAGGACAGGCCCCAAGAGGTGCATGCGCTCGAAAAAGCGTCAGTGCGCTTCTCGTGTCCTCCAGGGCTGGTCTTGTCGTCGTTTCTCTCGTCTCCAACTTCACTCTGCACAAACGATACCCTTCATCATCATCACCATGCCACCGACGTGCGCCCGCCCAGTACCAGGCTAGAAGTCGACATTACCACATCTCTTTTGGGCAGCCGTCTCACGTGTTCGGCACTCCCCCACAGACGCACGCAGCGCCACGTCGACGGGGTGTTGGGAATCGACTTCCGCCGCCCTGGACCGTCTTTGTTGGCTACCGATCCATTTTCTGTCGTCCGAACTGATCCAGGACGACCCAGCTCCAGCAGCGCCCTGATTTTACGCGCTCCACAGCAGGACGCGCACCTTGCAGCCTCAAAGCAAAGAGAAGGACAGCAGCAGCAGATCGAATCTCAGCTTCCGGTGCCGAGCCAGCCCAGTCAGGTTCCACCAACCTGCGGATCGTGTGCCTTAACACCGGCCGCTTTCCCAAATCTGTGGCTACCGCGCACGAGCCACGCGCTAGTTCCCGATAGGGCCAGTCTTGAAGACCGTCATTTGACGTGCGTCGACATTAGCGGCCCATCCGCGACCACCACAACGAGCGCGTCGACATCTCGGACGAATCACGACGAGCTCATTCCTAGCATTTCCAATTGGAGTTTCTGAACGGGCGTTTCAGAGTCTTCTGTTCATCTTCCGAGATACTTTCATCATCACCAAGCTAGCAACTACACGCGACCGTATCTCCACACCAAGGGTTCGACCAGTGTTTTCGCTCATGCCGCATCCACAAGTCAGAGCAGTAATCGTTTCCCATCATCATGTCCGCCAATCGCTACCCGGACAACAACCGTTATGTTCGCGACAGATCCCCGTACCGCGACCGCAGACCCTCCAACTTTGGCGGCGGCTACCCCCCGAGGGGTGACTCTATTAGTCGTCCAAACCCAGAGCCCAGCGCATTTCCAGCCAGAGACCCGCCTCGAGGGCCCAAGTCGCTGGGCGACGCACCTCGGGGTCCAGCAGCAGGGCCGCCTTCGAGTGCACCTTCAGCGCCGCGCGACGGCCGAGGAAGAGGGTTCGCAGGCCGTGGTGAGGACACTCCTTTGCGAACTGCACCGCCTTTGAGCAGTGGGACAGCAGCCAACTCCCATAATTCCTGGAGAGCTGACCGTGATCGAGATCGAGACCGCGAGTTCGACCGGAGAGAGCGACGTCCTACTCCACCACGACGCTCGCCCATTCGCGATCTAAGAGATCCACGCGACCAGAGGGACTTTCCTCCCCGCGATATCGACGTTAACCGTGCGCGCCGCAACTCACGAGATGGGCCTCCCTCGGCGGGTTCAACATATTCCGACCCCCCACCACTCGGCGCTGGATCGACGTATCGTGGCAGTGGCATTGGGCGCGGACGAGGTGGCCGGGATTTTGCGGGCAGAGGACGACCTTTCCACGGCGACGAGCGTGACAGACACCATGATCCGCGTGATCGCACTTGGAGGCCGCGGAGTCGCTCGCCGCCACCCATACGGAGAGAGCGCGACATCCGCGAGGAGCGACGAGATGATCGTGACATTGACAGACGGGAACGCGACGACCGTAGGTTCCCCCCAAGGGAGTACGACTCTTATATCGGACCAGCTGGTGCAGCGAAGCCCGGTCTGCGCGCTCTCGATACACACCGTGGCCCTGGCCCATCAGACTCCCGTTATGTTCCGGGAACGCCTACAGGTCCACCACCTCACGCTTCTCATCATGTTTCTCCGTCAGACCGAGCAGGGCCGCAAGTGGACTCTTACTCACGTCGCCCCTCAGTCGCTGTAGATTCGGCTTCAGCGAAGGACCGAAGGGATCCTGGCAAAGACGATGCTCTGCTTGCCAGCCGCGCAGAGGCTTCGAGGGAGAGATATGCTCCACGTCCTTCTTCTCCTCCCGCTGCAGTTCCCGCCTTTGGATCCAATGTATGGAGAGCTCCTGTACCTGACGCCAAGCCAAACACGGCTGCTGTACTGCCACCGAAGACACCAGTGGTAGCGCCTCCACCTCCCGTGGCCCCCGTCCCAACTCCAGTGAGCACAACTCCTGTTGTCCCTACAGCGCCCAAATCAACATTGCCGTCTGGTCCGGCGGTTGCTCCTCCTACAGGACCAAAAGCGGACAGAACATCAGATCGGAATGCGGCCGATGTCGTCGGCCAAGAGCACAAGCCTACAACTACAGTTGTTGCACGAGTGGATCAATCGCAGAATCCGTCCCCCGCGAACCCTGTTGCAGGAGGAAGTACCTCGGGTGCAGAGCCTGTGGAGTTCAAAACCCCTGCTTTGCAGCCTAGCGTGATCAACCAGCCTGTACCATCAGGTCCGCCTCCTGCACCAGCAGGTCCCTCTGTTCCATTCGGCCCTGCGAACTTTTCTGGGCCGTCTAGATCGCCCCCACAGGGTCCAGCTCCGAAGCCTCGTCCACCTCCAATCGCTCCACAGGCGGCGTTCCGTAACAATACGTCTCCACAATTCTCGAGGGCGCCATTCCCACCATATGCTCCACGGGATGTATCTCCCAATGCAAACTCTGCTGCTGTTCTTGGACCACGTAGCGCAGGTGTTCCTCCTGTCAACACCTCTCCTAAGAGTTTACCAGCCAACATACCGACTGGCCCCAAAGCAGACCGAACGCCCATGGCGCCTCGGCCACCTCCCATGTATCCCCCCTCAGATCGGGTTCCGTTCTCTGTGTCAAGAGCTCCTATAAGTGGAGGTCCAAAAAGTATGCAATGGGTAAGGCCTGGTCTCATTCCCAATCGACCATCCGTTCCAAGCAAGCGGGAGTTTCCAAGCGAGGATCGCGATCGATCATTTGGCAGTGCTCCAAAAGCTCCTAGGCTGGAGACCAACAGTTCAAACCTTCAGTCAGCAAAGTCAGAATCACCATCCTTTCCTCGTGCATTACCCGACTTCAATAGGCCACGGGAGCGGGCTGCTTCTGCAGAACGGTCCAGAGCTGCATCGCCAAAGACAGGCTCCATCGAAGTCAGGAGACATTCAGATGTTTTTATGGCCGAAGCATCTCCTCGTCTGGCAAAGCCACCAATGTCTGCAGCGTCGTCCGCCCCCGAAGTGCTTCAAGACTCTGATGACGACCTTGACCTGGACGAAGGAGATTTTGCTGGATCCGAGGCAAAATACAACCGTGAAAGGGAGCTGCTTGAAGCCAGAAAAGTCGACTTGAGCGCACACCATCTACGAGCTATGAGTCCCCTGCACGAGATCATGTTATTGCATGCTCTAACGACAGATCTAGCTTCTGTGGCAGTAGGCGAGGCCGAGGGCTCTCGTCTTGAAGATGATGTTGCGATGCAAGATGAAGCGTCGCCACCGCCACAGATCTCGGCGCGACAAGTTTTAGCACCAGAAGACAGTGTGGTAACTGGACCACTGACGCCAAGGCGTGAGGATGGAGAGGACGTCATCATGGAGGAAAACGAGGAAGAGAAGGAACCCAAGGCACCTGCCCCTGCAACGGTGGCGCTTCGGTTTCGCGGCATGTCTGTGGAGCGAGACTCGATGCCTGATCTCAGCACATTGCCGTATTTGGGCTCCGGGCCTCCAACGCCGCTTTCAGACATTGAACAAGACCGACCAAAACTTCCTGAAACTGTCATGTCCGCAATCCGCGATAAGTTACGGAAAAGCATCGAGCCTGATCTGTCGACTGAAGAAATTTTGCAGCAATATGCTACACTCTACAGACAATGGCGACATAATACCCGCCCATTGGATGAGGAGCGCGAGCAAGAAGATGTCGAGCGACAACCCTCAGCGGAACCAAGTCTGAAGGCGACAACTCCCGATGTCACCACGGCTGCCATGGCTGGCTTGTTGGAACCCTTGCCCTCCGGCACTGGACGTCGAAGTCACTCGAGCCGATGGGCTACCGAATTGGACCTTGAGCAAGTCATCAAGGAGTCTCTCAAAACGGCCGAAGAGGAACGGATGGGCAAAAGAGAGAAGGATCCGAGAAGGGCAATGGCTGACCCAGAGAAGGAAGCCGAAATACCGATTGAGATGTTTGAGTCTGAAGCTCAGCGAAGACGATATCACGATACCAACTTTCAACGAGAACCAGGCCAAGGCATATTTGTCTTCCATTACGAGCCTCCTGAGGATGACTTCACAGAAGAGGAGCACCGAGTCATGGTTCAAAACTATCGAGACCAATATGCCAAGAAATGGGGTAAGCTGGCTGAGATCATTTACAAAGAAACCGGTGTAGAGCGGACGTACAAGGATTGTATCAACCACTACTATGCAACCAAATGGGGTCGGGAGTATAAGGGCAAGATTAGGCGAGGCCGTGGCGGGCGACGGGGTGGCAGGACTGCGGGTCGGGGCCGTGGGGCGATTGCTAACATGGAACGGCCTGAACCTACCGAGGACGGCCTACCTCTACCTCTTACAGAAACCGGGCGGCCCAGGCGGTCTGCTGCGCCTACATTCGGCGGCATGGAGGCAGACTTCGACCCGAATGCTGCAGCTACCCCAGGTCGAGCACGCCGGCAGACTGACGCTGATGGAACACAAGACAAAGTCGGCAGGCGTGGCAAGTCGTTGAAGGAGAAAGGGAGAGGCAAAGCTAAGAACATGCCTCTGGCGGCGGCTCCCGTGGGTTCACCTGTGAAAGTGGACCGTAAAGAGAAGGGACTTGGTGGTGTCAAAACAGAGGATGACTTCGGGAAGCGTACGCTTGGTGATATGCCAATGCCTATCCCGATCACTGTTCAAGCGGGAATGATGGAGGACCAGATGATGTTCCCTAGCGAGTCTTTGGCAGGCATGCCTTTGAACATGATGGACCGTCCAAAGGGTCAGCCGAGCGCAAGGCCAGGCCCATCGAGCTACTGGTCGGTTTCAGAGTTGCAAGACTTTGACAAAAATGTGGCACATTTTGGCACGGACTGGATAGCCATTGCCAACCATATGGGGACCAAAACACACACCATGATTAAGAATCAGTACTTACGGTTGATTGAACAGGGTCGAGCCGACCTAGAGCAAGTAGCCAAGGAAGCCGATGTACGACGCGAGCGAGGCGACCACATAGGACCACCACCAACGCCTACTCCTGCTCCTAAGAGACGCTACGAGAGCACGCAGACTGCACTTCCGCGCCAGATTGCGCCTACGCCTGAGTTGCACAAGTCTCCACCTGTGAACCCGCTTGCAATCCCAAAGACGACGCCTCCGCATTCCGTGCCTTCATCCAGGTTTTCTACCATTGCACAAGCACCCGTACAAGGAAAGCCTTTGGTGTCTGTGTCCAGCTTCCCAAATATGCCTGAAACGAGCCTCGCTTCTGTACCGTCAATATCGCAACAACAGTCGCCTCCTGCCCCCGCTCAGCGACCTCAGCCGCAAAACCACCCCTTGCTGTCCCAACAGAAGCCGCAACATCCTGGGCCCCGTGCTGGTTACTTCTCAGACGAGGTGGCCTCTCGTCACGATAACCGACCACCTTCGCAGTCATCACATCAGCCATCTCGATTGGTGCAACAGCATACAGCGTCAGCGATCCGTACACAAGAGGCCCAACAACCGCATCAGTATCGTGGGTTTGGTGGCCATCATGAGGGCTTAATCAGATCGAAGCTTCAGCAAGAACAAGAGGCCCAAGCCCAAGCCCAGCATCGTTACCAGCAACATTCGCGCCGCATCTCCCAAGAGATGAATCATCAGAGGTCTCTTGGTCCTGGAGGTATACCTGCACTTTCAGCTCCTGTACGCTCGAACTCGATCGTGAGATCTCCCGAGCACCGGCCCATATCGTACCATTCCCGTCATCCATCACAAGCTCAGTCACTCAATCAGCCTCCTCCGGATCTTCATCCTCATATGCACAACAACGTCCCAGCATCGCGACCGACAGTCCTTACACCACCTGTCAAAGAGGAGCCGAGACATCCTCCACAATCTGCAATCCCACAAGCGCCAGTACAACATTTGATGCAACCGCAGTACAGCCAGTCCCCAGTTCAAAGCACAGCAGTTCCTGCGCCAAAGGCAGCACCAGAGCCGAGGAAGTCGAATCTTGATGTCCTTGCTCAATGACACAGAGACGGAGGAACCTCGAAGGAAGAAGGTGAATGAATCTGGCCCACCATCACACAGCAATACCCCTCAGCAACAAACGCCTATCGCCCCGCCTCCACCTCCGCCGACATCGCAGGCGCAAGCACCGAGACGCAGCATTTATGAGGATCCCTACGGCCGACAGTCTTATGCTCAGCAATCGTCACTGCCTCCTGCATCCTCAAACAGGCCTATTGATCTGACTAACGACCAGCCATCAAGTGCAAGGCCAGGCGTACGCGATAGCTGGCAACCACGGCAGCCGTTCCACGCCGGTCACAGCCAGGGTCAACAACCAGGCCTCGATATCATCCCCTCACTCTAGTCTGCCACAGCCTCCATATGGTGAGGCACGGATGATGCCCAACCATCGCTCAGTATTCTCCCAGCATAATGCTCCTCGTCATAATCCCTCGCCTCCGCCACATTCGGTTTTCAACAACTCGCCACACCTGCATTCGCGCACGCCAAGTGTCAGTGGGGCAGCTGGTCAGCCTTCTCGCCATGGCATACCAAGCACAACTGCATCGCAGCAAGCATCAGCAGCTGGTGCTTCGGGTCTTGTCTTGCAGCCCAATCCGTATGCTCAAGTGGACCCGCCGGGTAGCAGCGCAACAACCCCTGGTCCCATGGGTATGCGGCCGAGTCCTCACTTGCATACTAGCCACGTCGCCCAGCAGAGAGACTCATCTGGACGAAATGAACATTCGCAGTCTCATAACTCGAGCCTCTCTTACTCCAACCCACAGACACCGAACGAATATTCCAACCATGCACCACCTCGGGGGCCGAGCGGCTTAGCAGATCCATATCGACCTCGCGATCCCCGTGACCATCAGCAAGAGTTCGAAGGTCGTCACATTTCTGATCGTGACACTGGCAGGGAGTTGTCTCAGAGGACTGACCACTTGCGCGAACAAATGTCAAATCCTGCTATGCGAGCAACACCAATGCATGAGGATCTGCGATATGCCCCTCATCAACAGGATCGCGGGTACATGACGCAGCGTTCGCACACTCCGCTTTCACGATCAGACCATGGCCAGCCTCCGCCTCTACAGCATCCACCTCACTCTTCTCTGGGCGCCAACAATCACTCCATATATGGTCAACGCCAACCTGAGGAGCCACCGCAGCGTTTCACGCCTTTTGAATCACGAGGTCGAAGTTTCACAGAGCGTATACGCGAAGACCAAGCACAGCAGCAACAGGTGGCAATGCAGCGCGAGGAATATGCAAGGAGGGAGAGCGAAAGGGAAAGAGACATACAAATGCGAGATGCGCACATGAGGGACAGTATAATGAGAAGAGACATGAGAGGTCCCATGCCGCCCGCCTCCGCACCCGGCCCAGGACAAGATCAACGACCACCCGCTGGACCGGGACCGCACGACTGGGCGAGCGCGGTGAGACATCCCAACGAAAGGCCGGGATGGCAGCGATGATGAAGGAAAACAACTACATGGAAGGCGTATATGAAGATACTCGACGTACTGATACCTTTTTCTTTTGTTTTGGCGGCAATTTTCTGCGGAGGGACCTGTAACTTTTGACGCATTGCTGGGCATCGATGATATCCAAGGCGTTTGTCTTTTTTTTTACGTTGAAGCAGGGATGGACTTTTGTTAGTCGGCTGCTGCTTTTAGCGCTGTATACAATGGCATGGTCTTGCCGGGTTTCCTTTTCTAGTAGTATTGTATTATGTACGCGAACGCAATTAAGCATTGAAAGCGAAGTGCGTTTTGAATGATCCATGGTGACTTTAATTCAGTAATGCAATTGGAGTAGGTCATCGATGTTGGGAAAAGTCAGCTTTAAGGGCGCGCGTTGCGCTTCAACACGTTCCCTAGTTTATTCCGGGCTTTCTGCCTTATCGAAGCCAACGTTTCGCTCGCGCTAAGAATTGCAGTGAATGACTCCAAAGCCTTGAGATACAGGCTCGAACTTTCATGAGCAGATTTCGTACGTACATCTTCAGCCTTACCATTTGTCCTCTTTCGCACGCTAATGATTGCAGTGAAATATGTGAATTGCATTACCGCTCCTGGCGAACCTACGTCTAGGCAGCAACACAAGGCTGAACACCCGCTCCGCCGCGCTAAGAATTGCAGTGCATTTGACGACGGGCATGTAGTACGTCTGTATAATACTCCCTTAGCATGGGAGTGGTCCGGGGTTTGTCTGTAGTAAAGCCCATCGCCTATCAAATATTTTGTGTCAGCTTTGCATGCACCCATCCCACCTCCTTGTCAATATTTGCCGTCTCTTCTGCGCTAGAGATTGAAGTGCAATGAGGGCTCACCGAACACTTTATTAAGAAATTCTGATATCTAAGCCACCAGATACATCGCTTACATCGTGCAGCCTTACCGCTGACACAGCCCTCTTCCTTACGCTAAAGTTTGTAGTGCAATTTCTGGTGATACCTAGGTAGGTTGCTAGTAGTTGCTTATTCTTCAGCTCTGCTCCACCTTCAGCCTCCTCTCCACAGTGGAGACTGCAGTGCATTGCGGACGAGGATTTTGTAAGTAATTTGGGTCGTCACTTCCATATTTTGAGGCTCCTATTGCCTGGAGCCTGCGAAGATCAGACAGTAAATGGCAAGTCTGGATCAACTCGAGGGACATGTATTAGAGTCCCATCGCTGAACAAACTTTATGCGTCACTTCTAAGAAGATCCATTTTGCTTCCTTGACAAAACTTACCTTCTCTTTGGCGCTAGAAATTGCAGTGCAACGGTGACGTCGATCGAGAAATTTGGGGCCCAATTAGGACAACATCGCCTACACCTGCCTTACATGCGGCTAAGAATATCGCTTAGAACTTGTTTGCATCCCTGCCAATTCAGGAGTCCCTCGTGCACGCTAAAGAATGCAGTGAAGTGTACAAACAGAGCGGTAGGTTGAAAAACCTCGCCCGTAGATATCAACATGATTGGTTATCATGCCAACTGCAAAACATGTAGCGCTGAAGGTTGCAGTGAAGGGATAGGGCCGCGCTCACTCCCTTCCGAATTGTTGACGGCTTTGGCAGAAAATTCGACCTAAAAACCACGTCGCTTTTGTTATGCAGTATCAGTGCCTGAAAATACAGACAATATAGTAAGATTAGGAGAAATCGAAGAGTCTGTACATAGGTAGTAAAGCCCTATCGCCCAGCAAGTATTTTATGTCAGCTCTGCATATACCTGTCCCACCTCCTTGTCAACATTTGTCCTCTCTTCGGCGCTAGGGATTGCAGTGCAGGTAGGCAGGAGAGGTCCTCCTGTTTGCATCTCACATGCGATTAGGCGCATCGCTTACATCTTACATGCAGCTTCACCAATCAAACGCTTCCTCCTCTACGCTAGAGAATGTGGTGCACTGCATCTTAGCCTGCCTCGGCTTAGGGACATCTACTCTTCCGCGCTAGAGATTGCAGTGAAGGGTTCCGCTTCCCCCAAGCTAGTAGGTGCATACTGTTCAGCCTTACTCGTGCTTCATCATCTTCCCCGCGCTAGCAATTGCAGTGAGATCGTGCATGACGCAGCACAGTGCTGCTGATTCACCGCCTTAAGCCTGATTGCTTAGCTCCTTTTGTATGCTAGAATTTGCAGTGTAATGTCCGCCGTAGACGATATTGTTTGAGATGTTTCGTTATTAGCCTGGTGTTACTGCACACGGCATTTCTTTGCGAAGCAGTCCATGGGCGCAGGCTTAGTGCTGATGTTTATGTTTAGAGTGCATGCAAAGTCAGAGACATGGTGGCACCAGGCAGCAGCAAAATTCGTGCCCGCTCTTCACCTGCGACTTGAGCTGATAGCCTTGAGAGGTGTACATGTTATGAGTTTCTAGAGGAGCCAGAATACATACGCAGGTATGAGATGATCTGCCGAATTCCACAGTGATCTTTGAATATTTGCAGGCTATCTCTTCACCTCTTTTCGTCAGGAAAAAGCGGACACGAATTTTGCCGGCGCCTGGTGGTGGTGCAGTTTACGACTAGTCATTGACCACAAAGATGCAGTGAGTGGAAAGTCAAATGTTTATTGTTCTTTCCTTGAGTATCGCATCATCGCTTCGTGTGACGAAATGCTCAGACGATCGCAGCTATGCACCTCCAAGTCCAATATTCCTCGATCATTGAGAAACCATCGAACGTCAAGACTACAAAATGCACCTTTCTGTCAACCATCAACGCCAAAGAGTCCTTCCAGCGCAGTCTTTCAACGAAAGCTCGATCAAGTTCTCAAACCTCCTCAGCAGTCGCGAACCCAACCTCTCCTTCATCCTCAGCATACTCTCGCTTGATCTTCTTGGTACCTCCGTAGGGAATGTACTCCTCCTCGGTGACATCGGATCCATCAGTCTCCGCATAGACTACCTTGGACGCGGAGCGCTGGCGCTTGGCTGAAGTACGCTTGACCGACGGCGAAGGCGACTCAAGAAGACCCTCAGGACCACCAGACTCGGACTCGCTCTCGACAGGGGTGCGCGGCTTCTTGGGCGTAGCCTTTGCGCGGCTGCGCGGGGTCTTTGGTGTCATGTTGGCCTTGACGGGAGTGTTACCAGTGCTGGCGGGCAGAGGTTTTCCGTGGTTCCGAATGTTGGCGAGACGGTGAGACACGGCTTTGGAGGTGCAGTCTGTGGGGCGTGTGAGCAGCTGTACGTACTGGTGAAGTGTAAAAGAGAGGCAAGACTTACCGCCACCGATCTGCTCGGCGAGGTACTTGAGGAGAGGAGCAGAGCTCTTGATGTCGCAGAACTTGAATATGCCCTTGAGGATCTATGGGATTGGGTCAGAGATTGCCGACATGATTGGCGAAAAGGATGCACGTACGATCTGATCTTTATCAGCAGTCCACTGGACCATGATGGCGGTTGCGGGTAGCGCTGATGCTGCAGAAAGGTGTCAGAAACTGGTGAGCCAAACGCGGTAGACAATAGCTTACGGGAATGAGGGAGTGGAGCGAAGCTGGCACCGTGCGGTACTCTTGCAGAGGGAAGTAGAGGGTTCGAGAGCAGGTTCAGACCGGCGCGGCGCTGGACTGAAGATGGAGTGGATTGGGGTGGAGGAGGAGAGAAGAGGGAGGGTCAGAGAAGGTGAGGGCTTTTAAGGTGCGGGGCCCGCAGCTGGCAGAGTGGAAAAGTGAGGGTGAGAGACTGGCACTTGGCGGGGCTGTTCGATGACGCAACTTGGTCCTAGATGATAAGACGCTGTGCAAGATTGAAGGTGAATGTGAGCTGTGAAGCTTTCCGTACGTTATGGCAGCTGTCGGCCACGTGAAGGTGATATGTCTGGCTTTGTATGCTGATTGGATGCAAAATTAGTGCAACACATGTGGACGGACAGCAACATTGACTGGTGAGCGCTGAGTGGAACAGACTTCTACAAGGATAAGAGCATGCCTATGTGTTGGTAGCATCGGCAGAAGGACTCACACATCATGCATGCCCATCGAGGCCCAGCTCTGTTCCTAATGCGGCCTTGATTTAAGATCTATGCTCCTCTGAATCAAGGTGCCTAAGCGGCCATCTAAACCATAACTCTTCAGAGAATAAGAATCATAGCCCATTGTTCTTACTGATCTATGACCTGAAAGACCAGTAACTGACCCAGCCTACTCTCTCCTCTTCTCCTCCGCATCCTTTACCTCCTCCAACCCCATCTTCCTGTCCATCTTTTCCATCTTGTCTGTCTCCCTCTCCAGCTTCTCCTTCACATCCTTCTCCTCCACCTCCCTCTTTGCCTTCATCTTCCTCTCCGTCTCCGCCAAGTCCTTCTCAAAAAACTTCCTCCCCACCAACTCACTCAACGTAAACATCTCCCCCTTGTCCTCCCAAAGTTCCTCCTTCTTCTTGACCACTTCCAAATCCCTCCTCTTCCCCGCATGCCACTCCCGCCACAGCGCATACACGTCCTCCACATTCCCCCTTCTCCTCACCGCAACCCCCAACTCCTGCGGAATCAGATCTCGGAGCTGCGCATACTCGACCTTACGCCGCTCTTCCGCATCCGTCTTGCCCCAGCCCTTCTCAACCTCCGCCTCGCGCACGAAATACGCCGCCCAGCGGATCTCAAAGTTGAACACATTCTCACGGCGCCAGGGGCGGCGGGTTTTGGTGTGCGCGAGGCTACCTGGGGGGTGGATGACGGCCTCGTCGTCGAGATCGGACTTGAGGGAGAGGGCGATGTCGAGAGCAGTGGGCTTGGTCGCGGGGTCGTCGGCGGCGGCTCGGAGCCAGCGGCGGCGCAGGCTGTGGACGATGTTTTGGTAGGCGAGTTGGATTTCGAGACCGCAGGGGGGCAGGGCGAGGGTGAAGAGGGAGGGCATGTTGGGGAGGAGGTGTTGAGTGAGCTCGGGGCCGGGTTGGCGGGCCATAGTGGATGAGAGCCTGGGGATGTTAGGATTACGTAGTTGGTAGAGGAAAGGAGTGTTGTTTGTACGTACCGGTCTTGGTTGGCGCGGGAGTCGTTGAATGGTTCTGTCGAGTTGACTTGCGGCGGTGGAGGGTTAGTGCGGCTTAAGAAGGAGGAGAGCCAAGCAGCCATGGTGAGAGGTATTAATATGAGACGGTGGAGCTGGCGTAGCTGGAAGAGACCGGGGTGGCAGCACAGAGTGAAAGTTTTGGGTCGGCATGATTGGTAGGGAAACATTACACCCGTTTGCTGTACCCGGGCGCAGTGACACGTGACGTAATGTGGTTAGATCTGAGACAAGCACGTGGATACAATGATTTGGATGGCAGTCATGATTTATCGAAACGTCGATAGAATTTTATAGAAGTGACGAGACAGCTCTGCGGAAAGAAACATCGTCGATCCAACTCAATACCTAAGAGCTCTCGCGAATATCCAATCCAGCTGTTTCCTCAGAAAATGCAAAAAACTTTTGCCGCCATCCGCAACTCCGCCCGGGTACCCATAAAATCACATTCTTTCCTGTCATATCCCAGTCGCGTTGCGAGTTCCTATCCCCACTGAACTCTCACTTCCTATACCTATCCATCCCAATCCGGATTATCCCGATCCCACTGCTTGACGTTCTCATCCCTCTCCAACCTCCTCAATTCCCTCCTGCGATCATTCTCCTCGATCCTCTGGATGCCCTCACGCACTTCGGCAATCTTTGCGTGAATCCGGGCGCTGAGCGTGGCAGATGCGGGGAGCGGCGACGACGCAAAACTGGGTCCGGGTGAAGGCTGTGGTCGGCGATGGGGTGTCGAAGGATACATGGGCGAGTCATCGGTGGGCCATGGGCGGGCTTCAGGGGTGTTTGACTGCGAGAAGTTGCGCGGGCGCGAAGGTGGGTCATTGGGAGTGGCCGAGGATGGGGTCACGGGGTTATTGACAAGGTGTCTGGGAGGCGCGATGCGTCCAGCGTTGCGACGGCGTAGGCCAAGGTCGCTAGGTGCTCGTTGACGTGATGGAGCGGTGATGTACGTGTACTCCTGTGGGCCTTGTGCGAACTGGACGGGACTTCGGAGTGATGACTCAGGAGCTGGGTTGTTGGTGATATCAGCTGGCCCGGTATCTAGCCTGTTCCTCTCAAAGCCACGAAGGCGGAGGTCGCCAAAGGTCTCTTGCTGCTGCGGGGAGTGGGAGTTATTCATGTTGTCCATTTGCAGAGCGGCATCGCCGTCTTGTCCGGGACGGTCCAAATGCCTAGCATGAGGACTGCCGAAGTACTTACTGTCCAGGGTTTCTTGCCTTGGGCCGTTCGAACGCCTTGGAGGAGGGTTACCAATGAGCTGGTGCTGTGGTAGAGGCGAGTTATTGATACCTGCTAGACTTTCAAATCTGAGACGGCCCATGTTCCTAGGAGGGTGGTTTTCGGTGAACTGCTGGCGCTGTGGAGGAGCTGAGTCGTGGTGAGTCTCCATGCTCTCAGTCCTGAACCTGTCATGTCGTCGGTGTCGCAATTCGCTGACCAAAGGATGCTGTTGCTGAGGTGGCAGAGCATTGTTGGCACGTCCCAGGCCATCCTGTCTGAGTCTGTCCGGACGTCTGAATGGTAGATCACTGGTGACATCTTGCTGCTGCGGTGGAGTCGAGTTGTTGATACTCTCCTGTGCATCCTGTCTGAGTCTATCCGGATGTCTGAACGGTAGGACATTGGCAACCTGTTGCTCCTGCCGCGGACGTGGAGATCTGCCAATGGCCTCCAGTGCGAACTTTTCAATACTCTCCATTGAGTCACTCCTCTGAATGGAGTTGCCCCTGACATGGTCGATGATAGCTTCGAGGGAGGCCACCCTGTGGGGAAGTTTTTGCGCAGATGCCCTGTCCTCCATCTTCTTGAGTTCTCCGGCCCACGCGCTCAGATCTGTCTGGCTTGCCGCCATGCGTCGGTGCCTTCGCTCCTCGGGACTGACTTTAGGCAAATCTACGGGCTGATCCGTGTACGTGATGATGCGACTTGGAGGTGGACGCCTTCCTTTACGAGAAGTTTCCGGCGCGCTTGTCTGGGGAGGTGGCGGCGGAAGCCTGCCAGGTTCCTTGGGACTGACTTGAGGTAACTCGATGGGCTGATCCGCAAATATGAAGAGGCCACCAGGGCGTGGACCAGATGGATCGGTCAAGACTGTCTGTGGGAAGTCCTCCGCTAGAACCTTGTTCATCTGTTTGATGCTGTAAGCCAGATCACTCTTTGGCGACAGCCGCCCATGGGCGTACGGCGAGTTCTCTGGGCTAGGGATGGGACTAGAAGCTCTGTGAGATCTGCTCTGTAGATGCTGCAAGTCAAGCCTGCGGGATCGCTCGCGGCCGTGGCCCAGAGATATATTGCTTGCTTGTGCTCGCAGCTGATGTGTGTGAGACGGGTTCTCCAGAGCGAGAGTCCTGGGCGAATCTTGTTCTCGGGGCTTTCTGTACTTCTTGCGCAGTCCGTCCTCGCAAGATAGAGTGCTTGGTTGCGATCGTAGCGAATGAGCCTGCGACGGCTTCTCCGCGGCAGAATCGTTCTCTCGTGGTGGAACAGGGAAGTCTTCCAACGCCTGCGAAACCGAATATAGCGACAAGTTACTCTTTTGCGCTCGCAGCTGCTGAGCATGAGATGACTGTTCTGGATCAGGGTCGTTGAAAGGGCTGCTCTCTCGTGAAGGCACAGGAAACTTGCACAACGTCTCGGAACTCGCATGCTGTGATAGACTCCTCTTCCTGGAAAGAAGCTGATGAGGAAATGGCGGCAGCGGTGGAATGGAATTTTCGGACTCGGCCGACTGCTGAGATGTAGTAGGTTGCCATCGCAATTTCTCGAAGGATGCAGCCAGTGAGAAGTTGCTCTTTGTCTGTCTCAAAACTTGCCCGAATGATGATTTCTCTGGGCTGGGTTCGTTGGTGAGGAGATCCGCTTGAGACTTGGATTGGATCTTGCGCAGTCTCTCTAGACTGGGACTGTTCGGGACACTGTCGTCTCGGGCTGGGGGAGGAAGTTTTCGTAGTTTGTTTGGAGTCTGGTTTGGCGACAAAAAGCTCGTCTTGTAGTTGAGCAGGTGGGTATGTGACGGCGTTTCTGGGCTGGACGTCTGACTCTGGGACAGGCTACTCTTCCTCGAGCGCAAGAACTTGACATGTTCGGCATGGGACTGTGCTACCTTCTCTGGGCTCGGGCTGTGGCTCAAGCTGTTCTCGCGTGTTCGTAGTTGGTGCGCAAAAGACGGCTTCGCAGGACTTGTACTTGACTGTGCTGAATGGCCGTATGGCGACCCGATTTGGCTGGCGCTCGATCTCTGAGACTCAAGTGTAGTCTCTCTGCTCAACTGCAGGCTGCTGCTTGAGTGCAATGACGTCAAATACTTGGGGGATTGGCAGTCTGAAATAGATGCAAGGTCGGAGCTCGAATCTGCAATGTCCTTAATGCTGCCGAGGAAGTTGTGGTGCACGTATCCAGTCTCGTCGTCCGAGTCGTCGTCCGCGCCTTCGTACATGCGCTCTGCGTCTTCGAAGATTCGTGTTATCCATGCCTGATCTGTCGCCTGTTCAGAGATCTTCAGCGCCTTTGACTTGCGCCGACTGCAATGCATCCGCATTAATTCTCGCTGAGCGTCGTACAAGGTGTAGACTTCCGCTGTAATTGCGTCAACTTGGAGCCATGTTTCAGGGTCCAGAAGTGCAGAGGCATCTCTGATTGAGTATTCGTCCACGATCTTCTTCTCCTCGTGCGCAAGCGCCTCCATAAGCTTCGGGAGCCTAGGTTCAATTGTGGTTTCCAAGTTGACCTGGTTGAACTCGAGGGCCCTCAATGCTCCGGTCAGACAGTCTTGCATGGTCGCAAGCGACATGGGGACATCGTCGGAGTCCTTGATCGTCTCGGAAACGCCCAAGCGCTTGGCGCAAATGGAGAGGGCCATCCTGTCTACTTGATCCTTCGCACGCTTGTAGGCCTTGCGGCCTCGACGATCCTGGGGTACTATGGGCGAGTATGGAGGGGCGGGAGCAAGAGCGGCGGGAGTTGTGGGCGTGTCTGGTGCGGGCGTCTTGGGAGTCAGCTGCTCCCAAAATCCACCGATGGCGAAAGCGTTGCCCACAGGCGTTGCCGATAGTGGTGTTTCCGGACCGGGAGACCTGACGTCCCATTTCTCCCGCGTGGAGACTCTCGGCCGGCTGCCCACGGACGAAGGCAAGCTGATGGTGTGGGCGGGCGGAGTCGCGAGGGTGTCCTCTTCTACTACGGAGGATGATGCTGGGTCCTGCTCATCCTTGACCCGCAAGTGGTCTTCATCCGCCACGTCTCGGATCCTCGCGACCACCGCCCCCCAGTTGCTCTCCGCGAACATGCGCTTGTACGCCGCGGCCATGTCCTGGGCCTTGGCCCGCTGCTCGTCACCCTCGAGATGCCTCAGCATCCCGCTGACATGCCTCTTGGAGAAGGCGCTCCCCGGCGTCAGCGGCTGCTCGGCCATGGTGTGGAACGCGCTGCTAATGAGACCTAGGTCAGTGTACTGAGGAGGATACTTGAAGGCTTCGCGGAAGCAAGTTGACTAGACTTGTGACCTGAAGCCTTCTGGGGAGGCGCGAATGCGGTGTACCTACCTGAGAAGATTGTAGCCTGTCGCTATACAAGCTGATGGCGGGGATGGTGATTGTGGTGTTTTTGGTTTTGCGCGGTAGGTGTTAAACTTTTATCAGTGTTGTGACAGCAACACGCCAAAGTGTTTAGAGCAGACAAACGGAGCCTCATATTCACATTCACCGCAAGAGGAGAGAGCAAGGAGCAGAGAGCGGACGTGATGGAGAGAAAAGACAAAGATGAAATTCTTTCTACGTGGTATCAAACGCCACAGATGCAAATGCTTAATCTAGAAATGTGAAAAGGTTCGTATGCACGACGTTCAATGCGCGGTCGGCCTCGCGCTCCTCAATGACGCAGGAGATATTAATCTCGCTGGCACCTGTAAACAACAAGTTAGCAGTAGCACTCAGGAGGTAGAACAGCACATACCCTGCGAGATCATCTCAATGTTGATGTTGTTCTGACCCAGCACGCTGAAGAACTTTCCACTGATACCAATCATGTTCTTCAACTGCTTACCCACCAAGCTCACGATAGCCATGTCAGGCACAATGTCGATAGTGCCAAGGGTGCCCAGATCGTTTACTGCTCCCTGCAGATCCTTGTCTTGGATCTTGTACTCATCCTCACCCCCGCCACTGAGCAGGGCGGACTCGGAGTGCAGTGCCATGGACACGTGCACCTCAGACGAGGAAATGAGGTCGACAGACAAGTGCCAGCGGTCGAGGATGCTAAAGATGTTCATCAGGAAGCCGTGGGCGCGGGTGCGCTTGTTGCTGTGCACATTGAGCACGACGATGTTGTGCTTGATGGTGACTGCAGTAGGGCGCTTGGGGCCCGAGAGGTTAGTCAAGAGACTGGACGAGCGGGTGCGGAAGAGTGCCGAGTCCCTGAGCGGCGCGCGATCATCAACTGCGGCAAGGTTGTCTGGGAAGATGATGGTGCCGGCGTTGCGCGGGTTCATGACATTCTTGATGCGGATTGGAATGCGCGCGCGGATGACCTGCTCCATGGTGAAGGGGTGGATGACCTCGGAACCGTAGAACGTCAATTCGGCGGCTTCAGAGGGCGTCACGGTAGGAAGGAGAGCAGCTGTAGGAACCTTGCGAGGATCCGCGGTGAAGATGCCGTCCACCTCTTTCCAGACCTGTAGCTCTTTCGCCTTGATTCCAACAGCAACTAGGGCAGCGCAAAGATCCGTGTATCCGCGTCCAATAGAGGTGAGAATGCCGCCGGGAACATTGCCAAAATATCCTGTGATGACTGGCACCTTGTCGCCGCACGCTGCCACCTCTTTGCCCAGAGACTCGGCCAGATCCTTGTAGAACTGGTCGTTCAGTCCCTTTTCCGACAAGCCGCACTTGACAATGTCGGATAGATCGACGAACTGCGCAGGTGTACCGCGGTCACTCAGGAGCGCAGCCATGTAGCGACAGCTCAGCTTCTCGCCCTTGCTGATGATCTTGTCTTCGGCGCGGCTGGTGACTTCCTCCAAATGTTGCGCCGACTCCAGAATCTTGGTCAGGCTCTCACATTCGGCATTGACCTCTTCGGTGAAGGTCGCCAGGATCGCAGCATCATTGATCGAGTCCGTCGCAGCCTGGATGTGGTCGGTGCGAATCGCTTCAACAATCTCATCGTATCCGCGATTGGCGGGTTTCTCGGCAGCACGAGCAGCGCGGAGGAGGCGGTTCGTCGTTCCTTCGAGCTTGGTGTTGTTGCTGCGCGCGGAGCAGACTATGGCGGCGCGATTGTCCTTCAGGCCAGCTCTGCGGTGTGGTGTTAGTCGTGTGCCATCTCATGAGCAACTGGAAGGTACGACACTGCGCACTTACTTGACAATGCCCGCTATATTCTCCGCAAACTTGCCCACACTCGTACCACCGAACTTGAGCACCACCCATCCTCCCGGCAAATGCTTCTCTTCCTGGTGAGCTATCCGCTCAGACTCATGTTTGTACCCGTTGACGATTGCAGACATTGTGAACTTTTTTTCTTTGCGTCTACCAGCAGTGCAGTGTGGTTGGTGATGCAAGGTGATGGGTTCTGTAGTGATAATATTCACCAATTGAACAGGTAGCAAGATATAACGTGGGTCGTGTGAGGTGCAGTGTGGTTTTTCGTGTGGAGTTGCACTCCAGCGGCGGGGCCTGAGTCAAATAACCATGGTTCCGAACATCGGGCTGTCGCACGCCATTCCGACCGTCAGCAACAGCCAGCCACTCTAACTCGGCAAAACAAATTTTGCGGGACGGTCAGCCGCATGTCGTTGCCGTTAGTCTAGCCTCGTGCGTCTCTACTATTAGCCTTGCTTGCTGACTGAACTGCTCGGTACGAACGCAAGAACCACGTTTGGCTGCAGCTTTGCCGTTTGACAGCTCATAGTCGCATCCAGGTCCATCATCAACATAACCAAGAAAGTGGTACACGTTCCACTGCTTAGTGACCGCCGGGTAAGCGGCAGGTGCGCCGTTACAGTCACTGCATGCTCAACAGTATGCAAAGTTACACAACATGTGAAGATGGTAGTAGATTGCTACGAAAATGCTGGTATCAATAGGCTCAGCAATGTGCCGCCCTCATAACAAGACGCCGAGGAAATGCTACAGACTCCTTGCGCCGCATTCATGTCCGGCATCCGTGTTCTTTGATTTTGACGCCGTGAATATTGAGTACAGTGGTCGTGTGACCGATGAGACAGTTTGATAAGACGTCTTCGGGATTATGCTCCGTAACCCAACGAGCCCTCGACATTCATCTGGTGTAGCAACTAACGCCTTCGATAGATGTCGTCGTTCCTGTTGTCACGGTTCCTGTCCCTTCGCTCGGGACTCCTAGATCGTGTCTTGGCATCTCTGCGCTCCCTTCCGAAATTCCTCGAGTCGCCTCGCTCCCGGTCCCTGTCACGGTAACCTCCACCTCCACCTCGATCTCTCCGTTCGTCTGCTGGAGGTCCATCTCTAGAGTTCCCAGAGTCGCGTGACCCTCGTCGTTGTCTGTCATCTGGTTCTCTTGACCGCCTTGGTCCATCGTAGCTTGGGATGTAGACATCGCCAGCTGGAGCACCGCCTCGTCGCCGATCGCCTCCTTCTGCGCCACCATAGCGAGGCGGTGCGTTTGGTAACGGATGACGACCCTCGCCAGGTGGTGGTGGGAGGTGGCCCTGTCGCGCATCGGCGCCGTTGCCCCAGTTTGGTCGGCGATCGCCCGGTGGTGGTGGGGGCGGTCTGTGGTCGTACCCAGGTGGCCGTCTGTCGTATCCACCTCGACCGCGTTCGCCGCCAGGTGGCCCTCGATCTTGTGGCCCATATCTTCGGTCACCATTATTCTGCCAGGCTTGAGGTGGGGGTCCTGATCCAGTCCATTCGCCATTGGGCCCCCCGCCCACGGTGCCGCCTGCTGGAGCTGGGGGTAAAGCTTGCTTCTGGCCTCGTGCATTCCGGCGATCGAGCTCATGCGAGTCTGCAAAGTGTGGGATATCTTCCTCGCGCATCGGTTTCGGATTCTCTCGGAAGTACGGATGATCGATGGCATCAATTGCGTTGATCCTCTTGCGCCAGTCTAAACGCATGAGGTCTTTGATGAGTGACAGGCCGGTGGGCGATAATTCTCGGAATCGGCCAGCAATGTTTCCAGGGTAATTTCCAAACCCACGGATAGGTTCAGCTCCTGGGAGGTCGTTCCAGCCAGGCATATTCTGATCGTTCGGCGATCCAATCAGCTCGAAGATTATCTGTGCTTGGTGGATGTCGCTCTGGCCTGCGAGGATGGGCTTGCGCTTGAACATCTCACCAAAGACACATCCAGCGCCCCACATATCTATGGCAGGCGTGTATCGCCTCATCTGAAGCAGTAGCTCAGGAGGTCGGTACCACCTGGTTACCACTAGGGTTGTGTATTCCCTTCGTGCTTCGCCGTTACCCTTGCCTCGCTGCGGTACGGCTTCGTCATAGTGTCGCGCAAGACCGAAATCTGCGATCTGGAGTCGGCCGCGATTGTTGATAAGCAGATTGGCTGCCTTCATATCTCGATGGAGGATGTGGTTGTCGTGGAGGTATCGGAGACCCTTGAACAGCTGCAGCATGTAGCATTTGATCTGCGCTTCTTGAAACTTGACGTCTGGGTTGTCGAGAAGTCCGGAGAGATCGTGATCCATGTAGGGGGTGACCATGTAGAGAATCGCGCGTTTCCGACCCTCAGCCTTTGGTCGTTCTACTGCCATCTCTTCCAGCTTGAGGACATTGTCGTGAGACAGCATCTTCAGCAGCTTGATTTCTCGCAGCGCTGTGATAGGAAAGCCATCTTTCTCATTGTGCATCAGAATCTTCTTGAGCGCGAAGACATTGCCCGTGATTCGGTGTCGCGCTTTGTGCACCTCACCAAAAGTCCCCTCGCCGAGCTTCTGCATCATCTCGTACTCGCCAATCTTTGAACATCCCTTAAAGCGACGCTGCATGGGCTGCTGCGGGGTCGCATTCGATGAGTTTGCCATCTTGACGAATGGTAGGTGTGAATGCGCTCAGTGCGCGACGCTCGTAGCTGATAGCTAATGATGCTAGGGAGTCCGCGATGGACAAGCTGTCAGAGTGGGACGGTCTTCGAGCATAAGAGAGTGGTGTGGCGGGTATGTGGGCGTGGAGATGGCATGTGCAGCCATAGGTCGGGATGGTTGAAGCGGTGCTATTGTGGTGGCATTACAATAGCAGCCGTAAGTTGCTGGTGGAAGAGAGTCGAGGGACGCGATTGACGGTTGGCGGTGATGCTTGGCGCTCCACTAGGGTGGCTCTGATCGACGTTAACCTCACCTCTTACACGCGAGACCACCACGAGCCATTGCCCACGACATACAGCTGGTACGTAGCGCTGCCTGTCCGATCTAAGAATTATAGGCGACTAACTGCTGTGTAGGCTCAAAATCCACCATGCAGCCCACACGCGTGCGAATGGGTCCGCCCAAATATGCTCCTCACCCGAACCACCCTATCCACATCCACCCAGTCCGACCGCTATACCGGTTCATGGCAACCGGCCTCGGCGCTTCCATGTGGTTCTTCGTATGTTCTCACCACACAGTATAGGAGATGCAGAACTGACGAACGTAGTTGATGTACCGCGCGAAGAAGGACGGCCCGGTACTGCTGGGCTGGAAGCACCCATGGGACCATTGAACACTTGAGATCGGGGAGAACTGAAAGAGAAGCAAGCATTATTCAAGGGACCGCGGCATGAGAAACTGTATATATGGTGCCGTACAGCTCTAGGGCATGCATCAAGATGGGGATGTGATATCCCATGACGGAAATGCAAAGGCATCGAATTGAAAGAACGTTAACTCAGACGCCTGCAACATCACTCAAATATATGCCCAAACGCTGGTCTTTACTTATGTCGAGTGGTGATTATGCGCCTGAATCGATTCTTGTCGAACATCTTACTCTACTCGGGCTTCTCGAACAAGTAGTGACTGACACCCCATGTATCACCGCCTTCCCACTTGAAGAGTTCCGCGCATGCAAGATAGAAGACCTGCCACCTGTTCCACCATGTGAGTGCGCCATCCTTGCCATACGTCTCCTCCAAGCCTGGCCAGATCGTGCTCTTGTTCGAGCACATCGTGAGTAACCAGTCCTCGCACGTCTTTCCGTAATGCATGCCATTGACCCACCATTGCTTTTTCAACTTGAGGTCGTCTTGGAAGAACAGGAGCAGATCTGCTGAAGGCATCGTGCCCCCCGTGAAGAAGTGCTCAGTCATCCATCCACCTTCAAAATCGTACGGCGTGGTTGCGTGCGCGAAAATGTGCACAAACAGCTTTCCGCCAGGCTTGAGCGCTCTGCTGACTTTTGAGAGAAGGAGCTGATAGTTTTTCATATGCTCGAAGAGTTCAATGGAAACGACACGGTCGTAGACTGAAGCTTCAAACTCGTAGTCTACGACATCCCCCGTGATTACTTTAAGGTTGGAGAATCCCTTGGCCTTGGCAACAGAGTCAATGTGCTCCTTTTGCGTCCGCGAGTTGGAGAAGGCGGTGATTTGCGAGTTGGGGAATACTTCAGCGAAGTACAGAGATGCTGAGCCCCATCCACATCTGGTTTCCGATTAGCACCTGATGTGAGAACACATGTATGGATAGTTGGAAAGCTATGTACGTACCCAAGATCTAAGATGCTCATTCCATCTTTCAACTCCGCACGTTCCACGTACATCCTCAACATGGCGATCTCAGCCTGTGCAAGCGTTTCCCCGCCCTTCTCATACAGACATGCAGAATACTTCATTCTTGCTCCGAGCATGCCCTGTAGCACGCTCGTGCCGACTTCGTAGTGCTGCTCGTTGGCCGTGGATGTTTCAATGGCGATCGGTCGCTCACGAAGGAGCTTGACATAGTTCATCTTTGAGGCATAGGCTGATTCCAGAGATGTTGATGCAATTGAGGCGAGACGGTCCGCAAGCTGGCGCCTGATGCCAATGCGGATGAGAGGGTGTGGTAAGTAGCCATTGTCGAGAAGAGAGTTGGTGACAGCTTCGGTGTCGAGGAGATCTGAATCGTGTTAAGATGGATCGGTTTGATCCAATGAAGGCAGTAGAGCTCGTACTGGAAATGTAATTCATTCTGAGATGATGTGTTACAAGAGATTACTTATTACTAGTGGATGGCCGGCCCTAATTGGCTATCGAAAAGCTGAAAGCTGTGGTATATTAGATGAGACACTTATGGGCTCTCTATCGTGACTTTTGAGGCCATGTTGTTGAAACTCTCTGGACGCTGAATGCGGTCTAGTCTAGCGGCATAGTGACGTCAATGACTTCCCACGAGGTATTCTCGCTCTCCGAGAACACCGCTGTAAGACATTCGCCGAGTCAGAATTAATACTTCCATAGAATGTCACGATTCTGTGAACGCAGATGCCATGTGCTACCGATTGAATACAAGATACAATTGGGACGAATAAACGCAGGCCAATATATGACGGGAGATCGGCATGACGTTTGCTAGTCGCATGTCTTTCACGCCTCGTGGCTTATGGGAAACATTTTAAATGCAGACGAAATGCAAACGCTCTTTCAAAGGCTTGTATATTGCTACAAGCGCGCGGTGTCTATGGCAGACAAGGCACAAAAGCGCGACCGCAGATCCTAGCCATGTCCATCACAACACTCGCAGGACGCACATTGATCATTTACTTAGTGACATTGAACGGACATCGCAATCACATTTATTTTCACATGACCGCTAAGCGCCTCGTCTCCACACATTAAAGCAGCACTCTCCACGAATAGCGCGGAACGTTCAAGAAAATTCCTTGCATGCTTGCTCCCGGACTGTCAAAAGTTAGACCCATGGGGAACGGCGCTATCGCGGAGCCTCATGTGGAGACGCGCTCGTACCTCGGAGTCTCAGGCCGGGCAACCTTCTTTAATGGGTGGTCCTCGCTTTATGCTTTCATTGCGATCCTACAGGAACAGCAATGACAGCAATAACACAGGCAGGAGACTGGTACACTCCGGCATGCAAATACACTGTGACATTTACGCGTTCGCTGCCGATTACTCGTATCAGCAGCCACTCAAGGCGTTCGGGACAAGGCGCAGGCCTAAACTGTCGGCTCGCGAGATGGCTGGACAGAGAGTGCTTGGCGATATCTTGGAGAGCCATTGCTGAAGGATCAAACCGAAAGTTTTGGCAGAGATTTCTGGCTCAGAGTCGTGGTTAATGTGCATCAGCGCACTCCGCGCGTTGATGTCGCCAGCCCCTGTCGCAATGCCCTTCAAGTACCGAGCGTAGCTTCCGACCAATGTCAATCCGGTCAAGCCCCGACTAACAATGGCCTAGCATCGGCTTACAACGTTTCATGCGTCTGCATCACAGGGGACCGTAGAAGAAACGTCCCGATTTTCTTTCCATCTTACGCCGAGGATCACCCTGGCCTGGCGCCCGTCTTCTCTGCTCCAAGAACAAATCACGCATGCTTTGGTATGCTTCTTGCGGCCCATTGTGCTTGGCAGACGTAGTGTTGACCAACCCTCGTCGTTCCACTTTGTCTACTCCGCAACTCGCTTGCGGGGTGTACATGCAATAGTCTCTTGTTGGTTACATATCCCTTTGCCGCCCAGGCTGTATACCGCTGTCAAGTACATCCGCATGGGGAAAATGTACGGAAGGATTCTCTGCTCTATGTGCGGGCGGGAAGTCGCCATGCCCGCCATGCCCGCAACTCGATGCGTGGTGGGCCGCCGAAGAGTGGGTTCATCGAGCACGAGACAATGAGCTAGGATGCAAGGACAAGGATCAAAGTCACCTTTGCGGGGCGATCTTGGGGATTTCCTGGACTGGAGAAACCCATAAAGAGCTGGAGTACGCTCTTCCAACGATCGTCCACCCGTGCTTCTGGTTCAGCATCTTCGACTTGTAGGATTTCACAGAAGAGCCCCGTCATCATGGTCAAGGTATCGTTCAAGCCGCCGCCAGGCACGCCGGGTAAAGCATGGTAAGACGCTCATCACACGATCATTGGACAGCGACTGACATGAACACCAGGCCCGCAGTTCTGGTTGGTCTCTTCATGGCCTTTGGTGGTGTGTTGTTTGGGTGAGTATACTTTCTGTGATACAAGTCAGCTATCTGACAAGACATCGTAGATATGACACAGGTACCATCTCTGGTATCATTGCCATGCCCTACTGGCAGAAGGAGTTCTCCACCCAGCCAGATGGCAGCATCACAGCTTCTGAAGACTCTCTCATTGTTTCGATTCTATCTGCTGTAAGTCCTCGAAAAATCTGCACGTAAGGCTTTCCTGACATTATACTTCTTTAGGGCACATTCTTTGGCGCCCTCGGCGCGGCTCCTTGTGCCGATTTCCTTGGTCGAAGAATGGGTCTTATCGTTTCAGTCGGACTGGTCTTCAACTTTGGTGTTATTCTTCAGACTGCATCAACCAGTCAACCTTTGTTCATTGCTGGTCGCTTCTTTGCTGGTTTTGGTGTCGGTCTCTTATCTGCTATGGGTACGTTACCTATGCCACCCCGAATGCTCGGGCGCATGTTCTCAAGCACGTGTACTAATCTCTGCAGTTCCCATGTACCAGTCCGAGACTGCGCCCAAGTGGATTCGTGGTGTGATTGTCGGATCCTACCAGCTTGCTATTACGATCGGTCTTCTGCTAGCCGCCATTGTCAACAATGCTACAAAGGACCACACCGATTCTGGATCGTACCGTATTCCGATTGCAGTCCAATTCTTGTGGGCCATCATCTTGTTGATCGGGTAAGCCATCATTGTAACCTCTAGGCCGATTTCATGCTGACCAGCCCGTCCAGACTTTTCATTCTCCCAGATACACCACGTTGGTTCATCAAGGAAGACAGATACGATGACGCCGCAAAGGCGCTCGGAAAGCTTCGTCGCCTGCCGGTCGATCACCCAGCAGTTCTCGAGGAACTGAATGAGGTCCAAGCCAACCATCTCTACGAGATGTCTCTTGGCAAAGCATCATATATGGAATGCTGCAAGGGCACTTTGGGCAAGCGCCTTCTCACTGGATGTCTTCTCCAGGCTTTGCAGCAATTGACTGGTGTGAACTTCATCTGTAAGCAAATCTCGTCACATCTACCCGTGAAATTTGTTACTGACAATGCACAGTCTATTATGGTACCCAGTACTTTAAAAGGGCCGGCTTCAAGGACCCCTTCACCAGTCAGGTCATCACGAACGTTGTCAACGTCGCATCCACGTTCCCTGGTCTGTACATGGTTGAGAAGCTTGGCCGACGTAAGCTGTTGCTTCTTGGAGCTGTTGGCATGTCTGTTTGTCAATGTAAGCAAAGAATTCTTTTACGAGTCAACCTACGCGGATTTCTAATACTGTCTAGTTATTGTCGCCATCACCGGTACGGTCGCCGGTACCACCGATCTTGCTGCGCAACGCACCGCTATCGCTTTCGTCTGCATTTACATCTTCTTCTTTGCCAGCTCCTGGGGACCTGTCGCCTGGGTCGTCACGGGTGAGATGTTCCCGCTCAAGGCCCGTGCGAAGTGTCTTTCGATGACCACAGCTTCCAACTGGCTGCTCAACTGGGCCATTGCCTACTCCACACCTTACATGGTCGACGAGAAAGGTGCCAACCTCCAAAGCAAGGTTTTCTTCGTTTGGGGGTCCTTCTGCTTCGTCTGCATCGCGTTTGTGTAAGTGCCACTAATTCTCGACTCCCGATGCTCAAATTCTAACAATCTTGTAGCTGGTTCATGATTTACGAGACCAAGGGTCTTACTCTCGAACAGGTTGACGAGCTCTACGGCACCGTCAACAAGGCGTGGAAGTCCAAGGACTTTGTTCCTCAAATCACATTCGTCGATGTTGACCACGCCGCCCAGAAGGGAATGGCTCTCAACGAGATCGGCGAGGCGCAGACCAGGAAGAGGAGTGTTCAGCATGAAGAGGCCGTTGGCAAGACAGACAACCCTAACAGCGGACTTTAAGCGCCGTGCGCAATGTTGAACATGGAGGATGAATGATGCTGAATGTAATGAGGGAACTTGCGAGATGCTCAATATTAAGGGGTGAAATTGGGAGATGGAGGATGTTTCGCTTCGCTGTATCACGAAGTTGAGCTTTGACTCGTGGTTATTCGTCAACTAATAGACTACATTATTAGATTTCTGACAAAGAGATTCTGACAATCGTATTGAGAGTCGTAACTTGTACCACGAGCTCGTGATCCAATCACGTCTTGCCACAAGGAGTCGTGGCGCAGCATTCAGCCACTCTTCACTTGTAGGCGTGGCCGGTACACAAGTCTTACTTAAAGAGACACCACATCTTCGGTGCCCACTTTCTTTCTCTATCGGCCATGCTGTATACAGCACAACGAGCATTGGACCAGAACACCAAATCGATATAATGGCACATGTGTCACGCACAACGGTGACACTGTCCACTTCGCCATCAGGGTGAGTTGTTTTCGCCGACCAAATCTCGCTCATTAAATTTTGCTAATAGTAACCGAGTAATGCAGTAATTCGCGATGGTTCTAAGGCCTGTCCATATCGTCCACCGGTTTTTGATGTCGCGCGTGATTTCTCTTCGGAAAAGCCGACTCTCGGATATGCGGTAGAATATTGTAATATCGAGACGACAGCCAGCGACTTGCGTGACGCGCAACAATCCTGGTCAGACTGCAGTGGCTATAATCCCGACTTGTCTCTGGAAGAAGGCAACCTCAGCTTCGATGGGCTTGGAGAAGATTACACAGATGGTCTGCTTATGGGCAGTGGCCAGTCCAAAGACAGACTGGTCTTCCCGAGACCGGTTCAGAACCCGATTTCGGTTGGTGTACAAACGTCGCCTACGGACGTACTAAATCCATCGATGGGACCTGAATTAGAGTACTGGAGTAACGACCATGAGAGCGCGTTGTCGTACGTGGGCCCAAGAAGCGATGCAAAGCTCAGTGGTTTTGATGAAGGCAGTCCGCCTTCAAGAATTGCCCACGGACAACATGGGCACTCCGTCAGGCCCGATGCAGAGGATGTCATCGTCTGTCCCGACTGCATGGCTACCTTCACCGGAACTCATGTGAGAGGCAACTATAATAGACATCGACGGATGCGCCATGCAGAGGGGCAACATGAGCAGTATACGTGCATGGAAAATCAGTGTGGTAGAATGTTTTCAAGACAGGATGCTTTGGAGAAGCATCTACGTAACAGGCATGGGTTAAATACCTCCTTGTTTCCGAGGACAAGCAGACGGATCGAATGATTTTAGACTATATTGAGTGCTGCAACAATTCCTAAACGCCCTGATTAAAATTGGGCCCTATCGAGAACATCTACTACTTTGTGCACGAACCGGAATAGATTCGAAAGCTTGCCAGTACACTATTCAATGCTGTGGAAGTCTCAAATTTGTACAGTTTGATTGATCGTCTGTTAAGCAATGCTAATAGTTCGAAAAAAATGCGGTCGTCATGTTACACGTGGGCTTGATCGCCAGAATTCCATGCTCTTTCCTTTGTTGCCGTCTTCATCCGCCTGCTATGGGCGTCCGTTACTCCGTCCATATTTGAAATTGAACAGAGTCTGCTCAGTCTGTTACGTCGGGGATCCAACCTTTAGAGAATGCATATTTTTCTGTACGTGCTTGTGGGTGGACTTAAACAAGCGCTGACTGATCGTAAGCCCTCTACTCTCTGTGCGGATGCAGCACGACGCCGATGTGCACACCAGTCGGGTCTGTTTTTAGGGCCGGTAAATACCTCGACCGAATTAGGTAACAAGTCTGGCACCAGACGTATCAGTCAAGTTCAGAATGCGTTCTGACTGCGAAAACGAACTTTTCATAACGGGCGAGCTTCTGCTGACCGGGGTGTTGCGGGGAGAGCCACTGAGCGCCCTTGTCGATGAAAGTGACTAACTCTGCGTGCCCTTTGTCTCCTGGGAGAAATTGACGGCAAAAGTATTGCAATGTCTGAGAAGAGAGATTCTCTCCTCTAGATTGCCCAAACTTGTGAGCGGCTGTGTTGTGGAACATCTCTCTCCTGATAATACTCCACAGCGTTCTATGGAAGAGAGAGACTGCCATTCGATGCGGAAGCTCTTCGCCGACGATAACAAAGCGACCGGGCTCAAGTTTCAACACTTCAAGCAATGGCGCGAGCGTTGGCATTACTTCATTGCGGATTTGACGGCATGTTGCTAGTAGGGCCACTGGAAGTGACTTCGTCACAAGAGCAATGGTCGGCTCTGCGGACGCTACATTGCTTGGTATACTCGGAACAAGGTGATGGGTTCTTACTTCGCGCAGGATTAGGGGTTGGAACACAGGCATAGATGTGCAGCATACTGGAAATGAGTCCGTAGACCATGAGCCTGAGCTCTGTGGGCAAGTCGAGAAATCGGAAGGGCTTGGGGATAGAGTCTTGGGCTGTGGGCGACTGAGGGTTCATGCTGTCTGGTAGAAGAATCATTATCGACCCCAGGAGTTGCCGTTGCACAAGGATGGTGGAGTAAAAGCCCAGGCCCAGGGGAAGAATTGCGGGCATGTCCGCCATGGCGTTCACGCCATAGTGAATCGCAGACACCACCTGGCAATGTATCATCAGCAAGCTAGTAAGAACAAGGTTGCAATCCACGAAGTAGGTCCTTCTTGGAGTTAGTTGGATTCGTTACAATCGACTACCGCGCGTTCAAGCGTACATGATGCACTCGCGAAAAATCCCCCATATGAAACTCGTCATACAATTACACATAGGTGCGACGGTGGAGTTAGGATGGATGTGCACATTCAATTCCGACGGTTAAGACATCATAATTACCTAGGTGCCCATCATCCTATAACGACTCATTGATCTCTTTCGATCTATTTTGAAACATTATCTCAGCCTCTTATCATTGTGAAGCTCTGGATGACGTTGTCGTGAGAATGTGGTGGTGCAGACGTCTGACCTACGCTTAGCGCAATTCAGCCTAGCAGTGCGCGCATCTGGGGAAGGGACCGCGCCGCAACGCGTGGGGGTGGTGGCCTTGAACGCGTTTCTTCGAAACATGCATTTCCAAGCATAAACCATGTCATCTTCACATGTTCAGCGCCCCATACCAAGGCCCGTGTATTACGCGCTGCTCTTCCGCGTAGAATCAGATCATGGAGCCTATCTCTGCTGTCATAGGCATTGTATGTGCTTCTTTGCGATTGTCCCTCCCGAGCTGCATTGTGCCTATCACACACGACCCAAGCTAATGCAAACATGTAGATGGCTGCGCTGCCACAAGCCATTCAGTCAGCGAAAGAGCTGTATGACCTCCGTTCCCGATACAAAGACGCATCTGTCTTGATCACCGCGATATACTCTGAGAGCATGGTCATCGCCGCCTCTCTCAGCCAAGTACAGAACCTCCTGAATCACGATGCCTTACAAAGCAAGCCACAATTGCTCGAGACATTCGACCGCGCACTCACAGGATGTCGAGTTGTGTACGGATGCTTGGAAGAGGAGGTGCGTGATCTAGTAGTAAAAGCAGAGGCGGATGACCTGAAGTTCAAGGACCGGGCCAAGTTCTTGTGGAAAGAGGACACCTTCAAAGAGCTGTTGACACAGATACGAGGACAGCAATCGGCTTTGAGTTTGCTCATACAAGGCTTGCAAATGGAATCAATTGCCGATATCCGAAAGCTGGTGGAGGAAAACAGTGTGACGCTTGATAGAGTTGTCAAGCGATCGAGAACGCTACGACTATCACATCCACGTGTGCACGTCCCAGAGTCCTTGTTTAGCACGTCTCACGACAAGGAAGACGCTGTTGATGCCGTTTCACTTGCCAAATCGACCGAGTTCGCGTTCGACGATGAAGTGGTAAATTCGAAGGCCTATAGACGGGCGATGCACCTGTATACATCCACACTCGAAATCGACCAACGTGTGACTAGTGTCACGGCGGTCGTGAGCGACCTGCCACCAGCGTACGAACCTCCATCTCAGAAAATGGATGAGAAGCAGACCTCTATAATTGCGCACAAGTCCATTCCCACGGAGCCTGTTGAAAGGGAAGTGAAGGTGGAAGAAACCAAGTTAGAATTACCTGATTTGTTAGAGCATCCGGAGTCACTGCAACATGAAACTGCGTTTGTTACCGCAGAGCAAGAACTTCTACCATATATGCCTCGGATAACGTCGACAGCACCGCACCTTAGCCCATTGCGTGCCAATACCTCGATAGGAATGACAATACCCACTGCCGACACACAAGCGCGTCTGCCAATCCGTTCCTCGAGTGAAGGAAATATCCTGATGGGTGATGAGCCCGCCCCACCACTCCCGCCTCGCCGACCCAGCGGTCCCAGATTGTTCCCGAAGACTACAATTCCCGAGTTACAAGAAGTTCGCACTGCCTCCTCGGATGACAGCATAGACGCTTCAGTGGCGTCGTCAGTACTGTCCAACGTCTCGTGTACGTCTTCACGAACCACTTTTGACATTCCAGAGTCTAGTTGTATCGTGTCTCGGAAACCGTTACGGAAACCATTGCCGCTCAGACATCAGATCTCCAGTGACATTCTGAGGACAGTGCGCAGCCAATCATCTACTTTCGAATCACCGGATTCAGTATCGCCTCTGCAGAACGCTAAGATGCATAATGTATGGCTCTCAATTATCGATGCTGAGCAAAATTTTGTCGATCAAATGTTGAAATTCAGGAAAATGTTTTATGACAATGTTCTGCGACAGTGGCCTCAGCTCAAACAGCACCTAGGGGCCATCATTGTTAGCGAACAGCTTGCGGCTCTTAATAAAGCCACTTTGCTACAGAGTATGGAACAACAAGTATCCGGGTCAGGAGAAAGCATCTGTGACTCAACCGTCTTTGAACAATGGGCGAACCAAGCCCACAAGTTGTATCGCGAGTATTGTCAGGCGATGCCGCATACAGCGTCGTCGTTGCGCACTACGCAAAATCTGGATGCGAAATTCGACCCCTTCGTCAACACCGTCGGGTTGAGCCTAGCTTGGTTTGGCATGGGCTGGGAAGACTACCTCAAGCTGCCAATGTCGCAATTGAATCTGTATATCGAGAAGCTTGAGAGCCTTGTGTCCATTGCTGAGGGCCTAGATGAGCCTGCTGCTTTCAACGAGACAATCCGTTTGAAACGTACCGTGGCAGCTGTGCGATGGCTCAGCACGATGGCCTCCAGCATCCTATCCGGTGCGGAGGGAAGAGAAGAAACCAAGAATTTGGAAAAACTAATTTATACCATGGACTCCGATATTTTCTCGCAGCTTCATTTGCTCGACTCGACTCGCCGTGTAAAGCATCAAGGCAAGATGGCAATCAAGATGAAGAGTCAGGGCTCTTGGCAAGCTGTTCATGTCATCTTGTTAGACAACTTCTTACTCTGGGGCAAGGTGAAGCCACAGAAGAAGAACAAGGGAGACAGGATCTTGGTGTTGGACACTCCTATCGCTATCGACGATTTGGATTTTACAATGCCATGCGAAGACCATCAGTTCCAGAAGACTACCATGTTCGACGACATACCTCGAGGATCAGTCCTGTATATAATCACTGTCAAGAGGAAAACTGGGGACTCCATGCCTCACATGCTTGGTGCATTCGGTTTCCAGGAACGAAACATATGGTTAGAGCATTTCACTGCTGCTACCGGACGCCAGAACCAAACGTAGTCCATGCACAATGTTTCTTGGACAATCACTCGACCTCGACACGCCCCAAGAATAGACGAAAGAATGAGCTCCCTGTGAATTGAACCAGGTGTTGGCTCGCTCTCCTCCTTAGATAAAATGCCTGGTCGGGTTGTTTCCAAGAACGCCCATCCTCTACAGTACCCACACAACCAAAGTTTTCTCAACCGCTACGTATCAACCTACCTTACACACGAATCGATCAGCTCGAAGCGCTCCGCAAAAGGTCGATCCCAACCTTTACCACAACAAACATGGCTACACCTAATGTTCCTGCTGTTCATCCTGAAATTCCTGCTACCGTCTCCTCGCAGGACGTCGTAGCTATTGTCACAATTCATAACAGACGCGCCTCGCTTGTCAACCGGACGTCCATATACGCACATGCAGATGTTTTTCGAGCCAGTGATAATCCTAGAAGCCCACCAGTTCTTGCTGGTGTCAATATCTTCCTGCACCGTCACCTCGACTCAAGTGGCTATTCGATGGGACGGGCCATGGCAGATCCCAAGGCATTCCAGATGCTTCTAGACGTATACCTCCCTGATACGCATGTAGCCAAGCGTCAATTTGAGGTGGTGCCAGATTGGGAGCGTGACTGTTGGCGATTACAGTCTACAACAGAGACTGTAACTATGGTCAATGGCGCACCCATTCAGCTTTCGACACGACGGAAGAAGGATCAGGGGAAACAGGTCCCAGCTATGACGTTTCTCAAGCAGCGGGGCGTTAATATTATCACGATTCATGACTTCCAGATCGATGTCTGGCTAATGAAGTCCGTTCGGCAGGTGCATGGACCAAAGGATTTCGTCCCACTGCCGCTCGACCCTTCTGTTCAAGATGTTTCTGATCGCCCTGAACAATGGGCCCGCGATCGTTTCATTGCAACCACAAAGCAAGTGTCTGCACAGACGGTCGGAGTCATTGACCGCTTCAGTGGGATGATCTCAGCTGCGAAGATTTTCAGATCCGAAAATCATCCACAGCAATTCCGAGACCGCGAGTTCTTGGCCTTTTCCAAGCAAGATGTCGATGCATCCATTGTTCGGTACCTACAGACGACTCAGATTGATGGCCTCCCTGCGATAATCACAGACGCGCATGCTGGCTTCCAAACCTATGGCGTGCTGAGACATGATATTCACAGGTCACATCCAGGTATCCGCTTCTCGCTTGCCTCAAAGATGGCTCTTTGCCTGTACCGTGCTTTGGCCTGGATGCACTTTCACGGCATTTTTCATGGCCAAGTCTCCGACGAGAATATCCTCATCCGCTTGAAGGACGGGAAGCCTGAGCACGTTCTTCTGGTCGGCTATACTACCGCTCGGCACACACCTACAGGGAAGCAGATCGCCTTTGCGGACATGCTCACAGACGCGCAAGCTACTATGAAGCTTGTTGAAGACTGCTGTGACATATGGACGTTCCGCAATGGCCCAACGAGGGACGCCCAGGGTGAGCATATCATGCAGAAGCGCACACAGGATCTGATGCTCCAATACCATTCTGTCCGACGTTGTTCAATTGACTTCATCCAGCGCCTCGGTAACTCGCCAGAATCCGTCAAGGGCGCCAAGCTTATCAGGCTGCAAAATAAGCTCGGGAACGATTGGAGTAGTGCTCAACGGGCACAGCAACAGAATCTCATGGCGCGCGAGGTTGCCCTTCTTGGTACGACAAAACTCAAGGAGCACATCGAGGAGTGGCAGAGCGCAAATCCACCGCGAAACACGATCTACAGAGACTACATGCTCTTGACCTTAGGCCATCCAGTCCTCGATAGTCTGTCGGATGGTCTGCATGTCAAGCCATGGGACGCGATGCCACATGAGGTTTGCTCTGCTATCAAGCAGGCTGGAGGCCAAGTGGAAGAACCCTGGCAGACCTTCCAAGTTCAAAAGACGATCGCGCTCGCAGCCACAAATGCTGAGCGATATGATCAGATCATGGCTTGGCTTGCTGCTTCCTGCGAGATCTATCCTGAATGGCATGAGGTCTTGGAGGCCGAGATCGAAAAGCACCTACGGACTAATTCGGGCATGATTGGCCAAGGCGAGCTCGAGGACCTCCACAGTGCTCTGCAGACTCATGGACCGGTACCGGCGTCCATGACTACAATTTTCAGACTGTTTGCAGACATGACTACTGTTCCAGAGCATGTAGAGGAGTTATACAACGTCTCATACCACATTCCTTCGCGCATGTTCAACATCACGCAGCTTCAGCGGCTCGCAACTCCCGAAAATCTCGCGCACACTATCACTGAGGGTCAGGTCCGCTGCGACAATTTCGTAGAGGTACGCGGCGACGCCAAAGTGGAGGGGTGCTATGTTTCACTTTCTCTCTTGACGAAGACTGTCAATGATCTCGGACTGCTATTGCTTGAAACGCCACATTCGACACCAGAAATGCCCACTTTCGATGCAGCCGACTTCAGCCAGGTCCCACAGGCGCGCATCGTTCTAGCTAGACCCGGCATGATAGGATTCGGTTCCATGTTGCGCGAAGGTGATCAGGCAAACTTCCTCTACTCGCGGATCCCTGATAGCTTCATCGACCCGAATACCTTCATTGCGACGTACTTCGGCGACATGAAGGTGCTTCCAGAGCTGGCAGCCGGCACGCGTACTCATTATGTTCGTCCAGAGCATTGGTCAAAGTACAAGACAGCAAAGGAGTCTGAGTCATTGACGGAGCTGAACAAACGAGATCCTCTCAAGGCCACCTCATCCGGTCATAGTTCTCCAGGTCAAACGGATGTTGACGAGACCTTGCTTGGGCAATTGATGCGTGATCGTGAGCTCATTCGGGCTGCGGCTCGTCCACCCACGAAGCACAGCATCTCTCGGAGTCCATCGCCGTCCCGAAAGCGCGTGCGTGTTCGCTCGCCCATTTCTGAGCCGGACTCTGCGATCCCAGATATCTCCATGTCGTTTGTCCAGCGCATGGAGGAGCGCTACCAGCAAGCGACGCTACCACCATCGCAGAATTCGCCTTTCATGAACAATTCGTTCATGCAGCGGAACTCAGCACTCCTCAAAGTAGCACCAAACGACCCGACAAACGTCAACGTGTCGTTCACTGTGGGAGATGAAACTGAGTGCCTTGACGATGATTGGAAGATAGTCGACGAAATGCTCGCCGAAATGCCAGACGAAGAACCTGAAATCGAAGGCGTCTTTGGCTTCCGATTCCATGGCTCCGGTTCAGAGGACGGTACTGAAGTGGATCCCAATAGCGTCAGTGCTTTCTTGGGTAAAGGCGGTGGTACAGCCGTAAACTCGTTTGTATCAACAGCTGGGTCAAACCCGGCGCGCGGATCCTTTGGAAATCAGCAGTCTCGGTTGTGGGACATCCCAGAGTCGCCAACAGAATCTTGGAGCCAGTTCCAACAGTCGTCCAAGGGCCCGGCACACGGTGCTCCCCCAACATCTCTGCGAAAGCACATTCGACGTGTAAGCGACGACAGCTCAGAGGGTATGCCGTCCACCGCACCACCAAGCCCACGGCCACTTACAGGAACCAACCGTCCCTCGTTTGGAAGTCAAGGCGGCAGTACTTTGGGCTCAACGGGATTGGGCAATTCTTTCGGGCCCCAAGTCAGTTCGACGGCAACCAGATCTGTCCCGCCCGGCAAACCTTCGCAAGACTCGTCCAGAGGTATCGCCAACAATCAGTCCAGTCTGGGTTATATGCCTACCCGGCCTTCAGCCCTGAATCCGAATCGCTCCAACTGGACGTCGAAGCGACCTGGGAAATCGTCAAAGTCAGCCCAGTCGTCCTTCAACCGGTCTTTGATCGATGGTCCTGCTCGTCTAGTCATGGACTTTAACGCGTCCTTTGGTCCATTCCGTGGCAATGCACCTTCAGTGGCGCAGGCCTCTCCTCCAGCTGCTCGCCCAATAATGGACGTCAACGCCTCTTCTGGTCGCCATAGCGGCAACGCTCCACGAGTGTTGCAGACGTCTCCGCAAGTTGCTCGCTCATTCAGGCCCGGCAATCCCGTCCAGGAAGCAGACAACCCAGTGATCAACCCTGGTACTCAAACTCCAGTAAACCAGAACGCATCTTCCGACTCCCATGACCCACCGACGGAAGTAGGCAGTCCTCAAGCAGACAGCGCTGGTGGTGCGATTAGCGGGTTCCTACTCAACCAGTTGGGGCAACAAAGCCAGGGCGGGGATGAAGACATGCCGGACACGGATGAGGGCGAGAGTGATTGAGGGGTCAAGGCTGGTGGGGAAGGATCTGGTAGGGTGTAGGTGACGAAGGAGAAAACTTATCATGGTAAACACCGAGAGAGGTACTCGAACCGCATCTTATGAGAAATGAATATCGATGATTAAATGGCACCAACCATTGCGAATTCAGTCGACTTCTTTAATGACATGTATGTCTTTTGTTTTTAAGACTCCAAGTACAGGAGCATGGGACATTGTCAGCAGATCAAAGTCCATTTAGCATGTTCCTCCTCATAACCCAACCTCACCTACCACATCACTAGAACAAACCCCTCCACGCGCTGCAGATTGATTACACACACTGCCAGACATGTCTTCTAGCATTATTGTGTGCAGGACCTCCAATGCGAATCCATCATTGTTCTTCTCTCACATTATCCTTCCCGCGGGGATTTAATCATGGCGAGTCAACAGCGCATCGAACCTGGACCCTATATGTATACTGGCAGATCGTCGGCGTTTGAAGACATACATACCTGTCAAAGTGGCCTTGGCTGCGTGCCTCCTATTGAATGTCTTGTCGCTTGAGGGTGGAGGTGAATCAGCGAGGGCTTTTTTTTTTTAAATCCACGCTGAACATTCAACATCGTACAGTATACTGTAACTACTACGAACTTTTGTTTTGTCGAAATCAACAACAGTACCATGAGCAATTCAGTTCAGCCTAGTTTAGCAAAATAATGACCAAATCTCACTCATCATACACATCGCATCCAACGCCTTTACGGTTTCATGGTTTAATGCAAAAGTCCTTTCATTTCCATCGTAGTAATCAATAATCTCATGTCCCCAAGTACCCATCCCTCATCCACATTTCACAAAAAGAAAAGATTGGTCACATTACACATTCTACCCAAAAAGGCCCCCAACAGTCCCCTCTTTTTCAGCGAAGAAGAGAAAGACTTACACGTACAATGATGATTCGTGGCGTCGTAAATCTAGTGCGCTGCCATCTACGCGGCAATCTCCTCCTGGATGGTATCATGCTCGTGAATGCCGTTGCCGTTGCCGTTCATCATACCATCGCCGTTGGTGCCGTTGGTGACATCGTCATCGTCGCCGTCATAGTCCATCTTCTCTTGTTGAGCGATGGCTTGTTGGGAGACGATCTCAGCGAGGCGTTTGAGGCGTGGGGTTTGGAGCCCTGGAATGTCGTTAGCGTGAATGATGCTTGTGGTGAATGTTGTATACTTACAAGATGGTGTGTATGTCTCTAGTGCGGTAATGACACGGGGCTCCGCAATCTCGTACGGGCCTGAGTCTTCCATGTCGACTGCTGTCAACAGCAGAACGTCGCTCTTCTCCGTTACTCGGGAGGCGACAGCCTTCATGATCTCGCCGTTGATGGGCTGCTCATAGTCGGCAACCAAGTACTGGTTGAGAAGCTTCTGGATCTGGTTCGGGCTCAACATCCAGCAAATATCCTGGATAATCTCAATGTCGTTGAGAGTAGCCTTCTTCAGCTGAAGGAGCTTAGTGGCTTGCATGAGGTGCTCAAGCTGGAGCGTGCCCTCAGGCATGTCGTGAGACTTGCACCACTCCTCGATACGAGTGATGTTGTAGTTGATTTGAAGTCCACGCTTCCACGAAAGGAAGTTTCTCCTCATGAGGAGGTCGTTGAAAGCGGTAACGCCGACGAGACGGAGAAGCTCGGTGACGCATTGTGTGATGATTGAGTCCTCGAGGTAGTAAGCTTTCATAGCTTTGTATACACTGTTCAACAGGCTGAGAAGGTTATCCATGCTGAAGGCAGGCGTGTTGCTGCCTTGCAAAAGCTTGCCGAGGAAACGGTTAGACTCGTTCGTAACGAATCCAGGAAGTGATTGCGACTCGATGATAGCAGGAATGATCATGCGCTGCAGCTTCTTCTTGAGTACCTTCATCCAGGTGTGGTAAATGTTGAACTCAAGACTTTCCAAGTCGTGCTTGACGATCTCGAGTAGACGGTCGTACTCGTAGTTGTCCGTCTTCTGTTGCTCGTACCAGTCTTCGGCAAGGAAGACAAAGGACAACATCTCGTGAACGTTGCTAAGCCAGAAAGCGCCGGGGTTGATCGCATCGTCGCTATCATGCTGCATGACTTCCTGCTGAATCGATTGCATGACGTTTGCCAGGAAACGCTCTGATTCCTTCACGAAGCCGTTGTTCCACATCTCAGAGGTGACGAGATTGATGAGGTAGGCTGGGAACAGAACCTCCTTGTCGGTAGGGGGTGGTTGCGAAGTTGGCGATGGGATCTTCAGGTTCTTGATCAGACCGAGAGTGACCTCATCGTTCAGCATATCCTCGTCAGCAAGGATGGACTCAAGCTCAGCCTCGACGTTATCGAAGTGGGCGAAAGTCGAACCAGAAAGGTTCTGCCTGTGCGCAGAGGTACCAGGAGCCATGGATACAGGTCGTGGGTTGTATGTGGCGCTGAAACGGTCCACGAGATCGCGGGTATCGGGCCCGGCGCTTCGCCTCTTGGGTGTCTTTGAAGTGACCATCTTGAGGAAGCCGCTGGCAGCCATTGGTGCGTGCCCGTTTGATAGCTCGCCGTTGATGGGAGCGTTGCGCTTCATCAACTCCATTTGCTCTTGCAGCTCGGCGAGCTGTTGTCGGAGTGTAAGCTTCTCGGTTTCGGTGACGTTGCTCCTCCTCTTTGACTGCTCCAAGTCGTCCGTAGTCCTCTTGAGCGAGGCGCGGAGTTCCTTCTCTTCTTCCTGCAGATGGCGCATCTTTGCATTGCTTTCGTCGTAGCTTGCCTGTAGCTTCTTGTACTCGTCCTCCATCTGGCTCAGTTTGGCTGCAGTAATGCCAGCCTGGTTGGCCTCGGCTTGCAACTCCTTTTGTCGGTTCTCGAGGGTACGACTTCGCTCCTTGTAGGACTTGATCTGGTTCTCGTAATTCTCCACTTGCGACTTGAGCGACTTGTTCTGCTCCTTCATCGAACCAAGAGTCTGGGTGAGCTCGACGACCTTGTTCTCCAGCTTGTAAGAGATGTTCTTGAGATCGCGAGACTCGGCACGCAGAGTCTTGTACTGCTTGCGAGCCTGCTTTCCTCTCCACAGCTTCTGTACCATGACAACACTCTTCCTCTTGTTCCTCCAGTCCTTGAGCAATTTCTGTGATCGCCAGCTGCGTTGACAGATGAGGGCAGCTCGCAGCCATTGACGGTCCATGATAGCCTGCCTGAGTAGCCTTCCCTTGGCCTGAGCCTGGAATGCGATGACTGACTGCCGGATGATGAGGAACTCCTTGCGAACCTTGCTGCCGCGCCAGATCCGTTGAATAGTTGTTGCGGCACGAACCTGCCTGGCGTCCTCGGCACGCTCTCTTGCCATGAAACCCCTAGCCAAGGATTGAACAGACACAACGGCCTCGCGCATCTCCAAGTAGATACGGCGGTAGTATTTAGCACGGAGGTTCTTCTGGATCATAATCGCAGCGTCGTTGAGTCTAGCTGTCCGGAGGTTCTCGAGGAACGCAAGCATACCAGCGCGGAAGAAGATCTTTGTTAGACCCATCTGGTACTTGTCGGTGCCATCGTTCTTTCCGGCACCCAAAGCTTTCTTCAAGATAGCGGTAGCCATGTCTCGGATTTCTGGAGTCCATTCGTTTGACCTAACCAACATGTAGTATCGAAGAGCGAACTCCTCATATGTCCATCTTGTTGGGTAACCAGCGCAACTAATTCTGACAGTCTCAAGGACACCACAGGCTCGCAATTGACTGAGAACCATGGGGCCATCAAATTGCCAGGCAGCCTTGGCTTCGTTGGGCTTGATGCATCGAATGTAGTGAACGTCGGTTGAGTTGATAGTGTGCATCAGCTCAATGAGTGATGCCTTGAAGATACCACCAAGCGTTGGCTTCCTGTTCACGGCAATTCTACGGCCAGCGGACATGGTGGCTCCGGGCTTGGCGGACTGAGTGGAGGCAGTCTCCTTCTCCCGGATCTGTGCAGCCACATCCAGGACTTCGAGCAAGAACTTGTTGCTGGAGGCCTTGAGGACCTCCATGTGCTCGTCAGGGACGGTATCCCTGTTCTTCTCGATGAAGCCATCGGACTCATATGTGACGTCGACTGCATAATGGCAGACGGTGAAAGAAGACTTTCCGAACCGGGGCTTCTTGTAGAACTTGTGCTTGTCACCAGAAAAGTTGTGGTGCAACTTGGTCACAAACTGCTCGTCAGAGCCCATGGGCAAGCGAGACTCTTCGTCAAGCAGGGACAGAACACCCAACTTGCCCTCGATGAGATCAATACACGGCTGGTTGTCTGCAAAGTCGATGAATTGCCAGTCAATTTGCTCCCGCACGTACTCTTCCTGTTCGAGCTTGAAGACGTGGGCGTTGAATTCTTGCTGGAGCTTCTCGTTGGCATAGTTGATACAGAACTGCTCGAAAGAGTTCTTTGCAAAATGCTCGAAACCGTAAATATCCAGGACACCAATGAAGGTCTGGGCTTGGGCGAGAATCTGCTCGGTGGCAAGACTCTCGTTGGTACGCTCAACGAGCCAGTCGAACATGCTGGAGTAGATGAACTTGGCGACAGAGTCTCGTACAACAATGGCTGACTGCTGGGTCAAGTTGGAGACAATCTTCTCTCCTCTTGTGATGAGCTGCTTCTTGACAGTCCATTTGGCGAAGCTGCTTGCATCTATACCAAGCAATGCGCAAGCCTTGACCAAGGCTGGCTCGTCTGGAGCGAGATTTGAGTCTGTGCGTGTGGCTGTGATCTTGATGTCTCCGATGTGCAATAGCGCGGCAAGCAAGCGCCAGATGCCGGCCTGGGTTTCCGGCGGTACACCAACCTTGGTGAGGGATTCCCGGGTCGCGTTGAACTCAGCCTTGTCGTCTACACCGTCGATAACGGGTGCGCTTCCTTGGTTGAGATAGCTGAATTCCTCGACAGGCCTGAGAGACAGCTCCTCGCGTTCGGCGTCAGTAGCACCGGCGATGAGCTGGTAGAAGACGTGGTAATTCCGCTCCTTAAGCGGCTGGAAAACCAGTCTTGATCGTTCCAACAAGTAGACCCTGATCTTGGCGCCGATAATGTCCGTCTGTTTGTTGAACAGAATCTCAATGTATTTACCGAAACGGGACGAGTTATCGTTCCTTGTCGTTTTCGCGTTACCGAAGGCCTCCATGATGGGGTTGGTGGCCAGAATCTGCTCTTCAGTCTCACTCATGGAGTCGGCTTTGCCTCTCCGCCTGCCTGGGTTGTCTGGGGACTCGCGGGTCGCGAAGTATCGCATGATGTATTTGGCACTGACGGTCTTGCCAGCTCCGGATTCACCAGAAACGACGATGGTCTGGTTCTTCTGGTCCCGCAACATGTCGCTGGCGGAGTTAGCCAAGGACGTGGGGTAAAGGGAGTATGGGGATTGTGACGTACGCAAAGGCCTCTTCTGCAATGGCGAATAAATGCGGTGCGCCATATGAACGCTGCTTGCCGGCATAGACCTGCACCATGCCGGGTACATAGAGCGAATCGACTCGGGCAAAGGGGTTCGTTGCGATCAGCACGATACCCGAGTATGTGTAGATCTCCTTCTGCAGATAGCGCAGCTTGATGGCCTGGAGCACTGTGCACAGTCAGTATGCCTTGGTTGATTCAGGCGGTGGTCGCATGCATACCAGCCGGCTCGTTGAGATGGGACAGGTTGGTCAAATCATCGCTGGCCTCGAGCATGGCCGGGTTCATCAGCGGGGGCAAGTTGGGGTCCTTGCCCGTCTGGATGGCGAGAAGGGTCGTCTCAACGGTTTTTTTCTGTGCAGTGCATCGTCAGCCGTGGTTCTTCACATGTGGCCGTGACCCCTCCTCGTCGTCTGGTGCGTACCTCGCCGTTCTCGAGCTGGAACACCAGCTTCACCTTGTCCCCCTCGATCTGCTTGTCGACAACCTCGGAGGCAACCCAGCCGTCGGTTGGGTCGGGCTGCCATGCCCGGGTGCCGTTCTCGTAGATGTGCGCCATGGTGGTGGTGGTCGTGTCCCGCTCCCTCTCCTCGTGGTGGGAGCAGCAGTCAGGGTCCAAGACTCCTGCTACAAAAGGCTATACAGACTCCCGCTCGCTAAACTTGGGTGCGGCCGCTGGGGGTGAAAGATACAGCGTGCAAGATCGCCGCAATCACAGCGTCAGGTGCATGGCGGAGGGAATTGTGTGCGTGTTGAGTCTTCGGCATGCTGGCGGTGTCGAACCTCTCAGGAAATGGAAGGCACGCTAGTCACACCGCCCATGTGTCCCGCTTGCCGCACGAGCCAGACGCAGGAGACGCAGCCATACAGACGGTGCATTGGCTCAATCCCACGCTGAACACCTGGAGCCGCGCATGAAATCGTCTCACCACAGACGCACTCAGAGGGCCCATGCAGCACGCTCCACCTGTTTAACTCGAACCGCCTCGAGAACATGTTGTGCCACCCTCGACGGCTGAACTTGCCCACACACTCTCCTCACCAAAGTAGTCGACCCAGCCTAAAAGGCCAAGCGGGGCATTGGTGTCCCACACGTAATCAACGTCAAGACGCTGCCAACGTTTCGAAAGCCCGGGGGCTACCGCTGTTTCTTGCGTGGCACCCGCATGCTGAAACAACGACGCAAAGTTATCAGATTTCTCGCATTTGCTATGGTAAAATCACCTCCATGCGCCTAGATCCGTCCGTATATCCCGAGATCGACTTATCTTGAGAACGCCATGTTGAATGCTTTTGCTTTTTGCTTTTTGCTTTTTGCCTTTTGCCTTTTGCCTGTCTATCCTACTGTGAGTTGAAGAACACGCTGCCAATGTTGTGGAAACACTCTGAAACTAGACACCTGGTGCTGTCTAGTACAGAACCCGCGTTCGGATGCATGCTGCTTCTGTTAGCCAATTTGCGTATTCGAAAGAAAGTAGTACTTACAGGACAGCTCCTCGAGACTCTGGAAGAGGTCTCTGATTTCTTCCTCCTTGACATCGCTGATGTCTGCCATGAGGTAGGCGATCTCGCCTCTTGAATCAGACATCTGCTTCTCAATGTTGTGGTGGAGAAGGACGTTGTTCACTGCCCGCACGTTAGCCTCACTTTTCCTCTCATGTTCGACGATCCCGGCTTACCTTGCCGAAGCACACCAGGGACGTTCTTGTGAATGTAGATGACTCGCAAGCTGTTTGGCTCGTCGTGTGTCAAGCTCCTCAGGTTGACCTCGGGCAAGTTGACCGCACCCAACGTAGTGCCCTCGTTGACGTATCGCACCAGCGCTGTGCTGACCTCGACACCGATCGCACTCTGAGCCTCTTCGGTGCTGCCACCAATGTGTGGAGTCAAGATGATGTTCTTGAGACCAACCAGGTCCTTGGTCCACGAGTTCAGGTCGTTCGCAAAGTAGTCGCCATTACCAGCGGGCTCGTTGGGGAACACATCGATAGCAGCGCCAGCAATCTTGCCCGAGCGTGAGGCTTCAATGAGGGCAGGGATGTCGATGACGGTGCCACGTGCGTTGTTGATCAGGTAGCTGCCATCCTTCATCTTCGCCAGTTCGTCGGCGCCGATGAGGTCCTTGGTATCGGCAGTTGCTGGTACATGCAGCGAGACGAAGTCGGCCTGTTGCAAGAGCTCGTCTAGTGTAGTCACCTGTCGCGCAGTTCCCAGACCCATCATGGTCAAGACGTCGTAGTAGATGACGCTCATGCCCATCGACTCTGCCAGGACACTCAGCTGGCTGCCAATGTGTCCATAGCCGACTATGCCCAGCGTCTTGCCACGAATCTCCCAGCAGCCTTTGCTGACCTTGTTCCATGTGCCGTTGTGAAGTTCGTTCGAGCGGTCGCCGAGTTGGCGGGCGAGTGCAATGATCTCGGCGATGACGAGTTCAGCGACGGAGCGCGAGTTGCTGAATGGCGAATTGAAGACGGCGATACCCTTCTGTGCGGCGGTTTGGAGGTCGACCTGGTTCGTACCAATGCAGAAGCAACCGATGACAATGAGGTTCTTTGCCTCTTCTAGCACCCTCTTCGTGAGCTTTGTCTTGGAGCGAATACCAATGACGTGCACATCACGAATCTTCTCAATCAACTGGTCTTCTGACAAGCTACTCTTCAAAGCCTCGACTTGGTACCCCTGTCCCTTCAAGATATTTACACCAGCGTCGTTGACGTTCTCCAGTAACAGGACTTTGAAATCCTTCGTGTCGAACGGCTTCAGCTGTTTTGCGAGTTGCGACGCATGTGAAAGCGCCGGCACAGAACCATTGCGGCCATCCTGGAAGCTTCCGGAAGGCGGTTGTCGGAATGTCGAAGGCGGGCTGTGGAAAGAAAGGCTCGGGCTTGTACTGAGGTTTAAGCTGTTAGAAACGCTATGCGCGAGACTGCCCGCGATGTCTTGTGGAGGTGTCATGGTGTGCACGGAGTTTGCGGAGGACGCTCGGGCGGGGTGTTACAACTCGATCTGGTTGCACGATCCGGAAGGTGCTAAGAGGGTCCAGGTATAAAGTAGAGATAAGACCTTAGGGTGAGACAGGTCGGTGTTGAAATCTTGCTGGGGAAAATTAGGTGATGAGGGCTTATTGCGATGGCAAGTGCAGCATCAATGAAAGGATGACCGTAGCGACAAGGAACAGCGACAACAGGAACCAGTCAACAAGTCTCCACTCTATTACAAAGTATACGCTGGCCCGATTTGTGTTGGACAAAGCAAAGCTGACAGCTACATATGACTCCATCAAAGTCTGAGTCTTTACAAAATTTCTTGACGCGCCGCATGATGCAATCGCGCTAACCCCTCCATCACCAAAATATTGATGGGTGGCTTGTGCGACGCTCCGCTTTCGGGGTTTCGATGATGCGCCAGCACTGGTCTATTTTGCAGGCAAGCAAAACTCCGGAAAAGAGGTTAGAAGGGGAATTCGTTCCGCAATGAAGAGCCATGACATTCATTATCTATGTGTGTTGAGACTTATATTTGCTCCTTGCGTGTGTCATGCAATCGCCCAAAGTTCGTTAATCCTGAAGAACTTCCTGACGAGAGTTTCCAATGTTCCCGATTCGTATTCGCGTAAGTGCATTTTACAGCTTCTGCTCGTTCATGGGCCATGAGTAGCCTGTAAATTGGTCAGTACATTATCAAGCTGTTGCAGAGGTGAGGTCCTACCTGCTGCGTCGCTGAATTTGTAGCCGTAAGATGAGGTGAAGTCGTCAAGCACGGCAGGGCCGCGAGATCCTAGTAATATGATTAGCAATGGAAATGGACACGAAGGTTCGCTGGAGCTTACCGTAAGGGTACTCCATAGGAATGATCTCCTTGTTGTCATCGAGGTAGTGTAGCAGAGGAGTGAAGATCCTCCAGCTGGCATCGAGCTCATCGTCACGGACAAAGTTGGAGTGGTCACCCTTGAGCGCATCCAAAATGAGTGATTCGTAGGCCTCTGGGATCTTCAAATCGGAGAAGCGCCGCCTGTAGGTGAGATCGAGCTCTGTGAGAACAGTCTGCATGCTGAGACCGGGCAGCTTCGAGTTCATCTTGATGTACACACTCTCGTTCGGCTGTACGCGAATGACAAGCTCGTTTCGGGGAATGTCCTTGAAGATGCCTGAAGTGACATCCTTGAATTGGATGCGCACCTCGGTCTTCTGCTCGTTAAGGGCCTTTCCTGCCTTCAGAATGAAAGGTACACCATCCCACCTCTCGTTCTTGATGTATGCGACCATCGAGGCAAAGGTAGGGCATCGAGAGTCCTTAGGGACAGTGTCATCCTCCTTGTAGCCGGGCTTCGTGCCGTCAAGGGACTTTCCGTACTGGCCAATGATCACGTTCTTTGGCTCGATCGCGGCCATGCCACGAAGAACGCGGACCTTCTCGTCACGGATGTCTTCGGCGGAGAAGGAGATTGGTCGCTCCATGGCGAGGAGGGTGAGGACTTGCAACAAATCTAGGCTTGTTAGACGAGTCTTCGGATTTGTCCACAGTTTGGCTTACGGTTTTGCATAACGTCACGAATGATGCCAAACTCGTCAAAGTAGCCTCCTCGTCCCTCTGTGCCAAAAGGCTCCTTGAATGTGATCTAACCTTGTCAGCGGCCGAACTTCGTAATTCCATATATTCTGTACCTGAATGTTGTCGATGTGGTTCCTGTTCCATGTGGCGCCAAAGAACTCGTTGCCGAATCGGAGAATGAGGATGTTCTTGACCATCTCCTTGCCCAGGTAGTGATCGATACGGTAGAGCTCATCTTCGGTCCAGTCTGGTGCGAGCGCAGTCTGAAGCTCTCGGGAGCTGGGAAGATCTTTACCGAAGGGCTTCTCGACCTGTTGTTCCACGGTTAGCTGCTTGTTGACAGGTGGCTGTGTGCGGACGACGTACGATAACACGAGAAATGCCGTTCTTTGGGTAGCAGTTGCGCTTCAAGTGCTGCGAGACTGTGATGAAGACGCTGGGAGGGAGCGCCATGTAGAAAATCCTGTTGGTCTCCTTGCGACCCTTCTCGAGGTCTTGGAGGTGCTTCTCGAGCTCCTGGAAGGACTCATCCTTGTCATACTGGCCAGATACATATGTGCAGAAGCCGCAGAACTCCTCGAGTTGCTTCTCAAGCTCTTTTGTGGGGGTCTTGATGTACGACTTGACGCGCTTGAGGTACTCCTCGTGGTCCATCTTCGTTCGTGCATATCCGACGATGCGAATGTTCTTGGGGAGGAAGTTGTTGCGGTGCTAAAGACTGTCAACTTTGGGCGCATGGAGCTGTAGACGTGGAACCTACAAGGCCGAAGAGCGCAGGGAACTGCTTGAGGTCAGCATTGTCGCAGATATCATCGTCCCTCGGGTACTCACAGTCTTCTTCTTTGCCAGATCGCCGGACGCGCCTAGAACGACTATGATGGTGTTGTCCTTGAGCTCCATGTTGCTGCATAAGAGGGATGATCAGCCGTCGTGTCTCGTATGCTTTGAAGTCGCGCTCTCCACATTTGGGAGCTGCCCCTCCACCATAGAACGCGGAACCCGTTTCATGCACGCAAAGGCTCAGATTCAAAATACAACGGGCATGCAAATCCGGACGCCCCGGAAATCATAGCTGGGAGAGGAAAATGACCTACCCAGCGGTGAGCTCATCGTGCTTAGGCTGAATAACAGTGTCCGCCATGATAGCAGATGGGGGGAAACTGCGAATGCTGCGCGGGGAGGGCGGTGGTGAGAGGCGGAGGTCAATTGGAGGTTTTCAAAGTCAATCGGAGGTTAAGATGAACAAGACGTCAGAGGAATGGCGGAAGGAGCGGAGGGGCCGTGTTGTTTGAAGGAAAAGCTTCGGTGGTGGGGTCAGAGGCCCTGCGTCTAGCGGCCGTTCTGGTCTTCTTGACGTATTGTTGTCGCCTCTCGGAGTGCAGCAGTGGCCAACAGCGATTGGAGAAATATCACGGCAAGTCTTAAAGCGAGGTCTCAACGTCTTTTAAAACAGCCTCGAGGAAGCACCCAGGTTATCAAGCATCACTTAGCGGTGACACGTCTCGCGAAGCACAACTCCGGCGCCAGTCAGATCTTACAGTAATAATGCTGGTCGGAGCCTTAAAACCGGTGGTCGCGGACGAACCCCACCATGACCTACAATTATGCTGCGGCAGCTTCTCGCGCGCGTCGGAAGTGCATGACAAAGCTCAGAGAAGCTGGCCGAGATCTTGATTGTCTAAGATCTGACCGAAAAATTCTGACCCGTTTCACTGTTGTCGCAGCACTGTGAAGGTAGCGGACGCGTGCGCTTCGGTGCCCCGCTCTGCTGCTCACGCTCCGAATACAGGAGCTCCCAAAGCACGTCTCGGGGCGGGATAATGTAAGAAGCGGCACGTCCCAAACTCAGTATGACGATGTACAGCTGTTGAGTATTGCCAAACCTCCCGGATCCCCAGCATCGTCACGACAAAGATGCGTTGTTGAGACTCTAGTTGCTTGTCGCACCCACATGCATTTGGGTTCAGATTGCTGGCTGTCTACCAATAAGCACTGCTTTTGGGATATCGCATGAGGTCGGACTTTTGCCGTTGGCAATACTGCACATGGCGCGCGGAGGTGGGTGTGTATTACAAGCTCGGTATTTGCATTAGACCGGCGGTTTTCATGTTGCGGTCATCATCGGCTGACTCCAGATTGCATGGCTATAGTAACCAAACAAGTACACAGGCGTAGTGTTTAGGTATGGCCGCACCCGAAGAGCCATCGAACTATGTACGATGAAGGTAGAGTTATCTTGTGCGGTTTTGTGAGGGGAAGCAGACTTGGTGGGGAGGGCAAGCTGTGTAGCTGGTGCGCCGTGGATGCCGTCCACACCTGGCCGTCACTCTCCCCTCCACAAGAGCGTCTGCAGGTCTACGGCCACTCAATTTGGCTATCAGGGCTGTCTGCTTGGTAAGAGCCCCATCGTTGTATAGATCGCGCTGTGCTGATAGGCTTAAACAGTCTGTCGCTCTACTCGCACCGTTCCAGCGTGAATCACAGAAACAAGCAGTAGCAAACGGCACCGGGTCGTGCGCTGATTCATGCGCGTACTTTGCAGACGCTCCTTAGATTGGCATGATTATCAGTGTCCTGTATTATAACAACAGCTACCTGAGAGCACATGTGCTCATTGATGTACATTTATCAGAATCACCAGTAGTAATAAGCACACGGAGCGGCACCTTGCAGCGGTCACGGGAATGTTGGTGTTGAGCGGCAGAGCGCCAAGCCGCTGGTGGCCAGGGCTGCGCTAGTGCCCACGCTCGCTTCGTCAATTTCGAGCAGCGACAACCGACATCGAAGAGACCAGACTAACCAGCAGCAACACCACGACCACGGTCTCGATACCCTTCTCCCAAATCACCCGGAAGCAAATCGTTCGCCATGTCTGAGAAGTCCCACCGTCTCTATGTCAAGGGAAAGCACATTTCGTGAGCACGCACCGCCGCGACATGCAATTACTACATCACTAACAACCCAAAGCTATCAGCGAGGAAAGCGCAACACCAACCCCGGCACTTCGCTTTTGAAGCTCGAGGGTGTTGACAACACCGAGGCGGCAAACTGGTACTGCGGCAAGCGCGTAGCCTGTACGTACTTGAATCCGAAAGCACACAATGGAATGAAGGACTAATGGCTTCACAGACGTCTACCGTGCTCAGAGGGCCATCCAGGGCTCCAAGATCCGCGTCATCTGGGGCAAGGTCACCCGGCCACACGGCAACAGCGGTGCCGTTCGCGCCAAATTCAGGTCCAACCTGCCTCCCAAGTCTTTCGGTGCCTCCGTCCGCGTCATGCTTTACCCTTCTTCGATATAATCCCCGTCACGACTCTGGGTATGGAAACGAACGATAGATGAGCGATGGAGTGGAGGGTGACACGGCGCAAAACTCGGGCGAAGAGCGAGAGAATGGCAGCAGAGACATTCATGCTCGTCCTCTTTCTCATGGCATGTTCAGGCTGGTTCACGGTGTCATTGTTTTCGGAAAATCCATGACAATGGCGAAATCAATCAAGATTCCTTCCAAGATCAATCAAAAATGATCAAACATCACTTGTCCCACATTTGGTCTCTGTGATGCAGGATGACATCTAGGAACTTACGACGCTGGCAAATGGGAATGGATAAGCCAATGCGCGCAGAATACTGACCTGAAGAGCTTATCGCAGGCTCCTAGCAATACGACCTACATCAAAGGAACGGCCTGTCCCAACGACTGCGCATACTATACGGCAACCTGAGGCCCAACAGGCGTTGATTTTGGATTTCCTCAGCGGTACACTCTCCCTCAACCCTTGTCCTGGTTGCTAGAGATGTATTTTGTGAAACTTTTTTTGTCCAAAATGCTGTCTTTCCTGAAACATTCTGATAGATATGGCTATACGTTGGTTGGGTCAACACTGCCTCAAATAAGCCCACTCGCTCCGTGCTATTACATTCACATCATGTTTTTCAGGTTCAGCAATGTCCTCTAATAGACTGTACAAAGGCTTCGAGTCGCTCATGAAGATACACATCGCCCATCTTATGTCGCTTCCAGAACAGCATGACGGCACGGTGTTCGACTTCCTTACCCAATCGTTGTAGCGTGCTGGTCCTCAACCACAGCTGCTTTTTGATGCTTTTGGATATTCATCGACTTTCTGCTCACAATAAAGTGAATTAAAGTTAACATGAGTGTAGGCTGCGTTCATGTCCTCAATGATGAGTGTCGAGGATATCCATCAGGCACTTTTTCATAATTAACTTTGTAGGAGCCCCGGAGAGTCTGCACAGTAAATCATGACGTCGCTCTCATGTGAATGGGCCATACTGATAGTCCGCGCTCCCCAAATCGCACGCCCAGCTGGATAAGACGGTTCACACAGTGGATCCGACTGCTTACGACGCGCGGCTGTCGTGATTCGTCTTGGCAACATATATTCACGATGCCAGCTTCTATTCACGCACAGAGCAAAGGGACCTGAAAAAGGCGAGTGAAAGGTAAGGAAGTCCATCATAGTCAGAAGTGTCAAAATGTCGCCGGCCGCAAAAGCGCGCTCGACCCAATCAACCGCACTCGGTCCCTGCAACGGCCCGCCCATCCAGGGTCCAGCGTGCTCACCCCAAAGCCAAGCAATGAAGGGCTTACGTTCCCCCTCAAACTCTCCCCTTGCAGCCGCACATAGAGTTATGCAGATACATTTTCGCTAATGTATTTAACTTGCGCTTGATATCTCACTCTTCCACTCGCTCTTTTGTCTCGTGACAACCGCCCAATGCGACTTACCACGTTTCCCTAACTTGAGCTTGCGCACGCGACTTTATTTCTGGATTACGCCGAGGTGTTGATTGGGAGAGGATATGCCGTCGATTGCGCGATGGAGGGGGACACCCAAGGTCAAGGGCTCGAGTGAGAGTGTGCGCATGGCGCTGTTGACTGCGTCTTTGATCGGGTTGCAGTAAGTTCTAGAGCCTCAAGTCACGCATTGTTCTGACCAAGCTTTGTAGATTTACATGGAATGTCGAGATGACTTACTGTACCCCCTACCTCCTCGAGCTTGGCCTCACGAAGTCGAAAATCAGCCTCGTATGGGTGGCCGGCCCTCTCAGCGGCTTGATCATGCAGCCCATCGTGGGTGTCGTAGCGGACCGGTCGACATCGCGCTGGGGACGTCGGAGACCTTATATGTTCGGCGGCACGATACTTGTATCCATGTTCCTGCTGCTGCTGGGCTGGACAAAAGAGGTGGTGCGATACTTCGTGAAGGACGAAGCGAGCGCAAAGAGCAAGACGATTGTGCTGGCAGTGTTGAGCATCTATGGCATTGACTTTGCAATCAATGCTGTTCAAGGGAGCTGCAGAGGGCTGATTGTGGACACGCTGCCGATTGCAAAACAACAACAAGGGAGTAGTTGGGCAAGTCGCATGGTTGCCGTGGGGTCGTTGATTGGATATGGAGCTGGCGCAATTGACTTGAGAAGTGTGTTTGGACCAATGCTGGGAGATACACAGTTCAAGCAGCTTACGGCTGTCGCGGCGCTGACGTTGTGTATGGCTGTGGGAGTGACAAGCTGGGCTGTCACGGAGAGGGTCAGGGTCATTGATGAGGCGGAAGAGAAGATCAGCCCTGTTGAGGTTCTGCAAACAATCGCAAAGACGGCAATGAACCTGCCAAGGGGCATACAAGCAATCTGCTATGTGCAATTTTGGGCATGGATTGGTAAGTTCTCGCGGGTATCTGCTCGTGATTTTGATACTAATCGGCCGTTAGGATGGTTCCCCTTCCTTTTCTACAGCACAACCTGGGTTGGCGAAGTATACCTGCGCTACGACGCTCCGGCTGATGTCAAGGCGGCAGGCGATCTGACAGGTAAAGTTGGTCGCATCGGTTCCTCGGCTCTGATCTGCTTCAGCATCATAACATTTATAATGTCTGTGTTGCTGCCATTCTTTGTGAAGTCACCAGAAGACGAGAAAGCTAATGGCTTTACTCCTCGACCACCCAAGGGCTTATCCACCGTTGTGGCTGGAATCGAGAAACACAAGCCATCACTGCTTACTGCATGGACCATTGCGCACTGCCTCTTCGCCAGCTCCATGATCTTTGCGCCGTTTGTCAGAAGCTTGCGGGCTGCGACCTTGATCATCGCAGTCTGTGGAGTGTAAGTGGATTACGACGCATTCTAGAAACTAGAGCTAATAACTGTCAGATCTTGGTCAGTGGCTTGTTGGGCGCCCTTCGCGTTTCTCGGAGTGGAGATCAACCGCATCACGCAAGCCAACGGCCATGCATACTCTCGCATCGGACGCAACTCAGTCGAGCTCGAATCACCGATTCCTCTGCACCTCAACGGCGGTCTAGACGAAGCGAGCAAGGAAGCGAGCAGCTCGGGCGGTGGCGATACAGGCAAATACCTGGGCATTATGAACCTGTACACGACGCTGCCCCAATTCGTTGGGACGGGGATATCGTGGGTTGTCTTCTCAATACTCGAGCCTGGTAAGAGCCCTGAGCTCTCAGAGGCACCGCCAGAAGAACATCATTCGACGGACGGCCCGAATGCGATTGCTGTTTGTCTTTTCATTGGAGCCTGCTGTGCGTGTTTTGCTGCGTTGGCAACGAGAAGGTTGAAGCAGTTCCAGACTTATTGATACCCATAGAAGCTTGCGTATGTAGAACGGATGTAACCGAAGTTTACTAAGTTCTGACTTTTTCTTCTGTGATGAGGTGTGATGAGGTGTGATGATGGGCAGATAATGGCCTGTGCATGGTGTATCGGAGAGAAAGGTGGAGCAACTCTCTGGACAGAGAATGCTTTGGCTGACGTACCAGCACGAACTCACTCTGACAAGATGGTGCTTCCCTTTTCAGGACCGAGGCAAGTGCAATGGCGTAGGGAAAATGTCCAGTCTAACAGTCCCGCCTTCCACGATCGTTCTAGAAGGCAGGTGCGGCTAGGATGCAGGCTCTGAGACCAGGATGTAGCTGGAGAGACCGTTGGAAACGGACCGCATGCGGTTTGCTGCTTGCTCGTGTCGAGCTGCTGCCGCACAGTTACCTGGCGTCGGAAGCAGCGTGCATAACAGCACAACGCCAGCAGCAGTCATCCGATGATGCATCGCATCAATGCGTGTACTCGATGCTGGGCGGCAACAGCGTAAGTTGCCAAACAATTTCTTCACCACTGCAACCCATGAAGCGGCCAAGGTCGGCCATGGGCTCGAAAAGTCTGATGCGATAGCCTGCGGCATGTGCGTGCTCTGTGTCGCTTCCATCCCCGTAGTCTGAGTCGCTGTATCGTGGTGTATGTAGCAAGGTTGGGTGGCCACCACACGTGCCAGCGGGCAGCAAGAAGCGGTAAACCTTGCATTCAAATAGCACACACGATCCTGCTTTGCCCTCGCAACACTCGCAAAATCCCATCCCCGCCTCCAAACAAAGTTGGCAAATCGTGGGCTGTTTGTCTACGGGCTAGGACGATTGTTTCATTCACTGAGAGCCAAACAAACCTGCCGCCATTGACCCTCGCTAGCCGCAACTAGTTACACAGCGAGAGAGGCGAACAACGGGCTCGCTCTTGATCTCGCCGAACATTTCTGCAGAGCGCTCACCATCAACACGACCATTCTCAACAATCCGCCACCCGCACATCAACGACCGGGAACCGCCAAGATGTCTGAGCCAATCCGCAATAAGAAGATGGACTCCATCTCCGCTCCGTAAGTACTTGGTGCCCCGCAACACACTTTTTTTGAGCCTCTTCCACACACCCACACAACACCGCACACACACCGCCCACCATGGACGTACCCAAGTCTAACTCTACCGTCTCCAGCACCCCGCAGAACACACCCGCCAACGCTGCCCCAATATCGTCGCACGCTCAGAAGCCCGGCGTCGGCACCATCAAGGAAGGTAAGTCGCAACAGCCTGCCCCTCCGACCCCGCGAAGGGCGGCGCAACTGGGCGTGACCGCTAATTCGAGTTTTGCAGAGGATCTTGAGCGCACTGCCGCCGGCCTCTTCGCTGCCAACCCCGCCCTCGTCGCCATGATGCAGAACAAGCTCGGCTCGCTCGTCGGCCGCTCAAGTGGCTACATCGAGTCGCTGCCAGCCTCGGTCCGCCGTCGCGTTGCCGGCCTCAAGGGCGTACAGAAGGAGCACTCCAAGCTCGAGGCCGAGTTCCAAGAGGAGGTCCTCCTGCTCGAGAAGAAGTATTTCGCCAAGTTCACACCGCTCTACGAGACCCGTGCCAAGATCGTCAACGGCGCCACCGAGCCTTCCGAGGACCAGGTCAAGGTGGGCGAGCAGCAAGACGAGGACGATGAGGACGACGAGGACAAGCCCGAGACCGAACTCAACCAGGACGAGGGCAAGGACGTCAAGGGTATTCCAGAATTCTGGCTGAGCGCTATGAAGAACCAGATCTCGCTCGCCGAGATGATCACAGACCGTGACGAGGCTGCACTGAAGTCTCTGACCGACGTCCGCATGGAGTACCTTGACCGCCCCGGCTTCCGTCTTATCTTCGAGTTTGACGAGAACGAGTTCTTCACCAACAAGACGGTCACCAAGACCTACTTCTACCAGGAGGAGAATGGCTACGGCGGCGACTTCATCTACGACCACGCCGAGGGCGACAAGATCGACTGGAAGGCTGGCAAGGACCTCACTGTCCGCATCGAGAGCAAGAAGCAGAGGAATAAGAGTGAGTGACACTTCGCAGTACGTTGAATCATGTATGCTAATTGTCCGCAGACACCAAGCAGACGCGCGTCGTCAAGAAGACCGTTCCCACAGAGTCGTTCTTCAACTTCTTCGACCCGCCCAAGCCCCCGCAGGACGAGGACGACGACGCTGCCTCCGACATCGAGGAGCGTCTCGAGCTCGACTACCAGCTCGGTGAGGACATCAAGGAGAAGCTCATTCCCCGCGCGATTGACTGGTTCACCGGCGAGGCTCTGCAGTACGAGAACATTGAGGACTTCGACGAGGGCGAGTTCGAGGATGAGGATGATGAGGACGAGGACGAGCTTAGTGACGACCGTGACGAGGATGAGGAGTCAGATGACGAGGTATGAGACATAACCCCTTGCTCAAATTCGCAAATCACCAGCTGACAATCAATAGAATGACGGCACAAAACCCAAGCAGGAGGCTGCTGAGTGCAAGCAGAGCTAGATTTCTCAAACTACGGATATGGTTTTCTTGCCTTAGAGATGTTGGGCATGTTCTTCCCATCTACCAGAACGCATTTCAGTGGCTATAGTGCCGCGCCAGCTCGTTGACCTGGCCTTTACATCCCCATACCCTCCGTTTTGTCCTCTCGCAAGTCTCATATACGCGTAATACTGCATTGAAGGAAAAGGAAGACGGGTATCTAGCGACAGTGACTCGCACGCTTCGCGAGGTAGCTGTTCCTGTGACCTTCACTCCAGTGGCACCATTTCTCGTCTCTTTAGTCGAGCATGTTTTACGAGCTGGTGGACATTCCTCAACACATGAGCATGTACGGCGTCATTCGGTGGAGTTTTGAACCTCATTGTAGTTTGTTCGATAGAAGAAACGAATTAGCACGTTTCCCACGGCACCAAAAGTCTAGAGACATTTTTTTTTTTGAATCAACCCCATTGCATCCCTTTTTGGTGAATGATAGGCTGTTCGTGATTTAGGTGCTCTTAGCAATGTAGACACGAAGATGAGATGCTATATAACCTAGTTGTTTCATTAATCTTAATTCAATGTGACAGACGAGGTACTGCCAATTCCGACATCAAAAGCTCGCCGTTAGACTCCTGTTAACAATGGATTGTGCGAGCACTTAGCCATGCATACGAAGATGGCTAGCGCGGGGTAGCGGGGTCCTATCGGGAAAACTCCGGGCGCTCGTAAATTTCTAGGGAATGCGACAACTTCTGGACCACAGACGACAAGATCGATCAGAGCAGTGATCAAATCCCGTTGAGCAGTCATATTTATCCACACTTCTTTAGCAGACATCCAAAAATATCTGACGCCTTGCATCTACTTGCATTGCCTCAACAGACTTCAAACCCGCTTGCGACAAATCAGTACATCATGGCGCGAACGAACCCAAACATTGTGGTTACGGGTACTCCAGGTGTGGGAAAGACGACACATGCTGAGCAATTAGCACAAGCGACGGGTTTCAAGCACATTTCTGTAAACCAGATTGTAAAAGACGAAGGATTCCATGAGGGCAAGGACGAGGAAACTGGAAGCTGGGTCGTCGATGAAGACAAGGTGCGTCTTTCCTTGCACAGACCTGTCACAGCATGTGGATGCAATGCTAACTGATCCTTCAGCTCCTCGACTACCTAGAAGCTCTCCCCCTCCACTCCGACGGTGGCTACATCCTCGACTGGCACGCATGCGATCTGTTCCCCGAGCGCTGGATCGACCTCGTCATCGTGCTGCGCTGCGACTCCACGCTACTTTACGACCGGCTAACGGCGCGCGGATACAAGGGCAAGAAACTCGAGGAGAACATGGACAGCGAGATCATGCAGGTTCTGCTAGATGAGGCGCGCGAAAGCTACAAAGAAGAGATTGTGGTCGAGTTGAAGAGCGAGAGCACGGAGGATGTAGAAGGGAATTTGGAGCGGATAGAGGCGTGGGTGGAGAATTGGAAGAAGGATAATGCTGGGAATGGAGAGGCTTGAAGCAGCAGAGGCATCGAGAAGAATAAAGATGTGAATACTCAATCGTGTGTATATTGGGCTGAAATGGTGAGTTTGACCTAACTCCTACACTCTACGCATCGACCTTCTGCGCCAGCCACTCTTTCAACTTCTCCAGCGCCTTGCCCCGATGGCTTATCTTGTTCTTCTCACTCTTGTCCATCTCAGCATACGTCTGACCCTTGTACTCGAAGCACGAGTCCCAGCCTATCCATCATCAGCATCCCATCATTCAAAAACAATATTGCTAACTCACCAAACGCAGTAGGCCCCCGACTCTCCACCAACTTGCCATCCGTGCGTCCCTGGAACAACACAGGCTCATGCCCTGGCCCCTCGCAGTACGCAAACGTACACACAGCTTGCGCGGACTTGTCGTCGAAGCCGGCCAGGAGCTTGTGCATCTGCGCTGCGCCGAGCGATTGCATGAACCATTTTCTGCGTCGGATATCAGCACCACTTCAAACAGGCAAGATGGCGTGAACATACATGTACGGCCCCGGCAAGTCATTCATAGCCTTGAAGCAGAGACATGTGTCTTCAACCAGCACTGGGCCTTTGATCTATTATAGCACCTTTTAGCATGATTAATACAATGAATGAGTGTAAATGTGAACGTACGGCTTCAGCAGCTCTACGCGCTTTGTCAGTAGTGACGTCTTCCACTGAGCCTTGGATCTCAACGAGGTCGATATTTTCGTTGCGCAGCTCAATTACGCCGGCAAGGATGGCTTGGACTTCGGCGAGTTTGTTCTTGTTGCCGGTTATGAAGTTGAGGTGGGCGGGGGTGGGGGACATCTTGGATAGTGTACTTGTTCTTGTGAATGAGATGTGATGAGATGGTGAGATCCGTAGATGTTTTGGGTTGAAGTAGGGTTGAGCTTAGAGAGTTGAAAGATCGATGTAATGCGGACCTCAAAAGACAGATCTTCTTGATATATACGCTCTGAAATCGTAATTCCGCGCTCTTGATAATCTGCGGTCGTATGAGCTGCCAGGTATGACTCTTCAAGCTGAATCGTGGCTCTAAAAGTCGCACTACAGGATGGTTCCACTTACCAACCACGTGCTTAGATCAGATGTAGGAAGTCTCGGCGTTTGGTGCAGGCAAACCAAAGGGCTGAGATCAGTCTACAAAATTCACTACATGGCCTAGACAGGGAAGGCGCGATGCTGTCTCTGGGGCTTAGCGAGACGTTAAGCCGCAAGCGATGTCTAGCGCCCTTATGAGCTGAGGAACTCACCGTAGCTTGCAGTGACACCCATCCTCTACCAACGTCATTCATTTCCGAGTCATTTAGATTGCTTGCGACTGCTTAGGCCTTTGTGTTTGCATCGAATTGAGGAGGCTACTGGGCGTTTCCTCGAGCTTCATTTTCTATTCCAGGACAACACTTGGCACGACTGCAGGACAAGCATAACGCCAAACAAAACTGCCCTGGAGGGACCTCTCCATTGACCCTTCGCCATCATGGGCTCCCTCAGGACTCTGTTTCTTGGTGTTTACACTTCTAATGTCATTATAAGGGCACTCTTCCTTCCTTCCTTCCATGTCTTGTTGTTCAGCCCGTTCTTGACGCTTGCCGGATGGTACCTTGGATTCGGCCAAACCATAAAGACGTACATACCGGAAGACTTTTCGTGGTTCGATCTGCTGCCTCAGATTGCGGTATTGACGGTTGTAGTGCTGCTACCCACGAGGTTGTTATCTGGCTCAGGAGGCGTAAGCAAAAGCAGCGACGGGAAGAGACGGGCTCAATCACTACCATATTGGATCCCTGGAGTTCGACATTTCTGGAGCATCATCTCTGGTGGTGAAGCATGGCTGAATGGTGTTCGGTAGGTTGACAAGTCATGGGTGCAAATGAAACAAACTGATCGTCATAGGAATTCCACCTTTGAAAGCATAGTCTCGTACAATACTTTTGGATCCAAACACAACATCGTACTCAACGACACTCTGACGGAGGACTCCATATTGACGCAAATATCTAATCAATCAAGCAATCTCGAAGTACCCGATACCACGAAATGGGCTGTTCTTCGTAACGCATTCAGCATTCCAAGCAATGCTAAACCACAATACTTCCAGATAGAGTCCGACATCGAAAAGTCGGTCGTGGCCGAAGTATATGAGCAGATGTTGGCACTAATGTCCCCAACCCTCAACACTTTATCCGAATCGTTGCCCGACTTCGTCACATTCAATTCGTCGATCGTGGACCAGATGCAGTGGGAGCGCGTGGCCAACGTTGAACTCTCGGATGGAACTTCGGAAGCTGAATGCGATCTGTTTGCACTGGTCAATGAGTTTTGTTGCAACGCCATCCTTCCACCCATCGTTGGCTCACAATTCACGGAGTCATACCAACTGTTGGCTACAGATCTGGCTGCCTTCAACTCGCGGTACTGGGCGCTTGCACTTGGGCTACCACGCCTATCCCCCATTCAAGGATTGCCAGGAGCGGCACTTTCACAGAAACGCTTAGTCTACAACTTCACAAAAATGTTCAGCGAGCTTGCGAATCCGCCAGTGCGGCGAGTGCCTGACGACGATGAGAGTGTCAGTGGAGAGGAGACCGATGCAGATGTGCTCACACCTGTGGTGAAGCTGAACGAACTCTTCACAAAGCACGATCTGTCCTTGAACGCTCGAGCGTCAATAACGCTGCAGCTCGTCCACGACATTGTCGCAGGAGTCGTACCGCTTGTGTTCTGGACACTGATGCACGTCTATGCATCCTCTGAAGGACCAGCAGCTGAAGCATTCGGAGTCATACCAATTGGCAAGATCATAGCCGAGACGAAAGCATGGGCACAAGCATTCCAACCACCATCAATACATCCGGCATTTCCATCGCCACCAGCAATCATCTTCGACCCTACCTTCAGCCAACTCCCAGCAGACTTGATGCCATACCTCCACTCCTGCATGAACGAGTCTCGTCGCCTCTACAGCTGCTCCGCCCTCACCTATCTCATCAAATCGCCCATAACCCTCTCCGACCCCAACCCCAGCGTCCAGCAAGAAACCTGGATCCTCGACGCAAACTCCTACCTCGATATCGGCCTCTCCCAGTCCCTCATAAGCTCCTCCCCAGCTATATTCCCCGACCCCACATCCTACAAACCCGACCGCTTCACCACCTCCCCACCAACACCACCCACCTCCCCCTCCCACCTGTACAAATCCGCCCTCGTCCTCGCAATTCTCACTGGCATATTCCAGCTCTGGGAAATCAGCCCGGCGCCCAAGAAGAGCTTCTTCGACCACATGCAGGAGGCGCGCGAGGAGGCGCAGATCCGCGCCGCGCCGCTAACAAGTGAGCGTCTAGAGGCCAAGGATGCGCAGCTCAAGGAGAAGAGGGAGAAGGAAGGGAAGGTGGAGAAGTGGGTGATGCCCAAGGCGGTGGATGGGGCGAGTATCAAGGTTCCCAAGGCGGATGTGAGGGTGAGGATTAGGCGGCGGGAGGGATTGCCGGCGGGTGGATTTGGGATGAGGAGGGTGGGATAGAGATGCGAGGATGGCAAAGTGGCGATGGGTGAGTGGGTCTTTGGCGTAGAATTATTGTTTCTATTATGGGAATCATGGCCTGTGGCAAAACAGCGACCAGCATAATCTTTGGCACATATCTGGTGATGACGAATCATACAAGGATTTATGGAATGTAAATCTAGTATCCAGTTGGCGAGGGAAATTAGGTTATAAAAAGGTGAAACGATAGAATCGAACTGTAAAGTAACAGGGATCTGGCAGCGTCAAGGATGCAGCGACTGTCGACGAGCATCAATAATGGCAGAGGTTCAGGCAAATGTTGTAAACCCGAGGCTATTTTCGATGAGTACGTTGTAGCGGCCCATAAATCAAGGTCACATCGAGGTCGGGAACATGGAGCAAGTGGAGCATGGAGTGTCTTGTCAATGTCATTTCGTTGATCGTACTTTTCCCGCACCGCCGCATGAACACCGAACGAAGATGTAGCCATGCACGCCAGTCACTGTCGCGGGAGCGCATAAGGGTTATGTTCATCCTTTCATTTGTAAACATAACACCTTTTGGTATGCCCATATCATGCCGTAGAAGATTGAAAGACCCAGAAACCCCTTGCCTGATCAACCATGCTCGTTTACACCTCGTTGAGGACGGTCTCCTTGAACTCACGCTCGACCTGTGTGATGTTAGACAGAGTTCGATGGTGCGCGGGGGAGCGTGGGGAAGGCATACCTTCTGGCCAGAGTCGTCAGCGCTTGACTCGCCGTGGAGTCCGAGGAGAGCACCAAGGTCGAACTTGGGAGCCTTGAGGAGCTTGACCTTTCGTACGTGGACCTGCGCCATGTTAGCCTTGTAACCCCACTTCATTTGCCTTTTCACCACATACGTTCTGGAGGGGGTAGATGCCCTGGGTGGACTTCTCGATCTCGCGACCAATGACCTCGGGGATCAGCTTCTGGGTGAGCTGAGCAAGAGTGCACGAGCTGGCGTCGCGGGTCATGATCTCAACCATCTTCTTGCGGATGGCCCTGATCTGCGACGAGGCAGCGTATGTGGTCTTCTTGATCTGGTTTGGTCGGCGCTTGGTGAAGCCGATGGCAAAGAGGCGCAGGAGGTAGTCGTCGGTGGTCTTGACAACGACGTTGGCCTCGATGAGGGTTTGCCACTTGCGAACGAGCGAGCGGAGCTTGTCGGAGGTGAAGTCGAGGCCGTGGAAGTTGGTCAGGCAGTTCTTGCCCTGGACCTCGTCGACACGGAGCTTGACCTTGCGGAAAGCGTGGTCCTCATCCTTCTGGAGATCGGCGAGCGAGACCTCGAATATCCGGCCCTTGAGGGCGTCGTTTGCGTTCTTCAAACCGGTGGTACGGTTGACGAGGGTCTTGCCGACACTGCAAGAGGCACACGATCAGTACTGCTGCCATTGAGAGGGCGAGAGACAGCGGCGGATTTCTTACTCTCGGATGGCGAAGGTTCCTGGCGCCTTGACGTTGTACCAGTCCTTCTTCGCGAAGGTGTCGGTCTTCTTCTTGAGACCCTTCTTTCCCTTTGAAAGACGCTTGTTCTTGCCGACAGCCATGGTTGCGACTCTGGTGTGTTGGGCGTCGAGGTGGTGTTGTCGTCGATTGTGTCGCTCTTGCAATTTCGACAAAGGTCTCGCAAGCGAGGCGCTAGATTCGTGCGCGCTAGCAATAATGGGGACGCCAAGCGTCACGTGTCAGGGTCCGCTCAGAACAGCAGGATCATCGCCACCTCACAAGTGCAGCAGGTGCGCAGCATCATCAACTCTTGTTATTGTTGTCTACTTCCTAATCGATTGATGCGATAATCAATTTTTCGGAGATTTTCGAGATTGCTGAGCACAAACGACGCCCACTGCAGCTTCCCAACAATGGCTGAAGTGACCAGCTTACAACGGCAGGCAGGTCATACAATGAGTTGGAGCTATGCAGGTCACTATCCCAAGTATGCGCACATGCATCTACGTGATGAGAGCATACCATCATGCTCAGCTGCCGAACGGAGTCTGGTTGAGGCAATGCACCCCTTGCCGAAGTCATCACTTGAGATGCGACAACACATGCTCAGACAATATCAAACTTCGCATTCGTCTGAGCAGTCATGGAGGTTTCACAGTTTGTTGACGAAATACGAGGTAAAGTTCTTGGATACCAGCATTGACATTGCAGATGCTATCTACTATCGAAGGTACACCTCTGGCACGACATGCTACTGAGTAGACACAACGATGTCACGGCACAAAACTATGGCACATCCAGGGCGCATCTTCATCTCATGACGGCCCTTCTCAATGCCCACTGCATCCTCCGCCTGAAGCCGGATGGGTGGCGTCGACGACTACCAGGCGCAGCGGAGTGGCTGTGCGCCTGTCGCACGGATCCTGCCCCCCGCGCGAAGCATCTCCTCCCGCTTTGCAGCCTTGCTTCTTTTTCTGATGACGTACTGGTAAGACTGCGACTTCGCATTCTTCCGCAGTCTTCCACGGCTCGACCAAGCCCAGTCCACGTATTGCGTGGGAGTGCATTGACCAGTCGTGGTAATCGCTGTGTGGGGGTTGACTGCCTGCCGTTTCGTCTCCGAGCAGCATGTTCCTCTTTCTTGCTAGTAGAGCGTTCAAGCTCTGCGAAGAGTTGGTTGACAGGTAGGATCGGTTCGGTTCAGTGGCAGTTCGTTGGCTCACTGTACTCATCGCAAGTTGACACGTCCTTCTCTTTTTCAAGTGTTGACACCATTCTGCTCACGGCGCTGGTCATATCCGTTCTGCGTCTGACAGAACTTCTCAAAGTCAGGAAAAGAGATGTATCCATCTGGGACGGGTTAGCAATGAAAACACATAGCCATGCGTGGAAATGAATCGTGCTTACCCTGCTGTCTCGACTGCCTAACGTAGCGATCACTCTCGGTCCTCCACATGCCCGGCCTTTCGTACGAGCTGGCCGGACTGGTTTGATATGCGCTGGTCTGGTATGCACTGGTCCTGGACTCGGAAGGCGAACCTAATATGCTCGATGGAGTCTCGCTTCGTGGTGTTGGTGGTGACGAGACGTGCTTGGCCAACATGGCGTGGGCCTTGGTAGGACTTCCAACAGAACCGGCAGAGTCTCGTCGAGGTAGTGATACCAACGTAGTGACGCATGGTGAAGAGACGGTAGACGGTGTCAGAGGTGGTCGTCGACTGCCTGATCGGGATCGTTGTGGCGCTTCAGTTGGTAGCGAGTAGTAGTGTCGTGCAGCCATGATGATTGTGTGTTGATTGATTCGATTCCTGTCGAAGATGTTCGTCGTATATGGTGATTTTGAATTGTGTATGCAAGTTGAAATGACGGATGTGTGAGACCTGAGAGAGGCTAAAGGTAGTAATAGTGGTCTCGCACCCATGCCCAGACGCCATTCACCCCATACTACCGACGTAAAGACAGCCACTGCACGTACCAGGGGACCCCTGCCGCGCCAGCTGCATCAGCAAGCCCGGAGGATCCCACTCCACGCCTACGTCTTCTGGGCTAAGGGCGCGCCGCCAGGAAACGTGGACCGTTTAGATTTAGAACGTTGCAGGGTAGATGCGCTGTCATCCGTTAACTCGTCCCCAGCGCACACAGGACCACCTCATGTCAATATCTAGACTGCCAATTTTGCTGCACGTCTGAGTTGGCCACCGCTGGACAGAGTGAAAACAGCCACCGCTCTTCGGTGTTCCGATGTTATCACCAGCAACACGATGATCGCCTTCCCCATAAACGCTATGTATGCGCTTGTGTTGAGTTTTGCAGTATTGGCTCTGTCGCCTCCTATTGGCATTGCGCGTCTGATCCAAGGCGAGGCCGGAAGAGCGGGTTCAGTGCCAGTGCGGCGCCGACGTTGGATGTCATCGAATCGGCGGAAGCGCAGCCGGTTCCCTCCAGGTTTACGCTGCCATCGTCATGGTGCATGGCCGATGACAAGACGAGGCGCGTTCCAGTTCCTGAGAATCGTGACAATCGACGCCAGCCTTCCTTGCCCTTGTACCTGAACGCACATCCCAGAGTCCTTATTCATATGACCGATATTGTGTTATCGATAGACCACCGGAAGGTTTGTGCGCAACCTGAAGCTGGCAACTGCCTCATTCTGCCTGCTTCATTCATGCTTCGCCCCGTGACGACATTGCTTGACATTGCACGGGATGAATCTGCCGTTTTCTGCGTGTCATGCATTTGCAGTCGTCGAGAGTCGAGAACACGAATAAACAAGGTCATCCATGGCCTTAGTACACTTTTGCGGGCGATCCGGTTGGAGCATAAGAACACGAGAGCAGCCAAACCGATCAAACGTGGTCACTTCACGAACCCTCGATGCCGATGCCAGTATTGCTCTCGTGTGATGACACAAATAAATACTGACTCGCTTGATGCACGTTCACAACAGCGTTGCGCGTCGATAGAGCGGTGGCCACGTTACCTGCTGGACGAGGTCCTTGCTCTGGTGGCTCGAACCCCTCATGGGTTTAGGGATCCGCTCTCGTTGACCGGGCGAACAGCATGAGACGTCTCTCATCAGCCAGGCGATTCTTCTTGTCCCCGATCTCGTTCTGGAACTCTCGTTAAGTTGGTTTGGATCCACTTCGACTGTCAGCTGTCGTAGTTTCAGCTGAAAGCATTTGCTGGTGCTTTTCTTGTGGAGCAAGCGAAGCGGGCCCGCCAACAGCAAGTCACTTTCGGCTGCACATTAAACATGGCGAAGTTCTTACTTGCCGCCATTACCGGTATTTGCTTTCGATTCTCTAGTCGAATCAGAGCTCTACGGAAGCTGCTGCCTGCGGTGACATTATGGTCTTTTTCAAGTTCAAGTCATCGGATACATAGGTACGCCCTCGGGGCATTTGATTGTGTAGAAGCACGTGCCCGGAAAGCTCAGCCCACCTCATACCTCTCACACCACAGGCCTTTCTTTTTCAAGCAAATTCACCTTTCATTTTAAATTCCAGGGCCTTTGGTAATCTGAATTCCTCCATTCTGCCGAGTCTGCTCGTCTCGAACTCGCGCTCTCGAACTCTTTTGAGGAACAGTTGCAGATGCCCGAGCCCCACTATATGCCATGCTGCCCAGTCTGCTTTGTACTACTGCACCACCGCAAGGTTAGCCACCACTTTACATGTAGGTAAACGCGATTCCAGTACCTGGTCCCGAGAAGCGGGTACGTCTCGAACCACCCGTTACAACCGCGGCCGTTGAACACTCAGTACCATTTGTCGACCTGCACACTGGTCACAATTCAGCACTTTGTAAATGCTAAAGCACTGGAACACCTATAAACTCGGTCCGAGAATCTACTCAACAGAAGAACAACGTCAAAGATGACGAGGAAGAATGCAGTGTAACCCTCTGCCCTAAACCGGCGCACACACATAATACGCAGCATCTGCATTATTCCCCAACAACCCCTCACCACCACACCACCAAAATCTCCGCGCATCTAGACGGCCGATCTTTTCTGCCGATCCCACCATTGGCGCTGTCTCGCTTAAGCACTTGACAGCGTTTAGATATGCGATACTTGCCACTACTCTGAACTTGTGTGTTGTGTGCTGGACTAAGTGGGCTCGGTGAGATGGCGGTCGAGCCCAACGTGTCGCGGGCCGCACCGAGTTGTCAGAGATTTGCCGTGAAGATGAAAAAATGCCATGTATGACTCCCTCGTAGGTGTTTTCTGCAGACATGGGTGAGGGGTCGAGCAGACACGTGCTGGTGATGGGGCGGGTAAGGCGGCCGGGCGGATATCGTCACTAACTGACATGCATGGGTGAGGGCTGATGCGTTGTACCGCTTAAGCTGTAAGGCTGTTCATGTGAGTGTTGCGATGTAGGCGCGGGGTGAGAGGCAGACGCAACGGCTCGAGCGCCGTGCTGATGCCGGCCCGTAAGACGGAGCCACCCATACAAGCTGCGAGACTTGGTTGCTCGTCAGTGGCTTACGGGAATGAGCAGGCTGCCGTTGCGCGGGCTGATGTAGCCGGCGGGAGGAAACACCACAAGGATCACTCCACCACCTCCATAGGGACGATCAAGGCGTAATACGATTCCATTTCTATACAGTCCCTTATCTGGCGTTCTGGGCGGCACTCGAGACCGTTCGAACGGATCTACTGAGCCGAAGTGGTTGCTACCTGCGTCGAACGTGCATGAAGGCCAATCGCACTGTACCTTGCATGCACAGATGACCTTCTTACACGCATAATCAGTGCTGCAGGATAAGTCAGTTGTCGTTCAAGTTGAGCAAATAAGAGTGAACTCATCCCACGTACGTCAATGTCTTCCCAACCACGGCCCTTTACGTTTGCCAGCTCGTCCATCGACATGACATGACCAGTTGTAACTGCAGAAGTCAGCATAGACTCAATAAATGATCGGGTTATGATCTTGGGACGTGAGGGGTTGATCAGAGAGGACCACGTACAGTAACCGGCTTGGATCTTCGCGTCAATCTCAACACGACTATCTGCCGGAATCATATCGTCGGGGATCGGTACACGCTCATGGATGGGGATGCCCTGCTCCACAATAGCATCGTGCTTCATGTTACTCATACTCAGCATGCGGTCAATCTTTGTGATACCGAGCCAGTGCAGGATATCGGGCATGAGAGCCTGGAAGCGCATGTCCTTGACTCCAGCAATGTTTTCTGTCCTCTTGAAGTATTCGCTGGCTCTGTCTTCTCCGCGCTTTCGCGCATTGTACACGAGGTACTTGGTTACTTCACCAAGGGCACGGCCTTCTTTGCGGAAGTAGATGACTACACCACTGCCGCCATTTTGGGCTTCTTTGACGGCTTCCTCGATACCGAATGTGAGATAAGGACGGCATGTGCAGATGTCTGAGCCAAATACATCGCTACCGTTGCATTCATCATGGATACGAAGTGCCAGCTTGGAGTTGGGATCGGACATTTTTGCTGGATCGCCGAAGATGTAGACTGTCAGACCACCGATGGGTGGCATGAAGAGTTTAATGTCGTGACGGGTGATGAGCTCGGGGTACGAACCGCCGGTCTCCTCAAAGAGCGTTCTTCGGAGTGTTCCCTCATCTGTTCGGTAGTTAGTAAGGTTTCTTCTGGTATGTGAAGATACTCACCAATGTTGAAGCGTTCGGCCACCCCAGGCAGATACCATACGGGCTCAACAGCGACCTTAGTGACAGCAATCTCGCCCGAATCACTGACGCAAATCTTGCCGTCAACCTTGATGCGACCCTCTTTTACGCTATTCTCCATCTCTGGCACCTTCATGTGTGCACGCGTGATGGCAATGGTGGGACGAATCTCAACATCGTCCTTGTCCATGGTCTCCTTGAAAAGCCAAGGGGCAAGATGACCATATGGATCCATAGCTACAATCTTCTTCTTGTCGCTCCATTGTGGGAAAGGACCAATCTTTGCAGCAGGCTCAGTATTGGTGAAGTCTGGCTTGTGTGTAATGTCGAGGTTCTTGCTTGCCACAGCGAGGGCGTTGTAGATGGAGTAGGAACCTCCGTGAGCACCGATAGCTATTGAATGTTAGTCATGTAGATATGCATCTACACAAAAGACAAACATACCATTGCGTCGTCGAATAGTGTTTGGATGTCTAGAAACGACTACAGGTCCACGCACGGCAGGATCCTTGGCACCCCATTCCATGGGCAACGGATCAACACCAGCTTGACCCGGGTACGACGTCAAGATAATCTTTGAAAACTTGGAGACGCTGGCTCGACGAGGTGGTGCATCAACGTTTGAAGGTGGCTGATCATACTGTTCTGATACGGCTTCTACAGCTTTGCTAGACTCAACGTCCTTGGCCTTTCCGTCACTCAGAGTGCCACTGGCAGCCTCGGACGCAGCTTCATCCTTGATCTGCTTGATACCAGCCAGCATGTTAACGCGGCCATTGATCTTATCAACAGACGCTGCTAGCTGAGCATTCTCAGTCCGCAGTGACTTCAACCCCTCCAAGATCTCCTTCAGTACCACATCACTTGTGGACATGATGAATGAAGGATGTCTTCTGAGATGAAGCCCAGTAAATAGGATGACACAGGCAAGTCAAAGTGCTTCAGATTGTCTCGTTACAAGCTGTGTGGCAGAGACCGGAGACTGCCGATACGAGACGATACGCAAGATAGGACGATTGCGGGGTTTTTGGTGAATAGCCAGCGATTGTTCAAGCAAGCTGTCTGCTACCCAAAAGGTCTTGACGTGGTGACAAAGATCTTGAAGAAAGAGAAGAGAAAAAAGAAGAAAGGAGGACAGGAGCAACGTGGACGAAGGCCAGGAGCTCACCGTCCCGACCACGGAACAGCTGACCATGCAGCTCAGTGATAGGTGATTGGCTTATCTCCGCTTTGGCCGCATGGGGAAGCTGCAGGGATAGCGGAAGGCTTGGCGTCGGAACCACGCGAAGGCCCGAGCTTCGATTTTCGTGAACATCGTCACTGGAGAAAGCTGCGCCTTGCGACAACACCACAAAGGAGTCTCCCCTTTGGATTTGTGCACTAGACAGCTCGAATCAATTGCGCATAGGATTATACACTCGCTTGAAACGCCTACATCCTCTTATACATCAATCCAAAATGGTACACTCAATCGCAGCCTGGTCGCATGCGCATACTAACAAACAATCCCCAGGGAAAGCGCAAGTCATCCAGCAAGCCTCAGGGTCCCAAGAGGGCATGTCTCCCCCTACATCTCCCCCAGATGACCCCCATACTAATAACCTCCACAGAAGGAGAAGCTCCCCACAACCTTCCAATGCCTCTTCTGCAACCACGAAAAGTCCGTCTCCGTCTCCATCGAGAAGAAATCCGGCGTCGGCAACCTCCAATGCAAAGTCTGCGGCCAGACCTTTCAGACAAACATCAACTACCTCTCCGCGCCTGTCGACGTCTACGCTGACTGGATCGACGCGTGCGATGCCGTTGCTAAGGAGGCTGCGGCGGGCAAGACGGCGACGACGCGTGCGACTGGCCGCATGGGCCGTGTAGAGACGGCGAGGGAGGAGGACGAGGATGATGTGCCGGATGCAGATGATTTGAGGTTTGTCGAGCAGGATGATTTGGATGCGGAGGGCGAGTATGCGGAGTAGGATGGCTGTCGTGGAGACGGCGAGGCAGGTGTGAAGATGGCTGGGACGTTGCGATATGGGTATTGGTCTGGTCTGATAGCCAGACTCAAAGGCGTTGGTGATACCACGGAAAATGGGATAACAGGTTAAGGCGTTCAAAGGAGTCAACACGTAGCGCAATTATGGGCTACATATCCATCGAGATGGAAATGAAGTGGCGGCTAATGGGTGTGCTCGCCAAATCTGTTCATTCTCAAAGTATTTGCTTGAAATCAAACTCCTACTGCCATGCTGATCTGACGTCCTAGACGACTTTATGCTATGATGTGCTATATAACCTGCCACACTGTGGGTGAATCTTACATGGTGTAGAAACGGTCACCGAAATCACCCAAGCCTGGAACAATGTAGCTGAGAGCAGGTTAGTATACGTGTGTCACTTCTGTCGTGACAACTTACTTCTTCTCGTCAAGTCCCTGGTCAACGAAAGCAGTGACTACCCTGACCTTGGGAAATTGATCCGCCAAGTTCTTCGCGCCCTCTGGACTTGCAATGAGGTTGAGGAACAAGATGTGCTCCTCGGGTACGCCCCGCGACTTCAGAACATCGATAGCCATGAGCGCCGAGCCACCTATAGCCCATTAGAACATCATCAATCCAAAAAGCACTACAAACTTACCAGTAGCCAGCATAGGATCCAGCAACAACACCCACCGATCCGCAATGTCCTCGGGCAATTTATCGTAGTACAGCTTCGGCTTAGCCGTCTCCTCGTCCCGCTGAATCAAGATCTTTCCAATTCTCACCGACCTACAGCAATCGCGGAGACCTTGTTCCATGCTCTCGCCCGCACGCATGATGGAAACACCGCAGATCTTGCCCTCGAACTTGACACCCGCGTAGGGCCTACCTACAGGCGTGGTGATCTCCTGCTCTTCAACGGGCAAGTGGTTGAGGCCTTCTTCGACTAGCAGGCGGATGATGCGGTTGCTGTAGAAGATGAAGTCTGCGCGGCCGGTCTTGTGGTCGCGGATCATGCTGTGGTATGGTAAGGGACGACTCTTTCTTTTGATGGGCTGATTGTATTTGGATCTTACGTCAAAAGTGCTATCAGCTGCGGGGTCTGAGGTAGAATGTGAACATTTTCCTGCGTGAGGGGAGTTGAGACGGTCGCAGTGGGCTTGAGAGCTGTTGGCCGGTACTCAGGGCCTACGCACTGCGAGGGTGCGGAAGGCTGGGATTCTTTGGACATGTTCAATATGAGATTGAGCGAGTCTAGTTTTGGAGATCTATCTAGAGTCAGTTGAATTCATCGGTTGACGATGTACTTGAGGAATTCATGCTCTTGGTGTGTTGAATAGATCCTCGGTGGGTTTGCTGATAGTAACTAGTAAGGGTACAAGCTGATATCGAAAGATCAACTCGCTCGGCCAATGAGCAATAGAGGGGTAGCTGGTCAGTCAATGGGGTTTGGGATGAGTTGAAAAGTTCGTCAGGCAATGTCCGATAGTTGAACAATTGCACAAAGTAACAAGATAAGAAGGAGGAGAGAAAGACAGGGCTCAGGAGGACTAGAACCTAAGGCTCGTGACTCGTGCCCTCTTAAGGGAAGTGCAGCTGGCAGATGGATGGAGTTCGCCTAAGGGTTCCCCACCAGCCCGGAGTAGGTCTAGCCTGCCGGCCGTCTGCGAGATGCGTGCGGGACCCTGGCTCGGGCCCATGTATCACAGCAGCCACATGGGCTGGCTCCGTCATTGTTCCCAAAATATGCAGAGTCGCGTTCGAGGCGCTGTTTCACCGTCACCGTTTGGCAAACAAGTTCACCGCTCAGTCTTCATGATCGCGTCGGCTCGTCAAAAGGCTCACCGTGAACGAGGCCTGCTTGTGGGGTAGGCTCCATCGCCTTGCCACCGTGCTCTCGCATCTCCGCCGACAAGATGCGCGTTTGAGTAACCTCGCGAAGACACACGACAACGCGACAACAAGAAATGTCCACCTCCATGGCTCCGACCTTCACTGCGCCGGATCGCCGGAAGAAGATCGTCACGTATGGGAAATCATCGCGTCTTCCGTCAGCAAAGACACCTGCGCCTGCACCGAGCAATGACGCGCCCTCTCCCGAACGACCGCGCAAACAATCGACAGTCCCGCACGTGTCTCTGAGCAAAGATGAGGGGGTGACCAGTGCAAAGCTTTCCAAGCCTGCTGCACGCGACACGCCAGCGCCAGCGCCATTGGACATATTCGACGTGCCCTCGGACGACGAATTTGCTGCATTTGCACCGACAACTACGAAGAAGCCTCTTGCGAAGCGTCGGACCCCCGAAATACGGACCAAGGCCCCTGCTACCAATGGCAAAACAAAAGAGCCCAGCCGACAGACAGAGAAGACGCTGAAGACCTCGCATGCGGTCGAGCCAGTCAAGCCGACAGTCTCGTCCGCGGCAAAGAAGTCGGAGGAACCAATGCAGTCCTCTAGGGCACCGCCAGTGCCGGCTGCACAAGCACCGAGGCGCGGGAAGACACCGCAACCAGCATCGACTCTTGAAAAAGATGGTGGGAATGAGCAGTCCTCGCAACCGACAATTGCGAAGGTCAAGACCAAGCCAGTTGCCCAACCGAAGAAGCCCACAGTACTGCAACCGCCAGCGCAACAAGCTACCAAGGAAAAACCTGCATTGCCTGCCAGGAGTGGAGCGGCGAAAACGTCGAATAAGCCGCCCCGAGATCTCGACGTCTTTGACATGCCCCCTTCGGACGACGAGTCGCACCTACCCACTCCCAAACCATTGAGACGAGTTCCGCCAGTGGCCCGCAAAGAGCCGGCGCCGTCGACAAAAGCGCCTTCAGGCGACGCTGGCAAAGAGCAGACTGGATCGGACTCCTCAGCGGCTGCGAAGAAGCGAAAGCGACGAGGCTCTCCTTCATCTACATCAGCAGTGAAACAGCCGGGCGTGCAGAGGACTGAGCAATCACAACCTCTGCGCCGCGCCAAGTCCCAGAAGCAGACAGACACTACTTCCCCTGGGCGCGAGCCGTCCCTTGTCTCTTCTGCAGTCACAGCAATTGCCACTCAACCTGCAGCGCCCCTCGCCGACAAGCCACGAAGGGCGCGCACGCGCACAGTTCCGTTGCTCTCGTCACATTCAAGCGCGAAGACACAATCCTCACCAGCCACGCTGCACAGCATGGTGCCCAAGACCGCTGCATCAATGACTTCTCCCATCGCTGAGATGCCAGAAGCAACATCACTGGAGGACGAAACCATGTATGAGATTCCGGCATCGATTGTCACACCTGCTCGACCTTCCTCCAATAGCATATCTGGTTCAGTCACTCCCCGCCAGAAAGCTCTCTTTGGTAGCCTGCTTGGTGCATCTTCTACTCCTTCGATGCCAAGCATTTCAAAACTACAATTGGCCGACTCAAAACCGAAGTCGCTGCTGGCGGGCCTGTCCAAGTCCAAATCTGACCTTGGCCACAGCGCACATGCAAAGAAAACGAGGCTCATTGCAAAGCTGAAGCCTGAAAACGACAGTTCGGACGAGGAAGCCAGCGACAGCGAAAGCGATAGCGAAAGTGAAGCTGGCGCCAAAGCAGTACCACAGCCACGCACAATGCACAAGCAGCAGAGAAAGGCAGTCCCCAATGATATCAGCAGATCGAATACTCTCAACGTATCGGATGAAATGGATCTGGATGATGAGGTCGTGGCAAATACTCAGACATCCCAGACAACCGGTTTTGGCCATCGACCGAAGTTCACATACGCCACTCAACGCTCCTACTTGCAGGAGGCCAACCCCGATGATGAGTTTTTCATGTCAATGGATATGGATGACCCGATAGCTACGGCTTCGCAATCAAGAGATAGCCAGACTGAAGATGAAGAGGATGCGAGTCAGGCTCGAGGCATGCACGAGCTCAGAAGACAGGGCCAAAATGACGGCTTTGAGCTGGAGAACATGATGTTGATTGACGACATGTCTGTCAAGTCGACAAGCAGTATTCGCCGCACTGCGTTGTTGGAGCTCTGCGGCAAGATGGCTAATCCTACGTTTACTCATTCGCTGATGGAGTCTTCCTTGGCTCAACAGTTTTTGAAGCACCTAGCCTCGAATGGCGAAATCGCCTTCGACTTTGCTGCGGTTTTAGCTACAGTTTTCATGCTCAAGGCCAACCCTACGTTCATTGTCTTGGACCAAATACGTCATTCTGGGCTTCTATCTTCGTTGGAGAAGCTCATAGACAACGAGAACGACATTCAGAAGATCGCGAAGAACCGCAAGACGAACTTGTCGAAAATTGCATACGAGTCCGTAGTTGATTTGCGCTCCACAGCCTTGGCTAGCAAAATCTGGTCACCATTGCAGCCGGAGATGTTATCACCGCAGCTTGTCGCACTCAAAGCTTTAGACATGCTGGTCCTTGGACTTCGAGAAGTTGGCGACAAGGACGCAATCATTACCTCAGAGATCCTTACCAAGTTGATAGACTTGGCGAACAGTATTACAGAACGCTATACGGCGGGCAAAGGAGCAACGGACGACAAAATCGTCATTTCCTCTATCTTCTCAACGTTGGAGGCCGTCTCTTTGGCGAAACAAAAGCAGCTTGCCTGGTCAGCTCGCATGATGCAACGTCTTGCAGCATCGATGGCATATACCTTCCAGACTACTGGAGAATTCGGCTTAGTCACAATGGCCGTAAAGCTCTGCATGAATCTGACGAACAACAAACCAAAGGCCTGTCAGCAGTTCTCTGGGTCGGTGTTCGTTCAGGCTCTCACACAGTCAATCGTGGACCTGGCAGAGCTCCTACAACAAAGTCTTGAAGCGGATGAACGCACCGAAGTATTGGACACGCTCATTTTGAGCCTAGGCGCCATGATCAACCTTACCGAACATAGTGATCAGGCGAGACTGAACGTCGATAACGGCATAGACTTGCTTGAGAGACTTGTCGAGACTTTTGTGGAGGGTTCAGCCAAAACTACACAGGTAGGCTTTTGTCGATCAATAAAGGATGAATTCAATGCTAATAGTGCTAGGCCAATTCCATGGAAGAGTCTCAGTCTAGTGTAGCAGTCGGCTATCTCAGTGTTCTCGTTGGCAACTTGTGTCTAAACGAAACCATCAAGACCAAGGTTCGCGCGCAACTACCGGGAGGCGAACTGACAACGCTTGTCGACAAGATCAAGGAGTTTGTACGGGTCCACGAACACGCCAATCGTAAAGCAAAGCAATACGAAGGCGAAGAGGGCCAAGAAACCTGGCAAAATTACACGGCGCGTATTATGCTCGTTGTTGAGCAGCTGGAAATGACGGGACACTGAACAGGCTGTTCGCCAAGCGGCTGATGTTGTCGGGCATGCAGTGCCTACCGTTCGCAAAGACGGCTACATAATTTCCTGTTTCCTTTTGGGTACTTTTGACCCGGCTTGGTTATCATTGGGCAGTATTTACCGTGTCATCGGCGTTGGGCATTTTATGGTTACACGATACCCCAGACTTTTGAATGCGCAGAAATTACCGGGAGGATTGGGCCTCATGGCGACCCAGCGTCGCAAGCGACCGAGGTGGATACCGGCAGAAGCATGCGAAGTTTAGGCTGGCAAATCTGCCGGTGCATAGCAGAGAATACAGACTTGACTACATATTCACATGCTACAAACTGCGATCGAGCAGCTATCTGATCGATGGTCTTGAACACGGCTAATTGGGTGCCTGCAAAACCCGTGTTCGGAAGGCTGCCTCGACCCCGGAATTCGGTAGGCATGACGCAGCCGGCTTGTGCTACCGACTGCTTTGATACGCGCAACAATTTACAACATCTTCCTCCAGCGTTCTGTGCAGCAAGTCGCAATTTTACGAACCCTGCCATGGACCTCCGGACCCTGCCTTGCATGCTTCGGGTAAAGTGAGCACTGGGGCTGGCTGCAGACGAGAGCTAGTTTTCTCGCAGCTCCGATGTTTTGCTCGCTGTCTGGTCATCTTGGTTCGCTGTATGGATGTGCTGGAGTGGCCGCTAGACCCAGCATAATTGACATCACGTAAATAGATTGCCTGGGATTCGTCCATTGCTAGCATATGTACACTACCAGACCCTTAGACGTCGCCCAAACGACCACATGTGGATGTCACGCCTACAAGTCCCGGACTCGATCCTGCAACAGGCATGACGGCATAAGCACACGGCCTGGACTTTTTCTGTGAAGCACTATTTCTCAAGATACTTCGCTGCCACTTCTCCCCATTTTCAATTTTTTGGTGCTCGACTCGAGTCGCTGTCATTGACGAAGCTTAATTCGTTCGTCTTACCTTCTTGGTGTCACCTGCGGCTAGACGGCGTCATTCCGAGCAGACTAGCTTGTACCGGAAAACGCAAGGAGCAAGCGCATCCCAGGCAGCTACGTCTCAGCGATCGACTGAGACAGCCAAACTTCAACACTGGCGAGTCGATCAGCTTCCACACGACCTCCCCAGAAAGCCAGCAGCAAGATGCCGGCTCCCAAGCAGAGAAAAGTAGCCATTGTTGGCAGCAGGGCCGTCGGTGAGTGCTCGTTGTCAAGTGGTTCAGCTTGCGCGTTCCGAAGCATGTGAGAGGTACCCAACTGACAAACGGCGCAGGCAAGTCGAGTCTGACGGTGCAATTCGTCGACGGCCACTTTGTCGACAGCTACTATCCAACTATTGAGAATACGTTCAGCAAGATGATTCGCTATAAGAACCAGGACTTTGCAACGGAGATTATCGATACCGCTGGCCAGGTACTTGAGGATTTCTTTCTCCCCGCATCGCGTCGCGATCTCCATGCCCCACCAAAATCATGCAGCACCCACACCACCTGTACGGTCCTTTTATGCTTGTTCCAGTCGAGAGCAAGGATAGTGTGAGGCATTGACTGACATTGTGTTGCTCAAGGATGAATACAGTATCCTCAACTCGAAACACTTCATCGGCATCCATGGCTATGTGATCGTGTACTCGGTCGCCAGCAAGCAGAGCTTCGAAATGGCGCGCGTAATCCGCGATAAGATTCTGAATCACCTGGTAAATACCGCCCCTACCCAACAGTACGCTCAATCTGCGATCCGTTGCAGAGCACATGCAAAGACTCTAACCATGTGCAACACCAGGCCGTCGACTGGGTGCCCATTGTAATCGTTGGCAACAAATCCGATCTCCGTCCCGAACAGCGTCAAGTCACGCCAGAAGACGGCAAAGCCCTCGCCGAAGAGTTCAAGTGCGCGTGGACCGAGGCCAGCGCGCGCTACAACGAGAACGTCCTCAAAGCTTTCGAGCTCATAATCTCGGAGGTGGAAAGGAGCCAGAACCCGAGTGAGCCCGCTGGCGGAAGCAAGTGCACCGTCATGTAGAAGCATTGACTGACGTGCGCTCCTTGAGATGTGCCCGGCGGCGGCAAGTTTCCTCGAGACTTACTTCGACAAGAAGCACGAGAGCAGAGAGAAGGGAGTCAGCTGGGACGGCTGTGCAACGGATGCAGCCCCCTTTGAGCGACCCGCGAAAGAAAGTTGTTTCATGGATATATGTTGAGTGTAGACGGCATAGACGGTCGGGTGGCTTTTGGCTTATCTCTTACCCTCTACGGAGGTCTGATGGTGTAACGGCGTTTGAGCGAAGGCGTAGTGAGCGTTTTCGGCTGGTTTTTATACGGGCATCATGGCCTTGTTTCTACGTATCTCAATAGACGGTACGATGGATTACGAAGAATGAATAGTTATCTCTGGGCACGTCCTCGCTTTCGGCACTGCCGTCGTCAGCTGCACACACCGTTTGATGCACTGCCGCACCAACCACTCCTTGAACAGGCAAGTCAGAAGCTTGGACGAGAAAACTACTGTTTTCGACGCCTGAACATGGGTTGCCAGCCTTCTTACTGACTTTGGAAGTTTGGCAAGTTTGCCGTTGCTTCTTTGCACCAGAGTGTGCTTCAAACACCCACCCCTGCATGTCTGGGCACAGCCACACGCGCCACACCTGCCCCGCCATGGAACACTAACCGTGGCTGAACCCTGACTCAAGCGACACCATCAGAATTGTGAGTCGTTCGCGCGCGACTCTGCCCGGGACCAATTCGATTGCTTAGACATTCGACGGACTGATACACAATGTTGGATATGTAAGTTTTCTGTTATTTCATATCAGCAACCACGGACACGCAAAGGCGCGAGCATTTTCAAGACACAACTGACATGGAGGGGTAGCAACGACTTCATCACAGAGCGCGGGGGTGACCCAGAGAAGATCCGCGACTCGCAGCGAAAGCGAAATGCGCCCGTGGAGATTGTGGACGAGGTGATTGCCGACTTCGAGGAGCACCGAAAGACACAATATGCCGCAACACAAATCGGATCCTCCATCAATGCGCTCCAAAAGCAGGTGGGAGCGAAGAAGAAGGCCAAGGAGGATGCAACCGAGCTCCTGGAGGAGATGAAGAAGCTGAAGGAGGACAAGGCGAAGAAGGAAGCAGAGGCGGCCGAGAAGCTCGTCAAGCTCAACAACAAGGCCAAAACGATCGGAAACTACGTGTACAAGGACGTCCCCGTGTCCAACACCGAGGACGACAACGCGGTGATCAAGACGTGGGCGCCCGAGAACCGCAAAGCAGAGTTCAAGTCCGACGGCATTCCACACCACGGTGTCCTCACGCGCCTCGCCGGCTACGACCCAGAGCGCGGCGTCAAAATCGTCGGCCACAGAGGCTACTGTCTCACCGGTTACGGCCTCTTCCTCAACCTCGCGCTCATCAACTACGGCCTCGAATTCCTTTTCAACAAGGGCTACACCCCCAACCAGCCACCCTTCTTCATGCTGCGCGACCAGATGGCCAAGACGGCACAACTCTCCGACTTCGACGAGGAGCTGTACAAGGTCACTGAGAGCAAGGACAAGCCCGAGACTGACAAGTACCTGATCGCCACCTCCGAACAGCCCATCTCCGCACTGCACTCTGAGGAGTGGTTAGGTACCGCGGACCTCCCAATCAAGTACGCAGGCTACTCGACCAACTTCCGCAAAGAAGCGGGCTCGCACGGCAAAGACGCATGGGGCATATTCCGCATCCACCAATTCGAAAAAGTCGAGCAGTTCCTCCTCACCACGCCCGAGAAGTCCTGGGAAGCCTTTGACGACATGCTCGCCACCTCGGAGGAGTTTTACCAGAGCCTGGGCCTGCCATACCAGGTCGTTGCGATTGTGTCTGGCGCGCTGAACAATGCCGCCGCCATGAAGCGCGATCTCGAGGCGTGGTTCCCCGTCACGGGCGGCGGCGAGTACAAGGAACTCGTGTCGATTTCGAATTGCACGGATTATCAGACGAGGGAGTTGGAGATACGGTTTGGCGTCAAGAAGCAGACGGCGACGAGGAAGGATTACGTGCATGCGTTGAATGGTACTCGTAAGTCTGGCCTTGAAAAAAATCCCACTACACACAACTACAGTTTTTTTTTTTCTTGCATTTTTACTAACGCGATTTTTTATTTAGTCTGCGCTACGGAGCGCACGCTCTGCTGTGTCCTCGAAAACTATCAGACTCCAGAGGGCTTCAATGTTCCCGAGGTGCTGCGGAAATACATCCCCGGGCAGCCGGCGTTCTTGCCGTTTGTCAAGGAGTGGAAGCAGCCGACGGATGAGAAGAAGATCCCGGAGCGTCCGAAGCAGGCTTAGACGGTGGTATATGAGGGAAGGGTAGGCCTGGTAGCAGATACAACAGGTGTGTGAGCCACCTACGTGCGCAGTGCTGTCAGCATGCGTGGGCAACGAGTATGATGAAAGCATGTTCGCTGTGAGCAGAGAACATGTACCAAAATCAAGAAACATGTCAAAAGACGACATCACTCGACGGTGATTCACTTGCCACACATGTGATATTTGGCATGCGATGCATTTCTCACTAACGAAATCTCAAAGCCACCAAATGCAACACTTCCAACGCCTTTGATGATGCCTCTTGGATATCTCACCCACAAATTAAAGTTTTACATAATCATCAACAACACCCTCTCAATCTCTTCCCTCCCCATGCTTATGCCCCAATCAACTCCTTCGGCAAGCACGCAAACACCGTGCTCACCACCGCCATAACACTACTCACGCCAATCAACCCCCAGTTCAACATCGTCTCCGTGCGCCCAATCTCCTTGCCAAACAGCTTCAGATGGAACGCGAGCGGCAGGATGATGCAGATGGAAAAGCACGCGACGCTGCCCAGCAGCGTCATGATGCGATCGAAGCTGGGGAACAGGATCGCAATGACGACAAACGTGATAATCGTGCCGATGCGCAGCGCGATCTTGGCGATGCCGCGGTTGAGCCCGGACATGCCGTTCATGCCCTCGGCGGTCGCGAGGGCGCGCGTGTCGAGGCCGAAGAGGACTTCGAAGGTGGACACGATGGGTCTAGCATTCAGCGGGATCTTGGTCAGCGGGATGATGGCGATGCACACGGCGATGAAGACGCTCATGCTCTTGGGGTAGCCGTCGGTGAGGAAGATGTTGCTTGTGATTTCGTCGCGCACGCCGTCGCCGAACATGAGGATGCCGGCGCAGGCCATGCCCGTGTCGACGAGGTACGTGAAGATGTAGGTGATGTCGACGCCGCGCCGGTATTTGTACGGGTGCCGCATGTCGCGGTAGATGTTGGGGAAGACGGAGTGGCCGCCCCAGGGGGACATGAGGAGGCCGAAGGAGAGGGGGATGGTGAGGGGGTTCGCGGGGAAGAGGTATTGCGGGGAGGGCTGGCGGATGGAGCCTGGGGAGTCGGGTTTGATCAGACCGTCGGCCCAGACGGCTATGGTGACTGTGGTGGTTGTTAGAGGAGTGAGGGGAAGGGAAGAGGAGAGACTTACTGCCAAAGCAGGACATGACGCCAAGGATGGAGGTGAAGGACAAGAAGCGGAGGGGGAGGAAACTGAGAGGGATCAGGATCACGCCGCATACAACCTTCCAGAACAGGATATCCCAGTTAGGGATCAGGGCGTCCATGCTGTCGGCGAAGAGGACGACAAGGGCAACACATGCTGCTAGAAGCTCGAGGGCAGTAAGAGGATGCTGACAGCGATGCGCGCCTTGTTGCCAAACGAGACGAAGGCGAGGTCGGCGAAGGTGATGAGCGAGTTGTCGACGTCCAGACACTTTGCCAGGAGCTTCGCCGTGTAGCTTGTGACGATGGCTGACCATGCGAGGAAGACCATGCCGATCAGCCAGCCAGAGTACTTGAGTGCCAAGGGTAGTGTGAGTAGTCCGACTCCAACCAGAACATTGACTGAGTTGAAGATGGTCTGGGGCAGTGTCGATTGGCCAACCACGACGTTGATGATATGGCCGTCCTCTTCAACGCGCTTCACCAGCAATGGCTCGCGCTGCAGCTCAGGCTCTGTGACGCCCTTGAGCTGCTGGTCGGTGAACAGACGTCCCGCATGGCGCATCGACGACTCGTTGACGCGCGCAGAGAGACTGCCGTATCCAGTGCCATAGCTGCCTCCGAATGGCGACGAAAGCGACGGTTCAATGGTGAAGATGCTCTCCCCTCTCGCTCGTGTCGCCGCGCTGGGTAACAATTGCGTCTCTTCGGTAGGCGGTTGCTCCTCGTCTACCAGGGCGTTATCAGACGTCCGGCGGTCTCCCTCCTGGAGGGCTCTTCGCAGGGCTGAGCGCTGGTCGGGAGGCGTAGGCTCGGGCAGCCCTGTTCGCGGGAAGTCGGCGGACACATCGTCGTCGTCGTCAGTCTCGACGCGGAAGCTGGGGCGCACGGGGGTGATCTCGAAGAAGCCGGCGGCTCGCTGCCATGAGCGGGCAAAGTTGTTGATGCTGTTCACGCCACCGGCGTCACCAATAGCGCCGATTTGCTGCGAGATGGAAGACCTGAGATTTGTTAGTCTTGGTCTACGCAGCTGTTCTCCCACCAGATGCAGTGTCGCATCTACTCACCTGCGTCTGCGCAGTTCGCCTGGCACCCTGGACCATGTCCCCGAGGCCGCCGTGCTTTCTCCGCTTGGTCTCCTCTCGAGCCGGTCCCACTGCACGCGACTGCCATTGGAGCCCACGGAGCCGCGGTGGACGCCCTCGTACGTGTCCCACGTCGACGGCTGCTTTCCTCTGATATCCATGGCGGAGGTGTTAATTCATCGACACGCGCACGAGCAGGAAACAGGGCGCGTCAAAGGCAGAGATAAGGATAAATTGTGTGGAGTAGTGACCTAAAATTGTTGGTAAAATGCATGCAGGGGACGGGAGCTAGGTGCTGAAATTCAACGAGGGCTATCGTCGGCGTAGATATTGGCGTTCGCACGTTCCATGGCCGGCTGGGGTGCTTGGGGCTTTATACCGTGGAGCATGGAACATGGAACATGGAACATGGCCGAAAGCGAAGCATGATGTGAAGACTCGGGGAGCTTGAAGCTGCAGGTATCACGAGGGAACATGGCCCCGCAGCCTCCGTCATTGGTGCTGGACGACTGCATATTCCCGCAGCGCCCTGAATGGCCGTGCTAGCGAACGGCGGCGGTAGGGCACGGCGCCGGACAATGACTGGTCTGGCTGGTGGCTGGTGCTGGGTGCTGCCTTGTCTGACAGCCCTGGAGTGCTGAAGAGAATAAATTCACAGACGCCAGCGGGCAGCTCTTCTCTTACTGCAACCGACGAAGCCTGCAACACGCGACCAGCGCGCGGAACACACAGCCGCATAGCACGCTCCCACGGCCTCTCCCGCCGCCAGTCGGCTACCCTCGTCACTGCCCCTCCGCGCAGCAAGAAAATCTCTTAGGAGCCACCCCGCCATCTCACGCTCCACGCTCCACGCCTCACGCCCTCGCACTCGCACTCGCCCTCGCCCTCGCCCACGGCACCACCACAACACCGCGACCATGTCGTCGAAGGACCAGCAGCCCAACGACGCCGAGAAGAACATTGAGATCTGGAAGGTCAAGAAGCTGATCAAGCGTCTTGAAGCCGCCCGCGGAAATGGCACATCCATGATTTCGCTCATTATCCGTATGTGCGCCCCGCCGTGAAACAACGCGGAAAGAGCGACCGACTCACTATGTACAGCGCCCAAGGACCAGGTCTCGCGCGCCGCCAAGATGTTGGCTGAAGAATTCGTAAGACACGCAAAGAACAGCCGAGGAAGGAAGCCACGACTAACACGCACAGGGAACCGCCTCCAACATCAAGTCCCGCGTCAACCGTCTCTCCGTCCTCTCGGCCATTACCTCGACCCAGCAGCGTCTGAAGCTGTACTCCAAGGTCCCGCCCAATGGCCTCGTCGTCTACTGCGGTGAAATCATCACCGCAGAAGGCAAGGAGCGCAAGATCAACATCGACTTCGAGCCCTTCAAGCCCATCAACACGTCGCTATACCTCTGTGACAACAAGTTCCACACCGAGGCCCTGAGCGAGCTGCTCGAGTCAGACCAGAAGTTTGGCTTCATCATCATGGACGGAAACGGCGCCCTCTTTGGCACTCTGTCTGGAAACACGCGTGAAATTGTCCACAAGTTCTCGGTCGATCTGCCCAAGAAGCACGGCCGTGGTGGTCAGTCCGCCCTGCGTTTCGCCCGTCTGCGAGAGGAGAAGCGCCACAACTACGTCCGCAAGGTCGCCGAATTGGCTGTCCAGAACTTCGTCACCGCCGACAAGGTCAACGTCGCCGGTATCATTCTGGCCGGTTCCGCCGATTTCAAGAACGACCTGAACCAGTCCGACCTCTTCGACAACCGTCTGCAGTCCAAGGTCATCAAGGTTGTGGATGTGTCCTACGGAGGCGAGAACGGTTTCAACCAGGCCATCGAGTTGGCTGGGGAGACGCTCAGCAACGTCAAGTTCATCCAGGAGAAGAAGCTCATCAACGAGTACTTTGACCACATCTCCAAGGACTCTGGCAAGGTCTGCTACGGTATCGACGACACTTTGAAGGCTTTGGAGGCTGGTGCTGCCGAGACCCTGATTGTCTTTGAGAATCTGGAGATCACCCGCTGGATTCTGAAGAGCTCCGAAGGCAGCGAGATCATCCTGCACACGACCAAGCAGCAAGAGCAGGATCGCAGTCTTTTCATGGACAAGGAGACTGGCCAAGAGATGGAGGTTATCGACCAGGGCTCCATGCTCGAATGGCTTGCCGAGAAGTACCGCGACTTTGGTGCCAATCTTGAATTCGTCTCCGACCGTTCCTCCGAGGGTAACCAGTTCGTCAAGGGATTTGGTGGTATTGGCGCCATCCTCCGATATGCGCTCAACTTTGAGCAGCTTGCCGACTTCGATGATGATGAAGACGAGTTCTACGATGATTGACGGTTGTGCGCCCTCGCTGACCGCGAGGCACCGGCTCCACTCCACGCGTCGAGTGAGGGAACGTCCGGTGCCTACGCGCATGGTCAACATGACGCGTCCGGAATGAAGACCGGAGTTGCTGAAGCCACGACACTTCGCCTTTCCAGGTTGTAGATGGACTATGGGAGTGCTCACGGAGGGTTTGCAATGTACGTACTCTCTTACGAACTTGCCAAAGAGCTTACTAACATGTGCGCAGGCTGATCAACTACCCATTCTTACCACGACCCGCTCTCGCTTCAATGGAGAGGCAACAGTCTCCTTCGTCGAATGTAGTCAGAACTACGGTTGATGGACTATATTGGCTTGACCTGTGTCATGCACTGGAGATGGCAAAGAATGGCTATGGATAAGTATCAATTTTGCAGCAATCTCACATAGCAGGTATGGGTGGATGAAGAGGAGGCTAGTTAAACCAAGATATATGCATCAGCTCGTCACTCTTTCCATTTCAGCTGAACCAATAAACTGTATTCTCGAGTTCTTGCTTGCGGCTGCTGTTTGAAATATGTGATATGTCTAGATCATGTCATAATTTGCCTTTGCCTGACACTACAAAGCCCGACTGTCACCAAGAATCATACTGTTTGGACGTAGTGTGAGTCCACTCAATGCGCCCTACCAAGGACCTGTGATGCATGTAGATTCCCGAGCTTAAAGCCGCCGATACCGCTCCTAGAATTTAGTCCCGAACATCAAGCCGACCATCAACATACAAAACAAAAACACAGAGATGGCAGAACATGAGCGGCCGGTAGTAGCATTTCTAGGACCTGAAGCTAGCTATACACATCAGGTAAGGGCCTGATTTATTACACAAGGTTTTGATTGTTGTGTCGAGTGCGCCAGTTAGTGGCATTCTGAAAGAGAAGGAACATTCAGTGCACCTTTCAACTTTCATTTCGTCACAATCATCTCATCTTTCAAGATCTAACAACCTCTTCCCCTATTCAATCTCATCTCACAATACTCAGGCTGCCCTCGACGCCTTCAACAAAGATGAATTCACGCTCTCACCCCAGATCACCATCGCCGACATCTTCACAGCCGTCCAAAACGGCACCGCATACCGCGGCGTCTTACCCTTTGAAAACAGCAGCAATGGCTCCGTCGTCTTCACCCTCGACCTAATCAGCGACCCGCAAAACAAGCATCCCGACATCCTCGTTTGCGGCGAAGCCTACGTCGCCGTCAAACATTGCCTTCTCGGTCACGCTCCCACACCAGTCACCCAAGCCGACAGAATTGCCGGCAAACCACTCGCGGATCTCAGTAAAATCAAAAAATTATACTCTCATCCCCAAGCCTGGGGCCAATGCACGAACTTCCTCACCACCCACCTCAAAGCCACCGAACGCCACGACGTAAGCAGCACGTCGCGCGCCGCCGAAATCGCCGCGGCCGACAAATCCGGAGAATCCGCTGCGTTATCAAGCGCGGTCGCTGCGTCCCTCTTCGGCCTCGACATCCTCGCTGAGAGTATAAACGACCATGTCGGCAATACGACGCGCTTCTTGATTATCAAAAACAAAAACTTGCCTACCCCTTCTCTATCCGTCGGAAATGAAGATGCAGACGCAGACTTCAAAACCCTAATCACCTTCACAGTCGACCATGCGAATCCCGGCGCGCTGGCGCATTGTCTCGCGGCGTTCGAGAAGTTTGGGCTCAACTTGACGAGTATTAATACCAGGCCGAGCGGGGTCAGGGAATTGGCATTATGTGTTTTTTTGTGGAATTAAGGGGCAGGAGGGAGGAGGGGGGAGCCGGGGAGGTTAATAAGGCTCTGGGGGAGTTGGATGGCGTGGCGAGGGGGTGGGCTTGGAAGGGGAGTTGGGAGAGTGCAGGTGGGATTGAGGAGTAGTGGGAGGAAAGGGGATGGAAATTCAAGAAGCTAAGGAATATCAAGTGTGAAGATGATGAGTCTGGTCTAGTATACAAGCAGGAGAGAACTGTTCAATCAAGGGTCGTGTCGGGTGATGGAATGTCATCAAGCCCGGCCGTATTTCTCAGCTGACTTTTATTTGCCTGGAGGTTATGGTACGCTGTAAATAGAACTCGCTACTGGAAATGTACTTGTCGGGGAAATGAAGCTGTCATGAACGCCTGGGGTTGTAGTTTGAGGTAAACATTCTTACCCATTTTGACTTTGCTGAAGCAGAATGGGAAGTTTCGTCACTTATATGTTGCTTTTTTCACAATCGAGGCTACTGTGATCTCATCAGTGCCGTTTGCCTTCAAAGTATCTCGTGTCACATTTTCATGAATTTAGCTACCTGATGCTGGTGTAGCTGTGTTCTCGGGTCCTTTAGCCTCGGGAAACTTCATGTGCACGCGGGCCATTTCCGCGTTCGTCGCAGCGCCTTATCAAGCCCTATCGCAATATCACATCCGACTTGTCGCGTATCTGTTCAATCGTTCGCGCACATGTCAAGATGACGAGTATGGTCGGCCATCATGCCACCCAAGCGCAAAAGTATGGAACTGTTAGCAAGTAATGTCACGAAGAAGTTGACCCCAAAAGAGCGAGGTGAATCAACAACCCACCTTTTCACACCAACCAATCGATTGAGTTTGCTAATCACGTGTGTAGGATGCTTCCAATGCTCTCGTCGCCGCATTGTGTGCGACAAATCTGAGCCATCGTGTGGCAAGTGCATCAAGAAAGGTATTGAGTGCTCCGGAGTCAATCGCATACGCTTCACCGAGGCGGTCGCAAGACGGGGGAAACTTAAAGATTGCAAGATCCCGGACGCGAGTGGAACTGAATCAATCTGCCTGCCCACTACAACAACGTTTCCAGCAGTGCGATGGAAGAGCGAGAAAAGGCAAGGAACGGAGAGAGCAAAGAAACAGAAGCAACGCGCGCAGAGCGAAGCTGCGGATTTGCAGGATTCTTCCCGATGCTGCGATGGACTCGATGGTCTTTCGCCTGGTTCGCTGGTAGCTACAAAGAATTTGCCGCAGATTTCAGCAGGACCAGACGAGAGTTCAGAGGCTCATGACGACGTGGAAGAGATTGTGCGATTTGAAGATGGTGTGCTGCGGCAGTGTCCCGTCTATGTTGGTGTACAACCCTGGCTCGCACCTCTGAGCAGCGAAGCGCGCATGCTGTTCTCGCATTTCTCCGAAGCCATCGCACCAGTGATGGTGATTGTCGATACTGCGGCGAACGGCTATCGCGAAATCATCTTACCCATGGCTCTCGAAGACGAAGTCTTGCGTCGAGCCGTTGGTGTAGTCGCCGCTCAGCATCTCAGCCGCGAGAGACCCGACATGCAGCAGGCTGCTGAAGCTGGCCGCGCTGCAATCATTTCTCGTCTACGCAAAGATGCGTCATCTGCCACACCGGAGCAGGTTTTCAACAAGTTCACTTGGGCAACGTTGGTAGTTCTGCTAGTTGGCGAGACGGTCACGGGCAGTGCAGACTACAGCTTTCTGGTACAGATGCTGTTGTGTTTGTCGACAAGTCGCAGGGCTGAATACCAAAGGTCACCAGTCACTAGGTTCCTCCAGACCTCAACAAATCTGTTCGAACTACTCGGCCTGCCTCTGCTTGGGGAACATCATGGCATGTTGGCGCTGCAGAGATTTTCCCACTGGGAAGACTGGCTCACATGCGAGCAGTTTCCTGAGGGATCTGAAAGTCAGCGTATCCTCGACGAGATATGCCTTTGCTTTGCCGCCGCGTCCGACATCTACACCCGGCGAGCTACAAGTGAGGAGGCGGAGTCTTCGAGGCTGGCAATACTTCATCCACACACTTTCGACGATCTCAATCTCAAAAATCTCATGGAAAGGATTTCTCTGATACCGCCATGTTCTCCTGGGGCGCATGCCCTCGTCTGGCCATGCTTTGTCGCGGGCGCAGAAACAGCTGATCCCGGCCAGAGAGCCTTCTTTGTCGAGTACATGAATAGTATTTACGCCCGCACTAAATTTCGCAACATTCCAACAGCTGTGCGAAGCTTGGAAAATATTTGGGCAAGGAAAGGAGGCAAGAGATGGACTCAGTGCTTGCCTGAACTTTCGAACGTATTAGTAATGTGATGGATGCTATATGTCTGACTGGCACTACTCAAGACAACAACAGCTCAGCCCAACCTTTTTACTACTCGATTAAGTCCAGCCGCGGCCCGGAATAATGCTTCTTAGCATGGCAGAACCAATTCAAGCCTGCGAACAACCCCATTACCCCAATCACAACGCTCGCATAGTCTGGTCGATGTCAGCTTCTCAATCAAACTAATCTTTATGGCTGAACTCACTCATGCTGCTTCCCGTGACAGGCTTGGCAACAGGGAAGCAATAGAAGACGAGAACGAAGACGGCAAACATCACAGTCACGATATTTGCCGTCCAGCCTACCACCGATGGAGGATTGACGTAACGAGTTTGCGGCAACCAAGTCGAGGATCTTCTCCGATATATAAGCAGTGCCGCGGGAAAGGCGTATGTGACGTGCTGTAGGATCAGCCCTGTGCCAATGAAGGAATTAAAAGCTGACGTTGAGCCTAGATAGATACATCCAATGATGAACATGATGGCAAAGTTGAACAGCAGAGCGGCGATAGGAACTTGCTGTTTCGGACTCATCTTGTTCAGCCACCGACTACCAAAGATTGCGTTGTCGCGTGCAAACGACCACGTCAGACGGGAAGCAGTTTGGTGACTTCCATTGAGCGCTATTAGTACCATCACCGTGAGCGACACGATGAACGCGGTGGCTGCCGCGTCCGACCGTGTGCTTTGGCGCCAAATCTCGTATATCGGCACACTGAAAGGATTGTCAGCACTTGCAAGATCCGCCAATGGTGTGAAAAACATACCCGGTTGCTGTCGAGACAACAGATTGCAGATCATTCGTGCAGTACAGCATCACTATTGCAAGGACAAACGACGTCACGAAGCCGATGGATATCGTGCTCAGTAGAGCGCGCGGCACCACCACAGCAGCGTTTTTGCACTCTTCAGCTAGGTGTATCGCGCCATCAATGCCAGCATACATATATGTCGGATTGATGAGGCCTGTCAAGAAGGCGATACCATCGACCCACCCGCTCTCGTTCACGAACGTGGTCCACACGAACTCTGACGATTGGTAGTGTGGACCAGTGCGAGCAAGACTAACAATGACAATCATCGTCAAGCTGGTAATGGAGAGGAAGACTGTGAAGTTAGATAAGTGTAAAGCTCACTCGAGTTGCCACACTTACAGCCAACATCATGGATCCACATCGTTCGCTTGAGGACGTAGATGTTGTACAAGAGAACCAGGGTATTTGCTGCTTGATATAGCAGGAATGCGTGCCACGGTTTCGGCGCATACGAAGGGTTATAGAAGATGGCCATGCCTATGACCAGCTGTGGAAAGATAATAGCCACCCCAGCGCAGAGTGCAATCCATGCAAATACGTTCGTCGCACCGCAACAGTAACTCTACAGAAAATTCAGCTCTCGAGTCACAAACAGAATCCTCAAAGCACTTACCAGCTCCCGACTCCAGCTCTTCGGCGCCAAGATGCTGGTCCAATGATACTGGCCTCCAGCTGTGGGATACACACTCGCTAGCTCTCCCAATGTCAACGCGCAGAGTCCGACCAGCACGAAAATGATGATCGGCCCATAGACTAGAGTGACCGGACCGCCTTGACTGACGGCAAGAGCAAATGTCGCTGCAATACCCGCCCAGCTGTTGGAAATGACCCAACCGGCAGAGACGATCTCCAGCTTGGACATGTTTCGCGCATCTTCGGGTTGTAAGTCGAGACCCACAAGATGGTGGCTGAGGTCTTGAACCACGCCTTCCTGTGTGGTGATTTCTGAAGTGCTTCTGTCAATATCCAATGATTGTCGGACGTTTAGGAAGAACATACGTCGCTCTATCTCGGACGAGGACTTCATCTCTTTCGCTTCGTCCATATTGGCTGCGGACTCTACAGGTTTCATGGCGTTACTTTCTGGGGAAATGTAGCTGATCGAAAGAATGCACGACAACTTTATCTACCAACGTCGCTATCTCTCAGTGTCTAGGAATAACGTTGCCTTTCACCACAATTCGACGATAAGATGGTCCGGCAAATAAAACCCATCCCTCCGCTTATCGTTGCACAGGCACTTTATCAACACTGGTCGTATCTTCACCCCGCCCCAGACATTGTCGAACAGCAACACGCCTTCCCGGAACAGGACAATAGAGTGAGACGCTGCCCTGGACACGGCAGGACGCTCGGCGGTACTTTTCGTGCTACCCCGCAAAATGGCTTCAGCTGAGCCATAAGACACAAAAGCATGCTAGAGAGGCTACTAGTTATGTGAGGATCTTGTTCCACCAACGCGCAGTCATTCCGCACTGCAAGCGAAGTCGTTGCAATTCCACTCCGAGTCGGGAAATTGGTCCGGTGGCTTATCAAACTTATGGTGATTGGATTGTACAGTCGTATCATACGGCCCTTTATGTATCTGGAACAAGCTCGGCCGAAAATCACTTTCTCACTTTAGCATCCAAATCGGGAAATGGGCGAGCCCCACTTTCGATCGTGTCAGGGCATGCGATGAACCTTGGACTGAAGTCTGATTTTCTGGGCTAGTCTGAGTTGCACGTTTTCCAATGCTCACTTTATTGACCATATTAGGATATTTTCTAAGCGCGTTTTTGATGGTGCATATGTCTGTGTTTTTGACGATGTCTCGCGTTTCTACCCGTCTGGGGTCGAAACGGATTAAAGGCATTCTCGTCAGGACACTCGTTCCCAAAGCCGCTGCATCAAAGTTCACTCGTAACGCAGTGCCTTCTACTTTCTTGAGTCGGCTAGAATGACTTCTCGCGACGGGTACTGCTGGACGCCTGAGGACGGCCTCAAAGCTGGCGTACCATCCCTCGGCGTTATATCACCTGCCTCCAACATCAGCAGCTCAGAAGTCCTCTACGATGTTATAGTTATCGGCGCAGGCTACTGCGGCCTTACTGCCGCCCGGAATGCTGCCATTGCTGGACTGAAAGTATTGTTACTGGAAGGCCGCGATCGCATCGGCGGCCGCTCATGGTCGTCCAACATTGGTGGCTATCCTTTCGAAATGGGTGGCACATGGGTCCACTGGGGACAAGCAAATACCTGGCGCGAGGTTGTACGGTACCAGATGGAAGGGGAAGTGGAGAAGAGTCATGACTTCACGAACGGCGTGAAACACTTTGAGCTCAACACGCTGCAAGGGACGACCACGATGAGCCATGATGAAGAGGTAAGTCGCTCGATGCATTATCAATCACGAATGCTAATAGTCGGATACAGGATGAGGTGACGGAATCAGCATTCAAAAAGTTTACAAACATCGACGGCGCCTACGGCCGTGAAACAATTCCACTTCCATACACTACATTCCGTAATCCGGCTTCCATACCCCTAGACTCGCAATCAGCACAGGATCGCATCAATGAGATTGCGAATGTCCTTACGGCTCAAGAGCGTGCTATCCTCGAAACCTCCATCCTCCTCTGTAGTGGCGGCACACTTGAGACGACTTCTTTCCATGAGTTCATGCACTGGTGGGCCATGTGCGGATATACGTACCAAGGCTTCCTCGACTTACTGATCACATGGAAGTTCCGAGGCGGCCAATCAACATTTGCACGGAAGTTCTTCGACGAAGCACTTGCCACGAAACGGCTATCCTACACCTTCAACACCCCGATCAAACATATCAAAGACACTGGTTCCAGCGTTGCCATCACAACTCGTACCGGCCAGACTTTCCGTGCCCTTCGCGTAATCTCTACCCTACCGCTAAACGTCCTTGGCGCAGTATCTTTTGACCCTCCACTCCCAGCCGGTAAACAGGCCGCGATAGCAATCGGGCATGTCAACCAGACAATCAAGGTCCACGCGGAATTATCCAACAAGGCCCTCCGATCATGGACAGGCGTGACGTATCCTCACAACGAACTGTACTACGCCATTGGCGACGGCACAACACCCGCTGGCAACACGCACATTGTGTGCTTCGGTGGAAACAACAAACACATGGATCCCGAAGCCGACATCTCAGTGACTCAGAACGCGGTTTCCTCGATGTTCGATCCGTCAAATTACGGCGGCAAGGAAGTTGAGATTCAAAGACTGGTTTTCCATAACTGGAGCAAGGACGAGTTTGCTAAGGGCGCGTGGTTCTTTGCACCACCGAAACTGCTGGTCAACCATCTTGATGATATGAGAGCTCAGCATGGATCGATTGTGTTTGCGAGTTCGGACTGGGCGCTGGGGTGGCGCAGTTTTATTGATGGTGCGATCGAAGAGGGCACGAGGGCGGCGTTGCAGGTCACGAAGGACATTGAAGCATTGAAGGCTGGGAGACCAAGCCTGTAATTGAAAATATAGTACAGCGATGGCACAGCCGCTCTGAACATGACCTTCTAGACCAGTTGCTTGTTTCTGGTGACTTGACGCTTACTATGCAACATTGAAGACGTGCTCTCTCACTATATTCTTCCCGTCACTGCTGCTCTTCACCAACCTAGAGCTGGCACCGCCTTTACCAGCGCTACGAGGTGTTGATGCTTTCTACGGCTTCGGAGTTATTTTCGGTCCATCAACGTAGAACAGCATATACGGCCACGACCCTTCCTTTTCGCTCTTGAAGACCCTGACCTTGGAGATGAACCTGTTCCCGCCCAACTGCCTTTTGTGCTGGATCAGGAAATACCCCGCCCACCGTCCCACAGGTGCTCCTAGCAGTGCTTTCCCAGCATCAGAGTCCATACCAAACTCATGTCCTTGCCAACCTTTCGTGTCTTCTTCCGGCGGCGTCAGCTCTGACAGCGCCTTGTTGATGCGCTGATTGGTCTCCCTGTTGATTACCATCGTGGCCATGAAATAGTGAATGCCTTGGATATTACCCGCTGCCGCACGATTCCAGAACGCCCATGAGATATCGGAGAAAGAACGGATGTGTGGCAATTCTTCTGGCTTTCGGTCCCGACACCACAAGCCCGCGGCGGCTTTTGCTGGACTGACAATGCCCATGGCGATGACTGCGCCGCCAATACCGTTCACACCAACAGCGTGGGCTGCGTCTTTGACGCGCATGGTGGTACCGCATGGCGCTTTGTAGTACTGGTTTGCCTTTTCTGGCCGGCTGCCATCCTCGTTCAGCATGACAGCAGGACTGTCAAAGTGTTTGATCTGGAAGCACTGGTTGGGTCCGCCTCAATCTTTCGATTTTGTACCCATGCCGAGTTCGTCAAAGCATTGCTTAAGCTTGTTGCCGTTCTCCACATCGCATTCGTCGTCGTGCTTCTTTTGCATGGCTTCGGTGTTGTCGTGGTAGCCCCATGCCACGAGCGTGTCGTGTAAGTCTCCGTCGTATGGGCTTTCTGCTGTTTCACCGAGACCGAAGAGGGCTGCCGCTGTCTTATTGTCGGCCTTCATGCCTTGAAGGAGCTTGGCACCTCGCTGTACCGACAGAGCACAAGCGTCCTACACAGCTCGAGCTGTAATTCCATGTTTCGATTCATCTTCAAGCCGGAGTTTGTTCGCGTTGGTGGCATTGAGCGCGAAGGCGGGCGAAGAATTGTTCGAAAGCGGACCAAGAGCCGAGTCAGAAAAGACACTTTGTGACCACGTCACAAGAAGTTGGTAGACTCTACAGAAGCCATCCATCTAATTCTACGACTTGAATACAGCAAGCATACAAGTAAATCAATCCCTGAGCCATGAACTGAGACAGAACAGCCACACCCATATCCATCGTCATGACATCCTCAGAGTTGTCAAACACGAAATCCAACATCTCAGACAAGCAACTCTCGCCTGTTAACATGCAGCAGATCGCAGAAATGCTCAAGAGCGAGATCCTCAAGGTCATGCACAAAGGAATCCTCCCTGCGATCAGACACGAAGTCGAAGGCATCATTGAAGGGACAATAAGTCATTACGATAGCCCAAACAGGAGAGAGGTGCAGTCCAAGAAGGTTTCGGAAATGGTACGGCAGGGTGTGGAAATCAAGGAGGAAGGGAGGATAGGGACTTTACAAATTGGCATCCTATTTGGAAATCAGCAAAAACGGACTGAGATTACTTACAGAGGTAGTATGGTTAGAGAAGACAAGCATGGCAGTGGTATACCGGAGCAGAGGAGCGAGACGGGAGAGTAGAGCGAAAATGATGAACATGCGATTGGGCTGAAGAAGATTGAAGCGGTGCTTTTCACTTCAACATTCGTTGCACCTAGAGTAACGACTTGCTACATTGCTATGAATATGGCAATAATAGCACAAAAAATGACCAACGGTGTAGCTACGCTGCCCTTGAACTGTGACGCGCTATTATGCCGTTCTCCGGTCTCGTTTTGAGACACTCCAACAAACATAGGCCCTTTGCCTCCTGAATTCGCCATTCCCTTGTAGTCTGGCACATCACATATCTTGTCGTCGCCCTGGCCTCCGCCACACAACGCATTGTATTCTCGGTTGCGCTTTGCATCTGTCGAGTTGAAGTAACCCATGAAATATGCGACAGTCAATATAGCATCCTGTGCAGGCGGCCCTGCCGTCCAGTTCGGATTTCCATCGCTCCAGTGACTTATTTGAAAGACTCCCGGAACTGCTGGTACGGATTGATTCAAGTCTCCCATCCAACTCCCGTCAAGATAAAAGCTGACGAGGTTCTCGCTCCAATCGTACCGATACTCATGAAACCCATCGGACGGTACGACGCCCATCTTGCCTTCGATGAAGCCAGCCGTGTTTCTCGCGTCATTGCCGTCGGCGACACTCGCGTCGCTGTGCACAACCAGATTTGCCGGGTAAGGGTTGCTTTGCTTGACTCCTTGTTGACGTGACAGCATTTCCATGTCGATTTCTTTGGAGTCGCTATTGTACCAGAAGTGGCTCGCGCAAGTACCAGAGATCGATGTTGTCTTCATGAAAGTTCGAAAGCTTCCGAACTGCGCGTCATCCCTTTTCGATTGTATCTGCGCTACACTTACTAGGCCGTTCGTAATCTGGGAGCGTACTATAAGTTGCAGGCCGGAATCGACGTCAGGGCCTTGCTTTGAAGCGCTGTCCCATCCTTGATTGGGGTTTGCGACTGGGTTTGGCACAATGTTTTCCGCTGCCACCCGCTTCCCGTAACGACCGCTACTTGGGTCATAATTGAAGCGGACGTACTTGATTTTCCAGTCCTTCGAGTCAGCGAAGTCGTGCAGCGCGCGAAAGTTGACGTGTAAGGCTTCGGTATAGAGGATAGTCCTGGGATATTGGGCTGCATCGCCCCCATAGTGAACACGATAGCCACACTCGCATAGTGCCAGAGTGCCTTGAACGTAGAGACATAGAATCAGCATCCAGATTGTGCCGAACCGTAAAGTGAGTTTCAGCGGAATCATCCTGAACGTGATGAGATGTGTCGGGATGGTGCATCTATGTTGCTGGGCTTTGGATCAACGAAGTCGAATCACGCTACTGCACGTCGGACGTAGGGACGACTGATGCACTATATGTCGTACCTGACTTCTCCATGACCAAGCATTGGTCCATGCTGCACTTTGTGGAAAAAAATTCGAATGAGTGAGCTTCAGACTCAGTCGGTCCCAAATTCTTGTCACATTCTTCGGGCAAGCGTACGTGGTACCATGGTTAGGAAGTACGCTAGAGTGGCGGCGATCAACTGCGAACTATACATTGCACGCTTGTGGGAGCGCTAATATCGTGATGCATTTCCGTAGTTAACAGAACATTTCACCGACGACACTTGTTTATGAGTATTGGAAAAACTTGAATGTAGCTTTGAATTGACAGTTGGATTTACGGGGCTTTCAAGACACGAGAGTACTTTGATGCAAATAATTTGAAGTTTAAAATACGCCGCTAGAAAAATGCTCACTGTAACTTTGCGGGGACTGGCCTAGCTAGCTCTAGCTCTTCGTCTTCATGAACTTCCAGCATCTCTTCCCGAATGATGACGCGCTGCTTTTCTGCCTCAATGTCCAAACATGACTGAGCTGCCGTGAGTGCAGAAAAGCTCTCCGTCACTCGGGGATGCCGATGCGCGAAGAATGCTGCGTACGCATAAAGTGAGTAATACACGCTAACAGTGTTGACAAAGGTAAGCGCCATCTTCATCAAAAAGTATACAGGCACAACTTTCCAGGCAATCATCTCTTTCTTGTAGCGAAGGTGGACAGCATTGAAGAAGAGCACTCCGACGACGTAAACCCCAAAAAGCGCAGCGGTCATGATGCCCACCATCTTGGGCTGTACCCACAGCGCGATCGGTAGCATGAATGGCCGAGAAAAGTAAATGAAAGTTTCTACAATCTCAGAAAGAACAAAGACTTTTGTGATGAACTCATAGTGGCCAAGCCGCCATGCGAAGATCAAGTAGTTAAAATCGTCGCGTAGACGATAAAGGTAGAAGAAATTCCAGCGGTAGAAGCGCTGCTTCCACACAGTCATCTCTCCGTAGCCGCCCCGTGTAGACTTGACGGGGACGAACAGGGAAGGTGGCGTCTCAGTCTCGACAAAGACCTGCGAGCAGAATTCGATGCGATAGCCAGCAGATCTGCAAGTGTGACCGAAATACCAGTCTTCGGAGATTTTGTATCCGGGGTGGCCCCAGAAAAGTTTTTCGAGAATATCGCGGTTCCACAAGATGATCGCGCCATGAGGAAATGTAGCACTACCATATGTGCCTTGGAAGTGTCTGGACAGGCCAGAGAGTTTGTATTCGAGATCTTGGGCTTGCTGAATATACGTTCCTTTCGAACCATTCGCTCCGGTACTCTTAATTGTATATCCTATACATACGGTGGAGCGATGTGCCTTCGTGTCACTGATTCTGTCGGTCACGATCGGAAGATTGGCCGGGAGATGGACGTCATCGTCGATGAGCATGGCATATTTGAACTTCTTGGCAAGCATGACGCCAACAAATTCAGCAATGATTTTACTACCAACCGGAATCCAAGCGTGGTTGATACCATACTCTTTGCATACGTCTTCTGCATTGTCGAGAGGCGTGGGAGAATTTCCATTGGCGAGGACGAAGATCTGATCCGGCTTGAAGATCTTCAATGCGTATTCAATGGTCTCCGGAAGGGCACCCGCAGCCTTATAAGCTGGGATAAGGAGGCAGGTTTCAGATGCATCGGTCCGAGGCACAGGACTTTCAGGATCGAGTGGTTCCGCGTTTTTCTCGAACTTGACAAAAAGCTGCGGGAGCCATGATATGCTGGCACCCCAGAGAAAGAAGATCAGGACACCCATGGTCACATGATTACCGAACTTTAGCCACTTCCTATGACATGATTAGAGAGAATGCGAAACGGGCCGAGGCTTAATGACTTACCATAACGAGTAGCATATTCCATCCCAAATCGGGAATCCGATGAAGCCAAAATATGTTATGCAAAGTATCATGACGAACCAAAACATTTGCCAGGCATATGACGAGTACTTGTTTGGCTCAAAGGCTTTCTGGCGCTGCTCAGCGAGGGCAAGAAACTCTTTGATGTCCTCTGGGTCAGCGCTTGAACCGAGAGGTACGGCGCTTGCCATGGGTGGCTTCTTGACGTAGTAAAAGCTACTGGATGCAGAGGGTGAGCGGAAGGACCGTGAGACGGTTTCTTTGGAAGAAGTTGCAGATTGGAGCGGAAGAATCTTCGGCCTAGCAGTTGTTGGCGATTTTCGTGATGTTCTGGTCGCCTGGCGTGACATAGGCCTGCTTTGTACATCATTGGTGAACGTGGACATCAAAGAAGACTGGCTACGTTGTGCTGGAGATAGTCGAGCGCTGAGAGGTGGAGTTGGCGTTTCGCGGACTGTGGTGATCTCATCGTGTACAGATTCCTGGGAGGAGCTGGGGGTTGATGACCTCGTCGAGTTGGAAGTTGGCTGCATTTTCGTCTCAAGACCAGGATGATTATAATGAAGGAGAGATACAAAGGTAGTTTCTAGTTACAAAAGAGTGTTTCAACAGAAATTGAGACAGAAGAAAGTGCATGCACAGGCGGTGTAGACCTGAAGGGTGGAGTGCGAGTGATGCCTCACAACATAAGCATTGTGGCTATCTTTAATCAATTTTCTCGCAAAAGATTCACCCTAAGCATTGGGAAATCTCTGAGTACTGTAGTAGGACGGATGGAACGGTTAGCCATGGTGAGCCCAGACTGCGATGATACAGACATTAACATCCTCCGATTGGGCCTCGGTACTCAATCCCAGGCCTGGACTACAGTGATTTTGGCAGAAATTGGCGGGAAGAAAATAACCATCTTCATTGGACGTGAATATCTGGTTGGCATTTGGGAACCATCTAGCGATAGTGTTTAGACCATCTGGAGCGGGCTCTGCAACTATCCGGGAGCTTGATGTCATGTATAGAGCTCGCAAGAGCCTAGAATATAGGTCCCAAGTATTTTCAATTCCTGTATTGCCATGGTAGGAAAGAGTTGTCGATGCCATCCAAGAAAGGAAGTGTTCTTGCCCATTGCGGCGTTCGCATGTGTTCCCGCTAACGCCTGGCTAGAGCCGATCACGTTAGGCGCGGCTGTATCGGAGCGCCCAGAAGGGACTTTGGAAGGTACGGAGTAACTTGCCGACACTACGACTAAATCGGCGAAACTATTGACGGGGCACTACAATGCAGTCACGAATGTAGTGCCGATTATCAACAGCACGCTTATACTGGCATAAGCTTTGGTGCTCCATCAACGGCAGTTGAAAATCGGCATTGCAGCTCAGCGAGCACATGCTACCGAGCATTTAAGCAATTGATTTTTACCTCTGGGTTTGGTGAAAGATCAGAAGGGGCACCAATCGAGTGCACAAGCAGTCCTAACCACGACTCAGCCTGTACCGATCGAGATGCGGGTTGGTGTTACCATCGTCCTGGTGTTACAGTCACACGGATCTCAAACTGAGCATGCATCAACGTGAAGTGGTGACTTCGATCTTCAGGCACGGTTTGATAGCATTGGTCGCCCAAAGTTTGCGCCAGTTGCAAGTCAGGCACGTGGCAGCATAGACCATGAGATCATCATGTTGAGATCAATGTACATAAGCTTCTATCAACGTCATGAACGGTTGCCATCCGTGGTAAGCTACACAATCCATCCCTCCAAGAAATTGTGCCTGTGTCTCAAAAGGGAAAGCGTCGGGAAGTTATTGCGCTACGAGGGACGGTATAGCATCTTGTGTATCACCCACAACTCACTAGTTACTGAACTACTGCAAAAGATCGATAGAATGCCGTGACTCGGTAAAGGTGAACACTTGATGCCTGGTAGGCTTACTCAATCAAGACATTCTACCGAGATAGCTGCGGACACATGATAGTAGACTCTCATATGCACGGTTCGTTTCCGTATCAGCATGGACTCTTTTCTTTTGGCATTCGAAGCTACAAATTGATCCAATCTATGGCATCGGAGCTTCGACGATGTTCTATGGCAAATTGGCCTGGGCTTCAGAAGCCATCGTGAATGACCATCTCCGTCCACCTCCTGAAGGGCATTCGCTGTAGCGCGATCGGAAGTTACCCGCTACTGGATGCCCTACAGTAGAGAATGGCTTCCCAGCTAACACCAAGACGTGAGAGGAAGAGACTTTCTTTTCTGCAGAAGCTCAACATCATGGCTAATTGGGCGCCAGGACGAGCAGCGCTACCTGCGGGAAGGGCTCCGTGTACCAGTTCAATGTATGCACGGTAATCTGCTGAGGCATTATAGTCGTATTATCAGGGAAGAGAACTCCGTGATACGCCTCAGATCGTCGATCTTTGTAGAGACATAGCATGTCTAGTGTGATTTCAATGCCGCAATAGCACTACAGGCATCACTGCTTCCCTGAATATGCTCAACGATATTTTGCTATCACGTCTTTTTGGCTCAAGTAGACTACTCAAGAGCTCCGGAGCTAATCACGCTCTACGAGCTTTAATTTTAACGGTACCAAGCTACCGATACCAGAGTATGGCTCGAGGATCGTGAAGTCGGGAAACAGATGATATCGGGAAAAATGTGACTCCAGAGCAGAGTTCAAAATGTATATGAAGAGATCGCCAAACCCTCAAAGCATCATCATTCCAGTCACCCAAACCATTCATTCACTTCCATCCAGTCATTCCCAGACATTGCAACTCACTTCTTGATCATATACTCAATCACCATATACAAATCTTCAACAAGACTACCTCCACACAACAACAGCAATGGGTGCATCTAACGCCATGTTTGGAGCCAGGCAGCTCGCAAAGCATTCGGAAATCGTTCAATGCATGTTGACAGACCTTCCCATGACTCCTCCTGAAACTCCCACGAGCTTGAAAGAGTGCACTCTACCAATTTTCTCAGTCACACCACCAAGTGAGGCCGATTTACTCTTTGAGAACCTCGCTATCTCGAACCTGCCTGAAGACATCACTCCAGCTGAGCCGCGCCCGATCGTGGCAGTCGTCGGAGTTGGCTACGTCGGCAAGCACCTCGTGGAAGAATTCGCGAAGCACTACGAAGTCATCGCCTATGACGTGTCGGACAACAGACTCAAGACCCTCTCTGGCGAGCTCAAGAACGCGAGCATTCGTTTCACTTCCAGACCCACTGAGCTTGCCAAAGCAAGCCATATTCTCATTTCTGTCCCCACCGTCTTGAATAGCGACAAGACCATCGACACCACATACCTCCGTAGTGCGATAGCTGCAGTGGAGAAGCACGTTAGACCCGGCTCCACGGTAGTCATCGAGAGCTCTGTTGCAGTTGGCATGACGCGCTCGCTTGTTGGCCCACTCATGGCTTCGAAAGGGCTCAAAGTGGGTATGTCGCCTGAGCGCGTCGATCCTGGACGTGTGTCTCCTGCCTTCGAAGACATTCCCAAGATCGTGTCCGGTCTTGATGCCGCATCGCTCGACTCCATCTCGCTGCTCTACGGCGAGGTGTTCAAGAACATGTTGACGGTTTCATCCGTTGAGGTCGCTGAGATGACCAAACTGTACGAGAACTGCCAGCGCATGGTGTGTGCTGCATATGCAAACGAAATGGCAGATGCATGCGCTGCCATCGGCATTGATGCGTTTGAAGTCAGCTCTGCTGCCGCCTCCAAGCCTTTTGGCTACTTGCCCTTTCAGCCCGGTCCAGGTGTAGGCGGGCACTGCATCCCAGTGAATCCTTACTATCTTCTTTCCACTTGCTCCATGCCTCTTCTAGAGCACGCCACGACTATGTCTTGGCAGCGACCCGCTAGCATCGCCAAGCGGTTCATGGCGTCGCTTGACGATGAGATGGACTTCAAGTGCTTTGGCACTGGTGTCCAAGGCGCCCCCACGCGCATTCTGGTAGTCGGCGTGGGTTTCAAGCGCGGACAAAGTGTCTTGAGCAACTCGCCTGGTGCCGCCATCATCTGCAGCTTGCTGAGCGATCACGACACATACGTCGAGTTTGCCGACCCGCTTGTAGCTGCTGAGCAGCTGTCTTATGTGCCGAAGATGGACACGGACGCAGACTGGAATCTCATGTACCTGAGTTCGTTCGCGGGCATCATTGTTGCTGTCGATCAGGTGGGTCTTGATCTTGATCTCCTCGATCAATTGCAGGGCGTCCATGTCCAGGACTTTTCTGGCCGCGGTAAATCGTCTGCCGCGCTATGCGGACCATCGACAACGTCGAAAGACTTCGCCCTCAAGTGTTAATGTACGAAATCTGGTGTGGAGACGAGCAGAAAATCCTTGTACATACTTTCATTCTTGTTGTCTGCGACACTGTAAATATTATTCCATCAACTGTAAATAGCAACTGCCATATGGCACCTTTTCAAACCCTTCATCAACCTAACACGACAAAATGTGACTGTGTCAAGTACTGTGTCATCACATGATCGTCCGCTCAAGTAGCCTTCTTTAGGCTGGCTTTTTCAGCGCGCTCCTCAAGAACCGCGAGTTGCTCTTCCCGCCAGCTCCAAACACCCGAAAGTGCAGCACCCGGACCACCCAGAACCGTCAAAGCCACGACCATGTATACACCCTTGAAAATCTTATCACCCTCAGGATCAGTGTCAATGTCCGGCACCAAGCGCTGGATGTCATAAATTGCGGTCAAAGCAGAAATGAGGTAACAAGCCGCAAAGATGATCCAATCCCATTGGAAGATCCAAAGCAAACCTTCATTCATTGAGGTCAGCCAATGCTCGCGGCTAGGCAGGAACACTCGAACGAAGGTGACTTCAGGATTCTCGGAGCTGGCGACTTTGTAGATGGTGATCCAGTGTGAGATGACGGAGATGACGAAAACGGTGTTGTAGATGATTTTAAGATGACGGATGTCCGCAGTCTTCGTTTTTCCAGAAGCGGGCGTTGTGGATACGAATGGCGATACGAACCACAGTGGAATGTTGGCGAGGACGGGAGCAAATTGCCAGAATGCAAGAACTCCTTGTAGCATGGTGATGGACTGCCCAGAGATGAAAATGGCGATGGTAGGAATGAGGTACTGAAGAATCGTACCGGGTAGAATGACTTTAGCATACGGAAGAGGAACAGCACGGCCAGACTGGAAGTATGAGTTGCGGCCAGAAAGACGATGGAAAAGAAGCATCCAGAGTGTGATGATCACTGCACCACCTACGTTTTGGTAAACAAAAGCCCAGACAGCGGTGCTTAGAACTATTAGCAACAGTCATCTCAGCCTATCTTTCACAGATTCAACATACTATTTGATCCAACTAGCACTGTTCCTCTCTCGGCAGGCCTCAACATTCATGATAGCGATAAGACCAGTGATTTGGATCAGAAAATGAAACTGTTGCCAGTAAAATGTCTCGTTCCATCCAGCAGCTCCTGGAAGGAATGCTGCAACAAGGAAAGAGAGACCTTCGTCGAGAGGGGCGAGGCCTGTGTAGTCTTTCTTGATCGGCGTCCCATTAGGGTAAACGCCTGCTTGAACAACTTCGAGAAAGTCTTTTGGGGCATCGTAAAGAATGAGAGAAACACGCATGAACCATGCTCCGGCTGCAGAGAGGAGTGCAAACGTAACGAGTAGGAGGGTGTTGCAGGGCCTAGCGCCTGCTGGCGAAGAAGAGACAGCTTGCATGGTGCAAAGGTCGAGCGCGATCAACAATGTAACGTAGTATAGGTCCCTATAATCTTATAACTATGCCATGGTTCTTGTCGATTTTGCGAGGGAAGTTTTTTGAAAGGAAGATATGGCTTACGCCCAGCTTTTAGCTAGGTGCAGCGGGCTGCCGAGATAAAGCCAGCCAATGCGAGAAATGCCAATCTTTGGGCCGCCGATTGGCCGACCAGCATTATACGGTGAATACGGCGGCCTCAATGAAGAGTGAAATTCCTCCAATATGAAGATACGAAGACTAACCTCTATATGTTTAGAGATATACAGACCGCGATTCGGGAACCATGCTAGCGTGAAGTCATGAACGTTGGCTTACAAGCATGGTCTGGTGTTCTTTCAGGTGGTTTTGAGATGAAATCCTTTCATCGCTACAATCAAGCTGTGCACCACAGGCATGATCTTCTTGGAGACAAGCATGCAGGCCGGATGTGAGATGCGAAATCACAGGCAGAAAGCAGACTCAGCTGTCGTGGAGCAAAGTACTTCCAATTCGAGTTGTTCGTTGCTGGAGCCCAAGAGTGCGTTGGCACAATATTCTGCATGGCACGAATGCTTTAAAATGTTAGTGAAAAGGATTTGGGATCAACACTACGGGTCAATCCAGGAGTTTGGTGTTCCCGTCCGGATCGAGCGGCAATGACTGTGCCAAGTTTTCGAGTGTTGGCTGAGTGCGCTTCGGATCGAGACCACTTTTGCGTTTCGAACTTGACGTCAAGACTGGAATGTCCTAGCTCCGTAAAGTAGATCTCAAGCGCACACAGAAGCTGACAGTGAGGGCAATGTACTTCAGCGCTGTACGTTTTGGCCAAGATAGCAATGTAAATAAGAAATTATCGCAAACACGGGCCGCCGTTGTGATTTACTCCTGCCAAGGCAGCGGTGCGGCGTGTCGTTCACGCGTCGCGACTTCCACGCGGCGCTAGCGGGTGATGTCATGGTCCCCACATATCAGAGACAACGCAAGCACTGTCAAGACCTGCCAGACTGCATGCAGGAACATCAAGATGTAGCTGTAAGAGGCTTGGTACCTCTGTCTGATGATGCTGTTGCACGCGCTATCGATCCTTTGGGCTTCCCCGGATCGCCTTTGCCTGCTTTCGCCTGCTTTCTTTCTTTCTCTGCTTCCAACTAACGCGTGCAATCTGTCGCACACGCTCAAATACGCAAGGAACGAAACGCCTGTAGAAAGCCGGAGCCAGCTGTAATATACATTTTGAATAGATATGGTCGGAACCAGGCGCAACCTCCTCAGCAAGAATTCGAGCTACACCAACGGCAACGGGACAGAAAATGTCGTCAAGGGCCGCCACCGTGAAGACATTGAAAGCGGCTATGGATCAATCAACCCGGTCAATTCCCAGCACAGGTTTCGCGATGCGATCAAGCAAACCATGTACTCGACTCGCGCGAGCGATATGAAGAAGAAGTTGATCGATAACGTGGATCATACCATGCTAGAGCACTTCAGAAAGAGCGATACGAGCGTGAGCGAAGCCTGACTTGTCCGCAATATGTATTGATTGCTGATACGTCCTGTAGCTCGAATGTATACCGAATAAGAAACTGCGCGCATTCTACGAAGAACAGAACCGACGTCTCGACGACTGGTTGGAGGTTGACATGGTGGTCTCATCGCTCGCAGACGACATTGTCGACAGCATGCACCCACTTGATACAGATGGAGATGGCGTGGCTGAGGACAGAGGGCCTCTCGGCACAAGTGGAGAGAGTCTCGAACCCTTCCTCCCAGAAGACGAACGTGAAAGACGAAGGAAGTCCGCTAAGCACGTGAGATGGGCGATCAATGTGAGTCATGACAGTCCCCAGAAATACCGGCTTCTGACCATGTTAGATCAACGTATTTGTCAACATCCTCCTGTTGGCCGCGAAAGGTGTCGCAGCCCTCTGGTCAAACTCCCTCTCGCTCATCGCATCTCTCGTCGATTCCGCACTCGACCTCCTGTGCACGGTCATCATCTGGACAACGAATAAATTGGTGGGATGGCGTTTAAGCAAGCTCAAGAAAAAGTTTCCGGTTGGAAGGAGACGCCTCGAGCCGATCGGCATCCTCGTGTTCTCCATAATTATGGTCATCTCTTTCTTGCAGATTCTGAAAGAGTCAGTCGAAAAATTGCTGCCCAGCGGTAACCACAAGATCGCGGAGCTGCCGCCTGCGGCTATATTCGCCATGGTTGCCACCATTGTTGTCAAGGGCACAATCTGGTTTGGATGCGCAAGGGTCAAGACAACACAAGTCCAAGCGCTGGCGCAGGACTGCAAAACAGACGTCTACTTCAACACCCTATCACTGCTCTTCCCACTCATCGGCCACAAAGCGCATATTTGGTGGCTTGATCCGCTCGGTGCAGCTGGCCTGTCGCTCTTCATCATCTATGACTGGGCTGGTACTTGTCTCGAGAATATCACCCGACTCACAGGCGAAGCTGCAAGCGCAAACATGGAGCGTAAGATATTGTTCATGGCGTATAGGTTTGCACCGCTTGTCGATGGCTTCAAGTCCATGAAGTGCTACCATGCTGGCGATGGTGTATGTGTTGAAATCGATGTGCTAATGCCCGAGGATGCGTCACTGAGTCGGTGCCACGATGTTGCCGAGACGCTCCAATATTGCTTAGAAGGATTGAAAGAGGTTGATAGGGCTTTTGTCACAATTGATTGTAAGTACTTTCGAATGAACACAAGGAGCCCAGCTAACGTACGACAGACACTGCGCAAGGTCCTACTGGCCATGCCCTTTCAGACGGCGAATAAGTCATGTGTTGTGGCTGAGCAAACTTAAGAGAAAAGATTATATTAATTACTGCTCTTCTAATGTATTAGAAGAGCTAGCTTAAATATATAAATAGATTATAGAGAAATATTAGTCTACTTTCTAAGCTTAGTTAGCTTAGTTACATAGATTAGTACTTTACTATTCTTATATATTAATACTATAATATACTCTTTATCTTAATTTTCTTATTTAATTAAGATAATATTATGCAGTATATATATAAATAAGCTATTACTCTACTTCTGCTTTGCTTTAATTACTTAATTAGTAAGTATCTATTTATTATTATATTATTATAGAGATTAGTTAACTTATGCGTTTAGCCTTAGTATATATAATATTAATATATTACTCTATGCTTTATAATCTTTTAATACTTTACTACTTAGCTTTAAGAATTTAATCTGCTAACTATAGCTCTAGTAAGTCTTACTAATTAAGAGGTACTTAAGTATCTTATATATACTCTATATTATAATTATCTTAAACTCTAAGCTATTAGTTATGCTAACTTAGCTATTTTATAGTAAAAGAGAAAAAATAGCTACTTTAGTATAGAAGAAGAATCTTAAGAACGCTTGCGCTACTTAGTCTTCTAAGATATTAAATTTAAAAAGCATATATATCTTAGCTTAAATTAATTAGTAAAAGTTAGCTTCTAAGAAGAGTAATCTAGCTCTAGATACTCTATTAAAGCTTTCTAGTAGTATACTCTATAAAAGCTCTTATGCTAATTATATTCTTAAGTAGTTAAATAACTTAATAAAGAATAAGCTTAAATATATTAATAAGAGTAGTAAGTTAAGTTATTATACTGCTTATAATTCTAAGCAGTATATTCTAAGATATATTTCTTATCTTATTTTAGTTACTTCTTATACTAATTATACTATAGCTTATACTACTTTATAACTAAGATAATATCTTTATATAATTATGCTATAGGCTATATAGTTACTATAACTATTAGTAGTTATTAATCTTATATAGCAGCTTTATACTAATCTTTTGCAGACTTCTAAGTATACTAATAGGTAAAATAAGCTTATAGATAAGGTCTATAAGTATATTACTAGTTATAATAAGCTATCTAGCGTTAAGCGTAACTAATCTAAAACTACTATATCTAAGTTAACTTCTAAGCGTAAGAAGAAAGCTATGCTACTTATATCTTTATAACTCTATTTAGATTCTTTTAGTTAGAAAATAGGCTCTAATAAAAAGTTGCTCTTAACTAATTTAACTCTTTTAAAGATATCTGCTTACTAAGCTTCTATTTAAGATAATAAGAAAAAGAAAGAGACTATAGTGCCTGCTAGTAATCTTTCTAGCCTAAGCTCTAGTTCTCTAAGATCTAAGCGTAGTAAGTAGGCTAAGCCTTTTAGTTATAAGACTAATATACTTAATAAGCTATTTAATAATAAGAGCGCTTTAACCTTAGCTAGCTTTAATCTTAATGCTCTAGTTACTTTTAATAACTAAATAAGTTATATTAATATCTCTCTTAGTATAAATAAGAAATTAATTTATTCTAGTTATACTACTTCTTTCTAACTAGCTTAAGCTGCATCTAGTAGCTCTATTTAGCATTTTACTAATCTAGAGTTAAGTCTCTCTTTAAGCAGCTTACGTAGCTCTATTTATCTTACTTCTTCTACGCCTAAAAAGGCGCTTAGAGAGAAGAGAAGAAATAAGGCTACTCTAACTAATCTTTATAGATTAAATTCTTCTTTTACTTATAAGATAGCAAGCTTAAGTAAATTAAATAGCAGCTTTTATAGCACTAAGCTAATTATTTATAATCTCTAAATCTTCTAAGTTACCTACTAAGTAGATCTTAGATACTACTAATATTTAAAATACTCTCTCTATAAAGGCGCAGTATAAGCTTCTATCTTAGTTTAAGTAGAAATACTTATTTAATACTCTGCTTATTATTATAGGTAACACTAGATAGAGCTTTATTAATCTAACTAGCTCTAATTTAGTAAAGAAGGTTAATAATAGTAGCTCTAATCTAGAGATAATAAGATTAGAAGCTAAGATAAAGAAGCTTATAGCTTATACTACTACTACTTAACTTAATTTTAAGATATTTAATTAGGCTAAAGCTAATAAAGCAGCGCACTTAAAGAAGCTTTATATTAAATAAGAAGAGCACTTTATAAAGAATAAAGCTAATTAAGAGTTATATATAAAGAATAAGGCTAATTAAGAGTTATATGCAAAAAGTAAAACTAACTTTCTTTAGCCTTCTATAGTTAAGTCTATTAAGACTAGTACTATAGCAAAGCTTTATAAAGATTAATTAAAGTATTCTACTTTTAAGAAGACTAGGTAAGATCTAATTTACTCTTCTTCTTAAACTTCTTAGTAGTCTTAGTAGCTTTCTAATGCTAATTCTTAAGTTTCTAGATTAGTTAAGTTAAATTATTAGCTTACTACTGCTACTTAAAGTTAAGATGCTTATAATAGTTAACTAGTACTTACTTCTTCTATCTCTAAGTTTAGTAGTAGTAATTAAGCTAATTATAGTAATACTACTATCTCTTTAACTAGTAGTAAGAAGATTATATTATCTAGTTCTGCTACTCTATAGCCTAATCTATTCTTCTTTAAGCTTCTTTATATAACTAACTCTAATGCTAATCTTTCTTCTATTACAAATTTAGTAGATTGCTTTAGTTAGAGCTATGCTAATTACTATCTATTAGATAATTAAGAGGTATATTACTTTAACTAGAGTAATATTATTTCTTTTACTTTATTTAAGAATAAGATAGTAAGGCAAGAGAGATATCTTAATTATTATAGAGTTTCTTAGAATTCTCTTATCTCTGCTCTAGATATTTATAAGTAATACTATATCTTAGCTTAACTTAATTATAATAAGCAATTATACTTCTATGCTTTATATTATAGAGAATTTAATATATCTTATATAGATAGCTTTAGATCTTCTAGACTAAGTATCTTAGTTTAATCTTCTTATTATTAAGTAAACTTTTTTTTTCTTAATGCTTTAGGCGTAGTTCTCCTTACTTCTTATATAGATATGCTAGATTAAATAATCTTTTTAGAGTAGTAAGTAGTTAAAAAGGCCTCTTTTTACTCTACTTAAGCTTTCTTAGTCTTAAAAGCTCTTTTTAATAGTAATTAAGCTAATGCTATTATATCTTACTTTTATTAACTATAACTAATTTAACTATATTCTTAAAGTTTAAAAGCTACTTAAAGTAATTAAATTATTAATAGGTAAGAGCTTTAGTTAGTCTATCTACTAGTATTTTCTTTATTAGTAAGTATTCTACTAAGAATAATTCTTTTACGTATTCTTATCTAAGCTATATATTTTATATATTAATCATATTAAAGATAAGGTAGTAATTTGCTTATTTTAACTAATAATAAGTCTAATTATTTACTAGTTATTATACTAGATCTTCTATAAATTGCCTAAATTAAATATAAGTTTATTAAAGAACCTTTTTAAGATAATAGTTTTCTTTATAATATGCTTAAGTATAATAAGCTTAGCCTTAGTTATAGAGGTTATTACTATACTTTGCTAAGTAGCTTTTTATAAAATAGCTTCTTTAAAGAGCATAGCTATATATCTATAAGATAAGCGCTAAGTAATTAAGTTATCTATAAATAATACGTCTCTATATATTATAAGGTTAGAACTATT